ATAAATGAACTTCAACAGATTTCAATGCCTGCTTTAGGGTTGGTTTCGGCAACATCGAACCCATGCATACCCCGAATCTAAGTACGGTTTATGGCACATATTCGAGCGACGACCCACTTTACCATCCGGAGATAGCTTGCAGGCCAAGTTACCTGCATGTGGGATCGAGATAGCATAGGCCAGGCAAGGAGTAAGGGACGATTTGTATCCGATTAATTCCATCATTTTCCCATTGCCGCCCACACCCTCAGTTTGCTAGTATATCAAATGCTGTTCATTTTAACAGTAGAGGTAGCTCAACTTAATTCTCTTATTAGAGGTCTATCAGCCATACACACGGTCCTTGAATAACGATTTTCTCGGTAGTTAAAGCCAGAAACTTGACATTCAATATGACGACAAAAGGCTCTTTTGCCAGCCAGGGCAATGACCAGAAAGTAGTAACAGGGTATCTTATGGCCATTAAACGCATCAAATGGGGTAATTTTCTCATCCTGATTATTCTCCCAGTATATGCAATCCTGCAAATTCCTTGGGTTCCATTACATCCCAGTACACTTATCTGGTCCGTGATTTACTTGGTCTTATCGATGTGCTCCATCACTGCAGGTACATGTATGTATATAACCCAATGGGTCTGGAACCGTTCCCAAAACTTTCACAAGGAAACTCTAGCACACTAACAGTACTTTTGCCGGTTGAATGCAGGATACCATCGGCTCTGGGCACATCGGTCATACTCGGCCTCAACAGCTGCACGGTGTTTTATGGCGGCTTGTGGGACAGGTGCGGTCCAAGGATCCATCAAATTCTGGGTCAGAGAACATCGAGCTCATCATCGGTATACCGATACAGACCGTGATCCGTACGGAATTAACAAAGGCTTCTGGCACGCCCATATCCTGTGGACACTGGTCAAACAGCGATATATCAGATCTACTGAAAGACAAGGTCGTCGTTTTGCAGCATGCCTATTATGCCCCTGCTGCAGCTTTTATGGGGTTTATCTTCCCGGCCATAGTAGCGGGGATCTGGGGTGACTGGTAGGGTGGCTTGTTGTATGCTGGCTTTCTCCGGACCCTTTTTGCGACCCAGGCCACATTCTGTGTCAATTCACTGGCCCATTTTCTGGGAGATCAGCCGTTCAGCGATCGACATTCGCCACGGAATCACTGGCTGACGGCCCTGGTCACGATGGGAGAGGGCTACCACAACTTCCATCACGAGTTCCCTTGCGATTACCGGAACGGAGTTGAATGGTACGATATTGATGTCACTTAATGGATCATCATTCTGCTAGAGAAGGCTGGACTGGCACATGGGTTGAAGCGATTCAAACAGAGCGAAATTGAGAAGAGCCGGATGCAGCAACGCTACAAGAAACTTGAGGCTGAATGTAAACGACTTAATCTTGATTGGGGGACAGCCCTACACCAGCTACCGATAATGGAATGGACGGAATACCAAAGCAAGGTAAAACAGGGTCAAATGTTGGTCCTGGTTGAGGGTGTTGTGCACGATGTTTCGGGCTTTTATATGGAGCATCCAGGAGGAGACCTAGTGGTCCGATCTATGGTAGGGCATGATGCAACAGGTGTATTCAATGGAGGGTTATATGATCATTCTGATACCGCAAGAAATATTCTGGCCACTCTCCGTGTTGCCGCCCTTGGAGGCGGGTGCGAGGTGGAGGTCCGCAAGTAGCAACAGTACTTCATATATACCATTGGAACACTTCTAGTATGGTTACCAACGCGTGAAAAGTAAACAAGCCCGGGGCAGAGTGGTCTTTGACCTGATGATGAGCAACCTGAAGGTGTAAAGGAGCGATGATGGTCACGTGTGACATAACTTACTATAAGGAGCTAGAGCAGCTTCCGTAACAAGCGCAGCCTTATGTCATCGAATGATCAAACAAAGTGCACGTGACCTAAGCAAACAAGACAAACATCTCTCGGATAGCCGTAGCATTCTCTTTCGCACAACATAAATTCCTACAACCATTCATCATCTCTCCATTCGTGCGTACTGACATTTACGAGCAATAATGAGTCGCTCAAAAAAAGGATGATTACTAATGAATTCTTAATTCACCATTGAAGACTGTTCTTTTTCGGTGCTGGCTTGTCTAGCCAGCTGTGATCCAGGTGAGCAAATTTAACCAATGCGATCGTCACTCGAGGCATCTTTATGATGAGCAACAAATTTAAAGCATAGTTCACCTGAAAGTCTTGGACTTCATGAACGACAAACATTTACCATCTTTCACCTTTGTCTGATAATCTGTTTTTGGCCTTTTCCATGACATGACATCTTCTTATCTTACCTACGACGAGTGCTAACTTCTCGAAGACATTGACAGGGATCTTGCTGGTTTCCAGCGCGTCCGAATTCATGATGTATGCACCCGCGACAAGTTGGAAGTAGTTAGTCTTTGGTCCAAGCGTTTAGTCGTCTGCATTGCTGCCCAACTCCTAATAGCCAAAACAAATCATAATCCGTTTTCTGCAAGTGCACGTACAGAGGACGTAACGGAAGATAAAAGCATCTATCCGCTTCACTTTCTTTGCGCGATTAATATTGTTACATTCATCCTCTCTCCTTGACTTACAAGAATCCTTGCCCGCCCGTGCTCCGAGTTGCTCAGTAATCACTCGGAGGTGTTGTCGTTTGATCCTATTGAGCGAGTGGTAATCCATTCTTTGCTAGGACAGGTACGTAGCAGAGTACGTGTAGTCAAAACCGGATCCGAGTTTATGTCTCGTCAGTTCGTGGATCAACTACTACGTAGTGGACTCAGAGGACTGGACCTTGTGTTGTCCCACGCATCCTGTTTGAAAGTGAAGCAATCCGCAGCCTGCTGTAAGCGGAGTTGCATATTCACAGCCGTGTGTGCAATCGATTGGTTTCGGTTGCTCCTCTGGAAGCCTCGTCACTGCAAAGCCAACTGTACTGTCATGAGGCAGGCGTGTGCTGTGTCCATCGAGTCGTCGTATCGGAAGGAAGCATGGCGTAAGACTGCGACGACAGTGGGGGTAAGGACGTCATTAACTGGACGAGATGAAACGAGCTGCTCACCGCTTCGTGCGCGTCTCATGTTTCTCGAGTGTAACCGAGTCAAGACTAGGTGGTGCGGTAGTCTGACTGGATGGGCTATTTTGGCGCTATGCGGTGTTATCACACAGCAGAKCCAAACAGAGACGGCCATCACAGCCATTGCCAGCGCTGTCTGGGACGCTGGCCCACCGCGTGCCGGGCCGCCCCTTCCCACTATTCCCGAACCAAGTCAACTCCTTCCCAACTTGCCAACCCATCTTTCCCAGAAAATCCATTAAAGCCCAACCTTCCCCCTACTTTTGTCTCCTAACTCTTTTCTCTTTTATTTCATCACACACACATACACAAACAGCGACATTGATACCCAACTTACTCATCACATTTTGGACTAATCCTCATTCTTCTTTAAACATATCTACCATTCCCACGCCACATCTCACTCCTAACAACCACCAATCTTCAACCCTATTACGCGACCCGAGGATATCTATTACCATAAACCATATTCCACCAGGACAAACACGACCCAAAATTCCCAGGACAGGATCATTGTTTTGCTTGTTTCTCTTTAGTTTCTTGCCGAGGATCTAGATAGACAACATTTATACGACCACAGAACGCATCAGGTAGACCCAGTCCCTTTTCTTTGCTGCATTGCTTTTTTTGCTTTACCGTCGCTTCCGGACCTGTACTGCTCACTCATGTACTTTTGGCCTTGTTGAGTTTTTCCCGCCAATGGACTGCTCCTGGATCTCTCCTCGCTTTTTGCTTGGACTTTCATCGGCTCGGTGCTGTGAGAAATGAGTGCCAGCACCAGCCGTCGACCTGTTTATGCCGAGGATTTTTGCCAATACCCGTGGATTTTTTACCTGGATGGAACCCTTGACACCCGTCGAGCGGTATGGAGACCTTGTCTCGAAAGCTTAATGATGGCAATCGATGACCTTTATACACTACAGAAATTACTGGATTATATGGCCTAATCGAATCCAGTGTAAGGATGGACTGTACTTGCAATACCTGGATCTTTTCTCCCTTGGACGTTGGCTTTTTCTGAAAGGACCATTCTGATTTCCATACCTGGCATGGGCCGCATTTCCTTCTGATACCCTCTGGATTTCTACGGAGCCTTAATATCTGGACTTTTGATTTCCTTTACGACAACTGGATCAACATGCAGCCGGCCACATGGACCTATCTCTTAGCTGCTTTCTGACCGGGATGTTGTCTCTGACATCGACAATACTGCTTGATGCTGCAGTATTCTTGTACTACCACAAGGATGAACCTAGGAATTTTTGCGATCTCTTATCCTGGCCTTTCCCTACTTCTGTGCATATACATCGCGACCATGGCATTTACCAAAAGATCGACAAGACATTCTGGATCCAAGTTTCCTCAACATAGCTTCACCGGAGACGAACGTGGCCCACTGTTTATCAAATCAGTTATCAGTCAACCTAAAACTGGTACCCTGGCCTACATGGAATCCGGACCACCTCCCTGGCACCAAACATCATGTATGACAGGCTCACCCCTTCGTATTGAAGTAAATGCTAATTCCCTCTAGCTTCATGCGAAACTACCTGGACCCTTTGAGCGACGAATTTTTTCTTGTTTTATGCTTTATTCTCTTCCGCCGATCGAATACTGACTTGACTCCTCGTAATGTTTAGTGCATACATTGAGCTTAACAGTTCTCTGTTGTTTCATCTACTCTCCACCTGACAATTTTCGAAACCAGAATGGGATCCGAAAACATGGCCACCACACTGCACAACATGAACAAATGCCGTTCAAGACATACCTCTTCACTTCAGGATATAACTGCCATTTCAAGGACACACCAGGATGATGAAATTTCCCAGGATCACTTTTCTTTATCTTCAACTATTCCTCACAGCCAAGACATGGACCAGTGGACATTAAGCACATCAGACTCTATGGAATCCAGCCCAATTGGTACTCAGCCAGAGACTCCAGAGGTTACCATGCTCTCATATTCCTTTTCACAGCAATTAATTCCTGGTGCCACGGGGATCAATGACTCAGCTGCCATGTTCCACTCACTATCTGACATCCAAGCTGCCGGTGGCCTTGGTGAACACACCGAAATGGACTACTCACACCCCCACCACTTTGCTCAGGCTTTTGCTTCTTCCTTGTTTGAGTACAACTACGAAAATGACGAGGCTACTCAGAGGTGTATGCATGATGATTCTGCATCTTTGGGTCACAACTCGCCCCATGAAGATGGCCAATTGTTTTCCACACAGGACACGTGGAATTTGACCTTGGATACTACGAATCTTGTTGGAGCCCAGTACGACCAGATCTCGCACATCTACTCACCACCCGTTTCCCCTCCTCTCACCGAGGCCAGCCAGGTTTCTGTAACTTCTGCATGCTCTCAGCCAGCTTACTACCAAGTCAATGAGGAGAAGATCAACATCCAGGACTCTTTCCATCCCATGTCACCTCCTTTGAATGACCAGGACCCAAACAGGTTTGTACTTTCGAACTCGTGGATGGGTGGCCGAGTACTTACGTCTCATAGGACTATTAGACCTACGAAACAAAGTCAGCGACCATTGCTGTCGGCGTCTTCTACTCGACCTACCAGGAAGTCCGATCCAGAAGCCTATGCCTTGCCAATTGGAGAATCTGTTCCAGGAGCCAAGGATAAGACTGAAGTCAGAACACCTCGGGATCACCCTTATTACTCATTGTCGACCCAAAGCGATGGAAAATACTACTGCCCTTTTGCCACTGGAGAGAACCCTTGCAACCATACACCGACCACCCAGAAGTGTGCTTACCAGTAAGTTTTGTGATCCTGTCTCGAAGATACGTTACTGACTAGGAATTAGCAAATACTTGGACTCCCACTTGAAGCCATATAGATGTAAGGTGGCTACTTGTGCTGCTCAGAATCTGCACTTTTCTTCCAACGCTTGCCTCTTCCGTCATGAACGTGAAGCCCATGGATTCCACGGCCACGGAGACAACCCACACCTTTGTTTCTACCCAGGATGCGAGCGAGCCGTTCCGGGATATGGATTTCCCCGCCGCTGGAACCTTTTTGACCATATGAAGCGGGTACACGATTACACTGGATCCGAACAGCCTAGTTCCCCCGAGTCCAATGCCGTTGGCCAGGTCCTCAAGAAGAAAGACTCCGCCGGTGTGCGCAAGAGAAAGGTCACCAAGCCCGTTTCCGCAACTACCATGAAGAGGACCAAGTCGGCTTCTTCCCAGAGCAACGCTGTAAAAGTCAACCCTGCCCAGCACGAACAGCGCCTACGAAATGCGGAGCAGAACTACTACGACTGCCGCACTAGACTGCTGGAGAAGCTTGCCAGCATCAAACCCGAAGACACAGTCATGCATGAGAAGGCCAACGCTAGTCTCCAGGAACTCATCACTCTCGGCTTGAATTACCGCCAGCTCGAGGCCAGCTCCGCTGCTACTACATTCTCCAACGTCTGAAATACATCGCGTGGATCTTTTACTCAATTTTAAATTTGGAAGTTCTCTTTCCCACTGGATCCGTACAGCCCAGAACGTCCCTGGATGCCATTTAGGCAGTCACTGGTTGCAGGCTTATTGGTATCAACGCATTCCGCACATAGATAGGATCCTGGTCTATCGCCATGGAATGACAACTGAATTCGTCTGCCGACTGAGGATGGCCCGACACCGTTGTGTCGCCAGCGCGAAAGTGGTATTCAGAGCCCTTGCTCGAAACCGCATTGCAGTACTTCTTGCTTCGCATCTTGCTCTCGGAATCCCTGGGATTTCTGATATCTTCTATTTATCAATCAGAAGCATTCTTGTTTTGAAATTATCAGATGTATACATTTTGGAAGTTACAATCATGTATAGTTTAGAGTCGGATACTGTGTTTTTTGCATGTATTTGGCCGAGATTCTTGTACGCTCGCCTGTAGCGAGGAAACATTTATTTTTGGCGCGTTTGGGTTTCCTTTCGTTTTGTTTCGAGATATATTTCCGGGATTTGGAGGACTTTTGTATACAGATGTGAATATAGACATCTTTGCGAGCGGAAAAAACAGAGGAGCGATCCAGGAGGACTTTTGATATTCAATTGTTATTGTCGTTATTTATACCTATGGACTGTGTCTGTCTAGCTTTTGAACCTTAACACAAAAAAGATTATTTTTTTTGTATTCATTTCATCTATCTAGAAACCTACTCAGGCGTATTCCCCGCCAACTCAAAATTCAGAAACCTTACAAACGCATCGCCAATCTGTTCAGCGCCCAACGCACCTTTGGCCTGCTTGTTTGTCATACCACTATACGTCCTATTCTGCGAAATCCACTGTCTGCGCAACCGCTGCAGACGGGGCAGCGTCAACAGTCCGCCTGCACCCGCGAGATCATCCGTGGGCGCACTGCGGACGATATGCGCTGGGATAAAGACTGGAATTGTCGCGTCGGGAACGCTGATTGAGATCCCCTCTTCATCTCCTCGTTTCACGCCTCCTTCCTGCTTAGTGGACTGCGCGAGTGCGGCTTCGGCGGATGGTGTCGAGGACGTATAGTTTCGTATGGCTGCTACGATCGCTGAGGTTTTCTTTTCGTAGTTGTATAGGGCGCCCGAGTCGGTTTGGGTGGGGAGAACGGTGGCTTGATGCGATTTTATGCGGGGGCGGCCTAGACGGCCGCCGTTGAGGGCTTGGGTATTTGTTGTGCGGATTGTATATGCTATGCTTGCTGTGTCTGATGCTTGTTGTTGTATCGCTGCTGTCAATGGGGAGGGTGAAGGGTTGTTTGGGTCGGTATGCAGCAGAGCTGCTATGGGACTTATTGTGGATGTAGGTGTCGTTTCGGGGGCGTCGGAGAGGAAAGTCTTTTCTATTTCGATGCCGGTCGCGGCTGTCCATATCTCCTCGACTGGCGGCCTGGCGTCTGACCATGGTACGGTGAATAGGGGCTTGTCCCAGCGACTGTGGGTGCTAGGTTCTTCGTATCTGAAAATGAGGTTTTGGTGTAGGTCGGATGGATAGGGTTCTTCGGTGTCGGGTTCGGCGAGATCGTCTGTTGTCGCGTTTGTTTCTGGGAGCGTATCTTGGGCGGATTGTTGGTTTTTAAATCGTGAGTTGTTGATTGCGACGCATTTGTCAATTGGGGTGCCGATATGTACCTTCAACATGGTCAGTCATGATCGATCATCTCGCTTGAGATGGACTCACAACACAACACGTTGTACCCACAGCCTTGGCCTCACACCATAACTGATACCGATACCCCTTGATATAATTCATTCCATCCAAAATCACGAACGCATCTTTTGCCAATGCGCGCTTGACTCGCGCATATGCCACCGCTCGCGCTTCCTTCTCTGTTCGCGCATGGTCGTAAACCGTGCGAGGATGACCGGGGTCGTGAGAGGGGACTATATGAAATGTAAACCGCTTTTGTTTCGACTTTTCTTGGTTTCCGTCGTCTCCGGTGGCGTTGTTCTCATTGTCGAGGGCGTCGAAGAGTTGGGTTTGGGTTTCTTCGAGGAGTTGGGCGAGTTGTTTGGCGCGATACGATAGGCCCGAGCAAGGGTATCCGGTTAGAATAATCAGCTAGAGGATGTGAGTATATGAGCGCAAGTAAGTGATGTTTGAGACTCACAGGCATGGTTTATCAAGACTCATGAGGATTGGCGCATTGCATTGATAGTTGTTCTTCAGACACAAGATTAGGCTGCTGATGACTTTTTTTTCCTCCCCGCACTGTATGTGCCCCACCCCCGAGCTTCCCTCTAGTTATACTCTTTCCCCCTTGCAACATCTTTACCGGTCATAGCAATTCAATTATGATCCTCTTATTGCATGAATTAATTTATCGGGCTTGTTTTCAAGCGTTTGTTTCAAGGAAATAGCATCCAGGAGACTGATCGGGTGGATGTCTAGCTCGTCATTATATCTATGACGAAGCGAGTTTGTGTCTAGTATTTCTGTACACTCCCAATCCGAGCTCATGAAATACAGTCCGGTCTTTCCGTAACTTAGACCTGTGCAGAAGTCCAAAGACCGCACAACGAGTATGAAAGACGTCCAAGAAATGCAGACAACTGGGGGTGGCCTCAGGCAGAACGGAACATCCAAACACAGCAAACCGTCACCTTTCTTTTCTCCAAAACAAATCCTCCACTCGGTGATAATCCACTAGATCCTGCTTAGTGGATCCCGATCAAAAATTCGCAATTCTCTTTGCCCAGCGAATTTCCTATTTCAACTCTCAATGGAAGGGACGGGCGGAGTTTCCTCGTCAGTGATGGGTCTCTTTACGAATCCACGTACGACACACAGACAACGCCCCTGAACTTCGGATGCCGCGGCTGACCTACGTGTCTTGTCTCGGACACGGACAAAGTCATAAAGCTCGACAGAAGTGACAGGAATTCTTATTGAATAGGAAACTTCCTGTAGGATTCCGTGGGTGTGCTACTTGGACTTTTACGGACACCTCAGTACTCTCCCGGGTGTGGTGAGGCTTGCTCCGCTGTTTCAATGTTGACTAGCTCGGGTTGTACATAAATTGCAGCTTGGCGTGTTTCCACTTATAGTCATAGACTCACAACATCTGAGAGTTTCGCTTGAGGGACAGGCCGGTCAGCACTGCCATATGTTGGTATGTTGGTATGTTGGTAAAGAGTGTTGATCTGGCCTATCCAAGAATGGAGGATGGATGAAGTTAAAATACGATCTCCATAAGCTAAGCCGCAACTTGTATAGTCGCTCTATTTTTGGCTCCTTTTTCGATTCATTCGATTTACTACGGAGTAGTACGTACTACATACAATGTACTATGTACAACTCCTATGTACTCCGTACGTAGTACCAACGTAAATATATGACATGTAAGTTATACTTGTGTACAGTTCGCCACTGGACTAGGTAGATGAGAGAATCGAGTGCAAGAAGGTTCAGCCTCTAGAAACGTCTATCCGGAGAGTTCCTGTCATGACCCAGCATTCTGATACTTAATACTAGTAATTAATGGTACTAAAAAAATAAAGTAAGTCTCCACAGCTCATTAAATGTTTTCTAGAAATAGAATATTGTAGAATAGTGTGAACTAGAGAACTGCAAACTAAGCCATACTCAGACTTTGGTTGGTGTGAACCTGTCATTTGGAGATCAAAGATCCCACTGATAATCTGGCCAGTCTAGCTCTTATAACGACATCTCTCACCCTTGTGTAGTTTCTTTCTGTATACTCAAGTCAGACTGTTCTTTTGCCTCTTCACATGGAAAATGCATGTTTCAGACTCATCCTCTATGGAGCACTTGTTGACGCGGCAATCCCCATCACTCGTCTCAGCATATCCAATTGACCTGTAGAACCACGCCATTAATCATGATCACATCATTTAGTGGACCCTGAATTTGTGTTTGCTTACTTTCTCCTTTTTCTTGCAGAAACTTGCTTGAAAGACACCGAAATTTCGCCAATATTTTTCATGACCCACTTGTTCGATATTGAGTGCAAAGCACCTGTCTGAGCAATGGCTGACGAGTCCGAGACCATGATGTCCGCCACACTCCGATTCCCGTTTCAAGCCTCGCTGGATGGATATTGCATGGTGGAGACTGATGGTAATCTTTATTATGGACTGGACATCTCGCTTGAGCCTGCTGAGTTGCCAGCACAAGATTGTTCTCATCCAAGTTCAGAACCGGATACGCACTTAGGGTTAGGGTTGGATTCTGATGACGATCCCGAAGACGAAGATAAACAGCAACAAGAGGAACAACCATCGGAATCGAAAGCTTTATTACATCCGCCGTGCTGGGATAGCCAGGTGAAGAGCCAACAGCAGGAGCAGGCACCAGACGTGGCGCCACGGCCGGTCTCAATCGTGATGCATCCACATCGAATCGACACCTCTGACCGACAACGGTTCGCCACGGATCACGAAATGGCAGCAGCAGAAGAGGTAGAAGAAGAGAACATAATCTGCGAATCGCCGTCGTCGAGCACGCTAGACGAGACAGAAGCCGAAGAGTCAACGATACGAGTATCCGCACCTTCCAGCAGCGTGCAGCGACTCATCCCTTCTCGATACTATGCAACCCCCCTGATCGAAGACGATCTCTTATCGACGCCCGTCGCAGTATACGGCCTCGAGAAACCTTCGGGCCATGTACMAAAGAAGAAAGCMCCTGCCGTGTTGAGGCAGAGAGGGAGTCCGGGGGCGGCACAAGCTCGGCCTTCGTCGAGACATCAGCATCAACCGTCAGCATTTTCGTCGACTGATAATCGGTCAGAGGAGCGAACCAGGCCCTCTACGTCATCTACAAGGAGACTGTCAATGTTTTTGGGGAGAACACCTACACTAACCGCGGCGTCTTCAACTGGTGTGAGCAGACCAACTATCGGATCAATATCGTCGTCCGGGTCTTCGGCTACTACTGCAACAATGAGGTCAGCAGTATCTGCTGTCAGTGATGTCTCCGCTGCATCCTCGATATCTACTTCCTCTTCGCCTACACTGGTAGACACAAGCCAGAAACCAACGTCGTATTCCCCATCTACGACCCCAGACCTGGCCCAGACATCATCATTCGTACGCCCTGTACAACCACTCCGAAGCACGACAAGCCCTATTCCAACTTTTTCCTCCGACTATACCCCAAAGATAGGAGGAGACGCTCGCCGAAACTCTGTCTTTAACTTCTCCATGCCCAAACTCTCGCCCATGATGCACCATCGAGCCGGTATCCAGAGCAGCGAGAACCTTACCACAATCCGCGCAGTTCGGGATGACGATCAAGTGACCATAACCAATCACCCACTCCATGACCCATCTCCAGAGGCCTCTTCACCATCATCATCAAAAGAAATGCCGTTCTCGCCAGATAGTTTCGTCTCACCTCATACAAATGCCACTCCCCAGTCCCACAACACAACCACCAATCCGCCCAGCGACAGCATAGCATACAACAACACAACCTCCTTCTCACAAATCAACAGACCTCACACAAGCCACCATGACCAAAGACCTCCGCCAATCCCACATACGAAAAACGAGCAACAGCCTCCACATTCCAAACTACGAAAGCTGAAGAAGTCAGACCACCAGCAGCATAGAGCCACGAAACTGTTTACGAGGATATTCGTGACGGATATTAAGCAGAAAGCCTGATTCTCTCCTTGCAGCGGGCCGAAATACTAAGGTCCAGCTGTATCATATATGTTCATAATGATCCACTTCTATTACTTCCTTTTTCCTCACCTTTTTTTGGTCTCTTGTCATTGCCTTTGTGGGCCAATAATTTTTGTCGCATGTACCATTCTCTCGGCGTTGGGTTTGTCAGGTTTTGAATGTCCCTTGGAAACGAGGTTGACGAGGTTCATCATTGGAGTTCTTGTACTGAAAAATAACCAGACAGCTTGACACTGAGTACCCGCTTCTGGAGGTATGTTAATCAAAAAATGCATTTCAAAATCATAAGGATTTGATTATATCGTATAATATCAAAAGGGCAAGAAAAGACAGGGGAATATTTGTAGGTATACATAAAGTCAATAGCAAACATGTGTAAATTTATCGTCAGAAATAAGTCAGATCCAAAACGCCGTCGTAAGTCATGCAACCCCCTCTCCAAGTAAATCAATCATAGTATGGAAATCACAATCGTTAATCCGACATAAACGCCAGTGCTGATCCAAACCCGGAAGGAGAAATCTAGTGCAGATAACATCAAAGAGTAATAGACTCCATCTCCGTCATCACCGCGTCCATTTGTACCCGCTTCACGGCCTCCGCGACAAGTGTAAAGTCTTGCAGGAATGGTGCCGTGGCTGCGGGACCGCCTAGAGTCATTTGTCCCGGTTGTACTTGGGCCTGTGTCGGGAGTATGGTATTCATGTTTTGTTGTGCTTGTGCGTGTGCGTGGGCTTGCGTGTCGGCGAAGAGATGTTGCTGCTGTTGTGCTTGTTGGCCGATAAACTGGCCTGGTTGAGCTTGAAATTGTTGCGCTTGTCCGCTTTGAAATGTGGATTGTGTTGGTAGGAACGAGGAAGAGGAGACTCCTGTCGTCGACGTTGTTGTCGAAGTACTTCCTGCGCCGGTCGTCGCGGTACCGGTCGTCGACGATGTCGGATAGAATGACGGCGCAATCTGCGGTTGCGCCGAGGAGCGTAGGTTATACCGATTGTTATTCATCGTGATTCCGAATATATGAGTATGAATCGGCTGTGAAACAAGCGACTCGATTCTTGATCTTGAGAGTGATCTCACAGTAGGCTGATTACGCGCTTGTGGCGTCTATGACGATTGACCCGGCACAAGTACCAAGCACCAAGTACCAAGAACGAAAAGTCTTATTGGCAAATTCCACCCTTTGAGCCAAAAGCCAATTATGAATAATCACGGACGAGCGAATTAGGTGAATTGGTAGGTCGATGCGAACGGGGGGTGTGACTTTGCAATGATCAAGGATGGCGTTCTTGTTCGGACGGAAGGCCCGAAGAGTAACTGTCCTCAGGACATGGACGTACTATTTATCGTAAATGGGTGGATGATATGCACTCCGCAATGATCGGCGTCCTCTGGTCAATTTCGTTCTTTGGGGTCCCTTTCTGCGACTTTCCCACTGGAGTGATGAGTCTGCGGGGAAGTAGCTAGAATCAAAGAATGAAAGAGAAAGTGATGCAAAGGAGCAAGCCGAACAGTCGATGATAAGCACAAAAACTTCCCCTCTGCTGTATGTATCGTATCGTATTGAGGCTGTAATATCCCCCGCACCACGTGAATTCTCCGCTGATTTTGCTGGATGATCGAGTGTAACGGCATTGTAACGATACGGCTTCTGACAAACCGACGGGGCCTGCAATCTGATCGACGAGCACGTGACTGCATCAAGTGGATGCCCTAGGAGCCAATCAGAGCTGTAAGTCGCAATTATTCTTTTAGCGGATTAGCCTCCAATATTTATTGTCTTCTGCTCGATCACGAGAGCTTCACCGAGCATTACGCTATCTATACAGCCACGGCAACTAGCATGGCCGACAACCACAATGACGACGACCTCGGTGCAGGCAACCTCTTCGCCGACCCAGAGGGCTTCTACCCCGAGGAAGAACAGCCCACCTTCTCCTCGCACCAGATGCTATCAGGACAGACAATCCGCGTGCGCCTAGTCGGCAGCCATCCTCTCTACGTATGCGACTTCTTCCTCTTATCAAACAATCCCAACTGATGATCGTATGGAGGGTAACATGCTCTGGAACGCCGGACGCATAAGCGCCGAATACCTCGAACAAAACGCCCCGCGCCTCGTCGCGAACAAAAACGTACTCGAAATCGGCGCTGCGGCAGGTGTGCCCAGTATCATCGCCGCGATCAAGGGCGCGCGCACAGTCGTTATGACGGATTACTCTGATCCAGATCTGGTGGATAACATGCGCCGAAACGCGGATGCCGCTGCGCCCATGATTCCGGAGGGTTCACAGTTGCATGTCGCGGGATATAAATGGGGCGCAGATACTGATGAAATTATGTCTTTTTTACCGGGCGATAGTACTACGACAAAGGCATTTGATACTTTGATTATGGCGGATGTGGTATATAGTCATCGCGAGCATCCAAATCTCATCAAGACGATGCAAGAGACTTTGAAAAAGTCGAGGGATGCTGTGGCGTTGGTTATATTTACGCCGTATCAGCCGTGGTTACTGCCCAAAACAGAAAAATTCTTTCCTCTGGCGGAGGAGAATGGGTTTGTGGTGACAAAAGTCTTTGAGAAGGTTTTGGATAAGGTCTTGTTTGAGGATGATCCTGGGGTATGCCTTTGCCATCACTTTTACGTTTAATATGTCTGACTTTGATAGGATGAAACACTCCGTCGCACCGTGTTTGGATACGAGATCCGATGGGCTGAAGAAAATTTATAACGTGACGCTTGAGACATGATGATATGTATAACGATATCCCAAAAGTTTATAGACTTGTATCTCTCCATCTTTTTTTGTGTCATCACATGACAAACAGCAAATGTACATCTGTGTACGTCAGTATATGCTTGCATACGCACAGCTGGAGACTTACCCAAAGGATGACTACAACTCAATTGCGGCTTCTGCGAATAATTCCTTTCCAATTTCGCTCTGATATTGTTCAGCAGCTGCAGATAGCTCTGTTTTGGATATTGTCGCAACGTCTCAATGAAAGCCCAACTCAGGGCCCCTCTGGCTTGTCCGCCTTGGAATGTATCGGCGCTGCAGTCATGTCAGTTATGTGTCTCCTTGGGGTTACTGAGCGGCTTACGAAGTCTGCGTATCTTTTGACCCGGAAAACATTACCACATCCGCAGGAGAGGTTTTTGTCATCATCCTCCTCTCACGCGCCGAATCGCCAATGGAGGCTTTCTTGAAGAATCCGATGGCCGTTTGGGCAACGCCGCCTAGATCGCCTTTTCCATATGCGGTGAATGCACTAAAGAGGTCTTGGGCTGCTTCTTTGGCTAGATTTGGTTCTTTCAGTACGCCCTATTACCTGTTGTAAGCTTAATCCGTTTCCAAAATAAGGCAGATACCTAGAATGAGGCGGACATACCTGAGTAGAGTAGATGAATGGGAGGTCTAGGGCAGTTCCCGAATGGCACGAGTCGAAGATAGCTGTGAGTCGCACGCCGGGTCGTAGTGGTTTGACCCTGATCCATGATTTAGATAAGTATTCCTTGAGTGGTTGATGTATACATACATTATATCGTGCATGTCATCATCCACGATATGACCTGCAACTTTGTAGTCGACCGGATAGATGACATCGTCGAATCCTAAAATTCTTCAGCTATCTTTTCATAATTTCATGTAATGGATATTACCATCATCTTCGTCACCATCCAAATCTGGTGTCCGACCCCCATGTCCTGCAAACCATTAGCTACGGTATGGACGAAATGAAAGGAGAGATACCCGAAAAATGAATAAACAACGAATCATTCGGCATCGCATCCTTGACCAACCAATGCATCGCTCGAATGATATTTGCCTTCGTCGGCTGACTCATCGGATTACTTTGATCATCCGTCAGTATCACCATATCCTCCCGACGATAGCCGTAGGCACTGTTGAGATAAATCGACATTTGCGTCACATCGTTGATGCATCCTTTCAGCTGGTTGGCCTGCCCAAAGTAGTTGATACCAATCAGTAGTGCTTTCCGCTTTCCGGAGCAATTAGAGTACTGGAATTGGTAACTCGAAGGGGCGCCGTGGCCGAATGATTGGGGTGTTTGAGGGGGTGTTGGTGGTAAGGATGTGTATGGAGGAGGGTAGTTTTCTGTTCGGTACGAATGCTCGGTTAATGACTTCATTGTGTGGTCTGATAAAGGAACTAGTACTTACGATGTGGCGGCATAGGACTGGATACTGAGCTAGGTCGTGGACTAGGTCGAGGACTAGGCCGTGGAGGCAGTGCGGGTGTAGATGTAGAAGGCAAAGTGTTCACTCGGTGAGGCTGTGGAGGAAGACTGTGCGGTCTATCTGGTGGAGGACTATACATTGTTTAATGTCTGTCTGCTGTCTAGCGCTTTACATGGTACTTACGGAAATGTTGCTGGTCTATGTGGATAACCATTTAGCATTGGAGGCGGTCCGGGAGGTGGTCTATGATGCGCTGAGGGTGGTGGTCCAGGAGGTGGTCTATAGTGCGCGGAGGGCGGTGGTCCAGGAGGTGGTGCATATTGTCCATGATGAGGCGGATGTCCTACTCCCCAACTAGGAGGAGGATATGGCGGAGGAGKATAATAGCCATGGGGATACATGGGTATAGCTTCAACCGATAGCACGGCGTAGCAAGTCACCAGCTTATGACAGTCCGTGCGAAGAAAGAAAGCTTGCACAGACACCAGTGGAAAGCAAAGTCAGTGCCCTATACCAGCTGAATAGAAATCCTCAGCAAGCTAGACGTTTTGAAAATTATTCGTCGAGAACAAGCTGTAGAGTGGGTTCGAAGGTCATAGTCAATCTCCTTGTCTCAGACTATTGAGGCTCTTTGCTGAAATAGTCTAAAATTTATGTCAATGATCAGAATATAGCCCACGCTCGTCGAATACTAACCGACAAATTAGACGCTGGGCCTCTATATAACGAGCCCAATGGCAGGCTGGACCAAGTACGGACCCCGCTGGTCTCGAGATGGAGATTGTGCGCAAATCTGTTGGTCAATTGACTGGAGTACAGCGTATGTACGTATATTCGCCGCGTAGAAGATGACTCGGGATGTACGTAGTCGAGTCGCGTGCGCTCCACTAGGTTGCTCATGAAAAAAGCAGCAGCACGGCTGATTTGATTGATGCAGAATGACTGTTGGAGATGGAAGTTCTTTCAGCCGCACAGATTACGTGGCTGTCAGGTGACGCGATCCGACGCCCCTGCCTCGGCTTGCCACTCTTCCACACTTCTACTCCGTACAGCTTCTATGTTGTCCTCGACGAGACCTAATACTCATCATTCTATCTATACGATTTTGGGTATGACAAAGGGCACATATACAGGTTTTACCACCGGACCAGCACCAATGGCTTAGGCTTTGGTGCCTTAACGGCAACCGTGGTTAGCGGTGGACCCCAACATTTCGTGTCGACGCCCTAAAGCAGCCAAAAGCCGAGACAGAGAATATCGAGTCAACACGGCATAAGATCGTTTCTTGAATTCAATGTTCTATACTATAGTCTATATCTACTGACCAAACACCTTGACACGCTCCTCAAGAGGCTTGGTGGTCTTATCCAGCGGACCGCCAACGGGCGTACCAAAGACCAACTGAGCCTTGAGCTTCCAGTCCTTGGGAAGGTTGTATTCCTCCTTGATCTTCTCGACAAGCGGGGGCAAGAAATTATAATGCTGCAGGCTAGCGCCGAGGCCTTCTGCTGCGAATGCCGTCCAGACTGTTATCGAGTAGATTAGTGTGCCGTCTTTGAAGAGGGCTCTGAGAAGAAATAGAGAACGTACCGGCCAATTGGTGCATTCCGGATGAAGTATCGGACCACTCGGTGATGAAAGGAGCAACAGCAGCGTGCTGGGCTGCCAAAGCAGTCAAATCGTCATCGGCTTCAAAGAACAAGACCTGATCGCACAATTAGTTATCACATTTGACTACCATTACTATATAACACGACTCGTATGTTACGTACCGAACCGTATCCGCCTCGGAAGCCCGCAATTCTAGGGCCAAGCGACTGGTAAACAGCATCCGGCAAGGCGCTCTTGACGAATTGATCTGCAGTATCCCAGAATTTCTTGTGCTCGTCCTTGAGGAGAATGACTGCGCGCGCGGATTGTACGTTGAATGTACTCGGAATGTGCTTGATGGCCTTGGTTACAATTTCCTCAATGCGCGAGTCTGGGATGGGAGAGGCGTCAGAGATGCCGTAGATGGTGCGGCGGGCAATGAGAGCGTCGAAGAAAGGGTCGGAAGCCATTGTGTTGACTAAGTAGTTGATCGGCTGTTCGATTATTGATTTCTCTAAAAGGTTTATTCGATTGTTGCTGTTGTTGTCCTGATCCTACAAGCAGGTGGGATATCGAGGGGTATTTAAATCAGTCGAAGACAACTATTCCTGTACCTGTCCATATCGGCGAGTCGGACGGTCAACTAGAACTCACTAACTGACTCTAAATCAATACTATAATTAGTCTACCAATCCAACATCAGTAAGCACCGACAAAGGTGCTTAATCGGGGTTATCTCCAACAGAACATGGAAACTGAAAGAATTGATGGTACGAGCATGACCAATCAGCGGCGCAGGATATTTCGTCAACGTTTGCTAGCAACAACGTTAAAAAATCCTCATTAATCAGCCGGGGATTGCTAACTCCCGGTGCTGCGCACTAGTTAATGTGGAACGGTGATTTGCAATTATAGCGCCTTGATTTCCAATGCTTGCAAATCCGTAGTGTAATTCGGGTGACTAGTAGACTAATCACGTGGTAGGTAGGTATTCGTGAGTCTCGTGCTCAGTAACTTAGTTGCGGTACAGTCGGTAGAAGAGCCGTCCGACAATTATTTATTAGGGTTACAGCACGGAATACGGAATTTGGGCGCCGACCTTAACCCCCGTACGCAAACTACTGCAGAATTGGAATTGGGGTTAGGGTTAGATATCTACATCGGCGCCCGGCAAAACATTCCCCGACTGTGTCTGAGTAGAGGCCATCTAGTGGTAGTAACCACCACATTTCTATCTGATAGGTACTAATCAGAGGAGGAGAACGTTATTTTGTAGATTTTAAGGTGTTGTTACAAGTTGCATTATGTATTTACCAAATGCCAGGGGTGCGGCTTGACAGATCAATTCGCAAAAGAGGGGTACCTTGTCGCCTTAACTTTCAGGCTTCAACTGGTGTCTATAAAAGAGCGCCATTGACCACAACCACCCTCCTTCATGCATCAAGCTTGCTTCACTTATTTCCTGATGCGACATGCATATACTTATCACATCTTATCAATCGGCGTTCATCCGATTGGCAACGTGTATATATTGAAAGAGGGGGAGCATGGGCTGCCGAGTGTGCCTTGTGGTGCTAAGTTACCGGTTTGAAGTATCCCACGACACTCAAAATGCTTGCTGCACGTCATTGAAGTTGAAGTTACACACACTGTAGTGCAAGCAGTTCGATTCAAAAGCCTACTACGACCCAAGGGGATTTAATGATAAGATGGTCTGGTCTTCAACACCAATATGACCGGATGTACCTAGCTTACAGCCGTGCGGAATTTTGCCTAGGTATTCATTGATTGAGGAATAGCAATGAGGCTACTCATGCTGGTGTCATTTCCAACGCGACTACTCCGTAGAGCTTTGAGACGGTCAATGTATGAAAATTGATAGATCAGGCTCGACTCTCATTGTTCACCGGTTTCAGTGCATAGGTCTAATGCGGGGAACTACTAGTAGTATGCACAAGAATCGGAATTCATTAAGATTGATCGACTAGCAGTGCATTCCATTCATTGTTCTCGCATTTTCTCGATTAACAAGCGAAGATCATGACACATGGCTGGTCTCTTTGGAACTGTGGCTGCGCTGGGCCCCAAAAAGGCAAACAAGTGCAAGACAAGGCTCATTCGAAATGCCTGAATACGAGGCAGGGCAGACCCCGATGTAAGAGACCAATTACCTATTGGAAACACGTCGGCAACATCGGATAGGGGAATGTATAGACAAATGGGAAATGTTGCAGCGAGTGGCCAGATAGGGAAATTTCTAGAGCGAATAACGCGCAATTCCTCTTTGAGGAATGGGGGTAGGTACTGTAACAGTACTGGCCAAAGAAGAGAAAAAGAGAGAGGGCGAGACGAGAGCCGCATGAGACTTTTGGAATAAAAAACGCTAGTACGAATGCGTACGTAGAACTATGAGGCTGAGCAGCCCAGAGGGGGATGCCGCGTATTGTAAATACTGGTAATATTACGCGACGGCCAGGCCTACATTTTTCGAGGAGGCTCTGTTCAGCTGTTGCTTCATTCATCACTCCTGGTTTGACGTCAGGAATCCGTGCTGTTCTTTTTTGCTTGACCAATGACCTATTTCTCTCTTCTTTATCTGCGAGTCATTTTGGGGCCGCCAAAAATGAGCAGACTGAAACAGGAACCAACCCCCTGCTTCATACATGTAAGCAACTACGAATTATCATTTTTCAGCCTTGTCAGATGGGGTATGTACGTATACAAGGTTTGCCATCCCACGATAATTGCTCCAAATAAGCGTGATTGAACCAGATTACGCGCAGACTTGAAAAGGTGGATCTTCCACAAGGATCAAAGCTCGAGACTGCTATCATTCGTGACCGCTGGATGATTCACTCTTTGAGCCGCATAGAATCTTTCCGCCACCACTACGTACGTTCTTAGGAGTTTTCCACGATAGTCTGATTAAGAGCCTCAATTCTTTAATTTTTGTATATTATTGGCCGCTTTCACGATACCCATTTTCCGGCCTTCCTGTTGCACAACAGTAAGATTCAATTACACGGACACCGACAACAGGTCTGTGCTTACTTGTTTCAATTGTTACATTGGGATTTATCTCCGTTCCAGATCACTTATATAACCAAAGTCGTTTGTCATTTCATTTGAATAGAGCAAACTTCAATGAGTGTCAGGTAGTACGGCTCCGAACTGTGGTGTGTTCTTCGTCGGGTGCGTGTGCCAGCATATCAGACCGCCATCTCGGCTCGTCCTTCGACATCAAAACTTCATCGCAAATCTTTTGCGAATGTTCAGCATAATCTCTCGCGGTCATGAGACTATGCACCAGAGAAGCAAAACTGCATTCTCTACCTTACGATGTACTATACCAGGTTGTTGAAGACTTGGGCTTGTCGGACTTCAATAATCTCAGTCGAGTCAATAGGAGCCTGTACAATCTTCTGCAAAATGATCAGCTTGCCAAGCGCACCATCAAGGTACGTTTAATTCAAAAAAAAAAAATTGGTGCTCATCATACGCAGAAAATTGAACAATGCTTCTAGAAACATGTCCCCCATTCCAAAGAGGCCCAGTGGGCTACGACTGGAAGAATATCCTTTCGACAGGCTATCGGACGCATCCACGATATGCAGCACGCGGTAGCGATGGCTGAGCCATACTCAGTCGCAGTGCTTTCATATGCCGCCACTTTCATCTATAAAGACGGTTTTTTGTCGTACATCATCGATAATGAGATCCGTGTCTTGAACGTCCACCAACCAGACAACACAGAACAAGTTGTGGATATTCATAATATACTACGCCGAATAATCCCGACTTATCGTCAACAAGAAGCTGCAGATCGTTCAGCGCAAATAACATTCCTACATTATTCATCAGGAGTACTCGCGTTTCTGGTGGAAATAGATGGAGATGAGCACGCATGGCTCATTCTTCTCGACGTCACCCCTGGGTGCTCCAAGAGACTGAAATTTATAAGACAGCTGGAAGACACGCGACGACTGTTTGTCCGCCATAATGGTGTACATCTCTTTTATGGCGTGCACTCATATGTTGATGCTTCTGGCGAGCTCCTTTGGGCCATTCAGTGGGTTGATCTCACTAGAAATACCAAGAAGGATATGCCGCCTACCGTTTTGGATAACTTGGCGGGCACTGAAATAGGCCACAATGTCTGTTTCGAAATCTTCGACGACCATCTTTATGCGGTGTCTAACACGATTGATTCGGAGGAGGAAGCGTTGAATTGGCGATCCTTTTATGAATGGATCCGTATCCCACCAGCATTCAATCGACGCAGAGTACGAATGCAAAGAATCTGGCGCCGGGATCATCTTGAAGGTCCTATTAATGATACCTGGACGGAAATGTCTCTGCGCATGGATGAAGCCACTGGTCAACCCATGATTCTTGAATGCCGTCGTGAATGGCGAGAAGGTCGCTCAGATCACGTACGAACATATTATGCCGAACCTTTGCGGCCGGATGAAAAAGCCATCAATGGGGAAGTTGAAGTTGAGGCCGAGCTCGCAGAGCCCAGTGTAACACAGTCGCCATCTTCCTCTTCATTTCTCACCCATCCCTTTCCTGGAAGCCTCATTGGACCTAGTAACATCACCTTACCGGCTCCTTTACCGCTGAATGGGCCATCGGTCGAGGACTTAGCACGGCACCAGAGAATAGGTAAACATGTACATTCGGAGTACACGAGTAGTTGTTGCAACAGAAGGGAATTCATCATGGCGAAAACGAAATTCCGCACATACAATTTCTCGGCACGTTCATTCGTGGACTTGGTAAATGATCCGGAGCCAAATAATCGAGTAGGAGGTGCTACAGATCGCTTGCGTTTACGGATTAATTCTCGTAAACGGAAATGCACATCATCCGATGATCACACAGCCAAACGCAGCAGACTTGACACAACCCCTCTTACTTCTGCATCTCCTGCTACAGGTGACAAGGACGAATCTGATAACGTTCGTCTCTGGCCCCCCGACAACGCAGACGAAGACCTCATCAACCTCCTCTGCCCAACCCGACAAGCAACCAACATCCACGCCGTCGCCGACGAACGCTCACTCATCTACTCCGTCGACACAGAAGAACCTCACAAACAAGCCATCATCCTGATTAGCTTTGATCCTCAAATTCGTCTTCCGTGCATGCACAGTAGAAGAAATGACGGCGCGCCATCAGCATCTACGCCTGTAGGTATTAGTCTACTCGGACCCGAGGATACGAAGAAGAGTAGTAGGAGGCAGAAATGTTCTATTTTTAGTCCTTGTTCTTCTGCTTCTGCTGCTGCTGCCAGTAGTGGTAACAGCAAATCGAGTGTGCGGACTGAGGCGGCGATGCATTTGTCAATTGATAAGGGGTATTGGTTTGATGTGAAGAGGTGGTGATGGATTGATGATTTCTAACATCTTTGGTGGTATGCTTGATTCAGTAGAAAAGTGAATTAAAACAGTTGAATATTTCAGAAGCATCTATTGCTAGATATCAACGCTGTAATCTTAGTCTGAATAAGTTTAAGGGGATATCTTATCTATAGCCACATTCACTTGTTCGTCACCTCAACTGACTGAGAAACTGCGACACTTTTCATGATCCCGGTATCAAATGAAGTGTGATCAGAGAAATCATTACCACTATAAGATGCAGCGACATTCGATATCAAGACTCTTTCGTCTGAACCAAACGCAGTTCCATCCTCCACGTTCTTATCTACCATAGGCCGGTAATCACTCTTGGATCCTCGGATCTTTCTTAGTTGTAATCGTGAACCACTGTGCGATTCTGGTTTCGCCAGGTATGAACTTCCTTTGTGGGTACGAGAAATGAGGACGTTGAGTGCCGGAAGACAGGCACATATCAGCCCGACGGCGCCCTCCGCATTACTGTCATGTCATTAGAATCAGTACGGATTATGCTTTGTCGCTGGGAATGAAAGCCTACCCAGTAAGTACAACGCGAGTAAACACCATCGTTTGATCTGGGGACTGTCCATCTTGCACAATCATGACCAACCGATAGAGGCTAAACCCCGTCGCAAGCCCTCCCGCGCTCAAAAGGCCCATGACTTTCAACTTCTTCTCAAGCGGCATCTGAAGCGACCAGGTCAGTGGCAAGGGGAGGATGAGAATTGCCAAATCGGTCACCACACTCATGACAGAATCGGCCACGATGACTCTGCCCTGGTTGAGGCATGAGCCGCCGCTCGCGGTGCCGTTCCAGTAGGCCGATACGGGACTGCATATGCGGGCTTTGATGATGAAGGCAGGCACGTAGTAGGCCAAAACAACTCCAAGGATGATGTGAATCAAGATGACCCATTTGCGGTATGGCTTGAAAACGCGGGCTAGGAGGGTTAATAGTGCGACTTTGACGAAGAGAGCCATCGGAGCGTAGAATAGAGTTGCAATATAGGAAATCTGTATCTTGATCAATTGAATTGCTCACATGTTGCAAGTAAAATGGTCTGCGAGAGTGCCAGGCTCACCCTCAGAAATCCCACCAGCTCGGATCTATACAGCTCCCACTGATAGCAACCGCCGCCATGGCTCGACACTGAACCAGTAGTTAGCACAACTCTGGATATAGGCAGGATTGTGAGCACATACACAAGATTGCACTGATGCAGTATGCCATGAAAAGGATCTGAAGCGATTGTTAGTGCACCTCACCAACACCATCGACTCTCAAGTCTATATACCCAAGCGGCAAAGCTGAAATCTTTGCACGGATTAGCCTATTTCTGAGTTTTGGAATACAACAAGAACCAACATTCGTCCACTCCCAATTGCTGCTGGAAGCGAATTCTCACATATAACCGAAGCACGACAATGATGGAAACGATTGGAATACAGAGACATTGTGTAACGAGAAGAATAGTGCGGAGAACGTCTGTCGGATGGTCAAAGTCAGGCGTCATCCCACTGGGAGTGTCCAGCGCAGGCGGATCGGTCCCTGACATTGTCATCTGCTAGAAACAAAGATCTGCTGGAGAGATGATGAAGCCATTCAAGACATCGATGCAGGAAAAACACATCTGTTTCTTATAAAGAAGGATTTTTCCCTCGCTTGGCAGACTCATATATTTCATTTTTCTAAACTCGTAGACAGCCACGGGCTGATCTCGATGATCTTCCATGGTCGCTTCGGTGCGACTTTAGTAGCTCGCTAAAGCTGTACCTACTGTTTAAATATCAAGCTGCGATTGGTGCTGAATAACTCAGCAATCACTAAGGTAAACAAAGCAGTGTCAAACCCTGTCAAACCGAGGTCAACCGAATTGTACCACCAGTCAGAAATCCCCACGACGCGATGGGTCTGACAAGGGTAGAAAGAGGTCTTTGTCTGGGATAGAGACGTACGAAAGAACAAATTTGATTGTCTACATCGACGATCCTACGGCGGACCAAGATTGTTGTACTAAACTAGGTGAATTTGGAATCACTATATTTGGATATACGTATATAATAATTCTCGCCGCTCTGTAGTAACTATGCATAGATTTTCGAAATTTGGGATTTTTGAACAAAGTGGTGAGATCTGCCGTAGATCCACTCGGTATATTGCGAACTCTCCACTAGGAAATTGGAACCAGAATAACACACAAATCTGTGCGTTGACCACTACCCTGTACATGTAATATAATAATCCAACAGTAACCCCAAAGAGAACCTGATAGTCTTCTTGGCCGCATATCGAACAGGGGGCCTTTTATATATGTAGTACTCTGTATTTGTTGTACCTTATCAGTGACAGCCCGCTCTCATGCACACCTAAGGCTTTGTTACAGGGGTGAACACTCGGATAGCAAAGATTAATTTAAATCCATTGTGGGTATTGCACAAAATTTTTAGTTATTTCAGTAGAACTAGGAGTCGATAGTGCAGTCGCAGAGCCAGGGTTGTTCTTTTAGCGTGATCATTATTAAGCTGATACGTACAACTAAATTGAAAAACAAATTGCGCCTTTTAAAAAATTGTTTAGACCTTGCCAGAAAAAAAAGTATCAACCCCTGAGCTGCTTGTGAACTATACAAATTAATCATTTTATGAGCAGAAGGCCGGGAATTTGCGCAAAAAATCAGGGAAAACCGGAGGAACAAACGCACTAAAAATGATTGACAAGACTCAATCCAAACTTTTCCAGCCTCTTTTGATTGGAGATGGAAAGATTAGACTTGATCACAGGGTTGTCTTTGCCCCGTTGACCAGGAATCGAGGAGAGCCTTCCCACCGCATCAGCACTGCACAGACTCCAAACCGCATTTGGTATCCTGGGGATCTCATGGTTGAGTATTATGTTCAGCGAACGACGAAAGGCGGCCTTGTGATTTCAGAGGGTATTCCACCTTCTCTTGAGGTATTCTTGTCAAATTTCCTTTTCCCCTGAATTGGCCGGGTCTATTGGCTTTCACTTAGCGATATCAACTGATGATCTTTTACCTAGAGCAACGGAATGCCTGGTGTGCCTGGTCTGTTCACTCAAGAGCAAGCCGATGGCTGGCGCAAAGTTGTTGATGCCGTACACAAAAAAGGAGGCTACATTTACTGCCAGCTCTGGCATGCTGGCCGAGCTACTATTCCTCAAATGTCAGGTTCACCTCCAGTATCAGCCTCTGCTAGTGTCTGGGATTCGCCAGACGAATGCTATTCTCACATTCCTGTAGATGAAACAAAGCCGGTTCGCTATGCGGACCATCCACCGGTGGAACTGTCTATTGAGCATATTAAAAAGACGATCAAAGACTACTGCGACGCAGCAGAGAAGGCTATGCACGTAGGCTTCGACGGAGTTGAGATTCACGCCGGGAACGGCTACCTGCCAGAGCAGTTCCTGAGCTCAAACATCAACAAGAGAACGGATGAATACGGCGGATCTCCGGAAAAGAGATGCCGCTTTGTGCTCGAGTTGATGGATAAATTGGCGAAGCGGATCGGTGAGGGTAATCTTGCCATTCGTCTTTCGCCTTTTGGTCTTTTCAATCAAGCTCGCAGTGAGCAACGCGTGGAAACTTGGACTTATCTTTGTAAATCTTTGAAGTATGCTCATCCGGCGTTGTCGTATGTCAGCTTCATTGAGCCTGTAAGTAACCGACTACCATTTTCTTCTTTTACTGGTGTTGACATGTTCGCAAGCGGTACGAACAAATTTTCAGCTATAAAGAGAAAGACAAGTTTCTCGCTAGCTGGGGTCTTGCCGACGTTACTTTAGACCCGTTCCGTGAAATCTTTGGCGACACCCCTTTTTTCTCGGCCGGCGGTTGGGACGACACTAACCCTTGGGGTGTGATTGAATCGGGCAAGTATGATGCCTTACTTTATGGCCGCTATTTTATCAGTAACCCAGATCTGGTTACCCGGCTGAAGAACGGTATCCCGCTCGCGGCGTACGATCGTACTCGATTTTACGGCCCGTTTAAGGATAATACTATCGGATATACCGACTATCCAGTCGCAGAACAGATCATATCTGAATAAATAAACGAGATTTCGCGCGTGATGGGCCAGACGTCGTCGCTGTGCAGTGAAGGAAGCCCTAAACCCTAGAGCCAAATCCGCAGCGGGAAAAGTCCTCAGAATTTCCTAATTAGGCACCGCCTAAGTCGTTATATGCACGTATAAAATGTGTCTCTTCGCGCTGTCAAGCGAGCGTCTTTTCTTTTCTTCTCTATATTCTAGTTTTCTCGCTGCAGGCTACTTTTGGCTGGAGCTGGAACCGAACTTCGTCACACTGTGAGACAAATTGTATAAATTTATATCTGATATATTTGATATCTTGAATACGATAATCACAGATGAGAAGTTGTAGTAGGGATCTAGTAGAAGTACTGGCGCTTTGAAGGCATACTTCGTGTTTGGACCACTAGGTACTCTGTAGTATACCTATGAGCTTATGTTTGATAGTTTAAGGCTCATTGATCTGATTATGGCGTTCAAAGAAGTCCTTAGTTCTACTCAGTGTGGATAATTACTAAACCGGAACGAGTACGTATCTGATTGTGTCGACTTTCAACATCCTTTTCAGTATCCATGGATGCACCTGGGTAGCAATTAAAGATTTGGAACACGTTTCTATATTTCCGTGAAGATCGTTCAACATGATTGAAATTCCACATCCATAGGTTTCCATGTCAGAATGAACGTTCTGGCATTCATTTATAGCATTGATCTCCTCTCTGTGAGAAGAACCTTTTGGCTATGCTTGTCTCGGAGATAAATGCTTGCACTGAGTTTGAGAACCATTACTAAAGCAACCTGTGAGAAAGACTGTGCAGCAAAGTGAAGAGCTTTCTGCTCGTTCTTGTCTTCAATATCAGCATCCGCACCACTTTCGAGAAGTCTTCCCAAGCGTCCCGTGAACTAGCCTGTGCGGCAACGTGAAGAGTTATCCGGCCGTCCTTGTCCAATCAGCACCTGATTACTATTGATAATAGAGTATATTCAACCTTTCAAAGCCACGGAAGACTGTCCTGAAATTGAATTGAACACGGGAAAAAGAAAGGCTGGAGGTCTTCTATGAAGCAAGTCTCCCAAATTTCACGCATTGACATCTCTCACGGGTTATTCAAACGTTGCAACCCTGTCCTTAGTAGCTTGATAGGGAAGAGATTTGTAAACGGCAAAGGAGGCAAAAACAAATAGAAACATTTTACGGGATAAGAGGATAGAAGCTCACGATGGCGTCAAGGAGACTTTGCAGCCGTTCTTACTCGTGATGATTAACGTCAGTTTCTCGTTGAAGGGTTGCGGGTCCCGACTCTCGATATCTCTGAACTCTTGCAAAATACGCACGACCGTGTAAGCGGTCTCCGTAAGGGCGAATTGTTGACCAATACAGATACGGGGACCCCCATTGAAGGGAATGAATTCCCATGTAGGCTTGAGATTCTCCCACCGCTCAGGTCGAAACTCGGTTGCATCCAATCCAAATAACTCGGGGAGGCGATGCATGCAGTAAATGCTGTAAAGAACTTTCCGCCCTTTAGGTACGAAAAGAGGTTCATTACCACCCGGGCCCCCACCAACAGGAAGAAATGTGTCCTTGTTAGCTGTACGTGAGTTGACCGGCACCGGGGGATATAGCCTCAAGGCTGATTGATTTTTAGCATTATATCACTTGCGTATTTGAATTCGGGGTTCAAATGAAAGTGGGGGGCCTACATTCATTTATTACCCACTTGAGATATTTTAGGGACTTGAGATCTTCAAATGAAGGTCGTCGGCCTTTCAAAATCAATACCTCGGCTCTCAATTTCTTCCACACATCGGGTCTTCTGGCGAGAATGAAGAAGGTGGTGGTAAGAAGGCTTGCAGTAGTGTCACGACCCGCGAGTAAAATATTCAGTAGCTGATCAGTAAGGGCCTTTTGATCTTGTGTTTGCTTTGAAAGCTCGTGGAGGAATACATATCGAGGGGCCAAATCTTCGGATTCCGCTCCGGCATCAACAGCTGCTCGGTATGCAATCGCCTTTTGAACAAACCGGTGTACATACTGTCGTGCTTCTACAGTCGACTGAAAAAACTTTTTGTCTCTGTACAAAAACATCAAAGGGCCCAGACGAGTGCGAATGGCAAGGCCTTTCTGCGAAATATCGAAATTCTGCGCAAATAAATCAGACCCTTCCGAGCTGCTGCAATCCAGAGAATCCACAGATTCGCCAAAGAGAAATTCCGTAGCAGAGTCAATGGTCTATGAATATAGTCAGTCCGAGTATCCATTCTTTAGTCAGTTATAGCCTACCATCCGGAAGAATAAATCTTGAAGGTCCACCATGGATCCATCTTTAGGCAAACAGCTAATGAGCTTGGAAACGTGCTTCTCGTACACCTCCACATCGGCTACTAAATTACGTTGAAAGTTTGGCCTGACGAGTGCTCTCGAGTGCTTCCAGGCCTCACCGTCACTTGTGAAAATGCCGGTTCCAAGAAGGGGCTCCAACGACTTGTTTCGGAAATGTCCCAGGTCGAAGTCTTCGAATTTCCGAGAAAGAATTGCTCGAATATTCTCTGGTTCAATGGTAACAATAAGCGTACGCCCGAGGATTGTTTGAAAAGTATTGCCGTAGTCTTGATGCCAGGTACGCATCATTTCCAAAGAGCGACATTCTCTCATAGCCTTTAGCAAGACTCTTAGACGTCCGACCCGAAGGAAACCTCCTGGGGCACATTTAGGTTGGCGGCAACCGTGACGTTGCTGAAATTCCCGCTCTGGGTGGCCCCCTCGTCGTCAGCATGAGTATAGCCGGAAGGGATTGATTTCACCAACCTACGCATTTGCGGCGAAATGCGCCCTCAACCACGATAATCCATATCACGGTCAGAATAAAGCACAAGATCAATCCAAACATTTTGAGCAGACTATGCGTCCGATCTTTATGAAAAATGGCGGGKATGGKGTTATAAGTATGGGTAACTACGTGAAGGACATACCTGGGTCAGGCACGATGATACTGGACACATAGTGGGTGTAACACGAGGCAAGGGGCGAGACACATTCAAGTTTGGCATGAGCCAGCGAGCAGGATATAAATCGATGCTTGTAAAATTACAACTGTGATTTGGCCATCTCAATACAGGATAGTTGCTATTAGGCTAAGGTAAGTGGTTGCAATCCGCAGAGCAAGATCGAAGAGCCAGAAGGCTCAAAGAAGATTAATCGACGGAGGCAACTTGGTCATTGTTACCGACTGGGTTCTTCAGGACCGATAAGCAAACAATACATCTCTCTTTGTGAAAGCTAGTATTCACGACTCCTGATTAAAATATGTGCGGGCAGGGCAAGAGGGAATGTAAGGGGGTGGGAAAAGAGATAGACTTCAGATACAATCGCTGTTACATTCTCTCTGAACTGGTACCAGTTTTTCTCCCATTATACCTACTAAACTCCGTTATGAAAAGCATTTTGCACGAATTCTGCTAATACATCTAAGAATTGTGGAGTTCGCGGAACATGGTGGGTGCCGAAGAAGGGGAATAGTAAGGCGTCATTGCAAATACGCGCTAGTCGCAGAGTCTCTGCAGGTTCAACCATTGTGTCAATACGAGCAATAGCGTGAAGAGTAGGCGTTTTGATTGTCGGATGATACAGACTTTCGTACATGGGATGGCCGAGTTTGAATCCACTTAAACACACAGCGAATTTGAACGGTAAATGATCTGTCTGGAAAAAAGAACACTGAGTACGACAATTTCAAAATCTTTTCGACAGATGGCTCAGACCTGACTCACTTGAAACGGAAACCCACAAATTGACTCTCGCTTTTCAAGAAGGGAAGTAATGATGGCAGCCAGAGCAGCCCCCGTCGAAAATCCGATCACGCCAACGAAAGGGCCGTCTTTTGAGAGAATGTTGAACAAAAGGTCCACAGAATCTTGTAAACCATATATTTTGTCTGTCTGATGATCTCCATATCCCCACGTCCAGGTACTGCAACCATTATCATCATCATGACGAGGTTGGTCGGGGTTGGCGGGTAATGGTCCAGAAGGATAGTAAAACTGAACTGTATCAATTGATGGTGAAGCAATTCCAAATTGAGCAGATCTAATTATGGTATTCTTCAAACGTTCTTCAAAGAAGCGTGTCTTGCATTTGAAAAATTGGCCTGATTGCGCGTGTCCTACAGCACAGATAATGTTAGACTAATCTCATACGTTAAGTATAAACTGAGAAATCATTGACCATGAAGCATCAAAACCTTGACAGACGATGATGAACTTGAACCTGAAGAACTGTTATGGTTTAAGTCTGCGTCACTTAACATGAATTCAGGTGACATGTTTTCGCCTGTTGGTTTGATCATATGAGAATTTGGTCCCGCTCATAGCCAGCACTACAACGACCACAGCAACAGGCGAGATTGATAACAGGTGGCGTCGAGGGTATCTATAACGGGCTGAAGAGCTTTGTCGAACATAGATGGGAATTTTGACTCAGTTGGAATGACGAAAGGAAATGGATCCGGACGGGAATCCACCACGATCTGAGAATGAATATTTGATCTTGGGCTGTTGTCTCAAACTGTTTGGCCTTTATCAACCAGGCAAATTCTAAGGTCGATCTTGCATACTTGTTTACTCCTCACATGTAGTAGCAGAGTGATGAGTGGATAGCTTGTGGTCTGGCTACCCTGAGCTCATAGTTTTCTCAGAGTTGGATTTGATCGATCGTACTGGATGGAGCACGCAAGGGATGAGCTCCCGGCACGGCCAAGAATCTCGATCTAGCACAGTGCCCAGCAAACAGTTCTCTAACGTCTTTTTCACGCTTGTGGGCCTTTCATGTACAAGGTAGTACTATCGCGATTTAAGTTTAAAGCTGCATGTCAGGGCGTTTTGGTGGACTTTTGATACCCATTCATGAGCGAAAAGCTAATAGTCAGAACAGTTCGCATAAAGAGTGGGTTGAACAAATGTTTGGTGGGTTTCTGTATGTTTTGTTTGCAGGAATGCAATCGTCGTAGCTGCTTGCTCTACAGGAAACATTGTTCCACATAGATTCCACCATAATCTAAGTCACCCTGGTACCTGCGGCTACCTAATAAATAGACCTGGATTGCAAGAATTGTTGCACACCTTTACTCGTTTCTCCCTGTGATTTCTTTAAGCGAGTGATCCGACTGAATCTCAGTATGGCACCTTCACTGTCCAAGCTTCGGTCCAACCTCAAATCCAATGAGGCAAAGAAAAAAAGCCATGCCATCCAAAAAAATGCCAAGACATATGGAGACGATAGCAAGGCTCCCATGAATTGGCCCAAATCCAAGAAACTGACCATGGTCTGCCTTGTCATACTCGCGGATCTCAATGAGTATGTTATCATCATCATGATATTAAAGGACTCAAACCTGACAAATGTTAGCGCCATGGGATCTTCCATCTTCGCGCCAGTCGTGCATGAAGTTTCTCGAGACTTTCACGCCTCCAGCTCTTCAGTTGCTTCACTTTTAATATCAGTCCACGTCATTGGGTATATTGCCGGTCCTCTTATCTTATCCCCACTTAGTGAAGTATACGGGAGATGCCCCCTTATACATGGCTCGAACACTACTTTTGTTGCGGCCACAATCATATGCACAACAAGCGTGAACATTCCCATGATAATAATTGGTCGCATTCTCATGGGATTCGCAGGTTCTGTGCCAGCCACAGTTGGAGGGGGCGTCATATCGGATATCATCCCTGTGGATGAGCGAGGCTATGCTGTAAGTTTATTGGCTAGTGGGCAACTTTTGGTATTCACATCCTCGTATTCTTTCAATACCATGAGTGGTGGACTAACTATATACATGACGTCCTAAGGGTATCGCTGTTGGTAAATTGTACTTTCAAAACCCCGAGAGGTTGCACTCTTACCATCTATAATAGGTCCGATCATTGGAGGTTACATGGCTATGAACCTTGGCTGGAGATGGACATTTCGTCTAATGGCTATTCTGGTAAGTTAAAATTTGGAGAAATCGGGCGCACCCTATCACCAATTGGTAATACCTCACGACGCAAAAGCTCACAAATCTGTAGTCAGGATCCTCGACTGTCCTAACATTTCTGTTGCTTCGAGAAACCTTTGTCCCTTCTAACATTCAGCCAATGGAAAATCGAGATGCGCGCACTGGACTTTCGGTTGTACGAAAGGCCGTCTCACGGCCATGCAGACTCTTTTTAAGATCGCCAATCGTTGTCATTCTCTCGCTGTTTGGTGCGATAGCATACGTGTGCATGTACTCCTTAATGAGTACTTATTCGACAATATTTCCAGATCAGTACGGATTTAATCTTGGGGAAGTTGGCCTTGTGTACCTGGGTCAAGGTATTGGCTTTTGGCTGGGACAACTTCTAACAGGATGGTTTCCAGATTGGTACCTGAAACGCCGACAGACACATCAAAACTCTGTCAAACCTGAAGATCGACTCCTTCTCCTCACTGCTGGATGTTTCGGGCTTGCTATTGGCATATTCTGGTATGGGTGGTCTATAGAGGGCCAAGTGCACTGGGTCATACCCATCATTGGAACCGGTTTTACAGGCATCGGATGTCTCTTGATATTCGTCTCAGTTCAGCTTTATCTCGTCGACATATTTCCGAGCTGTTCCGCCAGTGCCAGTGCTGTTGCAATTGTCATTCGCTCAATATTTGGGGCAACCTTGCCCATGTCAATGCCAAGCTTATATGAGCGCCTTGGTTTTGGGTGGGGAAACAGTGTCTTGGGGAGCATCGTGCTCGTTTTGATGCCTGTTTCGATTTTGCTTTTAAAATACGGAGAAAGACTGCGTACTCTCACCGACTTGTAAATGCCTTAGAAATTTGTTTTTCTTGATTCACGGGCAAAAGAGGCGCAGCTTTTCTCAGTTCTTCAAGTAGAAGACTTGAGGCGGATCAATTCGACCGACCAAGCTGAATACAAAAGGATCGGCAATTTATAGATGTGACGAAAGGCTGATGTGGGAGCTTTTCATCACAATGGAATGAGATATCCGTGCCTTTCGAAACGCTGGCGACCCACCCACTCTCTGACCCTTCGTCGCCGACCAATGTGGTTTGAAGAGCCATATGATGTAGATCATCCCAGAGATTTCTACAAGTAGGTCGATATGTCGTTGTTCTGGCTAGCATATAATTTGTTGAGTTTGATGATAAATCACACCCCACTAGGCTAGTACGAATTCGTATTTGGCCTTATTGGTTGAGCCAACTCAGTATTGCAAGGGGTCAGGGTCAATCCTTCTGCACTCTTGCGACTCCATTCTGGAAAATAAATCCGAAACACGCTACCGGTAACCTCTTTAAGCTCACCTCCACTTAGGCTTGGCAAAACGAAGGTAACTAACTTAGTACTCGCCTTGCCCGACAGACGAATCATTGTATAATCGAAGAAGCCTCGCCTTGTGCACCCACTAGTATTGACCTATATGCGTGCACTCATTCTAAAGAGTTGAATCCGTTCAAGAAGTCAAAGCCCCTTAAATAGAATTTGAAAATTAAGAATGGCAGGCTACATAAGAAGAGTTCTGTTGCTATTCGATACGATTGTTGTATATCAACATCAGAGTTTAGTGTACAAGGTGATGCACTCTATTATGCAGGGTTAAAGGCGCACTCGATCGACAAGCCAGATCGGCCATGAAGGGGCTCAATCGATCGGAGGCGGTCTGCGGCTAGCTTGACAGTCAATTCAGCTACTTAAATCAATATATGTAGTACCGCATAAGGAGGGCGATTTACCTACACAGCAGGATCTGCCACGCAGCTTCCTATCGACGGTGTGGGGAAGTGGTCGTAAAATGGGTAATTAATCACTGCGTTTGGGTTATGATACTCGAATTCGAGATCTACTCAAAGCGGGGACTAACACTCGGGCTACGAACTGTTGACCTTTGGTGTCGATATGAATAATAATTGCGTTGGAGGCAGGTTCCATTCTTTTTGGTTTCACATTCGCTCGTGCATAGTTTTGATCATATTGGTTCAAATTCATCCATATAATTGGGATGAAAATCGGGGTCTACGACTCATTGGCAGCACCAAGAACAAACTGGGCAGCCTATGTGAGGTTGCAGGGAAGAGGATTGAGATATGATGATCAGTCTAAATAATCATACGCAAGGAGAGGGGCTACTTTGTGACGACTTGAACAACGGATTTCGGATTTCTGAAGGAAGAAGTTCGCATACTGCGTTATGGATAAACTGCATGCATGCTCTGTGTTTCCCTACATGTGAGCTGATTGTGGCATGCGAGGAAGAGGAGAATACCAATGCACACCGCCACTATTGCGACACGAAATTCATACAGTTTGAATTTACAGATTGAGAAATGTGTTGTTTAGCCCTGCTCTGAGGTACTTATATATACGTGAGCTCAAATCAGGCAGCATTTTCTAACGCCTCACCGTCTATAAATTTTCGTCCTTCTTTACCACTTTACGTCATCCAGATCAGGGCTAGTCTTTGACAACCTAAAGGACCGATTGAACCATAATACGTCATCTAAATGTCGTTTAACGGAAATTTTCAACATATCTCTGTGGAAAAAATCCATCCTACATTTGGTGCTGAGGTTTCTGGCGTAGACGTGTCAGTTGCGCTGGAGGATGATGTTTTCGGGGAAATTTATCGTGCTATTTCTCAAGTATGAAATCAATCCATGTTTTCGGGGTAGATTTACTAATTGACGTCTTTGCTTACAGTACGGGTTTCTTGTCTTTCGCCGAACAAAATTGACAGAAGACACCCAAGTTCAACTAGCGGCCCGATTTGGGGAATTAGATGATGTTACGCCCTGGATTAAGCCTGGAACAGTACGACGGCTAAATCGTACGGAACTCATGGATATGAGTAACATCAAATTAGATGGTACTTTGGCAAGTCAAGATGATATGACTACGAAGCTTCAAAAGGTATTTCTAATTGATCAAAGACGTTGTGCAATTTGCTTACATCCTCAACAGGGAAATTTGCTTTTTCATGTGGACTCGAGCTATAACCCTCGTCGAGCGAGCTACTCATTTCTTCTTGGAAAAGAAATACCGCCTTCAGGACATGGAGGCCAGACCGCCTTCGCGGATACGAGGACCGCTTTCGATGAGCTTCCAATGGATTTGAAGCATGAGCTGCTAGAGAATGAGTATGTGGCATGTCATTCAATTCACCACTCTCGCAAACTGGCCGCACCGGAATATTTTGGCCATATTGACCCGTCAAAGTTCCCAATGGGACGACATCGCATTGTGCAACAGCACGAACCCTCGGGGCGGTCCAACCTCTACATCGCCTCTCATATCCATCACATCGAGGGACTGGAGTTTGAAAAATCAAAAGAATTGGTTGATAGACTGATGCAACACGCAACACAAGACAAGTTCGTTACGCAGGTGGAATGGAAAAATATAGGAGACCTGATTATATGGGACAATACCTGTCTCATGCACCGGGCGGTTGGCGGCACCTACATTAATAAATATAAGCGGGACTTGAGACGGGCCATAGTGCATGACAATAGTTCATGGGCCTGGGGACTGAATGACCATCGCGAGGAACGGCAGAGCCTGGCTACGCTATCTCAGGCATCATGATATTAAGTCATTTGTCTAGAGTGTGTAAGTAACACTATCAAGCAGTGACCTGCAATACTTCATTTGGAATCAGCTTGACAGATCCAGACGCAACTCGTACATTGATGCAAGCCTCTACAATGCTACCAGAGGAAATTTTAATCCTAGGAGTCGTTAAGGGTCTTATCACGCTAATAGACTGATCCGGAAGTATCTAGAGTATACGACGTGATACAGCCTTCATTCAAATATAATGCATTCTCGTAATCTGGAAACTTCCAAAGAACGATGTGCACCTGATGTTTTCATTGCAAAGATCTGCAAAATGCTGTACTATTCTATGCTTTCAGTTAGGGTCTAAGGCAATACAGTATTGGCTACTTTATTTATCAATTGCAAGTTTCTTCAGTTTAAGGTTTTACTACGACAGTGCCCACCAAATAAATACTCACAAGGGCGCTTAGATCTATCCAGCCGTTTATTGTTTACTGTGCTTGGTAACACATGATATAAATGACAATCGAACGAGGCAGTCATCCCATGATCAGAGGAGTTTACCCTTAGTCACTACCCCAAATTCAGTGTATGTGAGTATTAATTATCGATTTTTTGCTGTAAATTGAGGGGTATGAAATCTGCATTCTGATTTAGTTTCGATGGTGAGAACGGCCCGCGTGAACAATCATGTAGTGGGCACTGGAAATACATGTGTTCAGTAAGGGATTGGCGCAGTACAGGGTTCACCGCTTCATTGTCGACAGGAACTCATGAAAATTCCAATTCTTGATGCATATAAAGCTGGACTGGGAGTTCCTACTGTACCACTTACCACTAGCGGACTACTCTTCGAAGAAATCGTAGACACACATCAAAATGCACTCAAAAAGCCGCAGCTGGCAAGGTTTGTACCATTCATTCTCTACATAACAGTCAATTACTGACGCTTTGTCTAGATATCCTAAGCACGGAATGCAGAATGAGACAAGTATGTTCTCACCCGTCTAGACTCTGGATCTGACATGATTTAGCCTTCTAGAATGCAAAGTTTGCACGCGATTTTGAAAAAGCATCCAGGTAGATGAGCAAAAGTAACTTAATGATATCGGCCTAATGAAACATCCAGATATTGTGTCGATGGGTCCAGGTGTCATCCCTAAGCACCTTTATCCGTTTGAAGATGTGAGCTTCGAGTCAAGCATTGGGATGAATGATAAGTGTCTTGCACACAATATACCAAGATCCGAAAAAGAAAGGATCCCAAACAGCTGTGGTGAGTTGATGCGAATCACTTTAATGAATAATACCGTCATATTAACGAACGATAGATTTGAATTCTGCTCTTAGCTACGGGCAAGCGACCGGCCTACCACAACTTGCTAAAATGATCAGAGAACAAGTGAAAGTTAGTCCATAGCTTGTTTAGCGCTCCAAGATTAAGACTGACCCGAAGCCACAGATTTACCATGACCCGCCCTATGCCGATTGGGGCTGTGTCTTAACTACTGGTAGTACATCCTCATTGGATATCGCCCTTCGAATGCTCACGGAGAGGGGAGATTCCGTGCTCGTCGAAGAATACACGTACCCGACAATGATCGAAACCTCATTGCCGCTCGGTATCAAGCCTGTTCCACTGCAAATGGATGAATTCGGAATTGTCCCTGAAGCGTTTGACGAAATGCTTCGCCATTGGGACTCATCTATTCAAGGCAAAGTACCAAGACTTCTTTATACTATACCGACAGGACAAAATCCAACAGGAGTTACAGTGCCACCAGAGAGACGATCACTGATATATGAAATCGCTCAAAATTGGGGCATTTACATCCTAGAAGATGACCCTTATCATTTTATCCAGTTCCAAAAGCTGAATTGCGATGCAGATATTGGGCAAACATTGCCTAAGATGGTGGCCAAGACACTGATACAGAGCTATCTGAACATAGATTCCGATGGTCGGGTACTCAGAATGGATACTGTGTCAAAGACGATTGCACCGGGCCTGCGAATTGGATGGATCACGGCTCCTCTGGAGATAATTGAACGTGTGACGAGAATCCAGGAGACCTCAGTTCAAAGCCCCAGCGGATTCTCGCAGATATTCCTATTGAAGCTTCTCGATGCATGGTCTGATACTGGATTCGCGAATCGAATCTTGTACTTGCAATCTATTTTCCGCGATCGGCGGGACGAGTTTGAGGCGGCAGTCCAAAGGCATCTTCCGCCGGGTATCATCACTTATGCTAAGCCTACCGCAGGATTATTCGTATGAATCATCATAATATGCTTAGTGTCTGTTCAAGGAAGTGCTAACTTGGATGACTAGATCTGGATCAAAGTCAATTTACAGTATTACCAGTATTTCCGCCAAAGGGTCCCCGCAGTTATTGAGAACGAAATATATGACAAAGCGATTGAAAAAGGAGCATTAGTGATACCTGGAAGCTGGTTTCGAGCAAGTACTGATACTGAAGTGCAAGAGGTTACTTTCCGTCTCTCTTTCGCTCCAATCCCGGCTGCTGATATTACAGAGATGGTGAAAAGATTCGGTGCGGCCCTTCGATCGTTCGATCCTGAACAACTCCAAGTTGGTAGGATTGAACAGACCTGAAGTGTATTCCGGAAGTGTACGAAGTTTTTCTTTACCTCCCCCCCCTCCCTTCCCTGGGAAGATTGATGGTCTCTGATTTGATCTTTTGGATCTTTTCACCTGATAGCTAGATCCATCAAATTTGTATATAGAATTCTATGATAATCACGACCCTAAGGGGTTGGGTTAAGCCTGTCCCGTGGGAGTAAATGCACCTGGTCCCTAAACATCTTCGGGCCCAATTACAGGGTGAGCGGTTAAAGGCTGTGCGTCACAGTATCGATATTGCTCTAGAAATTACGAAGATATCTGACAAGCAACCCGCCAAACGGTCGGATTAAGATCCGCAGCATGTTTCTGCTGAGGGAAGCGCCGCTGAAATCTTGCCCCCAGCACGTCTTACCAATCTGGCCTGGGACAAGTACAAGATCGGAATGCTTCAGGTGCCTTGATCAAGCGATTATACTCGGTCTGCAGCGTAACCATAAAACGCTCAACTTCCAGAACCTTTACACCGCGGGCAAGATCCGCTGAGAACATTTCATGACTGGTAAGCAAGTTGGCCACTTTACATCATCGAAGCAGGTACGCACGGTGAACTAATACAAGCGAAAGGCAATTACTTTAAGCTATATATGGCGAGCAAGGGTGGTCAGCTACTGTATTAAGTAAAGAAGATTAGCACGTTATAATCAGCGGATCAATCAAAAATCATTTTCTGACCATGAACGCCTTATTTGCATTCCAACTAATGACCACTAGATGAAATGCGTTACGTTATCATATCTAGAATTTCCCCTAGATATTTCTCACATTCCACAGCTTACTCTGTACCAATAGAATACTATCGCTACAATCTGTATCAAACCATTGTTGGCCAGGACCGTTAAAAAAATTAGCGAGCATCTGTCTCAGCTGCGCCATGAGATCGCCTCTGCGGTCGACAACCACTCTGATGGTTATAACCAGGGCCACCAGCAGGGGTCTCCACGTGACCCCAGTGCTTTGATATAGTTTTTCACAATGTTTTGAACAAGGATAATGTCATTTTTTGTGGTGAATCCTTCCGTCGGATCACGAAATATGCCCGGTATGTCTGTACCCTACCATCAATTGATATCGACTCAGATGACATTTATATTCCCATTCATTGGCAAGTAGAAAAAAGAAGTAGAGACTAACAGTTATCATTCTCAGTATATAACGTAATATTTACTTACTTTAGAATAGTATACTATATATAATAATTAGATAAATTATTCTTATATAATTATTAAACATTCTCTAGGACGATGGGCGTGCTGGAAGTGGTGTGGCGCTGCAGCCAATGCCCAGAGCTCCCTGGAGTGTAGGGCTTGTGGAGCACTCCTGGAGACCGTTTTTCACGTCCTGTTTCCCTCGGGAGATGATGGGCCACAGGGTTTGAAGAAAAGGGCCAGAAACGATGGTCACAAAACCTATTGGTAGCTTGTAGCGTTATGTATAATATCTGTAAAAGCACTAGTCCAAAAGTACGTTAAAAATGTTGAAATGGCGTAAGAATCATGGGTTAGTATAAATTGTAGGTTGTTATGAGGAATAGGAAGTGAAAAACATTGGCCTAGCAGTGTAAAACATGGTTGATTTGTAAGTGGGTTCTATTTGACCCTCGTTAGCCAATCTGGTCAGAAGACTAACTAATTTGAAGGCATTCGATGAGATATTTACTCGACGACTGACTACATGGAAGATCCGAAGGATACAAGACCCCCCCTCCTTAGGTATATCCAATAAACTAGTAGTAAATCAAAGAATAGTCCTATGTATTGGTCTCTTTTCTTCGCCGAGGTAAATAGGCTAGTGCCGTAGACTTGGTTGGATGGGATGCCGAGAGCCACTGACGTTTGGCTGGTTAGCCCGCTAAGATACATTTGTAGGGCATGGAGCTGGGCCCTTAGTAGCACGGTTTAAGCCTTGGATTATAGTGAGCCTAGATTTCAGCCTTTTACTATCTTGTTATTTATTTTCTGTTTTCAAGTTTTTGGCTACAATTTCGCTCGTTATACATTTAGCAACATCTTTACTGTTATATGCTCAAATGAACATCTAACGACTCCAGCAAAGACCACGAGTTTTCAGATCTTACATATCATACATACTGCAAAAAAAAAAAAAGCTGGACTTTCCAGCTGTTTCCAGTGTATCACACGTCGTCAACATGCATTCAACAATTTTGTCAATTTTGCTCCTCACATTTGCAGTCTTATCATCTGCAGCGATTGAGAAGCGGGATAGCGTAGCTCCCACGACTACATCCGGGTCCAACTTTGCATCGATATCAGCGATTTTGTAGGCTCATATCTTCCCTTCCTCCCGTTCACCTATGCATATATCTGCAACAATGCTTACACTCGATATAGAGGCTCCCTCGCGTCAGCCCTAAGCACCGCAACACCCGCTCCAGGCGTTACACCAGTAGCAGTCCAAACCGCCAACTTGAGCAACATCGCCGAACCACCCGCAGGCTTCATCCCCGCTATAATGACTGCTGTACCCTTATCTGTACTGGGTGATCTGCTCGACTCTAGCTCGCGAAGCTCATTAGCTGCCGAGTTCCAGAACGGGTCTACACCAGCCTGGTATCAGTCCCTACCGGCATCGATAAAGAGTTATATTGCCGAGGTGAATTCGCAGATTCATGCAGGAGCGTTGTATGCGAATACGTCTGTTGCGGTGGCGACGTCGAGTAGTACGGCATTGGCGGCGCAGAGGGCTGTTGCGCCGACGGGGGTTGCCATGGGGGTCAATGTGCTTGGTGCTTTAGGTGTGGCTGGATTGGCGATGGTTTTGTGATATATATGATATCTTGATCTGATTAGAAAGGTTCTACGCATTTTACGATGATATGGAATATACGAGTGGCATATTGGATACCTAGGCACTGTCTACTGCATCGTTCAATCACAAAAAAGCATATTGCTCCGACAATTAGCTACCAAAATACTTGAACTTGAAGTGTTATCCTTCTTCCTCACTATCCAGGATCGGTACAACTCAAAGCTCTCTGTAAGGCCGATACATTCGAATTCGGCAAGTATTTCCCAATCCGGAAAGGGCTCGCCCAAAGCCCTAATTCTTCGGGGACTGCTCGAAGTTTGTATTTTTGCAATCACATGTTTGAATATGATTTGTAGAAATCAAGAGCATTGATATCCAAAGAAAGTATATTTTCTATTCCCACAGAAGTGAAATACGTGCTTCAAAAAAGGACTTTCCGAGGCTTGGAAATTGAGCCTAAGCCCGCCGATCGCGAGGGGTAATCGGTGGCGCCCTAACTACTGCAAAAAGACAATCCTAGCAGCCCAGCGACGGCCTTTAGTCTAGTGGAGTTGCAGGCTTTAGCCCAGTATCTGGTCAAAATCTCTTTGGGCTGACCGACTGTTGCTTTCTTTATGTGGGAAACAAGATTGCCGAATCGTAACAATTGACATTCAGAGCTCGCTCGGAGGATTATCATGTGTCAAGATCTAAGGAAGATCAAAATACTACCTAATCATCAGCCTAAGTGGAAAGAATCTCATAATTTGACAGCGATGATCGATTACAACGTTGGCCTATCATTGAGATCGACGTAATTTCAGATCTCCCGCCCAGTTTAAATTAGGGCAACTGTCAGATATGAGCAACAAGATTAAGGACATTTTTTCCTACAGCCATGAATCATACTCTGGATACTGCTAACTCGTCACGACTGGGAAACTTCTCAAAGCGACCAAGATTGTCAATGGTCTCACTGCAACCGCGGCTCACATGCTTATCGTGAAGAGTCGATGGGGCTAGATGCCCTACTAATATTCAGACCGACCATTATCTGTACATAGTATCAATCCCCACACATTTGGAGGGGAAAGACTGACTTTATGGCGTAGTTAGTGCGGGGATACTTATCTTTTTTTCTCGCACTGGTACGTATTTTCTTGGAAAATGAGAACACTGCGAATGATCGAACGTCAATTGTATGGCCCCTGCCCCGCTCGACGTGTCTGTGTGTATAGAGTCACCCAGAAAACAAGCTGAGTTTTCAAGACGTTCGTAAGGAAGCGAAAATGACGAATGTGTAGTTGAACTCTTCCGGCGTAATTGTTTATTCCTCGGATGACCAGATTGTGTCTAGTCTTGCATGCAGGCGTTGACGAATGCCCGACCCATGTATTAGTCTTAGGGCTAGCTATTTAGTTGTAGGCCTGGTTTTTCGGCTCGGGCTAAAATCGAGCATGGAGGCAAATAAGAAGCTGATTCGGTCTCGGTATTGACGGTTGTGGGATAACAAGACAGACCTGTACGAGTAAAGAGGGTCCTTGTATGTTGTTGAGTTGCCACGATATTATTGGACTTGGTCCAGATCTTCCTCATACCGTCAGTTAAGTATTTCGTGTGACACTTGCGAGATATACTCCTCTATCTATACACCTGCAGATAACATCTTCTCGAATAAATATTGGATCCGCGTAAATATTCGTTCTCTGTCTCATTCCTGACCGTCGATAGTATTGCTTGGAAACCCCAGCTTCATTCATCTCACCTTCCAGTGTATCAGCAACGGCAAGACGAGAAAACAAAATGTTTCTGCTCCGACTACTCAGTTTCTTTGTCTTCCTCCCTTTCCTCACGTCAACAGTCACTCTAGCCCAGTCCACCACCTCGACAGGCCTGACAGTCTCCTCCTCTGCCCTTGCCGACATTGAGAATCTAATCAGCGGCGCAAAGACGCTGCTCAGCACCGACAGCATCAACAACATCGAGACCACTTTGACGGGGGCAGCCACATTGCTGAGCGGCACAACGGCCAATGACACAAAGACATTATTGACCGAAGTCAGCGCTTTGCTATCTCCGGAACTGGTCTCTGCGGTTGGTCAGCTCGTTACTGCTGATACAGTCAATAAGTTGGGGGACATCGTGAACAATGCGCATACATTGTTGTCGGCGGAGTTCGTGAATCAAACGACCACCTTGATTAATGATGTGACGCCGGTGAGTTTACTTTCTCCAAAACAGCATCTGGCACCTGAAAAAAGTACTAACAATTTGTCTCCCAGCTTGTGGACGATTTATCAAAGGTATTAGGAGGTCTGCTATCAGCACTTTTGGGCTAAAGAGGGCAAAGAACGAGAAAAATGAGGGGGTTTTACTTATATACCGAATACGATATTTTCTGAGATTGTTTTTGTAATGAATACGAATTGACAGGTTGATTGCATAAATTTCGAAAAGTAGTCCGAGGATAGCTATCTATATACGCAATGTCCATGCAGTCTTGACCAGGCCTTAGTATGATATAAATAAATGAACAGTCCGAGGGTACCGTAGTCAGTAAATCAACCCGAAAAATGATTTTCGTAATCTATGCAGCGCTCCGAGGTATGCTATTCCTATCCGAAAATCCAAATTGAACTCCATAAATGCTCCTTGTGTTGATAACAAATTACGCCATTGCAGTGAACAGGCAATGCATAGTGCTCCAGGCTGTCCGACATTTACTGCCGAAGCATCTCTTCCACCTCTTTCATGACTCGCTTCTTTGGTATCGATCGGATGGCCCTCGGCAAGACTGGATAAATGGCTCTGCCCATGCCCATGGAGAATTTGTATCTGAAACGGCTCGTAGGCGATGATTGAAAGCCGTATTGCTCTCGAACGTGGGGKGGTAGCATCTCTGGCGTGATATTTTTCATGAACGGCATACTCATTTTAACCCAGCTGGGTACGTTGTGAAACTTCTCCAGATCATGCACAACAGGTCGTGCCCGTGTGTCAACATCCAGTTTCTCAACGTGCTCATCCCAGTAATCCCAAAATGCAGCACGATTAGCGGGCCATAATCCCTTGGGAATGTTCAATGTGAGATTGAGTAGGACCGTAAATTCACTAAACGCCTGTTCGGCCTCTTCAAAGCTGAGCTCGTGAACAATCCGTTGATAGACCTCTGTACCTGTAGCATATAGCGTTGCAGCTATCCATAATCTCAATTTCGGGTCTTGTGGGTAAGGACTCAGATGACTGATTCCGTTTCGTGCAACATGGCTGATTCGCCGCTGTTGTTGTTGTTGCTGTTGCTGCTGTTGTTGCGAGGCATAGATCCGGTCCAGAATCTGTTTCCGCTGTTGGCGAGTACCAAATGTCAGCCCGTAGAGGTAGAGAGCCGTCGAGTGTATGCTTTGATACAGTTGTTCGGCCAAAGTTTTGACCTTTCCACCGGCGCCTGTTTTGGAAGCAGTTCTCGCCATTCCGTGCGCTGCGGCCTGAAGGAGAATCGCCACGGCTCCTCCTGTCAACAGGATCCCCTCCTGGAGAATCTTGGGGACCTGCTGGAGCTTTTCCAGGGATTGGAGTATCTCATTTTCTGAGTCGGAATCCAGGGATCCAGTGAGGCGTACAAAATCACTGCTGTAGAACTCATAACTTTCCGTAAACCTGGAGCTAGCGCGTCGAATAGGAAGCGTTGCGGTGCTAGAAAAAGACATTTTGCGATTCTCTCTAGCCTAGATCCGGTGGCTAGAAAATTAGGAGGCACTTGATTTTCTCCTGTCTCTCAGCACAGCTGTAGACGGTAGAACCAGCACCGATTACTCGGGCAGGGTCATGATCCGAGCGACATGCTGAATAGCAAGATGTGAAGATGCTACTGTCAGTAAAAAACAAACATTAGCATTAGAATGATAGAGAGATAAAGCCAAGTCCCGTGATTAGCCAGCTCGGCAAGTACGGGGGAGCTGGGGAAGGAGCGGGGGAGCTACATCCATCCTTTCGACATTTTTTAACCTCTCACCTCTCATCGCTTCGTCCAATCCAGCTTAAGCAACATCTGTCCAGCCAAAAAGACTGGATGTCACAAGATCGCGTGTATTGACGTCAGCTAGTACACTCGTCTCTCTATTTCCCGAGGTTCGTTTTGACCCCAGTCAAAGACCCGCGCTAACCTCGCGCTAAGTTTAGGAGATTAAACGAGCTGACGACCGTGAGCCTGGCCTATCGCACAAAGACCGTATGTCATGACCCAATTGCATATTCAGAAGTCAGTGCTCTGCACCGTCGCACCGAGAGGAGTTCGCACAATAACTATCCATGTGCCATCTGGGTCATGGCAGTTACGTATCTAGTACTAAATGAGCTTGAATCATGCGCGTACAGTGGCACAGAGGCGAACAATCTAGTACAAAGCCTTAGCTTCAATTGGAAGGCTCAAGCAGCTGCCCTGTGGATACCAATCCCCCGCATTAGCTTGGTGCCGGTGCTCCTTGGTATTGGCTTAGTCCCGAGCGCAACAAAAATTTCTCAGGTCTGGAGGTACATACCCCAGTTCCCCTCCCGCTCGTTCTCCATTTTGCGCCGATCGATTCCGTCCTTGTACATTATTCCTGATCTAGTCCAGCGCTCGTCCAGCGCTCGTCCAGGTTGATCTTTGCGTCTTTCAGTTCGCTCCGACGCTAGCTATCTTAGTCATTTTGATTCATCTCATCCGGCAAATCAAAGCAGAACGCGCCTCTGATTCTGCTCACTAAATTACCAGTCATAGCACGAGTGGCTTAACCCTAAGAAGAAACCCCACTTTGGGGATGGCCCAGCACTTGCTTGTTCCTTACGCAAATGTTTCTTAGTGTCGGCTCACCCTAGCACATGGGCGTTGCTCGACTCCTTTCCCTGTTGGCTCCAGAGTCGGGATTCATCCGTTGCAGCAGGATCCGGAGACCAACACAGGAAGGAATGACCTCTCGCTTCAGTACGCCGATCCGACTGCCGCCTTATCTTGTTTTCTGTTCCGAAGTTTATCTGAGGTATGACCGGAGACGCTGTACCAGATGGGCATGTGAAAATCCAAAGATGGTATTACCATGCAAAGAGCCCCATACCAAAATTCAAGAACGCCGAGGCCTAACTCTACACTTTCCCCGTACATCATCCCCAGGCCCACTTCTCGCACACGAGCTCGCTCTTCTCCCAATCATGATAGCTTTGGCCACGATCATCGTGAGTAGAGTAGAGGCCGCTGGAGTAAATTTTGCCCTACTGGAGCTTGTGAAATTAGTATCGACTGACTTTTCCGTGGGGTAGTGTAGCACTTCCTTGGACGAATTGAGCTAGATATGAAGCTATTGATCTACCGACCCATGGGGTTTTGACTAGTCCTATACAGCTTAGTTGCTTTAATTGTTCCCTTATTCCCATTCTGCAAAGTTACGTCGCTTGTAGTTTGTTCTAGTCTTCTCTCTTTCCTCTTGTCGCGCGCCATTGTTCCATTTACTGCTTTGACTGTCTACACTTGCTCTATGAAGGACTTCATAGTGTAAGTAGGTAAGCAGCTACAGTAAATCACGGCCAGACGGACCATTGATTCGTCTCGCTGAGTTTTGCGATTTGAGCTTGGTGAAACAATCGCAAAGCAACAAAAGGCCAACATGTCGGAAATTGAAAAGCCCGTTGAAGAAGCTCCTGCTGTTACAAGTGCAGGTGCTTCCAATGGAGCTGCTGCCGGCCAAACAACAACAAAGTCTCCAACTTTTCTCGACAAGCTATCTATGTTCACTGTTGGAAAGAACCGGGGACAATTGCCGACTGAAAAGGGTATGTGGCTGCAACCCTACCTGTATCTTGGAGCGTTTAGTGTTTCTGCAAGAGCCGTGGAGGATTTCGACCGGAGAAGCAGGAGCTTACGCGCCTAAAAGAGAAAAGAAATTCCCCGGCTAATTGAAAATAGATGTAGCTACGGAATCAGACGAGAATGCGGCTCCTCCACCTCCTCTCACTTTCTGGCAGAAGGTGAAACTCCACTTCAGACGTTACTGGATCTGCCACCTGATCGTACTTATCATTCTTTTGGCTATCTTGCTCCCTTGCCTGTAAGTCACAAGAAAGATGACTATGGGATTACGAGTCACTAATGACTTTAACTAGTTTCCTATTGATCATACCTGCAATTGCGCAGGATTTACTTAACAGTGGCTCAATTGTAATCGATTCCGCGTCAATTCTACAGCCTACCAACAATTCCGTGATACTTTCTATTGCTTCGCACATCTACGTTCCCGGCCCATTCACTGTACACACGGATGAAGAACATCTTCAGCTGTATGTTCCTCAAGTTGGATCCGACTACCCGATGGCTCTCCTGAATCTGCCAGCAGCAAGTGTTCATAAGAACACCTCTATTGGAGAGAACGGCCAGTACACTGTATTTGAGAACTACACATCATGGCAGAACTTTGTCCACAATACCATCTTCCTGAGTGCTGGTAGTTTGGGTCTGAAAGGCAAAATTGGTACGCAGCTTGGGAAGATTAAGAAATTTACTCTGGATTTGGACAAGCAGGTTCCTTCCAATGGTGGGTTCTTTTCCGTCGCCTCGTTAACCTTACTCAAATTGCTAACATGTTATTTCGTCCCTTTCAGGACTGGCACAATTTAGCGGATTCAGCATCGACTCTGCCAGCTTGGTTCTACCAGCCGAAAGTGATGGCACGAATCTCATTGCGAATGCGACCTTGCCGAACCAGTCTGTACTGACTCTTGAAATCGTATGTTGAATCCTTCAAAGTGGATGATTAAAGCACCTAGATTGCTAATATTAACATACATATAGGGTAATACAACTGTTGATATCAAGGCCGGTAACCTTACGATTGGTAAAGGCATTATCGAGAACCTCTACTTGAAACCCGGAAACAACTCGGTACAGATCCGGGGTACTGCGAACTTAACCACGATTCTTGATAACCTCAGCTCGCTCATTGCCCAGCAAAAAGAATACATCAAAAACGGTTATCTGTCACTCACCACCCAGGTTACCGACATCTCGTATAACGGAAGCACAGTTCCATACTATACCGAGGAGATGGGTAACTTGCCTCTGACCGCACAGACACCTTTACTGGGATTGTTACTCAACACACTGTCGGGCTTCCTGCATAGCGGAGCTGCGAACACGACCAATCTGACTTCGATTCTCAAAAATTACACAAGTAATCGTGTGACCCGTGATAACACTGATGATATCCTCAACAACGCCACACAGTTGGAGGTCGTCGCCAGGCATCATTTAGAGAGATTAGTCAAGTTATAGGTTGATAACAAGATGGGAGAGTCTTACGAGTCTTGACCTAGAGTGGGTTTGCAAGATACCGTGCTACATCTAAACTTGTAGCTTATGTTACTAATGTTTATTTTATGAATTATGAAATGCTGTGTTTACGCATGTTCCTAATTGAGATTGGAGTATTGTACATATTTAACCAATTGAATGTGACTCAATTCTGGCAGATATTCAACTCGTTTGTGCATAGTAGCTCTCGAGGTCGCCTCGGCAGACGGAAAGTTAAAGCAGGAATGCATAATTGCATCGCATATTTTGAAATGGCGAGATATTATTGTTGGTCATCAGGAGAGCGCAATGTAGTAGTATGAATTATTAGTTGTACATGTATCAAACATCCAAAACAACAACATGCCTAAACAGCAGTCACATTAGCCAAAACACCAGGCTGTAACCTTTCCAGCTTCGAACACAAAGCCCCCCAAACATGCTCAGACCTCTGAACCCCTTCCGCACTCGTGATAACGGGAGCGTAAGCCTGCAATTCTCCAGCACGCATATACCCGCCATGACTCTCTCTACCCGTTGAAGCAGCTTTGACAATGAGTCTAGATCCTTCTTCCGCTGTGCGGGCGAACAGAGATGCAAAAATGGCACGCGCGACTTTTGCGGATCCAGATGATTCGCCGCCTAGGCCTGTCTTGCAGAAACATGGATCGAGGGTGTTGATGACGATTGAGTCGTCGACGCTGGAGGATAGTTTGATGACTGCGTATAGGAGTAAGAGCTTGGAGATATTGTATCTAAACAAAAACGTTAGCCGGATGCATACATATGTATGCAAGTGTAAACATAGTGAAAAGCTTACTGATTCATAACCTTCACGTGAGACTTTGTACAGTAATAAGTGAAGACATCGTCTTTAATGTTCTCTGGGTACTGAGCTACATCGTACAATGCCGAGCCCACAAAAGTCATATGCGGCGTACTGTCGTACATTTTTGCAGTCTGCTTCAACTTGGGAAGAAATTGCAATGCCAGTAAGAATGTACCCACAACATTGACAGCTATTGTCCTCTCAGTGCCATAGACAACTTGAAATTCATGCGCGGCAAGACCAGCGTTGTTGATTACTACATCTAGGCGCGGTAAATTATTGGCTCGTTTAACGAAGTGGCTGATTGAATCGGCAGATTCTATGTTGACTGGCCAAACCTCAAGGATGTCTTTATTGCAATTTAGAGCACCCTCGATTTGTTCTTTGGTCTCATTGCCCTTTCTAGTGTTACGACAGGCTAGTATGACTTTGCTGGCGCCTAGGCGGGCGATGTGCTTGGCTGCTTCTTGGCCTAAGCCAGAGCTGGCGCCTGTAATTATGACTGTTTTGGATGCGAATGAGGCAGTCGGTTTAGATATTTGGAGAATCAGTTGTGTGTGAAGAAAGTTTCTTATTGAAGGCATGCTGACGAACGTCCTCAAGAGTTGCAGTAGAAGCAATATTCTGTACAATCTTTTGAATTTATCAGGCCTGTAAGCTATGTGTACTTCTGAGAACTGAATGACTAGAACCTATGATTCTAGTCCGCGACCTCCATTTATTTCAATCCTATCTGGAATGTAGTTGTCAGGCAAATTTATCTCCGCGGACATTAGGGTTAGCCTAAGCCATTTATCTCCGCGGTCTTAAGACACCTTGCCCCCACGCCTTCAGCCCATCTCGAACTACCAACGTCCAACAACTCACTACATACCACTTGCATTATTAACCGATTTTTATCAGCATCATGCCAACACAGGACGCCGGGCTTAACTCCATGGCGCCGTCGAAGGTGTACAAGTCCAGCCGACGAAATCGCGTCCCACTGTCCTGTGAGCCCTGCCGGTCTAGAAAGTACCTAATCCCCTTCGGACCAGTTTGAAGAATGTACCGCTGACAAACCTATTCAGGTTAAGATGTAATCGCGAGAAACCATGTTCAAACTGCATAGTTCGCGATGAACGAGCATCTTGCAAGTATGAGAGTCCCAAAAATGAACCAGCAACATTCCAACACCATGGGACTAAGCAAGGACACTCGATGCAGCAACGGATAAATCACTTGGAGGATCTAGTAAGGAATCTGATAGCGCAGAATCACAATGCGCCGATAACACCTGAGGGTGTTGAGACCGGAGGGTCGTTCAAGGATTCAGTTATTGATGCCTCAGAATCGACACATAGCCCAGGTAAAACGGTGATTGATGGTGGTCATTCCGTCTACAAGGGTGCAGAGGACTGGTATGATATACTACAGGAGGTAAATGATCACAACTAATTTTTGCTTTGTTTTTTGCCATGTTCTGACCCTTGTCTAGATTAACAAACTCAAGCAAGTCTGGAGCGAAAGCCAAGATGACCCTACATATAACGTGGCTCCCACTTTATCGAATATGGTTGATGGGTCAAGCTTGCTCTTTGGCCAGGTTCAGCGAACAGATAAAATCGAATTGCTGACAACACTGCCACCTAAACATCAAGTGGATAAGCTCATACACCACTTTTTTGATCGTGACAATTTTCCTATTACAATCGTTCGTAAGTTGACTTGGCCCGTCAAATCTTTAAGAAAACATCTGAAGCTTACAAAAGCAAAGCGATTCTACATGAACCGACTTTTATGCGTGAAGTATAGATTCTGCTAAAATCACTTGGTGATGCTCCTAATATCATTATAGTACTCCGAGCACTGGAAAGATCCAACCAAAACCAGTGTCATATGGCTCGGACTACTCTTCTCCATCCTGAGCATCAACATGCTTGCATACCAACAATTCGGAGAACCACCAGATTACGAAGGAATGTCCGAGCCCCTAGTCCAACTTTACCGACTACGCACGGCACAGTGCTTGATTATCGGCGACATGGCCAAATGCCTACCCTACACAATCGAAACATTACGTCTATATGCAACAGCAGAACTCAACCGCAAAGACGACAATAGTCGAGGCCTCTGGATAATGACCGGAGTGATTGTCCGTGCAGCAATAAATATGGGTTATCACCGTGACCCGTCTCAGTCACCATCTCTTACTCCCCTGCAAGCAGAATATCGACGCAGAGTGTGGATATCTGTGATGGAAATGGATGATATGGCTTCATTCGTTGTCGGGTTTCCGCGTATGGTCTCAGGGAATGATTTTGCGGATACGATGGAGCCTCGAAATTTGTATGATTGGGAGCTTTCGGACGATCTTACTGTGTTGCCACCATCCAGACCCATGAGCGAAGTTACACCTGTGGCCTATCTGATATCCAAAACACGATTGTTCCGAGCTCTGGGTAGTATCACTGATTTCAACAATACTCCGACCCAGGGACCATACGAGCAAATCCTCGATATCGACAAGAATCTAACCAAGGCATATCAAGATCTTCCCGCAGATTTGCGAATGAATGGCCAGCAATGGGAATATACGGTAAGCGGCAAAAAAGCCACTGGCTCGAATACGCAGTTGGAGCTTCTTTATCATCAAGGGATGTGCCAACTTCACCGACGATTCATCGCCAAGGGAAGAATGGACCCTCAATATAATCACTCGCGTGAGCGATGTATATCGTCGGCGCTTACATTGCTCAGGTTTCAACACATCATGGAGCCCTTTTGGTATAACTTCTCGCGGGCGAGAAAGATCATCGCGCTCTCTGCAATGATACTCTTTCTTGAATTGGAGTGCAGACGTAAAAACTCCGAGTCGAATACGTTCTTTCCGGATACCGGTGAGTTACTAACAGCATTGAGCACATCCTGTGCCCTCTGGGAGAAAGCTCAAACAGTCTGCGATGATGCGCAAAAAACATATAAAATATTGTCGGGGATGCTGTCAAGTTTCCAGACGTCAGTGGGCTCCAGCTCTACGTCACAGTTAGAGACACCGCGACCACTATTCGAGTTTGCGGGAATGGGTTCGTCGATTCAGCCTGGTACTGCCAATTTTTCGGATGGTAAGGAATGGCTTCCGATGTCGGAAGACATGAATATTGACTGGGTAAGTCTCTCTAACTTGTTGTTGGTCATTGTGTATTGACTCTAAAATAGGCTTCGTGGGATGCTTTTATTGAGGGTGCAATCTTCGAGGATGAAGTTTGAATTGTTGGAACCAGTACATTGACTGTTGTTGAGTAGTAAGAAAGCTATAAATGCACCTAGCTACGACCAGCAATTTGTAAATCAAGGCATATTACTTATTTCTCTGTTGGATAGTCATATGTAGCAAGAGCCAGGCACTATTATATGTGTATATAGCGCTTAGCAATAGGTCCTAAATATTCCCAGGCTCACTGGCCGTCTTACGACTCTTCAAGTCCGACGAAGAGGAGGATTCAGCACGTCCCTCATCATCCTTTCCCCAGTGCTCATCACCAATGGATATACTACGCCGCCATTGAGACTTCCCATCTTGTTGTGACTCTATACGAGCCATATACCGCAACAAACTTTCCGTCAGACGATTCAAAACCCATTCAGATTCCGTCTGTTCCGCCATCATGGGACTATTCTCGCCCATCCAATCCCATTCTATCAGGCCCCATTCATTCTCATCAATATTGACTTCTGGGCCTTGTTGTTTTGTGTTTGGATTGGTAAAGCGGATGAGTTGCGTAAACTCGACCCATTCTTCGTACGTATATCGTTTGATGTCTCCTGCAACCACGTCCTGCGTGACTCTGCGAATGGCGAATATCAAATCCCGTGCAAGGCGTGTCGGCGATCGGCGGTGTTTCTCGAGCTCTTCAATTGTTCGAGGACGAGGGTGAGCACGCTCATAGTCGGTAGTTGCCTTTTTTTTGCCTGACGCTTCATCGATGTTTTCGGGGTCCTGTTCTCCAACGGTAAAGCCTCGCTCAATACGTATTCTTTCAGCTCGTCTTTCGAGCCATTCCCGGACCTTGGGGAATTGGGATATGAATTCGACATATCGGCCCTCTTTAGGTAGTACCGTGAATTCCGCAATGTAGTTTGTCGCGTTGTCGACGCCGGCAAGGATCGTGTCGCTCATTTTGGAGATGAGGATCGTCATTGTGGGTATAGCGATTAGGGACCAAACGATGAAGAACGGTCGTCCACCGTTACTCTGCGGTGTGATATCTCCATACCCGATGGTGAGCAAAGAGCAAAATCCAAAATACAGCGCGTTGAAGTAGGTAATATTCTCGAGTCTCGAGAAGACGCCCGCTCCTCCGCACCAGACAATGGCGAAAGCGACGAGACTCATAAAGAGGGACATCCAGCGGCGAAACCTTAAAGTTTCATCCTGTATAGCTCTCATGGCATTGAAGCGGTCCTTTTCCTCGCGCATGATTATTGTTCTTGATCTATTGGGGTTGACGAAATTAGAAACCATATTCTGTAGCGGTCTACGCCGTCCCGCGAGCTTCTCAGCTTCTTGAAATTTTCGTTTCCGACCTTCAGGGGTTCTTTCATATTCTTCATCGATAGTAGTAGACCGTTTCAAGACTTCCACTCTTCTTCGGTGAAGATGGCCCTTGACAACATTGGCATTAGTGAGCTCTCGCGCGAATCGACTGATACTCGCAACAATGAGAGCCAAAATAATGATCCCAATAACTGCATATGGGAAAATCAATCCTCTCGCCACGTCATTTCCTGCGGTAATATCACCATATCCCAAGGTGAGCACTGTCACATCTGAAAAGTACAAGGCATCGGAGAAGCTGATGTCTACTAGCTGCTGATACATAGCGGCGCCAATGGCAAGCCAAATCATGAAGGAAGTCGTCTGCAAGATTAGCGTTCGTTGATCGTCTGTAAGGGCGAAATGTTCAGGATAGTGGCCCAGGACATAACCCAGCATGTTGATCATTAGCATTACGGCTAATATAAAGTAAAGGACGGCTGCTATCACGGCGCTCCAGTAGCCTTGGGAGAACAGCTCGCCTGGGGGCACTGGCGGGGKATAAATATGCACAGATGCTATTATCCCTGCCAGCTGTTTGCATCGGACAGTCGGATTAGCTAACGTGTCACCAGAAAAAATAATGTAGAGTTGATACTTACTATCCCGGTGGCCAGAAACCATAGGCCTATAGAAGCCGGTAAGGCAAAAATGTACCGCATTTTTTGCGTAAAATTGAAGAGGAGAAATAGATTGCCCAGCACCCCAAAGACCAAAGACGAAGCATTAAGGCCCATACACCTGTTTCGAATATTAGCAAAACTCCGCCTAGGCTCACTACTTGGTCATCCTAAGACATACCAACTAGAGTCCTTGATGCCAGTTTGAAGTGTTCTTCCTATACTATCGAGCTGATTGGGGTGAATCTCATTTCGCCACGAAGTCACCAAAGCCACAACAGACATAAGATTGGCCAGCGGAGCTGTAGTTGCGGCCACAAGCGGAATAGCCGTTGAGGCTATCCACCAATCTCTACACGCTGATTAGCCATTTCGACATACAACAACAGATAAAACCGCAGACAATTCCGTACTGTGTCTGATCCTCTTCCCCATTCTGCCATTCATTGAAAGTTTCCCGGAATTGACTCAAACTCCAAATCCATCTCGATCGGTAGACTTCAGCCTCATTCTCGGCTCTGAATATAATGTGTGGTCCCTCCGCGGAATCGTTTGAATCCATGTCGGATCCTTCGGAAGGAGCAGATCTCCTTGATGTCTAGGACAGTATATCACGAGAGGGATGCATATTAGGTGCAAAGCTTCCACAGTGCATATCAGAAATTGACAGCTTGTTGTGCCGATGACAGAACTGTAAGTAGGTTATGATAACAATAGTGTGGCACGCTATGTTAGTAGGGATGAGCAGGATCTAGGATTTTAATATCACCGTGGAGGCCCGCTGCCTAGATGACCGTTGTTTCTATGCATAGATGATATCTACCGAGATATAACGAGATATAACGTGAAATAGTAAAAAGTGATACAAGTGCTGTGTTGAATGAGAGTAGAGGTAAAGTTTTGCGACGCCCAAACTTGGATGATCCGTGGATTCCTAGTTGTGTATCGTAATTACCGCGACAATACGATAATTGTATTATTCGCAAGGTCGGTTTTGTGGGCAACTATCGCGACACTTGGGACTGAGTGACTGACTTTACTTCTATGAGGATATTTTGAAACAGCCTGAAGTTTCTAAAGGCTCATACCATTCAAAACAGCATTCATTTTGATGCCGTACTCGGGCTCCATGCCGCCTTCACTCGTATATTATTGGTCACAAGCACATTCGTACACATATATGGTCATATGGCTTAAGCTTGCAACATACAATAGCCGCACCTGGTGGTCAACGATCGTTGTTTAGGCGGTGGGTTTGAGATGAAGCTGCACTTGACATGACATCATCTTCAAGCTGGTAGGGAGAGGTATTGTCACGCGTTGTAATGCACACGTAACAATCGGTATGCATCTAAATTACCTGGCCATTCTCGAAACAGACTAGCGCATCCGTCTTGGCCCACATGAGACATGTCGCGAGACGATGACAACAAACGTGGATTTCATCATCACAAAGATCGACAGTTGAAGGAATACACACATGATGTTCTCGCTAACACAGCTTTTGATGCTCTCAGCAGCACTCCCAGTGCTGTCAACGGCTTTTCCAACACAGAATACCGAGAAAACACCCTTACCACTGATCATATGGCACGGACTAGGCGACAGCTATCAGGCCGATGGACTCAAGGAAGTGGCACAACTTGCCGAGGAGGTTAACCCTGGCACATATGTACACATAATCCATTTGGATGAATCCGACAACGGAGACCGACAGGCGACTTTTATTGGCAATGTCACTGAACAAATAGCTCAAGTCTGCGAACAACTGACTTCGGAACCCATTTTGAGCACAGCGCCGGCCGTTAATGCTCTCGGTTTCTCCCAAGGCGGACAGTTTCTGCGGGCTTTTGTCGAGAGATGTAACTTCCCCAAGGTCCACAACTTAGTGACTATGGGAAGCCAGCATAACGGAATTTTCAAATTTCAGTCGTGCGAGAGCACTGGGGATTGGTTTTGCCGCAGCGCTGAGGCTCTCTTGCGCTTTGGACGATGGTCTGATTTTGTTCAATCTCGCCTTGTTCCCGCGCAATATTTCCGCGATGTCAATGAGTATGATTCATATCTTGAGCACAGCAACTTTCTTGCCGACATCAATAATGAGCGTGAGTTAAAGAATGTTGTATATAAATCAAACCTCGAATCATTGAATCGCTTCGGCATGTTCATGTTTTCGGAGGACACGACATCCGTTCCGAAAGAGAGTGCCTGGTTTGCCGAAGTGAACCAGACCAGCGACGAGATCACGACTCTGCGAGATCGCTCGATTTACAAGGAAGATTGGCTAGGGCTACGCTCGCTGGACGAGCAAGGAAAACTCGACTTTAAGACTATCCCGGGTCCGCACATGGCACTTACTGAGAAGGTATTGACTGAGGTATTCACGGAATACTTTGGTCCCGTTGAAGTTCCAGATAATTCAGCAGATCTGCCTCGTTTGGTTGTACAAGGCGCTTGAATTTTGACCGTGCTGTTTTTTTGTAACATATTATCTTGGTGAAGGAGTGCAAATTTGGTAATGGTTTTGCTTTGATCAAAGAATGGTATATGAATGAGAATATGGCAGTCCGGAAAACATCACATATTGAACCCGCATGGGCACATAATTAGGAATGAGATCTCCGTCAATCTATAAGTCTCATACATACAATATATGTAATCATCCACAGGCTGGGGCAGTAACCACAAATAAGATTCTATGAACTATGAACAACCATTCACGAAACACCAGAATGACAGTCTATTCATAGAAGAACATGTCTGCCTGATATGGAGTGGCTAGCAACTTCAAAATAATTTCTCGGAGTTGATAGCCGCTGTCGGGCCTTAAATGTCTCCTCGGGCCCGAGATTTCTGTCCGGGACCGAAGGAAAAAGGCACCGACACCCCTCAGACAGCCAGGAGAATTATTATAAATATCCAAATCTCTAAACTCTTTTATCTGTATTATACTGATAAATCATCTTCATTATTGATCAATACAAAAACATCCAGTTCAACATCTATCAACATGGCTGAAAAGTCATATCGCCAATTGTCGACTCCGGACGGCACTACCCCAATCAACGAAAAGCCCATCCAAGAAACCAACGCTGCTCCGAAAAATGCTCCTGATGACCATGAGTATCCCGGGACGTTGTCTCTTGTGGCTATTATGACAGCGTTGTACCTTGCCATTTTTCTCGTTGCTCTAGTAAGTCTTTCACTATCAGGTAGGCAATCTGTAAGAAAAACATACTAACAAATATCGCACGTTCAGGATCGAACTATTATCGCTACAGCAATTCCACGTATCACCGACGACTTTCATGCGCTGAACGATATAGCCTGGTACGGTAGCGCCTACCTCCTCACCAGCTGTTCATTCCAGCTGCTCTACGGCCGCATCTATACATTCTACAGCCCGAAGTGGGTATTCCTTGCAGCCATCATCCTATTCGAAGTCGGGTCTGCTATTTGCGGTGCGGCGCAGACATCTACAGCTTTCATCGTCGGCAGAGCTATTGCCGGCTTGGGCTCCTGCGGTATCTTCTCCGGATGTATTGTGATCATCACCGATGCTGTACCGTTGCAAAAGCGTCCGATGTATACCGGATTAATGGGTAGTCTGTTTGGTATTGCCTCTGTCGTGGCACCATTAATGGGAGGCGCTTTTACGGATAATGTAACGTGGAGATGGTGCTTCTATATCAACTTGCCCATTGGTGGTATCACGATCTTGGTGATCCTGTTCATTTTGAAGGCCTCGCCACCACCAAATCCTAGCCCAGCAAACAGCTGGAAGGAGCGACTCCATCAACTCGATCCATTCGGCACAGCGACTTTTCTTCCAGGTATGATTTGTCTGCTCCTAGCGCTGACGTGGGGAGGCGAGACTTACCCTTGGAACAATGGACGTATTATCGCCTTGTTTATCCTCTCTGGTGTACTCCTGATCGCCTTCGTGTTGATACAAGCATGGAAAGGAGAGACCGCCTCGGTTCCCCCTCGAATCGCAAAGAAGAGAACCATGATGGCAGGCTTCTTTTTCACCTTCTGCCTGGGTGGCAGTATGATGGTTGTTGTATATTACCTTCCTGTCTGGTTCCAGGCTATCAAAGGGGCGAGCGCAGTGAAATCGGGTATTATGAACATTCCGTTGGTCTTATCTCTCGTTCTCGGATCGATTATTGCTGGAGCTTCCGTTACAAACCTTGGCTATTTCACTCCGTTTATGATTGCTGGCAGTGTTGTAATGTCTATCGGTGCCGGGTTACTCACCACATTCACTACGACGACCGGACACAGCAAGTGGATTGGGTATCAAGTCATTCTAGGGCTTGGTATCGGTATGGGCATGCAACAGAGCAGCGTTGCTGCGCAGACTATCCTAGAGCGAAAGGACGTCCCGACAGGTGCATCGATAATGATGCTGGCACAGTCTCTGGGAGGATCAATCTTCCTCGCAGTCGCGCAAACAATTTTCACAAACGGCCTTTCTGACAATTTACGAACCGAGGTCCAGGGTCCGGACGCCCCAGACATCATAAATTCAATAATCGCAGCTGGCGCAACTGGATTCCGCAGTCTGCCAGAGCTCACTTCTGAGAACCTCGCGGCCATTTTGAGTGCTTATAATAAGGCTCTCACGAACACTTTCTACGTCTGCGTGGGACTTGCAAGTGCTTCCATTATCGGAGCTCTTGCGACGGAATGGGTCAGTGTTAAGAAACAAAAGCACGACAAACAAGCTAATTTGAAGCAAGTGGAGGGAAGTTGTGAGCTGGATACTTTGGAGAAGCAAAAGGAATCAGTTTGAAAACATTGTTGGTATGCGGCCTGATTATTGAAGGAAGAGGTAAAAGATATACAGGGAGAAGGAAAATGATACCCAGGTAAAGCTTTTGAAATATTTATTTGTACTGATTCCACTCATGCTTTTTGATATTTTCATTTGTTATTTCGATTCGGTCGATGGCGGGAGTATTAATGTTATGGAAATTGTACACTATACACAAATAAATTATTGACATAATGAAGGATAATAATACATAATCAAGCACAGAATGAGACTTTACCTCCATTGCAAGTATTATGATAAGGGCGGAGGAAAGAGCATATTCATATCGTTAGCATTGTAGTCTTGAAATTCCTGGAGCAGGGCATCCCATTGATCCCAATCAAAAGGACTGTCATTGAAAAGGTTTGCTTCAACCTCCATAGCGCCATTCGTTGCGTCGTCACCGTCATTCGCGTCTGCCTGCTTATATGTATTTCCTTCTGTACTGATTGGGAACGATCCGAAGGTACTCTGAGCACTATTGTTGATATGACTCCTACTTGATGTCAAAGTCGGGGTGGGTATGTCATGTTCGGAGCTTGTCTGTTGCCGCTCCCCTGTTGCCTCACTCGAGATTGAAAACGTTGACGGAAGTGGTACATCTTGATGAGCATATCGCCATAGCAAACTGATAAACTCGGGTTGTGGGAAGGTGTCAACTTGGCTGCGCTCCGCCTCTGTGACATGCGCCGACCAAGCCTTGATTGCTAGGTTGGCAACTGCTAAATGCAGAGGACTTCGTTTACGTTGAGTCATGATCTTTTGTTGGCGTCTAAATAGTATATCAATCAGTTGCCAGGCTTTGGCTACTTCTTGCCCAGTCTTGCGATAGCGTAAAACCAATAGCATGATAATCAGAGCTTCCCAGGGAAAATGGAAATCAAGATACCAATGAAACTTTTGTACTTTCTGACTTCGGAAAATTGGATCCGCGAATTCGAGAAGCCTTAGGCAAAGATTGAATAGCAAGTCCCTTTCGGCTGGTGGGAGAGGCTGTCCCCTTTCCTGGAATTGTCGTGGATGATGTACCCGTAGCCGTGAACTAGTTACGGCCGATTTGGCTACCACAAATGTCACGAAATGTAAGGGAATGGAGGAATCACAATGACTGATATACTTTCGTTCGAAAATTTGCTCGAGTTCGTCGATCATGCCGTCTTTCTGTTGGATAGGGATCGATGTAGAGCCTAGAAACTCCCAGAAACCGTCAAAAGATGAGGTCTTACTTTCAGCCTGCCTAGCAAGCCAAGCACCAAGCTCGTAAGACATCAGGCAAAAGATCATTTCGGTCGGTCCCGAGGATTCGTCCGGGATCTCCTTCATGTCGGGATCAAGAGCGCTATCATTGATATTACTCGGCAATCGAGTATCCGCCAAGGGCAACATATGTGATTCACAGCCAGCCAAGTGGCCTATGGTGGCATCAACGACTGTCAAGTTCCACCAGATTCGTCGACGCATCTCTGCTTCAAAGACAGATAAACCCAGCTTTGAGCCGTCCCTGTGAAGACCGATGCGTTGCGCTATTCTGATGCAGATTCCACTTAATGACCAAAGAACATGTGGATTGTACACAAGCCGGACAGAAAGCTGTGAATAGTATTAGATCGTTTCCGGTAGAACTCGCTTTGATACGTACTATGAAGAGAATAAATGCTTGGAGCACCATAAGCTCCGACGTTCCAAGGACTCCTGCATTTACCAACGCCTGTTGTGCATACTGCCGATATCGAGCCAAAAGGGTGGATTTCGATTGCTTGAAGTACTTCTGGACTTCGTCCACCTGCATGGACAGCAACGCTGATGAGTAGATTGAAAACATAAGAGCCTCCATCTCGGGTGACAAAGAGCCCAGGTCGCTTGCAGCATCCAGAATTTGTTGTTGTAAGGAAGGTACATGGACAATCTTTGTTAGTGGATTGATACCGTCAAGAAATGTATGCCACAATTGAAAGATCTGTATCGTATTTGGATGGCAATGTGTGAGGACTTGACGTGATTTTCCACCTCCAAATAGGAAGCTACTATTGAATTCTTCGCCATTTTGAATTCTAGGTTCCGCAGATTTTTCTGAGACATCCTCTGGGAGTATGTCGTCGGCGTCTTGAAGTTCATGGCTAACGCTTTTCCACAGATGACTATCAAAAATGTGAGCATACGAGAAAACCGAAGTTTGGACGATTTCACGCACTTGTCAAGGTAAAGGGATCTCCCCTTTCTGGAGACTAATCTACCTGGCCCTTGCCCAGGACTGTTCTCGGTTGAAATAATGCTATGGTTGTCTCGCGATACCGGAGTGTTTCGAATGCTCGCGGCTTCAACTGTATTTCTAGTATTCATTCGCAGAGGCTCCTCCGCATCAATTGAAGACACATCGATTCCGGCTTTCTGGAGTGCATGTTCGTAGTGCCGGACCCGAGCAGCCAAAGTGGTCTCGGAATCTTTCTTTTTTCGCCTCCGAGGCGGTAGCGGTTCACGATACTCACAGACCAGCCATGCTTTGGCACAGGTTGCGCATGGTTGTCTCCGGTCGCATTTGACCTTTCGTCGCTGGCAGAGAACGCATGCATGAGCCTTGAGGCCATCGACAGTAGAGCTGGTGTTCGGCGTTTCCGCCATGGAAGACGCCCCCCTTAAGAATCCACAATTTTATCTCGATTGTGGTCAACCAATTCACATAAGAAATCCCAATCAAAAGATATCACTCCAAGACATCGAAATAATGTAGGTGTCAGGAGGATGCAAGAATGGACGGAGTCGGACTCGGAGTCTCGGAGAACGGGCGAATGACTCGTGCCGCGGCGCTAGTCCGAAAGAGGCTGTATGTTGCCCGTCTGAATGTCTCAACTTTCAAGCAGCACAGCCTCAGGTTTCACCCTTTCACCATCAATAATTTGAATTCAGGATGCAACGCATGGCGCAAAATGGCACCTGACACTTCCAAAGATTGCATCATGGTTATTTCAACCCGGGCAACGTCAAATCTTCTCCAAGACTTTTACCGCCCACTACAACATGCGTCGTCTTTTCTCCTCGCCAAAGAAAGCCAGCGAAGGCGGGCACTCTTCAAAAGAGAAGTCTTATAAATTCGGAGGGTTGAGAAAAACCAAACCCTTCAAGTAAGATCAAACGTTGAATCAAACTATCTCGCGAGTTGTGCCTGCACTAACCGATCTGTGCAATTAGGATTATCGAGGAAGATGTACAACCTACGCCTACAGCCTCTTATTGGGACAATCTACCGGTCGAACTCCAAATTTCAATATTTATGGAATGCGGCATACGTGACTTTCTATCCTTGAAGCTTGTCTGTCGCGGGTTCAACGAGGTCTTGACCGTACACGAACTGGCTATCGCTCAAAAATATCTACGACGTCGACGTCATGGCACACTCCCATCCACAACCAACAACGAGCGGACATACACAATGAATCCAGAGGACGACGTCGTTCTTCTCTCCGACTTGTTCCCTCCTGCTAAGAGTGCTAAAGGTGGGCACCTTTATACTTTTAGATACTTACATACTCTCCGACGCAGGCAGGATATCTGTGCTCGGCTGTCGTACTACCTGGCAAATCGCGTGATGGATAATTTCTGCCGTTCCAATCAGAGCCGCGTTAAGTTAAGATTTCCTTCCAAATCAGAACGTGATCTCATGTTTGAACGTGGAACTGCGCAATTGCAATTCAAGCTCATTCCTCTAACGTGAGTACTGTTTTTACCATGCTCTACCAAGGCAATGTTAACGTATACCGTTCTTCTTCAGGTACTGCGTTGCGTACTTCTTGGAGACTTATGCCTCTGCACGAAAGGAACATTCGAATCATTTACTTCGAGAATACGAAGCTGGAAGGCTGCCGGTACCCATTCCTTTGCGTGTGCGCAGGGATATGTACATTCAACTACAAACCAATATCCTTCGCTCTCCTCCGTTCAACGATACGTCGACGCTTATAGCTACCCACCATTGCATGTATTTGCTTATTATGTCTCTTCTAGATACTCTGGTCGGTCCTCGTGGACATTCCGAGCGTGTTGACCCTCGTTGGATTGGAGGGCTTCTGACAGTGTCTGGATTCGGAAGGATTGTTGAGTACTTCTCTGCAGAGATTGGAGACGGAGCTCAAACTCGGACACAGCGTAAAGAGTTCATGACCAACTTTGAGAGGGACATGGATCTTAACGCGCGAGAGGAGATGCATCCATGCGTCTACGAACCTCCGCCAAGCGGTCAGCCACATCATTCCATTGTCCAGGAAGTTTGGCTTGACGCCGCAGGACGCGAATTAAGCTCTCGAGACGTGAACCCTCATGACTCGGAAAGATTTGTCATCTGGGACGAGATCCCAATATTCATAGGGTGTAATCAGTGCCGTGATGCTGATGGCTGGATGTCTTTTTGAGGAATGATCATGAACCTTAAGCACAGAAAGATCATGATAGTGGAGTTGAATACTCCAATACCAGCTTACGCAGCCATACAGCATCTATTCTAAACAAGCAATCTGGCCCATTCGTGCTGATCCATGAGCCCGTTATGTTTTGATCCTTCATGCAATACAGGTATGCCTCCACGATATTATGCACGGTACCGACACGACCGGTTGTTGTCTGTCTTTCCAACTTTTCAGTCACGCTTTCTCGAGATTCTTGGTCGAGTATATTCCACACTTCTGTATCGACTCCACCAGGGATGACCAGGTTTACTCGGATGGATTTTAGGTCAAAGGCCGTGCCTCTCATCATATCATGAAGGCCGCTGAGATAGGCACCTGTCGCAATCCAGCCAGGTATCGATTTTACACTGGAGACTCCGGAATTTAATACAATTGAGCTAGCAGGAGATGCCGCCAGGTTCTTGTATCCATATCGGCCCACGAGAAGCGGTGCAAAAAGGCGGACCATGCCTGCTTGCTTGATAGATTCAAGATCGGAGTCGATGAAAGGCGTTAAGAGGGGGGTGTCTCCGGCCGACTTGGGAGAACAAGGCTTGTACGTTCTAGCCCAGCTTTGACTCATCTGCCAAATCAAATTGGTAGGAGGCAATCTCAATGGACGAGGAAGGATATGAACTCCTTAGCTTTGAGACTGCCTCGTCCAGGCATTTTTGTGAGGATGAGATGTCGAATTTCGAACGCCGTGCTCGACACTAGCTTCTGCAACTCCAAGTCCGAAATCGGAAGTAACCCCCTAACAAGGACGTGAGCGCCCTTCGATTGATTGGTCCAGTTTAACTGGTCTGGCATTCTTTCCGATGTCTTCGTCAATGACTTCAGTCCTGCTGTAGGATCCTGCTTCATTGGCATCTACAAAGCTGTACATGCAGGTCAATCATATGTTACGGATGCGTGCCCGAGTTCTAAATCTCGATATGTCTCCAAAGATACCCCTAGCTTGGCTATGTTAGCGGATTTGCTTTCAAGATGGGTGAACGATAGCCCGAAAATGTAACGAGGTCGGCGATATTTTCTTTCCAACGAATATTCACTTTTCATAATCGTGGTTACACATATCCATATCCATTTCCAGCATATTGCCTACATGCTCGTAATAAATCACCCCATGTTATTTCCTGATGGTTGAGTGAGGCGTGATAGCCTCAGGTCGTAGACTTGTAGAACGGGTTTAATTCTATATTCAAAAGCGGTTAGCGCGGGTGTCCCATACAATTTCGACGCGTCTACATCCACCAAAACCATCTCTCTCCCTTTCACAAACAACACAGCATATATTAAATTCTGTAACAAAATGGTCATTGCAACACCTTCCCAGCTATTTAACACTTCATGGACGGCCCATCGCCTCTCGCCGCTCCATCACAGCAAGGACCATCGAGTCTTAATCGGCAATCAAGATGCACTAAAGACATACTCCAAACGTCTACGCGATCTGCTTACAGGCGACTTTTTACGTAGTATGCAAGTAACTCTGACAAAGACTGTCGCTGATGACGCGCTTAGTAAAGCAGGCGCATTGGTTGATTGTCGCTGGGAGTTCATCTCGACGAATGATTATCTTGATCACAACGAAGAGGATGATGAAGATGGGAATGAGTCGCAGATCGAGATGGGGAGTTGTATGGGGATATTCGTCACGCTTGAGTACGAGCATATTGCGTACAGAGCGGCGCTTCTCACAACTCCGGATGGATATGCGCCAGAATCAAAGGACAAAAGACGCAAACAGTCCACTCATTTACCACTACTATTAACGCGAATGCCGACTGCGTTGCGAAATACGTTTACTGAGTTCCTGACCTCGAGCTTTGATGCGTATTGCTCGACGTTGCAATTAACGCCGAAATTTCTGTCTATGATTCTAGAGGCGACGATTACGTATTTGGCAAGGAGTGGGAGTTCACGACAGGCGTCGAGTGTGATTCTAGAACAGGTGCTGAAAGAGACGCAGTTGACTCTTTCTTTTGGGAGGGAAATTGCGCCGGGGTTGAAAACGCTGGATGTTAATTTACCGCGTGAAACCTTGTCGACGTTTGCGCGTGGCGCACGCGACAAAACCACATCGCATTTCTCTACATCTCTGGCGCAATATATGGATCAACATCTTGCCATGAAAGTCGACCTTGGAAACACCAAAAACGATGCAGACGATGTACAGCACGTCTGGCTTAGCAAGGTTGCTACAGGGACATTTGTGTTGAACACAGAGGGCAGATTCAAGCTTATTGATACATCGACTCCCCAGAATCAGGAGGAGGGGCAGACGAATGTGCAGAGGTTGACTCGATCGGCGAATGAGCAGATTTTGACTTCATTGGTGCGGCGGGCTGTTGGTGAGGATATGATAACGTGACGATCTATGAAGACGTTTGGAATCATTTTACGTTATCCTAAAGATATGCTCTCATTGCTTGAAAGGTTTAATGGAGCCGGAAATTTCAGAACAGTCATAGCTGAGACGGGGGTTTTTCGTGAATCGCACGGCCTTGGTCCGCTTCGAAAGTTCATAGTCCAGTCCTCTGCACCGTGCAACATCTGAAATGCCTATGAAATCTGAAATGACAGACGAGCGCCTGTCAAAAGCTGGTACGGATGGCTCCCATATACACCGTCTTCTCTCGAGCAAGGAGTACAGACACCAGGTACGTGGCACCTAAAATCACGACTCTGCATGAAAGGGTTCAAGGGCTACAGCGGTAAATCAATCGACTTATTTCATGTCAACTGCTCATAAGTATACATTAACTATAACATCATTATATCAAAACAAATCTTGCGTTCAAATGCAAAAAGACGCCATAAGAAGTCTAGATCATTATGCATTAACAACCCACATCGTATCTCGTTAAAGCAAAGAACTTGTCTTATACAAGACCTTCTTGCAGATCCTCAATTTCAGTCAAACGCAAAGCTTCATCCACGCCTGGGACGAAATGTGTTGGTCCCCCGCATTTGTCGACTATTCCACTGCGCTCAAAGAGTTGGAAGACGGAGCCGTTGAGTGAAGGCAAGCGGCAGAAGAATACGCGTACTCCGCGGTTCACGTAGTTTTCTACAATCTCTAGTAGAACTTGAGTGCCGGAGGCGTCGATGCTGGTTACTCCGTGGACGTCAAAAATAACATTTCTGTCGCTTCCTGGTGGTCTGACTCGTGGAAGAGCCGGGTGGGCACGACTCGTTCCATAGAGCTCTAAGCGACGAAGACGACTTTTGAGATCTCCGGTGTTTGCGAATGTGAGGGGTTCGGGAATTTTGACGATCAGACAGCCTTCAATGAACTCGACTTTCTCGGGATACAGCTCGGCATTCTCGAATTGATTTGGAGTCCCCGAAACTTTGCCGAGAATCTGGATTCGTGGTTTTGTGGCATGTCGAATGACACGCAGGAGGGATAGGCCACAGCCCAGGGCGATACCCATCGTTAGAGAATAGAAGATTGTCGACAAGAAGATCAAAATCATCAATACGAGTTCTGACCAGCCTCGAACTTGAATGAAGAACCGCAAGTCATGCGGACATTCTTCGACCAAAGAGTAGGCGACTACTGAAATCATTGCACATAGCACAGCTTTCTGTAGGATGTGTCAGCGATATAACCGTCCAAGTAGAGAAAAATGCTTACCGGCAAATAGTACAAATAGTCCAGGAAAAAGACGACAACACCCAATGTGATAAGGCTGAGAAAAATACCGCTCATTTGAGTTCGTCCTCCAGCAGACGAATTAAATTTACTCCGTCCATACCCACCAAAGGCTGGGAGAGCCGTGAACAAGCCGCCAGTAACATTAGCCATGCCCAATGCTACCATTTCGCGGTTTGCTGATACCGGAGCACCTTTAATCCCGTCACGATCACCATCTCCGAGTCCCTTGGCAGCAACCGAAGATTCAAAAAAGCCAAGCAGGGCAATCATAAAAGAAGTACTCAGAGAAGAACGAATGTGAACCATCTGACTGGGACGAAACGGCCAATGAAACTGGAAAAGCCCGGATCCACCGGATTCGTCGGGCTTGACGTTGCCAAGGACCTCGAGGCCTTTTTTGTCCCATTCAAAGTACCAAGTGAGTACGGCTGAAAGGATAACCACTATGAGACGATCTGGAAAGTACACAACTTGTGGAAGACGTTTTGAAAGTTTTTGCTTCAAGGTTCTAGGAAAATTTAGTCTTGTACTTATGTTGAAAAGAGAGGAGTACAGACCTGAAGACCATAATGATAGCAAAGCTTGAAAACGCCACAATTGTCGTGAGTTTATGAGCATATTTCCCGTGATCGATGATGAAAATCAACTTTTCTACAGTGCTTGCATGATTTACGCCGCGAGCCCTTTCCATCAGCCCCATCTCTGGAATAAGCTGATCTACCATAATGACGAATCCAATGGCAGTGATGAAGCCTCGCAAGAAAGGCCGGCTGAGCACATTATCCAAGAAACCAAGACGAGATATTCCAGCAATCAAAATAAACGCTCCTGACAGACACGTCACTAAACCGACTATCTGGGCGTGCATCAGGGCATCTCCTTCGTGTGAATGACCAGATTCAACAGTTGCTTTGACGACGGTTCCCACAAGAAGCGACCCTGCTGCCTCCGGTCCGACAATCAACTGTGGACTACTTCCAAGTATAGCGTAAAGGAGCGGTTGAACGATAAAGGAGTATAGGCCGTTAATTGGAGGCGCATGAGCAAGATTCGAGGATAGGGATAGTGCCATGGGGATATAAACGGAGGATATGGTCAATGCGGCTACTAGATCGCCCCGGAGAAACTCCCATCGGTATTGGGTAATCCAGTTGACAAAGGGAATGTAGTAAGAGAGGTACCTATGACGATAATTAGCTCCATGAATCCAGCAAGGCTATGGCGACCTCGCGGTGTGATTAGAGCTTACATTCTCCTACTATTCTTCAAGCCCATCTCTGCAACTAGCCTGTTCGTGACAGAGGTACCATCGGTAGCCGGTGTTTGTAATCCAGACGGTATGAATCGAGGAGTTCTTGTCCCCCACAAGTAACTGCCTGCAAGAGAGCTCGGCTCCTGTTGTTCAGGTTTCGGGGAGAATGTGCCATGGTTGCAGTCTGGCAGTCCACACACGGAGTGTCTTCGGTCGTAATCTTCTAGCAAGCGACTTGTTTCATTGAGTCCATCATGATCGTGATCTTCGGAAGTACCGTGGCTAGGTCCATGGTTGTGATCCGTCGAAGGTCTCCTTGAGGGCGAGCCAGGACTAAGAATATCGACGATTCGTTCTCGGAGGGACGATGAGTCCTCTCGTTGTGGCGGTTGGCCGTTCGACATCTTGCCGCTATACAGGTCGCATATCCAAAGTACCTTACGATCTCGAGCCAAATATTGGCAAAAAGAAAGCGATCAGTGACACGGGATGATAAGAATCTCCAACGGCTTGAACATCCCCATCCTAACGCCCCGCTAATCGGAACTACGTAGCCGACAGCCAATGGAATGCTCTCTAAATGTAAAACGTGCTCTTTGGCGTTTCAAGCTTGTCACCGCTTCTTGCGTAGAAGTCGGGAAGTGTATTGAGGGAATTGAAACGAAAATAAGAACCTTGAGCAATGAGTACTTCAGAAGACTTTCGACAATGTTGACGTGCGTCATACAGCATACCTCACAACGTTCTGCCCGAGTACGCCGCCCTTGCTGTTTACCAAAGCAGGCTAGCCTATTATCTATATAATTCTAATCCAAACACAATGATCAGTCGAGATTGATGTTCAATTGTCAAATTGGCATGCCTTTACTGTCTCAGAGCCTAGATAATTGTCGTTTATGATCGTAATATGAGCGTTTCAATGTCACGTGATTGCATCCCTCGCGTAGAATTGCGAGTGCACGTGATCTATAGTCGACGTCGTCTGATTGGACAGCCCAGTCTTGGCACTTGGAGACGCCGATTTTGGGCCGCCACAAAAAAATAGCAAGCTTTGTGTTCCTTGCAGACTTGAATAACTCGACGTGATCAAGACCATTTAATAGGGGCTGAGCGACGAATACCATCAGCCTACCCCGACGATTACCGAACACAATACCCACATTCAACGACGATATTTGATCCCTCCCTCGTCCGACTTTCCATTTCTCTCACTTCGTCCCCCGCCTTGTGAAGGCGCCACCCCGCCAAAATGTCGTTAACGAATTGTCGCTTCTACGAGGAGAAGTATCCCGAGGTGGATAGCTTCGTTATGGTCAATGTCAAGCAGGTGCGTGAATATTCATATATTTTTTGTGGATATATGGCTCATGTGCGTCATGTAGATTGCTGAAATGGGTGCCTATGTGAAACTCCTCGAATACGACAATATCGATGGCATGATCCTCCTCTCCGAACTTTCGCGAAGACGTATCCGAAGTATCCAGAAACTCATTCGAATCGGCCGAAACGAGGTCGTTGTCGTGCTGCGTGTAGACAAAGAAAAGGGTATGCGCAGGCCTGCGGTATGAATTGTACAGCATATATTGATATAGTGCCTGCTATTAGGTTATATCGATCTTTCCAAGCGACGAGTATCTCCCGAAGATGTTGTCAAGTGCGAAGAACGTTACAACAAGAGCAAGCTAGTGCATTCGATCATGCGCCACGTCGCAGAAAAGACCAAGACCCCGATCGAAGAATTATACCAGAACATCGGCTGGCCGCTGAATCGCAATTTCGGCCATGCTTATGATGCGTTCAAGCTCTCTATCACGTAAGGGATTCTCTTTGCTATACTTGTATTTTAAACCGGCTAACCAGGGCATAGTAACCCGGACGTCTGGAACGACGTTACTTTCAGCAACTCTATCATCAAGGAGGAACTCCAATCATACATTAGCAAAAAGCTCACTCCCGCTCCCACCAAAGTTCGTGCCGACGTCGAGGTCACTTGCTTCGGTTATGACGGAATCGACGCCGTCAAGGACGCACTCCGTTGCGCCGAGGAGAAAAACMCCCCGGATACTCAGATCAAAGTCAAGCTGGTGTCTCCGCCACTCTACGTGCTGACCTGTCAAACACTGGACAAGAGCCTCGGTATCAAGCTATTGGAAGAGGCCATCCAGAGTATCGAAACCAAGATCAAGGCGGCCAACGGTGGTTTGGTGGTCAAGATGGCACCCAAGGCAGTTACGGAACACGACGATGCTAAGCTTCAAGAACTTATGGACAAGCGCGAACGCGAGAACATGGAGGTCAGTGGTGACGAGAGCCAGTCTGAGAGTGATGAGGGCGTGCCAGAATAGAGAGCTTGAATGGAAAACAAAAGTGTCACGTTTCAACTTGTGCCGGGTATCTTCAGCGGAAGATTTGACTCGACGATATCGCCGTGGTCAGGAAAATGTGTGTCTGGGCCTGTTTGACTCTTCTGGGAGCCTTTTTGACAGCGCACCCAGTTCGGCACGAGTGTAGCGTCACTGCTCGCAGCGGCATGCTCTATCAGAGGGCCATGTAGCTTCGCTTCGCTGTCGAAGTACGTTCTCATTTCGAGCTGGTCAACTGCTTGCATCTAGTCATATCATGTGTGTTTAGCATCTTATCCTTCCACGACAGCGGTTTATTGTTGTAGCCAATGTATCCATACAGAAGAGTGGTCCATAGTTGATAAAAGCATTATAATAAGTCATCATATTACAACCTTGCAAAAGACCATGCTTTTGCCCTGTATTGTTGATAGCTTAGACTAGACTCGGCCCACTCAATCTTAGACCAAGAAAAACCTCCCCGATCGACGCGCCTCGTCAAAGCCCCTTCTCTTCTCTTCTCTTCCGTCTTCCTCTCTTAACTCTCAATTTTAAGCCAATTACCCAGGGACTTCAATATATTCAATTGACGGCCAGAATGGGATTATGGTCCTTTTTCGAAAATCGTGCAAACCGCCTACACGGAGAGTACCGCCCATGTACGTCATCGCCCTGAAGCTCCCCGCAGATCTAAACAGACCGGCAAATATTGTAACTAACACCAAGAGACAGTGCTCCCTGCCTACAGCGCCGATGAACAAAGTCCTGCGCTTCCTGCAAAGGAAGTAACAAAGATTGCGCTACGTCTCAAATATCAGATCGAACAGGTCATTCCATACGAATTGCAGCAGTCGCTCATTACCAACCCCAACAGCAGCGTCATCACCAAGGACGTCATTCGCACAGCAAAGGAGGCTGGTGGAGAGGAGTATCGTGCTTGTGTTTTGTTCTGTCTCTTGGTCTGTCAGAAATGGTTTCATACTGAAGGTCTAAACGCGCTATGGGACTCGCCGCTGTGCGACTGCCGAGCGCTTGCTTGCCAGGTGATTGCTAAGAAATTGTACGCCCAATTGATCCTCCAAACACCTTCCTCAAATTGACCAATGTGCTAATAGTTATCTTTTCTAGAATCGAGTCCGAAGAAGATCAAGAATGGCTCCACAAAGAAGCGCTCCTGAAGCGTTACTCGATCCTTCGCAAAGGCGAAGTGACACCCCCCGTAAACGTGGTTGAGCGTGCAGTAGACATGCACGCCCTGTACATCATAGGCTCGTCGGGATACCAGAAATGCATCAAGGGCTTATGGAGAGGGTGGCTGGTGCAGGACGACCAAGAACCGTTCCGATTTGTGGACTTTGAGAACAAGAGCAATATAAGCTACTGGACGCACTTCGATCCCGACCGTATGAGAGTTCCACTGTATCAGAATGCGCTTTTGATATTTTTTTCTCTGCTCTACCTGGCGCTCTATACGAATGTGATCAACACCGTCAACCCGGACGGTGATATTGATGTCGCTGAAGGGATACTCTACACCATGACGCTTTCGTATCTGTGTGACGAGATTTCGAAAATCATCAAGATCGGTAAATACTACATTGGATTTTGGAATGTTTTCAACTTCACGCTCTTCAGTTTGCTAGCGGTCTCGTTTGTGCTGCGCATGGCTGCCCTGGCCCAGTCTTCGGATGTGAACGATGCGCAGCGCCGTCACTTCAATCAAATGAGCTATAACTTCCTCGCCTTCACCGCCCCCATGTTCTGGATGCGTCTACTCTTGTTCCTCGACACGTTCCGCTTTTTCGGTGCTATGTTGGTTGTTCTCAAGGTTATGATGAAAGAAAGCTTGATTTTCTTTGCTCTTCTCTTTGTCGTTTTGGTTGGATTTTTCCAGGGCTTCATTGGTCTGAATAACACTGAACTCGCAGTACCGGTCACCAGCAAGATTCTGAAAGGGATGGTCAACAGCATCATGCAGAGCCCTGACTTTGATGCTTTTGAGGATTTTGCGCCTCCTTTTGGGATATTGCTTTACTACGTTTTTAACTTTATTGTGATGATTGGTGAGTGATCCTGACCCCGACGTCTACTTTCTGTAACCGAAGCTAATTCCGCTTTAAAGTATTGTTGAATATCCTCATTGCGCTTTACAACAGCTCTTATGAAGATATTTCCGGAAACGCAGATGACGAGTACATGGCCCTATTTTCTGCCAGAACGCTGCAATACGTGCGAGCTCCCGACGAGAACGTCTTTATTCCACGTAAGCAACCTTGAGTAATTGCATCTGAGCCCAGCTAATTATTTTCTTTACAGCGTTCAACCTCATCGAAATCCTCTTCCTCATCGTCCCCTTCGAATGGTGGCTCTCCACTAAATCCTACGAACGCCTCAACGACATCGTCATGTCCATAATCTACTTCCCTTTACTTCTGATAACGGCCTACATCGAGACGCGCGATGCGCGCTGGATCCGCTGGAATCGGCGTCACGGCGAAGCGGACGACACGGTGCGTCAGGAATGGGAAGATCTTGCGCATGAGGTTGGGTTTGATGGTTTCGATCAAAGTGATGAGTGGGTTGTGGCTGTTGGCAAGACGAAGCCGAATGTTGATGTGACGGTGGCGGAGTTGGGGATTAGGGAGCTCAAGGAGCAGGTTAGGCAGTTGACGGAGATGGTTGAGGCGCTGACAGAGAAGCGAAGGCAGGATTCTACTGAAGCAGGGAGCTGAGTAGGGCATTACTACAGACGCTCAGGCTGTTACTGTGGAGGCCTTCGACGGCATTGTGTACTCAACCATCTTGTCTTTTTTGTATATGACTCAAGCATACTAGACATATACGATTTTCATGCGGAAATAAGCCGAATAATTTAGATATTAAAGATGACCATCGAGTAGTAAACAATCAGTACAATGCAGATGCAACAAGAGAGGTGCCAAATGAAAAGCTTAGCAAGGAACGCCCTGGAAATGCAATGCAATCACAACTAGGAACAGCTAATGCAATGACTTGAAAATGAATGATGGCTTGAACAAGATTACCCAACTCCAAGATAACAGGCAAGCGAATGAAGTAATACCATGGGACTAGCTGTGTGGGATCATATACCAAAGCAATGGCACTTAGGGTTGGTCATAAAGACAATCAACTCTGCGCATTCCCCGTATACAAACTCTCAAAGTCCATATTATTCAAAATCCCATTGATCCGATCAATCTCCTTACTGAGATCCTCAACATTCAAAGCCAAAGCGCTCACCTCATCGAATTTGCGGCGCTTGTTAGCATCGGCAATCATCTCTGAGACGAAAAATTTCTGTTCTTCGAGAACGATCAATCGATCTCTCAGGGCTTTTTCTTCATCTTCGAGCGCGGAAATGGCGCTGCTGTTGTCGCTAGTGATGCTTTGACTGCTGCCGTTGGGAGTGTTGTTACCGTATTTGATTGAAGCCAGAGCTGAGCTGAATGGCTTGGCGGTTGATGATGGATCGGCATGAAGGGAACTTCGACTGTGGCTATTGGGTAATGGACGACCACCTGGTGTCGCATGTTTCAAGATCTTCGGCAGACTCTTGAGAGGCAGCATGTGTAAGTGCAGGAAGTTACTGGCTTGTTGATATATTGCTTTCTGTAATTTTTGTTGAGTAGGCGAATTTGTTGGTAGATCACGGATTCGTCGGGCAGCTGTGTCATACTGTGCAAAGGAATCTATGAGTCGTTTGCGGACTTTCGAAGCCTCTGTAAGCTGTGCCGGTGTTGGCGGATTATGCGGATCCCTAGTAAGTAAGCAAATGCTTCTCGTAGCCTTCTATGGGGACAAGACTTACTGTAGGGCAGTTAGCAGCTTCTGAAAGCGTGGCTGCAACAGCCTGATGCCTCTTTCAAACTGTACGAGATTATCGTACGAGCGAGCTACAGGTGGCTTCTGCAACCTCTGCTCATCAAAGTCGCGGCGACTGAAAAGAGTGGCTCTACACTCTTTGCACAGTCTGACATCAACATTGATCTTGGAGGGTATAGATTTCTCACTGGGAGTCTGTCGTTCTATCATGTATATTAGCAAAACGTTTCAATAATGAGCAATGGGTTAAATACTGGATGCTACTGCTAGACCAACTTCAACCGAGCAGGCGGTCGATGGGTCTGCGCACACAACTCGCCCACAAGTCCTGCAGTGGTGTCTGCGGAATGTATAGCTCGTAAATTCTTGCTGGCAAAAGGGGCACTGCGGGACGCTAGTATCGTCCTGCCAGCTCACAATTGATTGCTCAATTTCGCGACGCTGGTCGCTTTGTCGTCCAAGAGGCCATCGCTTACTTGCGCCGGACTGAATCTGATCCGCCGGCAGATTTGCGAGAGCCTGCGTCAACCTGGTCAACCTCTTCTCGAGTCTGGATACTTCCAGGAAAGCTTTGTCAATCGTGGGTTTCCTAAATTTGGTGAAATCCTCCGTATGGTCTCGTATCAATCCTGATAGCCGTCAGCTGAGCAATTCAGACCAATTTAGTGTTTCTCACCATTGTGGTCATTGTAGCCTTCCCTAGACTTGTAGCACGTTTCACACACACGACACCATAAACCTCTGACCGGCTCGTGTTCCGCGGACCGAGATAGCTTCATTTGATACATTGTATGCTCCTCACAATAAAGCTCGCCGCACTTTCTGCAGTTGACGCTCCCATTCGTAGACGTGAGTCTCTTCCCACAACTCGGCTCGCAACAAACATCATATGGCCCGCGTGGCTGCCAGTGCTCACGTGTGACGACTTCATCCGGGTCTGGCGGTTTGACTTCGACCGGACCGGTGGCCTGCCGAGCGATCGCTATAGAAGGGGGTTGTGGATTATCGTTCGATTCGAAAACGTCTAGGCCTTTGAGCTTCTGATTGAGTACCGCTAGAGGTTGGAATTTCTTCGCTTTATCCATTTGTGCTTTGAACCAGTCCTTCACTTCGTCCTGTTTGACCTCTTCCAAGTTCTGATGTGCGTCGTCGATATGTCTGTCGGTCTGGGTTAGTGGTCTTAGAAATGAATTTCGACAGATCGAGTTTACCGATTCAGCTGAAGCAGTGTTACCTGCACAAAACAGTTAGCAGATATCACCTTATCTAAAGGCAACGACTCACCATCTCTTCATTGCAAATTGGACATGCCAATTGCGCTCCTGTTGCGGCGGGCGCCGCTGATATGGACGTCTCGCCATTGTCAAGAGAGATCCGGGATGTAAGGTCTTGAGGGTCGGGAGAGTATTGAGATACAGACGCTTGCGAATTTAAGGACACACTACTTGGGGATGGCGAAAGGCGTCCTTTGGGCTGCGGAGATGAAGTTGAGGAAGCTGTAGCTGGCGAGAGGTTCTTCCCGCTTCCGAGAACGCGGCCTCCGCCCAGCACCCTCCGGGCCATGATCTAGTCAAGCATGAGCCGTCGTTTCCAGTGCTTGAATTGCTGTTCAAAGCGGTTCTAGCTACAGAACTTGGCTCATGTCAAAGGCTGTTGATGATTTCGGCTGCCTTGGCTGTTGGCGGCATAAGCTTGTGGCGGTCGATGGCTTTCGGCACGTGGAGACTGCCCCCGCGTACGTGCAGTACGTATTAAAGTACGTATTTCGCTGTTATGAAATGCTAAATACAGTTTTGTCAGTGCAAGTTTCGGCCAATAATATCACGGCTACTGTCTGGTGTAGCCAATCACACGCTTTCCTCTTCGATAAGATGGGGCTTGCGTACAGGAGGAACAGCTAGGCTTACGGTAACGGTGATCAGGCTTCATAATACCGGTATGGTAATTTAACGACAGGGGCCAGGGTTGTTCTAACCCTAAGATAGCTCAAGCTGAACAATCCTTCTTTCCTTCCTCCTTCCTCCTCAACACTCAGTTTGCAGTTGCAAGAATGGCACCTACAAAGCAGCGTAAAAGGGGCTATAAAAGATCACTGACCGGGTGTCGAACTTGCCGGTAAGACTGGAGCTTCGCATGTTCACAGACAGTAATGCTGACCGTCCCCAGAGTTCGACACATCAAGTGTGATGAAGCCTCTGTAAGGTGTAACAATTGCACGTCCACCGGACGCAAATGTGATGGATATGACATCTCCCGGCTGCCAATGAGAAAGCTTTCCACTTCATGCTTTTCAGTGCAACCAGGTTGGGTGACCACCAACGACGAGCGGCGATGCTTTGCCTATTTTCAACGCTGCTCTCTCCCGAATTTAGGGCTTGCTTTCGATTCTTCCCTGTGGCAGAAAACCGTGTTGCAGATTAGCCAGGTCGATCCAGCAGTCTACCACGCTACTATTATGCTAGGCGCCATTTACGAAGACTCTGTCGAGAATCGAATGCGCTTAGTAGGAGAAAACCTGCATCAGGCTCGACATCGATTCGCACTCGAGCAATCTTCGCGAGCTTTTGTCTTCCTGTCACATCGCCAGGCCTCCCAAGATCCCCAACTGAGAGAAGTCGTACTGGTTTGCTGTCTTCTATTCGTCATCTCCGAGCTGCTCCTAGGACGTATCGACAAGGCCGCCCATCATTTGCACAGCGGTCTTCGAATAATTAGAGAGACTTCAGAAAAACTACGAAACAGTCAGCGATACCCAGACCTAGACACTACTCTAGTCGCGGCGTTCCAAAAACTCGACGTCGAGTGCTCCCACTTCCGACCCGGTACGCCGAGTATAAATGCTAGCCATGAACTGGACCAAGATTCGTTGAGTCGGAACGTCTTTTCTGATCTTCGGACCGTGGAAGACGTGCATAAAAGCGTGACAATGCTAATGAACGAGGGCATTCCTTTCCTCGCCAGATGCTGGCCACTTTCCAAAATTGATATTACGGTTTCCTATGGCGAACTTAGTAACAGGCAGCAGCAACTCTTATCTTTATACCTTCAGTTTCAAGAACGGTTTCAAATATTCAAATTCCTCTACTATGACAATATMCCCCGCCATAAACAACGTGCAGTTGATCTCCTTCAAATACAATGTTTCGGCCAAATACTGAGTCTTAAAACGTGTCTCATAAAAGGGCCGATACCTACAGGAATGACACCAGAATATCTGGGTCTGCTGTCTGCCCATGAATCTTTCCTCGAAACGTTCTTAGAACGACCAAGTTTCACATTGGATTACGGGATCATCGCAGGCCTCTGGGTGGTGGCCTCGGAATGCCCATTATATTCGGTCCGAATTCAGGCAATTAAGATTTTACAGTCTTGGCCGCATGTCGAGTCGTTCAAGAACTCTAATGTGGCAGCTTCCCTGGCCCTGGAGATTATCAAAAGGGAAATACAGACGGGTGACGAACGAGTCATGTCTGTGATTGATGAATTTGCCGACAAAGAGTTGACCCATTTTCTCTTCGATACACTGAAGTCTACGCAGTATTCGGAAAATTGGTCGTTTATCCGCGCTTACAATATACTCGAACAAAGATCCTAGTGACTCGATTATTGCCATAAAATGCGGTTGAGCAAGATAGCGGTCAATTCCAATGTCTATTTGTCTATTTATCCATAGACGCAACGACCACCCTGAACATACCGCAAACTATGGTGCATAAATTCACATCAATGTACTCTAATTATAAGGTAGCCTCAAACAGAGATGTTGACGTGCCGACAGTGTCAATCTTCCAGGCCTTGACCACCTTGAACTGAGCTCGTCTTAGAAGGGAAATCCACTGCTCCTCCGTCCGCTCAAGTGACGAGAATATCCCCATCATCTGAAAGTCCAGTGACGCTGAAACTATTGGTACTTCAAGTGATTCAGGAGTCGTGTGTTCGTTGATCAGCAAGACAGAGTCCTCCACCATGGCTTCACGAATGCGGGCGAGAACATCCAGGGCTTGTTTATCTGGCCAGTCGTGCAGGACAGTTCTCAAGTAATACGCTCTGGCGCCACGGATGGGCTGTGGTTCAAACATGTTATGGCCTATCGCGATGATTCCATCCGGCAGAGCTCCGTTGATTGACTGGATAACTTGCGGCAGATCTTGTACGACCAGCTCGCCAATCACGTCTGGAAACCGTTTCTTGAAAGCAATGACATCGTGCCCGACGCCACCTCCAATATCGACTAATAACGCGCGGCCCGAAGAACTATTCAGCTTTTCCGCGACTGGGTAGATTTCAAACCAGTCCTTTCCGCGGAGTTGTTGGCTAAACGTCATGACTGAATTAAATTCACTCTGAGCATTGGGCTGCGTTTGCAACCAATCGAAGTAATGCTGCTTGGTGTTGAAGGCGAATTGGAAAGGCCCATCAAAAGCATCCTCGGGGTTCTTGTATCCACAATTCTCAAAGTACTCGAAAAGCTTTGCGGATATTTGCATGATGCTATGACTAGACATTGAGCGTAAGCTTGATTTTGCTGCTTCAAGCAAGAACGGAGTTTGAATGCGTACCAGTGTTTGACCATGTCTCCAGGCAATCCTCCGAGCATCATTGCCAACGGCGCAGGCTTGTATACATCGTTGACTGCCTGTGTGAACACTTTATACGAGCATAGAAACCTCATGACACGCTCTAATTCAGTCAGCAATGCCTTTCAATGACGAGAAAGGGTGTTTACTTAGCAGCTTCTCGTCGCCTTTGACTTTCGAGGAAAGCTCCTTGAGACTCAAGTCTGCTCCCTGAGTCTGAACGAACGCATCGAACACGCCCATACCCTGGGCGATACGAATGATTACGATCTCATAGTGCTTATTACAGTCAATGCCAGTCCAATCGTGTCTCATACATTGATAATGATAAGGAATCCCTTACCGAGAAACAAAACCGCTGTAGATGCAGGAAAGGCGGCTCCAGAGCCGTCTGGAGTTGTTCAACGAGTTTCAATAGCCGCATTCGCTCACCATCTTGGATCTGGTCTTGTGGCGGTAGGTTTGCTAGAGTCGATGCAATGGTATCTGACAAATTCGAGAGGCTCGCCATATTTGCAGTGTTACGTTGATGTTCTGAGGACTTTGTTGGATGAGAAACAATTATCTATAACCTAGAGAGTTTCCTAGACTTTATAGCTACACTGTACATCCCGACCATGATTCCATAGAAGCATATATACAATTGTCCACGTTTCGGCCAATAGGAGTAGTTGTTGGCATTCAGCCTCAGATCCACCCATTTGGAAAGTCCACGTTTGAGCGAATCATCTTTCGCGATCAGATGTTTTCAGGTGGGAACTAACGAGTACTGACGTTAAACATTTATAGTCCATTTTATCATAGAGGGACGTTTCTCTTTATAACCTTGTCTCTTTACAACTTTGGAACCGTCTCGTGGAACGGCAACGAGGATATCGAAATCAAAAGTCCATTTGTGGGTATATGGGACTAGTTATTAATAATAGGTTCTATAAATATGACAAATTAGTCAACGACTCGCGTCTTTTCCTGCTCGCTCTCGGAGAAAGTCCCAATGCGACGGTTCAGCTCGCTAAGCTCGTCCTTCGACGGGCCCGAAACTCCAGACGTCAACGGCTTGAGGAAATTCCCACTGCTGAAACCTTGCCAGGAATCAGAGGGTCGTCTACCGCTACTCCTGCTGCGGCTGCGATTCGGTGTTTGCGGTTCACTAGGCGGCATGCTCTTGAGACGGGATTTGTAGGTTGCATAGTCCATGTCGACGCCCATTTCGCCGTCGTAATCGTAATTGTCGTCAACAAGTTTCTCATGCTCAAAGTCGGGGAATATCTCGGGGCCAAATGTGTTGATGACGTTGATCACTTGGGCGACGACGGATCGACGTTGATTGCGCAATTTGATGAGTGCGGATGAAGAGCTGGGGTTGAGTGCGATAAACAAGGGAGGCAGGGACTTGAAGACGTCCATACCGATCTCGCCAATTCGAAGGCCCGTGAAGCTGACGGATATCATGAGTCCGAAGAAGAAGAAAGCGAAGATTCGGAGTGGAATGCTGTCTGGGACGTATGATCTCGCATTCACCCACCAAGGTACAACAGACGCGTAATGCCCGTCGTGCCGACAATAGTACAACCAACCGGTAACGATCACAGTGTACCATGTATATAAAGTAGGCGCAAAGCCCATTGCAACAAGAATCTTCCAACTTCCGACGACATCGCGACCGTCCATTTTCACAGAGGAATTGGCAAGCGCTTTCCGTTGTTTGGAATGAGATATAGCTCTTGTAGTGACAAAGACTGGCCAAAAGAGAGCCAGAGCTGGCAGGGTCGCCAACCCCATCATCAAAAGCTCGCCGATACGATAGAGGAGCGTTAGGAAAACAAGCCACCATGGGCGACGTCGTACATTACCCCATTCAACCTGGTGGTCTTGAACACCCAACGCTTTGAGTTGACGATTGTAAGCTCGCACATCCTTCGCCAGCTGCATGACTTTGGGTTCGTGCCGGAACGTAGTATATCCTTTCAACAACCGCCTATTCAGCTCAATGACGACAGGAAGGGGCAGTTTCATTCGTAAGGGCTTATATAGCTTTCTAGTGGCTTGGATAAGCATCAATGACTCTCGGTCCGGAGCTTGCTGGGTAACAGAATCCAGCGCCTCCTGTATAGTCTCTAGAAGAGATCCGACTGCATTACGCTTGGAATTTCCGCCGAGCTTGAAAGCAGCGACCTGATCTGGGTGGACTTCCACAGGAGGACCAAACTCGATGACGGCGCGAGAACGAAACTTGTTCGGATGAAAGTAGTTCATTCCACATGGTATGATAGTCAGGCCACAGTCGGGGCTACGGGCCAGTGTTCCAAGAGCAATGATAGCAGCTCCAGCCTTCAATGGTAGCAATCGCGGACGGTCATGGCTTCCACCTTCGGGGAAGATCCCAATACAGCCCCCGGACTCGAGTCCGCGGTATACTGCGTCAAACATTTGACTCTGGTCGATGTGTGGGGCGACCTTGAATGAAGTTCCTGTACGGAGGCTTTCAAACAATGGGTGGTCGCGAGCAAACTTCTTGAACGGCGCTTTCAGACGTAACTCTTCAGGTCCAACTATTTCCGCAATCGCCTGCTGCTCTGGGGCGTCCTGGCCTACTTTAGGCAGTATGATAGTGCCTCGTTCCATGAACATCGGATCGGTAAAGTTGGTGCCCTTTCCACACACCAGAGTCGGATCACCCTCAGGATGAGGTAGATAGATTGTGCCCACTCCGGGCTTTATGTTATCCATTGCACGCGTGACCGGAAGCGCGCCCATTTGCGCCGCCAATGTGCCAATATACGGTTCTCTCATCGACTTTTCCGCAATCAAGAATGATATTCTCCGGCCTGCATAACGTTTGAGAATGCGCATTAAAAGAATCGAATCGACGAATTGGTTGGCGTGCGGAGCTGCCACGATGATGACGGGGCCCTTTTTCGGGATGCGCCATGCTCCGGGCGCGTAAACTTCGCGGAAGAAGATACTGAGGCAAAAGCGGAAAATAGAGAGCAAGGTGTCGTAGATCCATGGGACCAGCAACTGCTCGCTAGACTTCACGCTGTGCGCCATTGTATTCTATACAGGCTCACTTAGCTGACAGGTTGGAAGATCTGGAATTTTTGTGTCGCCAACGAAGCCTCCCGTCCTGTATGTCCTGCTTTGTTGTCGTCTTCCAAGTTCGGTAGATGGTGGGCGGAAGAATGAAGGTTTCGGAGAATGTCACTGGGGATAGGCCGTCAAACCAACCCGATTGGAAAATTCAATTGCGAACTATCATCGGCAAGACGGGTGCATCGAACGACGAGGCATGGTAATGATATCGACGAGGCACGAAAACGTTGGGGAGCTGTCGACAGGGTTGAGTCTAGGTAGCTGAATTCCAGAGAAATTGACTGGACGACGAGCTGGCCGGTTAAGACCGGAAGCGGGGGAGGGCCTAGATCTTTAGAAAAATGTAAGATAAGAGGAATTTCTTGTATTCGATCATTAATGTGTCTGATAATGATGTATCTATTGGTGCTGGTATTAAGACGGTGGGCATTGAAGAATAGAGTGGTAGAAAAGGAAAGATACCGAGTTGTGCGAGAAATGTTTTCTTTTCATTGGGGTGAGTTTAGAGACAAATTACATCCGTTAACCCTCCGCCTGAAAATTATATACTAATCATCATTGATGCTTTATGACAATCATAAAGCACCTTTTGCAACCAAAAAATACACGATAAAATTCCAGGCTTATATACTTTCCACAAAGAATACGACACTACCTAATGTTACTCAGTAACAACCTTGAAAGCAATAAGACAAGGTTCTATGGGATATTCATCAATGTTTTGTTCCATCCGGCCCTTATCTAGAGAGCTACATAGCATCATTTGAAGCCATATAGGTATATATTATTCATGATCACTCATGTCTTAATGCTTGATGGAACTCTTTACGAACATATATGCCATCCGGAAGTACTCCACGCGCTGCCAATTCCGTATCAGAATCGTCTCCCTGGCCGCCGTCACTTACTTTGGACTGAGCCATACTCACCACCTCACCATGCTTGGGCCCCTGATACATCGCTGTCATCTGATAGCTGTTATGGGCAGTTCTGCTGCTCTCGTTTCGCTGATAAGGGTGCGTCGTCTGGTCATAGCCAGGCTTGTGAGAACCAAGCCAGCCCTGTGGCAGAAGAAGGGAGAAGATCTGACGCATAAAAGGTAGATTGGCTGTGATAACAGCTAACTGGGTTTCGACAACACTCCACAGTAAAGGCATAGTTGCGGTGTAAGTAGGGTTTGCGAAGTCCAGTTGCGTTAGACTGACGAGGCGGATCATGCTTATGGCGCTGATACTGGGAGGTAGTCAGCAAACGTATCACCTTCCACCGGTATTTTCTTTTCTTTCCCCACAGAACACTACAGGTAACTTACAGCATGCCGAGACCGAATATCACGAGTAGACCAAGTCTTTGCCCCAGGGGAAGATGCAAAGCCCATATATGCGAAAGTGGTAATGACAAGACCATGAGGTCGGTGACAAGGTTGAGGACTCCAGTTGCTATAAAGGCGGCATTCCTGTTGGCGCATTTCCCCCCCTCAACGGCTGGGTTCCAGTTGTATTCAAATGGGGTACACAAAAGGAAAGTCTCGAGAATAGAGCTGATTGCCCAAGCCCAGACCACAGCACCAACGACGTAGATTGCCCTTCGGAATCCTAGCTTGACGCCGAAAAGACGCCAGTATAACCCCAGAATCGATGTCTTGACAAGAAGAAGTCCAATGGCATAGAGAAGCTGCAAGACAAGCAACAATTTGAACATGTATTCCATGTCTGCCAACGCGACAACCCCAAGTTGTAGTCCGACACCTCCATTTGTGATCACTATGGAAACAAAGACACTGATTAGTAGAATACTCGTTTCCATTGGAATTCTCTGACCTACTTTCAGTAGCCGCTGCAGTGAGGGCAATCACAAATACCTGTCCTGATCAGCTTACCGGGCAACGATACGACCGGGAAAGCATATGCTTACCAATGCCACCACTATAACATAATTGTCAAAGACCAGAGTGATACTCTGCATTCTCCGTGTCACGATTCGCAGAATCACTGACGCGATCGAGACTAAGAGCAGTACACTGATGGCTATTGTGACCCTGCGGCCTTCCGTGGATCGTAGACCATAATGACTCATGTTGAGGGACAAGAAAGTATCCTGATCTCAGACATCAAGCTGAGAATAATTTCTTCCGTTTTTGGAGACATCGGTTTCTACCTAGGTATATTTAAAAACATTGCGAAAGATACCTTCTAAAAAGATTCAACGTTTTAGGGTTTCGGTTCCAGAGAGGTCTTTGCACCTCATCCTAGTCCATATTGGGAAGGCATTCGTTCAGTGGATGCCCTGGCTTGGTGGATTCGAAGTTCCATCGTATTTTGAGTTTGGTATTACGTCTGGGAGCAACGGTGGTCTGAAAGAGACATGTTTCAAGAACGAGGTGATGATATTTGAGAAGAGCTGTGTTCCTGTTATATCGGGCATTACCAAGCGATACATTCATTCTTGGGCTATTCACATATGAGAATGACATAAGATTATAGATTTCGAAATAATTTGGTTCACTTTCTGATGCAAAAATTTTGACATTGCTCTAACTAAAGATATCATTGTAAGTATAGCCGATCCACAGGTTCTCCAAGGCTGGAGGCCAGCTGGAAATGTTACCAGCTCAGGCAAAAAATCGCTTCTGATTTTTTTATTAGCCGAATAATTTCCAGGTATGGTTTAGTCTCCTACTTTCAAGTTCATATGTTCATTCTGAAACTAGTCTACTTGAAACATGAAGTCCGACAAGTAACTTCGTAAGACCAAGGCAGTTCGGTATAAACCCACTTCGGCAATTCTTATTTCTCCTAGATCGTGAGTAAGTACTGATGGGGCGTATGTAGATCCGATGAGGTGAGCGGCTGGCCTGTGTTTGTCTCCAAAACAAGCTGTCTGGCCGAGTTGCATGCTGTGAAGATTGTGTATAGCGAGTCTATAGCTGGTCATTAGTGGCAGCCTTTAACTATTAACTGTAGTTAAGCACCCTTGGAGTGTTGCTATAAATCATAGACAATCACCTACAGCTAGTAAACCAGCTATATATTGGTATGTGGGTGCTTAGCAAGGAGATCTTAATTTTTTACGTACTATAAGGGAACCTAGATCGTGTGCTCCGTATCGAGATCGGATCTAGATGTACCCGGTGGGTTCGCCTAAATCTAATGTGGCTTGTTAAGGGACTTTCAGGCTCCAGCATCGGCTAAGAGTCCCTAGGTCTATGACAAACTTTGTTTCTTCGGCTCCCTGCCAAGTCTCGATTGTAACAAATTTTCTTCATCGTCCAAGCCCCTGAGTGTAGTGAGCACGATGATCCACACGATACAGTTCTCCACTCAAGTGGAATCTACACGAATCATGCACATCCCAAGAGTCAGGTTAGTCAATCTTGCAAACCGTGACGAGAATTTTCACTGTTCAGCCGCTCTCGGAAAACTTTTTCCTTGAATCCACAGGGACCAGGGATCCATTTGAGTGAGGGTCTTGGACGTAGTGAAGATCAGCAAACAGCTCTCTGAACTTCTGAAGAGAAAAAAACTACCTAGGTATTCGTTGATTGCATCTGATGCTGGCTATATTATTATAGTAATTAATTCTCGAGCCGAGACTAATAAGAATACATGCATATGAGATAATGCTCGCTAACAGAGGCAGCACACTTTGGTAGAGCATGTTTTATATTCTCCTAAGCGCCGGCGAATACCTGCATATATGTCTCTAGTCCCATTCCGAATCCCATCATGAGTACCGTGTAGGGATCCTGGAGACGAGTGTTGAGTGAGGATACTGGACAGAATACGACAATGTTATCTCGGGGTATTCAGCAACAGTTCGAAACAGTCATGAACAGCACTACATGGAGTACACAACACAATACCTACCTATATAGGAAGTACATGATAAAAAAAATAAACTGACAACATCGAACATAGGAAATGCTATTAACAATCTCTGAACTTTTTCACCACTTCCCTATTATATTGCTAAAGTACACTGCTATGCTTTTTATATTACGTATCTGCTCATATGTTTATATAGGAATTTTATTTGGGATGCAATATCATGTAAAGTTTATGGCGGCATGGATGTTTGGATATGGGGGAGTATAAACACATTTTTCGTCCCGCTGTAAGTTATTAGGATATACTCATTATGCCACATATGTTTCACACATGCTGTAGAATATTGTAAGATACGCAATAAGTTGATCAGGTAAGTCAAGACTAGGCACCAGTACTACAGTGGCCCCTCTATCTTGCATACATAATCATATTATACGCGAATCATCAATGGCCTGGATACGGAATGCAAACAAATGTAGGATAGTACTTCGTATATACATACATACAACAGAAACCGTTGACAAACCAAACAATAAATCTTTGATGAAGCAACAACAGCAGCGGACAATATGCGGTGAGGGCTAAAACTGCAACCAAGAAAATTCTCTATTATCTTCATGCTAATGTACATTCTACTATCTTACATAGGGCGGCCGATTTGCGCCGACCCAAGGACCTGACGGCCCAACCATCTCAGGCTTGAGCTGTTCAATAGTGTTTGCGCCAATATTGCGCATGGTATTTGTGATCTCTTCATGAAGGACTAAACCAGTGTATCAGTCATTGGACAGTCCATTGCTATAACGTTATGAGAACTTACTCTCCATCACTCGTCTCACTCCCTCTTCCCCATGTGTTCCATTGGCATACAAGAAAGGCCTCCCCAACCCTACCGCTTTGGCACCTAGGGCAATCGCTTTGACAACATCGGCACCGCATCGAATACCCCCATCAATCATGATCTCTGTCTTTTCAAACAGCTCTGGACGTAAAGCTCGGATCTCGTACAGAATGTCAATCGGGGCAGGGGCGTAATCAGCTTGGCGACCTCCATGATTCGACTACACCGATTGTTAGTAAGGTCTTCAATTCAGTGGACGGAATAACGTCGTTTTTCCATAGGGTCACTCACAATTATCACGCCTTCCACGCCATGAGAAATACAGAGTTCGACGTCCTCGAGCGACTGGATTCCTTTGACGATGATTGGGAGCTTGGTATTTCTCTATACAAATGAGTAAGCTGGATGATAAGTAGCATTTGTACACAATACTAACCCTAATGAAGGCTATATCGTCCCAAGTCAGATTACGATCTTGATAACCTGATATCGCCTGATTCACAGGGAGAGTTGCGACGGTTGCCGACGACTCTCCGGAGCTGGTCGGGGCTTTTGCACGACTGTCCAGTGTMCGCTTTGAATCCCAGGATGTATCAACAGTGAACATGATTGCTTTTGCTCCCAGCTTCTCGACTTTTCGGATGAGAGTCTCTGACTGCGAGCGATCCTTGTTGAGATAGAGCTGTTGGGATCAGTCGTCGGCACGGTGCAATTTTTTTTTCATAACACATACCTGGAATATCAAAGGTTGACCCTCGCTACTTGCTTCAAAAATCTCGTCCACACTACAACTGGCATTCGAGGAAATCTATTGCCGTCAACAATGGAGTTATCTTCAATTGAATGTTCAAAAGAGGCAGACTTACGGCCTGTACGATATCCCAATCACCAGCTGCCCGGGTCAAATTCACTTCTCCGAGAGGGTGGCCCAATTTTGCCATTGCAGCGGGTGAAATAAAAATGGGCATTGAAGACTCGATTCCCATGAACGTAGTCTCAATCGAGCCAGTGGACATGTCTCTCACGAGGACGCGAGGACGAAAGAAGTATCGTCTGAAAGCATTCTGATTCTCCATAAAGGCTATCCAACCAAGTCAGCAATTTCCACTTTAAATGGTAGCATGTTGTTCAACACCACTGACGTACTGTGTTCTTCGTCAGATGCACTGCGGTAGTACGCCCAAGCCGTCTCACTCAACACGCGTTGGGCCCATTCTTCAAAGTCCCGCAATAGCAGCATGCTCTGAGCCGGGGGCATAATTTCTCTCGCGGCTCGTCGTTGCAGGTCAAATTCGGACAATACCTTGTCCTGTGCAGGAACCGTGCTCGGATCAACAAAACCTAGGCATGCTTCAGGTGGTAGATTGTCCAACGCATCAGACGGATGAAGCATGGAAAAAAGCTCGCTAAATCATTAGAGCCCAGCATCCAAATAAAAGAAAATGTGGAACATGTCCAGACATCGGAAAGCTCACGTTACTTCTTTGCCAGCGTGCGAAAGGATAGCCTGCCGGCCTCCAGGATGCAATGCTATGAAACTTGTCACGTCGTAGACACGGCCCTATCGTCTTGAGTCAGTCATATGCGCAAAGAGATTGTTATCTGATGGATGAGCGGACATTGATTATGACCCAACAGTCGTCCGCAGATACATGCTTTTGTACTTCTTCGTAGGTTATCATCCCTGGTTGCGCAGCGCTTTGCGCGGCTTGTCTACGTCTTGATTTTGAGTATGCGACACAGCATGAGACTGCAAGAAGCTAAGACCCTTATTAATAACATATCGTCTGTATAGGCACTTATGATTTACACACCAAAGCTATTGAAGTTCCCAAGAATGTACGGTTGTGTCTTTTCTTTGGCGGGACGGATGACGCGCCAGTTTGAGACGTGGTTATAGACCTCGTACAGCGTCGCGTGATGTTTCTTGGGCATAATATAGGCTGAACTCGAAGTGGTCGTATCATTATAGAAGATCGAGGAMCCCCAGCCACTCCTGGTAGTCTGAGCATCAAAAAAGGCATGATGGCGCTCCAAACGAGTACCTAGCGACTCGCTGTACAAAATAACACTTCAAGATAATCCCAAGCCTCGCACCCTAAAATTCGAAAAGTAAATGTCAAAAGCTACATACATCGAATAGAAAATCAATAATTTAACCACACGTGACTTCAATGAGGACGTTCAATAGCCGCCTGGGTGATCGTTCGCTTATTTTCCGCTTGAGTAGCCGTCCGAAATCCGATCTCTATACTTCATCAATACCCGACCCTACAAATATGGTTGCGTAAAAGCGCTGAAAGATTTATTGCTCAAGTGATAAAAATCAGTTTTCGGCAATAATGAATTCATCCAAGAACTTTTCGTCGTTTGTTTCTCCGAGTAGGTACTCCTGGGCAGGCAGAAAGAAAGGAAATATATAAGCATTAAACCAAAGTGTAGTTGTGGGCTCAACGCCAAACGTCCTTTTGCACTATTGCATAGATTGTCATTCCTGATCTGAACATTGAAGTCTCAAGTAATTTTGAATTGACATTGTGTACTCACAAACTGCCAGAATGATGGCCCATGACCGGAAGCACTATACCTAGTAATCTTTGGCCGGCTTTACATTAGAGGCTTCTCAAGATTCTCCAGAAGGCGTTCTCCCGAATGATCTGGATAATTCACATCTGTAAGTTGAAGCAAATTCGGGTGAAACTCAAAGATTGTACCGTTGGTGGAGAATGATATCTATGTAGAATTTTGATGTCGCGGTACCTACCACCTCGGTAAATTTCCCAATCGGGTACTGAGGCGATACACGACCAGTTCCGGATGCCTTTATGCGGCTCGCCTATTTTTTGGAGGAACAAGAGATACATGGCATGATTGCATGATGGTAATCGGCTCGCTTGCTGCATCAGTCGTCCACATGTTCTCTCTCCACGGGGTAGAATCCGAGTTTCGTCGGGCTTCTACATCCGGAAATCTGGGGTGAAAATCAAGGCTATAAATGTACTTATATGTACACTAAATTTCTTAGACTGAGCTCCAAATCACTACCAGTAGCTTACTACTGCTAAGGGTTCATTCCTGTTTAATTACAGTATAAGCAAGACGGGCCACAACCGATTTGCAAGATGGGTGGTTTTAGAGCCGTTGAGGATCGCCCAACGCCAAAGGAGGTGTACAACTGGCGCCTTTATACAGAAGCCATAATCATTGCTTTTGGTTCAATGCTGTATGTTGACACACCCACACCGATAAATGTTGTATACAATGCTGAACATATTATCGCAGATTCGGTTATGACTCCGCCTTTGTCGGAACGACTATCGCCCGTACAAGCTTCAAACACGACTTTGGTATCACCGCTGCAAACTCAAGCTCAGTTTCAAGCAACATCACGTCTGCTTTTCAAGCAGGTGCTTTCTTCGGTGCACTCTTCTGTTACTTCAGTACGTACTTGTCACTGCCGCCTTTGTACATGATGGTTCTTAACGAGTTATAGTTACCGAGCGCCTCGGCCGTAAATGGGCTCTTCAAATCAGCGTGTTTGTCTTCATTATTGGCGCTATTCTAATGGTCGTGGCGACTAGTCAGCTCAGTTTCATTTGTATGTGATCTCTCGTCCATAATGGATGGCGGTGCAAACTAACACCCTCTTATAGACACTGGACGTGTTCTAACCGGTCTTGCTTGTGGTGCTATTACTGCCACCGTTCCGAGTTATATTGCCGAGCTTTCAGTGTCCTCTATTCGAGGTATCTTGACTGGTCTGTTCGAAGTAGCCTATCAGATTGGCTCTGTAATTGGCTTCTGGATCAACTATGGGATCACCCAGCACATCCCCGCAACTTCCTCTACTAGCTGGAGAATACCTATGGCTTTCCAACTTGTACCTGCCGGAATCTTGTTCATCGGTGGCTTCTTCCTGCATGAGTCTCCATTATGGCTGATGCGAAAGGAAAAATACGAGGAAGCATACCAAGCTCTCGAAGACTTGCGCCATCTGCCAAAGGAACATCAATATGTTCAGGAAGATATTGCTGCCATGCAAAACAGGCTTGCTGAAGAAGCTGCTATCGCAGCCAAATACGGAAACGGCTCCTGGGCCTTTTTCCGTGGTGCCATGGCCGAATTCTCTCGTAGGGGCATGAGGAATCGCATCTTCCTTGTCTTTTGCGCCTTTACACTCGCAAATTTGTCTGGTGCGTCAGCTATCAACTATTACTCACCGACATTGTTTGGCTCTATCGGTATTTCCGATGTAGCATTGTATACCGGCATCTACGGTTTAGTCAAGGCAATCGCGTCTATGATCTTTTACATCTTCCTTGTTGACCTTGTCGGTCGTCGTCGACCAGTTATTGTATCATCCATTGCTTGCTCTCTCTGCCTATGGTTTGTCGGTAGCTATGTCAAAGTTGGCCATCCGGCCGACATAATTGCTGCTGGTAAGCAACTATCCGACTCTACCGTGAAAGGTGGCCAAGCCGCTACTGGTATGATCATGATCTATTCCATTTTCTGGTCCTTTGGTCTCAATGGTGTTCCCTGGATTATCTCTGGAGAGATTTTTCCTGGTGCACTTCGAAACTTGTCTGGAACGTGGGCTGCACTTGTCCAATGGTCAGTATCCTCATTTTTTCTAGTGATCGGATCTCAATTCTAACTTGTTAAATAAGGGCCATTCAATTCCCGGTCACCAAGGCTTTGCCGTACATATTCACCTCATTCGGCTACGGAACATGGTACTTCTTTGCGTCGTGGATGTTAGTTGCCTCTGTATGGGCGTACTTTCTAGTGCCAGAGACCAAGGGTCTTACCATTGACCAGATGGACTACGTGTTGTATGTGGCCAGCCTCTCACTTTTTGTTTACGGATACTGACTCTCTTCATCATGCAGTGGCTATAATACTGGTGCGCCCTACATGATTCCTCACACGTCCCGCACCACCAAGGAAGTCCCTAGACTCATCGAGGATACCCAAATTGAGAAGGTTGTTTCAGTTTGATAAGGAAACAAGCACCACTGATGGTGGAATAGGTCGTGTCTCTCAGTCTGTGACTCTAGTTGGAAAAGGCGATCAATCGCCAAAGAGCTTCAAATCTTATCAAATGATGTTTGTTGGACGGCTTAGGGTTTAGGGCTAATACATATAATGCCTTGTGTTTCAGGCATCGATTTGTATGATCAAAACACCATACGAAGACCCCACTAAACCCACAAATACCATTTTGGTAATATACAAACAACGTAGTTTTTGCTAATTGATCGATAAAGCTGGCCGTGAAGCAGTCCTACTCAAGAAGACGCAGCAATTGCTTCCCACAACTTGTAAAGCAAACAGCGTAATCCGTACGGGCGAAATGTAGAGAAAGATAAGCAACAAAACGGAACAAGCTCAAGTCACATGCCACTGCCTCTTTGGGAAGAAGCGCAGAATGTGAAACGTGAAGGAAGCCGCCATTTTCCACAATTTTTCTGTAGATTGTACAACAACTTCATTCGGAACTTTCATCCCCTGCAACAACCACCTGCTTGCAGTCCACATCAATCGTGCCATCAAAACAAGTTTGCCGCTTGAGAAGGCAATGCCGGCTTCGTGGTCGTGCATGGGGTGTGGATAACCTCTTCCCGTGTTGCTCCTCTTCGTCCCGCCGGCAACCCTCTCGATAACCACTCCCAGCTGGACTCTGCAGCGTTCATCCATCTTGGTTGTAGGTGGGGTGCGCCATCTCGACTGATGCTTTGGATTGATTAGCTCCCCTCCGTCTCATTGGACAACTCCGCGACGTGCAGCATGGACACGTCAACGCACTAGAGCGGTCAAGTCTTCACGCTTCTCGTCGCTTCTCCCAGCGAACAGAGCCTCAATTGATACAGTCATTCATCCCTTGCGTGACACGCGCTCTGATCTAGTTCAATCTCTCCACCCATTGCTTTGCAGAAATAGGTCAGCAGCCCTACAACCCTGGCTAGCTACGTACGTATAGGTTATATAGGTATTAGAGGGGCCCTCAATTTATTTTGGGTAGTTGATTCGGCACCGACATACCTTGTCCGGCTAACACAATAGCATTAAATTCTATATTAAATCTTGAGAACGACCTAGTCCTGAAATCAATGCTCCTTTCATCCTTCAAATACACCGCACACCGTGGGATGGGAGTCCGAGACTACTGCCCAAGGAGCACTTCCAGCCCTGAACCCCCCGCATGTATGTGAATGGCGACCCACGCAGACGCAAGCATGGACTTGCAAGTGCACCGCATCATCAGTTTCACAGAAGATGTCGCTGTCGGGCTGAGGCAATTTCGAGAACAGCTTCCGGAATACAGTGCAGAAATAACAAATGTCATTGCCGAGCTATATGCCATCAGTGCGACCCTGACAAGTCTCGAGGGGCTCACGCGTCAGTTTCCTCGTAATTTTGGGCCTGTCAAAGCGGACTTCGAACAAGTGCTCGTCAGCTTACGGTATACGCTGAACGAGATTATCAACTCTTTTGGGAAACTTGACCGGAGACGGACAGCAGAAAACTATCGCCAGATATGGCATGATCTTAACGTCTATTTTCACGAAGAAAGTGGCTATTCCTTGAAAAGACGTTTGAATAAATACAAATTATTCTTGGAAGAATTGCAAGATGTTGTGCAAAAGTATACTCCGATTCATCCTATTGGCGACTTCTTGCGCTAACATTGTTTACTTATAGTAAGGCCATAGATTATCGCTTCATGCACAATTTGCGAAAGAGTATCCTGGCTATCCTTGAGGAGCAGGATGGTCGCTTTGCTGCACGTTTGGCGGGCCTTTCGCTCGGTGGCGGTCGACCAAGATCGTCTACGAGCAGTAGCAATATGTCGGGTAATTCATTTGAGGCGGAAGGTCATGGTATTGAGAAGCGTCGATCTTATGAGAGGACAAGGTCTGGATTTCGGCCTCAGCCATCGCCATTGCATTCTCCGACATCGACCAACGACAGCGCACCGCCATGGGCGCCTGATGTTCCGGGCTCGCCAATCTCGACTTCTACGACTACTCAATCGAACTTGTCGTCGGCTGTACTCAATGATCACTGGGCAAAGGATGTCTTTTCTTATAGAGGACCGCTGATGAAGTTTCCTGTTGAGGGTGAAGGGTAAGTTCAAAACTTTTTTATTAAAACCTGATTCAAAACTAATTGATATTAGTTCCAAGTGCCTTGGAGAAGAAGTACAAGACATTAAAGAGTGGCTTCATGAGCAAGGCTTTGATGAAGTCGCATACTTGTATGTATAGCCTAGTGAAACCATGCACAGCTTCATCAACTAATTAACCCTCAAGGCCATTCGACGAGGATGTTTCGATCTACTTTTACGTCAGAGAAGACGATAGTCGAGCACGCATTCTGTGCAAAGCACGGAGAAACAGACGAGCCAAATTTTACTGTCTGCCACTTAATATGTTGGAGGTCAGGCGTATTGGACCGTGTCTACAACTCTGTCGGCGACGCCGCTCGGGAACTGAGCTTGTTCCATGGTTGAATCTGCATTTTGAGAGTATTGAAAGTATGTACGGCGGGCTCATTCCTTCCAGTATAAACTAACAACCTTCTAGAAATGGTGTTATTTTTCTGCACTTTCATTGCATTACGATCTCAGGATGGCCATAAACGTGTTCAAGAGATTCGTGACTATGAACTTGAAGCCGAGAAAGAATTGTTTGGCGGGTGAGTCAACTATATCAAAGGTCAGTCTGCCTGGACTAACAATCGTTTACAGTCTGATTGATGACGACAATTTCATACACGCCCTGCGTGTATACCGAGACCGTATGTCAGGAGCCATCCGCTTACAAGCATCTGTCCATGAAGGGGACATGAGAAGGTACGTGATTGCAAAGCCCATAGATATTCTTCGTTCTAAGAGGTCCCAAGGGCACCCGTGTGGACAGCCTTTATAACGCATCATATTGACACACCCCACTGGGTCCGACGTGTGAAAACCATGGTGCTTCTCCGAGATGCAAAGAGGGTTATATTCTTCCCAGAGTATTCACCTCCAAAAAATAACCGTGGAGAGCACATTCTTAAATTTACTTCCGAAGATGGTATGTAGTCGTTGGCTACTTCATGACTAATCGCTGACGTACTTTTGCAATAGACGCCAAAGATTTTGTTGATGTGATTGAGCGACTTTCAATTACCGATTAGAAAGATGGATGGAACTTGAATGAATGATAATAACGAAAGTGATGAGATTGACGAATTGATGAATCATGAGAGCACGGCCAACAACACATCTGCTTATGTCTGATTTGGTGTTTTGTTGTATTTTATGTCATCCGGATGGTATGGTTATCAAAAGCAGTGTTTCTTTTCTGATTGTCTTTTTTCATCTGACGATCTTTAACAACACGAATTTACGAGCTCGGTAGATTTATAAATGCCTCAGCTCAATGCAATTCTAATATACAGGATTATAAACATTATTATCATTACCATAGCCGTCATAGTCCATCTCATCTATACAGGAACTCCCAGCCCCTCCAAAAATTGATCTGCCTGGCGTTTTCCTCTTAATTCCCTAATCTTCGCTCTCCTCTCATCCTTTATACGATCCCGTTCTGCTTTTCGTTGACCACGCTCTTCTCTTTCCTTTTCTGTTTCGCGTCGAACATTAAGCAGATCATGCATCTCCTGCTCCCTCTCCTTCGCATCTTTAGAGAATTTGTAGAACCCCGTCCCGCGCGTCCGCACTTCAGCCTCGGCGTCGTAGTGCAGACTCTCAGGCGGAGTCGCAGATCGATCTCGCTTAGACGCCAAATATGCCATCTGCGACGCTATAGCAGCATCCGGATTGAATGCATGCGCTTGCACAGTTTCGCCATATATTAAATTCGAGGGCCGCGATGGTCGTGAGCGATCTTCTTCCTCGACCGTTGCAGCGTCTTGCGTCTGCCGTCTGAATCGCGCTGCCTGTGCTGCTTCTGCTCTTGTCCCACGTCGCGAACGCCCGAATTCGTCCTCGTAATCGACTAGTGGTCCAACCCCGTCATCTCCATCTTCTTCTTGCTGCATATCCGCGTCCTTCTCTTCATCCTCCGCCCATTTCCGATCAAAATCGACAAGCGCATTTCTCTCCTTCCGTCTCAGTCGTGACGTGTATTCATCTCCACCACCACCTTCAGCATCTTCATCCGAACTACTCCCACCCGCGAAATGATGCCCTTTTCTCAAATTCTCATACAAATCCGCCTTTTCTTGCATGCGCCTTTTCGATTTTTGTAGTGTAAATGCATCGACCGTACCGATAGTGTCGCTGCTTTGATGCAACTGCCTCGAATTCTTGTTGCCGTGCGCATCGTATTCTTCACCGGTTGCTTCGTCTTTTGCGGCGCGTTTGAGGGCTCCCTTGTTGTGCACGGCGAATAGATCTGGTTTGCCGCCTTTGGATGGGCGGGCGCGGCCTCGTGCGAGTTTGTAGTTGTCGTCTTTGGTAGATTTAGAGGAGGATGGTCGAAAGGCGGCGTCTTTGGATATGAGGGAAGATAGGTGCGAGGTAAAGGCTAGGGTGGAAGAAGAGGTGATGTCTTTTTGGCTGGGGCCGTTTTTGGGGCGTTGGATGCCGTAGAGCGCGGCGTCGTTTGAGGTCATATTGAATATTTCAACTATTTCGCATGGACAAAGATACCCATGCAATTTCGAAAAGTGCAATGATGGGTTTGCTGTTTTGTCAAAGGACGAAGTTTAAGATGGCGACTGGAGTTAAGACTATCGATAAAGAGCTTCAACCAATCAGAGACTGTCCCGCATCGGCGCATTTTCGGAGCAAATCCGACCAATCACATCGGGTGTACATTTTCTGAGGATATATTTGTCGTCCCCCGCGTTCAGTTATTTCAGTCATCTCAGCCAATTTGTCAATTGATCATCGAAATTGTCTGTAAGCCTTGAAATCATTCCCTGAATTGCTACAGTGGTCCCCATATCAGGACGACCCGTGAACAATCCGGACTAATCTGTCTCGTCTTTTCGCAAAACAGACTCCAGTACCCCTCCATTGAGTCACGCAAACAAAATGGCATCTAACCAGATTTATCTCGGAGTGATCGGTATACGACCAAAACGACTACATTCTCTGTTTCATGCTAAAATCAACAGGTGTCGGCGGCGTCGGAACCGCTTTCCTCCAACAACTCTCCAAACTCCCCAACGCCCCCTCCCTCATCCTCCTCGCGCGCTCGTCCCAAACTCTGCTTGCGCCAACCCCTTCATMCTCCCCAGCCATCCCAGCCGCAGACTGGGCAACAGCCTCTTCAGCACCCTCAATCACTACAACCGGTACCCTGACCCCTACCGAAGTCATATCCTACCTCTCCTCTGCCCCCGGCCGCTCCGTGCTCGTCGACAACACATCCGACCCAAAATTAGCCAGTGCATACCCGGACTTCCTCAAAGCTGGCATTTCCATCGTCACACCAAACAAGAAGGGATTCTCGTCCGACCTATCTCTATGGAAAGATATTTTTGCTTCTGCCGCAGCCGGTAAAGCGCTCGTCTACCACGAATCGACCGTCGGCGCCGGTCTCCCTGTTCTCTCGACATTGCGCGATCTCGTCGCCACGGGTGATGAAGTCACACGTATCGAGGGCGTATTTTCAGGCACTTTGTCCTTCCTCTTCAACACTTTCGCCCCCGTCTCTGCTGCCTCTGGACCATCCGCAAAGTGGAGTGATGTAGTCAGCCAAGCCAAGGAACTCGGCTACACCGAACCCGATCCTCGCGATGATCTCAATGGTATGGACGTAGCACGCAAACTGACCATTTTGGCTCGTATCGCTGGTCTGGAAGTCCAAAGTCCCGATTCGTTCCCTATCGAGTCCCTGATTCCCGCCGAACTGGCATCGTTGCCTGCCACCTCGGCTGGTGTGACAGAGTTCATGACCCGTCTACCGGAGTTCGATGGTCAGATGGCCACGCTCAAGGAAGAGGCCGAAAAGGCGGGTAAGGTTGTGCGGTACGTTGGTAGTGTGGATGTTGGTAAGAAGGAGGTCAAGGTCGGATTGCAGCAGTTCCCCAAGGATAGCGCAATTGCCGGGTTGAAGGGCAGTGATAATATTATTAGCTTCTATACCAAGAGGTATGGAAGTAATCCATTGATCGTGCAGGGTGCTGGTGCTGGTGGTGATGTGACGGCTATGGGTGTTACGGCGGATCTTATCAAGGTTTTGGAACGATTGTAAGAGGAAACCAAGAAAGAAGTCTATCCAATCAGTTGTATCTAAGAAGCAAATAAAGCGGTCTATAGAATTGGATCTAACTTCGTAAATATGCCTTGACAGCATCTCCCCAAACAGGCCCTCGCTTGTATCCGAAAATCTTTGGAACGCTTCCTTCTTTCAGCCCGTCGATAGCTGTAGCAAGATCCTCGCCCAGGCCTTCTTCTTTGATCTTTTTGATTGGGTAGGTGTATGTATGAAAGCCAAACATCATGGCGCGAGTAGTCGGCAGGCGATGAAGTGTTTGGCGCTCGGAGCGCAACAGGGTCTATCGAACCAGTCAGTTTCTTTTTGTTTCTCGTGTGCTGATTATTTGGTTTAGTACACACCGAATCGACATTCAATGTCCCCTCCTTGATCTTCTCCTCAACCTGCGTCTCGTTCATAGAGCTATGTAACCCACCAAAAGCAGCAAACAACTCCGTATTGGTAGAAATACTCCAATTGACCCGTTTCACATACTTTCCCACTTCAACATTTGCAAAGTGTCGATCCATACTCCTTTCGAGCTTTTCCTGGTAACCCGGGACGGGGCCATGGATGTCGGCGAGAAGTTTACCGAGTTTTTCGCGTGGATTGAAGCCTGCTGGGTAGCACGTTTCGTATGCTACGAGTCTGTACTTGGCATTTTTTGGGTCATTATCGTCGGTTTCATCAGGTAGGAGGATAAGGTAATCCTCATCTATAGTCTTGTAGAGAATTTCGAGAGCGCGCATAGGCGACGTAAATTCGGTGACTTCGGCCGGGTAGAGCTCATTGAAGACGAGGTTCTCGAGCATGTAAGCCTTGCCTGTCTCAAAGGCAGTTTCATGGAGACGAAACATTGTCGGGTAGCGCACGGGTAGATAGGTCGCCATGATGTAGCGATAGAACTCTTTTACAGCGGCGATTGCGCGTGGGTCAGACTCGTTATGCATTGCGATTACGGTCTCGCGATGTTCCTTGAGGATCTTTCGGCGATACAGTATGCGTTCTTTGTATGTCTTGTCCATGAGAATGAGTTCAGACGGGTCCAAGTTTTCGAGAGCTGGATAATTGTTAGTATTGACTTAGTATTGGCTCGAAGCTCAGTGATCACCCACCCATTGTAAGATGATACTTTGGCTTGAAAGGCCGAAGCTGCACCGGCTCCTCCGTAGCCCAGTCAAAGTCATTCAAGCTCTCCGGCAATGGGAAACCAGGCGACTCGAGGAATCGAGACTTTTTGTTGGTTTTTACTTGTCGCTATTGCATGTCAGAGTCATATCAAACCAAACATAGATATAGATAACACGCACATATTTGAGGAAAATTTGAAAAAGTAACCCACATCCCAAGAGGACAGAGATCAATAGCTGCGATTGTTTAGGCCAGTCAATCATCTCCATGAGCTTGTCTACGTTGTTCCGCGCATTTTCGGGAAAGTGTACAATGAGCGAATGGAGTGTCTCGAGTAGCTTTTTGGCTATCTCAACTTGAGACTCTGGCTGCTCCATCTTGGAAGCAGTCGAGGTGATTTCGTGCACAGGAATTGAAAGGGTTGTGTCGAGAGAAGTTGTGTCAAGTTGTGTTGCACACGAATTGATGAGGGCAAGATAGAAACAAAGAAGCCGTAGAAAGCAGCTAGCCGCTGTGTCACTTGAGGCAGCTGCTGGCAATCGGACAACCAGCAGAAAGAAGAGAGAAGAAAGGTAAGAATTAAGAAATCCTTCGAAGCTAAGTTGGGAGTGTTTATAGCCGCCTCCGCATTTCCCAACGGGGAACCGCCTCTTACTGTATGGGGCAGGTGGAGCCGGCTTATCTGCGAAGATAAGCTATCTGCTAAGTATTTACAATTTTACATGCGATCTCTAATACTGCCTACTCGTGAAGAATTGGAATAGATTGAGAGTGGATATGGTCGACACAGCTCCGACATATGCCCGATTATGACTCCTGTTCTCCGATGAGCCAGCTTCAATCCTACCACTAGAGACACCAGCTAGATTACTGTCTTTTCATTCTCAGTCTGCACAAGCCTCCTCATCATCTCCTTCTCCAAGGTGGTTGTCTGACTTGCTTGACTAGCCAGCTCCTCTCCCCGAAGACTGAAAGCTCGCCGTCGCCCACTCGGCCGTTCCGTCAATGTCGGCGCCCTTGGTTTGTGCTCGCCGTTCGCTCGTCCTCCAAAGAATGGCAATTCGTATGCGATCACGCGCGCGAAGTAGTAGACAATGTCGAATATGACCAGGCCGGCCCACGGTCCGATCGTTAAGAAGCCGAGGAAGATCTTCACATTATCCGTCAGATCATTAATCACATAAACAGAGGTAGTATCGAGGTATCAAGGTATAGACACATACAAACAGTCTGATGATCCATGTTTCCCATGTACTCATCGAGTCCGGGAGAAGAGAGTACCACGCCATCTTTCAACCTGAGAATGTGTTTCCAGCAGCTGTGATTTGGTAGATCGAGGTGCATATATATCAAGTGTGTTGATAAATGTTATATCGTCGGCTTCAGGCGATCCAAGAGAGTTCTGGTCATCGCAAGCTCGTTGTTGCACGACACATTACCCCTAACGAAGTGTTGTATCGCTTTTCGTCGTTCGCGGAGGGAGTGACTCGGTGAGTGACGGTGGCAACCAACGCTCATCAGACCATTCTCTGATAAGTATAACAAAGCTCGAACAGCGAAGGAACTGTTGGCGGAGGAGTCGAAAGAGGAGATGATGATGTGTCGGAGAACTGTCGCGGTTGCGTCAGTCGGCCGCGGCTGCTTGGCTGTCGGAACGATCCACAGCCAATCACAGGTGCCTGTCAGTTCTATTTATGAGTGCCTACATATTTTAGATGTGTATGGTTAAGACAATAATATGAATTGCAAATATTGATTTAACATAAAAATTGATCCACAAGATACAAATGAAAAGAAAAGCGCAGAATATTTTTCATGAATTATTAATCATGCCCGCAATTGGCGACTTTACTCCTGACTCCGTAGTTGCCGCAAAAATTGCGATTTGTCTATCTACAATGCCCCGCTTCAACTTCAGTTCCTGACTGGCGCTTTACGACTTGACCTTCTTCTTACAACCTCCGATTGAGCAGAAGAACGAATCAATACTGCTCAACGAACACACATTTCCATTGTATCTGCTTGCGACAGTCACCATGAAGCTCATACTATCAACCGGGTAAGTCCTTGACCCCGCGCCATCTGAGCATTTAACCTTGCACACAGTGCATACTGACGCTTACAGTAATATAATGACCMCCGGCCCCTCGGTGGTCCGCTTCCAAGCCGAAAAATCCAACGTCGAATTAATCAACTCTCTCAAATCCAACTTCGAAGCCGCGCAACAAACTCTGCCGCCACAGGACGAGCAATCGAACGGAACGAAAAGTACATCGTGGACGAAACAAGAGGGCGATACACTTTACGTTCCCGCGACCGACTTCGCGCTCTCTGGACTGTCAGAAGAACGAGATCAGTACGATATTACTGTCAAGTTATTCTACCTCCCCGGAATCCCCGCGTCGCGAAGACAGGCACATACGCGAGATGCGATTGATTTGGTTCTCAAGGAATTACACGTTGAATCTATCGATCTATTGATTGTCTCCTTCCCAGGGGTATCCTTTGACGCAGAGGACGAAGAAACAGAAGCAGATGACGACGAAGCAGGTTCAAGGACAGGCAGTGAGAGTAAATCCGGAAGCGACAGCACAGAACAAGCAGATGATTTCGAGAGCATGGTGAAGACATGGCATGCGCTTGAGACGCTGGTGGAAAACGGCAAAATTGCGCAACTCGGTGTTGCGGAGTTTGGCACTGAGCGGCTGGCGAGGKTCATTCAGCAGACGACTGTTAGGCCATCGGTTGATCAGATCAATGTCAAGGACTGCTGTGTTGTTCCAAAGTCACTCATTCTTTATGCTAAGCAGGAGAAGATTCGACTTCTCACGCATAATGACTGCACCAATATCTTACCCCCAGGTACGACTCGCGACTTGTTAGGGTCGGGCAAGGACGGTGCTGGGGTTTTTGCATCCACGCCTGGTGCGGTGGATCTGCAGGGTGAAATTGAGCCCCAGTGGGTAGTCAAGTACACGGCCGTGGTGAAAGATCGAGGCGTCATCGAGAATAAGGGTTACTTTGCTCTTGCAGAAGTTGGAAGCTGTATCAAAACAGATGATCGGTCCTGAGTACCTTGGGAACTTCTTTCTCCGTTTGCATTATTGTTAGCGAGGCGTTTGGTGGTTCTCTTATTCACACACAAGCATGTTTCAGCATATGAGCAATCAACGTATTGAATAGTCTCTGCTTTTGCCTAACCAAGCATACTTCGCTTTCGGCCGCGCATCCGCACATCCTCCAATTTCTTGAGCACCAATTTTGCGCCCTTGAAACTCTCCGCGTAGCCATCCAGAATCTCAGAAAAGAAATCCTCAGTCATTGGATGCGTACTTCCAAATGCGCGCTCCAGAACATATAGATCAACCGCACGATCTTCCTCAGCAGAGCTCGTGCTAGCAAGTCCAAAATCAATAAGCACAATATCGCCCATCATCGAGGGCGACTCTGTGACGCCTGACGGTGCAGAATCAAGCGGTCTCAGAATCATATTACTCGTTGTCAGATCTCCATGCACGACCCCAACCTTGTGCATACTTCCCACCGTGCGGCCGATTTTCTTCATCAATTCTTTCACTTTACCCTCTTCCTCCTCTTTGTTGAACTGCGAATCATTGGAAGTAATAGATTTCTTCATCCATTTCTCCCACCGCTCCAATATATGCTTCACAGCCAACCCATCAATCCACTCCATAAGCATCCACGCGCCAACCGACCTCGTGCCATCCGCGGGCGTAGCAGGATCCCAGTCTAGAGCTAGTACGGCGGGCACGCTGACCCCTTCCCGGACGAGTTTCATTAAGCATCTTGCCTCGTGCAGTACGCGTTGACGGGTTAGACGCCGGTCAAGCAGTTCGTGGCGGTAGGGTTTTGTAGGTCGGATTTTGAGTGCAGCGGGTGTGTCGGAGGTCAGGAATGTGGTTTTGTAGAGTCGTGCTTCGGCGCCTTGGGCGAGGAGGGTTGGTGGAGGGGTTGTGTGTGCGAAGGGAGGGGGGAGGGGTGGCGGAATGTATTCTGTATTCATTTTGGGTTGCGATATCTTTATGCAGAGATGGTAGATATGTTGCTGTTTTGGACCAAAGGAGGCAGTACTGTGGTTGATGTTTGACTCGTGGTGTATGAAAAAAGAAAATTGCTGATGCGGGGAAGATTTGAGTGTGATCTCCACAGATAAGCTATCCACCCTTCCAACAACTATTTACAATATTATCAAGCTCAAACAGCGGACTCCTGTCTATAATTGATTCTTGCTTGTTTTCATAGTAGTATGCGCAATTGAATCTACCGGCTTCGTTATGTTCCTATTTATAAGAGACGACTCAGAGCGTATCCTCAATCGCCGCCAACTCAGCCATCACCTTCTTGACAAGCTGCTTCGTCGCCTCAGTAGGCGGCTCATACGGCGTTCGTGGCAGAAACTTTTCCTCTGTATTCTCTATGCCCGCCTTGGGTGCTGAATATATCGCTACCGCATACTTTGTCGTCGCAATGCCACTCTTACTCGGCGATTCCGCCAACGCAGCCTTTTGATGTAACGCCAACGCTTCCGCATATTTGCCTTCCTTGTACAGCTTGTAGATGTGTGATATCGTCTTAGGGAATACGTTCGCGAATGCGGCGATACACCCCGCTGAGCCGACGGCTAATCCACCGAGGAGGAAATCGGATTGTCCGCCGTAGACAGAGAACTTGTCCGGTCCAAATGTGCCTGCTAGTCTGGTGATTTTCCCGACTTGGGCGCATGTCAGCTTTACGCCGACGACGTTGCTGGTGCCGTCTGCAGATGAGGCGGCTGACGTATTGACAATGTCGGTTATAAGTTCGGAGTCCAGGTCGACGCCGTTCGTGACTCCCGGGAAATTGTAGAGCACCACGGGCAAGGCAGCTTTGCGCGCTACGTCTGCAAAGAAGCGTTTTATGACGGCTGGGGTGGTCTGTTTACCAAAGTAGGCTGGTGGTAGGACCAGAAGGTAGTTTGCTCCAGCGTCGTAGGCATCCTGACTATATTCCAGGACCTAGCTGAACGTCAGCTCAGGATTCCTTATTCCTTTTTTACTTTACTAACCTGCTTGGTGGAATGACCACCCACMCCAGCCATTATGGGATAATCAGGTCCTACCGCTTCGCGAGCAGTCTTGATAAGTTGAGCTCGTTCTTCTCGAGTCAGGAGGAAGGTCTCTGCGTTGGTCCCTAAAATCACCAGCCCCACTAGTCCACTGCGCGATAGATAGGCGTAGTATTTCTTTGCAGATTCATAGTCGATTGTGTCATCTTCACTGTTGAAGGCTGTGACTGCTGGAGCCCATATTCCTGCAGGAGGCACGCGCGGGGGTGGGACCATGATGATGTTCTGCTTGTGCCTTTTACGAAGTACATATACCAAGATTCAGGTGTAGACTTCGTCTTGAAGTAGAATGCAAATACAAAAAGAGAATAGAATATTTACGAAATTTGGACTCACATTGCTCTTCGTAAACAGACGTGGAAAAGAATCCGGAGATTGTCCGATTGAGGGGCATTATTGCTCAATTCGGCAACACATCAACCGGGCCGATCACGACGTTGCCGGTCCGGAAGAAGTCCGATCATGAATCAACAGACTGGTGATCTGGATCTGTATCTGTGCATTTGACTTGTGTATACATGATCGCATGGACCGTGCAATCTGGAATGAGTGATATGATCATTGTAGTATGGCCGGCTGCCATGAGATTAAAAGGAATGGACTTTTGTAAGACAAAAGGAATGTGTAATAGATAAATGTACATAAACAGAGATCTTTTCATATATAACCATTCGCCAACACCAAACCGAAAGTGACCACCATACATTATCGAGGCCTAGTCATTAGACTTGCCAAACCCCTACCAAGCCCTCATCTTCGATGACGCCGGCTCCTCTGACCGCGACTCGTAGTTGATAGTCACATTATCAGTGCGACGGATCTGGTTCTGGGCGGCTTCTGGTGGAAGAATGCTCTCTTGGCTGCCGTCTCCTCGCTCAACGTTAGTGATGGAGATACTATGCTGCTTGCTTCGGTTGCTGCGATGTGCACGCATTTCGATAGACTGCGAGTTATTCATGCCGCTGCTGTCTTTCTCAAGTCGGTTGAAGTATTTGTTGTTGTAGCTTGTGCCTCTGCTCTTGCGAAGTATGTATTCCAATAAGGGCTGAAGGGTGGGAATGCACGATGCCATGACGACGACGTCTGCTTCGATACTACGCTCGCCAGTGTTTAGTAGAATACCAGGATGAAGGATTATGACGATCAACTTACTTTGTCCAAATAACCAGTTGCCAAGTACCAACTAGAGTTGAATGCTCGATTAGTTTTTAGTTCTGGACTAAATGCCCTCCATTTTGTGACTTACAGGTATAATCGGCCGTGTCAGCCAGACCCTTTAATTGCGTACACTTGACGATGGCCATAGCTGCGGCACTGTGAAATTATGTTAGCCATATAACCTTGACGATATCAAACAGTCTTTCCAACACCTACATGGAACCCAGGCCAAGAGCACACATCAAAGCAAGTCGCTTCTTCACGGACATGTTCAACTTCCAGAGAACGATGGCAGGATAGATTGAAAGGTACAAATCAATGAATGCCGAAAGCGCTGTCCTCCCATCAGCTTAGTCTACTACATATCTCTGATGTGAACACCTACCTCCGGTGAAAACAGCAAAGTCGATCAAAATCCAGGGATCACGGCAAGTATAGTTGGTTATCGTCTTGTCCCATTGAGATGCAGGGGGATCGCACTCGGTGAACAAAAGAACAACGCAGATGGATACCACGCATGCAGCAAAACTCACAAGTCCGATTATGAAGTATTTGTGAAGTTTGCTGGGGTTAAGGATTCGAATCAGCATGATAGCTACTGCAATCTTGGGAATCGTGAATGAGAAAATGCCGAAAAAAAAGCCGACTGTGTTTAGCAAAATGGCTTTTTCGAGATGAGGAAGATCTAATGCCACGGCATGTCTTCCATACCCGACGATGACATTCGCGGTCGTGAGGCCTAGATAAGCGAGACCAAATATCTGTAAAGGTCAGACAATGTTTGCCGATTGCCAGCCTCGATAGTGATAGCCTTMCCATYCCAGCCATAATAACCCAGTCATCCAGACCCATATTCTTCACTATCTTCACCCGAATATAGATTCGAGCAATAACCATGCTTGTCGTGATCATAGTCAGAGTCCACATCGGCGCCAGGATGTTTACGCCTTTGCTCTCTTTTAGATACGCGGCAGAGTAGCCGCTCGTTGAGCTCGACATTTTGGCAATGCTTGAATGGCACGAAAATGAATTGATTGGCAGAAAACAAAGAAAGTCGATAGCCGTGCAACGAGGTACGACTAGATGAGGATCTCGTCCCTCTTTAAGGTATGTAAGAAAATCAATTAAACGAAAGAAGGCTCATTCTTTTCCGGAGACTTATCAACCTGATATGATTCAGGGAGTGAGAGGCAAAACAATTACAAAATATAGGACGCATAAACGTAGATCTGAACGAAATGTATAGTGATGAGAGCCCTTGCTCTTAGCACCAGGATTCAAAGTTCAAACTGTCATTTAAGGTACAGGAAGTATTTCCTGGGATCCGCCCTTCTGGGTCCCGGAATTAGATTCACTATTGGTTTGGAATAACGGCTGGGATACAGATATGCAGGTCCAGAAATCTCTGTTGATCGCGGACGGAGTCACGGAGACTGTACGTCTAGTCTGTACCGGCTCCTTCTTCAGCTTCCTTTTTCTACGAATTACTCAGATGCCATACCAAGCTGTCAAAGAGACAGTTCCGAAGACGGTCCAGAGACGGAACGAACCGGCGTCGGACTAATTTTGATCGACAGAGACCAGACCGTGCAGGTCAGTAGAGAGTTTTGAGTCTGGAAATTGTAGGCCTATACCCTACACTATAAGCTGAGTTGATTATAACTCGCTAGGGGGCACATAAGTTTCTGCCGCTTTAGTTGAATTTTCCCACCCGATTGTCAATTCTGTCCTACGGGCTGTGGCCAACCTAATTTCTCAGACCTCGTAAACATAGTAGTAACCTTCTTTGCTTTTTCACACTTCGAAACTCTGTTGGTTGCAAACTGTAACATCGTGGTCCTGAACCAGAGTGACGATTCAACGTTCGGTTGACTGAAGCTAGGTATGGTCATTTTATAACAGGCCAGCTATAGTGACTGTTCCGGGTGAGAATGCCGTAGGGATGGTGTATGCACACGACCCAGGGACTTGAAATCCCTTGCCATAAATCCTTGCTAGTCTATAGATTAGTACGTAATCGCCGGCAGCGACAGCCCAGCTGGGTTTGTGTTCATTGTTCACAGTTAGATAGTTTCCTGCCAATAAGTCTTTAAGATGACGAGTAAGCCTCGGCGTCTGCCATAAGCCCACATTTCCCCATTATCTGACTCGTGGATGCAATGGCGTAGTTTAGCTCGTGCCAACAACGGCTTTGAATTTGGCAGCTCCACAGCTGCAGCTAAGGCCTATCGAAGTTTGAAGTGTGAACATCGACTGACAAATCGGGACAGAATCTTTCGTTCCTAGGGGTATCCGCTCAGTAGAGTTGCCGGTTGTGGAATTTTTACTTTCGGCAGCAGCCATCATCACCATAATGGGAGGATACGTATGTTGTTCTGGTCCACTTGCTCGTTTAAGACTTAAGCTCGCGACGATATGACGATCACTGTTTCATCCATTGGAAGGGGGAGTTGACAGGTCATGATAACAGACGAACAATTCGCAAGGCAAAGATACTTAGATGAGAAGTTGACAAGACAGGGTGTTCAGGATATACTGACAGGTCTGAACTAGTCGACCTAGGCCTGGGAAGAAGAAGTAGAAGTTGGCAGTTGGAGAACCTAACCGTAGCTACGACGTAGGAAGGAACTTAGAAGGGAAGGCCCCATCCGGTGGGACCGAGCCGTGACAGGGAGCGCTCTGGCCGGCTCTTTTGTAGGTCTTATACAGCGCTTGTCCTTGTTTGACTTAGCTTGCTCACTGGGGCCGCTTCGTAGCTGGCATTGATCGTGATCGCCTTCCTTCTGTCAAATGTCACTTTTCCACTTTTCACTCTCCACCTTTATCAATTTCGCACACATCTTGCGGCCACCTCACAGTTACACGCCGATGCCCAGAATGCATACTGCCAACCTGCAACAAAGCGTGCAACCACAATGGAAGGAAAGTGGAAGACGGCTGAAGTGGTCGTACCTGTTCGTGGCCAAGTACAATGAATTGCGAGGTGCTAACCATGTCAATTATGGTGCTGCATAATACAGGATTTATATGTCTTAGTGGACTGTTATTGGCTTACATTCAACGTTGCCGCTAGCAGGGTTGGTAATTCTTAACCGCGAACAAAAACGGCAAGAGGAATGGAAACGGCTGCTACTCATGTGGCTAGAGCTAGCCCTTCTATGCTAGTGTCTTGACATCCGGCGGCGCTGTTAACATAGGTCTCTAGTGGTAGCTCTGAGCTTGGAGGTATGAAGCACGGATGCAGGCATGAACCCAAATTTGGGTGCGTTGGTTGGTCACGCACCCGTCTTGATTCGCCATCACAATCATATCATACTTGGGACTTAGGACACTAAGGACAGCCTAAAGAGGTCCGTACAGCCCCTGACTGTGCACCAGTGTTCCAAAGCTCGCTTCATTCGTTGTTGTCTCGCTGTTATCAAAGCTATCATCCGATGAGAATGCCGATGGCCAGACTCCAAGGGGTTGTATGATATGCATCTAGCTAGCTGGGAAAGGAATAATCTATTTATTGAAGAGAATTTCTTTTGCTGGACCGAGAGATTCTTCTCTGATCTTATTCAATATTCACTACACACCTGCATAACATACTCGGTGCTCAGGAATTCTAAATTTGTTTCAAATCTATTTGCCCAATAAAAATCCTTCGCATATTTCAGCATGGCTATTGAAAATGGTCACTCCAACGGACATGCTAACGGTAATGGTGCTGTAGCACCTATCGATGAGAGCATCGCTGTCAAAGCCAATGCCATTGACAAGGTTCCTCAATTGCTCGAGGAGATTGCTAAACAAGGCAAAGCTCTCACTCAGGATGGAGCCCAGAACCGTCGCCAACTCTTGGAGTCGGTTCGCTCTTTATCATATGCTCTTGAAACTCCCCGTGAAGCTATGATTCGCTACTGTTGGTCTCAGGTACGAACTTGCCCGCAGCGTAATAATCCTCCGCTAATGCCCAGCTTTTAGCCCACTATCTTTGCTGCCATTGAGCTAGGTATCAATCTAGGCCTTTTTAAGGTGCTGGCCAAAGATGACAAGCCCAAAACCGCCGTTGAGCTAGCTGAAGCTACTGGTGCGGAACCAGTCTTTCTCAGTAGGTTTAGACCAAGATTGTCCAGAATTCCGTCCTGAGACCAATGCTAACAAAGAGAACAGGTCGTATTTTGAAGCATCTTGGCGCTATGGGTGCCATCTACGAAGTTGGGCCTAATACTTATCAACCAACCAACTTTGCTAAGACATTGACTATCCAGAAATATGCAGACTCCTTCCCCTGCATGTGAGTGACCCAGTACTTTGAAATCCTTGTCTTGAAACCGTCTCTCTAACCCATGTAGGAATGACTGCATCAACTCTGCTATCCTAGCTTTCCCCCAATGGGTTAAGAAGAACGGCTACCGAGCGCCAACCGATGGCAAGAATACCGCCATGCAGTTAGGCTTTAACACCGATCTGCATTTTTTTGAGTACCTAGCCACCAACCCGGAATTCCCTGTCCGTTTTATGAATCACATGTCGGCCTATCACCAGGGTCGACCCAGCTGGATGGACCCTGGCTTCTACCCTGTCCAAGAACGTTTAGCTGCTGGCTTGGATACCAGTGCACCCTTATTGGTGGATGTGGGTGGAAGCACTGGTCATGATCTCCAGGAGTTCCGTCGCAAGCATCCCGAAGTCCAGGGTAAGCTTGTGCTTCAGGATCTTCCCGAGGTCATTGAAAAGGCCAAGCTGCTTGTAATCCCTGAGATTGAGGCAGTGGAGCACGACTTTTTCAAGGAGCAACCAATCAAGGGTATTTCAATTCTCTTCCATGATGGTTGAAGGTGTGACTTGCTAATCGCTGTTTATGTAGGTGCTCGTGCATATTACATGCACTCCATCCTCCACGACTGGCCTGACAACAAGTGCAAAGAAATTTTAACCAACCTTGCCCAGGCCATGAAGCCAGGATATAGCAAAATCTTGATCAACGAGAATGTCATCCCAGACATGGATGCTGACTGGCAAACTACTTCTTTGGATGTCGTTATGATGACCTTGTTCGCGTCTCAGGAGCGCACAGAGCGCCAGTGGCATGCTTTAGTTGAATCCGCAGGCTTGAAGATTATTAACATCTATACTGCCGAAAAGGGTGTCGAGAGCTTGATTGAATGCGAGCTTGCTTGATTAGATTTCTTGTGTTGGATGTCTATAGATTATCTCGGGCGCATACCAAATGATTGGCTGGCTGCACTGAGCGGAATACAAACTATTCAAGGTCATATATTCTTTTACACTAAGACTAACCCACACAGGCGCTTCCAACTTGGTAAATGATGGCACTTAGCAAGCCGTTGTTATAGTCAGACCCACGGAAATATATTGAAATTAGGGTTTGCGTCTTGTTCTCCGGCCGGTGCCCGTGTGAAGCGTTCCGGTCAGCGCCACAACCAACAAAGTAATATCAATAAGCGGAGACTCTAAACAATATGCAGTAAAAGATCAACAGCTTCCATGACATTACGTTTTCTAACAGTCTGGTAAGTTAGAGTTTAATGTGTCAAAGTCACTTGGCGAGGGATTACATTTCCGCGCGGAGCACAGAGTTCACCTTGGAACAGGATGGGTGTACGTGCGAGATGATGATCTGGACCCGGAACCTGTCGTAGAAATTCGATAGATCCATTCTCTCTATGTCTAAGAGAATAATTCCGAAGAATAAAGTTCACAAAGCGTCAAACTGAAACTTCGTAAACCTGGAATGCCGACCTTTGGACCTTGCTCATATCAAGGCTATTAATATGTACGGGTTGAATGGCTTATTCGCACGCACATATTAATTTTGAATATTCTATCCCGACAATACGGTCGATCATATACTACATAAGAACTAGAGCAGCGTCAAGTTTGAGTTAGTGCTTACTACTCTGTGGTTTTCTTTTTCCGTGCGTAGAGCGGTAAACAGTCCTTCGGTTAGGGCTTGTGAGACATGTGACTATAATGATAATCACCTATAGTTACTTGAACCAGCGATACAGTCGTAGTTGCCACGACTGCTAAATATTCTTCCCTCTACCGAAGTAACCCAGGAAATTCGGCATCTTTCCGGTTGCCACTTTACTTAATAAGGACACCGTTCAGACCATAACGACGCCGTAATATAGGGTCAAGACTTATAGCAATAACAGCGTGAATTAGGTCCCATATGGCATAAATCCGCAGCTACGCCGGCTTTCGAAAATGTGACTCGGATTTGTACTAGTACAAAACGCGTAGCCTTTCCTTCTAAGCGTTCATTGACAGTCGTCTACTCAAAGCGACTTGATACTTATCATCCTTGAAGAGATATGATAGCTCCAAAGCCTTAGTAAAAATAATAATCGGCGACCAACTCATCCAAGGTCACGTGTAGTTGATACATATGAAACACTGAACGGTGGAAGTTACAGTCGATAATTTCTCAGCGTGGCTTTGTAGCTGTTTATCGTTCGCATGTTGGATTCGTTTCTTGAAATCATTGGTACGCTTTCCGTTAACACCACCGCGATGTAACAGTTTGAAGTACTATTCAAATGGAAAGTTCTTCCAGAGTATCATTTATTTATGAACATTGTACCCGGTATGAGCAGTAATTTGCCCTCAGTGACGAAACAATCTCCATATATCATAATCTGGAGAGCTCCACGAATGACTAGGTACATGTGTTGATTGGAAGTATTCAAGCCTATATTTAACCGCCAACTGGCTTTTCAGTAACATGTCTATTCAAAGTGTAGATCTGCCTATTTACTAGAAGACAAGCTTCCACTTTCGGTCACTTCCCGGCGGTTCTGATATTTGATCTGATGGCCATTCTTTCAATGTTATGGGAGTGATCATCTCCAACAGCTGTTGATGAGACTAGTCAAATATATTAGTTCAAGGTGCTAGATCAATGCCCAAGAACGGAGTCAAGCATTGATTGCTTTCAAGGGTCTAGTCTTGCTTCTACTGAGTACAACTTGTACCATGTCTCTATCCGTTTAAAATGAAGGAGCGTGGAAGATTGGACTGCCTCGCTGTGCGTATCAGAATATGCCTTAAGTGACTCGTTCAAAGGAGCTCCTTCACGTTCCAGCGATGTTTGGGTGGTTTCGCCTCACGTATCGATGACTTGGGACCTTTCAGGGTTATATCTTCGTTTTTGACCCTTTCTAGGAGCTCTAAGCGAAATGGCACTCATAATTATATAGTTCATCTAATCATACAGCTATTACTAGAGGTTCCTAAGCAAAGCTATCTATCAGTCTAAGTCTTTTGAAGGAGACGAACCCTATGAAACCTCTGATATGGTAACATTCAATACTAGATACGGCACCTAGGTAAGGACTAGATGTATCTAGCACTCAATGAAAGATTATGAACAATTTTGGATAACAGTTACTTAGATGTATGTAATACAATTACATAGAGGTAACTAGGCCCCTGCGTTCATTCGAAGTTCATCTCACATACTTTTGTATTAGGGCCTTTGAATCGGGAGGCATTCAAGTCGTCTCATTCAGGTGGAGTTAATAAAGATGATGCTAGGTTGAAAGTTCGAACTCTCCAACCCCTATCTTTTTTCTAATGAGAAGATGGGCTAACGACAATGTGTAACCTTTGATATTAGGCTATACCATATTTACATTGAGACTCAGATGTGAATACTGCAATGGGGCCTGTTCGACTGATTTGTACATACACAGGTACATTTGCAGTGGTATATCATTATTGTAGTCGATGAACGTTCATGTAGCCCCAAATTCTAGTTCAACATATATATAGCTCAATGGCCTCCTCACTTCTATTCGTAGAACAAAGTCTACACATGTATTTGCAGCCGCTTTACCAAGAATGACAACCAGGCAAGAACTTTTCTCATCGATCATTCTTTATCCATATTAAAGTCATCAATTAGTAGCAACAATTCCGGGTTTGTTATCATGGATATTATCTTATGATCAGTCATGCATTCAACGTTCTCAAGCTTCGACATCTTCGAGCTCAAATCATAGTTACACCTGCATTTGAAGTTGCCATTTTGATATGCAATTCTATACTCCTGATCCTATCTGGGTTGATTCTGATATTAATCAATAATAACACGCTATTACTGACATTGATTTAAGTATCAGTGTCTAAAAGGATCCAGTTCTCCTGCTAGAATTGGAGGTTGGTGATGATTGATGACTGCGTCATTTGAAATACTTTCAAGAAGCGTCGATAAGATTCATCTAATTTGTCATTTTGGTCTGTCACATATCTACTTAAGAGCCGATAACTTTGAGAAAGACTTGGAGTGGACAATATTATCTCTATAAACAGATAAGTATGATGAACTGACGAGGACCTAGACTAAGATCCCAGAAACCAAATTAGTGAATACGCCTAGCTTATCCACATGCCGACACCAAGGTCTCTTTCAAAAGAGAGGAACCTAGGGATGCCAGAGATCTTTGATAGATATCTCAAAGGAGGTATTCAAACCTTTTCTCGCCAGAGTAAGCCCTATCACTACTCACCTGGTTATTATTTGTGGGATCTGGATGAAGAAACAACTCTGAATCAGTGATTCGAGTATCTCTGGAGTAGTTCTTAGTCCCTAAGACTAAGCCTTCACCAACGAGATCTACATGTGTGTTCAGCACTGGAATTCCTCCAGTAATAGACATATGATGAACATACCCCCAGAATCCAGGACTAGCCCCGACGCTTAGCCTAGATAGCAATAATACCCCATTCATAAACCAGCAGATATCATTTAGAGTCCGAATACAAAAATACTTGACTCCAGCAGTAAGAAGTACGCTGTGTTAAATCATTCAGTACGATGGACATGTTTCACGTAATAGTAGCGAAGTTTGATGATGAGGCATGTTTCAGTTATTGGTTGCTGTAGCGACTTCATTAGCTTGATCAACTAGCAAAATATTCAAGCGAGATGTGCAATCTATAATTTATCTATCCTTGTGGACTTTGAGAAGGCGCAATATGTACTCCCAGTCTTACTTGGACGTGCAGTGAGATGTAGTGTTATTACGCCCTTGACTACATAAGTACGGAAGGCATGCTCGCGATTTATGGAACCCTGCATAATGAATGTATGATTTGATTGTACGCTGATGCAGGGTTATGGTAAATCATGGTTACTGAGATTCATTATCCACAGTGCGTGGTTAGACAAAGTTGCATAGAGCAGCTCGGAGAGACACATGCTCAAAGACAAATAAATTCTAGGCCCTTACTGTCTATGAATTCAATTTCTGATTGCTAAGAGCCCGGAGCCTTCAAAGATCCGCTTTTGAGGCATCTGCATTTGTTTACGGGTTGAATTTGACCAAGATTGAGGAGCCTTGAGCCCAAGACTTCCCTCTTGAAAATATAGAAATATGCCATCTCTCAAGCAAGTCAAGCCAAATCGAGATGCCTTTGACTATTCCTTTTATTCATGTGGATATAGCACGATCAAATTCAAAATCTCGGAAGGATCCAAGAAATTTCCTAAATAGGCAACTTCAAGCACACTTAGGGCTTGCCTGCAGAAGGAACCCTAGGCAGACTCCAGCAATTCTTACTTACACGTATCGTGCCTGTTTTTCTTCCTCCATCCTATTTTCAATTTTAAAAATTGTTTGCTTAATGCGATATATTCTGAATGTATCCCCTGGTAAAAATCCACTACACACGTATCGGCATGATTCAGTGTGTCGGTCCATTGTGTGACTTGGGCTCCCATTCCACATGGTAAAAGAATATATGGACTTTTCAAATGCTAAAAATAATACATGAAGATAAATCGCCAATTCTTCAAATACTTCTAGGTGGCAAGGGTTGTCGGGACTGGTTGCTTTAATGTAATCCCCATCCTCCTGAACGTGCTAAGTCATGTTATTCCTTGGCTGCGGGAGATTCAACCTTGGAAAATTTCCGAAACTACCGTATAACCATCCATGGATAAAGATAGGTCGACTCCTTGCTAAAGATGACCTGGAATTTGACTAGGAACTGAACAGAGCAGCTCGATAAAACGATAGGTGTCCAATATCAATAAATATAATGAAGAAACACAGCGTGCTTTCCATGTATCTGTAAGTGCATGCTTCCGTTTTGTCTCTTACTTCATAGTTTTGTATCTGCACAGCACGCAGGTCAGACTCAATGTTTCGGCTTTCACGGCCCCAGAAAAATTATTATCCTCAGATCCATGGGCTAGTTTTAGTGGGTGTGCCACTAACCGCTAAATGCAAGATCGGCAACGCTTATCTACTTAGTTTGACATTCTACTCCAATCTTGGTTAATGTTCCTGATTATCGACTTGAGGATGTCTCACTTGAATTACTTCATAGGGCAATCAGTTTGCTAGAAATTTGAGACTAGAACAAGCACACAGACTCTCGGGCAAATAGATGCATTTGGAGCAAAGAAAATAGCGATCGCGCCCTATTCAAAGCCCGTCGAAGGTTGCACTCAACTACTCCAGCTCCTGAGTCTCGTCCCCCGTCTTTGGAAATCCCGACTGCCGGAAGGATGCGCAGATTAGATGAGAATTTTACAGATCTCTGATCTGGATCTGACTCGTAGGATCTTGGAGGATCGGATCCAGAACTAACACGCTCATATGTATCCTCAGATTGCGAGATCCTCTCTTTTACTCATTGCTCTTTCTCTGCATAACCGTAGCTGACCAGATATCGGTGTTTGCGTGAACTAGCCTAGTAAGCTAAAGCTGAATACCCTAAAATACCCACTTACGAGGTTACATTTAATAGTATCATTTACCTCTGGTCAGCTCTATATCAGACCAGTCACCATTCTCGAACCTCAACCACCTGCCTGATACGGGGTCCCATACGATCTTTAGATGCTTTGTTTTTGAGTTTCTTGTTATTTAGTAACTCGTATCTAGTCGTAGCTTATCTTTGGTAAAGTTGGGTAGAGCTATGAATTAGCTGAGCAGTCTGTTGTTTATAAATATATGCCTGGTATCCTTTGAGATGTGTACGGGTATTCCAATCGATTCTTCTGAGCAAGGTGTAAAGGCCGCATTGACAGACGTATAATCTACCCCTTCTTTACAATACAGATATTATCTACAGCAAAATGGTCTTCTTTATCAACACTCTCGCTCCCCTCCTCCTAGCAGGCACCGCACTAGCCAGCCCAACCTCCATCCCCGCCGCACGACGCTTCCGCGGTGGCGGCTCAACATCCTACAAAAACTTCACAGCGCCAGCCGACGAAGCCTCCGCCGCAACCTTAGGCACATACACATTCACCAACTGGGCCGGCGCCTTCCTTGACACAACCGACGTAACCGGCGTAACAGGTACATTCGTCGTGCCTACACCCTCCGCACCCGCCGGCGGCGACGCAAGCACCAGCTACTGCGGTTGTGCCTGGGTTGGATTGGATGGAATTTCAAACTTCTGTCCTAACGGCGCCTTGATGCAGGCCGGCGTAAACTGGTGTGTAGAGAATGGCGTGCCGAGTTTCGTGGCCTGGTATGAATGGTGGCCTGCCGAAGCGCAGCAGTATTGGGATAATATCAGTGTTTCAGCTGGAGACTCGATTACGGTCACTGTCTCTGCTGCGAGTACGACGGGTGGCACGACCACGTTAACAAACAACTCAAATGGGCAGAGTGTCAGTTTTACGTGGACAGGTGAAAGCCCTGCGCTCTGTGAGGTGAATGCGGAGTGGATTGTGGAGGATTACTCTGTTGGAAATAATCTGGTTGCTTTTGCAGATTATGGCTCTGTGACTTTCACGGGGAACAGTGCTGTTGTTGGGGGTGTTAGTACCTCAGATTTGAGCAATTCTTATATTGCAAATATGGTCTCTGAGTCGGATAGTTCTGATGTTATCAGTGCTAGTACTGTGAGTGGTAACGATATCACTGTTGTTTACCAGTGATTGATCAGTCTTGATGCCACGGGCATATTCGGATGATGTCAACTTGTACATAGTCTAGATGTTTAGACGCAAGCTTATATAGATTTATTATAACTCATGGTCAGTGCACATGTGTATGCAAATATTGAACCCAGTTGTAGTCAATCGACCTTGAAACCACGCTGGGCAGCCATATCTACTTCTGATATTATCTGTATGGATACGTGCTATCTACAACCTCATCTCATTTCGTCTATACGTATCCTTTATCAGATCAAATATCCGTCATATGAAAATGAAGAGTGCTCCGAATCGCGATTGATCAGACAGGTCACATATCCAAGCGCTCCACTCCCTGATAAATTGAAGTTTCTAGATATCAAATTCAGAGCCGGAATGCCTTCTGCTGTTTGTAGCCAGATTCTACGGTACCCGAAAAGCACAATGTATATCCGAGAAGAAAGTTTTTCTCGATTGTATCCCGAATCCTGCGATCCACCGCTAAATGCAATGAAATATAAATAGTATGTAATGTTGACAAAAATGAAAGACAAAGAATCAAAGACGCCACCTGATGAAGCACATTCATCACCATTTGACAAGATTAAGTAAAAGTCTATCAGGAGCAAATCACTCGTTATAATGGTACACCTAAATTGGCTATTAGTATGGATTCGGAAAGCGACCAATATGGAGGAAAGAGACTCACAAAATAATCAGGTAACCCCCAACACGTATACCCCAACCGTTTCGCCATCTTCGCAAACCCTTCCGTCTCAAGCATATGATAAAACGGGAAAGGAGGGAACATGGCGCCATCACGATGCACATCAGCCTTGACCATCAACGCCGTCCCGCCAACACCATCCAATTCCACTTCGTTGTGCGGATCGGCATCTTGCGGGTCTTGCGACACCATCCAGACCATCAAGCTTCGGTAAGTGGGGATTTCAGCGTAGCCCTCGAAGAGGACGTCGTCCGGGCCCATTTCTGCTGCCATTTGCAATGCCATGTCGCTGTCGATCCAGGAGTTGTAATCATACGCCCGAACATCCATCTCCCCCTTCTCCGAATTGAAGTAGCGCTGGTAACAATTCGGCACAATGACCGGTTTATTGTGGCTCSTCAAATCCTCAATCAACGTCGGCGGCGTTTCGACAATATCCGAATCCAGCCACAGAACCCACGAAGTAGATGGTCCCAATGTAGTAAATAACAGACTATTCCGCGCCCGGCTCATCGCTTCGCGACGCTTCTTTTGGTTCTCCATTTTATGTCGTTCCTTCTCGTCCTGCGATTGCAACGGCGGCTCGAAATCCTGTCTCAGAATGGTGACGCTCGCAAATCGATCGTCGATAGGGCCCGATTGTGTCTTTGAGACTGCCTCTTGCAGTGCAAGGGTTGCGGCATTGCCGTCATTGGTTTTGGGGAGTATGAATCCCAGCGAAATGAGTTCGTGCGGGTATTGGAGCTTTACTAGATTATCCCAGTACTGCTGATAGAAGTTCATCATTGGCGTCAGGATGAGTACTCGCTCGCCCTTTGCAGCCGATGCATCCGATGTGGTAAGCTCGTTCATTTTGTAGTGCACCACTGGCGGCGGCGCTTGTTGGCCATTGCGTCCTTGCGCGTGTTTTTTGGGGAAGGGTTTCGTGGGAGGGGACAGCGGGTGTGAGGCTGCATCTTCTTGTCGTTGTTGTGCGGTTATGGGCGTTGATGATGAGGTCGGATCGAAGAGGAAAAATATGAAGCCGATGGCTAGGATGGCGGCGAGCACTAAGGTTATAGGACTTGTTCGTCGTAGAGACCGCGAAAGGGCCATGGTGGCCGGCCGGCTGCCTTCTAGTCTCGTCGTTCGTGGCAGGCGATTTCAAATGAAGCTTTTTCTGTTGTATTTTGAGGTCGATACCTGAGAGAAATGAAGCGCCGAAGTGGTTTGCCTGGTTATGAATGTTGGTTGACAGTCTGGATTGGCGGAGCTTGAGCTTAATGGATTGCGTGTACACATCCGAGCACCTCCTTCCTATACGACAATGAGCAGTAGATTCCGTCGCGTAACTTGTGCCATGATATAACACAGTGAAATCAATTGGAGCAGCTATATTCAATTCTCAATTGAGGACAAAAGTGCAAAAGAATAGCTGTTAGTTGCAACGTTGCGTGTTTGATGTTGGCGGAGGTTGGCAGATCTTCATCCTCGCCGGGATCGAAGGCCCGCATATCGGCTTCTGATTGGCTGATGGCTCTAACGCACGTGAAATTTGAATATTGTTTCAGTTTATTTGTCATTCAAATGCGAAATGCGGCTCTATCTATGCTGTCTATATGAGAGTATCCAGTATCATACACATGTAATGCAAGGGTGTCGTCGAAGCCCATAAAACGTCAGTCAAAGCTCAGTCAAAACTATGGCAACCATCTCATAACACCTTCAAACGCCACGAGAGCCATAGCATTGGCCGGGAACGCGCGCAAAAAGCACGGCAGGAATCCACGCCAATATCCCCTCCATCCGCGCTCGCGATACACAGCAACAGCAGCATCTTTCCATCGGGGAAAGCGCCTCTCACCGTCACCATGCGAGCCTCCCAAGGGATCGGTCATCAATCGGTTCTTGACGACATCTGAGGGGTAAGATGTGATCCAGAAGATTTGCGCGGATATGCCGCCGGCCCAGAAATTGATGGCTGGGGCGGAGAGATTGGTCTTCTTTTGCATCATGCGTGTGAGGATGTCATAGGATCCCCACCAGAAGAAGAAGAATGATCGGAAGATGAGCGTTGCGTAAAGACCACGGAAGAGTCCTGGAATGCCATGACTCCGTAGCTTGACGGCACGTTAGCACATCATTCTTGATGATCGCAATTGAATAGAGAGAAAGACTAACGATCTTCTTTGAGCAATCAATCGGCCCACTGTACATTCGCTGCTTCTTGTCGGCAGCATACTGAATTTGCAACCTGGCTTTGACATGCTCGACCGGCGCAGCAATAAAACTGACTGTACATCCCGCCATGATACCCGCAATACCATGTCCAAAACTTGGTAAAGTATGTAAATCCCGTTGTGAGGAGGTAAATGGAATGGAATTGCGCAGCTGTGGATTCGAAAAGACGTTTTCGAGTAATAGACGTTTATAGAGGGTAAGAGAACCAAGCATTCTATACGTCCCCAATCATCAGCTTCGTCTTGTGTATGTTGTGCGCTGTGTGCGACTTACACAGAATCCATGATCATCCATCCGACCAGCGGAGGTGTTGCGCCTTTGTAAAACCCACCGAATCCTTCCTTGCGTATAGTCTGCATGACACAATCCAACGGTCCTCTGAAACGACCATGTTCGCTGGTCTGCATTCTGATTTTGATAGTATCAAATCTGGTCCAGATCATGATTAGCTAGCTGATAATGCCACGAACGACAAGTAAACGTACGGGTGGCCAACTATAAACATGATAGAGATTAGCCCTGACTGCATTGCAACATCCATCAACAGATGCACTAACCACTCAATTTCGCAATCCCAGAAAATACACCCGCAACAAACCCCTTGTAATCCCGCTTCGATTTGGCGGTATTCTTCACACTGACGTTTTCCGCAGGAAGTATGGTGTTTACTTTGGTCTCGGAAGAAGCTGTACGAGTGATGGTCCTTCCATGGTCATTTTCTGGCAATACCGAAGCAGCGGTCTGCGAAACGCTGGAAGTCGACATCTTTATGCGACCAACGCTCTGAAAGAATGTAGAAAAGATGAACGAGTTATCTGGTCGAACGTATCAATCTCTCCATTGATGTTTCGCTCAGTAAGACAACCCCCAAAGGTGTGGTTCAAGGGAAGTAGCAAAATAAAAGGTCGATCTTGGATGTCGCGATCCGTATCTCTGCCGATTGTGAGTACACACCCACGAATGTCGCAAATCGCGTCGTAGATCGACCGAACACGAGCTAGGCAGACGTCAAGCCCGAGATATGTATATCCGTAAGTATGTGTGTGTATCGCGATGCTCCTGCTGTACAGATTGAACAAGAGTATTGCGGAGCATACACAGTTAATAAAATCTCCGACATGGTCAAGCTGTGACCATCCGATCACGGCCAGCGCAGGCCGGGGAGTGTGCACTCAGGTCCGACCAGCGCGAACAGAGGACGGCAGAGCAACCTTAGCCGGGCTTGGCGCGAGGGGCGCCAAGCCTTGAACCGCGGGGTTTGGCCTAGCCATTTACGATCAATATAAACACTTGTCTCGTCATCTCCGCACCACACAGAATTCTGTAGATTATAAATGCCACGATTTACAGTCAGTATGTATTAGTTATATAAAATCTGGAAGGCTATCCACTCGTAGAATACACAGTGAGAATTTAAAATACAAAATTTCCACAGCTATCGTGACGCAGCCTCATATGCCACTCATTGCTCTGTCCCAACCTTTCTTAATCATAACCTTATTCCGGGCATACATCATCGTCATGGCAATGGTCTTTGATTAGGGTGGCAGTGTCAAGGACAGTATTGTTAGAGCTGCTAATAAACTGAGTCGTCAAGTGGGAGCAGTTGTGGACGGTGAACAAGCTCCAACCGTATGCTACGATAACATCGCGAGAAGTGCTGACATAAGGGGTGCTGGGGGTGTCGAGACCATCATAGTGTCCACCGGCGCCGTTGACCACGTACCAGGGAGCTGTGGGATTATCGGTGATCTCCTGAGTGACATTATTGGCAACGGCGGAGTGGCGCTCGTAGAAGTGTTTGTGGCCGTGGAGCACGAGGTCGACGCCATACTCAATCAGAATGGGTTCGAAGGCAGCCTGGCACTCAGTGCAAACCGTCGTGCTAACGTACCAGGGACGGTGGCCAGCTGCAACAACCCAGGGTGTCTTCTTGCGGTCGACAGCGGCGAGATCCTTCTCCAGCCAAGCAAGCTGGGCTCCGGACGGAGCAAAGGGGCCAGCATTCTCGGCGCCCTCACCACCAGGCTCATCCGGAGCGTTGGGGAAATCGGTCTCAGTATTGAACATGACAAAGTGCACACTACCGTGGTCGAAGGAATACCAGAAGTTCTCGAGGCCACCAGATTCAGTAGAGGGCATGCTGGATGGAAAGTCAGTCTCTAATACATGCCTCACGCCTAGCAAGAGATACATACTTCCAGTGTTGGCGGTAGCCAGTGAAGTTGAGCTGGCCAGGCACACAGACGCTTAGGTCACTGCCGTTGTCGCAGTTGGCCTCGTGGTTGCCGGGCCCGACCATGTAGGGCTTAGCACTAGAGAGCTCCTCGATCTCGTTGTAGAAGTCATTGAGGATCCGGTCGTACTCGGCACCGTTATCGGTGAGGTTGTACGGGGAGACATAGCCGCTCTTCTCCTCCTTGATCCAGGCGTCGGCGTAAGCAAGATCACCAACTGGCAAGCACGTTAGTTAATGAACACATCACAGATGGCACCAGTGTACATACCGTGCCAGATGAAGTCGTAGCTGCTCTGGCGAGCGGCCAGTGACTGGATGGTCGTCAAATCACCCGGTTTAAGCGGGTTGGCAGCACCCTTCCCGACAGTAGTACTGAGACCATCAGGGCCAAAGGTGCCCATGTCGCCAACCATGGCAAAGCTGAACTCAGTCTCCTGGCCAGGGCGGCGTGCGGTAGTGAAGGTGTAGGTCACATTGCCGCAGTTGGGCTTATAGAAGTACGCAGTATCGGGCTCAAGGCCGGTGAGGACGACATGGTTATTGTACGTGGATGAGCTGGGATAAGTGGTCGACACATCCGACTGGGCGACGCGATTGAGGCGCTGGTCCTTGCCGAAGTACACTGTCGGGTTGGAGAGCTGCTGCTTGGTGTTCCAGCTGACTGCCATGCCGTGGTCACCAGCGTAGGCGAGACGAATCTGGGTGGGCAAAGTGCTGCTAGTGCATTGGCCGGGGTTCTTAGGGGCAGCCAGTGCGGCCGAGGCGAAGGCCACAGCCGTAACAGCGCTGAGCTGGAACAACATGATGGATGGGAATCAGAAAAGACCGACTAGAGTGAGATGGTTATTCCTCCGCGCCTGGGTCACTGGGCAGGGCGGTGCGACAGAGATAGATATAGTTATATGTTTGCATCCTGATTACATGCTTTGACTACAGGCAGATTAAGGGTCCGCTTCTGGAAGGCAGGGACCTGCCAAGTCAGCGGAGTTTTGGCCAGCCATGAAGCCGCCCGCCGGCACGTGCTACCTAAACCTCCACTAGGGCTAGGAGCTAGGGATAAGAAGCTTTCGGCTGCTTCTAGAAATACTCAGGATCGCGTTCTCGCACATGTATGTACATATGCACCAATAAGGGGTCACTAATTAGTAAATACTACTTCACTGCATGAGTCGGTGCCCTGTTCGGTTAAACTTTCAAATTTTTACAGGTACGTATCAACCCCATCACGCGTAGGCACGTGCCCACGTGCTACACAACCCTCGACTCTCGTCGGCTGCAATCTCCCTGCTGTGCAGTCGCTTATTCTCATTTCCTTTAATTAGATGATGCCCTCGAAATCACGACTGGGAAGAGCAATACTAATCCAGTTACGGCATCGAACCTCGTATCCAAAGCGCCCTTGAACCTTCTCTAATAATTTAATATCTTATTGTTGATATCTCACCTCTTTCGCTAATAGGGTCCGCCTCGCTTGTGGGAGTCAGTGGGACGGGATGACGGTATTCTGGGGGACTCATAGACCTGTTCTTCCACCTACTTCTTGAGAATCAATTTTGATATTATTGACTCTTGCGGCTTGTTCTATTAGCCGTACTAGGTATATCGTGAGATATAGCGTAGTTAGACCAACACCTACCAAATTACATCAAATAATATCCATAACTCCCCATTATTGCAAGAGAATTTTGAAGCAATATCAATTCAGCTATATAGATTTCAGTTTGCATAATGCTATAGCCGTACACCTTGAGCTCTCACCGTAGTATACAATCGATCCCTTAGAGGCTTGTTTTAACAGGATTATATATGGATTCTATGGATAAGTACCACTGGTATCGGAATAAAATCAGACTGTGGTTATAGCTACAGCTAACCTGGGCGTCCCAACTAGTTGACATCAAAACGCACGGCCTTCCCAACTCTCCGATTTTGACCCTAGGGGTAGCTAGCGAGATGGAGCAATCGAAGTGAGAATGATAAAAGTGGCTTGGTTTGTCTGCACAAATCGAGAAATTGTGAAACAGGAATTGATGGCGACACATGTGCTCACCGTAACAGTGTGCTTCATTACTTAGTATTGAATGCTATACAACAGTATGAATTAATATAAAGGCTGTGCCACGTTTTTAAGTATGCAGCGTTTCAAAGTTTCTGGTGGCGCAACTATTTAGAGCCTTCTAACCTAAGCTCTATATAACAGTTTTATCAAGGATTCACATGATCACAGTCTGCTTTTCGAAGCCTGCTCTTCCTGGCTGCTGTAAATCCGGTATCTATTAGATTGACGTCGCCTAGAATGTCATATACAGCTAGGTCCGCCCAGATATCCTTTGCAAGCCAATTCCGCACTTCGAGAGTAATGAGTGAGTCGGCTCCAAAGGAGTCCATATGATCGTTCGTTGGTTATCTTAGTCTGAGATCCCAGGCCTAGAATCTGGCAGAATTTCAACTTTAATGCGTCAGCAACAGCAGCTCCGGCGACGGCGTGCGTCTCCCCGCTTCTTCGAACACGGCAGCAAAAATTTGGTCTATTAGCCATCAATGTTGGAGAAGCTTCACCGTCAGGCATGACTTGATGAATCGCACGGAAGGGGGTCTTGTCATTGCTTTATCTCCAACGTCGCTGACTGAATAAGCAACGATTCTGAGAGAACCTTAGCTTGCCTTGCAATGCATCGATGGCGACAATATGAGCACTCAAGGCTATGAGGCTTTCTCTGACACGCCATGAGGTACTTTAGCGTGAGTATTTGCCTTCTGAACAACATCCGCAGCATAGATGCCATCAGCATGGGTTCGTGGATAGGAGTACTTCTCTGCAAGGCAGAAAAGGGCAAGAAGTGTGGCTTTGTGTGTCCTAGGCTCCCAGACTCCTCAGGTAGCCATCGGCTGCCTCTAGGACGATGTGGGCGTTGGAATTGTCATGTCCGAACAAGTTAATAGGCGCGAGTTGAATTTCATCAGTTTCAGGCCAAGGCACACATTCAGTATGTTGCGAATTCAAGGTAATAGGTGCACAGGAGGCATATTTATTGGCTATACATGTAGGAATTAGGCGCAAGTGTCGTTCTTAGTCAACGTACTCAATTGACCTGTCGTCTATTGGTTGACTTCGGAGGTGAGGTTGTAGCTAGCTCGTACGCTAGATATCACGTAACAAGCACATAATTCCGTTACACTAAAGGTTGAAGATGTTGGCATTTATGTAAATATTCTTGATACGGATAACTCAATCTAAACTCCAAAGAATCATGTCGTATGAAGTGCAATGTTCCTCCATGCTTCATCAATGCATGTCATGATACTGTATGCTAATGGTACTCGAGCAACTCGTGCAAAAGTCAAAATAAACGGGAATTTCCGCAAGATACTCAGTTCTTGGGATGGTACATATGGGGTATACACATAACGATAATAAACAGACGCCATCGACTCCTGGTGGATCAGTCGTCATAAAAAATAGACTACTAATGAAATGAATAACGAAAATGTTCGACGCCTAACATGCGAAAGTCCGAAGATAACATCGAGCTGGGATAATATGGCGGATTTGTCGAAGGCTATCGACCTTTTGTTTCTTTAGTGCGTGCGCTTCCGTGTCTTTCCCGCTCCCCGTCAGCCTGATGTGGTGAAGTGTAATCACCAGATCGGCCGGACAGGTAGCTTTCTGCCTCCTCCAGAGCAAGCGGAGTCACCGGACCAGGACTGCCGAGAGGATCCAGTCGTGGAGCCGAAATCCCAGCACCGCTGATGTCCGTAGCGTTACGTGATAGCGAGACGCTAGCTGCAACTAATTCACGATATTGTCTCAGTGCCTCCCGTGAACTTCCGCTTCCTGCAGAAGAAACGCGGTAGCCAAACGATCTTGGGTGATGGTTTGACGTGTTTGGTGACAACGAAGCATTTGGAGTACTGTTCGGTGATTGATACACAGCAGGATGAAATCTTGGCAAGTTACCCAGGTACATTGGGCTGTCCTTGGCTGTTGGCTTTGGCGAGACTGGGCCTGACTGGTGCGACATGGTGAGAGATGGTCCTGACATCGGTGATTTCTTCGAACGACTACTGCGGTGGTTATCAGATATATGTTCCGAGGCGGAAGATGAGTTTGGTTGCGACTTTTTCTTGCGAGAAGTCTTTTCGTTCCGGCTATGACGTTGATGAGCCGAGGAAGAATGTGAATCCTTGAAAGGACGCTCTGCCAAGTACTGGTGATCGAAACGACCCGTAAGTGGTGTGAGCGGTAGGTCTTCGAAGGAGCGGCTCAAGTTGGCGCGAGGGATAGGAATTGGCTGAGAGCCTGCAGTTGATTCGTACGGTTCCTCGATAGGAGCAGGAGAGGCAGGTGGTGTCTCGACCGAGTCCGAGGGGAGAAATGATGTGTTGATGGGAGAAGTCGAGGTTAATTTTCGCAAGGAGGACGAAGATGACACTGGGGTCGGGGGACCGTGTTTTCTTATAAGACTTGCGAGATGCTCGCGGGCGCTATTGTGTTCGTTGGCTTGGGAGCGACGCGAAGGTGGAGAAGCGGTATTTAGATGTTGGTGGTCTGCGAATGAAATGTCCGATCAGCAAGTGTTCATTTTTGGCAAGGAGAAGTCCCATGTCGCGAAACACTGAAACAGTATATCCGACAAATCAGGAAACAATGCCTTCATCAAATGAACTCCACTAGAGGGGGATTAGATCCTCAACCGCCAGCAGTACTTGGCCGACATGCATGTAGGGATGACATATCATTCGACAAGCCATGGCCGAACATGCAATCTAACCAGCGAGGAGCGGGGAACAGCATACGTAGCGTCACTGGTCTTTTGAAACGCAGATAACTCGGCGAAGAAGTATTCACCGTCAAGCGTCAAGAAGCCAGCACAGACATCATGAGCGTGCCTGATTAAATGAATGTGGGGGTGGGGACCAAACAATACATCAACGTAAAAGCAAAGCATAAATACTTGTGCAAACGAACAGTACTTACAATAGTTTCGAGGAGGAGAGATAGAGCTGCACGATGAAGGATAATACGAAGCTGAAGAGTGCGATGAGGAACAAGAGGTATAGGAAGCGGCGGTGGTGAAGACGACGGGGTGCCTGTTGCTGTCTTTTGTTCTTCGCGGGTCGTTGGCGGCTGCCATCATTTCACTGTTTTGCCGGTGTCCGGCTGGTAATACGATTACACAGCTGTAGGGATGACAGATAATAGCGCTGGTGTATCGATGTCACGGCGTTACAAGATTACCGGGACGGCGTTTTTCCAGGCGGGGATACGAAGACTGTCAGCCAATGACAAGGCCGTCTGCGGGGGAAAGCGTCAGTTTTTTTCCTCAATTTCTCAGCCAAGTGGACAGAGAGCATGTCGTCATTAGACTGACTGCCTTCGGTTGCCTCGGGCGGGAGGAACGGCAGGCACAGCTCGATTGCGCTCCACTGGACCCAGCGGAGACACACGAAGAAGACGACGACGACGAAGACGAAGAAGATAACAGCAAGACTCACTCCATATCAATAAAACAATTGTCACACGCACGACCTTGACAGATTGCGATCATATAATAAATGCCTAAGACAGGCAGGCACATAACCCAACCGGTGGGCAGGCGTTGATCTTCAGTGGCGATACGCACGGCTACTATCGACAGGCAACACAACACACGCGCGGATGATCTGGGATCTTCGAGGGTCAGTGATACAACAACAAAAACGCGACGATATTTGAAAAATTCAAAAAAGATTCAAACGAAAAGTGTGGTAGAAGATCTCCGTTTCTTCACACCCTTGTTCTTTTCTCAAGGGTAGATGCATAAACTCCACTCCTGTCGTCAACCCCGCCATACGTAGGATTCCTCCCGCTCTGACCTAGACAGTGACGGCGTCGTGAACATGCACGCTTTTCCGGATAAGGAAAATCGTGCTTCTTCATGACTCGCCTTTTGTTGTTTGGCAGCGCAGAAGAAGTGGCAGGTTGCAGATATGAGGTAACAAAAGCCGAGCAAAGGGTATGGACCAAATTAAATCCCAGCAACTAACCTGAAAAGTGCGAAAATTTGTATGTCCGGTTCTAGTGGACTATTGATTTGCTTTGTTCGCAAATCAGTTTTTGAATAAATCGAACTGACAAATCGTCGCAAGTAAGCGTCAAGGCCGAACATGAGCTGGGGCAGTAAGATGCTTATATGTTCTTCGAATCCCAAGAAAGAACACAAAGAAAGTCATGCAGCACAGAAAATAAAAACAAGATCGAACCAACCTAACCAAGGAGAGATTGAGCATACCTGTGAGCCTATGCCTACTAGCAGTTAGTAGCGTACGTACGGGTAGTACGTTTCCCTTCTACCTAGGGAGGTGGGTGTGACACCCGACTGAAAATCAGAACCACCCGAGCCTACTGCGGAGGCTTAGCAGTCAAATAACAATCGACTTTGCGCCTTGTGTGTGGTATTCCTGGTTTTTCTGCTTGTTGCCTGTTTGGGAGGTGTGCAGCGAATGATCTTTGTTGTAGGTTGTATGTGTTTCGAAAGTCGCTATTGGTTTGGTCAATTGTCTCAGAGGATGGCTGGTGTGATGTGATGACTTTTGTTTGATGTTGCACCGCCCAACCCTCGAAGATATAAGTAACCGTGGATGGCACGAACCAAAGGAGAAGTCAACCAGATTTCCAGGGCATATCAGCTCTTATTATAGTTGACGGTGTTGCTTATGTGTGTGTATAAGATGTGGCTTGGTTGCATATCATCACAGTCATAGCTTGGTGCTCCCCCGGTTTCACTTGTCCAGAGTCAGTGCGGTATGACAATTCTGCGCCTACATTTACCGAACAACCCGAACGAGCCTTATCGTCTAGAACTCGAATCCTTGACAGAAAGGCTGAAATAGTGGATTCACTGGCTTCATTCCTTTCTAGCCGAGCGTTTTATCTTGATCGCGCAAGTCCACATGTCATTTGAAACATCGGAAATAGGACAATATCTACGGAGTACGTAAGAAATGTATCATGACAAATATACTTTACCTCAGGACCGGACAAAGAATGGGGCTGATGAAGCTGATACATTTCATCCTTGCATGTAACGGGTAAAAACACGCAGCGTCGCTAAGGACTACATAAGAGGAGATTAACCTTTTGTCAAAGTACGGAAAGGTGTAGAAGGAGTGGAGGATACAAATTGGTATGTTATGAGGTATGTTACTGCACAATTACATGCAGTACAGTGTATTGTACAGTGGGGAGTGGGCCGGCATGGCGCAGACGGGCCGGGCCAGTCCCAACTGTCCAACCTTACTTTGTACATAGTACGTACTACGTAGTTACTTACATAGTACGTACTACGGAATGGCATGCATGATCAACCCGAGTTTCTTTTTTGTTTCTCGTGGTTCACAACTACACATCACCCAACTCCTCATGTGGAGTTTCTTCTTTTCTTTTTTTGATTGCCCAGGTTGCCTGTTGCATCGCGACTCTCACATTCCAAGTTTTTCTTGCATCCTCCCCATCGCCTACTTGATATCGGCTAATTAAGTTGAAGTAACAAAGTTTTATGGCGTACTTTGTCTGTTTTTGCTTTACGTGCAATATGATTTGAGCCATCTCGATCGCTCCTATCACCTACTATCACCTTATCACTGTTTCATTTAAGGATGTTTTATTGGATTGAGTCACCCTTTCACCCTATCACCCGTTACTAGCCATCGGTTGTCTGGCACTTTAGTAATTGTCCCAGACAGATCAATGGGAAACGGCTATCGGCGGGGKTGGGGRAGGAAGATCATTGGTTGTTTCTCTTGTGACTCAAGCCATGTCCGTTTTTGGTCATACTTTATGGAGTACCAGGTGACGAGATCAATAGTTTGTACTAGTATTGCGAGCAGTATCACTTTTGTACCATATATGCCTGGGTTAGTGATACCACACTGAGCCAACTTTAGAATGTTACTTAGGCTTGAGTAATCACAAAGCGTTGAAATCTTACTTCCATTTACTAATTATATAGTATAGTGTACGTAATATGTATTTCATGAATTACTCTTGGTACTAGCTAAAATAGACTCTACATTAGCACACCGTACTAAACCACGTACAGTCTAAGCAATCTTACCATTGATCAGATCAGGCGACAAGGCCGGGTCCACTTTCCTTGAATTCCCTCCACCGAGTCGTAGATCATACTCTCTCCATTTCAAGCACTTCTCACCCTCAAGCTGGTTTGCTATCAGCGGAGTACTCCTGATAGAGTTTCTTTCGCCTGAACTTATTCGCCTCCAAGTAATTGTACGAACTGACCCCTTTATGCTGACCCTTTACTACTGCGTACTCTACTGATCGAACGATCGAGTGGTTACTCTCATCCGTTGCCGTACCGAAAAAGCAAAGCCCAAAAAAGTCTGCTTCTTTTCYCCCCGCCACTAACAGCTCAAGCTGAGGTTCGTACGCAAAAATAGTTTCAGCTTACCAAAAAGCTTACCAAGATTCTAATACATACGCACGTACTAGTTGAGACTTGTGCCTATCAAATCGCAGGATCTTGCCCGAACCGCTGGGTCCTACGATGATTTGATGGGTGATGCTATGTGGGTATATTTATTTGCACTAGACGAGTCAGTTCGTGTCATGCTCGTCTGAGCGTTCGCGAGCGTTCACTCGATAGTTCCTGACTTCAATCGGACCCTTGATGTGGCGGTGGGAGAAGGATGCTGATGCTTGTTGACATTTGCTTATTTTCCGTGGGTATCCGTCCAGCTGGATGCGGAGTATGTATGCCCTAGGCTTAGGCTGGGGTGTTGACTCCGTGATAACGAACATACTTTTTGATATCAGCACAGCCCGTATGATGCCATAATCGGACTCGGTTTCCAGTTCAGTCTTTTTCAGACGGTAAAGTCGGTAATACACTCAGGCCAGCCACGTTCCGGCCAGATCCAGCCTTAACATGAAACAGAGTCGTCTTATGGAATGGACGGTCTTCTTCGTATCGATCAATACAGACATGCATGCGAACTACGGAGCAAATTAGCCACGGCCCGACCTTCGATGGACGTCTTCTAGGAAGCAAGGGGCTGATGCTGATCCCTTACAACGGAGTAAACCAACCCCTTTCCTTCGTAATTGACGCGACGGGGGCACAGCCATGAGCTGGGCAGGACCATCAAGCGATTTTATTGGGGTATTCCGTACATGATGATATGATATGACTTGCATATCGCACTCGGTACATCGGCGATCTAACCTCGCTTAAACATGAAGCTATGAAGCCATGAATATCGAATACGAGGTCTACTGTTTCGTGCTACATTAAACTTCCAAGCATGGCTCCTACTAAGGTATTGCCGTGAAAACAAGCGATCGACATCTGATCCATGCATGAGACAAGGACATGTTGCATGTTGCATGCATAGAATGATGCAAGTATTTGTAAGGAAATCCATACTGCGAGATATGCACAGATTCTTATCGACGATAGGGAATAAAGCAGAATTGAAGGCAGAAGGGAAAAGGAACATGTGAGTCGAAGAAGGATCATCTCCAATCAGGAGCTTCGATGCGCTCCTACATGATGGCTAGAATGATCTTCAGCGAAATTTGAAATCGAGCCAGGCCGGTCTGAAATTCAGACAATAACTGGTCAAGAACCATCAACCCTACAGCTACCAAGTATGTATTATAATAACTACTTCGTACTACCATATATGAAGATGTGATGTTAGAATTACAGGGTTCCTCCTTCTAGCCCTAATCCAAGATCAGATCTCAGATCATCGGCCTGAACCCAAGATCATCCTTGTAACTTTGTACTACCACACATCAACCCTATATCAGATAATCCTTGGAAGAACGCCTGTTCGAAATCACGACACCTACTGATGTACTGGAGTGCAGAGATTGACGGAAAACAAGACGAGTCCAGCCACGTGCCAGTCAACCATGTGCGGAAATTGACTAGCACTTACGTACAGCGGTACTAGTAGGCTAGTAGCAGTTATGTGTCAAGTCGGACCATGTTCATACCACGAACGCCTTTGCGGAATGGGGTACATGTCACGTACGTATTGAACAAAACATGTACTATATAGCGCAACGGCATATGCCATACACATTGAGCAAGGCAGCCTTTCCGAACCTCGCCTATGTGCGTCCATGTATGAATTGAAGCAAGGATCGCACGCGTTGTTTCACTATCCTTTCACAACTCCTTCGTTAGTAACGTAGTCGCATACCACAGGAACGCCCCTTGCGTGTTGCATGCACGTAAATTTCTCGGCTCGGGAAATATTTGATGTTGCAAAACGATTATGACTGGAGGGATTGAGTGCATAGGAATGTGTCAATACGAGATGGACATCTGGATCTTGAGATTTTCGTTTGATGCGCCGATATTGACCGAAAGCCATCGAAATTGAACATTGAAACGAAGGTGAGAGAATTTTTGTCGGAACTCGTGGACTCGTCTGTAGATCGAGACCACTTCCTTTTGACGTACACCTACTAAATGATAGAAGGACCATGGGTCGGTGTAAGAAAATAACGCATGCAAAGATAACTCTTTGGCTATATGTCTAATATCTAATATCTAATACTACTTAGTGATACATGTTTAGTGCCACATGTATGACTGGCGCCCAGAGATCAATCAAGACCACGAGATCCTGTCAGAAACTCATTAGCAATGTACTAATCGCATCAGGAAATAAGACAACATACCAAAGCATAATTCCAGCACCTGCCGCGATTGCCGCAAACTGTGCAATCGTCTTTCGAATCTCGACTCCTTTATCTTTACCCGTCTCAAGCAATTCCGGAATCACTGCCACAGTGCCAACATAGAGGAACGTCCCCGCAGTAAACGGCAGCAGCATATCCCCCCAACTCAGTCCCGTTCCCCATAATCCTCTGGAGATCTCGGGCGAAGTACTCGATGACATGGTATTGCCGCCAAATTCCTGCACAGCGATACCGATAAAGGTTCCCAAAAAGGCACCAATGGCTGTCACAAATTGTGCGCCCATAGCCTTCCTCTTGGAGAATCCGGATTGAATCAAGAGCGCAAAGTCGCCTACCTCGTGAGGAATCTCGTGGAAGAAGACGGCCACCGTAGTGGTGGCACCAATGGTCGGCGAGGCATAGAATGATGACGAAAGAGCCAATCCATCAGTGATGTTGTGTGTGAAATCGGCGATGAGGTTGAGATATCCTCCCAATTTTGCACTTGGGTTGATTTCACCCTTCTTCTCCCCGGTCTCGGCCTTGCTCTTGGAAGATTTGCCTTTGCGTTTCTTTACATCGCCGTTGTTGCCCTTTCCAGGGCTAGAGCCCGTAGCCACTGCCGAATCATGGTTGTGTGAATGGCTGTGATCATGCCCGCCTTCTCCACCAGTCGCGATACGTAGTGTTTTATCCATAGCTACAAACGTGAGGAAGCCCACCATGATCCCTAGGCCAAGTAAAAGATTCTTATTGTTTTCCACAAGTACGAAGCGAGCGTGTTCAGGCGAGTCCTCGCCTAGGAAGATTTCTGGTAGTAGATGAAATAGCGTATCGCCTAGTAATCCTCCCACGGCAAAGGCGACCATGATGGAGAGGGAGGAGGGGTCGATATTGGGTGGACAAAGCGCGAGGAGGAAGTCTATGTATTGAGTGAGTTGATGTCATATATTAGCGCTAACAGATTATCTTACTCGGTGGTCCAGAAATATACAGTGTTGCTAACAACGCGTTGACCGCAGGGCTCCCTGGAAAAAGCACCGCGAAGATTTGCGATGTCCAGCTTGCGGTTTCTGGGCGGGAGGCTAATTTGTGTTCGTTCAGCGCTTGAACCAAGGGGCAATGCTTGAACTCTGTCAGGGTCGATGGAAAGTCAAATAGGAGGATCCATTATACCTGCAACTCCTCCTCAATTTGAGCCGCATCATAGCTCGCAATCGCTGCTTTGTCCGGGACTTGTGATTTGGCAGAGACAAAGGAAGATAAGGCGATAACAAGTACCATGGAGAAGGCGCATGCCCTCCACGAAAATAGCATCGATTGCCGAGCCATTGTATATACTTGCCCTGAAATTGTCAGGATAATTGGCGGAAGTTGTGCGTATTGACCCGCCCTCAGTTGTAGATGCTTAAGGATGCAAACATGCCAAGCCCAGCCTACCCAAAAATGCAAACGACCCGCAAATCCGCCTGATAAGATAAAGCAGATTTTATTTTGGCAGAAAAATTCAATCAAGCAACAACCTCACCACAACAAGAACTGCATAATGGGTCGCGAATTACAGAAGAGAAAGAACCGCGCCAAGGTGCCGAAGCTCAAGAAGAAGCGCAAGTTGTTGCGCAATGGTGATAAGAAGATTAATGTCCTTGGAAATCAATTGATTGCCGACAACTGGTAAGTCAGAATGACTCTTTAACCTATCAATAATTCTTTTATACTAATGTGATATAATGTAGGAACAAGAATGAGACTCTTATTCAGAACTATCGCCGTCTAGGCCTCACGACCCGACTCAACGCCCCGACCGGCGGTGTCGAAAAACCTCACGGCGTCGATGCCGTCACAGCAGACAAACTTACATCTGACACCCTACACATCACCGGCAACACCGCCGCCGCCCCTAATGGCACCACACTCTTCGATCCCGAGGAAGTCCAAGTCGAACGAGATCCCGATACGGGCAAGATCCTGCGCGTCATCTCAGGCCGTAACGAAGAGGAAGCCGATGTAATCGAGGTCGCTGGACAAAAAGTCAAACGCTCAAACCCTCTATCCGACCCCATCAACGACATTGAGAATGGAATAAGCTCTCTACACAAAAAGGCCGGACTGGGTACTTCGTCAACATCAGCGTCGGAGTTCGTGCGTCAATTGGAGATGCGTGCGTTGCGGGAAGAGGAAGCTGTTAAGAAGCGCCGGCCACGACAACAGAGTAAAAGGGAGGAAGAATGGGTTGCGAAGCTGGTTGCACGTCATGGAGATAATATTTTGGCCATGGTGAGGGACAAGAAGCTAAATCCTATGCAGCAGAGTGAGGGTGATATAAGGAGACGGGTTCGCATATACAAGGAAAGACGGGCTGCATAGGTACTCTGTTTCAAATTGTCAGCTGGTGGTTTGTTATTGTGGCGTTATACCAGGCGAATCGGCGTTACTCTACCATTATAAGTGTTCATGGTCATCTAAAATATGGATAGAAATTCAATGGTCATGGTACATAATCAGTTCGTGTAATCATAGCCTGCGTAATGATAGCTCTATCGTTGTGGGGTACATTATTATTCTTTCTCTGAACCCGACATACCGACACGATGCACGACACGGACCCATCGTCGTCGTCGCCATGAGCCGGCTCTTTGAGCTTGCATGGTCTCGTCCCAGTCACGGCCTTGACCTGACTGCACCTTTGATTTGCCTTTAGCAACCGAGGATGCATTGGATGGCGATGCGTCTGGTAAATCCCCGTATGCCATCATACTGACTTCATCGTCGTTTACAGAGCCTTCAGTCTCTACTTGAGGTAGATCCCATACCCAGCCTCCGATTTGCTCATCAACACTATTTCCGGACGTACCATTTCCTGGAACCTCGAATCCCACACCAGTTATCATACGCTCCACGACCCATTCGCGACATTCGAGATCTAGCTCCCATTTCTTTCCTTTCCATGTCCATCCGGACGGAGCTTGGACATCTTCAAAGAAGCGACAACTACGCGGCCGGTCTCCTGCAATGCGGTTCGGTGATAGAGGATCATATGGAACAGGTGAGAATAAAAGCGTTTCCCACTCGGAAGATGGTGCAAATTGGGATATAGATCGATGCTGTAGTTCAAAAATCTCTACTTCGCGCTCTTCCGGAGCAGAATCAAGTGAGATATTTGCCAAAGGGCCTAGAACCTGAGTTATTGGTGAAGGTTGCTTTGGCGCTGTTCCTCCTTTTGCGGGTTTCTGATTCTTTTGATCAGGAACTTGTTCCTCTTTATGTCTCTGAATCTGATTTAAAAATTCGTGTACAGTTGGGTGTGAGGATATAATAGCCGCATTTCCTCCAAGAAAGAAAATGAGGCGCCACGGAAGGAGATGCGCAATCAGAAATAGGGATGCGGTAACAATAGTTAAAAGCAAAAACACAGTTGACGATAAAGCCTCATCCGAAAAGTTCGTGAGGGGTGCTATTGATGCAACAAGGGCGTCATGCAGATTTGAAAAGTCCGCCATTGAGTTTTGCAGGTCTCCCATATTGCGGAAAAAGTCTTTCGATGTCTCGCTCGCGGGCTTGATAGTCTTGGCCGGTGCCAACGCTGGTCCCCCAAACGAGTAATAAGGAGTCGTCCCCAGAGTTGAATTTGACGGAGGAGGTGGATGACGTGCAAGGAAAGCTGGGACCATAATGTACAGTAATACACTGGCTGGTAGCAGCACAATCAGAAGATACGGATTGAGGCAGATGAATGAGTAAACGGCGAGGAACGACCAAGTCTGAGTTGGATATCTCCAGCCAAAGAGATGTATCATTCGCGCCTGGAAGACAAATGCGATGCCAATTCTATATTTGATCAGTAACTAGTAAGACGATGATATAATTGCTGACTCGTACCTAGCATTGAATCGACGGAAATTGTTCGTCATGACAGGGAGGCTGAACGGCGGTCGCGTGACGCTCTTTGATGGGGGCTTGTCGGCATTGTCTACATCTTCACCGTCTCGTTCTTCCGAAGGGATAACCTGTTGAAGAAGTCTGCCAAAGTCAGTTTCCCTACAATAATAATATGACATGGCGGTCAACCTACTTCGAAAAGAGTCGGTCTTGTATGGACCACCCTGATTGCGCGTCGCCCTTTGAGCCATGGCCTGTGTGCCGGAGTCCTGGTATACGGGATTTCGCCTTGTCTAATTTGGACTGCGATGGGTTTTGACTGTCGAATGAGACTACCGGGATAGGCTCATCGCGATTGACGACGGCGTCCGCAGTGTATTCATTCATTTTGAAGGCCGGATCACATCGGGTCGATAGGGGAGTCGATCGATAACATAAGGTAGAACGGTCGCATATCACAGCCAAGGGCACTCAAGGCAGCTGTTGATTAGATGTAGCTACATGAAGCAAATGATGGCGGAGGGCAATTGCCTGAAGGTCTGGCGTCACATGGAAGAAAGCGCCGAGGTGGGGACCAAAGTGGACTAGCGCGGAACATTTATTTGGAGTTCTTCAACAACATCCTTCTTGATGACAACGTGTACATTGTTTCGTTTTCATTCTTTATTTAATTCCAGTCAGAAGTCCTATCTGCTTCTACTATGACTGATGGCGCGTCTCAAGCATCCTTGAGGTAAGGGCTATGTGGACCCACGGCCATACACACGCCTTTGTGCAACGCTACTCCAGATATGATCCATCATACCAACCATTCACAACATTCACGAATGGATTTTACAATTGCCGCTCTGTAACTGTAGCTGTACGGCAACCGACAACAGAGTACTATGGTCTTCTTGTGACTGAGTCTACCGGAGGATATGGGCAAATTTGCTTCGACTTCGGATGGAGTACAACCGCGGCGGACCGCCATTGTTACTTCTCCTGTTCCCCGCCCCCTTTTCCCTACCCATGGATGATGATGCGAATAACTTCCAAATAGAGTCGTGCTGATCTGTCGATGCACGCATTCTTTCCCCAATGAGTCGCGATCATCAAACGGATTGCTTGATGGCTCAGATAAGCGATAAGCGACTGAGTATCAATAGGAGTAAGCGCAGGTAGTTGCTACGTACTACTCGTAGTATAGCGCATACTGAAGAGTAATAGATAGCGATACGTAGTCACAAGAAGTGGAAGCCGACTCCCAAATAAATCGAATTCCAACAAGATAGATCAAGCAGCAGAAATCAAAGACAATCCCTTTGGTTTACATCTTTCCCATGTACAGCTCTCCAGGGGCAGCAAGCGACGAAGAGCTGCCAAAGGCTAAGCAGACACTAGCTCCACACTAAAGGGTCCTTCCCCCATCGTCAATTCGCTCTGTGTTCCCCTGCAGCAACTTCCTACCCATAACACTAGCCATAACATTCAATTGTTGTTCATTTCCTTTTTCTTCGCCATCGTCGTCTTCTTTTTTATGTGATGTATTTTGTTTGACTGTATTCTCTGCGTATCTATACGAATTCCGTCTCGCTGTGTGGACAGGTCTTATCTTGTTTGTTTCTTTCCCATCAGGCTGGGTGGGTTCTTTCTCTCCCGTGATTTTTTTGAGACCCGAGCCAGCATCTGCACAAGGGGCGCCAAAGAGCCTCAACATTGGGCCGGTTGTCTGTCACTTCACCGACTTTCCATACTTCTTGACTGACACCTGTCTCGGTGCAAGGCCAATTTCCGTCGCTGTCGACCCTATCCGAATAACGGCTTGAGCGCCTGGGKCAACCTCGCATTTTCCGCGCAATGGACAGATAGCCACCGAAACAGGTCTCCAGATAGTTGACCAACGTCGACCTTCGAATTGATGGTACTTTACGTGATTGCGCCCTCGTCACGTCACGTTCCGGAGTCTTGTGTTGATACCGAGGGGTCGAGGGATTTGGGCCCGGTGTTAATTTGCGAAGTGATCGGCCATAATCCTGCACGCGAATTGACGGTGCCGGTTCTGGCACGCTCGACATGATGGCTCAAACTTCCGGCACAAATGTTCGCGCGAGGACAAATTCTTCCAGAGCGTCGGACTCCTCCCGCAATGACGAGTCAGGTTCTGCAGGTAAGGCGAAAGATTCCCGCTACAAAGGACCCATTGCTAATCTCATGGCAGTTGAAACAGATAACTTCGGCCGTCGAAGGCTACAAAAGACTACTCCGAACATTACCTCCGCGTCTGTCCAAGGTCAGAGAGCTCCGTCAATACCAAGAAGCGTGACAGMCCCGCGCCTTCAAGCCATAGGAAGAAGAAGGCAATCAATACGTGAACAGAACACGATCGCTCCAAGAGGGTAAGGTCCTAATTTCTCAATATCATTCTAGCGTTTATTAATTTTTAATAAAAAAATAGTCCTCGCTCGGGAACCGGATCTATACATTCCGGGAATTCTTCAATCGATATGACAACGGAGTCTATGAGGAACGCATCCATTAGCAGTACCAATTCGCTTACAAGTTCCGGCACACCGAATATGAACAATTCAGGCAAACATCATAGCAACAAGTCTTCTTCGGAAAATCTCGAGTTCCTAGCGCCAATCAATTTCGATGACTTTCACAACAGTATTCTAGATGAACCCAGCTTGAATAATTTCCCTCTGCCAGGTCATGGAGGTGCTGGATACGAGAACAAAAAGGCACAAACACGATCAAATAATCCGTGGTCCACGACCGAATCAATCACGACGAGGACTGCACGATCCAATTCGTTGCGGCGTCAGAGCGATCTTACACGGTTTCAGACCCAAACATCTTCAATCAACACATCGATGCCTCCTCCCCCAGCGCCCTCTGCCAGATCTCGCCGCCAAAGCCATGTCCCGCCTCCATCGTCTACCTCCGTCTCGAATCGCGCTCCAAGAAAATCAGTAGGCCCGGGTATCTTTACTATGGATACCCCCGGAGAATCCATGCCGAAGCGACGACCTAGTTTATCGATGCGCAAAGCAAGTGTTGATAACAATAGACCCGATCCACGCTACCGACTGCGCTCGACAAATAACAATGATTCTGATAGCATTGGCACCACCAGTGCCAGATCACTTAAAACCAAATCATTACAGCCACCGTCAAGGGAACGGCTGACCCAGGATTCCTTATTAACACCTACAGCTGGCGACAGAACGAATGGCCTCTTGACCCCCGTGAAACCCGCTGCTGGCAGCACTAATACACCGTCGTCGTCGTCTTCATCAAGCAAGCGGATGTCAACCATGCCTCATGCTACAGGCTTAGGCGCACGCACAATTAGCCCTACCGATGCGCGACGAATGAAGCGAATGTCAATGATGCCGCAGGCTCCTCCTGTGCCTATTACACCACCCACCGCTCAACCTGCACCGCCAGAAGTGCTGACCCTGCGACCACGATCATCTCAATCACCATCCATGATTCCGAGGAAGAGTGTCACTCCCTCCTCGTCCCGCACGACACCCGATCCTAGTCGCAAGTCTTATAGCTCTGGCGTGTCGCTATCCTCAAACACTAGCTACAATTCTGCTCGTAATTCTAGCGGATCTTTGCAGCCTCGACTGTCTCAAACATTCTCCTCTTCTCGGCTTCCCACGCCTAAGCCACGAATGGAGAACTCTAACAATGGTACAGAGGAGGTACCTCCCGTGCCTGCTATTCCCAAAGCATACGAGTCGCCAAAAACAGAAGCCGAGATCGTGTTTCCGACTAGTGCTCGTAAATCTAGTCTGCCGCTGGACATTGAATCGTCACGCGGCTCAGATTCCAGTCGACCATCCACGACTGTCAACAGCACTTCAGAGTCTTCTGCACCAGCTGCGCCATGGATGACAGGAACTAGGACTCCGGAAGCCAAAGGAAAGCAATCTGCTGCTCTAGGGCGGAAGAGCTTACAGCCATTGAAACTTCCTCCGTTGAACTTGTTGCCACTCAGCACCCCAATGGCTGCGAAGATTGAGGCTCTGAACAACAATAATAACCATCAACAGAATCCGTCTACACCCCCTCCACGTACTAATATCCCCAAGACTCCTAGTACACCGATGACAGCCTCCAAGGCATCCTTTTTCAAGAACGATGAAGACGAAGTGGAAGGAACTCAGCTACCTCGAAGTAGCACATCCCACTTTCTCGTCAGCACATCCAATACGACAGGCTTTAGGGCACCAAGTAGCTCTAGCGCTATCGTTCCTCTAGAAATGCCTTCATTGAGCCGCAATATGTCTCCATATATATCCTCATCACTACCTAAATCGAGCAGCGACTTCAACTTCATGCGTCAACATTTGAGCGGGGAGTATTCAATGGCTCAGCCAGGTACGAAATTGATGGGTCCCAGACCTCAGACTCAGTCTTCGGCTTTTTCACTTAACACGGATACCGGAACCCGCCTATCAAGTACACCGGATGCTGATGCAAGTGGTGCTACATTGAAGAGCAAGCTGCCCTCAACGCTCAGACATAGTGTATCTAAGCCTATCTTGGCATCTGATACCAAAGTCAACGCAGCAAAATATGACAGTATGCCTCCACCTCGGCTTCCAGCATCTGCTACGTGGAACGGTTTATCTGCAGTTGCAACGCGTACAACTAGTCCAACACTGAAAACCTCCTTCATGTCCAATCATCGCAAGTCTTCTTTGTCTAGCCTGAACACCAAGCAATCGAGCTTCAACAATGAAACAACCACATATACGATGCCGAGTCCTGCAATTACCGATCCTGGGGAGTCAGAAACTGCTGATAATCACCGTCCTGCATCTTCAATTTTGTCACCAGTGCACAAGATGATCAACTCCGCTAAATCAAATGCCGGCCCAAGGCCTCGTAACGCAGACCCTAACGTCGACTTGGTTGAGCTCGCTGCAGACGAAGAGATGCGCAGACTTGGCAGTAAAAGGAAAGACTTTGAGGTAGCTGCGAAAGAGTTGGACGAATTGCGTCGTCGGGCCAGTCCGAAGGAACGCGTTGGCCCAGCCCAAGCGCTCAAGATGGCTTCTCTTAACATTTTTGAACGAGGTGAAATCATTGATTTCAAAGATATCTATTTCTGTGGCACGCAAAAGGCTAAGAAGCACGTTGGCGACCTCAAATCGCAGGCAACCAACTTTGGTTACGATGACGAGCGGGGTGACTACCAAATCGTTATTGGTGATCACTTAGCTTACCGATACGAAGTGGTGGACGTTCTGGGCAAAGGTAGCTTTGGTCAAGTTGTCCGATGTGTTGATCATAAAACAGGTCAACTGGTAGCCGTGAAGATCATCCGTAATAAGAAGAGATTCCATCAACAAGCCTTGGTCGAGGTCAACATTCTGCAGAAGTTGAAGGAATGGGTGAGTGCATCAATGCTCCAGATGCTACGCGGCCATTATCACTAACGATACCTGTCCAGGACCCTAATAAGAAACATAGCGTCGTACACTTCACCCAAAGCTTCTACTTCCGTGGCCATCTTTGCATCTCAACCGAACTGCTTGGCATGAACTTGTACGAGTTTATCAAAGCTCATAACTTCAAGGGATTTTCTTTGAAACTTATCCGTCAGTTTACCAAGCAAATGCTCAGCACTTTAGTGCTTTTGCATTCAAAGAGAGTTATACATTGCGACTTGAAGCCTGAGAATATCCTCCTTGCTCATCCTATGCGATCAGAAATAAAGACTATCGACTTTGGATCCAGCTGTTTTGACCATGAAAAGGTCTACACATACATTCAGAGTCGTTTCTATCGTTCTCCCGAGGTCATCCTTGGGATGTCATACGGCATGGCGATCGATATGTGGAGTTTAGGATGCATCCTCGCTGAGTTATATACTGGTTATCCTATCTTCCCCGGAGAGAACGAACAGGAACAGTTGGCCTGTATCATGGAAATTTTCGGGCCACCGGAGAAGCATTTAATTGATAAGAGTACTCGGCGAAAACTATTTTTCGACTCTTTAGGCAAGCCTCGTTTGACTGTATCGTCCAAAGGTCGACGGCGCCGGCCAAGCTCCAAGGACCTCCGGCAGTCTTTGAAATGTGACGACGAGCCATTCTTGGACTTTGTTGCTCGCTGTCTCAGATGGGATCCTGCGAGACGAATGAACCCCAACGATGCCATGAACCACGAATTCATTACTGGAGTCAAACCTACCGGTCGACCGCGTGCATATTTGTCTAGCAGCAACCTAGTCTCGAAACGACTCACAACCAGCGGAGTTCCCTCGTCTAGGCCTCTACCTGAGCCTCCCGGTATAGGCGGCAAAGTTGGACTCGGATTCCACAAAGCCACAAGCAGCTCTCCCGTCAAACCCGCCGCAAAGCGTTTGTCGAGTGTGAACAATAATATGCAGCAGCCTGCTGCAAACAAGCGTATATCGAACAGTGGAACTGTGAGCAACGGCGTTGGTTCTGCACTCCCGCGCAGGAATCCCAGTGGAAGTCTAGCCGCGGCGGCGGCAGCTACGAGCTTATCTAACAAATGAAATTACGAAGAGTTGATCATATACTGAGATCAAGAGGATTAAACAAGCGGGTTTGAACCGCGTGTATCGATTTCAACCCCTTTGCATCTCATGCTAATATACTATATTTAATAAGCGTCTGTTTTTCTATCATGAGCAACATAGACCAGGTCGGGAACTGCTGGTTCTTTCTTTTCCTTCACTTGATGGATGTATGTATTATGCACAGAAAGAAAAAGACACCCTTTTTTGTACCATCATATACCCCCCTTCCATCTACCATATATTTGGCGAGTCACATTGCTTTTTTATTTCTGTTCTTGCTTTTTCTTTTGTTGTCATGGATGGCCTGATTTGATCACGACATGTTGGTTTCTCTGATGCTTTTCAAGGTGTATGCTATGCATCAGTTTTATGTGACATGTCATGCTCGAGAGAACTTGGAGTGCTTTTCATGTACCACTGAACATCATTAGGTTTGCCTTTATTTCTGTCTTTTCAAAGCATTGAAGCATGGTCTTTGTTATGACCGCCAACTGGACATACATACTTGCATACATAATATACATACTAATTCTACTCGAAAACCAGACGTTCATGTTTAGATGAATTGATAATGTTCATATAAAATACTCCATATAGAAACAAATAAACCCATGCGAAAAAGACACGAAGTCGTCGAGATATAAGGCATATGCAAGAAACCCATATAGAGCATGTAAAATAAAAAAGCACAAGGTGATTCAATCAATCACTCCTCGTCCTCAGCCGAATGAGTCCTTCCATTCAATACACCCTGCGAATACCCTCCACGTCTCCTGCGTCTCAACACCTCCGTCGCCCATCCAGTCAACTGATACAACCAACCACCCGTCACAATCACACCCGAAACAACATTTACCAACCTCACCACCAACGCCAAAAAGCTACCCCGCTCTTCACTCACAAACAACAATATCGGCTCAATATTGTATTTGAAAAATATTCCAGGTACGTTGTAAGGGCTCTCAGGCAGAGAAAGCGATTGACTAGTCGCCGAATACTGATTTGTGAAAATGGTGTTGCGCGATTTCTTGAATGCTTTGGCTGGATTTGCGGTGTACTTTTCGACGGCGTTGTTGCCCTTTGCGTAGATTGTGGGGACGATGTTGAGGAAGTATTGAAATTTGTAGTAGTGGGTTTCAGTGGATGCGACTGTTTTGTCGAGCGGGTTAAGCAGGGATGGGTAGTGAGGGCCGAAGGAGAGTTCGGTGACCATGTGGGTGAAGTTGAATTTCGAGTGCTATTATATCAGTGAGTTCTGTAATTATCGAAAGGGTTTGGTAAGGAGTGACATACGTCTAGATGTTGACCAACTTCGTTATAACCATGTCCACGAGCCTGTTTGAGTTAGTATAATGTTGATGTTGATGTTGATAAGTGGGTTCGTGCTTGGACACACCGTAATATGAAAGTCACCATGGACCTTGTTCGACTCCAAACTGCCATAAATGCGGCAAGAATCCGTGGGATACTTTGACGACAACCTAGGAGTCTTGGGAAACTTCCTCTTTGGATTCCTGCGCGTATGCGACAGGACGTGCCTGGCATGCACATCCTCTTCCTGATCCATCAATCGTTTCACATTTTCTTCATTGAGCGTTTGATATTCCGGTACGCCGTTTGACGACTGCTGATTGAGCTTCTCATTCCACAACTCCCAATTCGTGCCGTCCTTCGTCAGCAGCACGCCGGCCTTGATGTGATCGCCTGAGGCATCTTGCACGTTGACTCGGAGATCATTGCACGGCATTTTGACGACCATATCGATGTTCATTTGGAGTTGACGGGAAACGCCCTTTTCGACGCTGAAGTGTTGGTTTTCGGTGCCGCGGTACCAGTTGACGAACTCGCCGAAGGTGAGGAATGTGCAGATAGCGAAGATGATTACGGTCCATTGTCCGCCGCGACGGGATGCGGTTGTGAAGTTGGGTTTTGTTTTGGCTGGAAAATAGAGGGTTAGGTGTCAGCTTGTACATTCAATTGTGCATCTGGTTAAATGACTCGGCGCAATCGCATCGAGGGAAAGATGGGAGAAAGATGGGAGACGCACGAAAGGCATCAAATGTTTTCAGACCAGCTCCAACATTTTCCTTCTCCCCAAATGCATCCTCATCGAGCTCGTGCTTCGTATACCCGTTCATTGCGACAATTTGCTAGCTGCTTTGTTATGCTCTGGATCGTTTGTCGAGACTCTCGAATTGCGATAGCTTCACGCAGCCTCATACAACCAGGGATTGTGGCACGTATTCAATTAAGAACACATAATCCTATCAGGAGCAATCAAACATATATCTGCATGAATATGATCTGTACGGAGTGCGGTGCATCAATTAGAATAGAATGTTTGAAGGTGAGTCTCGAAGGATGAAATGCGGAGAGGCCAGCTATCCCGATCTAAACACTCCACTTGGCGTTTCGGATCATCGGAGTTAAGCATTAGCCCTAGTTCTGGCTTTCGGTATAAAATTAGGGCTAGGCGCAAACAACCACAGCGTCGACTTTATAAACATATTGCACTCTATTTAAATTCGTAATCCTATGAATCAGAGGAATGCCTAAACAAGTTCTTGACGCATACGTTCCCTGTGGAGGCTGCTGCTGCACGTTGGCCGACATGAATCATTCAGGAGAAACCTGTCTCTATCAATAAAATCCATGCATTGTAGGGTTACTTAGGATATTATACTTATGTGATTCCCGGTATTTAGAGGCATTTCTGTAAGGTGGAAGATTGAGTGCTTACTGTGAGTCCTCCTGGGTACAAGATAAGGTTCTAGACCAGTAATTTGGCTGACTAGTCTTCCATTTACTTTACTCCTGAAAAACAACCAACTTCACACTATTTTTGTATCCGTCCCATGAGATCGTCGGAGGGCCCGGTCTCTCAATCAACGCCTTTTTTGGCCCACTCTCGCATCAAATATCTTCGATTAAAGGCACGGAGTAACCCGAAGTATTGGGCGAAGCATAGATGCAAATCCGTCTCGGAATAACTATGTGTTATACGTAAGAAACTCAAAGGCCAAGTCACTGCACATCATAGCAACATATAAGATTTAAAATATTAAAGTAACGGCTCSCCGGTCGCGGCTTATAAACATATTCAGTTTCATGGATTATCAGTTCCCGCTACTCTTCATCCTCGCATAGACATTCGCTACGTTGCGATCATCACCCGTCATGAGGTACTTTTCAAATATTGTCCTAAGCGTGTCGCCCGTTTCCCGGGGTGTCATGGCTGGCTCTAACCCTGTGTTTGTTTTAACCCAAACAGCGTCAAACTCATTGCCTACTTCGAAGCTGCCAATCTTTTCCGCAAGGCAAAGAACCTTTGCACCGCCCAACGTCGCTAGATAAGTTACCTCGTTAAAGGTTAACGCTTTGTCCTATCCTTCTGACATGACTTCACGAGCGTTTGATGCAATCATCACTTGCCGTATCACAGACAGCATTCCCGATGCCCAGCCGCCGCCGCCGTCCGTACCCAGTCTAATATTGACACCGCGTCGCAGGAAATCCCGCATCGGAGCGGCCATAAATCCTCCTCCGACTTTCATTTTAGCAATTGGGCAATGTGCGATGCCACACCTCAGAGTGTGAAGTCGATCCTTTTCGTAATCGGTCATGATGGTGCAGTGAGCAAGAATATTCCGCCGGCTTGATAACCCCAAGCTCTCACATAAGTCGGCCTCACTTCCACCAAACTGGGGGAAAAGTTCCGTCGTTGCATCAATTCCCTGTTGAGCCTCGTTGAAATCCTTTTGAATTGTTAGTGTGCTGTCGCACTTCACAATATTCCCAAGACCCTGGAGTAGCTCCGGGGTACATGAGATGGCAAACCTTGGCGTCAAAACCGGATTTATCAGTGCAACGTCGGGACTGGAGCAGCCAGGTAGACCGCGAATGTGCTGGATGCACTCCTCCGTCTCCTGCAGGAAAAGAGACGCGCTCTTTTCCTGGATCTAAGCTGGTGCATGCCTATCCATATTACACTTACCCACGAACGCACGTTGTCCCTTTTCATGGCACATATTGCCCAAAATTCTCGTAGCATCAGCATGTCGTGAACTGTATTAAGAGGCCGTCGTGATCCCCTGACGCAGAAAGTCGTTAACGACCTGCTCGTATATTTATGAGGCTTAATCTGGATCGTTAAACCGAGCTTCAACGCGGAATGTTATCTCAGTCAGCCAGTCGACAATATCGAGATTCTCGTTATCCTTGGAGAAAATGACGGCACCCTGGAAGACCTGAACCGGAGACATTATGCGACTTGTAAGCAATTAAACGACATCTGGACGGTAAGAGTCATTACTATGAGAAATTAGAGGTATAATATAGGATTTTTCGTGACTTGTTGCATACTTATCTACTCAATAATTGTGGAAGGGGGAGATGTCAGGCTCTCCTCGGAACTTGACCGAGCTCGGCCGAGTTCGCCGAGTGTTTCGTAGCAGATGCGAAGGCTCCGAATTCGCTCGAATTCACGTGATAGTTGACCAACTACCAAACATCCGACTTGGTCTGGGTCTTGAACATTCCCAATGACATCTCTCAAAGAGCAATTCCTATCGTTCCAATGGCCCAGTACCGGACGAATGACCCTCCGCTCAGGACGACACAGCGGGCTCCCCGTAGCTGTCGGTCCTGCGCATCCAGAAAGGTGAAATGCGATAAGGCGGTGCCGTGCTCGACATGCATCAAACGAGGAGATGCTGACGCCTGCGTAAGAGAAACAGTTATCGTGCGAGGCAAATTAGTAACGTACGTGACGGACTGAATCGTCTCCAATAAGATCACGCCCCACTTACGTACTCCCTAGAGGGAAAGATGAAGATAGACCAACATATGAAGAGTTGAGCCACAAGAATCACCTACTGCGACAGGAGATTTACTTGCTCCAGGCGAAGCTCCAGCAGTCAACTGTGGGTCATTTGGCCTCTAAGTCAACTTTGAAACATTTGCGACAAAGTAATAAAGTTGAGCATGACGACGAAGGCCTCGAGGCACAATTGTGGGAGATACTTTCTGCTAAATCGACAAGGACAGTATCCAGCGTCTTAACCTGGGACGACATCGTTCTGCCGAGCGCTGCATGTAGTGAGCAGCTCATCGCCTACGACAAGTCCTGGAACTCGTGGGTACACTATGCTGTTGAATATCCGCGCTTCCAGGAAGAGTGCAACAGCTTCAGTGCTGCCATGGAACGGGGTGTGGCAATAGAAGAAACCGATCCATCATGGACGGCTGTTTACTTCAGTGTTCTCAGTGTAATAATTCATTTCCACTAGATTCCAGGCTATGACTGATGATGTGATAATGTGGGCACTCATAACAGGCTGCAATTATCATGATGCATGACGATGAAGCGAGCAAGCTACAGCTCCCAGAAGGTGTCTCTTCGCTTGGATGGCTGTTGATTTCAGAATAGGCACTTATATCGAGTTAGGCTTCGACCGTCGAATAATGTCCCGTATTTGGTACGATGCTGCTATATTTTCACTCTATCAAGCCGACTTCATGAGGATTCCTCACATCCACACAGTTCAGGCCATAGCGACATTGGGAATATGCTTTAACAACTTGGGAGATGTGGAGGTTGGACAGCACCTGTGGAGCTCTGCCCTACGAATAGCGCGGAGGATTGGCTTGCACACCCATTATTCGGACGCGGCTGCCTCGTGTTTGAGCGCAGAGGGCCAACACAGGCTCTGGTGGACACTGGTTATTTGTGAATGGTTGTCAATATTTTTTGCACATATTCTCGTCAAGTACAATAAAATGGGGTTGCTAACTCAGTGATTGCTAGGTTAAGTTTGCCCTATCGGCCGCCTGAAATCGACGATATTGATTTCGATGTGCCACTTCCATCCGCCCAAGGAATGGGAGAAAACGAGGCTGCGCATTATCTCGTTCACTATCATATATTCATGGCAAGAACGGCAGCCGCAGTTTACCGTTTCCGTACTAATCTTCGATTTGCCCTCGGAATCCTTGAGACAATCAAAGCCGTCAAGACTGTCGACGATGAGCTGGCCGAAGTCATAGATAGCCTCCCTCGCCTTCTTCAGCCGGAAACTAATCTTGAGGACGAAGAATTGCACCAGCTCGAGCTCGCCAATCCTTGGATCAAGTGGCAGCGTTACGATGTCACCTTAGTACTCCTCCACCTCCGCCTTCGCATCCATCGCACTCTGCAATCACACTGGCTGTCAGCTCCTGATCAGTATAACTGGGCGAGATCCGTCAGTGTGAGCTCAGCGATGAGCGTCATCTGGATCAATCGCAACTGGGATCAACCAGCCTCCATGCGAAAACAGTGGTACTTATGCCTATTCCATGTTTTCCTTCCGGTGGTTACTGACCGCTTCAGGACCCTATCCTACCATATCTTTGTCTCGGCTATTCTGCTTTTGCGCGAATGTCAAAATGAATTGACCAATGCAGAGGAATATTACGAGGCGGTCTGTACCGCCCTCAGCCTACTCGAGGAGGTGCAAGATTGGAACGCTGTTGCAAATCACGCAGCTACGATACTCCGAGTTCAAATGAATGGTAGTGCGTCTGCTATAAACACCGTATAATTTCTCGGGACATGATCTATCATATTTATCTAGTGCGTTTGGTAGCTCAGGAGGTCTCCAATAAGTCAAAGCCGAATGCTCTGCGAGCATCTGTATCAAGCTGGTCCAGCCCGACATAACCTTTCAATTTGGTTTCATCGAGCTCATTACCTTCGGAGTAGTCTGGAGCTGGGCGACCCTCAAGGGTGCTGATCAGCTGCGTTCTGACGTAGTCTTTATTAACCTTGGTCGTGGGGCTAGCGCCTATAAAGGCCACTGAAGCGCTGTTCAATCCTAGGTGTTCCGTGTCGACAGCATGACAGAGCTGGTGCCGAGCCAATGAATTAAATTAGCGAATCAAGACATAAGCCCAATCAGATAGTAGAATATCAAACGTACATCACAGTGCCACCAGACAGTATCCCCTGCCTTCACTGGTGGAGCGTACACCAGACATTCTTCCAACTTCAGATGAGGATGCGAAGACCGACTGAGCCGCTGGCTGGCTGGTTTGAAAGTTCCTGGAAACCAGCCGGACGAATCATCAACCGTCCACTTCTCAGCATCCATCACGTCCAGCCCCGGACCCGTCGGCGGTTGAAAGAAAGGTCGCAAGAGTACGTAAGCAATGACGGCCTTGACGTTCGGGTAAAACATGATGGTGCCTTCGCGCGGAGCCGTAGGCGTTAGGGCAGTCCAACCCTGAAAAGTACGCAGGACCTGCGAGTGCGCCTCACCTGCGTATAGCGTCTGGTTGGCATCTTTGCGCACGCTTAGGTCATACGGATCAAACTTTTCTGGTTCTCCAGAAAAAATGCTGTCATATACTTTTCGATATGTCGGGTCTGCCCAGCGACAGAGGCTGCCAGCGTCAATGTGAGGACCCAGGCCAAGAAATGGTTGTCCTGGAGCGCGGTCGCGAAGTCCATCTAGATAGACGAGAGGATCCGAGGAGGTTTCGCCCGTCGAGTCATGCCACAACTCATTCAGACTTCGCTGCAGCTTGAGATGATTGGGGTGTGACCGGATGGTGTTTTGTGTGGGGGAGTTGTATAACATGAGCATGGATGGACTCTCCTTAGGCCAGCCTTTGATGTGCCCTTCGTTGTCGCTGAGAAACTGCTTGAGGTCGTGATAAAGCTTATTTGTGTCCTCTTCCGGTACAGTCCCCCTGCAGACGCAAGCACCGATACTTCTTATCTCTTTCCGTTGGGCGTCAGTGAAGCCTTTCTTGAGGATATCTGCCGTGTTGTACACTGGGATGATCTTATTCCCCTTTTCTCTTATGTCGTCGGTGATTTTCTGTAGCTCATTGCATACTTTGATCCAACTCCTGCGGAGAGCCTCAGTGCCGTATTCTGCAATGATAGCCTTTTTGACAGCCAGGAATTCAAGTTCGCCGCTTTCCTTCGCACCTCCATGGGTGTATTCAGTCCAGGCAGGCCACTGTCTCGTAGGAGCTGGCATGTCGAAAGTGTGGCAGATGTAAATACGTCCAGCATTAATACGCATTGCCTGTTCCTAGACTTCTCAGGCTAGGGATGATAAAGGACTTATCATCGGCACACGCCGGCCTCACGCATTGCGAAAATTTATGCCTGCTTCGCCTCACCCGAGCTCCCCCGTCAGGTACGGTGTGCATATCGTAACGCCGTTTCGTCAATGGTGGACTCGCCCGAACTGGGCCGAGTAAGGACGATAAGAGTTCCATAAACAGTGGGCACGAATAGATAAGTCTGCTAAGACTTCAAGGTAATCAGAGAGGCTTGTGATAAGACAAACCGCCATGAACGAACTCGCGAACATAAGACAGACTCCAGCGACTCAAGTCGACGCATCACAGTCACCACTGCAATTCCAACAACAACGCCAACACCATCATGGCGCAGTTTCAGCGTAAACATGTCTCGCGATTGGTCCCTACGGACCACAGGCTGCTCATGCCTCTGCTTCTTGGTGTGACTATTGTCAACTCGGCAGTGAGCTTCGCCTTACTACTTCCGTTTGAATGTATTTTGACTGTTTCAACTGTTGTAGACTCTAGGATACGATTCATCCGTCATGAACGGCCTTCTCATATTACCCGCTTACTCGGACTACTTCAAACTCAGCACTGCCACGGAGGGTCTCAACAACGCCGCAATGTGGATGGGAGGAATTCTTGGAGCTTTCCTCATGCAGCCCATTCCGGATCACTTTGGCCGCCGCCGTGCGATCCTTATAGCCTCAATCGTCACCATTGTTGGCTTAATCCTACAGACCGCCTCTCAGAATATCGGCATGTTCGTTGTCGCTCGGATTATCGTTGGGATCGGATCTGCCATAAGCAACGGAGCAGCGCCAACTTTGCTAGGTGAGCTTCTTCCCCCTCGCCAGCGGGCTCGCATCCTTGGTCTCTTCTTCTCATGCTTCTACGTCGGAAGTTTGGCATCGTCCATTGTCAACTACGGTAGTCAGAACATTCAGGGCACTTGGTCATGGCGGCTGCCATCACTCCTCCAGCTTATCCCCAGTCTACTAGCTATTATTATTGTGCCTTTCGTTCCCGAATCCCCCCGCTGGTTAATTGCGCACGAGCGGAATGATGAGGCCCTGGAAGTTCTGATTATCATGCAGGGCAAAAAGAAGACTGACACACAAGATGGCAGCGAACAGCTTCGTGAGATTAGGGATACCCTCATTCATGAGGCGGAAGAGTACCCGCGCAACCCTTGGAGGGAGATTGTCTCGACAAAAGGCAATCGACGGAGACTGTTTATCTTGTGTACTTTCGGTCCAATGATCAACATGTTTGGTAATTTCATCATATCGTAGGTGCTTTGATCCCAACAGGTCATATTTTTTATGACTCACTGTAAAATAGGTACTACTTGACAAAGATCCTAAGTCAAGCTGGCATTACGGAAACAGTAACTCAAACTCAAGTTCAAGTTATTATCAATTGCTGGTCGTTTGCGGTTGCAATTATCGGTAGCTTCATGCTTGACATTCTTGGGCGAAGAGTGCAGTTGTTGATTGGTATAAGTGGGATGGTGAGTATGTTACTGTTAATCGGAGGATTGATCAAACGTGAGTGTACCACTCGATCATCATATATCAACGAGAAAGTATTAATCTTTTGAAGGCTACGGCGGATCCAGCGACACATCCGGCATCTACGGTACCATCGCCGCCATTTTCTTGTTCCAAGGCTTTTACGCCTTCTCCGTTTGCCCTATGACAAGTCTGTACCCGACGGAAATATCACCATTCAAGCTACGTACAACGGGTATTGCTATCTTTCGAATGCTAGATTCATCCTTTGGGTACGTCCCTCTTCTTATCCTCGCCCTGCGATAGAGCTGTATTTATTTTTGTTTTCTGAGCAGTCTCCTCGCGTCCTTCGCCATGTCTTACGCAATGGCAGATCTGGGATGGAAATTCTACTTCATCAACGCCTCGTGGGACTTTGTCTTCCTCATCATCGTATACTTTACTTATGTCGAGACGAGCAAACTTAAGTTGGAGGAGATCAACGCCAGGTTTGAAAGGACACAAGTTCTTGCCGGCTTAGTTGACGATTCGTCTTCGGGCGTTGTTAGGAGAGATACTAAGGATGGAGAGGTTGTCGAGAAGACTAGGGAGGTTTAAATATACATTTTGATATGGTAGTAATCCGTGATAGGTCTTTGTGCCGCTATACTCGTCATTTCGCCTAATTCGACCAGAGAGATGTTGCCTTTAATCGCTTTTAGATGACATGAGACGCCTAGGCCTGCGTTATCAAGGATATTCTTTATACCATCAATCAATTTCGCAGTATTATCGAATTAGCGATGTAGTATTTCAATGCTTGTTTTGATATAGATGGCGGGCCTAGAATACCGGAAATCGTTCGAAGTATTCTTTCTGACACTACCGTTGAAGAAATAGTAAAAGATAATCCTGAACTGTCCCTGATTGCCTTCGCAGAGATCTTAGCCTATGCTTCCCGGTTTTGAAAGGATCGAGAGCCATTTCATAATGAAGATGATCGCGTCAATCCGATAAAACGAATTCGAATTGCTGGTTCAGCACGGTGCTGACTTGTTTGAGGATCCAGAATTCTATGGCACGCCGACTGACGTTGCTAGAATCACTGGGAACTTCGACATTTGGATCAAGTCTTTGAAAATCGGGGTAACCATACAAAACAGAAGATTGAGCGCAAAAAAAAGGGTCAGGTGAAAGATTGGAGCGCGATAGGAAAATAAAAATGCGAAGACGCTATATTAACTAACTTCAATGAGATCGTCGGGATTCTTGACGACTTTCACTTCTCAGAAAACACAAACGAGATCAGAACCAAAAACAAGGTAATATATATATATATATATATGTGACTCCAAAGAGCAAAATCACAAAAAAGTTTAGGTCCCTGAGGGATTCGAACCCTCGATTGAACAGAAACTTTGCTGGAGGCAACAACCGAACGAGACGTCGGGTGTGGTTGCTTATCAAAGTGTTCCGTGCTAACCACTACACTAAGGAACCGTGTTGTGTGAGACAATTCTAATTTAAGCATTATGACAAAGAATTTATGTCTCCAGCAGCGGTTTGCACCACGATTATAGGGTAATTCTTTATCTATACAGGGCTTGCTCCAGTGCATGCTTACTTGCAGAGCGCACCTACAGATCCATGAAGCAATTCTTAAACAAAAGCCCTCAGCAACACTGCTTGATAGAAGCGATTTCCAAGATGTGGAACTGATAGACCAATCATCGCTAGGAATCCCGCTATCGTACCGGTATGGCACGAGTACTCTGTACTACTATGTACACAGGTTTAGAATACTTTCGCATTTCTAGTACTAGTCCCGTACAGATCTGCCAGGTTGTCGCCACGGTAATGTGCATCTACTTTTATAATCAAAATGCTAATTCATTTGCATCTAACTAGCTGAAAAATGAGGCTATATTGCATGTTACCCTGTCCTATCCCGGCATCAGCATGTCAACGAACCAACTGGGCTCGTAGTTGTGTATCAAAGAGATTAAACAGGCAAAATGAAGGCTAATATATAACTGAGAAAGGGCCGTATCAAAAGGCTTTCGATACCGTGCCAATATTGTGCCAACTGTCATGAGCTGCCCCGGGAGACTTCTGTGTGGTGTCTTACGTGCTCGACGCACACTCCTTTCTTTTCCAACTCTTTTTCTAGTGACGCCATGTCGGCTGATCTGCTCTAGAATGAGTAAGCCGTGTTCCTGGAGGCAACGTCAAGACTAGAAACATTTCACACTATTTACAGCACTCAAGGTCCCGTCCTATTTCTTTGGTCTCAAGCGCTGCCCACCTGATGACAAGCGGACCATGAGAATGAGCCCTAGACGTGAAGTCAGAATTCATACTAAAGTATAACAGGTAGTAAGCAATGCTCTTGAACCGCCCTGCCGGAAAAAAAATGAGCTTGTAAATAGTGGGGTCTGCCTGCCTATTTATCTTTCACGGAACCCCTCCGATCTATGGCTCAGAAAGGACCTTTTATCGTACTTGCGTCAGGACCTACACACCCAGCGTCTTGAACGATTTCATCGACACCTATGGCTCGCAGGCCTTCCCAGGGCAGCTAGACCGTTGCATAGGCAGAGGCTGTTCAGTCGCGCAATCGTCGTCACGGGAGATCCGAATCAGCATCTCGCCTGGCATGAGTCGCGCATCTTCATCAAGCCTCTTCCAGAGTACCTACTCTCATATGATTATTGGGTGCTCAACCTGACGATTCCCTTACAAGATAAATCTCTATGTCAATCTGCATATGGGCTTCTATTCTCACATTGCTGAATTGTATGTAGTAAATCGGACCTTTTGATTGCCTTCTCCAGCGATCTCCTGCCAGAATCGAGTTCATGGGAGAAATGGGCCGCAATTACCAGCGATTTCGTCGTCCATATTGGCATACACTCCTCTGCACGGTATCGCTATACGCTATCAGCACGGCGAGCTTCGCCTTTCACGGACTCTGGAGATCGCGTTGCACCGAACTAATTAGCAGTATATATTTCATAAATTTGGTCTCAGCGCCTAGTATTGGTTCAATGTCTTCAAATTACAAAACAATAAAGAACTTAAGGTCTATCCAAGGGGCCTGGGGTGAGCGATCAATAATATGTTATAGCATATTAGGTCATGTTAGGGTTATGGCTGTGGCAATAAAATACTTTACCCGTGGCCAAAAGAAACTTTACAAGACGGATTCTGGAAAAGTGGGGCCAACGAAGTGCTTCTTCCGACTTCACGTCCCATCTTCTACTCTCCCAACTCATTGGATGACTAGCGATGCTACTATAGAATTGAAGCTATGGATTCATCAGAAGTACCGAACGATTCGAGTCAAGGTGTCAAGCGTCGTCGAGTGGCTGTTGCTTGTGATGCATGCAGGACACGCAAATCAAGGGTATACCTCTCATACGTCGTGGACGCCATCTAACCTTGTGCTTCTCGCCATATGGTTTCGAATAGATTGATTAACAAATTTCACAGTGCGATGGAGCTCGTCCACGTTGTTCAATATGCATCAATCTAGGATTTGAATGCAACTATACCCCTCCTTCGTCAGCTGCAAATCTTCTCGTTAGAAAAGAGTACGTTTTCCACACGTGACTATGCTCTGGAGTAAATCGTAATCATTTTTCTAACCTGAGTATGGAGATAAATAGTTACCTGCAGTCGTTAGAATCTCGCATTGCCATGCTGGAAGATCACATGGGCACTGTTAACTTTCAACTTTCCGAATTATCGGAAAACGCTCAGCGAAATGGAGATTCTTATGCCGACCGCCATGTAAATTCTGATATGGGCGCTCCAAATTCAGAATCTCTCCCTGATCTTGCAAATATTGAGGATTCAGTAGACGCAATGGGGGCAGTTGTCTTTGCCGATGAGGAGGATTACGGATTTTTTGGTAAGGCCGTTCTCTTATGTCGCTTCTCTCCCTTCTATCTTGCCACTAGTTTCAAAAATCGGTCTTTCCACAAATTGACCGCAAATCTCAGGTCCTTCATCGAATATTTCTTTTATACGACATTTGTCATTAAATGGCATATACGATCCTCCAAGAAGGCCCGATCAGACTACCACAAGGCCAGGAGGGTTTGATGTCGGATTTGCCAATGTTTCTCGACCTCCATCACCCGTAGCAAATGGCAATAATCGTTCAATAAAACAGACACAGATTGATCTCTTTGCCCTTCCGCCACCGCAGGAGACATTAAAGTTGGTCCACAAGTATTTCGCAGACACTGGACTCTTGTTCCCATACATTTATCCACCAACATTCCTTGAGACTTTGCAGTATGCACTTGAAGACAACTTGAGAAAAATTCGGAGGACATGGCTTGGGCTTCTGAATATGATGCTAGCTATGGTGAAGATAACGGATGATAAGCCTGCAGAAAACCGTATTGCAGAAGCCAATATGTTCTATCAACGGGCTCTAGGCTTGTGTGGGAACGAAATGCTACGTGGTACCACCACTGAAGTAGGTGAGTCTTATAATATATGAAACGGGATGTGCGCATCGAGAGGAATCTCCAATATTGATAGGGTCAAAAGTTCAATTCTTGCTTCTTATGGGTCAGTACCTCCAAGGTACGCAGAAGTCGGTACAAGCTTGGACGATTCATGGTCTTGCAGTCAAAGCAGCTTTTCAACTGGGTTTGCATTCAAAACATGCGACGGAATCATTTTCACCTCTCGATCAAGAAACCAGAAGACGGACATGGTATGCATGTATCGTCTTAGACCGGTATGGCCAACTCTTTGTTTTTTATGCTTTCATTTTCCTCCTTGATATGCCAAATACTTATGCAAAGCCTCTATAGAACATTGAGCATGACTTTGGGTCGGCCGGCATCAATCCCTGACAGTTATGTGCAGGTTGAACTTCCTAGACACGACGAACACTTGATGGTCCCTAACGTAAACCCACAAGATATACAAATGAGCACAACTTTCTTCAATAAAACGATGTAAGTTCTGAATCGCCCATCAGAATTGGATGAGATACTGACTCGGTAATGGTCAGACTGCTGTATCAGCAGCTCTTTTTCATTATCGACAAACTCTACGGTCAGAACTTGGGCTGCGAAGAGCCAATATCAATGGGCGATAGTATTACCAAGATTCTCTCAATTAGCCAAAGCCTTGAAGCATGGGAAAGATCTCTTCCTGGAAATCTCGCTTTGGTGACAATCAGAGAAATTCAAGATGCTAAACAACCAGATTATGGAGAAGCCCAGTTCGCCTTGAAATTTCGACTCATCCTCACCCTTCGATATCTACACCTTCAAATCTTGCTTCATCGACCTATTCTAGTGAAGTTCATTGATGCTTGTAGTGAAACTTCCGTGAACTCCAGTGACAACCGGCTTTTACAGCAGATCGGTTCAAATAGTCTGCAAGTTTGCTCAGAATCTGCGATGAACATCATTGACATGATGTATGAAGTACTTCATTCGACGACATGGCACAAGAGCCTGCTTGGTGCCTGGTGGTTTTCTCTCTATTACAGTATGTTTCTCTTTCTCGAGGCTAAATGAGCTTTGGCTTGAGGCTCTAGAGGAGTATGTCTAATCTAGGTTATAGCATTTCATTCTGCGCTGATACTTCTTGGAACTATACGAATCTCCAAGAGCGGGGGCAATGTCTTCATGTTACCGTCGTGCGATATCGACAAGCTGACTCTCTATCCTAATCGAGCGGTGCAGATACTATACAAGTTGGACTCAGGCAATCGCATTGTGGATCGATGTCGATATTACCTCGAGAGATACAGGATCCTATCCGACCTAACAGGTATGGTATTCAGACTCTTCTTTCGGTGTACTACACAGACATGTCGGTGACTAATGGGATATTTTAGACCATCCTGAAAATTTCACCCAGGATGTGGCAAATAATGCCATGATCAACAACACTAGTCTGAACATGGATTGCTCACCATTAGGCTTGGAATTTGGAGAGTTTATGCTCGATGGCGACTTTTTAGCTGTGGTGAACCATCATACATTACCACAAGAGGATTTTACCAGAGGAATTGCTCACCATGAATGATAGTGATCAATCATATCGTATCTTCTTACTGCCTTTTTTTTTCTTTCTATGTGTAGTTTATTTTACTCACTCTCTATGTGGCTTATACTGCCTGGTCTATTCTGCCGGATGTCGCTAACCGGTTCCATAGTAATAATCTGGGGCCATCCCGACACTTCCCCGGATTGAATAATACTCCGGACGGTTTCGTACCGGTTCAATAAAAGATACAAGATCACACAGTAGCCACAGTGTAGGCAATCACACAGATCCAAATTGGTTTTTCGTATGATTCACACCCATAATAGTTTTGATATTTATTTATGTTCGCCTAGCATGAACTACCTCCATCCAACACCGACAGATTCCTCCGGGGACCCCCTACGATGGCCGTTTTGGCTACGATGCACAGCTGTCGTTGTCACCTCCCTAGCCAACTTTGTTGGTAATATGGCAGGKGCTGGGATCAGTGTCGCTATTCCAGACTTAATGCAGGAATTTCAAAAATCACAATCGAATGCTACTCAGGTCTTGACGGTACATACCCCATTATACTCGGGTGATGCCAGTGCTTCGGCGTATGATGCTAACCACCCCTCAAAGTTCAATTTTCTCTTTCTCGGTATTGGAAATATCTTTTGGGTGCCAGTGGCTATGAAGTTTGGTAAACGAGCCTCGATGCTCAGCTCAATGGCGATGCTGGCAGGCATGTTGGCTTGGTCAGCGGCTGCTCAGACCTTCAACAGCCTCGTTGCTGCCAGATGTTTGATTGGCTTTGCATCAGCTGCTGGTGAGGTAAGCCTTCAGGTGCATATTTTGATCATCAACAAAGATAACTCACATTCTCTAGAGTATCGTTCCCGACATTGTGGCGGATACTAGCTTTACGCATCAACGAGGTGCAATGATGGCAATGTAAGGAATCATCCCGTCAGCTGCAACCCCAAATTGCATCTTCTAAATAAATTAAATCCATCTTTCCAGCTACGTCTTGCTCATTTCCGGAGGATCTGCTATCGGCCCACTCATTTCTGGCTTCATGGTTGCCAATACATCAGATACCTGGCGGTCGTCGGTCTGGCTTTGCTTCGGGATGGCCATCCTCGACCTACTCCTGATATTCTTCTTCTATCCTGAGTCCAATTTCGACCGTCCTCAGGATTCTTTCGACCAATCGCAAATTCTCCAAGAAATTCATAGATCTGCTAAGAATGGAAACACTCAACACGAGGAATTTGTGGAAGGTTCATTTCCGAGTCTCCCCATGGAGACTACTTATACTATTCGAACGCCTCCTATTTCAGAAATTCTTCGCCCGGTATCGTATAATCCCTCTGTCAATCTTATCCAAGCTATGTTTGAGCCACTGAAGTTGCTCGCTCATCCGTCGGTCGTGTGGGCAATATTCACTTATGCAATCTGTCTCAGCCCTCAAGTGATTCTGATGTACGTTTGATCCACATAACCTTCCTTTCTTTCGTTGTCTACTTCTGATGAATGAATATTGATTGTCCCAACACTTAATACAGCTTCACGATGTCCCCTTTGCTTCAAGCACCGCCGTATCTATTCACAACTAGCGACGTCGGCCTAGTGCAGATTGCCGCCATTGTCGGCTTCATACTCGCTTTTTGCGGCGGTGGCATGCTCTCAGATTACATCAATGGGGTGATCGTGCGCCGAACAGCTTCGAGACTTACCATATTCCGAGCCGAACACCGTCTGATATCCATAATACCTGGTATGCTGATCGGTCCTGCAGGATGCATTCTTCTCGCATTTGCTTGTGGGCATCAATTGCACTGGATCGTAATCGCGGTAGGATTTGGGCTCGTGTCGTTTGGCACGGTATATACTCCAAATATTGCGATCACGTACGTCACCCAACGTCACCAACGAGATGCAGCCAAGTGTCTTATCTTGATCAATATACTCAAGAATCTGGTCGCGTTTGTGTTTCTGTATGTGGCAGTGGACTGGGTCAATAAAAATGGATATGTGCAAATTTACATGATTATGTTCATGTTGAATATCCTCGTCCTTGGGTGCGCATTACCATTGTACTACTTTGGCTTGAGGAATCATGAAGAGTTTCAATGAAGGAATGATACATAGTATTTGTTACTGTCATCGAGAATCAGAAAGAGAAATTGAATTTATATACTCCAATACAACTTGATGTTGAGTACGGGAATTCTTGGATTATATGGCTAGAAAATATTAATTCTCACCGGCCTCGCCCGCATATCTCAATGCTCCTCGCCAGCGTCCCTACTTTTTAGAAGGGATTGACGTAGAGATAAGAGTTATAAATTTGTGTATCCCTACCGAAAATACATTTAGTAAGAGTGGGCTCTGAAGTTACATGATGCAGATACCAGGCCAAGTTTATATCATGACAAAATATTTGGGGGAAGAAGGACAGACAACCTTTAGTACGAGCACAGGCAATTGTCTTACAAAAGCACATTGTGAGTCCCGACATGGAGCATTACCTACGTAGGCTTTGCTCTTTACGTACGTAGTTATTCAATAGTATTTCACGATCTAATTTCCCTTCCACTATATCAATCTACGCAAAAACCACATTGTTCCTCAGTGTCCCGATTTTTGAAATTGTCACATCCATCTGGGTGCCCGGGACCAGATACTTAGGAGGATTGAGACCGGCGCCGACCCCTGTGCAGTGGAACAAGAAATTAGCCTGTAGGAAAAATCAATTCGTTTGTTCGGATAGTCAACATACCACCAGGGGTACCTGTCATAATCACACTGCCCTTTTGCAACGTTGTTCCCTGAGAGAGGTACGATATACAATATTTGCAATCAAAAAGTAGATCCGAAACACTCTCATCTTGTCTCACTTCGCCATCAACGATAGTCTTTAGGTGCAATTGGGACGGGTCTGGAATCTCCGACGCTGCAACCAGCACAGGGCCAAGAGGCGCAAAGGTATCGAATCCCTTTGAGAACCCCCATTGAGGGATAACTCCGGCGTATGCTGGGTCTCTTTGTAGTTTTCGGGATGAGATATCGTTGCCGACAGTGTAACCAGCTACATAGTCCAGGGCGTCTTCCACGGAAACGTCTTTGGCGTCTTTCCCAAGTACAATACACTACGGCCAATTAGCTAAAGCACGTAAGTCTGAATTGAATATCTTATACCAATTCGCCTTCATAATCTGCTTGGTCATTCTGTGCAATTTTCGGAATCACCACCGGCTCGCCGTGATCGAGGACTGTGGTATTGGCTTTGAAAAAGATGAAGGGAAATGGAGGTGGTTTCCGTCCTGCCTCTTTAACTAAAAAGAAATGTCAGCTTGTAGTCACTTCTGCTCTTTCTAGTCAAATATTACTCACTATGCTTAGCATAGTTGAGACCTACGCAGCGGAGGATAGGCACGTCGCTTTGTGCAAGTGGTGACAGTACCCTCTTCACTTGCGCAGTATTTTTTGTCAAAACGGTCTTTCCGGTCGTATCGTAGATGTCATCGCCCTCGAGAATTCTGGCTCGTAGTTGGTCGGTCTCGGTAATGAAACCCAAGTCAATATCTTTGTCTTCTGGAAGCAGAGGCTCGCCGCGCAAGATGCGGCCGTCGATGGCCTCGAAGCGAATCAGGCGTTTCCAAGCAAGAGTCATGTTTGCTTTCTCTAGTATCTTCAACAAATCATGGATCATGGAATATTTGGTAAAACAAATCAACCGGTCAATGAAAGGAGAAATCAATATTTGATCCTCATATGGTATAGCAACTTGGTCCGAGCGGGGAAACATCGGGTACAGCGTAATCGGAAATCGGACAATAGACCGGTGCACCACCATCGAGAGCACATTCAAGAGGGGTTATTTTGTGTCATGAACGCATGAACTTCATCACTTCTCACTATAGTGGTCTTGTTCTAGCCTATGAGTCTATGGATATATCTTTTACGAACAGGCATCATTGAGCTTGCAGCTAAAGAACACGGCGCCTAGTACGACCGTAATACATCTAAAATATACAGTGTATTCCTGCTTATAGATTAGGGAAATGAATGAAGTTAATTTTTGGCTAGTAAAGCTAACCATCAGAGCCTAAGTATTCATGATATCTTTCAAAAACGGCGATCAGAGCATACTCTTAAATCAATCATTGCTCGTTTTCCACCCAATTCCCATGCAGTCCAGGACGTAATCTCAACGGAAGTAAAATGATAGCTTTTGCCTTGCTGAAATCGTTGGCATCCAAAACATGCAGCTCACTCAACATAGTACTGTAGTTATTCACAAGAGCCATCACGTATCCGTCACCTTCCTGAGACGAACCAGCTCGTGGAATAAACACGGGTTCTTGGACTAGGTACGTGGTTCCAGGAAAGTACACATCTGTTTTGCCCGTTTTACGATTAAAGTGTGCCAAAGAATTGTATGGGGGATAGCCTCCTCCCATGACTGGTGCTATGCGAGCAAAATCAGTACCTAAGCTTGGGTCCATGAGATCAAAGTATGAGTGTGAATACTCCTTTGACATCATCCGGTCATCGATTCGGTAGAACTCTGAGTTCCCTGGGTGCAAGATTTCGGGCTGAGGGAGATTAAGATCCTTCGTTTTCGGGTCGAATGTAAAACGAGTTAGTTGAGTGACGATTGTATGGGGGTCTGGCGAATTGCCTTGGGCATCTGGCCACCAGTAAAAAACGTTTTTGTCACTGAGCCCGAGGTCAAAGACAATGTAACCCCTTTCATTTTCATAGGCGTTGGCAGTGTGTCCCGGGAATGAGGTCTTGTAAGTGAACCACTTGATATCTGAAGATTTTGCTCCATTACGGGGCAGCACTCCAAGGTAGAAAGGAGTCTCTGGGCTCCATTGCCAGTGCTCTCCCTGAGCTTTGAGCCTCTCAATATCGCACAATTGAGGAATGACAGGGAAGAGCACCTAGAGAAATTAATAACCAAGTATCGTAGTCTCTAACATCCTTTAAAGCAGAGCAAGTGACTCACATAGTTCTCTGTCACTGCAAAGTCATGAATCAGTCCACAGACAGGGCTAACAAGCCATACGGTCTGTCTGAAGCGACCATCAGGCTCAACAGTGTAGTAGCATATATCTAGTGTACCTTCACCTTTGGCCTCGTACCCGAAACAAATCATTTCTTTTGTCACGGGATCCAATTTAGGGTGTGCCGTGAAGGTTAAACTTGGCAGCTGGCCGTCGAAATCGTAGAGTCCTTTGGTTTCTAGGGTTTCCGGATCCATTGCATAAGGAGGCGAGTCTTCTTTGAGAGCCAAAAGCTGTCCATTGAAATGGACGATATTGGTATTGGCAGTACTGCGGACAGCAAACTCGACGGCATCCGTGTATTTATTGCGGTATTTTCCTATACGCAGGGTATAAGTCACGACATGCGACGTAGAGCAACATTATCGCATATCTTCCTACCAGCCAGTGCTTGCTTCGCTTCTCGTTCGCGAACAAATTTTTCCGTACGGACATATCTTTGCTGGAAACTCACGGTGCCATGCGTTATGCGGAAAGCGCTGACGTTACCATCTCCGTTGAACCACTACACAACAAAATTAACCATTATTGACATTTAAAGCCGGAGTAATGAGTTTCATACAGGATCATTCTCAACCCGCGGAGGCAAATGAGGATCAGGCATAACGCGATAAAAAGTCCCATTGATGTCTTTCGGAAGGTCACCGTAAACCTCTAGATGCTGGACCTCACCTTCAAAACGGCAGGGTTTCATGAAGCCGGAAAACTGGGGAAGGTCCGGAAAATGCGCCATCTTTGCTGGTGTTATACTTCAATATGAGTTTTCAAAATTCAGTGTGGGCTCGAATAAGTGTATCTTTTAAAATATACGACTTTGTTTACTATATACTTTACATTGTGTATTTGTGATGTTTACCCACGTAATATTGAATTGTTCTCAAGTGGAGTCCTCGGGGAAGCATCGGCACGCTGAACCCGTAGCTATATCCACGGATTTCACAGTAAAGCAACGACATCTGTCTGATCCAACAGGTATTCACACAATCTATTGATGCAAAGTAACCGTTTTTGTCTGTAAGAACTCTTCCAATCCCCACTGCGATCCGAMCCYCCCCCAGCCACTGTCACCACGTCCCCCATGAGGAAGAGTCGCCTCATCATGCACAGTCATAGAGTTGATGTGAACAGCACCTGACCTGATAGATCCAGCCAGCTTCAGGGCTTTGTAGTGATTTTGAGAGAAGATAGCAGCTGATAGGCCGTAAGTAGCTTGCTCGGTAATATTGATAATACCATCCTCATCTTCAACTGTCAGCATTCCGCAAAGGGGTCCGAAGGATTCAGTTTCATAAAAAGCCATTTCTTGCCTCAACCCAGTAATGATAGTGGGAATAAAGCTCAGGGCGGAATCATTCGTTGAGTAGTCAAGCACTGGAGCGGTGTAGACTTTCGCCCCTTTGTCGACTGCGTCCTTCACAAGTGCATCTAACTTGATTTTCGCTGCAGCGGTAATAACGGTACCGGACCGCTTGATAGTCTGCAATAGTCTGAGTAAGTTTTCTTGCAGCTGTACTGCAACATGCTTGGTGGCAATAATCAGGTCTGTCGACATGCAAATCTGGCCGTTCTTGAAAGTGTGTCAGCTTTTCTCTTTAATGATCCCATCCTATACTTACATTCAAAAATGCACCTTTAATGATCTCTTGAGCTGCCAGATCCAGATTCGCATCATCCAGAACAATCACAAAATTCTTACCACCGAGTTCCAACAACACCGGCTTGAGAACCATGGCTGCTTGCGCTGCGATAATTCGACCAACCTGTGTAGAACCCGTAAAATTGCATTTGCGTATTGCACGATGTTTGATGAGCACATCGAAGATCTCCGCCCCGTCACTGGGTCCATGGAGCAGGAAGTTAACAACGCCTGGCGGGAATCCGGCTTCACGGAATAGTGAGGCCAAGAAATAATGCACGCGTGGGCTCAATTCTGATCCCTGAAATAGTATATTAGTATGAAAAGTTTGAAGTCCTACACTCTTCCGAATACCTTCAAGATTGCTGTATTGCCGGCAGCGATGGGGGCTATAACAGCTCGTAATCCCAGAATGATGGGTGCGTTCCACGGTGCAATACCTAAAATCACGCCCAGCGGTTCCTTGAAAACGAGTCCATAGGCATCACCACGGACGCTAGGAATCGATCCGAGCACGGCAGAAGTGGTGAGTGCTGCGCACTCCTCGATAAGATCTAACCCGTCTTGGGCGATGTTCTGAGCATATATAGGATCGCAGTGAATTTCTTCGACGCAGATTCGTTCGATTTCTTTGACCTTGTTCTTGAAGATGTGTGCCAGTTTCTGCAACAGTTCTCGTCGTTCGGTGGGTTTTGATTTGGACCAGCTTGCGAACGCTCGTGCACTAGACTCGGCTGCTTGGACTGCAAGTTGCTTTGTAGCACCTTGAAAAGATGTGTATCCATCCGCATCCGGACTAGGAATATCGATGATTTGTCGCTCTCCGGACTGGAGGACGATGTCCTGTCCATCGATAATCAGAGGTATGGTGCTTTTCATCATCATTATCCTCTGGATCTCTTTAACTCCCAGAGTAATTTTATCAATAACCCTATTTTTTCTGAGCATGCTCTGTATTCACAATATATGCTTTATTACAAGCTGCAAATTGAGAACGTCGGGGAAACGCCGGAAAACATCCCGAGTAAATCAGATACGGTACAGCAGGATTTCAGACACGAAAAGTTTGAGAAAAGGGTCATGGTATTTTCTTCTAACGAAACCCGTTAAGTTTCCTTGGTTCCAAATTTTCCCAGGCCTTATCAATTTCCCCCTCGGTGTCATAACCATAACACCACACTTGCGTGGCGGGATCACTCCACTGATTAGGACTATGAACGAACGGAACCCCCTTTACTTCACGCACCATAGCTGCATCCCGCGCTCGTTGTAATGGTCCATCTGGGAAGTGCCACAGACGGCCATTCAGTAGACTTGCCTCCTGCATTTGGTTGGACCGAAGGCTGCGGACAGTCTCGAATAACTGGAGGCAATCGGTAAGTTGATCTGGAGATGTCATTTTCGATAACGCTCGGGCGAGACCGACGCCGTCCTCAACAGCCATCGCGGCACCTTTGTAATCCGTTAATTTGAGATCTGGCACAATTCGCAATAGAGAAATGGCCTACCTTGAGACATGTACGGCAGCATGGCATGAGCTGCGTCTCCCAGTATTAAAAGTTTTCCAGAAATCCAGCGATTTAACGGCGAAACTGTCATCAGCGGCCACTTCATTGTTTTCTCGACCATGTTGATCAATTTTGTCAATCTGTGTGCGCGATCAGCAAAGAATATAGTAATTCTTAGACTAGACTAAAGACTTACACAGGGTCCCAGTCCTGGAATTCTCTCCTCATGTCCTCTACAGCTCGTTCTGGATCCCAGGTCAATGGATCACTGCTATCCGGATGCGAGAGGACCATATTGAAAGATGTACCGGCGCCTATCGTGTATGTCATTACATGTCGGCCATCCCCAATCCTATCAAAAGTCAGAAAGTTGTTAGTATGCCCATCAACCTTGTGGAATGTATGGTATTTCCCACCAGATATTCAACGAGGGCTTTTCTAATATCCAAGAGACTTCAGGGTCGCTCCGCATGCGATCCACATCAACTGTTGCTCGATAAGCGGCAAAGCCAGGTTTGTGAAAGGGCATATCGTGTCCGCCAAGTACAGTCTTCCGGGCCACAGATCTGATACCTAGATTTTCGTCCATCATTAGGCATTGAAAGACTTCGCAGGACTAGACGATACGCAAAGGGGAAAATACCGTCAGCAGCAACAATGAGATCCGCCGTGTGCATGGTGCCGTCCGCCAACGTTATACTCCCTGCTATAGGGTCATAGTCGACAGCTTTGGCTCCAAGCTTGATCTCAATTCCCATATCTTTTGCTCTTTCGCAAAGAGCTGAGTGAAAATGAGCACGATGAATAACGTAGTAAGGCGCTTGATAGTTCTTGGTAAAATCGGGGACGAGCTCGGTATTTCCAATAACTCTACCATCTTGCCATCTTCGAAAGGATATGCGCTCTGGCTCCGTTACATAAGGGGATAGGTAAGGCTTCAGCCCCAGTTTGAATAATAGACGGGTAGAATTAGATGGTATTTGGATCCCCGCTCCTACCTCACCTAGAACAGGAGTCTGCTCGTAGATAGTCACTCGGTGGCCATTTTGTGTTAGGGCGATGGCAGTTGCTAGGCCACCGAGACCTGCGCCGACGAGTATGATGTTGAGGGAAACCATACACTTGGACCTTAAGTCATGAATTGACGGCTGCTCCAGCGCTTCCAAAAATTTCAGGCAATTGCTAGGATAAGATGGCGGCTTACTTTGTCAGTCACTTGTTCAGGAGGCAGACAGAAGTTGACATCGAGACTCACAGGAAGGGTGAGCGGAACATCGTAGGAACGCATAGTCACCAAGTAGATGGTAATTCAGTATGAAGAGCAGCTGTTTCGTCAATGAACATCAGTAAAAGCGAGAGGAGGAGCATCACTGATTAACTAAGGCTGATATTCCGGGTCTGTTTATTGGATCTGAGCTCTCCCGACATTGCCCCGAGAATTACATGTGCATTTCCGACTAATCCCCACGTTATCCTAGAGTTGTTGATATAAGTTAAATGAGGTAGTATGTTAGGCCTCGGAGAAAATGAATACACTGGTTGTAGAAGCTCAGAATATCTTTACCCTTCCTCATTGCTTGCTCATATACCGAAATAGTTAAAATGGGCGACTCGGCAGAAAAGCTTCTCGCGGACTTGGAGCAAAGTAAGACCCTACCATTATGGGCGCAAATGAGCCGATTGAATCCTCCGGAGCCTAATCCTCATTGTATTCCATTTGTGTGGGAATACGAGAAGATACGTCCCAACTTGCTGCGGGCAGGTAATCTCATTACAGAAAAACAGGCTGAGAGAAGGGTTTTGATGCTGGTGAATCCTGCTAGAGGTACTTCTTCTATCGGCTCGCTTTATGAAGTATATACTTTGGGTCATTCGGAGTAACATGTTGTCGAGTAGATGCCCCCTACACAACAGACACCCTCTACGCCGGCCTGCAGCTAGTGATGCCCAACGAAACTGCCCCAGCACACAGACACACAGCCTTCGCAATGCGCTACATCATCGAGGGCCAAGGCGGCTTCACAGCCGTGCACGGTAGAAGGATCCAAATGCAAAAGGGAGACGTAATCCTCACACCGACCTGGAACTATCATGATCACGGTAAAGATGGTTCAGGGCCCATGATTTGGTTGGATGGTCTGGATTTGCCGAATTTCAGACATTTTCCGGTTCATTTTGTGGAACATTTTGATCAATTAAGGTATCCGGCGGAGAATATAGATACGAACTCGTCGCCTATTGTATTTCCTTGGGTGCAGATGAAGGCGCGGCTAGATACAGAGCCGGGGGATTGGGCGGTGCAGCGATATCTGAAGGCAGATGGACGGGAAGGTATATCTATCACAGTCCGACCTACAAAAATTTATAGATAGCTAATCGTCATCAGTGAGCCGCGTACTCGGCGGCGCCGCAGAACGATTGAACGCCGGAAGTTCCAGCCCTTCACGTCGAGAGACATTGTCTTCTGTCTACCATGTAATCTCAGGAAGCGGTTACTCCACAGTTGGAGACTCTAAGCTGAAATGGAAGAAGGGGGATACTTTCGCTATACCATCGTGGTATAAATACCAGCATTTTGCGAGCCCAGGAGAGACGGTTTATTTGTATCGGTTCGATGATAAGCCTATGATTACCTCTCTGGGCTTCTTTCGTGAGGAGGGCATGGATGTCGAAAAGCTTGTTTCGGACTAAGCGCCCATTGATGCAACTGTTTTGACCGTAAAGGAATACTCTCGTTGATGAAGCCTGGGTTCTAGGCCGAGAATGTGTTAGTAGTGATACAAGGATGTACATAGCACTTGCCTAGGTGACTGCTTCGCGATTGTCCAGCACCAATAATATAGGTGTCTAGGCATAACTATCCCCGACCTCGGGAGGCTTCGTCGATCATCTTATGTAGAAGATGTTGATAATGTCCATGTTAACTTAGAATGAACGGAACGAGATCACAGAGATTCAAGATCATTATATGATTTCATAATATATAGGTAGTGTTACACTTCAAAAATCTCACCCATTGCCACACCCGCTCCCTCTGCACCAGCTCGACTGTCGACCAGATCAAGTCGCCAACCTTTCCAGTCGCGGAGTTTACGTTTGACTTCACGAGCCCATTCAACACGCTTGCGCGCCTCTTCCTCTGCTTGTGCTCGCGCAAATGCATCTTCATCAAATTCTTCATTGTCCTCTTCCGCAAGTAACTCCAGGCTACCTCGCGCGGCCGGTGGATGTTGAGTTGATGGACGCCGGTCCCAGTTGTTATTGCCTCCTGTAAAGGCAGCTAATCCGCTAGATAGAACCGTAGTAAATGAAGAATGTTGCTGTTGCTGTCGGCTTTGAGCCATAAGACTGCGTCGTCTTGAGTGGCCGGGTGCGCCACCAACGAGGTCCACTTCGTCAAAAGCATTGCCTGGACTAGATGTCGTCTCAATTCCTTCGTTCTCATCATCCGCTCCAACGCCCAGCTCTTTCTTTCGCTCCTTCCAGACACCGCGACGAAGTTCAAAGTTTTCACCTTCAAGATCGCGGATCCTTCGCTCTAGTCGTGAGCGTTCCTCATCTTCTAGCTCATCAAGACCTTCGTTGCCTTCAACGTCGGCATTTCTCTTTCGTTCACGATCTTTCTCCTCCCGTAATCGAAGGTTCTCGTTCTCGACGGATGCTAATTTTTTTTTTAAGAGAGCTACCTCTTTCTCGACCTTCTCGTGGTCTTTCAATCGCGATTGATGCCGACTTTCTGACTCTTTATGTAGGTTGGAAAGTGCCTGTAACTTTTTATCGAGCCCTTCTGCCTTCTTTTCTGTGTTTGATTTTGCTTCTTGTAGTTCTTCGACTTCTCGTTGTAAAGATTTGATCAGAGTCTCTGTGCTTGTCTTATCGACTCCTTCTTTCAGCGCCTTTTCAGATGCACGTGATAGTGACTGCTTGACATCTGATAGCTCTCCCTGTGTCTTTTGAAGCGCGCTTTCGCTCTGAGAGAGTTTCTCTTCTAGGGCCGTGATTTGACTCTTGAATCCGTCGATCGAAGTAGACGATGTTGATAGCTCTGCACGCAAATTTGAAATTTCGATTTCCATAGCTTCTATTGTTGAAGACTTGGACTCCAGCTGTTGTACGAGCTCGGAAGGTGGAGACTCTGCGTGACCAGAGCTTGATCGGTGGGTTTTAGATTGTAATAGAGAGTTTTGCCGTTGTAGAGATGCGATCTCACTTTTCTGTAGGGAGTTAGTATGGGACGTCATTACATACTAAGAAGAGAGCATACCAATGATTCGAGCTCGGCGACCTGCTTTTCAGCTTTTGCTAAGCGGCCCTTGAGCTCAATTACCTCGACGCTGGATTCGCGAAGATCTTCGAGCTCCTCTTCTGCCTTTTCCCTTCGTGCATTGGCAGTGCTATATTCCTTTTCCAATCTTTTGTTCTCCTTCTCCAACTCTTCTACCCTAGCTGTCTGTCTCCTAAACACCTCATGGATTTGTTCATCACCAGGAGCCAAGGGTGGCAAGGGGGGAGACTTGATACTAGAGCCCGGTGATACCGCGGTTGATATGGAGTTTCTGAACGAAGAAGATCGCATTTTCGATTGTACGGATAGAGACGGTTGTCGTTTATGCGCACCTCGAAGAGGAAGTTCCTTCGTTTCATCAGGGCTAGTCTCCGGGTCTGGAGAAGTCGGCGCATCGGGCATAGGTTCGGTGGGAGTATCCTCTAGTGGTTCTTCTTCTTTCTTTTCCTCTTGCTCAACGGCCGGTTCAGGTGTCTGGTCTGCGGCTTCTGTTTCATGTGTCTCAACCGCAGGTTTATCGTCGCCAGCAGGTTTCTCGTTCACGGTCTCGTCTTTGCTTGATTCGCCAGCAGCGGCTTTCTTTGTTCCCTTTTTGCCTTTTTGTTTTTGCATTTGCGCTACCTAGAGTAATTGAGACGTCAGTCAGCACTGTCACCTAGATTCGCGCTATTCAACCACTTACTCGCTTTCGGGCAGCGGCGAGCTTCTCGGCCTTGGCCTTTTCCTCGTCATCCGCCATCTTGCTATTTAAGTACAAGCCAATAATTGAATTTGTGTATCGTTGTTGAAGAAGTCCTTCGACGCGCACTCTTAAGTTGAAGCTTGAGCTATTGTACGCAGGTGGGGACGATGCGGAAGGGACAGCTTGCCGTATTTGTATACTCCCGCACGGACCACACTGACTCGGAGCTACAAAGGACGAACGAGTCATGTTTGTGCTTGGATCTCTTAATTTATCTGTCTTATTCAAAAAATACAAAAAATAACAAATCTTCAATACTTCGTCATTCAATCGGATTATCTCAACGAAAACGAGTCTAGCTTGATTCTATTGGGCTTTACCAAGCCTACGTCTCAGTTTGAAGATCTACAGATGTGCAAGAACCGTGTCGGCACCAGACGCCTAGGTGAAACAGTTAGTAGAAGAATTGATAGCCGAGCATGAAATGCGCACCTTGAGAGAACCGCGCTCGGTCTCAATATCAGCATATGTGACCTTGCCGTGGTCAATAATCACGGCATAACGACCAGTGCGGCCAGAGGCAGCATCGGCCCAGCCGATGCTCTTGGAGAACTTGGCATCAGGGTCGGACAAGAAAAGCTGCATAACATGAGCACAGTGCAAATTCCTTCGTCAAAGGCAAACTCACGAAGTTTTCATCGGTGATCTTGTTGGCCTTTCCCCAAGCGCTCATGACAAAGGGATCGTTGAAGGCGAGGACAGCAACGATGTCGACTCCTTTTGCCTTGAGTTGAGGCAGGTTCTGAATGTATCCTGGCAAGTGGCTCACGGAGCATGTAGGAGTAAAGGCGCCTGGAGTAGTGGAAGGGATGAATTAGACATTATTCGTAGTATGAACAGAGGTAGGATCGCAATATGTACTCACCAGGCACAGAGAAGAGGACGACCTTCTTGTCGGCCCACTCTTTGGAGGCATTGTAGCTAATAGGAATACCGCAGGCAGTGATTTCGCCGGACTCCTCGGAGTAGGGGATGTAGCTACAGCAGTTCAGAGTGTCAGTAGATATCGACTCTCGTGCGAATTTATTTATCTCATGCTTTATGCTAGTTATAACTTACGAGAAGACCACGTCGCTGGGGAAGCTGTCACCGGGCTTGAGGGCAGTCATGTTGGATGATAGGTTTGATGTGAATGAAGTGAGTGAATTGAGTTAAAATAGTCTCAGTGGCTAGAGCGGAGTATATAAGAGGAATCATCAAGATGTCAGCTCTGGTGATATTTTGTTTGCCGCGGGGAAGGCACTGCGGGGGGTAGAGCGGATTAGTCAGAACGACCGCCGAGCACGTCTTAGGCCCTGAAGATGGACGGAGTGCTTCTTCCGGACTCCGTAACTAAAGTAGAGCGAATTGCACCCACACATCTCAGTCATCAAAGTTGGTGGTCTTACAACGTCGTGGGTTCGCATGCGTAATATGTACTCGGAAACGTAATTCATAGTCACGATCTGAATATTCAATCTACGCCGCAATCTAGTACGTAGATTGAACGCTGAAAATGAAATGCTTCAGCCTTGAGACTAGGGGGCCGACACGTGCGGCGCAGCGCGGCAGGCTAACCAACACGGGCTAGCCGCTGCGAATGTCTTAAAAGTCGCCAAGCCGCACCTCCCCGGAATCTGGCCAATTCCTTTTCCTCGTCCTCAGATAGACCCAATTCCTTCAGAGCCTTATCGGTGCTTCACTGGTCTCCGCTGACCACTTGTCAAATCCCATCAAATACTGTCAGTCTCGAGCTTCCACGCTCAGAACGCCCGGATTAATCTGCAGATTACCACCTCATTTCGGCCATGCTTTCTTCGTCGGGCTAATGTGATCTATCTCCCCGCCTAAGTCCGACAGAGGCCTTGGCAGACTGCGATACTTCCAGCATTGTCCATCACTTCCCAAATCCGCCTGTACTACCCTGAATTGCCTCATGGAAGACCCTAAATCTCGGGCCTCTTCGCAAGAGAAGCCTGCCGTCAGTCCCAATTCTACCCCAGATTCGGCTCCAAAGCCTCTTAGGCGACGCCGCCGTGTTCCCATCGCATGTGCGAGCTGCCGCCTGCGCAAGACAAAATGCGAACACATTGTGCCAAGAAACAACCTGCAGAAACACCCCGGGCAGGATGCCGGCGCATATGAGTGAGTCTATTGACCGAGTCTGACGAGCAATGCTGACCAGACTTCGTGCAGTTATATTCGCTCTCTCGAAGACAAAGTCAAACAGTACGAAGCACAGCTGAGAAGCGTGCATAACAATCACCATGAAACAAGCTACCAGCCCAACCCTCCCGGTCCGTTGCTGCCGGCGCCCGCAATGCACAACACTCAACAACCTATTACGTTACCACCCCTTGCGCGTCCATCTCTTGCTCCAGACCGGAGCCCAGCTGCTATCACCGCAGCCTCGCCTTCGCTATTCTTGGGTGGGGATGGCGCCATCTCGTTCACTCAGATGATACTCAATGCAATGGACCCTGATGCTCCTAGCAGAGTCCAATCAACCACCCAACTCTTCTCGTCACCCCGTGATCCGTCCCGCGAAATGCCCGATGCGAAACTCCACGATCTTCCTCCCGATGTACGCGAGCTGGTCCAGCGATACTTCGACTTCCATCATATCTTAACCCCAATCTTTCACATTCCTTCGATACTCCCTCGATTGGAGCAAGTTCTGAACATGGATCGTACCCGTCGATATGAAGATCCACTTATGCTGGCCATGGTAAATATGATCTGCGCCATTTCGGCAGCGCACCGGCGGAACGGGTTTGAAACCTCTACTGTCCAAACTCGAAAGTACTACGACCGCGCCATGGCTCTCGTCGGATCGACCGTGTTGTTTGATTGGTCCGTCGAGAAAGTACAGATATTGTTATTGGGTGCCCGATATCTTCAAAGTTCAAATTTCCCCGATGAGAGCTGGACTCTTCTCGGCTTGGCTATCAGGGTCGCTCAAGGCTTAGAACTTCATCGACCACCACCAGATAATCTAGACTGCATTCAGAAGGAAGTCCGCAAGCGTCTGTGGTATGCGTGCTATGTGACTGATCAGTTAGCGAGTGCCATATATGGGCGGCCCGTTTCGACTGCATCAAACACATTCACAACTCCGCTCCCGGAGGATCTGGATGACGATCGTATTTCCCCTTCTCAACTTCTCTATCCTCCTACGCCCACCTTATCCACTATGTCTCATTCAATTCAGGGTGTAAAACTGTGTCGAATCATGGAATCGGCTTTGACACTTGTGGATCCCCCGCTAGAAAAGATCGTGGAACTGGACGAACAATTCGAAGCCTGGGACGCTCAACTCCCCTCTGCCTTTAGGGTCTATGAGCATGAGCCGGTACTAGATGACAAGAAGCTGATAATGGCAATGAGAGCCAATATGACCAGGATTCTGATTCACCGCCACTCAGTGGTAAAGTCGCTCGGTCTGCTTTCTAGAGGCGAACGACTCATTCCTCTGTCGGATGGCCTACGCGCCAATATGATGCAGAACAGCAGACATATCTGCGTTCGCAGTGCAGAGGATACGATACAGCTGGTTGGCCGTCGACATGACACAACGAAGGCGGTTACCGGACCGAGCTGGTTCAACCTATACTATTGTAAGCTCTTCTATTTTGGCAGCTACACAGATCTACTAATACATTTACTTAATAGTATTCAATGCTATTCTCATTATCGCTTCTCACGTTGTCGATCCCGAGTTCAGGGATGATAAAGAAGCACTAGCACATCTTGAAGATGGAATGCGAATGATAGCACAAATGAGTGCAAACCATACGACTGCTCGACGAGCACATATATTCCTGCGGCAATTATTAGACTTGGTAGAAAAGATTCTACCTCAGCAAAGCCGGAATCTAGCGCGCAAATCATCATTGTCAACGACTTCTACTTCGTCTTCAATGGGGCCGCAAACACAACCTTCAGTCCCGACAACGACTGAGGGTGCAACCAATGGCTTTGGAAGCTACTCACAACCTTCCAGGGAATTTATGCAATTATGGGACAGCACAGTGGATTTGACTACCGCGCTGGGTTCGCAACTCGATTACTACTCATCAATGGGCTCCGGCATGTGGTCATGGGGGAATCAGGCTCCAGATACCAGACCATATGCGGCAATGCCACAGAGCATCGCTCCATAGTTCAGTCTTGATGGATATATGAATCGCAACTGAAGAAGATCTACGAAGCATGAGTTACGATTGGAATATCAAACTCGGAGTTATGATATCTGTTGGATTTTTCTTTTTATGCCTGTGGCGCCCTGGCGCTCTGATTTTTTTTCTTTTCTTTCTCTGTACTTTAACGTTCGTCGATCACCACGGAATATCATCTTGGATGAGCCTTACATAAGAGCTGTCAAGTCACATGTTTGAAGACGTAGTTATCCGTATCCGTATTGTCACGTAATATTTTTTCCCAGCCGCTGCCGAAGATCTGTGGCTCGTGATTGGAGAACAGGCCGTATTCGTATATACCGCAAATACGCATAGCCACAGACGGATAACAGAGAAGCCGCGATCATACGACTTCAGACCCAAGTATCGAGTCAATCCAGCACAGCTTTCAAACCTGCAATTTACCATCCATTTAAATCTACAATACACAAACAATCACTTTGCTAGCCAATCATTTAGAGTCTTCTAGGCAATCGCATTCTTATGTAAGAAGTGGCTGCTTTTCACCTACTCGGGACCAATAGAATCTTGCATTGGTTCAAACCATTCACCTTCGACTCGCAAGAAACAAAAGAGACTCGCATACCTATCTAGACAGTTGCTCGCCTGCGTTTAGATTTGATAACGGTCTGTCAGCATCTGAATCGAATACTCATCAGATCTTGCTCCGGCTATATCAATCAATCAATCAGAGTTCGCTTTATTTTGCATTAAACCCCGGCTGTGCCTGGAGTACTTCCAATCCAGTCTGTCTTTGCATGCAAACCGCATGACACAGCCATCACAGTTCAATGGCAACCGCTACCTACAACCTGCTCCCATGGAAGAAACGGTAGGGCCCGGTGTTCACCCCCAAGACCAGGACTGGTCTCAATGGATGCAATGGGATTGGGATGATACAAATCCCGGTGCTGTGCCGAAGAGAGAAATTGACTCTTCAAGTTTGAGCCCGAAATTCAGTAACGCGGCAGTTCCGGCCATCGACAGGGTCGACTTTGCATCCGACTCGTTGTTTCCTGCAACAAATGCGAGGAAGATCGCGGCCGAGCCCAGAACCCAGCCTGATGCGCAGGGTCTAGCGTCTCTGGCTCGACGTCGAAATACTGGAGGCGCCAAACCAGACAATCATTCCAGTCGAAAGCGAAAGACATCTAGCGAGGATGATGAAGGCTCCGTAGAAGCCGGTGACGATTCACCACCAGATTCAAAGCCGCAGGCATCAAAGAAACGCTCACACAACGTCATTGAGAAGCGGTATCGAGCTAATTTAAACGAGAAGATTACGGAGCTCAGAGATAGTATCCCGAGTTTACATGGTTTGACCAGAGACACCAATGGGGGATCTTCGATCCATGACGACGACTTCTCGACCGGGAACAAGCTCAACAAAGCGTCTATCCTGTCCAAGGCAACCGAGTACATCCGCCATCTGGAAATACGAAACAGTCGACTCGAAGAAGAGAATAAGGCCCTGAAAACACGTTTACGCCAGCTTGACAAAGCCGTAATTATCGAGCAATCAGCATCAACATCCGTTGGATCTGCGTCGTCACCCGACAGTTATTCAGGGACTATTGATAGTCTCGAGTCGCCACCAAGTGTGTTTTCGCATGCAGACGAATCACCGAATTTTCGAAAGGCGTCGACGTCTACCAGCCCTCCTGAAGGGATGATCAAAGTACCGGATTACATCAAGAACATGCGAGCCAAGGCGCCCACACAAGGCATCTTTGCCGAGTCTTATATCAAGGATGATCCGAAACCTCAGCAACAGATTGGGCAGGCTCGCAGAGGCATGACATCTGGAAGTAAACTCTTCTTGGGCACTATTGCAGGTCTGATGGTTCTCCAAAATGTCCAAACGGAGAAAGAATCCGACGAAAAGGGACTGCTGGCGGTCCCACTCAAAATGCTAAATGATTTCTTAGCCAACACTTTTGCGTCAACGCAGAGGACGTTCTTGGTTTGGAATCAGGAAATGGCTCCATGGAGTACATGGCAATTCAAGGCCATATTGAGTCTGCTGCTTACCGGTGGCCTAGCCGTGGCCAGTGCCTTTTTCGTTTTTCTCTATTTGTTCTACGCCCGACCAAAGTCTGAGAATGACTCGGCAAAGATTGCTTCGGCAGCAGGAATCAGGATGACACCAGCTGAAATCAAGAGGCAGGCTTGGTTGACTAGCATGCAGAGACTCGGTGTACCGCGACATAGATTTTTCTTGGAGTGGTTTGCCGTCACCTCCAGATGGGTTGAGTACAGCGTGTGCTGTCTAATTGGTCGGAGTGTATATTCCTGGATTACAGGCATCACTGAGGAGGACGAAAAGGGTCGGATCAAGACCTGGGATATCGCGATCGATGCTCAGCTAGCCGGCGGTGATACTGAAGTCAGCAAATCACGTCTTGTCCTTACTATTTTTGCATCCGGCACGCTACCGCGAAGTCCAGGAAGGATAATGTTGAAAGCATTCCACTGCCGCGTAGTACTATGGCGAGTGGGCGAGCCAGGCTCTTTTGTCTCTGCTGTTGCGAATAAAGTCGGACGTGTATTGGCAACCTATCAATGGAATCTGGCGCGCGAACTGAATCGATCTTTGCCAAAGGATCATCCCGATGCTCTCCCCAGCCATCTTGCGGCCTTACTCGAGATGGAGTGCAATGATATCTTGCTTGACCCTATCGTCCAGCGAGCTGTCAATCTTACCTGGAGTCGACCTACCCAGGAAGGTCTCGATGAGGATGAGGCATTACTAGACGTTGTAGCGGAGGATCCAGCAATTCAAATCTTTGCCGATAGCATCGCAGCCTGGTGGTCGAGTCATCTGCTACAAAACGCTTTGCTGAACTCATTCGACATCGAAGCCGATGGGATCTATGGAAGAAAGGGACTCGAAAAGCAAATCGATCTTGCTCTAAAAGTTGCGCCGCGTCTATCAGCTGCTCACACCAGAGCAGCAGCCATGCGTGCAGTACTGTTTGAGCAAAATAGGCTTCATGACATAAAAACAGTTCTCAGCGCCTTACCATCGAAGAAAAATCACCAACAATCCCAAGAAGTATCAAATTTCCTTGACTCGTCTATACCCATGTCCGTACGGAATGAGCTCGCAATCTCCGTTCGATGTGCAATGATAGCAGCTATCATCAAAGCACGAATGACCAACGACACTTCTTTTCCGTCACATCTGACTATCCGAAAGGCCATCAACTGGCTCAATGAACTCCCTCTCGACCCACTTGAATTGACTCTTATCAGTTTCGCAGCGGTATACCATCTCCTGCACACCGTCGTAGCCTACGGCGAGCTTTTATCATCATCGTCATCTGCATCCTCCTCCTCGCCCTCAGCGACATCATCAGACTTTTCAATCTCCACCACCAAATCCGCACCACCAGCAGCCTCTTCACTTACCAAAATTGACTCTTCCTCATCACCACCACCACCAACCCACAAACGCGTCCGCTCGAACAGCGCGTCCGAGCCAACGCCTCAATACAGCCGTATCGCAAATGACCTCGTCTACTGGGCCCGAAACGCATACAATCCCGCCTTTTACGGCCTGACTAGTACAATGGTCGACACAGTCGAAGCGGAATGCGTCTCAATCTGTAAGAACGCGGGTATCGATTTGCTTTCTGGGGATGCGAAGACGTTGCAATCGAGTATTCGTCGATTGATTCGGAAAGATGATCAGAAACAGAGGCATAAGAGAAGGGTATCTGTTAGTGAGAAACGGAAAGGACAAGAGGAAGAAGGGCAGGATATTAGTAGACGGAAAAGTCTTGAGAGTAATGATACGGGGTATGCGAGTGATTCTCGGTGATGAGGGAAATTTCATGGAATGGTGTTCGTGTGATCTTGAGTGTGTGATTTTTATATCGGCGTTAGGCAAGGGGGTTGTGTATATTCTAAATCCTGGGATGATAACTAGGTAATATAGGTTTTGCGGCATCGATAATATCAACCAGCATCTACACATTCTTATTGTCATGATGTTTTGTAGACTTCGAATATAGATAGGTATGTTTAATGGTATTCATTCTCAGACAGAAATGACGGATGATATAGACAAATCCTGAAAGCCAAAAAGTCACACACAACGCGGAAACCAATACTATCGAATGTATAAACATCATTACCATGAGAAACTCTCCTCAAAAAATTCCACCGTCTTCCGTCCCTGAACCTCCCTGACAGCCTTGCGAACTTCATCGCCCATGCCTCCAGGTCCACAGACACTAACGGCCATGGCGCCAATCTGTTGCGCCATTTCACGTTCTAGTACTTGACGGAAGAGTGGTTTGCCGAGATTTATGGTTACGGGCGCTGTTGGGGTGCTGAGTTGAGTCCAGTCTTGGAAGGTCGAATTGGTTGTTGCGTTGGTATTGGTGGGTGTGCTGGTGTTGGTGTTGGTGTTGGTGTCGGTTACCGGAGTGAGGATTCGGGCCTTTTCGTCATCGTATTGGTAAAAATATTGATCTATAGTTTTGTTGAGTGTGGAGGAAGATGAGGACGCATTGAATGTTGATAGTTCAACGAGAGGAGGGCGAGAATTAGGGTGTGGACGAGAGAAAGAGGGCGTTTCCCTTGGAGAGGTATTTGTATGTGCCGGGAGCACCGGGGCGATTTCGTTGTTGTAAGGGTTGTTACTTTTCTCCTGGTTGCAGATGAGAGCGGAGTATCTTGCTGGTAATGGATCAGTGTTGAAGATGTTTGTATTGCTATTGCTATAGTATGTCGTCAAGTGAACACTGACTGAGAGGGACAGTGTGCGCTCGGAGTGTGTGCCATTGTCGAGAGAATAGGGGTTCCGAGAGTTTGGTGTTGTTGAAGTATTGGGAAATGCAACTGATCCTTGGACAACGGGATGGTTCAGAATATAAGCCATCCAGGGCTGAACCCATTGGAGGTGATCTATCCCTGTAAGAACTAGCCATGTCAAACTAAAAGGTAGACGTACCTATGCTGCGTACCACCCACAACAGTGTGATTCGCCGAGTTGCTACTGATCCTCTTGCAAACCCATCCACCAGTTCTCGGAGGTATGAGATTGAATGTGTTATCCCAATACCTCCCGCAATCAGGACGGTAGAGCCATATGAATCGAACGAATGAATAGCTCCTTCACCTTCATCAGCATTGAAGTTGACACACAAATGTCGACTTTGTAAAGGACATACCAAACGGACCCTCGGCCAGAGCCAAAACTCGGCGTTGAAGACCAAACTCAATTCCAATCGATTTCAGCATCTTTTTCGTAAAGCCATTTCGTTTCCGGATCAGGAAAGAGACTGTGCGTCTTTCTTCCTGTCTGTTACCGCTCAGAATACTTCTGGAAGAGCTATTGCTACTCCTTTCCGAGTTGGTTGCCGAGAAATAGCCATGTTGCTTGTCTTTCGATTCCCAGGCTGCAGAAAATGGGTGAGATGTCCATAATCCTAGGGCAGGTATGTACAGGTACATGTATTGACCGGCTTTGAACTTCCATGGGCGAATCACGGTCACGTCAACCCGTGCAACGTCACCTGGAAGAAGCTGGATAGTAGCTGAGGTCAAAGTCTTGCCGCAGTTTCGCCATGCAACGATTGCCAGGCGTAGCAGTCTCTGTCAGACTTGTGAGCTGGGCTTATATTAACTTACCAAGAATCGACTACTTACATCCGTACCCCAGGCTGTTATAGCTGCAAGAAAAATCCATCTCTGCACAAACTTGTGTAGATGATACCACAACGCAACAAATGACGCCGTCACCAGAACAATATGGAAGTGGAGGAAGAATTCGTAGAAAGCGTGGCGGAAGGGAGACAGTGATTGAAAAAAGATGGCGACGAAAGCTATAATGGCCTTTATTGATATCAGTATCAAGCTTCTAGACTCTGCCTGCCTTAACACAAGAGCCGTACATACCACAAACCCATATGTGAATATCGGAGTATGGAACAGATGATCTGGGATGGTATCCCAACCCTCTATAGAGAAAAGATTAGACAATACTCTTTGCGGGCGACATGATATTCACTTACTTATTATACCAACCCGGATAAGCACCGCAATAGTATGAGCGACCGCTTCCGCCACGACGATCCTCCCAAGCCAACGATGGACAAGATTGAATGTATCATAAGATACCCTCAAAACTGATATCAACGGATTGTTTCGGCCAGCCGTTATGACCAACGGAAAAATGTTGACAATTGCGAGCGTTCCTGTCGTTCCTATCAAGCTATGCAACGAATGACTGATGGGATGGTTCCAGTGAATCACGACCACACAAAACAGGACATTCAGAGCAATGTAACATGCTATCAGCAAGGTCTCAAGTCTCGTCGGAATCGCTCCCATGTTGACATGGCCTCGAAATATCCGGAATTCGCGATTGTGCCTGCGGTCGAATAAAGGAGCATAAAGCAGATGTCGATTGAGCCATGATTTGGTGCGGTTCGGACGGTTAATGGAGACTTTGAAGTCGTGTTGAATGGCAACTTTTAACCGTTGATTGTTTGTAACCTCCGTCCACACCCGGTGGAAAAAGACCATAAGAGCACAGCCAGCTAGAACCATTATAGGTACATAAACGAGTGCCATATCCACTGGCGAAGATTCAGGTACTTTCTGATGGCTGTGTTTGATGTATCCTTGGTGTTTTGTAGCCATATTTGTGGAGCTTGCGCTTTTCTCCTCCATCATCGCTTCGATGTCCCTTTTTGTTTGATTTCAAGCCTGGTGTAGCCTCCTGGACGAATATTGACTGAATGAGATGGAAACATTGCCTTTGTAACGAACACCAGCGAATTATTGCCCTACGAGATTTAGTCTCGTCTTACCACGTCCCAGCACATTATGCCATGCAGGACTAGGGAAAACCCCTCGTCTGTGCGTCGGTGGTGTCTCTCAGCGAGTAAATTCTTCTGTGAGTGCACGCCCATCCAGATAAGACAGAAGCCATCATTTTCACACATTCGGATTCCCAGGAATGAGTGACGTATACGAAGGGCTATTAGTATAGCCAAAGAAATTAGATTGGATGTGCCATGGTCGATGAGCCGTTGCAGATACACATCCATCATGGAAAGGTTGGAATGTTGCGCAGCACACAGGAAGGGGCCACTAGATTCCTGAATGTGGMAATTGTTGACAAGCCTATATGTAGTGCTCATGTTCTGGCAGTTTTGTTTGGCGATCAATAGCCACCATTAATTCTTAAGAACTGTTCTTGATCTATCATGAATCTCAATTGTAAGACGATATAAGATGCTGTTAATCCATGATACTGGTTGAGAAGGAAAGTACCTACCCAACCCTAACGCCTCATTCCGCTTGGGGATGCCGTGTTTCAAGTCTTGAACCTCCCTAGCCACATTCTCAGCATTGCCTGTGGATGGCTCCTTGATCACTGGAATGTATATTATTGCCAGTAATTACGCTTTATTACATGAACCAATTAATGGAAATCAAAGACGTGGCAAAGGGCCGTACTCAACGTTGTTGCAATTAGGGTTTAGGGTTAGCATATCAGCCCCAGTAGTTAGTTATATCGAATGCATGACTACTACGTCTCAGCGTATTCGGCTCTGACAGTGCTTTAAACATGACTGGTTCATTGAACTAGCAACAAAAAAGATCGATCAGATGGATCTACCCAAACTGGACCCTAGAACGAGTATTCCAAGGTTTTGGCCTGCAACAGTTGACTGTTGGTGTAACAGCGGACTTTTGTTATCAGAATTATTGCCCAAGTATAAACAGGAGCACTAGTTAGGTAGTCCGTTATTCCGAGTGGATGTCGCGAGCTGACATGTCGAGAGACCACTCGGATACCGTCCAGCGTTCTCGGCGTTGTGTTGACTTACCGCCCCCATTTCCTTGCTGCGAGATATGGAGGGGTCTTGTGCAGAATTTAAAATAAGAGCTGATAATTGACCGATAAGACTGTGATTTGTTTGATGCGATTCTTCCTTCTCCTCATCCTATCCACCGTCTGTATAATCTACAAAGAAACAACATGGGAAGGAAACTCCGCATCCTCGGCCTTCATGGCTACGGAACAAGTGGAGTTATTTTCTCATCGCAAACCAGTAATCCTTCCAACATCACTGACACACAGCCAGAACAACTAACATGTAAACAGCATCCTTCCGTCGCTACCTCCAACAACAACACGACCAAACCGGCAATGGCGACACATTCGACTTCGAGTTCGCCAACGGCTTCCTCGACTCGGGCCCAGCAGCCGGCATAGAACTTTTCTACAACCCTCCGTATTACTCCTGGTGGCCTGCCGACCCATCCTTAGAAGACATGCACAAAGCCCGCGAACGACTAAAACAGCACATCAAACAAAACGGGCCTTATGACGGCGTGATTATGTTTTCTCAAGGTTGCTCGTTGGGCGCAAGTCTGTTGTTAGAACATTACAAAAATTCACCCCAGAATCCGCCGCCGTTCCAGTTTGCGATTTTCATCTGTGGTGGACCATCGCTGAAGCAGTTGGAGGCTGAGTTTGGGTTTACGATCGATCCGGAGCTGTGGGAAGTCGATGCTGCGTCGCGCCGGGCTCTGGCGCGGAGGGCTGATACGGCCGCTATTCTTGCACAGGGCTCGGATCGATGGTCGAACGATGTTAACGATATCACGGATTACTCGATTAAAGAGCTAGTGCAGATGGTTCGAGGACCGTATCAAATCAAGATCCCCACGGTGCATATTGTGGGTAGCAAAGATCCCAGAAACTTGTCGGGTCATCAGTTGCATGCTCTCAGTCATCCAGATATCACGAGGATTTATGAGCATGACGGCGGTCATGATATTCCGAGGAATGAGGCGACGAGTACCACGATCGCGAGGCTGGTCAGATGGGTGTCTTCTTCGATTACAGCAGAGAAGGCGAAGCAGATTATATAGTTGCCCCTATTTATGATGATTTTGTGGCAAGAGCAATGCATAGTTAATAGATTCAACCCTCTATAGATATCAATACATGATTATGTTAAAACATTATCATTCTAATCGCGCGGCAAATAAGAAGCCAATTTTTAAAAAAGAAAATCGTGACATCATTAGTAGCAAAAGACCAAACCCCAATGCACCAAACATGCCAAGTATAACGTAGGGTATCCAGTGTATGAATAGCAAGAACACATCATTCCGACAAAAAGTATTAGGTGTGTACCCGACTCAAATTGATTAGACGGTGGTCTTCTCACCATTGATCTCTCCATTCGGCTGAGTCTCTGTCTTGGCTCGTCGCACTGCCTCCTGTTCGTCTTGACCATGACGAGAAATGGGTCCATGTTTGTCGTCGTGGTTTTGAGAAGTAATCAATAGATAGCAGCTGCCGATTGTGGCGATCAGGCCGGGCCAAAGGAGGATCACAGAAGCAAGACATTTTGGATTGTGTCGGTAGTCTTGAGAATTTGTCAGTCTTTTGCCGAGCTCATGCTAGGGGATCAACTTACAAAGATTGGGGTTCTTGATTGATGCGTTTAGCAGTCGGGTTGCCTCGTCTGCGTCAACGCCGGAGATGTAGGCGTGTCTGGTCGCGACGATAACCTGTTATGGGACGTGGTGGTCAGTATTCGTCTCCTTTTTGTGCAGAGTAATGGAGGCATACCGTCAGCGCAATAGCATCCGCAAAGCACATAACAGTAACGACAATCGCGGAAATCTTCCAAGAAAGGCGCACCGAGGGACTCTCGTGGCGTTCCGGCCAGAACAGATCAAAGAAGAATGCAGCTCCAAAAATGGTAGCAACAGCAATTCCCACAAAGATGTTATACGAAGCGATCCCGACAAAATCATCGTTGTATTCGGCGGCCAGATGATTTTGTTTCTCGATGAAGTTCTGCTGGTCGACGTAGTCTGTTATATCAGACGTGTTAGAGATGCTGTTTGGCATGCGAAACATGGACGAGAAGTGTACCTGACAAGGCCGCTGTGCCCACTGATTCGGAGCAAACGCAGAGGATCATGGCGAGTTGGTATACAATCATCTTGACTCGCCGCAAATGGTATACTCTGGTGAACATGTACGACGACTTGAATTTGGACCATTGCATTTCATGCAAGTCCAAGCCCCATATCACAGTCATGCTGGATGCGTAGTGTGCGGTATGAGCTCGCCGTTAATGTCTGTGGTATGACTGAGGTGATTCTCGAGTAGCACTTTATGACTGCGCTGAAATAAGGATTCTCTGGAACGGCTTCCACTTTCGGCGACTACCCGGCTGGTGAAAACGAAGCGGTGATGAAGGTTTTGAAATCTCAAACCGGACACTTCTAATATATGAAAGGGACGCCAGATGTGAGAAGCAGGAGAGGCCGGAGTAGTGCTCGCAGAGTATGATGGAGTAATTTGATATGAGATGGAAAGACTGGCTCGACCAGTGAGAGGACGGCGTTGTTGTCGTGGTAGACAGGAGAATGTGAGGGAATGACGTCAAGGAGCCAGGGCAGGCAAGTGCGTCATCTCATTGGCTTCTTTCCCCCAAGTCATTTGCTGGAAACATTGTTCTGTGGTGACACCTTGTGGAACAAGACTCCGTCTATAACAGAGCGCTTTTATTGAATGCTTCTCATCGTCTTCTGCGCTATGAGGGACTCGGCTTTGTGGTTTATAATGGAATGACGCTTACGGAAGGAAGATCCCCTGCCAATTTTCTTGTTTCTCCAGGCGCATCCACCGCATCTCAACTCCTGACGTGACCGCTACGGCCACTCAAGTATGTGATTTGATTGAAGTCCCACACATACACACGTACATACATAGATTGATGATGCTGTTCTCGCTGCTGCGGCTGGCTAGATCCGCTTTTCGACTTCCATTGACGTCGTTTCGAATTCTTCGGCACGAAGATGCCGGCCAAGATGAATCTGTATTAGCGACGATCCGCTAAGATTCTCCATCTGATAACCTTGCAATTGACGAGACCGTGCCGCTTGCGATGGACCTAACCAATGAATAATAATCTATGCCGATGATAGACATTACGGAAGACATACATAGCAGATAAATCTGCGAGAGGATGTTTCCAGTCATCATCGATCTACCATCGGTGTTCTTCCTACATTTCCCAGAATGTTCAACCATGGATATACATGAGGATACTATTGTATCGTGTGTTTTGATGGAGTAATTATTGAGGAATGAAATCTCATGGATGGTTGTTTCTATGTATGCGGAGCTTTCCGGCCCGTTGTTTTTCCGCCACCAAGCTTTGTTTCTTCCATCTAGAAATTTGTACGGTGGAAGCAGGAAAATCGGTACCTTGAATTTTTTCGTTCCACTCCGCCCTAGCCACTCGTCTACGCGTATTTCCTCCAAGAGTCAAGTGCGCAACTGATTCTAGCTCGATCATCATGATCGAGCCTACTGCTACTATCTCGCCTCTGGGTCGCTCAGACGGCTCCGCAGTCTATACCTGCCCAGCTACCGGTTTCCAAATCCTAGGATCTGTCAACGGCCCAATCGAACTTCCTGCCCGTCGCGACGCCCAGAAACCGGAAGAGGCCACAATCGAGGTTCTAGTGAAGCCTGCCACTTCCCAGAGTGCAATTGGAGAAAGATATGTGGAGAATATATTGAAGGCCCTGTTGGGCAAAATCATCCTTGGGAGGGAAAAAGGTTTCGCAAGGCGGGGTATTGTGGTTACTCTGCTCATTCAAGGGAGCTCCAGTGGAGGCAAATTAGAGAGAGGAGATTCTGTAAGTCTTCTGTTGGCTCGAGATTTTTGAACTGGTACTAATGAAAATGTTTACCGAGCAGTACTTGTCTACACTACCTGCGCTCCTCCACGCAGCACTTCTTGCTCTGCTATCCGCCGCTATACCATTGTCAATGACATACACATCCACCATTCTAGCTGTCGACTTTTCGAATCAAATTATCCGCGAACCTTCTCTCAACGATTGCGCAAAAGCAAAGTCACAGCATGTCCTTGCATTCTCTTCAAAGGGCCACCTGCTCTTAAATGAAAGTCAAGGATCTTTCGACTTTGATACCTGGAATCGTGTCTACGAGCAGGCGCTGTCCATTTGCCGGGAGTCGGAAGTCGCGGGTCAGGATGGTGATGTCTCCATGGAGGCGAAACAGCGTTTAGAAAAATTTGTCAGAGAAACAGTCGAACACAAGATTGCCTCGGATTACTCATGGTCCGACATGGCGGCTTGATCGTTTCTACTCTGTCGGAACAATTTCTACCAGATTATCAAGGATCAAGGATCCTATGTCAGGGATGACTTCGATGTTTGTGCTGAATCATTCAAGCCTCGCGTCGGCATAAATTTGTGAAGAAACTCATTTGAGCAACCTAAGATGGCGGATATGATACCGCTATTTGCTCTGAGGGTCTGACACGGAGTGACACTGTTACCCGAGCTTCAGGGGGTGCTGGGCCGAGCCGTGTAGCTCGGTTGAAGACTAGGTTTCGCGGATGGCAGTCCAAGTCTTGTCCAGAGCCCTTGTGGAAAGCATCTAGACTATGATGATATGACTGCCATGGAGACTGGCTAGCATGTTTGAGACTGTCAGACGAGGCGCTTCTCAAGCAAGTGGCTGACATGTTAAACATGTCTGACGCTCAAGCAACGTACGCAACTTAGTAGGTTTGAATCGTTGGGTTTTCCATCTTGCTACAAGCCAGAACTAGTAATTAGCTAGGTAGAGATGAGACTCAAAAAGGAATCTAGCTAGTACTCGAAATGAAGCAATCTGAAACCGGAAAGCGTGTCATCAAGTGACGAGCTGGTCTTGGCTCTTCACCAGCCTTTTGCTCTTAGTCAATATTGCGATCTATTCCAAAACAAGCTCCTTGCGTCTGAGATATTTGAGACAGCCTGGTCGAGATGATTGTTGGGGTTTCTTCTGTCAGGGAAGCATCTAGAATGCCTCCACCTGCCATATATCGTAATTTATGGTGGTATTGGCAATACCCGACATGGTGTATCAAAATACCGCGTCACCTTAGTCACTCCGCTGTCACAGCCATTAATATGTTCAGCACTTATGATTCAGTGATAAATTATCTGGGTTCGAAGCACGCCATATAATGCTGCGATCTGTCTCGTGCTCTTTCTGGATTCTGAGTTTGTGATTAATTTATTTTCTCACGAGTCGAGGAATTCCCAGATAAGCCGCGGAAGAGCCGTAATTACCAGCCGGACCGGATATTGCTCCATCTGCCCCACGTCCCCCCATTCCTGAATCTCTGTTACTTATCGCTACGTACTGACGAGCCACTTCGGTCGCGTATATCCTCCTTTCTCTTCGTTGATCTTTGGGAATGCTCTCATCATATATACATTGACCCTGGTGTTCTCTCGACAAGTCAAGCCCTGACCAATCTCCAATCGCATCGCAGACCGTTGCTTACTGTGCGCTGGGGCGGTTTATAACGGGCCCCGTCAGCAGTCTCATTGGTGTGCAACTGCGTGCATTACTGATTAACTACTAATCGACTAGACCGCTGGACGGTCGTCGAGTCGGACAAACTCATCAGGATCCAGCGGGATTAGTGATCATTGCGCGTGGGCACTCTCCCCAAAATAACCCTCCGTCTAGCTGCCCAGCGAATCGTTAAGTCTCCCTCACAACTTAGTCCGATGCCACAACAAGCCCCGGACGAGTCCCCCGTCAATAACGGTATAAGGTCTCTTATGCCCGCACCAACCGAGATGCCTGCAACCTACACACATCCCATACTATCTCCGCCAAACACCGGCCGTGACGTTTCGTCTTCACCTCCAGAATCCCTCAGCCGGCCTCCGCTGTCCGTCTTGCAATCATACGGCTCTTCTATCTCCTCTTCAGCTTCTGTGAGCAAGTTACTACTTCGAGATTATGCCCGCACCACGGATTCATCTACCACAGACCAAGAAATTCATGTGAGGGAAACATCAGTGGTTGAGCCTCAGTCCGCGGGGACTATTCCAGTGCAGCAACAGGCGGAAGCGCAGCGTTTGGCACCAGCAGCAACAGACAAGTCGGTTACTTCGGCACCTACATCGCCGTTTCTTCCTTTGCGATCATTCCGCACACATCGACAGGGCAATTTATCCTTGGACACGATACCGCGGCAGACCATTATGAAGGCGCTAGCATCGAGGCCGCCTCTGAATGGCACCACGCCGTCATTTACTCTGACTTCGTCTCTAAACGGAGTTTTAAATGGGTCAACCCGGCCCAACGCGGAAGAGACAGAACAGCAAGAGAAAGACGGCACGTCTAATTCTCAAAAATTGTCGGCGGCATTGTGTAACCTACAATCTCAGTCTACAGGTTATTCGGACAAGTCTTCGGCGACGGCCCGACTAGCTCTACAATCGCCATGTTTCTTCCATCAGCGATTCGATGATGCCGTCAATATTCAGAAAGTACTTGAAGAGATAGCAGACGATGAATGGTTATCGCATTCACGTCTAGTACAGACGGCGACGGGAGTTAGAGAAGTATCGAAACAGCTACAACGACGGCCTATCAAGCGCGCCGTTAAAACGGTGATGATAGTCACAAAGGCGCGGGATAATCGGCTCGTCTTTTTGACTCGCGAACTAGCCGAATGGCTTCTCAGTACCCCACGATATGGAAAGGATACAGGGATTACTGTATATGTGGACTCGAAACTGCGCAGCTCCAAACGATTCGACACTCCAGGCCTTTTGGCCAAGGATCCTCGCTTCGGGTCGATGTTGAAGTACTGGACCCCAGATTTGTGTTGGACATCACCGGAGAAGTTTGATCTGGTTCTTACCTTGGGTGGCGATGGAACAGTTCTCTTTACTTCATGGTTGTTCCAGCGTATTGTACCGCCGATTCTATCTTTCTCATTGGGAAGCTTGGGCTTTCTCACCAACTTTGAGTTTGATAAGTATAAGGAACATTTGAATCAAGTCATGGGCGATGGAGGAATGCGCGTTAACCTGCGTATGCGATTTACCTGCACTGTCTACCGGGCAGACCGGAGCAAAGGCGCCATACCCGGAGATGTAGAAGAAGGCGAGCAATTCGAAGTATTGAATGAGTTGGTCATTGATCGTGGCCCTTCGCCTTATGTGTCGAATCTTGAGCTCTACGGAGACAATGAGCTTTTGACGGTCGTTCAAGCAGATGGTTGTATATTTTCCACGCCGACAGGTAAAACTCCAACAGACCAGAAGATCCTATTGACAATGTGCTAACATGCATAGGCTCTACCGCTTACTCACTTTCCGCTGGTGGCTCATTGATTCACCCATCTATTCCCGGCATCTTGTTGACACCTATTTGCCCTCACACTCTCTCCTTCCGACCTATGGTCCTCTCCGACACTATGCTTCTACGTATTGCTGTACCTAATCTTTCTCGGTCTACTGCATATTGTTCATTCGATGGTAAAGGCCGTATTGAACTACGACAAGGTGACTACGTCACTGTCGAGGCCAGTCAGTACCCTTTCCCGACCGTTGTCTCTGGCGGCGGTGAATGGTTCGAAAGCGTCCGTCGCGCTCTCAGATGGAATGTTCGCGGAGCCGTCCAGAAGGGCTGGAACGGAGATGTCGATGAGAACGCCGAGAATGGACTAGACGAAGAAAATGTCGACTTCGACATTGACTTTGACAACGCCACAACCGGCACTGACAGTGGCGTTGGCCCGAGTGAAGATGGCGATACTTATGGCAACGGAGCAGGCAGTCCGATGAGAAGGCAGATGAGTTTGTTAAGCATGTAGCCTGTCACTGCCTGCTCTATTTTTACGCGCGATACCCTCTATACATACACAGCGAACGCACATATCTGGGAAATTCCCATTCTTGCATCCGACCGAGTGACACATAACCTACCTAGCGCTTCTCTTGATGACTTTGCTTTTTTGTGGCGTCGGCGTTCTTTGGAATGCTTATTTGTATACGCTAAATTAGATTTATCTATCTGTTCTCTGAGAATAGACAAACGGCCATTAGAGTCAATACATTCTCTACAGTCAACGCAGTTGATACGGTTGGCATTAATTGCATTCATGTTCCTGATTACAAAATGTGTCGATATTTGAGGCAGAATATGAAGGATGAAGGATTGCCGAGCAACGGCGATACCTCGCACATGTTTAGGTAGCGAACGAATGTTCACCTGACCTGATAACCCAGTCCGGATCTCATAATTCATCTACCCCAGACACATCTTCATACATATCAAGCATAACGCAAAGCACAGACTCGGGCGAGTCGGCGTCTACCGATTCGACCTGTAAAAGCAGACCAATGACTTCTCGGACAAACCTCCAGAACCATCCCATTCACCCATCCGCAAAATAAACGGCGAACAAAGACTCCGAACAAAGAGCGAATAACAATGCATGGATAGCTGTTTCCGAGGATCTGGGTCTGGGTCACTACACTGCTTCCCTGCTCAGCCTCAACGATCTCGATATTTCGCCGGATCAGGTTAGGATACTAGGATTCAAGGAATGAGGCTAGATGATGTACTCTTGAGGGTCAGTACCCTAGCTTGTAGTCTATTATCTTGTTCCTCTCTAAGTACTCTGTAGCTCAAGACCGGCTCATCGGCTTTAGGTAAAACCGTCTCGGACAGAGCTCGGCTCACGATCGCTTAGCTTGGAGTGTTATTTCGAGATAGCTTTCGGTGACTTCCGATGAACATCTAAATATTGTCATGATACTGTGCGAAGGGAGAGGCGAAATCATCATTGAACAGCCACAAACAGGGAATTCATAGCCGGTAGTTAGTTTCAGTCCGGTAGTGTAGGTTGTGTTTTCTTTTTGAGCATCAAGTCCCGGGAACCAATAAAAAAGAAACTTTACTTCTCTTTCTTCTTCTTTCTTCTCCGCATCGTTATTCCCTCGGATTTTGACTTTCGACGATATTCTAATTTCAAACATAAATATCGAACCGGACGTCCCGCGATGAAGGCTTGATGGTTGTGACTGTCGGTCTTGTTGACAAATTGATACTGATCTGCACGATTATTGTCTGAGAGCTTGGACTTGTCTAGACCATTGTGATTATCATCGGAGATACTTATCGAGATACCTGTCTATAATATGGTAAGTCAATCTCAGCAATGCCTCGGTCCCTGTTTGTTTACTATGCAATGCGACATGACAAAGAAGATCGTCGTCTTATCTGGATTTTGTCTGAATTGCATGTCGCACAATGCTCACGTGGTCTACTAGCCCCACGCCGATTCTTCGTCTTTTGCTGCCGGTGCGTCTAAGGACGAGGTGTATGCTCAGGTATTGGAACAAGCGACGGGATTAGTTACTGGGCAAAGGAATTGGGTATGTTTCAATGTCTTTCAACTATAGAGCTGTGCTGATGTTGATGTGTTTTAGGTTACGTGAGCACCCCGCATCCTCATTGCATTCTATACAGTCGATCGGAAGAAAAAAACTAATCCACGACATAGCAACCTCGCAAATGTAGCCTCATTACTATGGCACGGCTACGCTTCCCTCCCCAAGCCTTCCTCGGCCGTGAACTGGGCCGGCTTCTACGTCCGCGATGACTTGTTCCCTCTGCTTGCGTCACCCAAGCGCTCAAACAGTATTTCCGGCCTGACCACAACCACAATCTCGACCAGCTACGCTTCGTCGCATGACAAGAAGTTACTTCTCGGCCCATTTCAGGGTAAGCCGGCTTGTCAGGAGATTCGATTCGGACGCGGAGTTTGCGGAACGGCAGCGCAGAACAAGGACACGGTTGTCGTGCCGGATGTGTTGGAGTTTCCGGGGCATATTGCTTGTGATGCGGATAGTCGCAGTGAAATTGTGGTTCCTATCATGTTTGATGGCGAGGTGTGTACATTTGTTTTGAATCCTCTCAGAAGGATGAACCATCATCTAACGTGGTTACAGACCGTCGCCATTATCGATATCGATTGCACCGAGCCCGCTGGATTCGACGACGTGGATAAGAAGTATCTGGAGCAACTGGCTCAGCTATTGGCAGAGAGTTGCGATTGGTAGAGAGACAGATTTATGAATTATGTTTGGATGCTTTTTGGTTAGTCTGAAAAAGTTCAAATGTTCTTGGATAGATGTTGGTATGTCGTTAGTTTGCTTTGCAATGATTGTTTGAGAGTTTATTATACTGTATCTGCTTACCTTCATGTCGAATATACTTGTTCATAAAAACCAAAGTGATATCATTCTCAGCACAGCATTTTCCCTGTTTGGATTTGATGCACACTGCCACTCTGCTCGTATTGGATGTAACCAAATATCTCCCATTGACCAATCAGAGTAGACCTCAATGCCTTCTGGCGAGCCTCTGTTATTCTTTGATATCTGATTGGCCAGCACAGCCCACTTTACAGCCCGTAACAGATCTGTTAAATTACCAGATTTACAAGTACAATACCCGCCCATTACGTTTCGCTCGTTACCATCCGACTTAAAACCGGCCAAGTCGCCTCCTCCGTTCCCTCTTTCTCTCTTCTCCTCACCACCAAAAGCTCCCAAAGCAATCAATCACATTGACAGCGCTCAGTGCAGGACTTTAGGTCCTGCTTCCCATTGCCTCTAGGGCAGTTCTCTCTTCAACTCCACAATCTCAGCTACATGCCCAGCGTTTCTTCAGAAACCTGTGCCACCATGGAGTACTCCCTCAGATTCTACCAACCTCATATACGAGACACGGTGTTCTACAGACCAGCTTGATGGAGATTTGTCACTGCAACAGCAGCCGCAACAAGAACCATCGTTTTTTGATTTTTCCTTGTTTGAGCGTGATTCCCAAAACAGTTTTTCGTCTTCGTCTTCGTCTACTTCTCCACATTCTGTTTCGCCATCCGATCATAATACTTCACCTGCATTATGGTCAGGCTCTCATCAAGTGGCCTGTGCTGCACCAGATTCGTCGTTAGATCAGTTTTCTGGTGTTCTGGATCTGGATTTTCTCATAGACCCAACCTCTGTTGAGCAGCAGAGTGGATTGTCCTTTGATTTTCCGCTTGACTTTGGTAGTGACCACGGTCAGGCTTTTGATATTACTGCCGCCACTTCAGATACTAGTGGTCCGGCTTTGCCTGGCAAGCCAACCACTAGCGCGCCTCGTATTACTATTGTGGAAGACTTATCATCTGCTTGTTCCCCCGCGAACATGTCTGATGGAGGAAGCGTTCTCGCTCCCTCGGTCGACCTTACCAATATGAATATGGATCACTTCTACTCTCCAACTGTGACTTCAGTCGCTTCTACATCTATGTCGTCTTTACCCATGACATCGATACCTTCACAAGACTTCCATCCTCTTGTGACACAATTCCACCAACAACATCAACAACCTCTTCTCGCTCCCAAACAACATACTCCTCCATCATCTTCCGTCTCGCCCGCTCTCAGCCACATTCATTCTATCGACCTTGACAATTCAAACAGCAAGAACACAAAGAAACGTTCTCGTGCTGAATCAGCCGGTCTCGATCTATCAAGTAACAATAGCGCCCAAGACTCCGAAGAAGAGCGCATCGTTGAAAAACGTCGTCGCAACACCATGGCTGCACGACGTTTTCGACAACGGAAACAGGACCATGTCTCTGATTTGCAGTCGCAGTTAGGCAAAGTTACGAAGGAGAGGGATGATTTGAAATTACAGGTTGCGAAATGGGAAGGTGAAGTTATGGCGCTGAGAAAGTTGTTGGAGATGAAGAAGTAGTTATTGTTGTTAGTGATACCAATCAAATATTTTCCTTCGGGTTGATTTCATCGTAGACGTACAGTAAAACTATCCTGATTCATGATAATAGAGTTGCTGGGGTGAAGCTTAGCCGGGCTGCTACCACTACCATGCCCTTAATGAGAGCTTAGGCAACTTCCATCCAGTCGCCGGGATGCCTAATTTCGTACTCATTATTGCTCATCATGATCAATTCAACACGGCAGATTCATCATGGTGATGCGAAAGCAGACTAGTGACAAGTCTCGTACCCGCGAGAAATGATATATAGTTACCGTCCTGCTCTTTAGATATTCTGATCTAAATTTCTATCCTCCTATGTCTACCTATTGACGATCCATATACCTACCTACATTAGATGACATAGGCTACCCTATGCCTTCCCTAATGTCGCTGTGCCATTCAAATCATTTGCCCGTAGTAAGTTCAAGCACAGATGCTATGGTTTGGTGTCTTATCTCATCAACAGATAGACCAAGTAGATAACACAAATACCAAGATAACAAAAATACATCCTTCATTTCACAAAACAGACGTAATACGGACGAGCCAAAGATACAAATCTTACACATACTATGGCTCAACCAATCAAGGGCGGTAAAAGTGAGTCATAATTTCTCATTGTTAGTGAGACAGAGAGGGAGAGATCTAGTCGAGTGGGGTACAATGCTTAGTCAGACATGGCGAGATCCGAAGATATGCCATAGTTCGTACGGGTTTAGCAAGAAGATATTTATTTAGACTATAATTAATTTAATTTGATATCTGCTTTAGGCAACATAAGGGTCAAGACTTGATAGCATTTCTATGGGTTTAGCTCCTGCTCCTCGCGGGAGTGGTACATTGATTTTAAGAGACCTATACATACGGATCTTCTGAATGATTTAAGTAATTGAAAGAGGTTTAACAACCCAGGGACAATGTGATTTTTACTAGATTTCTATATACACCACAAGGATAAATTGGAATGATAAGTAAAGAACAAAGAATAGAAGAATTTGCAGAGGAATATTTCGGAGGTATTTTCAACACAGTGCATGTTAAGACTATTTCATTCAATATGAGGTAGAATCGGGTAATCACTTTGTCCGTTATATCAGGTGTTTACTGTATCACTTTGATGTCTGGTTCATGTCCATAGTCATCTGATGGAAAAGACACGTTTATGCGACAGATCTACGTACATTCTCGTCTAGAGTTATGGGTACGATCAGAGGTAGAAAGAGATATATCTGCATTGAATTAGGGTATAACTATAACAGATACATCTGTTAAATGTGGGTATAGATGGCTATATTCAACCGACTGACCAGCCAGTCAATATATATTCATATAAAAGAATAACGCACTAAACGTCTTCAGCTTTCACTACTCTCACTGTCAAGACACCAATCACACACTGGAGATTCCCATGTGATAGAAATCCAGGTAATTAAACAGCAGCAGAGTGCTCAACAGCCTTCTCCTCACCAGCAGGGGTCTCCTCAACATGGAGATGGGTGTCAGCCAAGGTGCTCTTGATGTCAAGAGCACCGCTCTCAATAGCAGCCATGCGCTTGAAGGCGACACCAGTCTTCCAAGGAGGGGTTCCAATATATTTGATACCATGGGGATCCTCGAACATAGCCTCAGTCTCTTCAAGAGTCTTACCGGCAGTTTCGGGGAAACCAAAGAAGACGTGAATGGTCATGGCGACGTTGAACACACCAAAGATGATATAAGTCTGGTAGCGGATGTTGGCAAAAGCAACGGGAGTGAAGAGACCCAATGCAGTGTTGAAGGCCCAGTTACCAGATGTGGATAAGGCGACACCCTTACCACGGAGACGGAGAGGGAACAACTCTGGTGGGTAGATCCATGAGGCGGGACCCCAGGTAGGAGCGAAAGAAGCCACGAAGAGGTAGGTGCAGGCAATCAAACCCTTGGCAGGGGCGCCAGAGACACTCATGGATTCGGCAGCAACACCTTTAATACCACCAGGGACGATAACGCCGTGGGCACCCATGATACCAGCGTTGGCAAACATGAAGATGGCCATCAAAGTCGAGCCAATCAACATCAAGTTACGACGACCAAGGCGATCAATAAAGATCAAGGCAGGTAGAGTCATGATAACGTTGATAACGTATTGAATGGAAGAGGCCAACAAAGCAGCGTTGCCGGTGTAACCAGCCATGGTGAAAATGTAACCGATGTAGTACATCATGCAGTTCATACCAGTGAGCTGAGACCAGATCTGAGTGAAGAGACCAATCACGGTACGGTTGAGCATGTTAGGTTTGAAGAGGTCCAGGTAGGTGACATTGGCGTGACGGCGCTCGAACTCGCACATCTCCTTAATGTCCTGCAATTCGACCTGCACGAAAGGATGGTTGGGGTCACCCTTGCCGTGGACGAGGGTAAGCACACCGTGGCACTCTTCCCAGCGGTCCTGACGAGCCAACCAACGAGGAGACTCGGGCAAGAAGGTCATCGCGAAACCGAGGAAAATGGCGGGGAGCATTTGCAGACCCCAGGGGATACGCCAAGCGGCAGTGTTGTAATCCTGGGCAGTCTGGCCTCCAATATACGAGCAGCCGAAGGAGATATAGTACATAATCAAGATACCCCAGGTAATGGCCCACTGCTGAAGACCGACGAAACGACCACGCTGGGTTGGAGGTGAAATCTCGGAGATGTAGACGGGGACTTGGGCAGATTCAAAACCGACGGCCAAACCATTGATGATACGGCCGACAACAAGCATACCAATATTCTGCGCAGCGCAGGTAAGGGTAGATCCGATTATCCTGATGAGAAATTTAGTAGATGCTACAGCTTCAAGAGAACAATTGAACCCACCAGACAATACATCCGATGATGATAGACCATTTACGACCAATACGGTCAGACACGGGACCAGAAATAAGAGCACCGAGCCATGACCCAGCAGACATGGCAGCAGTAATACCTCCCTGATGCAGAGAAGTAGGACCACTGCAGTTCGGGTTGTCATTGAATGGAGGGCCATCAGGGCCTTGGTTGAAATAACACAAGTAGGCGGGCTCGGTCAACTGGGCCGACACCGAGGCGATATCGAAACCGAACAAACCACCACCGACGACGGCGGTGGCCGCAATCACGTAGATGTTACCAATAGGCATGGTTGGCGTCTCTTCTACACTCCAAAAGGTCGGTCAAAGTAGAAGATTCCCTCTATGATGGAAGGAAATTCTTTGAGAAAAGAAACAACCGAGAAACGAAATAAAGAGAGGTCATATAGGGCGGAGGGAGACGAGGGCAACTACTTAAATATGTATCAAGTACAAGCTTCCAGCTTCTGTCGATCTTTTCTGCTTTCCATCCCTCATCTCACTCACGTTAAGTTCCCCGCCTGCATGGCCCGTGAATACGACGTTGTATTGGACTTTTCTTTCTGTGGTGGTCCCATGGCACGCATGATGTGGAGTCTCCGGAGATGGCGTTCTCCAATGTCTGGAGATGGAGTGCCAACCTCCCCGCAAGTGAGTGGTTGAGCAGGGTTGCGCGCGGCCAGGTATTCGTACTGCTGATTATGCCGTACGGAGTACTTCCATGTGGAAGGAGACTGACCATGTGGTCCTTGGATGCACCATTGACCAATCACGCACGGTATCCAGGCAGGGATGAGAATTCTTTCAGCTATGATTCATCGATTTCTAACCACGGACCGGTCTGTACTTGCCAATATCCACATGGTTCATACTGAGGGCTCGACAGGGGAGCGTTGCAACCAGAAGGGAGCCCTCACGGCGTAAGAATTAATCACCGAACCAAGTTGATGCTCTGATATTCTTCCTAAAATGGCATAGTGCAGGCTCTAGTCGAATGACTGAACGAAGACGGGATGATTTCTATTCGATTAGCGTCGAAGAATACACATCACATAGGCGACGATAGGCCTCAACCTGACTGCCAAGCGCAACTACTCGTCCGCTAAGCAATCGCTAAGCAATAAAGCCGGGATAGTAATAGTTTAGCTTTCCTCGGGACGTCATTGGCGAAAGTCTCTTTGCTGTTTCACTGACTCCCCTTCCTTCGAATTACTAGCGCGTAGCCTAAATGGACTGGTCAACTGATGCTGAGACAGGACGTGGCGGATTACGTGGTGAAACAAAGCGCATGATGCAGACTGACTACTATTGGATAAGAGCCGAGCGATGCCGTGTTACCAGACGGTTTCGGGCGAGCGAGGAGCCATGGAGGATGAGTGCAGTCAAAAATGAGAAAATAAAAGAAAGTTCAGGCGTGGTGATCATCCCAAAGCGGCCGGATGTGGCACAATGGGCGCTCGCATTGTTGGGTTTGATTGACCCAAGAGTCCAAGGCTCTGTACTAGTAACCCAGTCACGGGGCTGCGCATGACAGCCAATCAGACGGGGACGGTAGTGGGTAGTGGGTACTCCTGCCTTGAAGTCGACTTTGGGCTGCTCTTTCTTTGTCCGGGGATTACTACATACTATGGTAAAATTCAAGGTCGTTCCTTCCTTAGCCAGACAGCCAGGCAGTCGCAGCTGCCTTCTTGGCGCGGCATCCCGACTTCCGTCTTTCCCTCGCTTTTCCCTTTCCCGCTCTGATTGGCTTTGAGCTTACGTAACCCCTGTCGGAGACATCCGCCTGTGTCGCTGTCAACCACGGCACGTGCAAATTATCTCCCCTTGACATTTCTACTTACATAGTACTGTGAAAGAAATGTACATTTAAGGTAATCCCTCCGACGGTAGCGTCTGGCTGTGGGGAGCGCTCCATGACCGGGATCCGGGGGGCTTGAAGAGWCTCTTTTTTTTTTTTTTTTTACATTAGTACTATGTACGTAGTATACTCTATGTAGTGCTACCCTGGGAGAAAATGGCGCTCGATTGATTAAACCTAAAAACCCAACCTCGACAGGCTGAGCTTCTGACCTCAGTGGCGTTCAGCCTCTCTGAGCCGAGAACCTACTCAATTTCCAAACTCTTTCTCAATCAGTACCTATTTCCTAGAAGGGTAGGTTTTTTCGGTATTACGAGATAGTGCTCCGTAGATGGACATCGGTGTACCGACGTGGCTTGAGGTTGCACTTTGCAGCTGGCTATTCGGAAATAACTCATGGAGTACGGACATGTTCTTACTACATAGTAAGAGTACACAACATGTACTACGTATGCATCCAACTTCGAATCCAACCAATAAGGTATTCTATCATGCTAAGACGGCGACACCGAACAGAAGAAAGAAAGAAGATCGATCCTACCAACGAGATTCGAATAGATGCTGTCAAACAGCGATCGTGATCGATATGTGCTTTTCTACACCGGGATAAACTCCAACCCTGTGAGCATAAGGTAGAAACGTAGCGTCGTACTGAGACACATCAAACTGTCGATCGGGAAACGTTAACCTTGCCAAGTCTGAGATTAGCGACGTTGCATCGGTGGGATCCATGGCCCTGCAGCCTTCGTACGAGATGGATTCTGGCAGAGTTGGTTTGTGCGTTGTTCGGTCTTAGTGTGTCAAAAGACTCACAGTGAGGAAGCATTAACAACTCGGGTCAAGTCCCTCCGATGATGCTGAACAACCAGCATGACTCGCGTTGCCTGAGTAACTTGGCACGTCCCTCTTTCCCCGCATCTCCAGGTTTCTTTGGCCTTGTACCCTTCCTCTGCCTACTCGTAAATACTACATAGTAACTTGCTTGTAAAAGATGATTTGATACAATCATGTACCTACTAGATACTTCGAAAATGGATCCCTGGTCAATACAGTTCAGGGTTCAGGTGCAATCAGCAGAGACCATACAATCGAGGTCCAACAAGCCATGTCGCCGATTGGCATCCTTTTCTGAAACGGAACCCTGGAAACGTTGCCTATTGCGTCACGGGAGCTTCCTGCATTGAAGTGTCGACTTCTCAGCCGTGGCTGGCAGCTAAGTTCTTTACTCTAAGCTAAATTCTCTGATTTAAAGATCAAAATAGGAAATCCACTCGTTCTATTCGTCTTACCTATACTTAGGCATAAAGGTGACTGGATGAAGAGCGCATTGACTCTAGCACTACTGCTAGCTTGAGAGACCATACACTGTTGGCCTTTGAGGCTTAGGTATCATTCGATGGTGAGTCTACCTCTCTTACCCCAGGTCAGACATACGCCAAGTCATCACGGCTATTCGGCATACTTCAATGTTATATGTGTTCAGCTTGAGTCAGAGTCAGCACTTTCAGCAACAGGTGACACTAGATACAAGTGCAGTTTGAGTATCGATGCCTAGGTTTACTTACACCCTCGGCTCTGTATTCACACTATGGCTCTTCGCCTCTGCCATCGCGCGAATGACTGTAGGAAGTAGTCCATCGGCCAGTATAACGTGTACTGTAGCAGGCTCGACCTCCCTGTACTATCCATCCGCTGGCTCTTACGCAAATTCCGTAAGCATGTGTGCACCATGTCTAATCTTGCAGAATGAGCACATCCAAGCTGCAAGATCTTCGATCAAAATGGTAGCAAATATTGCGCAGCCAAGTAATAAGCTCATCTTGTTGCAGCACGATGCAGGAAGCTCCGTTGCCAGACCAGGCATACCCACTGTAATCTTGATCGCCGGTGCAGGGCCGATAAGCTTTATCTATCTGGATCAAATGCTACGAAACCGTGATGTACTAGAATCATCCAAATGGACGATAGCTTTAGTTGCTACGTACCTCTAACGAAGTTGTCAATTGGCCTTTTAACAAAGAAGATGGCGAGAGGGCTTGCCAAAGGCTGACTTGAAATCACTCCAGCTGCTATGACCAAAGTCTTTTGTCAAGTGTCTCTTGCACAGGGGCAAGGGCGGATGAGTCACTCGAATGAAGCTCGAGTAAAGAATCCAGGAGAATAAATAGCTCACTAGCATGGGCTGGAAAGCTACATCTCAGCCCGCTGTTTCTCACAGGATGATGATAGCAAGCAAGTCGATATCCATCAAAACAATTCCTTCATCAAATCACACGATAAATGCATACATACGAATTATTTTTTTTTCCCAAAGATTATTCTTGAGGTGTAAGGGAACATAATTTGTGGTCGGCTCGGGAGCTCCCTCTGTGGAGTCCCGTACGCATTAAACCGTTTTGAGCTGGGAGCACTCCGTATGCCGCCGCCTTTTTTTGCCCACTGCCACCTTGCCCACAACGAAGCCCCTCAGAGCTCAACAAGTTTTTTTCTTCTCGGTCTTTGCAAGAGTACAATGCCTGTCCAGTGAGTGGAAGACGCATCTTCCTCTATTCAATCTTCTCGAGCTCTGACAATGAACCAGCTATCTGATTCTCCTGTCGCGCCAAGGCAAAGTGGTATGTTTTTGGTACCCAGTTCGTGGCCCACCACGTTCTGGTGTCGAGGTTCAATCAAACTTCTCGACTCGAAACTTTTATTAACAATTTTCTCTCTCATCAGCGTTTAGCAAAATGGTTCACTACCCTATCACCTAAAGACAAGGCCAAGATTGTCAAAGATGTTTCCCAACTGGTGCTGTCGAGACGCACTCGCATGTGCAATTTCCTCGAATATAAAGGTCGGCATACTTTCTTCAAGCATCTAGCTAGCTGCAATGCTAACTGCAACTACTTCGTACAGACCAGAAGGTAGTCTATCGTCGTTATGCGTCCCTCTTCTTCATCGCCGGTTGCTCCGCTACCGACAACGAATTGATCAGCCTTGAAATCGTGCACCGCTACGTCGAGCAAATGGACAAGTATTACGGCAACGTCTGCGAACTAGACATTATATTCAATTTTCAAAAGGCGTACTTCATCTTGGATGAGCTACTCCTGGCCGGGGAAATGCAGGAGAGCAGCAAGAAGAATGTTTTGAGGTGTATTAGCCAGCAAGACAGTCTTGAAGACATCGAGGTTCGTGGCTAGTATTTCGTTTTTGTTCAGTCTTGCTATTATTGTTTCCTTCTCAATTTCTATGTCTATATTCCGAGGCACAACTTCCCCATCAGCTCCCATCAGCACCGGCGCAATCACGCTAACGCCGCCTTCCCCTAGGTCGAGGAGGATACTGTGACGAAAATCATGTAACTACACTGAGCGCACTTCTCTGTCTATACGCTTTTTTATTCGGGTCAGGAGTATTGTCGCGAGCGTTTATGGCGTTATCTGGTTTCTACACGCATTGCTTACGGTATACTAATTCAAACTTCTTCTTTTTCTTGATTCTCTCCAGGTTGAAGATGTCGATAACAATCTCAAGCGCATGGGACTCTAAGATCCCTGCCAATGGAGTCGTCAACCGCAGCCAGCTGCTGTGGTTGTACAAATGTGTGGCTTTCCTGTCAGTGAGTCTGCGTTCGTCCATGTGAAGTAAGCGCGTGATCTCACTGGCCCGAGATACGCTTTGTCACGTGACTGGATTCGTTGGCCGACGATCGCGACCTCCGCATCGCCTCATCCATCACCTGCTGTTTCTCTCTTCTTTATCCCCTGTCTTTGTTACTCTTGCCAGATTCTTCCTAGATTACATATCAAGATTTCTCATCATCTAGAATCGCTATGGCGTCCTGCTAGACGATCGTCGTCTAGCTCCTGTCAATCGTCCTAGCCTGTTATTAGCATAGCAGACAAGGCCACTCCTGTTGCCATCACATCATCGCGCGACTCGCACAGCTCGGACATCTCTACAGAAGCCTCTGTAACTGGAAAACCAAGCTATCTGAAGTAACTCTCAGGTATCCGAACGCCAAAATCAAGTTCACTTCCAACTCACCAAAGCCGGCGAAAGCTAGCCCCTGGTCATCAAGATGAAGGTATGCGCCCGATGAAAGGGAAACAACGTGTTGGAGACTTTTGCTTATCCCTGTTAATTAGTATCTACCTTTGCCTCAAATTGAAGAGGTGTCGAACGCCTTGAACTTCGATACCCCTGATCTACACGTCGTCGGTGGATGCGATCTGTACATCACGAAGGCAGCGTCGGACGATCGCAAACTGTATAACAAGATCGAACAATCTTTGGAATCGCAGTACGAGTCGCTCCTCAAACTATCCGCATCCCTATCACCTCCGAAGGCGTCCGCTCCGAATAATGTTGCGCTCTCCCTGAACTTGTCGCGATCAAGTCCCTTTGGTCCTCTCACCGAACATTCAAGTCGCAGGACTTTTGCCTATTTGATCGCAACGCTAAATGCGAGCCACTCCGACTACGATTACAGCCATGTTCTACGACCTACTGATTTCCGCCGTGAACGGAGTTTGAAGAAAGTCATGAATACTCTGGATATGACGCTGCACAATTTGCGACCCCATATGCGCGACGATGGGACGCCATCGCCTCCAAGTGACTCATTTTCGGGCTCTTACAGTTCCAGTGCGGGTACAGCCTGGGGACCACGAATGTGGAAGACCATCGACGAGGAGATGTCGCTTAATGACTGCGCGATATTTTCCTACTCGCCCGAAGACGACATAAATGACGACGACGACGGAGCAATTTGGAGTCATAACTATTTCTTCTTCAACAAACAGCGCAAACGTGTCTGCTACATTTACCTACGCGGTATCCCGATTATGAGTCACGATGATGACGAGATTATGGCTATGTGGGAAGAAGATGGTGTTGCGACACCTGTCGGCAAGCGGGCTCCCGAGGAGTCATACTTTACGCCAGACGTCACCGCGATGAAACGTCAGCGATACTGGCTTGGTGACTTGGCTTCTGATGATGATCCCATCAGTTCCACGACTCGTCGCAAGGGTGCTGTACGCGCAATGAGTGAGGAAATGGTCGACTCTATGGAAGTCTAACCATTTCGATCTATCTTGACGACTCTTTTTCTCTGATTTCGTGTTTATTGATTCTGCTTTAAATTTTATGCATGGCAAAGGCGTTGGGCCGCTGGTGAGAGCAGTGGCCTCGAGGCCCTGAAGTAACTTCAACTGCTTAGTTCTTGTATGCAATGATTTATTCTCGTTCGTGCTTTTACGGTCCTGCATGATGATACTCCAATTTCTGTTTGTTGCTTTCAATACTAATGATATGGTAAGGGAGGTGGTCCGGTCTACTTTGTGTGGACGGGGCGTTGTTCTCGAAACGTTTACTTCAATGATAACCGCAATTATTATTACTTATTTTGATAGTTACATATGATTCAATTCTTGACTTCTTCGAGTCTGTATCGTTGCTAATCACGTATGATTCCACGACTCTATAGTATGATTATAATTCCAACTAATGTAATGAATACTATACATGCGCCCATCCATTACTAATAAGAACCTGCATCTCATCAACCAAACAAAAGTCCCCCGCCTCATACCTACCCTTACCCTCCTCTTCCCACCTCTCAAGCCTCCCCTGAATACCCGTCCTCCAAAATACCGGCGTCGAAAACCAGCGACGCAAACGATTCTCCCAGAGCGGGAACACTATATTACTTAGAGAAGAAAAGGAGGAGGAGGAGACCCAATTCTGTGTCCCCGACGGATGAACAGCTTCATACGCGGCGCGGTTATAGCCAACCCGGACCCTGGGGTTGAGAAATACGCCGTGTGTCGCGGAAAGAGGGTTGTCGGCGTGTATGAGACAACATTCTGAGCCTTCGAGGTGGTGGAGGGCGAGGGAATCGGGGATTCCGCGGAATCGTAAAGGGTTGCTTTGAGATAGGAAAGGAGTTGTTGGCATAGCCACTGGGTAAAAGTCAACAGGATTCTTTTTTGAGGGGAAGGTCTAGAGGGACTTACCCATGCCGTTCCAGCAGCTGGTGACTGGGACCGGTGCCATTGAGAGAAGCGCATTCAGGGACTCGGAGGAGCGGAAGTAGGGCCATGTTTGCATCAAGGGTTCGTTGCCTTGGGAATCGCGCAATGCGAATGTATCGTAGTACTGTGGTGGCTTGGAGAAGTCCAGTGAGCAGGCTGCTGCGTATGAGCCACCGTTGGTATGTAGTAGCGTCAAAACGTCCTGCGTCTGTAAAATGAATCAGCATCATGTTCAATATTGACCAGCTAGAAGTCAAGTAAGCCTACCGTAAACACAACATCATTCAAGAAAAGAATCGTATCAAACGTCACACCCTCCCTCGCCAGACCCTCCAAGATCGACAAACTCCAATTCCTCAACCGCGCCAGATACGGAATCCGTCTAAGCTCCCTACGTCCTCTCGACGTCTCGATCCATCCTTCCTCACCCGGCTGCGCATTAATCTCATCTTCATGCGTGACTTCGGACAGTGTGATATTCCGCGGCGCACCGAGGGCATCAAGCCTAGCATCGAGGTCCCTCAATGCGCCCTTGGAGTCATCCCAGCTCCCGCTTTCGTAGACGCTGACGAACACATTCTCGGCTCCCAGGTGGGAGACTAATTGGACAACGGCATCATTCCAGTCTGCGCGGAGGATGGCTTCATTGTTCCAATGCAGACTTGCAATGAAGATGCGCCCGGCATGTATATCATTGGGTTGAGTTTGAGGGTTCACAGTCGTGAGTGACTGGTGCACAGAGTATAATTCTGCGACAAACCAGACGATGGTCAAGATCAGAGTAATTCGGAAAAGGCGACGGGCTGGCCCATAGCGACGGAATTTTAAGCAGCCATTCAGTCGCATTGAGACAGTATTTGGGTGTCTTGTGGAATTATCTATGCAGATATACGAAGCTAATGGCGATTTATATAAAGAGTGAAAGGGTTGGCGGTTGATATAGCATATGCACGGTTGTCTAAGAAGTGAAAGTGCGATGTTTACATTCCGTACTTCTATTGGGGCTAGTTTGTGGTGGCCTCAGGCCAACAACGAATGCATCGACAATTCTACAGGTTAGATCGCTGCCATGACCACAATCAAATAATGACATTGCCTGTAAATCTCATATATATCGATGCTATGTTATATATGTTTTTGTCAGGTATAGATCACAAATGTCGACTGTTGTATGATATGTATGTCCTACTATATCGCCCTATGATTCGACAACCCTAAATCAGCGATATCGACGTTCGTTCAATGCTTAGTAGATGGTCAGTAGGATCCCTTCGACAGCAATAATCCGGTCGACTTACCGTAACATCCTCCCATTTCTCCCAACCACGTCCCTTGACCTGTGCCAACTCTTCCATTGTAAACGTCTTGCCCGTCGTGAAATAACCAGCGTTGATTTTGGCGTCAATCTCAACTCGGGAGTCTTGGGGAATCATTTCTACAGAAGTTGTCAGTATAATGCCTAGGTCTTTGGGGAACCATTTCTACCTTCTGGAATAGGAATTCGTTCGAGAATCTTGATGCCTTGAGCAACGATGGCATCGTGTTTCATGTTGGACATGGATAGCATACGATCAATCTTTTTTACACCGAGCCAGTGGAGGATGTCTGGCATGAGAGCTTGAAAGCGCATCTAGACATGTCAATATTAGTGTAATGAATATATAGTACGAAGAAGAGACTTACATCACGAACACCGGCAATGTTCTCAGTTCTCTCGAAATACTTGTCTGCTGTGTCACCACCCCGCTTTCGAGCATTATATACCAGATATTTCACGACCTCACCAAGGGCTCGACCCTCCTTCCGGAAATATATCACAACACCACTACCTCCGTTTTGAGCCTCCTTAATAGCTTCTTGAATTCCAAACGCAAGATATGGTCGACATGTGCATATATCAGATTGAAACACATCACTACCATTGCATTCGTCATGAATTCGCAGAGCCAATTTCACGTTCTCATCCGACACTCGCTCCGGAGGACCAAAAATGTAAACAGTCAACCCACCAATAGGGGGAAGAAAAACCTTCAGATCCGGCCGTGTAATCAACTCCGGATAGCTGCCTCCTGTATGTTCGAACAACGTCCGGCGTAGCGTGCCTTCGTCGACACCGAACCGCTCAGCGACACCGGGCAGATACCACACCGGCTCGACTGCCACTTTCGTCACTCGCACATCTCCATTCTTGCCAACGACGATCGACCCGTCGACTTCGATCTGACCCTCACTAACAGCCTTCTCAATCTCGGACAATCGCATGTTCGCGCGGGTAATAGCCATCGAAGGCCGCAAATCCCAACCAACATCTAGATAACTCTTGAAATGCTTCACGATATCATGACCAAACGGATCGAGAGAGACGATCTTCTTGGGATCACTCCATGCCGGCTGCACTGGGAAATCAAACGTTGGTTCAGTGTTGTTGAAATCCGGCTTGAAGTCTGTTGGCAGATCGCCAGCGGCAATGGCCAAGGCGTTGTAGATACTATAACTGCCTCCATGGGCGCCCATGGCATTTCGACGTTTCAATTGAGATGGGTGTCGTGAAGCTACGATGGGGCCACGGGACTTGGCGTCTGGAGCTCCCCATTGTAGCAGTACGGGGTCGACACCGTTTTGGCCGGGATAAGTGGTCAACTGTTTGAAAATTAAACATGTCCATCTGAGAAATGGGAGGCTGACTCACCAGAATATGTTTACTGAATTGGGATTTCGGCGACTTGGGAGATGAGCCCGTGTCCTCGCCTGGAGGAACATCATCTGTGGTTGTCGCGATAGGGATGGATTCAGGCATTGGATGGGATGAAGGGATGGATTAATGGATGAATGGATGAATGGTCCTGGTGATTTCAAGAGCAAAGAAAAGAGAAGATAAAGGACAGAGGGCAGGCAGGGACGGAGTGCTGTTACACCTGGCCAAGTGCATTATCGGCCATGTGATCCGTCTTATCTTGCTTTGTTATCTCCGTTCCTGCCGGCGCGCTCCTTCAATGTTGGCCGGTCTGTTGGGTCGGAATGTAATGTATTTCAATCTAATCCTGCTGTCCCTTTTCTTTTCTTCTAAATATTTCTTTCGTATCAATCTTATTCCCTCCGTACTCTCTGTTCTCTACCTAGTACTCGCTACGTTGTTCATCTCAGTCGCATTCCAAGCTATCCCGAACCTGCGGGGCTTATCGTGATAAGCTCAGACCCTGGCTGGTTACTCTCGGAGCTCCCCGCATTGCTTATCCACGCCGTATGTCCTCTCACCATCGTGACTGTTTACTGTATTCTGAGCTTCTGTATCTTTGCTATTTGAAGCAGTCTCTGGAAATCACAACCCATTGTCGCATTGACACAATTGAGCGCAATATCGACCAGATCAAGCTAACCAGGAGCTAGCAATACCTTTACGGTGCGGAAACCGAAAGACATACAACACGTCAAGGGTATCCAAACTTGTTTGCAGAACAAACAGCACACAGAATGTCGTCTCCTCTTCCTGCCAACGCGCGGGTATCCACCAATCCCTTCCTCGAATCCAAACTGAACCATCTGCGTGACCGATCACTGGGCAGCAGCGCAGTTCGGGCCACCACCGCGGAAATCGCCCGCATCCTCGCCGTCGAAGCAACGCAAAACCACAAGCCTGACCATGGTAAAATCGCGCTCATAGTGGTGCTCAGGTCTGGGTTGGGGATGAGCGATGCGTTTCTGTCGCAGTTTGCTCCCGATACGGATGTGGTTGTTTATCATATTGGCATGTTTCGGGAGAAGTACTCGTTACAACCAGTGGAGTACTACAACAAGTTGCCAAACAACAACACGGAAATCAAGCGGGTGTATGTTATAGATCCGCTGATTGCAACGGGTGGGACAGCTACAGCTGTGATTGAGACCCTGCGGTATGTTTGTTTTGTCCTTTGTTTTTGCTTTTTCCAAAACTATCAAAGTTGCGGTGTAGTCACGCGACTGCTTCACTACAACTGAACCTACAAGCTGAGCTACTTAATACTAACCGCGAAAACTCTCCGCAGAGACTGGGGCGTTGTTGAACACATCACCTTCGTGTCAATGTTGACAAGTCAGCAGGGTCTGGAACATGCCGCAAAGGTCTGGCCTGAAGGAACCGAATTCGTCATTGGTGCTATTGATCCACGCTTGGATGCAAGCGGTTATATTGAGCCTGGAATAGGCGATATTGGTGATCGTTTGTTTGGGACTGGATTGTCGCATTGATTGGGTAGATGAATTGTTAGTAAATACAGTGGATTCGACTTTTGAAAGACCTGGTTTTATTTCCAAATAGAGTATTTAAATCCTGATTAGATACGCATTCTGGCTAGGACGAACAGAAAGGAGTAGCTACCTCCTCAGAGGAATCAGTAGGTTGAACAGTCATGGAAATGCTTTGAGTGACATGTATCTAGGTATGTTCTAAGCTGGACATCTTTAGTTAACATAGACTAAGGGAATCAGAAGACATAAACAACCAGTACAATTAATCTCGTGATATCATAAAATAACTCTTTTGTTTCAAGAACACTCTACATCTAAATCAAGCAGCTGTTGACTGAGGAAAGTCTCCTCGAGCCCGAGGATTCTTAATGATTTTCTTCATCAGTTTCTCTACCTCATCCCAGTCACGAGTTTGGAGGCCTTCAATATTAGTATTGAAGTATTTCGAAATATTCATCAACATCTGCCACTCTTCCTTGCTGGAGACGAAGGAAATGGCTACGCCGACACGACCAAAACGACCGGTACGACCGATACGGTGGAGATATGTTTGGGGGTCTGCTGTACGTGGTTGACCAGGTTTGTGATGTTCGGGGATATCCTAACACCGTCAGTGCTAGATCAGTAGGGTTTGGATATGATAACATACGTAGTTGATGACCATTGAGACGGTTGAAACGTCGATACCACGTGCAAGGACGTTGGTGGTGATGAGCACCTTGGCGCGACCTTCGCGGAAATCATCAATGACTTTGTCACGTACAGAGCCTTCGACAGCACCGGTCAATGATGCCACGGTATGTCCCTCTGCAGTCATGCGTTTCTCAATCTCGGCAGCAGTTGAACGTGTCTAAAAATCAGCATGATTCAATGAGATACAGAACAAAGAGCAACAAACCTGTACAAAGATGATGGATGATGCAACGGTGAGAAGTCCGTAGAACTTGACGAGCACGCTATACTTGTCATTGTCGTCGACGCAATCAAGGTAGAATTGTCTGATTCCCTCGACCGTGAGTTCTTCTTGTTTGAGTGAGATTTCGTTGGCATTAGGAGCGAATTTTGCGGCGTATAAACGGATTTGATCATCGAACGTGGCAGAGAAGAGCACAACTTGTATGGTCTTGGGAAGGAAACTGATTCATAAGCGTTAGCAAGTAGCAAGAAGCTCAAATCTAATCATGTTAGATCTTACGCCTTGACACGGATACACTGGTCTCCCAATCCTTGCTGATCGAGCATGTTATCAGCCTCGTCGAGGACAAGAACCTTCAATTTATTCACGATCATGATTCTCTTCTTGATAAGATCCATCACCGTACCAGGCGTTCCACAAACGACTGAATGCTCTAACCGCGCGGGTCGCTTGCCTTCTGTGGGCACCGCCATTCCAACGGACAAGCCCTCGACGAATCGACCCATCTCACTAATGACGCCTCCAATCTGACGAGCCAGCTCGCGACTAGGTGCAAGAACCAAGGCCTGTGGTGATTTCTGCATTTCCTCGGTGCTAAGGTCGATACGACTGAGTATATTGAGAGTGAAGGCTGCTGTCTTTCCGGTACCTGACTGCGACTGTCCGATCATGTTCGTAGGGGGGTTTTGCATAAGCAGAGGTAGGGCGCGCTCCTGAATTTTTGACGGTTTCATAAACTTCATCGCATAGAGACCTTCGAGAATACTTGGCGACCTAAAAGGCAAAGCGGTGTCAGATCGAAGTGAATGATAGGTCGAATTAGCATACGTACAGGCCGAGATTTTCGAAAGACTTGACAGAGAATAGTGGGTTGTTGGGGTCAGCCTGCAAGTCGCTCAATTTGACCTCCACATCGTATTCTGGTTCTTGAAGGTTGCTGCCTCCAAGAGCCTCGCTTGCGCCATCTTTGTTCGCAGCATTCAAAGGTGCGTCTGAACGGCGGCGTGGGAATGTTAGATCGAAGCTGCTAGGACGAGTCGTAATCGCTACATACCGGTAGAGTCTGCACCTGGCTTGGTAATACGGTCTGCAAGTGACTTGCCCTCGTTGGCGTTTTCTGAAGCCATGTTTGCGACGATCTAACACCGAGAGTTGACAGGAGAAGAGGGGTAGAAGGCCGCTGTGCAGCACTGTTGGAGGGCGCGAGAGAGATCTTGGTGGAGGTAATTCTGCAAATATGAATAACGAGGATATTGAGAGCCTGCCTTGATAACGATACAAGCGCAAACCCCTGGAGTTGGGAAGATGTAAGTATCTCTGTCAATGGACGCGGCGAGAGCAAAAAAGGTCTCAGCAGCTTCTTCCCCGCTAACTCCCGCGCTAGGCCGTTTTTGGGCCAAACAAACATCGGGCCTTAAATTTCAGGAAAGAATGGATTATTCCATATGGGGATTTTTCTTGTGAATCATAGACAATAAATTGAATAATGGAATAATATCAAGTTCTGAAATTGAGAGCACAAAATGAGGGCATTGTTCAGCGCAACACCGTCTCTTGGGAGTGCCAGAGAGGTATGATGTAACTGGATGCTAGTGTGTATCGAGAATACGGGATAGTGTATCGTCGAAACAGTATAGCCAGTCAGCAAGTGTGCCTGGTGCTAAATGCCCCTCGCACCCGCAAGAAGGCTAGTAAACAATACGGTAATTACGCAGCAACTGTGGGCACTTGCCCGGTTGGTGGACAATCCAGCTGCTCCGACTGGGGATTCGATCAGGCACTCACTTTATTCTCTTCTTGTTCTCGATAACAGGGACAATAGTCTCACGAGATTCAATTCTAAATCACATCACATATAACACACTCATTGCGCATCTACGATTCCTTCTCAATAGACGTCTTCATTTATCCCCGCTGCACAGCCACCCGCTACTTCCGCGTCATATACTTGACTCGTCTGCATCCATTTAGTGATTCGGGGAGCATGCCTCTATCTATTCACGGCGCATATGAACTGAAAGAAACGAGAGCCTAATCTCAACGCTATCATGGCCGAGGTCAATGTCAACCCTCAATTCGGGGCGGAATTGAAGGTATGCGAGAATGCTACGTGGCCGGTTGAAGGTTGCTAACATACGCGTTTTAAAACAGGATGCGTTMAAGCCGGTAAACTCGTGGGTACGAAACCTTGCGTCGTTCTAAATGGAAGGATACTTCATACAACGGTGATGGACGAGGTTGCTAAGCATTGATAGGTTTCGAACGGAATCGCGTGGCTAGATGATATACAACAATTTTACCGCGAAAGAAGCGCAATTGAACGAGAATATGCGTCTAAACTATCGGCATTGTGCAAGAAATATTCGGAGCGCAAATCGAAGAAGATCAGTAGCCTCAGTGTGGGAGACACACCGACGATGACACCCGGATCGCTCGAATCGGCGTCGTTGACAACTTGGTCTACACAATTGACTACGGTGGAATCGCACGCAGCTGTTCGCGACAAGTTCGGTCTCGACCTTATTTCCCATGTAGCCGATCCGCTGAAAAACATATCAGCTCGATACGAGGAACTGCGCAAAAGCCATGTGGAATATCATGGCAAGTTAGAAAAGGAACGAGAATCGCAACTTAGTGAGCTGAAGAAAGTCAAGGGAAAATACGATGGGGTCTGTCAGGAGGTGGAAAATCGCCGCAAAAAGACCGAATCCTCGTTCGATTATAATAAGACAAAGGCACAGACTGCCTATCAACAGCAGCTTTTAGAGATGAGCAATTCCAAAGTATATTTCTTCGACTTCTGTGAACTGGTAGTTGCTGATAACATTGCAGAATACATATATTATCAATATCCACGTGGCGAATAAGCTGAAAAATCAATTCTACCATGAATACGTCCCCGAAGTACTCGACGTAAGTGCATCCTGTGGCTATTTATGAGGTCACCGCTAAATTGTTGTGGACAGAGCCTGGGAGACCTGAATGAAACTCGTGTTCAAAAGCTGAACTCTTTCTGGTCACTTGCAGCGCAGTTAGAAAAGGGAGCCTCGACGCAAAGTACTGAACTAATGACCCATCTTGAGAACGAAATTCCGCGGAATAACCCTAAACTCGACTCACTAATGTTCCTTCAGCATAACGCATCTCAGAGTCAGGAGCCGCCTAATTTGACGTTCGAGCCAAGTCCTGTATGGCACGATGACGATCAGATGATTACGGACGAGTCTGCAAAAGTGTTTTTGCGTAACATGCTCATGAAAAGCAAGAGTCAGGTCAGAGAGCTGAAAGCAGAGGCAGAAAAGCAACAACGAGAAGTCGAAAGCGCCAAGCGCATTCGAGATAACGTAAGGCAAGGAAAAGACAAGCGAGATGAGGTCGATGTTGTAAAAGCGATCTTCAACTTGCAAGAAAAACTGCACGAGACCGAGCGGAAGAAAATGACAGCAGAGGTTGAAACTCTAACAATCTTGGCTGTGGTTGGCGATCTGTCACTAGGAGCCAAGAACCATAACTTTAGATCCCAAACTTTCAAAATTCCAACAAATTGTGATCTTTGCGGCGAAAGAATATGGGGCTTGTCCGCAAAAGGATTCGACTGCGTTGATTGTGGATATACATGCCACAGCAAGTGTCAAATGAAGGTGCCAGCAGAGTGTCCTGGTGAGCAGACGAAGGAGGAAAAAAAGAAGTTGAAGGCCGAACGTCAGGAGCAAGCCCAATCCGCCCCTGCTGTATCAGAGCATGCGCCGTCCAACGGAAACAACGGAACGGTAGCAGATATGCCAGCCCTGACTCGCAGGGATACGATGAACTCTTTGAGTTCGGGATACGCACACAGTGCCCATCGATCCGTATCTGGGTCGATATCGTCTTCAAAACCGTCAGGCGAAGAACCCGCTGAATTGAGTGCTGCACCACCTAGATCTTCTACATCGACCACGAAACGCAACCGGATTCTAGCGCCACCTCCTACGCAATACGCCACCCCGCCTGTGGCTGCCGAGGCTCCGACATCGAAAAAGAACGAGCAAAGGGGGAAGATGGTCTATGGGTATCAAGCAACTGGTGATGGAGAGGTGACGGTAAGTGAAGGGCAGGAAATTCTTGTGTTGGAGCCTGATGGTGAGTACCTTTTCTTGTGTCCAAAGATGAGCGTCGTCTAACTAAATCTGTAGATGGCTCTGGTTGGATGCGTGTCAAGGCAGGCTCGCAGGAAGGACTAGTACCGTCTGCATACGCCGAGCTTGCGCCTGCACCATCCCCAGCACTGACGGAGCGGCCTGCATCAACCTACTCAAACTCTTCAGCTTCGTTGGCCGGTAGCACAACAGCGAAGAAAGTAGGACCAGCCGTAGCACCTCGACGCGGAGCAAAGAAACTGCAATACGTCGAAGCTCTATACGACTACGAAGCACGCTCAGATGCTGAGCATAACATGTCTGAGGGTGACCGGTTCGTCTTGGTCACTAAGGATAGTGGTGATGGGTGGGCAGAAGTTGAGAAGGGAGGTCAAGTCAAGAGTGTGCCGGCAAATTACATTCAGGAGGTTTAGGGTTTATCGTTGACAGCAAATGCATCTGTACATAATTTCGTTTCTCTTTCTTTTTTACCGTGCATCTTGACTGCATTATATACATCATGATAGCTCATTACATAGCATATCTACAATACCTACTGACGTTTGGGATTAATCTGTTATAAGTACAAAAGAATTACTATCGCACGACCAAGGTATCTAGAAACAAATATATACTCAAAGGTCAATCAAGTCCTCTCCCACACTCCTACCCACTCACCCCAAGCAATAACCTTCCCCTCCAACTGCTTCACAAGCTCCTCCCTCGTCGCCCCCGTGCTACTCAATTTTGTCTTATCAATCGGCTCACTCAACGCCACAATCTCATAAAAGCACCGATGCGGCCCATGACCTAGCATTCCTCTTGGCGGGATGTAGACCACCTTCCGCCTGTTAAGACCATACTTAAMCCCGCCATTGAGCTCAAACTCGTCCTCGCTATAACTCCCATCTCCAGGGACCGGGTGAGGCGGTTTCTCAAAATCAGTGTCCATGACGGACCGTCGATACGCGGGGATGGAGTAATACAATCCATGCGCCACGGGTATTGCCAATGGCGCATCGGGATCTTCAACAGCAAGGAACCATTCTTTCACTTCTTGCTCCTGAATGTTGGCGGGAAGTGTCCATTTCAGCCGGGGGAACATGCCTTGTTCAAAGAAGCCGTATTTGGAAGGGATCTTGGACCCTGAAGGACCGATGTTGGGGCATTCAAGGGTGATGGTTGGTTTGGGGCAGTGCGCGAAGGCGGCGGTGCGCGGAATTAAACCTTCGTCGTGGCCGCGTCGCTTTTGGAGGATGAAGGAGAGGATGCGTTCTATGTAGTCCATTCTTTTTGGATTTCTCTGGTGCGGTTTGACTGGAATGGTATTGATATTGTATGTAGTTGGAACGGACTTCAGAGACGATTAGTTATCTTTCGTCAAGTTCTTTTGAACAGATGATCTGATACAAACTTTCGCTTTAGATCCCCTTCAAAAAGACGCAATGTAAAGTTAACAAAGAATAATACAAAAGATCCTTTCCTGCAAGGAAATGCGCCGACTCTCCTAGATGTTCAGCTATTTACTCCATTTTGACATGGCCGGCCCGGTAACGGCCTCGTGGATACGACCCAACATGCTTAGCATGTAGACATATTACTACAAATGGAGATGCAGAGTGCTCAACTGGGCCAATTCTATCGCTCGTTTAGGCGGTGTGTATTTGTAGACGTAAGAAAGCGCATGGATCGAAGAAATCCGCGGGAAAAATATAAAATTGTGATTAAGTATAGATGTGGCTTCCAACTGAGCGCACATTCTCCAGGCGTCTTTCCAGGCGCAAGTAATGGAGACAATATTTGGATACAATAATTATAAACATATTAGCGACTCATTGATATAGGGTCGATCAAGAAGGGTATCACGACAATAACCAATTACAAAACAATACCAATTCGGTCGTGAGCGAACGAATCAAGCATGAATCATTTGTTGAACACGGGGATACCGTCGCACGATTTCATGATAAATATCTGGATGGTCGCGCATCAAGATCTCTGGGTTCCACGCCATGGCCACAAAGATCGTATCGACACCGCTGCCAATCGGGGTCAAGAAGATCTGACAGATCTGCAATCCGATAACGAACGCGTATGCCATGATGACTGCGGTAAATGTGCCAGAAGAGTTGTAGCTCGGACGGGTGAACTCAAGGTACAAATACGCTAGCAAAGCACAGACATACGACACAAAGACAGAGCCCATGCTCAAAACCGGTCCAATCAGGCAATCGTTAATAAGCGCGTCAATACCGCGGTCCTTCATCATCGTCCATGTATCCTTGGCTGCGGGTATATATGCCTTTCCGTATAGAGCGATATGACAGAAGGCGTAGCGGTTGAAGAATCGCACAAGCCAGTCGAGGAGAGCTATGAAGCATCCGAGAATCCAGAACGCTATGCTACCAATCATACTACCTTGTGCTGCTTCCTGTTGCTGGGCGATAGAACAGGCTTGGCGCATCATGTTGACAAGGGCAATCAACAGACTTCCAAGACTGATACTACCGAACGAATAGGTGGTGGCGCGTTTCAAAGCACCTCGTGTGGCTCCCTTTGGAGGAGCACCACGGCCAAAGTACCATGAGCCGTAGATGCCGGCAACAGTAGTATGGATGGTGTTCTTTAGCCATTCACTGACCCAATACATGGCGAACGTAACGAAAACAACGAGACCTATAACCTTGGCACTGCTACAACCGCCCGTACCACATGATGGGTTCGTTCCGCCACCGTTTGGTTCGTACGCGACGTAGATCGAGACCAGAGTGACCGAAAACCATGCCGAGAGCGCGACCCCAATGAGGCCACCGACTGCGCTGACAATAAAGACATGTCCATAGCTGCGTGACACGTCAATGGCGGTCTGCAGCATAATCACGCTGAAAGGAATGCGCGGGATCCAGCTGATGAAGCAGATCACGGCGAAGACACCGAACAGCAGGAACACAATACCAGCACCCCATTGTTTCCTGTACAGGTAATAGATCGCTGTGCCGATGGCGAAGACACAGTTGAGTATACCTGTGATCCAAATGAATTGCTTCGTAAAGTAACGCGCGCCAAGGAAATATGCCCATGACAGAACCAGCGCGACACAGAGCACAAAAATGAAGAGAATCAGAGTGTTTGTGTCGAGGCCAAAGTCGTTGCTGCTGCCGTAGATGCTGCCGCCATTGAAGCCTCTGGTACTAGCATACTTGTTGATAGTGATGCCCGAGACAGCGACGTAGCCCAGGAAGACAGCGATGAGCTATCGCCAGCTAGTTAGCGCAGTTGAACACTTATGCGAAGAGTTAGCACTCACCAATAAGCCAGCCCAGATATCATTGAACTTGGGCTTCTCGATCTTGAAGAGCTCGTCATATGATGGTGGGTTTTCTGGAGGATACTGCTGGGGAGGAGGTTGCTGGGGCGGGTAGCCTTGCTGGTAATCGTTGTTCTTCTCTTCTTTGCCATTATAATTGATGTGCGATTGATCTTGGCCACCATACTGCCCTCGAGGAGCAGCAGGCTGCACCTGGTCCTGCTGGTAGTAGTCTGCAGCGCTCATGATGAGAGGTCAACTGGTAGACAGATGTGATGTGATCTCTCTCAAGAGGTGCAAGAATAATAGGAAGAGAGAAGAGTGACGAGGAAAAAAAGCAAGGGAGGAAGGAGCGCTTCAGGAATGCCCAGAGCAGCAGAGCAGGGCAGAGCTTGGCCTGCAGGCCTCACAATGCGATCAGCCAATCATGGCGGCGTATTTCTCGATTACCTTTCGATAGCTCGCCATGATCGACCAGCATTAGCCAATCACAATGTCCATAACGGTATCCACATTCTGGCAGCTTTGCGTCGATAACTATCGACGTCATCACTTACTTACTCATCATTGACATGGCAGTATATACAGTGTACATAAACAGTAGGATAAATGTTCATTAGTGCATGGGTATCAAATATGCGGGCATGAATACGCCGCGGTCATCAGCGCTAAACTGTATGAGACTCAATCGTCGCTAGTAGGTCCTAATCCTGATCCGGTGATCGACTGACAAGCCGAACGCTCCTCATGAAGAGACGAGACGAGAGAATGGATGAGTGGCTGGTGACTAGCTGTGGCAGAACTTTTCAGTTCAGATATGCTCAGATAAAATCGAACTGCTAGTCATCCTCAGCTAGGCCAATGCTCAAACTGCTGCTGCGCCGTGTACATGGTCGAATACTGCGGCGGCTCCTCCATATAGTCCGTCCCAGAGAGCTGGATATTGCCAAGGTTGAATATATCCCAGGACATGTGTGATCCGCTATTAGCTTCACGCCAGAACCATCCAAGGAGACCAGGAGGAGACATCGTAGTCTCAGTTGTGGGTGGAAACATGGTCGTATTCATTTCGGACGTTGACCATGGCATTTGACCATATGGAGCGCTGGTGTAGGGGAAATCTAGTGTAGACGTCTGTGCCGGTTGAATGTATTGCTGATGAGTATCGATTTCTTCTGCCGGTGCGGATTTCACGATTCCTAACCCTACAGTCCGGGCAAAACCGAGAGACACCTTGGTGAAAATCTTGTATGTTGGCGCCAACCGGATCTGACTAATAATTTCGTTCATCTCCGCGATCTTAGACGAGCTCTGTTCCCGTTCTAACTCTGGCGCAGACTCATCCATCTGCCCTAATTCGAAAAGGCCTAGGACTAGGACACTGTGGCAGATGTAGTAGAAATCTATCCATGCGACGCCTTCTAACAGGCCATGCTTTGATAACTGAAGGAAACAGTCTAGCACTGCGATGGCTGAAGCTCGGCATTCGCGGCTAAAGGATTCCGTGACAGGAATTACCGGGCCGAAGGTCTGGTTTCCCTCCTGCGACAATCGGTCAATGTTGCGGCTGCTCTTGCAAACCAGAAAGGTTCGTGTGAGCACAGATCGATGATGATAGTAGATAGCCTGCAATAAAAGTACTGCCCGCCGATGTCGCAAGGTCACTGATGGCGATTCCGGTGCAAAATGGTGAGGTAAATTAGCTTTCCAAACCTCCAGCTCGTGTAAAAGCATTTTGACGTGCCCTTGGTGGCCGAGTAGAGCTGACTCGTCGGCAAATTTAGCCGTCACCGTCGTAATCAGTCTTCGAACTCGGTGTCCAATATTGGTCAATTTCAGATAGTGTTCTTCAAAGCCTTGAGGATAGCCTGCCCCATCAAGTATATCGTCCGCCGGAAGCGAGACGTTCACCTCCTTCGCATTGATACTAGGCGGGCGACCTAGAATCATCGACATATTAAATTCCACCTGATATAGCGTCCACCAGACAACTCGCCTTGTATTTGCCTCTGCATTGTCAAAGCTGGCGTATGTTCCCTCCCGATGCATGCCGAGAGTTATTGCCATACGGATTGCCAGACCCAATATAAGCCAGGATGTATTGCGCTCGCCAGAGTTCTGTTCATATAGCTGGAGCAATAATAATGCTTGAACGTTCTCCAAAGTCGCTGTAAAGACAAGCGACTGGAAACTGTCCCGAACAAGTTTCATATACTTGGTCTGAATAATGATCGAATCAGGACAATGCTCCGGGCCCAGAATATCGGCACCTAGAATAATGACCATAAACAGACAACAGGTCCAGCCTATGTCTGATGTACCCGTTTGCGCAATCTTGTTATCCCAGAGGAAATTGTACCGCAGCTGAAAGATCGGTTTATAGAACACCTGAAAAGCACCATGTAGGTGGTCAAGGTATGCTTGCACCAACACATCGCAAAGACTTCTGTCAGGCAACAGGTCCCGTAAGAGGCTTCGTAGGTCGTTTGTTGTCTCAGAATTTGAGCTCAAATCCTGTGAAGTTCTCTTGCTTGAAGGTAAGCTAATTTGACTTTGCTGATGAGGCGTCGTTCTTCTTGGGCCTTCATTCTTGGTGTCAATTTGCTGCTCTTCTCCCATTGCTGTAGCTAGAGAGTGTCCATTTGCAAGGGTTTGAGCTACTCCGCTTAGTGGATGTACGTCTGGCATTGCCTTCATGTAGTTCTTATCGTGCATTTGTATTTGGTCGTATGGCGTAGGGGTTGTGATCTTTTTGAATCTGGTCACAAGGTGTCGAATAATCGAAGCAAATTCCGAGCTACTAGATGGTCCAACATAGTGTAATATCCGACGAGGGCCAGGTATCATTCGTTCGTACACCACTTCGGAAGCGGAACAATCATCTTCGACTGCCTGAAGATCCGAATTATCGACAGAGGGTTTGGGGGTGGCATTTGTCGTATCCTGACTAAAGGCTTCTGGTGCATGCGACTCGTCATCAGGCGACGGCATTGGGACGTTGTGATTCCTGGCAAGTTGAAACAGAACGTCTATATTGTCCGTATCTTCATTCGGAAAGAGCCCGCGAACCAAAGCATCTAAAGCGCGATACCGCACACTGAACCTTTCCACACTCCCGTATACACGTTGTTTCCTCGGCATCTTCGATTCGCATTTGACGCCTCCATTGAGACAACTCGTGCACGCTTCGTTCTCATTGTTGCGACAGCAGCGAATGCGGCGGAGTTTGCATCGGTCACAACTGACTAGAGTCCGGCGGCGCTGCGAATCGGGAACACGTCGTTTGGCGGGTTTCTTCTCGCTCCCAGTGGGCCCAGTGGCAAGCATGATGGGGGGAGAGAAGCAGCGGCTTCAGTCAACGGTTTGACATCTTATCGTAGAAAATCTACGGACGCGCAGCGTTTATCGTCCTGAAAAGGAGGATTGCAAGGTTGATTGGGGCGAAGATCGGCAGGCGGGCTATTACTTTCAGTTTCGGGGATCTAGATCTCTTAAGCCCAACGCGGTCAAGCGCGCTCCCTAACGACAGCCTCTTCGACCCTGCAGGCTTATTTTGTCGCCTGCAATCACGACTTTATAAGCGCCGTGTCTGATGAGCTACTTTGCTTGAAGAGATGACTAGACATATGCTTGATTGTCGCCAACCCTACGAGTACGGGGTAGCTTGTTAACCAATAACCCTAACCCTATAGTCAATCCGGTGTAAGTAAATGAACGTGAATACGCATGATCAAGGCTACTTTGATGATTTTGAGCACTGTGTAGCCTCTATCATTTTGCTGCCAGTGTAGACGGAATAAATGACATGTCTGATGTCAGGGTTCAGACTCTGACTGATCTGCATGTCCCCTGAGACCCGTCCTGGCCGCTGTGGACCGCGAATCATCATTTTGTTTGTCTTGGACAAAAGGCAGCCAACTGTCAACCAGAAACACGGTGGAACCAGCACTGCCTCGCCGATTTCTTGTGCGCTTCATTATTTGCAGAGACAGTGCCTGAGTGTCGGACAATATCTGGGTCACCATGGGTGATCAGGAGGGCCCTAGGCCTGTGCTACACTCACACCAGGGCGATGAGTGACTGATCGACTGCTTGATACTGCCGATAGAAATGTATCAGGGAAAGCTTATGGCAGATGGATTATGGATAGACCGAGCAATGCGAGAGCATGCAGAGAAATAAGAAGAGCCCTTGCCTGTCGCTCCTTCCCTCCCTGGTCCATTCCTCGCCTGCCTCCTTCCTCCTCCCTCCTTCATACCAAAACCCCTTCCTTCCTTCTTTCCTTCTATCCATCGTTCTGTCCCTCTTTTTGCATCTGCATCTCAAGCTGTAGAGCCGTCCATCTGCTCTTTGCCACTCGCTTATCCATTCATTCATTCATTGCAACTCGAATTTTCATCTTCAAGGATAAAGCACTTCTATCGTTCTATCTACTGTGACAGCCTCGGGCGTGCTTTCTTATCACTCAGATCATTGGATCCCATTTCTTCTATTTGTTTCTCTTTCGACGCTTCACTCATCAGCCATCACCATGAAGGGCACCCTTGCCTCTTTGGCCGTCGTCCCTCTGGTAGCAGCAATTCCACAGAATCTGCATATTCGGGACGGAATGACTCCAGTGACTGTGAAGGGAAACGCCTTCTTTCAAGGCGATACCCGTTTCTATGTCCGTGGTGTAGATTATCAACCAGGAGGCTCCTCAAAGCTCGTTGATCCTCTCGCAGATGCCGCCACCTGCAAGCGAGACATCGCCAAATTCACCGATCTGGGTCTCAACACCGTTCGTGTATACTCTGTCGACAATTCCGTTGATCACGACGAATGCATGAATGCTTTGGCAGATGCTGGCATCTATGTGGTCTTGGACGTTAACACTCCTAAGTACTCGATCAACCGAGCAGATCCGGAAGTATCATACAATGATGTTTATCTGCAGAACGTCTTTGCAACTGTTGAAATGTTTGCAAAGTACGACAACACCCTGGCCTTCTTCTCGGGAAATGAGGTCATCAACGATGGTCCTTCGTCCAAGGCTGCTCCGTTTGTGAAAGCCGTTACTCGTGACATTCGTCAATTCATCCGCTCGAGAAATCTGCGCCAGATTCCAGTCGGATATTCTGCAGTAAGCAATTATCCTTGAAAACTCCACAAACGTACTGACAATGATAGGCTGATATCGATACCAACCGTCTCCAAATGGCTCAATTTATGAACTGCGGCACCGACGACGAGCGTAGTGACTTCTTCGCCTTCAACGACTATTCATGGTGCGACCCATCTTCCTTCCAAATCTCTGGGTGGGATCAGAAGGTCAAGAACTTTACAGGCTATGGTCTACCCTTGTTCCTCTCCGAATATGGTTGCAACACCAACAAGCGCCAGTTCCAGGAAGTTTCCTCTCTTTACAGCACTGAAATGACCGCTGTCTACTCCGGAGGTCTGGTTTATGAATACAGCGAAGAAGGAAGCAACTATGGTCTTGTTGAGATTAACGGCAATGATGTCACGGAGAAGGATGACTACACCGAACTGAAGAATGCTCTCAAACAAACACCGAACCCTAAAGGTGATGGCAACTATAACTCAACAGGCGGAGCCAACGGCTGCCCTGCATCGGATCCTCCCAACTGGGACGTCAGCAACGACGCTCTACCAGCTATTCCATCCCCTGCAAAGAAGTACATGACCGCCGGTGCAGGCAAGGGCCCTGGATTTTCCGGTTCGGGAAGTCAAGACCAAGGCACTAAGTCCACTGGAAGTGCCACCGCAGGCTCCGGAACTGCTGCTGATTCCGACTCGGTGTCGACTTCCAAGGGTGCTGCTGCTAACCTTCGTGCTCCGGAAATCACCTTTACTCCGGTAATTTGCAGTGCTGTTGTAGCACTATTTACCCTTTTCGGTGCCTCTCTCGTGATCTTGTAAGTCGTTATGTTACTATCTTTATTCAAGCGACCAAAAGCCTACCTTACAGCCAGTCTACCTGAAGAACTCCTCGCAACATTTTATTACAGTTTGTACAGTCATTTGGGAAAGAGTTGGCTGGTCAACCTCGTTCATTGCCTGCTTGTATGATTACTTTGTTACTCGTGTATAAATATTGAAAAATTAAGGCGCAGTCTATCTTTATATCAATCAATTTGCACTTGTTGAAACGATGAGCATTTCGATGTTGAATATACGTCCGAAGCTTCCCACATTCTAGATCTTTATTTAGATCTCTCACTTACAGGTCTGGGATACACATGCAAGCACTTTACACGACCTAGAACCTCCCTGTCATCAGCACGACAGAATATCAAATATAATTGATATGAATGCGGAGAGGCTTTCTATTCGTCATAGTTAAGTCCTACCATATATATACTAGGTATGCAATCTATGATGATTGTATTGCCTTTCATTCGTAGGTTATCCTGAAACATGTTTTGGCGGCAATAGACGGTGGCTTTCCGTTTGCGGATTAAATTCGTTTTCTTCACGATTGGGTTCAATGCAACAGTGAGATTAAGAGATGCGTGTTATTATTAGTAGACTCAAAATATAGTCAAATTGCAGGGGTATATATGCTTTACGCAGTATGCGGGATATGCGGGATAACCTACAACTTACGTGGATAGGCTCTCCATCGAGCATCCTTATTTGAGCCCCATGCGCCCGTCGCTCGTATCATGACTAGACTATGAACGGAGAATGTTCTCATCTAAGCCTAAGACTTCGAAGATAGTGTGTCTTGGACCCTCTCAATGTAACCCTGGGGAAAGTTAAGCATAAAGCAGCCCTTATCGTCTATCTGTACCCCCACATTACATGGGTATCCAGTGCCATTCACGCCGCTGCAGGATCCAAGGTCTTTAACCCCATTTGAGTGAGCTTCGACATGAGAACCATTAAATTTCGTGGATTGTGTCGAGGCCAAGAACGCCGATCAGCTGGCTTATCTTGATATATGCTGGGGTTGACTAATGGATGTCTTAGTACGGTATAGTGACCATCACAGTGGTAACGGTTCTTATCGCCTGTGTGAGGGGGTTGCCTCTGTTTCAAGGATTGGTCGGGGATGAATTGAAATAAATAGCATGTGGAATCTTTGACTTATTCTCTTGTATTTTGTGGTTGAGCGTGGAAGTCGAAAATCCCTTGATCGGCCCAGCTTGCTCCTTGCTCCTAGCACCTATCCTTGCAAGCAGCAGGCGTATCTATTCGTACATCTTCCTGTTTCTAGACATTGTATCTCACAAACCCTAGAGGAAAAGAACAAAATGTCCGTCCACGAGACAACAGCAGACGTCGAAAATGAAGCAGTCGACAACAAAAATGCTCGAGTACTCTCAACAACGAACGAGTCCACGGCTCTGGGACTTAAGCACTCGTTCCCGGAGACTGCTCGAGTGATCGACCATGAAGCCGAGCGTGCCTTGTGTCGCAAATTCGATTTTCGGTTGTTGCCTATATTGGCTTTTATGTGTATGCCTCTTTCTATTCTCTGGGCACTTATGGATGAGGATGTGTTTCTCACAGGTTATAGATCTCTGCAATGCTCTCGACAAAGGAAATCTTGGTAACGCAAAGACGGATGGAATGGACAAAGGTCAGAGTCCTTCTGTGGAATTGTATGGATTTTGCTGACGAAATAGACCTGGGCATGACTGGCAGCCAGTACAATCTACTACTCTCCATCTTCTTCGTCCCCTTCGTCATATTCGCACCACCAATTGCCATGCTTGCGAAACGATTTAGCCCAGCCAAAGTCATCGCGTGTATGATGTTCAGCTTCGGTTCATTTACACTGCTGTCTGCTTCTGTATCCAACTACTCCGGCCTGTTTGCCCTACGATGGTTCTTGGGTATGTCCGAAGCCGCGTTTTTCCCGTTGGTTATCTACTATCAGACCACTTTCTATCGCCGTGGAGAGCTTGCGCGACGTCTCGCTATCTTCTATGCGGCGTCAAACATTGCCAATGCTTTTTCCGGACTACTTGCCTTTGGCGTCTTCCAAATCAAGAACCCAACTCTTCAAGGATGGAAATATCTGTTTCTGATCGAAGGCGCATTCACTGTGTGCTTCTCAGCATTCGCATTCTTCTACCTGCCAGCAAGCCCTCAGCAGGCGCGCTTCTTGTCCGAGGAAGAGAAACAACTCGCCTTTTACCGTATCCAAGTCGATTCTTCTGCCGTAGTCAATGAAGAATTCAACCTACGACATGCACTCCGTATCCTCCAGAGACCTACCAGCTATGCATTCTTGGCTATCGAAATCTGTCTCGGTGTCCCGTTGCAAGGCGTAGCATTGTTTTTACCTCAAATTGTCGCCCGTCTGGGCTACTCCACCGTCAAGACAAATCTGTACACAGTCGCGCCAAACGTAACCGGCGCCGTCATGTTACTCGTCCTCGCATTCTCATCTGACGCCGCTCGTCTGCGGTCACCATTCATCGTGTTAGGATTTATCTTTACACTGATCGGATTTGTCATATATGCAGCTATCAACGACGTCACCGCTCAGATTCATCTGGCTTATTACGCCTGTTTCATGATGACTTGGGGCACTTCCGCGCCGTCCGTGCTGCTGAGTACGTGGTATAACAACAACATCGCCGATGAGGGACAGCGTGTGTTATTGACTAGTATCGGTGTCCCACTTGCGAATCTCATGGGCCTTGTATCGAGTAACGTGTTTCGCTCGCAGGATGCGCCAAAGTATCAGCCTGCGCTAGTCACGGTGGCTTGCTTTGGTGGGGCTGGTGCTCTGATTACGGCTTGTTTGGGAGTGTATATGTGGTATGATAATATGCGACGTAACCGGAGGGCTGGAAGGAAGATTGATGCTCGCGACGTGCCGACGGAGCGCTTGTGGGATGGACCTAAGATGGAAGACTTCAGGTGGTTCTTGTAGGCTATCATGATCGATCTGAAGATCTATGATCTATAACCTTTTGTTTTGTATAACTTGACCTTTATAGGAACACACGTTGTAAGAGTATATAGTCAGGTTGTCTAGCAAACACTCAATTCTTAAATCCCTAATCGGGTATGGTTGGCAATTGTTGATATCTTAAAGTGGTAGCAGAGTTGATAGCAGGCGCGCTTGCCCAAAGCATGGAATCTCTCGCGAAGATTAACTTCATGAGGTCTATCGTACAACGTCCCTCTCATCCGTCCACTCGGTAATAACAGCATCTGGCACCCCCCTAACCAGCACGTGAAAATGCTCCAAACTCCTCACGCTCTGCAAAGCAGCCCAATTCTTGAACCACAGCACATGCTCTTTCCTAATAACCTCTTTCTCCGAATTTTCAAACGCCGGATCCTTTTGTAAACGCTGAACAAAAGTCCGATCTACGAACCCTTCAATGAATGCTCGAGACTCATCTGTTACATCCCCATTCTCGGGCTTCGTGGCAATGGGGGTTTTGGACCAGACGACGATATGCGTGATATCCGGTGTTACGCCATAAGGCCAGTCGTTACGCAGAACTTTATAGTCGAATGGATCTGCGAACGGGACTACATTCTTGTAAGGAATCTCTGGAATAGGGGTCTCTATCAAGTTGACAGAAGGGTCTGGACTCCACCATTGGAGACGTTTGAGGCAGATGTATTTTGTGATGGAGCCGAAGGTGGATTTGATGTCGTTTGTCCAGGCTATGTAGCGCCGGAGTTCGGATGGTTTCCGGCGGAGGATTGCGAGGTCATTTCGAGCTTTTTTCCGCATTAGAAGTCTGCATCTCTTGCTTTGTTTGTATTTTTTGGGTATACTTAGTTGAGTAGTTGAGTATTTGGGGGAGGGGGTCAGGTGCGGGGAACATGGAAAGGAACAGTGGTGAACGTATGGCCATAAAACTTACCAATTATTCCTTTTAGATCTTCCCAGTCATGAAAGACAAACTCTTCGTCTGTTTGAGAGAGGACTTGGCGATCAACTTCAGTCAGGTTGAATGGGGTCGGCTTCTGTTCAGTCGGCTGTTCTCCTTCGATAGAGCCCATTCTGGTGGACGTGGTGGCTTTCCGAGAAATGAGAGTTTGCCCCAACGCAATCGGCCTACTAGAAATTAGATACTCACTAACGGACAGAAAAAGCAATAAACGAGAGTCATCTCACCGGGAATATTTCGTGTATGCGGAGTAACTGCAGTGAAGTAAGACCCGGCCCGACGTTACCCCAAGAAGAAGCCTCTCAGCGTGCGGGGACTACATTGAAAGCCCCATCACCGCTAGACCTAGGCCTTGCGCTAGCTGACAGAGTCGCCCAAGTGAAGAATCCCACAGAAACGGAAACTGAAAAACATTTCCGCCGTTGAAGGTCGAGAGAAATAAGGGACAATTAGCTGCAATGGGGAATTGTTCCCGAAGTCGCTGAATCGCGCTGCTTTTCACTGTTGGCCCGGAACATTCCGTTATTCTTATGTCGCACTTTAGTAAATTCTGTTAGGAGCATTCGTAGTCATATATAAATAAATGTAAATTTCCGATTGCTCGGTATTGACAGGGAATCATCTCGGGCGGAGTTACTGTCGATATCGTACGACGTTGGATTGTTGATGTTTTTGTTTGGCTACGACTACCGAACCCGGGAGAACTAACCTAGGTTGGCGACAACTTGCCTGTGACGCCCATAATAATTTCATCTTTCCCACCATTTGTCGTCCCCAGGCTTTCCTTCGTACATACACTCAGATAACACCAGAATCGGCCATTGAGCCCATTTCGTTGTCAACATGAGGTATTTACTTGAATGTTCAATAAAGCCTATACAAAAGCTAACTATCAACAGCAGCCCTCTCTCCACCGAGACCATCGGCAGTGTTCTCGTCCCTTCGGCCATCCTGATCGCCGGCACTTTCTTCGTCAAGCAGGAATTGGTTCCCTACGCAGTCGCCGTGGCAGCTGTTTTCTCTGCTTATAGAATCCTCACAGCTCGTACGGTCTCCTTGACGATGTTGATATTGACTGATCGCCAAGATTGCGACTAACTTTATTCCTCCCTTATCAGGCCCGCGAAAAGTGCTCGATCCCAAGGAGTTCCAAGACTTTGTTCTCAAAGAAAAGAACCTTATCTCCCACAACGTTGCCATCTACCGATTCGCTCTTCCTCGTTCCACCGACATCCTAGGTCTCCCAATTGGTCAACATATCTCCCTCCAGGCCCAGATCGCTGGAAACCCAACCCCCGTCGTTCGCTCCTACACTCCTATCTCCTCCGACCATGAAGCTGGCTACTTTGATCTTTTGGTCAAGACCTATCCCCAGGGTAACATTTCCAAGTATTTGGATGACCTGAAGGTCGGTCAGACCATGAAGGTTCGCGGCCCTAAGGGCGCCATGGTTTACACCCCGAACATGAGCCGCCATATTGGTATGATTGCCGGTGGGACGGGTATTACACCTATGCTCCAGATCATCAAGGCTATTATCCGCGGTAGACCCAGAAACGGCGGCAACGATACCACCAAGATTGATCTCATTTTCGCCAATGTTAACCCTGAGGATATTCTTCTCAAGGAGGAGTTGGACAAGTTGGCAGCTGAGGATGACCAGTTCAACATCTACTACGTTTTGAACAACCCGCCAGAGGGATGGAAGGGTGGGGTTGGTTTTGTTACTGCTGATATGATCAAGGTATTTGATCCGTGCGCTTTCATCATAACGAGGAGACGTGACTAATTGTGATCATAGGAACATCTTCCTGCTCCCGCTGATGACATCAGGATCTTGCTCTGTGGACCACCTCCTATGATCTCTGCCATGAAGAAGTCCACCGAGGCTCTCGGATACAAGAAAGCCAGCCCCGTCAGCAAGCTCCAAGACCAGGTCTTTGCTTTCTAAATGCCATATCAATGGCCTTCCATGGTAACGACTGCATCGTCCAGCAATTATCCCGCCTGGATGATGGTAACGACCGCCACAAAAGGCATGAGAACACGAGGCTTTGCTCCATGATGATTGTTTTCACATGCTGTTCAATCACATGCGTTCGACTAAAGATATCCACTTTGTTGCGCTATTAAGGTCTCAAAGAAGAAGGATTTATGAAGATAGAGAGAAGGAAATATTAATTGAATATAAAGGTTTCAAAACAAATATCGCTTGCAAAACCCATTGTCATGATGTCGTATACTTTCATAATCGCTTGCAAAAATATCACCAAATGTTATCTCAACGCTCATCTGGAAGCTCAACAAGGCCATCCACCATCTCTAGGAATTTCTCGCGATATTCCTCGGCCGTGGTGGTGATAGACATCGGACCCTTGCGTCCAATGACATTAAACGTCTGTATAATACCAGTCATGGCCTGAGCCTGTAATTTATGCTTCGCCCAAAAAAAGTCTAGCAACACAGCTCTATATTTCCAATTGCCGTCCGTTGACAATGCGCCTTCTCGCCATTCACTTTTCCGATCCGTCGGCGTTCGAGGACGTAAATGAGCCGGGTATCGAATCAGAAACAAGGAATAGTCAACTGTGTTTACTGATCTGAGGAACTTCGTATCTTCCTCGATGGTCTTTCTGAATTCCGAGTATTGTTGTTTTGTGATTCGTATTTTATCGTTGAATTCGTCGAATAACCGTGACATGGTCTCCTCGCTGGTCAGGGGTTCGGGTAGGAGATCTCGTTCTGGGTAGAAGTAATCTACGGGTTTTAGGTCATATGTCTCCCATTTATCAGGCCCTCGCGCATCGTCGTCTTTGTCACAGAGCACATTCTCCATAATGACGTGATGAGACGGCGTGCATTGACATAGTGTGCCGATTGCAGGGTATGCCGTCCCTAGGAAGTCTGTTATTCGGACGAGAAGTGAATCTGGATTGGACTTTGAGTAGTCGTAGTATGGTCGTAGAAAGTCTTCCCGGAAGAAAGAATGCTCCGAACGTCGGGGTAGGCTTTTGATCAAGAATTTCGAGTTTGCAGTTTTGAAGAACGTCTATACATATGTGTCAGTCATTCGATGGTACGAACCAGTCTACTATTTCAGAGAACATCTTCATACCGAGCCGGAATAACCCAAGTCCCCCATGGGTAGTATGCCAGCTCCGTCTGCCTTTTTCTTATCATACACAAATGAGTCGATATAGTCCACTTCGTCTATGTCCCATACTTCGTTCCGAAGACTTTTGAATAGTTGTGCCGATATTCGGACAAGGCGTATCTGCCAGATGGAGAGAAAAGCGAATATCAAGGCCAGCACATTGTATCTCCTGGTGCCTGTCTGATCATGTTCGCGGAGAAGGGCTCGATGGATAGAACGGCTTATTGCCGTCTGTCTTTTGTTGGTCATCGTCGGGGTGATCTCCAAGCTAGATCTCCCAAATTCAAAACAGGAGCATTGTATGTCTTTCTGACCGTTGTGATTCTTGAAGATACAGAAGTGCCTGATGGTGACGTCACAGCTGCCAAACGATAATTTCCCAAATAGGAAAGAACGATTGACTTAGTCACGTGATCTCCCCTCCATACTCACCGCCTTTGGACCTGAAGCTTTTTCTTGGTGGCAGTATGGATGACTCTGATCGGACAAACAAAAAATAAAAAGAAAGAGCGCCCCTCTTCTCTCTCTCTACTGTGACTCAGTGCTTAATGGGCCGCCATCTGCTAAGCGGGGCCTGGGTACTCTCAAATAATTTTATGCTTCTGAAGTCTTTCACCAATTGCTCCTCTATTACTCATTTCTCTTTTCATTTACGATCTACTTTGGCATCGCCAGTCAAGCGTTCCTTGTCTACTTTACCGTTTCCTCGTCGACAAGCTCCATACAGCACCATGGCAGCACCATCACAGGCCCTCGCCGAGGGCCAGTCTCTTCCTTCCATTGAAGGGTTGACTCTACACTCTACCAACGAAACATCCAAATTCGCCGGTTGTTATCCTTCCTTGAACCCCGTCGATATCTACCGTGAACACATTTCCGAGAAGTTGGCGGAGGTAACTGGCATCGACCCGCAAACGATATATCCCAAGCTTGCATGGACAAACACTCTTGACAAGGGAGACTTGAACCTTGCAGTCGCTGCTTTGCAGATTAAGGGAAAGAAGCCACAAGACCTTGCTGTTGAGTTGGCAGATAAGTTCCCAGAATCAGACTTGGTCGAGAAGCCAACCGCGTTCGGTGTTCATCTTCAGTTCTTCTTCAAGCCAGGACCTCTCACGAAGACTGTTATCGGCCGAATTCTTGAGAACAAATCCACATATGGAACGAACGGTAACCTGGGTCTTCGCGATCCTTCCGACCCGTCAAAGGGAAAAAAGAAGATGATTGTCGAATTCTCATCACCCAACATCGCCAAGCCTTTTCACGCTGGTCACCTGCGCAGTACGATCATTGGAGGTTTCCTTGCAAACCTATTCACAATTACCGGCTGGGACGTCCTCAAGATGAACTATCTCGGAGACTGGGGAAAGCAGTACGGTTTACTCGCCAACGGTTTCGAACGATATGGTAGCGAAGAAGCCCTTCAGAAGGATCCCATCAACCACTTGTTCGATGTCTACGTCAAGATCAACAAGGATATGGCAGAGCAGGAGGTTCCCATCAAGGAGCTGCGCGAAACAATCAAGAACAAAAAGGAGAAGAACGAGGATGTTTCTGCTGAAGAAGCCGAGCTTGCAAAGCTGGTCGATGCCAGTGATGACGAAAAGGCCCGTCGCTACTTTAAGAGCATGGAAGATGGTGATCCAGAGGCGCTCGCTCTTTGGAAACGGTTCCGTGATTTGAGTATCGAGAAATATAAACAAACATACGCCCGACTCAACATCGACTTTGACGTTTATTCTGGCGAATCCCAAGTCTTGCCTGAGAGCCTTCAGAAAGCTTATGAGACCATGGAGAAAAGTGGCGTATCTGAAAAGTCAGAGGGTGCCGTGATCGTCGACTTCACTAAGCACAAATTCAAGAAGCTCGGTAAGGCTATCGTTGTTCGAAAGGACGGCACCCCTCTATACCTTACCCGAGACATTGGCGCTATCACGGAACGTCACGAAAAATATCATTTCGACAAGATGATCTACGTCGTTGCAGCTCAGCAAGATTTGCACTTGGCCCAGCTTTTCAAGGTCACAGAATTGATGGGCTACAAGGACATTGCCGACAAATGCCAACACATTAACTTCGGTATGGTGCGAGGAATGAGTACCCGAAAGGGAACAGTAAAATTCTTGGACGATATCCTGCGCGATGTTGCAGATAAGATGCACGAGGTCATGAAGAAGAATGAGGACAAATACGTGCAAATAGACGACCCTCTTGCAACTGCAGATACACTCGGTATCACTGCCGTTATGGTGCAAGACATGTCTGGCAAGCGGTAAGTATTTATCCATATGGTTCTCACTGTATTTCCCACTAATGCTCTGTAGTATCAACGGCTATGACTTCAACCTTGAAGCTATGACTTCCTTTGAGGGAGACACAGGCCCCTACTTGCAATACGCCCACGCTCGTCTCTCCTCAATTATCCGCAAGGCTGGAATAAGCCCTGGAGATCTACCCAAGGCCGATCTATCAATTCTGACCGAACAACACGCCATTGATCTTGCGCGATACTTGGCCCAATGGCCGGATGTGGTCATCAACACCGTCAAGACTCTCGAGCCTGCTACGGTCCTTACATATCTGTTCCGTATGACACATATGCTCAGCTCGAGTTACGACATTTTGCGTATCGTTGGCCGAGAGGAGAAGGTCGCCTTGGCGCGTATGGCTTTGTATGCTTCGGCCCGACAAGTGCTTTACAATGGTATGAAGTTGTTGGGATTGAACCCCGTTGAACGGTACGTATTTGGATCAATCACCCTATTCGCTTGGCATCTTGCTGACAATTGATGAACAGCATGTAAAAAAAAAAAAGAATACAAAATGAGGCAAAACATGGTTTAAATTTATGTTAGATTCCCAAGGGCCGGATTATGATCTAGTATCAGAGGTGTTCATAGGTAGCATGATGCTAAAATATTTCACAATTGTATTTTACATGCATCTAGCTTATGTTGATCTCCATTAACACTACTTGAATAGCTGGGATAAGTTGTAAATCGCATGGTAATCGAGGCCATTGCCTGAATTAAAGTGCCGGCAAGCGAGAAGATCCATCTAACTCGTACTCTAATTGATTATCATCGATCTAGCCAACTGTACACTTACCTTGGTGGTGTCGACTCGAATTCATAGTGTATCACAGATCGGCGAGGAATTGCCGAATGACCACATGCAAGAGGCGCTTCGGTTCGATCTTAGGGCCGAGAGATAGATCACATACGTACTTTGAGTCCACTCCTTTCTAGTACGCGTTAGTCTAGCTACTACGTGGCTACGTACATGATAGTGCTGTAACACGCTCAGGCCCTGTTTACTACAGAAGTGCCGGAGACGGAGTATATCAGTGTTGCGCTGTTGAGGTATTTTGTGACAGTGACCGCAACATATGTCGGGTAGTGCTTTAAAGGTTCGATGAAAAAATGAATCCAAAAACGAGCAACATCTCCAGTAATCAATGCATAGATTGAAGTGTAACATACACTCAAAAATAGGTACGCCGTCTCCCCGATCCATGCTGCTCCAGAGCCCCACTAAGCTCCAGATTCTCGAGGCAAGAGATACGCCCCTCTTTCGTGCATAGGGCCTTATTTAGTCTCTGTCTAGGGTTGGACAATCGTGTAATTCTACAATGCGCTGCCAATCAGTGTCGAGCTCAAAATCCATACTACTGAACAGCCAGCCAGCCAGCCACAAGAGAGTCGTAGAGTAAACTTCATACTTACGCCAACCAATCCATGACTGTCAAGCCCTAGTCATAATCTTCATAATGATTGGGTGCCACAGCGGAGCGGTCTCCGAGGCCGAAAATTTGGAGGGGCCCCAAATATGTACCCTGGTGTTACCCAATTTGGGATTAGGGCTATTGTGCTGCGAGGACGGAATTCCTGGTCGCGATGATCCGGAAGCGATATATTGTTCTTGTCCCTCTCCCCTCCTCCTGTTACCTTCTATTCACTTGTTTGATCTATTAAATAATAATAGGCTAGGGAGGCAAAATACAGGCCTTCCAAGCAATTATCACAAGAGAAGAGAGCAATTATCTACGAAGGGCGATACAACGATATTTTCAAGATGGGTTCAGTGACACCAGCGCCTTCGTCGCGCTTTGTTACGACCCTGGAGCGCAAATACGGACGCAATGCATTGCCCAACATGTTCGACGCAAAGGCAAAAGAGCCTTCAGCACGGCCGTACGCATACGTCTTGAAGACGCCGAATCCAGCAGATGGGTTCGAAGAAGTCACCTATACTATGCTTGCAAATGCAGTGAATAGAGCGTCGTGGTGGCTCGTTAATGAAGCTTCTATGGCCGAGGGTGAGGTTTTTGGTTACATGGGGCCACCAGATTTGAGATATCTGATTCTCAGTCTTGCGTCGGCGAAGACTGGGAGAAGGGTATGCCCATTAATACATATGAAGGATATTGTTGCATGATATAACATGATACTAACATTGTGCATGACGTAGATAATGCTACCGTCCTTGAGAAACACAATTTCGGCGCAGAAAACCCTCTTCGAGCGCACAAACGTCAGCATCATCCTATACGCAACCGAGCTGAAGAAAAATATCCAACCATTGTTTGACGCATTGCCTGAAATCAAAACAAGAGAAGCAATTGGCTACAAAGAGGTCCTTGATTCGACCGTAGTGCCTCATTATGACGCGCGAGAAATCACGGATGAGAATTTCAACGAGCCGATGTTCTTTCTACACACCTCAGGGTCATCCGGTAAGTCAAGCAGACTCTGGGCGTTTACTAGAGACTGAAAACTGTTTTTATGACAGGCAATCCAAAACCAGTTGGAGAAAGTCCGGCATTTTGGCTAGCTACTTGTTCGTTTCTCGATGTTCCAGAGGATGGTGGTGACATCCACAACACAATACATTTGCTCAGAAACGCCAATCTACTACAGTTCTTTCCACCCTTTCACGTAAGTTAATCTTTCGACATACTACCTGAAAAGCTTGTTTTAGCTAATGGTGGACACAGATGGCAGGACTATTCTTCTTCATGCTCCCAGCAATCCTGGATTCGTCTCTTGTCATCAACCACACCGCAGCAGCAATTACAGCCGAGCATGTGATTAACATAATAAACCAAGGACTCGCAACTTCCCTAGCCGCAGCAGATTCAATACTTACTGATCTATCCCGAACCGAAGAGGGTCTGCAGGCCCTAGAAAAGATGGACAAAATCATCTACGGAGGAGGGCCTCTGTCCGTCCAAACGGGGAGCATCATCGCTCCACGCGTGAAGAATCTGTCCAGCGCAATTGGGCTTACTGAAAATGGGCTTTTGCATTGCGTTGCGTTGAGAGGGACTAGTCATTGGGATTGCCTCAGATTCAATACCCGTGTGGGTTATCGATTCGAGGAGATCTCCCCCGACGTTTATGAACTGATTATTTCTCTGAGTCCTAAATATCGTATGTTCCACCCTGTCGCCTTGCTTTTCCCAGATATCGAAGAGTATCGTACAAAGGATTTGTATACCCGTGTTCCGGAGATCGACAACTGCTATCGGTATCAAGGACGACGAGACGATTTGATCGTTTTGTCGAATGGAGAGAAAATCAACCCCGTTCCGCTGGAAAATATCGTTGCTAGCCATTCCGCTGTCAAGAATGCTTTGTTTGTCGGAGAACATCAATTCTTGCCTTCCTTGCTTATTGAGCTTCGGGAGGGCTATACGGTGAACAATGAAGAGGAATCGAGAGAAATGATCGAGAAACTATGGGGCATTATCAGCGAAGCAAACTTGGAGGCACCACGATTCTCGCGCGTGCCGAAGTCGCTCGTCTATATACTCAAGCCAGGCGAGACGTTCAACCGGAGCGGGAAAATGACGGTGCAGCGCCAACTTACGGTTCTCAAATTTGCTGCTCAAGTTGACGCACTTTACACTGCAGCTGGGGAAGGTCTATTGAGCGAGGGGTTGGAGTTGAGTGATCCATCAGACCCTGGAGCAATAAAATCGTTGGCCAAGAAACTCTATGCTCAACTTTTGGATTCTGATGAAAGTGCGCCTGTAGTAGGTGATGATGATAATGTGTTTGAGCTGGGCATGGATTCATTGCAAGTTACGATTGCAGTGCAGAAGCTGAAGGCTGCACTCAGGGCACAGAACCTCAAGGTCGATACCAGCAAGATCGGTCCACAATTTTTCTACACTTCCCCGTCCAGCAATCAGCTTGCTCGGGCAATTGATGAGCTTATCAATGGAGCAAGTGCCAACGACAACAGAAGCAACCGACAAATTTATATGCAGGCTATGATTGACAAGTATACGGCAGGCCTTGACGTCGAGCTTGCGCCAAGAAAGAAACGTATAGATAACTTGACTGTTGTACTCACTGGGTCCACGGGCTCACTAGGAAGCTATCTGCTGCACTCTCTAATTGAAATCCCTCGTATAGCCAAGGTTATCTGTCTCAATCGTTCAACTGATGCCCAAAAGAGCCAGACAGCGAAGAACAAACAGAAAGACTTGCCTACGCCTTGGGAATCATCAGATGCACAAACCAGTCCAGTGGAGTTCTTGACCGCGGACTTGTCCAAAGCTGACTTGGGTCTCGGAGAGGAGACTTACAGTCGACTTCTGCAGAGAGTAGATGCAATCATCCACAACGCCTGGAAGGTCGACTTCAATCACACTATCGAGTCCTTTGAGAAGGGGCATATTGCAGGTACCCGCCATCTGATCGATCTGAGTAGGAAGTGTACCTACCGAGCCCCGATCTTATTCATCTCAAGTATCTCTACCGCCCTCAACTGGATGCAAAAAAACCCCGCACAGGACGTCCCAGAAGCAATCATTGAAGACCTCGACAGTCCCGAATTCCTAGGGTACGGAGAATCCAAATACGTATCCGAACGACTGATCGAAGCACATAGTTCATCTTCGGGATTTACCTCTTCTGTCCTGAGAGTTGGCCAAATCGCAGGTCCTGTGCTGTCTACAGCCGGCATCTGGAATGTACAGGAATGGTTTCCTAGTCTACTCTGTAGTTCGAAACATTTGGGTTTACTTCCAGATTCTCTGGGGACAATGAACAGCATCAGCTGGGTCCCGGTTGATTTACTGGCGAGGATTATTGTGCAGCTACTCAGTCATACATATGATAATGATGGTGCACGCTCGGGCGCATTAAAGGTGTACAATTTGGTGAATCCGAGAACTGTGCCTTGGTCTGCTCTCCTGGATACAGTTCAGAATGGTCTCGGTGGGCCTGAAAAAATCCGAATCGTGTCATTAGCCAAATGGGTAGAAGCACTGGAACAAAGTGCACAGGAAAATCATGGATTTGTGGTTGAAAGTAATCCTGCTATCAAACTACTCGAATTCTGGAAGATCATCTCGGAAAAGAGCGACCGATCCCGAACCGCTGAGCTGTTGACATCCAATGGCGAGAATGGATTACAAAATGACGAGAAAGTTTCGAATTTACAACAGAACAAGGCTGATAGAAGAAAGTCATGGCTGAAGCAGTGGACGGGCAAGCTGTTCAGTCGAAAGGATGCACCGGATAAACTTCAACAAACCACGTCTTATGAGCCGCCAACATCCGATGGGTTGCTTCAAACTGAGGGCGGCTTACAACATGAGTTTGAAGTCACCAACCTTCTGAAAGATAGCTCGGAGGCATCCGACTTGCGTTCTGTTTCGTCTCATTGGATGAAGATATGGTTGAAACAGTGGGCTTTTTAAACGTTCAGCACATGCATGTATTTCTTTAACGATAACACTATTAACCGCAGGATACTCCGTTATAGAGTCCTTTTGTAACACACATACTATCATTTAGAAAACTGTACCTAAGTACGTGAACAAATGTTGGAACGATAATCCTGCCTATTTGGTAAATACTGGGTGGGTTAGGGCTAGGTTCATCTGACTGGTTTCCGGACATCTTGATATTAAAGTATCCTTGCCCGTGGCAATCGATGCAATCACAAAATCGTAAACTTTCGGACTATTAATTGCGTCTATCAATTCTTCAGCTAGGACGTGGTTCACTACTGATGTATGTAATAGCAATTTATGCGGACGGGCACTATCGGCTATCCCTTGCGTCTGACGGCTGCAGAGGTGAGCACATGATGTAGCTTGATTGGCGTCACGACTCTGACCGCCCTTTTGACGATGATAGCACAATACGAACTGTCCAAGATATCATAATGGGGCAGGCCAATCAGGATACATGATTCGAATACAGATATGACAATTGGTGTAGGACAGCTGCATTGACAGCAATTGAGTGTTCATCCGGACGCAAGAGCATGGCCACGACTTTGAGATCTAATTGTACGAAGCGCTCCTCGTGCACGATCTTACTCGTTCTCTAGTCGATCTGTTCAATGCAATGTCACGAAGGGTTGTGAATAAACTTCCTAATGCATGTCATGTCATGTCATCTGCGGAGAAATGATCGTGGTTGTTATCGGACACCCACCTCAACTCGAGGTAAACCAACAACAGGAAAATCTAGGACTACTTAATTACCACTAATATGCTTTTACAACCCATATCGGTAGATAGTCAGTCCTTATGTAGGTAAACAGGTTCTAGTGGATGATGTGCGAGTGCCATTCGTGAAATACACGCTAAACCCCTACCATCGTTCGAAAGAAAATGGGAATATCTTAGCCATTCAACCAAAGTGTATGACAACCGCCTCACTTTTCAACGTACGTAGGTGCCTGCATAAATTGTATCAGACAGATGTAAGATCTCAACAACTCCATGTACGCAGTGAATCGCCGTCGTCCCGGCAATGAAAATGGACAATGGGCCAGACGGCAGCCATTGCTTGTCCTGTATCTGCTGCACGACAACTGGCCAGTCGTACCACGACAAAAGCGAATTTGCCAGGCCAGCTGGCGGACTACTAAATTGCCCTAATATTGATATGCATGTGACCTGTCATAAAAACATGGGCTTGACAAGCGGTTCCAGGATTTTGGGGGGTGCTCTTGTGGTCAAAAATCAGCCAAAATCAGCCAAGGAGCTTTGAAAGTATATTTCCCTCGTTCAACAAACGTAAGATCAACATAGTCGGCGATTCGGGGGCTCAGGGAGGAAACCAAGATCTGACCGGACGAACGTGCAGTGTATGTACGAGCTGCATTATCAGAAGTCTGGTAGCAAGCCGGGGGCAAGTGGCAAACTTTGGGCTTTTGCATGTTGGCAACGAATGTCTGTCATGGTCATCGTCTTTCTGTCGCCTATGGTGACGTGGAGCTCGACAGGATGGACGACAAACTGAGCAAAACAAACTATTGGTCTCGTGACTTTGATGGTCGCGCGGAAGTCGCACAGGTCACTTGGTCTCTGTCTGGATACCTGAGGTACCAATTCAGGTACCTTCCGAAAGGGGGCATATCAAACCTCTGTCACTCATCCTCAATCGCCATTACAGAATTAAATGATCCCCAGATCATGCGCAGTCATCAATTGCCAGTACTGCAATCGGCTCCGTCAATGTTTGATACGGACATTCTCGTTAAATCTCTCGGTGCCCGAAGACGAGACGGGGGCCATGGCATTGGGGTTCATTACTGATGCGCAGTGCATACATAACAAGACGTCACTTGACTCCATGGGCCATTTTGAGGAGCCCCCTTTTGAGTTTCTTCGGCGGCCAAAAAGATAACAATTCGTTGCGAATCAATTTATCTGAATCTGACGACTGATGTTTTGCTCTTTTAGGGATCAGCAAACTGGCTGAAAGGTCGACATCCATATTTTACCGAATGATCGGATTAGAGTGAGACAGCTCTACATTTGCCGGCAACCTTGAGGTCTGATTGATCAGAATCAGTCAATCGTCATTGTGCACAATATCATCATACAGCTAACGACGCTAGCATGCCATTTTCAATAGTGCACGATAGGTCGTCGCTAGCAAGATTGAAACGAACTGTATGTATGGAGTATGTACGTATTGCTGATCGACGTGTTTACAGCAATGGTTCACATCAGAAAAAGGAGGCTGAAGACTAGGGTCAGCCCTACCCGAACGATTTAGAACTACTCCTGCCTTGGGTCCTACGATGCGTACGTACTTCGACTACGTACACTGTCGCCTAACGCGGTGTGAAACAAGATGCTTCCAAGCGCATAGGCAGACCAAAGAGAAAAATTTTCTTCTCTATGCTTCCAGAAGATTGGTGGCCCACTGTGGTGGATAGCTGTACGTGCTACGATCCATCCCGCGTAGTTTGAATTGAGGCCCAATGACTCATTTCAAGATGAGTGGGGACGAACTGACTGAGCGAAAAATTAAATTTTCTTTTTTGGTAGCCTGGTCAGTCACATCGAATCCATTGGCGTGGCGTGACTTCAGGATTGGATGAGTTCGGAGACATGTTGCATTCTGGCTGTCAGGAACAGGCATCAACAGACCACATCAAAAGCAAAGAAAAGACGACGTAATCAGACGATACGGGAGCAGCCGCGATAGATTCCATGGCTGCCCGAGTGGATATCCCGAGGTCTGTCCCATACATCGCTTACTACTATGTAGTATAGACTATGAACCATCGATATCAACTAGGAAAAAGATAAACAAGTAAACATCTTGTCGCGAGACTGGATAAAATCTTGATTGCATTTGTCTGATCGCGGGAACTGATCAGTAAGTGAGAAGTAATACCGTTACCGATACAATACGTACCCAGGTACATACATACGTAGTTGTAGTTACACTTACACGTACAATCCAATCATTTGAATGGCTTTCATGGACAAATATTTCAATCGTTAATCTGCTTTGTGCCTAGGTATAGCTAGCGATCTTGCCAAGCTGATTAGAAAGCAACCGTTCGATAATAACTGCTGAGGTATTTAGTATAGCCCTCGCCACAGTCTCGAGGGAAAGCGCTCTCCGTATGCAGGGATGACCGCTGTTAATGGCATCATTGGGCTGCAAATAGCGGTCCAACAACGTCTTGTACGGCAGAATTGGGCAGCCAACCAGCTTTAAAGTGTCTGTTTCTGCCCGTTTCGAATCCCTTTGTGTAATTTACCATTTCTATGCCAGAGAGTTTGCCTTATGATTCCCTTCTCTGGACCTGAAATTCTGTTCAGAAGAAAATTAGGGTCCAGTCATCGTATTGATTTTGATTAAATCTCTTATCGAAGAGTAACATCTGATAGATTTGATTGGCCCAGATGTATTGTATGGTCGCGATCTTACCGTGTTACCGTACGATCTTATAGATAAAAGCCGTATCGGGTGTGATAATCTGGTATTACCCCGACAATAAGACGAATTGATCGGACACAAATTTATGTACAGCCATACATCAGATACATCCGCTGTGTAAACAGTTTCATACCCATGATAGTATATCTCTGCGCGAACCGAATCCGTGTTTATTCGACCCCCCGGCAAAAGCAAACAGGGAAGCACCGCGTCTGAGTTTAAATCAAGTAGATAGAATAACAAAACCTCGATGTTTCTGAACAACCTTTTAATAACAAACCTCTAGCGTGACCATGATGACCACGGGCGGCCCCATCCTGACACTCTCTGAGACGGCGTTCCGAAAATACCCTCCCGCACGAACCATGCAACGTCGTCCCGTACTCCGAACTTACGAGTGCTTTACTATGTATGCTTTGGTAAGGTATATTACAAGAGTAGTGAGTGCAGCCCAACGGACCGTACTACATACTGACTCACTCGACCCAATCAGTGTGCCACTTCTCCAGACTCAGAAAGCAAACCGAAGCTGAAACAAAGATTCTTGATTAAATGATTTTAGACAATTCGTGGTCGACAAATAGGACACTCGGGGTTGAGTCTCTTGGTCGTGAAGATCAGGCAAGAAAACATACAATAGCGACAACATAGAAGAGAAAAAAAAACCACCAAAAAACCCAGTGGCGCCGTAAGGTGGTACAAATAGTGCTCTTTTGAATCCTCTACGACTCTCCGCGGGCTTCAAACGTTCTTCTGTGTTTTCCACTTTTCCATTTTTCGACCTCAAGGATTTCATCTTGCAGCAGCAAAGCGAAACTACTGCACGACGCGGCCTATCACAGGTCGGGCACACGAAGGACGGCAACTTATCCTGCGTCTCATCTCCACCTTCCCTTTCCCATACAACAAAAAACTCACAACGACTCCCGCCTTTTCTGCTCCATCCCTTTCTCTCTCACTACTCACTCGCTCTCCGTGAAGGGCCGCTCGTTCGCCAGTCACTCGCCTGGGGACAATACCTCGACGAGTCTACGTACCACTACGTACTACCACGTACGAGTATTTTACCTTCGCCCAACACCAAACGGGTATCCCTGTTATCGTCGTTACCTGTCTTGTCTGGTCACTTCCCACTGCGCTGGTTTCGCAGTCTTGTCTGCCTACCCTGCCCTTTCCCCACTCCTGCACACCCTGCTGTCTTTTTATTATTCTTCTCTGATCTACTTTTCCTTCCAACCCCCCCCTCTCAAGCTGTCAGGATACTGGGATACTTGCATCTCGTCAACATCAGTCTTGGCCTCTCAGCCTCATCTTGCCTCCTACTCTGTCCGTCTTACCCGACTGTCCGTCCCGCAAACGACTTTTCTACCCTCGACCTCGTCGACTTAATTGTCCGATCTATCACTGTCACTGTCGTCGCCGCCGCTGCTACTACTTGTCGACTGACGTGCGCTGGCTTGCCCCTCCGTTAACAATTTTCTGACTGCAGCGCAACGCACCTGCACCCAGTTAGAGCAAAGTGCGCTCTCTCGTCAACCTGTCTTACCACGTCTGCTCCCGGCAATTCTTATTTCTTCTCTACTATTCTCTCCACTCAATCTCCACTGTCAACTGTGTCAGTCTGCCAGATCATTCAATCGTCGACCGCCTATAGTCTCTCCTACGCGGCTGACACCCGGCACTGCCCATTCACAGCTTGCCAGACAACTCAACTGTCCACCGTTGACTCACATTCGCTGCAGCACTTCACCGTTTCGAGTGAATAGCTGCCTGCTCAGATTATACCAGTCTCATAGTCTACCGCGCCGCCAGTTTTTCGATGGAGCAAGATTCGACTATTGTGGATATAGAATACCAATACAGAACCACTGCCGGTCGTTAACGATTTTCTCTATTCGGATCACTGATCAACGGGCCCAGACACTGCAAGGGTTCCGCCCAAGGTTGACTCACTGACCACATTGGGTACAAGGCAGGTGTCGCTGCTGGCGAAAGGAAAGCATTCGATTGGGTAGGCCTCAAGGCCGAAGAACTGGCCTTTTGTTGCCTGTATTCCTTCGACGGCTGCAACCCGCCCACACACGTACTGTGTGAATAAAAGCCCTCGGGGTCCGCCGCTGCTGTTATCATCATGGCCAAAAAAGTTCCACAGACACCCTCTGCAGCTTATCTTGAAGACTATGATGACCAGACAGGCGACGTGGTTGACGGAACACGCCAAAGCGCAAACATTGCTGCCAGGCGATCCAAGTCCGACATAAGACCTGGTGAACTTGTACATCTTGATTTTGCCAGTGACTCGGGCTATTCCAGCCGTACAGCCACAACTGGTGCCAGCGGACAGTCCCGTTCGGGTGGCAGACCTGGAGCCGGTCCTTCAACAGTAAGGACCGCAGCCCATTCTCGGGCACCGGGACCACCACCACCACCACCGCAACTACACCGTGTCAAGGAAAGCCGAAAGGAAAAAGGAAAACAACGCGAAGATAAACGAGCATCAGTCGACATGATACACGCCCAGCGACTTGCCAACGGTATGGCAGCTCCTGTCAGGTCTCCTTCAAAGTCCAACCGTCGGGAAAGTGTATCCCAGCAACAGCAACCGGAAGTATGCTGGGACTGTATGAATGGCTATCACAATGTCCATGGAATACATCCCACAGCCGCTATGGATCCTCGGACTGGCTACCCTTCGTACTACTATCCACAGGCTCCTCCAGTGCAAAATATCCCACCCGCATCTCCTCAGTCTACACAATTTGGATACCCATACGGCCCTGATGTCATGATTGCACAGTCTCGGCAACGACGACCCAGCCGTTCTGCCGCTTACCATTCCGACAATAGGCCTATGAGCTACCACAGCGGGATGCAAGAAGCAGGGTACAATCCAGGCGCTCTACAAATGAGTCAGTATGAACAACGACCGCCGTCCACTTACTCTGGGTATTTTACCCAACCAGCAACACCGCGTCAGCAATATTATGCTGAACCGGATGCTCCATACCAGGCCATCTATGAGCGATCTCGCACCTCTTCCATGTCTAGGCCACCAGAGCGAGCCCGTAGAGGCTCCGTTTATGGTCGCTCAACATTGGAACAGATCACGCCAAAGGCTTCGTATGAAGAAGGTTCGTTCTTAGAACGGCAAACTTCCCGGGAGCATCGTCCGCGGCGGATGTCTCAGTCCCAGCGACGGCCAGAAACTTACGATGAAGACGAGGACTTCTATCGCATGCCACCACCTCCACCGCCGAAGCCCAAAGTTGTACAGCCCAAGGTCGTCCAGCCCAAGGCCAATCCACCTAAGATTATTCAGAAGCGACCCGACCTTACTCACAAGCCTGCAACCACTGGAAGTATGCCACCACCGACAAACCGTCGTATGTCTCACTCACGAGACTCTTGGGACATGAAGGACTTGATGGAGGCTCTACCTCACCAGCAGATTCGCAAAATCTCTGCAGCTCCCGAACGTAGCCGAAGCATGAAAGCCAGAAGGACATCCTACCATGAGTCGGAATCCGGTCGTCAGATTGCCGTTGAAGATTCTCGTCGTCGACGTACGCTTTACCATGAAGAGGAGCCTAGCATTCGGGATATTCGCGAAGTTCGTGAACGTCCTGCGCCGGTCTCTGAAATGGAACAGAAACATCGTAACGCTGAAGAATACCAAGCAGCTAAATCTGGCAGGACTGGAGTCCCTCTAACGGAGGATGCCTTACGAATGAAAGCTAAAATCGCCCAACGTGTCGATAGTGATAGCGGTAGCCAGAAGACTCGATCCAACAGCAGCCGAGGAAGCGACGCCCGTACGCGGGACGGTAGCGGAGTCGGCTCGAGGGTCGATGAGGATGGCGGTTTCACTATGACCATGAACGGAATGACCATTGGCTTCACTAGTGAGTCGGTTAACGGAAAGAGGATTCACCTACGAACAAACGATCATGGTTCCATTGGCTTGAATATCGAAGGTCGTCGGCCGAAACGGTACATCATGCCTGCGAGTTCTGAATATACGAGCACTAGCAGCAGAAAGGAAATCGAAGATGGGCGGCGCGCTAGAGAGGACCGACGATCTGATCGGGCCTCTCGGCGATCCAGCCGTTCGACCTACAGCGGTCGCTTTGATTAATTGAAGCATGCAGTGTGATTGTTGTTCAAATCTTAACGGTCAGAACAAGTACATGGGACGGTTGTACAACGGCGTGGAAAGGGGGTTATAAAAATGGATTGGGAGGTATTTTGGATTTTGCTTGATCTAGCACTCTACTCAAAAGCAACGGATTTGAAAAGTTTGGATTTTTTCATAATTTTTGGGTCTGGCTTTTCGAACGGGAGACGAGACAAAAGTATCTGAGATCTTCACACTGGGAGGAACTGTTGGTTTTTTACTGCTGCTTCATTTTTGCCGGTCTGTTTCATTTCCGTTCAAGATGGTTCTGTTTTGTGTCTAGCAATGGCTTAAAAGCTTGTCATGGTGGTACGACCTGTACGATGTAACGACCCTCAAAACAAACGTGCCTGCCGTTGATGTTGATTGTTTTATGTTTGGCCTTCATCGCATATATCATGTTATTTCTTTTTATGCCTGTATGACCCTTATGATGATGTTGATGATATTTGCTGTCATGATTTCTCTACAATATTGCATTGCATTGTCACTATTTTTTCCTAATCTACACTTTGCGTATTGATTATTCCCATCCCCCGTTATTGCTATTAAACTCTGCATTGCGTGTCACTCAACGTTATACCCCCTTGCAGTTCGATTGGATTTCTGCATTTAACATGGCTGTATATTTGTCTTTTGATGATCGTCGACCACTATCCATACAATCTATGCGGTTTACTTTCAACTACATCACTATGCGCCGATTTGTAAAATGATCTTTTGACCTATGGATTTTACGAAACCTCATTGTGTCGCTTTGTACATCAGATGTCCGTCTTGTCGCGCTTTCAACATGTGCTTTGCAATATTGAGGAGAACTAGATTCGCATCGTCCTTCTATGTTTACGTGCGTACTTCCATAGTTCTCTAGTAAATCATGATCCACTCGATCTATCTAATCTAAGCTTCCGCTCTTACCCACGGTGCCGGAGATTCGGATCCACACACCTTAACCTAAAATACATCACGTGATCTGCTGTTCCGCTGACATAAGCTTTGTTGCCCGGGATACGCTCGGGCCAAAACAACTTACGTAGGTAGCCTGACTCCCAGCCTCCTCCCCTTCTAGCATGTTATTCGGTCAACCACCGCATTTTGGTCTGATACTCAGACTGAACGTTTGGATGAATATTGCTTACTGCCGATTTACCGTTGAGTATTTCCTTGTCAATCCTTTCATCATCACGTTGACACTTTCTATCACGCCCACATTCCAAGTCAAACGTTGAACAACTGTTATCCACATTCCTAAACCACTACTCCATCGTTATCTCACTTCCTTTTAAACAGAGAAGATTACAACGAAGCGGGGAGACTGTAGGGTGAACCGAACAACGTTGGATTGACAGTAAGTTTCTAAATTTAAAAGATAAGACACCGTCAAGACAACGTACTAAAACTTGCATATCAGATCTCAGTATCGTGAGCCTCAGGCTCCGAGTCAGTCAAAATGCCTCCATACGTCGTCCCCGAATTATCAGTCGATAGCGTTGTCGTCTCCGATGGCACGAAGACTCTTGTTGCCCGAGCATCGACCCAAACCGCCGTCGCAGGCGGAAAAGGAGTCATAAACCCAGACCACATCAACATGCAGGGATTGCTTGCCCTCTTCGCAATTTTGGGGGCAGCTTTCGTCATGGCAACGATCTGGTTCTTCTTCTGGGCCAAGAATGGTGGTTGCGTATTCCGGAAAGGGGATTGGGATGACTACAAGTCTACTGTTTTGCGGCGAAAGGGTCCTGATGGGCGCACGCTGTCGAACGCTACTACGAGCACGAATCTTGGCGGTGGCACTGTGCGTGGTTATGATGATGATGGACTCACTTATACGGATATAACGGAAACGGCGACTGAATTTACCGACGAAAAATCAAAGGCGCGAGGCGGTCGGAAGAAGAATAAGAAGAACTTTAAGGAGACGGCAAAGGAGAAGTTGTTACGAAGAACCAAGGATGAGAAATGGGAAGGCGAGGCTGATGACGATATGCGTGCTTATCGTCAAGAGAAACCTGCTCGTGTGGGTGGTCTGAATCGGGAAGCTGAGGGCACATATTACGGAACGGAATATACACCCAGTTCTCCACCTACCGCATATACAGAGAGCGAGGTATACCATGCGCCACCGCCAGAGGAAGAACGTCGTCGCCGCGATACTCGCAACGCGTCTGGATTCTCGTTCACAGCCGGCAGCGAAGATGTCATCAGCCAAGCGACGGAGGAACATCTCATTCGCGACCCAGCACAGACCCGTCGAGACACTCGTCGCCAACGCCGAGAGCGTGAAGAGCGCCGATCTCGCCAGAACAGTCCTCGCAAACAGCAACCCTCAAACAATCGCACATCTATGCCTGGCGGATACACTGAGCCATTGGATTTCTCGTCTCGAGGTACAAATTCCGAATACCAGTATTCAACTGTTGATACGGAGGATGACCTAGGTACGAGGAGTTATCATCATCCTATTCCAGGATTGAGTAAGGGTTACCGTCGGGACAGAGATGGTGGCGGACGTCGCAGGCGGGATAGTTTGAGTGATAGTGAATAGTCTACTTTTAAGCATGTTTCATTCTCTGTTCTTATATGTTTTGCTTTCATGGGCTGGATGTATGTATGGTATATGATCTCATGAGGTTTTTGGGTCCACTTCAGCATGTTGATGAGCAATCACAAATTGATACCAGTCTAGATTCTTTTCTCTTATAAACATAGACAACCACCGTGTCGTCAATGTCACTGTGGTCTGCCGTAGAATGAGTGAGCTCCAGAACCAATGAGCGGGGGACAATTGAGCATAGCTCCGCAACTTCCTGAATTATTATCCCTCACTCCGCAATTCCTAGAATAATTTCTCTTCTACAAATACCCCTTATATAGCAGACGTTTCGTGCACCTATCGACATATCGGACAGAAAGGAATGGTCATCTGGTGACATCCCACCTTCCCACCAATCCATTGACATAAAGCTTCCGACAGAATGGCATCATCACCAACCGTGTCCTCGCCCAGCAAAAGCAGCAAAGCGCCTCCTTCACAACAGTCCTCGACTACCGCTACCTCTCAACCCGAAAAGGCTCATGCAATCGATATACTCCCTACACCAGTCGCACAGACATACTCCCATATACACCCGACAATCCTTCTAGCCTTGTACTCCCTTCGCTTCTCTGCAGTGGTGACTGATCCCGTCTCGACGCTATGGAGCGATCTACCTCTCTATACCGCTTTGCAGACCGCGTATGTAGTGACCTGTCTACCGCAAGCTGGATCTTCGCACCAACACCACCACAGCCACGGTGAAGCGGGGACAGGCGAAGTCAGCGCAGATGTGAAAAAGACACCCTCATCATCCGGAAAGAGGAAACGACAGGCCGCAGGGAATAAGTCGGGTACACTATCTCAGAAACTGACTGTTCGTCATATTTCCCCTTCTTTTGGCCCTTCTGGCGCTTCAGGAAATCGTACTGATTGGAATAGGCGGCATTCATCGCCCTGACATTAACCTTCCTCCTCGGCACACCGGCCCTCTCCCTCCTACTCATTCTCTTCGGCGCCCCCTTTACGACGCATACCGCGCATACAGTTCTGTGTGCCGCGCATATGGCTCTACTCACCGTAACGCCACTGGTATACGTCCACGGCGTTGACGGTCCCGTCTGGAAACAGATCTGGGCATTTGCGCGACCCGCCGATGCCGTCTGGGGTGGTGCACTGGGTGCTTGTGTGGGTGCTTGGTTGGGCGCTGTTCCGATTCCGTTGGATTGGTGCGTTTCTAGTTCTCCCTATACTAATTCATTGCGTCTTTTTAATATGGACTTACTGACTTATTTGGCGTGGTTCAGGGATCGTCCGTGGCAGGCTTATCCCATCACTATCCTGACGGGTGCTTATATTGGGTTTGCGGCTGGTCAGTTGATTGGACGGAGTCCTTTGCTGTATGGGAAGAGGGTAGAGTTTGATTAGATCCTACTACTGGGTAGGAGACTCGGCCTGTGGTCTGGTAAGGATATGTAAGATGATTATTATATAGCAGGAATCACCAGCAGAATATCTGGCAGACTGCTAGTGCCAGTTTCATTCAAATTTTAGAATAAATACGAAGGGATCCAAGTTATTCACCCATGAAAGATCGTATTTATGGCAGGAGAGTGGAGGGAGAAAGAAGGAAGGCCTTCCACGTCCAAGTCCGATATCTGGAAATTTTCCCTTTCATATGGACTCTCGTGTAATGTTCTTTCTGATTGACGAGTCAAAGCATTTCCCATATATATATCTAGGTATAGAGAAAATCTAACTCATATCAATACAGTGATAAAAGGAGCAGGGTTCTAATGGCCGGAATCTACTGTAAATACAAGTCATCAAGGTCAATACCAGTTCCTTCATTCATTCGTTGATTGAAATCCTCCTAAACCCATGGATACCAAGAATACAATGAAAAGTAGTAATAACAATAGTGGAGAAGGAAAAAGATAATAAAGTGAGGGGCTCCAAGACAAGAGACACCATCAATAGAAGAGAAAATATGAAGAGGAAAGAAAAGTGGAGAAATCGACTCCGACATATTCGCTAGTAGATGGAAATAACAGGAAGTGGTATCGATTTGACGCGGGTATGGGAGAGGATGGAAGGACATAACAAAACATCATAATTGAAGCAAAGACGACGAGAGACTAAAGGCTGAATGACAAGGGGGTATAAGGCAAAACTTTTCCATTCCTGATCCTGCATATCCGACATGGTCATATTTCGTTCCTGGGTAAAATGACGGCGCTGCGTTTACTTGGCGTCAGTTGCGGGTTGGGGCAAAGTGTCCTCTGCCTGAACTACCACTGTCGGTTGCTGTTGTGGCTCAAGCTGCTTTGCTTGCTCGCTGCGTGGTTCAGGTTCCTTGAGTTTGTTTGTCTCTTCGACTTGTGAGCGATTCGGAGCGATTGATTCAAATTGTGAGTCGGATTGTGGTGGGCTCTTAGCGCGTTCGCTACCGTCCTTTTTGGGTGCAACTTTCGCCTTAATCTTCTCAAAAAGACTGAGCTTCTCGTTTTCCGACGATACGCCGCCTTCACGAGACGCACTACCAGATCGTGTAACTTCGTTGTCCGGTACAGAGGTCACGTCGGTGCTAGGGTTATAGGAGTCGTTGGTAAAGCTTTGACCTTGCGCACTGAGACTACCAATGGAGCTAGTGCTGAACTCGGCTCCAGCATTGGTTCCAACCATCGGTGGCGACGAGGTCGGGTTTCCGTGATTGTGTCTCGAGAGTGGGAAACGCCAACTGCGGCGATGATCCCTCTTCTCTGCCTTTGACACATCATCGTATTGATCGAAATCAGAATGGTCGGTATATGAAGATTTGGAATGCATAGATGGAGTCCGAGAACGGTTGGGCTTGAGTGTACTTTCGGATGGCTGGTGTTGGTGGTGACTATTCACCCCCTCTGGAACTCCGGCAGGAAATCCTTGATTTTCGGGTATAGTAGAGATAGGATCATTGGGAAGTGGTGCCATCGGAGTTACTGCTTGCGATGTTGACGGAAAATAACCCGACTCATTAGAAGTAGCAGCACTCAATGAGTGGCTGGAGCTCTGGGCACTGGCGTTGGCACTACCGGGTATCCGCTTCTTTTTCAAACGGTTGGGCTGACGACCCTCCTTGTCAGATGCTGGAGGAGACTTGGCGAAGAAGCTTGATATCTTACGCTCTTTCGTAGGTGTAAGAAGGGGAGTTGGTGGCGAAGCTATAGCAGACTGGGCTTCGAGAAATTGGCCCTCTTCAAAAGCCGGCTGTGCTGGCTTGGGTGCTTCTGAATGGGATTTTTGAACTGCAGGAGGACGAGTTTCAGGTGCGGGATTGCGACTCGCTTCAGCGGGAGGTGTGAGMCCAGCCGATGATGGAGAAGCTGACTCGCCAGGTCGAGTCAATCTCGGGGCAACCAGGCCCGGGGACCTCTTTGAAGGCACAGTATTGCTGCGTTTCACAGTGCTGACAGTCGACGTGGGTGTACCGGGGCTTTGAGTGTTGCCGGAATTGCGCGACGAAACAGACACATTGCGACGAAGGGTCTCGTACTTTCTAAGACTGTCCGCACCTCCACTGGCATTTGAAGCAGAGCGACGAATTCCTGAGGATCGTGAGGGCGTACCTGCAGCAGCTGCTGCGGTAGATGAGAACTCCTTGACTGTCTGCGGATCAGCTGCCGTACCGTTCATACCAAACAAGAAGTGATCTTGGTTTTCAATCAAGAAAATTAGCACATCTTGACTGAGCCTGTACTCCAACGGTGCCATGTCGTGCGTAGGATGTGACAACAATCCTGGCTGAAAGATAGCAGACAGATTGTTCGAGTTCATGCGATTCTTGTCCGACTTGGATGCGAAAACGGCAAGAAGGTCAAGAATATAAAGAAGTAGCTGCTTGTTGAGTGGAGGAAGCTCACGAATGAGCTGCTGATATGTAGCCACGGCCTTCTCGTAGTCGAAATCGCCAATGTCGACCGCCTCTGTACTGCCGACAGCCTGCTGTTGATGGTTCCGAATTGGTTCACGGAAGGCTTCGTAAAAGTCGAGAGGGACTATGGGTTCTGGCAGCTGGTTCAAATACCGTCGTAGAATGTTGGCGGCATCGTGCACGGTATAGCCTGTCCAATCCAGTCCTTTGCCATATCGCTCGGGCGAATCGAAAATCTCTTGTAGTTCTTTGATACGTCGCGCGGAGCCGCTTAGACGGAAGATACCTTCGACTTCGGTGGCTATAGAAACGATGGTAAGTTTGATGTCGTCGGATAGAGCTGGTGTGTATATACCTTGATCCTTGAGGAAAACCCCACACTTAGCGACAACGATGGGAACGTAGCCATAAATGAAGCTCTCGCCCTTGTCGTTGGTCAAAGAAATTGCGACATTAGCGTACTTGATGCTGACGTTGAGTGGGACGCCAAAAATGCCGCCGACTTGGGGTCCACCTTGACGCGAAAGTCAGCGACTGTATTGCAAAAAAGCAGTGATTCAAATTTTTTATGAATTTTGGAAGATTCAAGGGAGAGAAATCAACAGATAATCTGACCCCACAATCCTTACGCAATACAGGTGTAGTCTTGAAGTGCGATCTTCCTTCATGTCCAAGCTATCTTTTGTAGACACAGGATTGTACGTACCTTTGTTTTCATCCTCTTTCTTTGTGTTACGCTTAAAGTTCTTCCACCAGGACGCTAGATCTCGTTTTGTAGGCGCTGCAGGAGGAGCAGGTTCATTTGCATGGTTGTTTGTTGTGAAGTTTTGGACAGGTGCATGTGCCGCGAGCGGCTGAGGAGTTCCTGTCGTCATAGTGGACTAGGTTGTGTGAAGAGTGTACCTCAGTCTGTGTTTAAATCAATGCACTTCTCATGAAGCACAACGATTATTTTGACATAGAAGGTATTGAAATAAAAGCAGAAGACCAGTCCTTCTACTATGTGGTATCTCGAAGTTTGCTGTGGCTGTTTCAGCGCTTCAGCTGAAGGCGCTGACTAGCTGTTTGAATGCGACCCGGCGGCGAAATCCAGTTGCATAGATCAGAATGTGATAGATAAGTTGTATGTAATTCCAGAGATCGTCAGGAAAGAGTGCGACTTAAGCGACTTCCGATGAATAGTGCGACCAGACTCTGTGTGTGGTGTTGAGTCGGCGTCGAGGGGAGAAAGGGAGGTTGGGGTGGTAGCAGCAGTGGTGGTGATGACGGCAGTAGGGTTAGTTGGTTAAAGGCGACCGAAAGACTCTTGTCTCAGCGAGCAGAGCAGAGCAGGACAGAAATACAGGTGCAGTGAATTCTGATATGGACTAGCTGACAGGGCGATTAAGGGGTCGTATTGTGTAACGTCAGAACGTGTTGTTGCAAGGGAAATCAGAAATGAACGGTGACTCGGAAGTTCTTCAGTTTGTATGCAGTCAGTCAGTGGCTTGGGAAGGCGATGGGCGGTGGCAGAAGTCAGACCTTGGGTCACGGGAGTGGGGTGCCAATACAGTACAATACACACACATTGCACTTGATCCATGACTCAGGACGCTGATCCGTGACTGCAGTTACAAGACCATACCTTACAGTGGATTACATACAGTAGTATGATTACCTCTGCATTGACCGAGGCTCTTGCTTAGCCGCAGTACTTAATCCTAGTAAACTGAACTACGTACGTACCTTCTTCCAGTGTTAATTACACACTTAAGCAGAGACAGTACCAGTGGGTTGGTACGCGCTGTTCCTGGTCTCAGGGTTCAGTACGTAGTGGAACAGTTTTATAATTAGAAATAAAAAGCCAAGACAGAAAGGTATCGGCATTTCTGGTCCAACAGACCAACAGTGACTCTGTGCGGTAAAATTTAGACCATAGCTAAAATGAAAAACAAGAACGTTCCTTGGGAACGGCTGGATCTTTTGTGGAGGAATGCTCCGCTTGCGTCCGCGCTGAAACTGCTGATACCAGATTATGAGTCTGTCTAGACCTTATCGACCTCTGATCTTACTCATGGTAATTTACTCTTTCTAAACACAGCCGGACAATAAATCGTAACGAGTCTAACGACCACTTGCAATTGCACAAGCACGGATACATCCAGACACCACTTCGACCTATCCGCTTCCTATAGCTAATCGTACGGAGATTCCCCAATCAGCCCGGCCAGAAGCTACAGATTGAATGAAATATCAGCATTTAGATTGCCAAAAGCCCAAAGGCTTGTTTTTCGTAGCGTCAAAAACACAAAATTCGAGAAGGCGCCACAGCATCACAGGGTAGGCACAGAATCACGTGTTTTGTAGCTACCAATAAATGCCTAAGGCATCTTATATTACATGACTTGCAGTCATGTGACCTCGGAGGCATGATTGTTCCGTAGGAGGGAAGTTGAGCTCCGGAAGAGCTGCGGACCTAGCAAGAGACAATTTATCAAAGAACCAAAGCAAATACCACTCCCGTCAAGGCAACAACTCCTCTATCATAATCAAATTCTGTCTTGTCTTTTGAATACAATAATTGAGAAAAATGGAAGGGTGAGTCGCGAACAATGCTCTCTCTGTCGTGGAATGACGTCGCGTGCTAATCGATATTTTTTCAGACTCAATGCATCGGAACAGCGTGAGCTTGCTGCTCGTATGGAGAGGAAGCAGATGAAGGAATTTATGCAGGTACGATTTTATCTCTCTCTGGGCTTAAGCTTCACTCCTTTCCCGTCCCAAATTGCAATCGAGCATGGTTGCCAAATTTTGATGCCCCCGAAGACAACAAACATCTCACACTTTATACTTGACTTAGATGTACTCCCGTCTCGTACAACGCTGCTTCGATGACTGCGTCAATGACTTCACTACCAAGTCCTTGGTCGCCCGAGAGGAAGGCTGTGTCCTTCGCTGTGTCGACAAACATCTCAAGAGTTCCGCCCGACTGGGAGAGCGCTTCCAAGAACAGAATGCCGCCATGATGCAGAGTGGTCAGCTTCCTGGACGATAAATGCTGAATCATGTTTGATATAATGGAAAGGAGCAGGGGATTTTCAAGGGATGAATATAAACCGGGTTTGCCTCGGAGATTATGTTTACGGCCATGTTGAATTGGACAGTTGTTCGTTTGTGGTGAAAAGCCGGCGGGATGGTTTATATACCTTCATACTTACCTTGCATATTTTCTGATGTTGTCCGTTCTTCGGCTCTCAGTGTATTATAGTATTGTCATCAACCACTCATTCTATTTTTGTGTAAAGCACGCTTGATTCAATAGGATCACATTGGTAGGACACGCTGCACGTTACAACACATATGTACGACCATCTCTGTTCGACTGTACCCCATATCTTATCCCCAAGCAAACATCAGAGACCCTATGGACATAGTATAGCAGATATCAACGACGAAGCAAAAGTAGCCCTTATCATTATCGCCAAATTGGACAACGGGAAATTTTTGCCTAATCGAGTTTCGGGTTCCACGCCGGCGGTTCTGCTTGACTGAGAGACACTAGAAATGCACTGCTTAGTCCTTTTTGGTAAAGATTATTGATATCATCTTAATCTCTGGTAGATTTTGATGTCAGATCTAATCATGTTTAATTTTGATTCAGTTCACAGGGAAGCATTAGCTAGATCTAACGTTCAATAGTCGGGTGTAGGCCAGGCTAGTTAGTGAGGGGAGCCTATACACGAACGAGTCAAGCAGGAGCAAAAACGAAGACGTTCATATAGACTTGATCGTAAAGTTAGGTTAATAGACTCATGCAATTGGAGAGTCTCGCATGCTGCCCCTCACCAAAATGACAAGAAGCAAAAGAAGAAGACAGAACCCCCCACCACGGCCGAGAGAAGATTTCCCCTCATGGCTGTCTGCCTGTCACAAAGACATCATCCATCCACTCCTCTTCCTCCAACTCCTCGTATCCCCCACCGTACTCTGACACTGCCATCTCCAATTTCCACCCCACTTGTCATTGCAGTTCTATATAAGAACTAATTCAGAGAACGTTTTTATTTTCGTTCCGAGCTTTTTTCCTCCTTCCGTAATTACTTCGTCCCTTTGCTGACCTCGCCTGACCACCCCGCGCGGATTGCAGGTCAACTTTTGTTTGCATTGACGGACATCCTAATAGAACATAATGGCTGACACTGTCGGAAAGGTTGGTTTGGTTTCGGAATACCCAATTGCTTCCAGCCTGTCAAGACTAACGCTCGATTTCATACTAGACCATCACTTGCAAGGTGAGCCATTGATCGGGTTCTCAGACAGACGGCACAAACGTCACGGATATCAGAACAGAGCAGCTAAACGCGTGATAGGCCGCGATCGCCTGGGAAGCTGGCCAACCACTTTCCGTCGAAGATGTCGAGGTCGCTCCCCCTAAGGCCCACGAGGTCCGTATCCAGATCTTCCACACTGGTGTCTGCCACACGGGTGCGTATTTGACTTTGCCGCGGAGGAAATCGGTCAGGTGGGATGATTGTACTGATCAGCCATAGATGCCTATACACTTTCCGGAAAGGACCCCGAGGGTGCCTTCCCCGTTATCCTAGGTCACGAAGGTGCCGGTATCGTCGAGTCTGTTGGTGAGGGCGTGACCAACGTCAAGCCTGGTGACACCGTCGTCGCTCTCTAGTCAGTATACTGCACTTTCTCCTATGAAAGCTCGTATATAACTGACCCGATATGGACTGCAGTACCCCCGAATGCAAGGAATGCAAGTTCTGCAAATCAGGCAAGACCAATCTTTGCGGCAAGATCCGCGCCACCCAAGGCCGGGGAGTCATGCCAGACGGCACATCTCGCTTCAAGGCCCGCGGCAAGGACATCCTCCATTTCATGGGCACATCCACCTTCTCCCAATACACTGTTGTGGCCGATATTTCCGTCGTTGCTGTAACCGACAAGGCCGGCACCGACAAGACCTGCCTCTTGGGCTGCGGAATCACAACCGGGTACGGCGCTGCCGTCGTCACCGCCAAGGTCGAGGAAGGATCCAATGTCGCCGTCTTTGGCGCCGGTTGTGTCGGTCTGTCTGTCATTCAGGGTGCGCTCAAAAACAAAGCTGGCAAGATCATTGCTGTCGACGTCAATGATTCCAAGGAAGAATGGTCACGCAAGTTTGGTGCGACCGACTTCGTGAACCCCACCAAGTTGGGTGACCAGAGTGTGCAGGAGAAGTTGATTGAAATGACTGATGGTGGTTGCGATTATACCTTTGACTGCACCGGTAACGTTGGTGTAATGCGTGCTGCTCTTGAGGCCTGCCACAAGGGCTGGGGTCAGAGTATCATCATTGGTGTCGCTGCTGCCGGTCAAGAGATTTCCACAAGACGTATGTCCTCTCTCCTTTGACTTCAATAGAATCCCCTTTACTAATCTTCTTCATATAGCATTCCAACTCGTCACAGGTCGTGTATGGAAAGGATGCGCTTTCGGCGGTATCAAAGGCCGCTCCCAACTTCCAGGTCTGGTTGATGACTACCTGAAAGGCGACCTCAAGGTTGACGAGTTCATCACGCATCGCGAGACCCTCGACAATATCAACACTGCATTTGAGCAAATGAAGGCTGGTGACTGTATTCGTTGCGTCGTTGATGTTCGTGCTTAGATGGTCATTTCATTCGCGTCATATCTAGTTCACAAAGTTGTCGAATTAGTATTGGGCAAACAATAAAAAATTATAATTGAATTTAGGAAGAAATTTTGTTCAGTAGGAAATCTTGAAATCGTTCGTTCTATTTATGGTCTTTTCTTTTTCCTATGTTCAAAAACGAGAACCTTGCAAGTCAACATCTCCGTAGACCACGTGCAGTCATGTCTCCAAAGGTACTCTTGAAGATGCCACCATGCTAAATTCCTAGATCTCGAGACACTGCAATCAACTTCATGCGTCGAGAAAGTAGACGTCAAGGGTGACTCCCACAATCTGGCCGGGTTGTGGAAGAGGCCGCCAGTGCTGCCCAAGTGTTTACATAGAGTGGACCAATTATGCAACTTTACACTCTAATATTCAAAGTTTACTAGAGTTATTTCAACGTAGCAAATTTGATGAGGTATCTCATGACAAGAACACTTCATATTGATTGTTGTTGCTATCTAGGGAGTGACTAGGGTCAGGCCGCAAGTAAAAATCAGAGAACGCATTGAACTTTCGCAGATTATGTTCAGCATGCTGGACATTTGTAATCAGCTACTGAAAAAGCTTGTGCTCCAAGGTCATGTCAGACTCAGGCTGGAGACCAACGCAGGCACGGAAAATGTTGGTCAATGCAGCACGCTGCTTAGCCAGAGCGTTAACAACAGGGGTTCCAGGAGGAGTCAAAGGAGCCTTGAGCATGTAGCTGAGCACGCTGAGAACACTGTGAAAGCCCTTGTAGTCCTCGGCACCATCGGCCTTCTTCCAGCTGATACGTGTCATCATCTCCGCAACGACGACCAAATCAATGATCAAAGGAGAAGCCAAGAGAGAGTCCTCGCACACATTAAAGATGCTAATGGTCTGGTGACCACCCATGAAGATTTCGGCGTAGTACTCGTCAAGAGCACGCTTGTTGTCGCCAACAGCAGGCATGTACTTGATGACAACAGTGTGGTCTGGGTGCTCGCCCTCCTTGTACAAAACAGAGTTTGCAGCGACCATGTCGTCGACAACGTTAGACTTGGAAATCTCCTTGGAACGGAACTGCTTCTGAGAGCTAAGGTTCTTGCCATCGTTGTTACCGAGGTGGTTGTAGCTAGCAATCGAAGTAAGCTTGATACCGGCACTGATCAAGAAGTCAACCAGAGCGGACTTCATCTTGGTCTGTCCAGACTTGAAGTCATCACCGCCAATGAAAGCGCCATGCTTTTCAGCAAATTGGATAGCACCTGGGACAAAGGTGTTCTGTGGAGAACCGTTGATGAAAGGAGCATTTTCAAGGACACAGGCAACAGCGAAAACAGTTGAAGGAGAGACCTCCTCGTGGCCAGACTTAATGGCTTCGACGAGATTGTCAGCAGTGTCGTTTACGCCAGCAATGATGTCAGCATAACGCTCAGTGTTGGCAGTCCAGAGAACAATAACCTTGTCGAGTTCGTTCTTTGCCTTGAAGTCACTATATGGTAATGATTAGTATCTTGGTCTAATGCAGGCTAGGGCAATGCAACTTACCGAATGTCCTTACGGATGTGCTCAACGTGATCCCATGAAGCCTTGGAGCCGGGAATCAGATTATCCGCACGGTCTTCCTGGTTGGCAGCAATGAAGTCCGGGTAGTAGATACTAGGCAAAGGCTTCATTTCGGCCATTTCCTTGCGGACAAGCTCCTTTAGGGTAGGCTCCAAGACACAGGCGCGGTCCATGGCTTCAGACAGCCCCAATCCACTAATGTCCCAACCGCCAATAACGAGGTCATTGGGGTGAACCATGGGAAGCATGTCATGGAAGGGAATGTTGATTTCCTGACCCTGCGCATCGGTACCAAGCTTGATGGTGGAGCCCATCACTACGGAGCCATAATAATTTGCAGCACGCTTGCCCTCGCGGGTATCCCACTCCAGACCACGGCGGTTAGCAATGATACCAGCGGTGACAGTAGTACCGTTGTTACCACCCCAGCCAACCAGCATCATACCCACCTTGCCAACCTTGCGGTCGACCTTGAAGTTGTAATGCTGTGCCTTGGGGGTGGCGACCAACTTGTCGCCGGCACGAGTGACCTCAGTAGTATGGTAAGCATACTTGGTCTCAATTGTTTCTTCAGTGTAAACTACGTTAGGGGAATCGACGGTGAAAAGAGGGGTCTTTTCGTTGCTGTTGCCAGCCACACCGTTCACGGCACTGTTGACAGCACCAGTCTCATTTGCGTGAGGAGCCATGATGAAGTTTCTTGATAAGGCGAGTCACGTGTGAAAGCTGCGAACTTGACGGGATTGTTTTTCTTTTGTTTTCTTTTGTAGTTCGAGCTTCTTAATGAGAATAGATCGAGCCCGATGCTCCTCCACGAGCGGATGAGCGTCGGGAACCGTTGTACGGGTGGTGGGACCTAGGAATCATTCTGTTAGCACGAAATCTGCCACAATTGTAGCCGCAGAGAAGAAACTCACGAGTTGAGAGAGTTGGAGAAAATTTTGCCGGTATTGATGACCACTCCCGTAAGAGTGATCTGTCTGGCTTAGAGAGTTGATCAGGAGGAAGAAAGGTTGCGACCTGATGGAGAGTTGAGCAGTTTGGAACTGAGGACGAACGATGGGACTGTGCTGGGTTAAGGTGAAGATGAAAAGAAAGAAGGAAGGAAAGTGAGTTCACGGGGGCTTTCCGCTTCTTAAGTAATGCCAATCCAATTGGGAAGGTACACCGTTTGACTTTGTTGAGGAAGGAACCTGTCCAGGCAGACAGTATTCGGTGCCCCGCGGGAGTGTTTACGAGAACATTACGGTATGTTACGTTATCAGGCTAGATTATCTCAGCCGACCTTTGTGTGATACTGGTATCATGGTATCAACAGTGTATGCCCGCGTTCTTCCGCATTCGTCCCCGCAGTCGTTCTCCTTTTTTTCAGGAAAGTCGGTGACCAGCAGAAGCCAGGACACGCTGGCGATCCACTTCACTGAGTTGTTTGCTAATTGAGCTTTCCAATCTTTTCATACAATACGAGATTCGATGCACCAATGGGCGACGGGCGTGGGAAGAATCTCGAAAGCAGAGCAGATAATCACGATGGTACGTTACGTTCAATGTACTCGGTTAGGGTTTAGTGCAGCGCTTGTCGACTGGGACAGCCAGTCGCAGCTCGGCCTCCCCTCGCAAGAGCTACCGACGCAGCGCTACCCATGCCGGTTATATTAAAATACGCACGAATAAACAACAAACACTTAAGTATGAACTCTCCGTTAACGGAGTACTCAGACGATCAATTGGATCTATGGAGGATTTGGCTGTGTTACACGGTCTATCCGATCATGAAAGAATTGGAGATCGAAGGGTTATTGGTTTACACAGTAAGGAACTTGATGGTAAAGGAACAGATCACAGTGGTAATATCATTGATATGCGTGTCCTGATTACGACAGCGGCTTATCTGGAAGCGAAAGCACTCCGTATGGCCAGCCAATTTCAACGCATGCAAGTACCTTGGACTCGACAACGCATTGCTTTCACTACTCCCGTCGGTACCCTGTTGTACGAATACTCAATTGTATAGTAGTAGCATTCATTATGGCGTGTGTTTATGGTGATATAATCATCTATCAGCCCAGAAGCACTGATAGCAGGGACAATTATTGTACAATAGCGGGGCCATTAATGAATGACATTGATCCATGTTATGAACAGACGGAAAGCAACAGACTTGGAAGGCAGGAATCACGTGGGCATGGGTCGCGACTGCCCTGCTGCAGGCATCATGGCAGACACGTGAGGGCCCTGGCTTGTCGCATCTTCCCCCGGCAGCTGCTTCATTCCAGTTCCAACTTCCCATCCTCTGTCCTAATCCGTAACATCAACGGTGTCAAACATGTTGCGACCAGGCCATATGAGGTAGCACTGCTACAAGGTCATCAACCAGAGTACGCACTACAATGTCCTCGCCGTGCCGTCCGACGACTCTCGAGCACAGTCACTAGTGGAGACCGAGGGCGGCCTGTCCAGCACTAACGGCACTAGAAGCCCGCCCCATCCATGCGCGACATCTTGTTGGCTGGCCTCGTCCAGTTCGTCGCGGAGAGCATTCAGGGGTAAGCCAAACCTTGCCAGGGGCTGTCTGGCTGATCATCTTGATTGATCAATCAATCAAAAATCGCCATGAATCGTATCACTTCGTGCACGTACGACACACTCGCTCTGTCATTGTTTTCATTTCCCCGAGGGTTCGCATTACAACCAGGCGTTATTCCCAGATTTTAAACATCCTGCAGTGATCACGTTGCGGAACAGCTAGTCCCTCGACAGATTCTTCTGTGACTGCCATTGCCACGGTTGCCTTGCCCATTCTGCAACAGGCCCAAGTGCAGTGATCGTCGCAATCTAAAAGGGCGAGAGCCAGTCGGTCTATTTATCATTAGTAGAGCCGTCAATCTTGTCTCGTCAGTGCACGTAGAACCTCCATCTTCTCCTTTCAACAATCACCGGAGCACAATAACAGACTATCGAAATTTCTCCTCCGAACAATATATTGGTACTGACTTCGATTCGTACCCAAACATTCACCACCAGCTACCGTTTGGATCCGGAGCGAATTGATGATTCCCTCTTTGTGATCGGAGAGCTTCGGCGTAGATGCTGTCGCCATGGCGAACGATACAGATTTTGCTGCCATGCTGCCGACGATAAAATGCTCGAATTGCAACATGAACGTCGAAATCTCGGCGATGGGAGAACATGTTTGCGCTCCAACACAACAATGTATGCGTTATCCTCATGACTCGCCTGAAAGCAACTGACAAAGCTCCGAGTAGCATCGTCACCACCACCGTCTGCGGGCATGAAAGCACTTAGACCTGGCCCTCCTCCGCGCATCGATCCTACTATTGCTAGTAAGTTTCAACCGAGCGAGAATTCAAGAGGTTTAACAATGGACTCTAACAATGACTCGTTCATATAGATCAACCCTTCTTGTCACCTAGCTACGGAAGTCCGTCAAGCAGTCTCGGTAGTCACCCGCTCACTCCACGAATGTCGCCTTTGCGGAGCCAGACTTCTCCGTATCCTTTGACGCCCTCATCTCTCGAGTTTAATGATGAAGATAATAATCCTGCGGCTACTATTCGAGCAGCCTTGAGCCCAACCATGACCACCAAATCGCCACTTCGCTCGACGACTATTTCCGAGGCCCCAACGATTAACAGCGATACTGCGATTAGCGATGGATCGGAGGGCTTGCATACGCGATCGCCTTCCATCGAAAGTAAAAGTACATATCGGACGTCGGTCTCGAGTAAACGCTACCGGGAATCAACTTCAACATATTCATCACGAGGCGTCTCAATAAGTATGCCGCGCAGCCCTCGGAACTTTATGGATGAAGTGCCTCCAATACCCACCGGACCCTTGACTTCATTTCGTCCTAGCTCACAGATGAGCAATGTCGATTCGAATATTTCGAGCAGTCCACCAAAGACGAAGGGAGCTAGCTACAGCGGCTTTGATTTTGGTTTAATGGACGAGCCTCAGAGTTACGAAGATGTTCCAAAACAGAATACATTGATAAGATCGCAGACGATGCCGAATACAGTGGAGACCAACCTCGACATCAATGATAACTTTTTGACTAGGTGGCCCTCGCAGCCATCACCAACCGTCCCTGGCCGGCCCTCACTACCTAGAGAATCTAGCATTCCGGATCAAGCTTTCCCCAAGCCCCCTGCACTTGAGCCAATTCCTCAGCAAGACAATCTGAGTGGCCTGCCGACCTCGAACTTTAACGCCGGTCTTGGATTAGAAAAGACCGCATATCATGCGACTGAGGGGTCAACATCGTCAAGCAATTCATCACGTTCCGAGACAGGTAGCGGTAGCTCAATCTCGAGCCCGCCCTCGGACTTTGATAGGAAACCGTCGGATCTGACACAGATTGATTCAATGCTGCAAGAACTGGAACTGGACCAGAAGCAGTCTCCTGTTGAAAGACAGCCACCGCCACCTCCGCTAGATGGTGCAAGTCTCGAACCACCACGCGGTATGGGCAATCTCGATCGTGGGCCTGACTCGCCCACCGATCCTACTCTAGTTGGCGGTTCTTACGCAGCACGCAACTTTCACCCACCGGAGCTTACGCCAAAGAGCCCGTTGCGAGAAAAGACACCAGCAGAACACGCTCAGCAGATCTCGCGACCAAACACTGCTGGTGGTCAAAAGCGTCGCTGTCGGGGATGTGGGCAAGGCATAGTTGGCAAATCGGTTTCCTCGGCGGATGGTCGCCTTACCGGACGGTATCACAAGGCTTGCTTTGTGTGTTTTACTTGTCGATCACCATTTGAAACGGCAGACTTCTATGTTCTTGACGATCATCCGTATTGCTCTCAACATTATCATGAACTTAATGGCTCGACATGCGCAACGTGCAAGCTAGGAATTGAAGGGCAATATCTCGAGACTATTGAACAAAGTACCTATGGCACTGGAAATCCGCAAAAGTTTCATCCTGATTGTCTGACCTGTCGCACGTGTCGCGTTGTACTTCGGGGCGATTATTTCGAGTGGAATGGTCAAGTTTACTGTGAACGCGATGCTCGACGAGCTGCAGCTATGTCGGCGCCGCCTCCTAACAGACAACGTCCGACTATGCCATCATCGCCTCTTGCTGGTCCTCCAGGTTTCCCACCTGGCCCGCCACCACCAGGCTATCGTGGCCCTCCACGCCAGGGTGGTCCAGGTGGTCCCATGGGGCCAGGTGGGCCTATGATGCCTCGCGGTCCACCTCCGCCTGGTGGTCGTGGTATGGGTAGACCACCACCATCACCTAGACAAGGTGGTAGCTTAGCTCCTCCCGGCGGTGCTCGACGCTTCCCGGAGAGAAGAACGACCAAGCTGATGATGGTATGAGATGTTCATTCATCAAATCAAAATCATGTGTACAACAACATCCTCCGATCGCTCTATTTCTTCTTCTTCATTTCTTGATGAAACATTTACTTCTTGTTGATATTTTAGATCCTTTTTTTTATTGCTCCTATACCCCTACCGAGCAAACACGTTCGCTTTCTTCGATTCTCGATCAGGGCGCTCTGGTCTTTTTACACATCATTTTGTCGTACATATTGCATACACATATACCCCTTCCTGGCTAACAACTTCAGTATCATGCTGATTTTGACATTGCTTTGCGACTCTCGCTTTCTATTCTTCAGCCCTAATTGATATCCCGTCTGGCACTGGCCGATTAATCATTTACTCGCGATTTTATACCTCATGACCCTACATCTATACATGTCATACATCATCCATCTTCTGCTTTCTGTCTGTACAATGCCCTGTCATGTATGTAAAGAAAACTATCACATCATGTGTGTGTTTTTATTCTTTTCATTTGATTGTATCTCCAAGGTTATACTTGCTTCGTAATATATGCCAATCATGAAGTCGTAATGTTGCTCCACCACTATCTTCGCCTATATAAACATCTATAACGTATACACGCGACTATACCACTAGGGAAGTCACATGCAACTTTGAACGATCAAGTCCTCGCCGAACTAGTCTTGACATTGGTCTTCACAGCAGGCTTCTCCACCAAAAACCGCTGCACATACGGATAAAGAAGCGGAAACACCCATCCAAAAAACACAAACCAGAGATTCCAAAACGTCAAATACAGCCTCTCCCTCAACGTCATCTTGTTGTCTTCTTTTTCGTGGCGTTTGGAGTATTCCTCGTCCCACGCGTCGCTGATCTGTTTGTATACAGTCGGATCATCGGTTAAGATGACATCGAGTTGTTTTCTGATTGCCCAGCGGATGTCGCGCGCTGCGTTGATCGTCCAGCCGAATACGAGTTTGGCCTCGCGGGGATCCTTGAGGTTCTTGTTGCGATGCACGGCTTCCACAAACCCGTATCCCAGCGGACCTTTGATGGATGTGTAGTGCGTGTTGAATGAGACTTCGGGTATGGTACGAAGAGCCTTTCGAGCTGCGACGACGTTGTACCCGATCAGGACGGGTTGGAAAGTTGGGAGATGTTCTTTGCAGACGGGGAAGTAGGTGGGCTATTTTGTGTGAATAATGGTTATAGAATGGGTGAGAGGGGCTTAACGTACAGCCCAGCACCCTAGAGCAATCCGTAAATGCCACGGCTGCGACGAGTATGGACCAGATTTGAGAATTTCTGCGATCTTCTTGATGATGACGTTGGCAGGGTTGTTTCTCTGGTTCACTATCAGTCCATGGTCCGCTCCCCTTCGGAAAAAGTTTGTTCATCATACCTTGATATCAAGCAAAACCCAGATATGATCCCTGCCTTTTGCGCTGATGAATTCGAGGAAATCACTTAGCCGGATCATCTTTTCTCGCGGCTCSCGTATCGTTCGTAGTGTACTCAGATACTCCCAGTCGCATTCGTTGATTTTCTTATCAATGCCAAAGCACCGGGTGAGCGTGAAATCCTGTGACTCTTATCAGCCTCTTACAAATTTCTGACGGGGGATCAGGGGGAAATACGTGTGAGATAACAACAACCCCGTCCCTCGAAATCTGCACATCCGTCTCAATCCCATGACAACCAACATCAATCGCCGCTTGAAATGCACTCAAAGTATTCTCGGGATATATCTTGTTGAAACCGCGATGAGCAACGTATTGCGGTAATCTGGTTTTGCCATCTTTGGCATAAAACGGTTGTCTAAAGAATGCCTCCGCGGCATTTGACTCGGTGGTGGTAGTGATCGTCGACATGGTGCGATTAAATGCCGAGATAAGTGTTCGTTTGGTGAAGGTGGGAGCGCGCATTCATTTATGCTCGGACTAACTGATATATATATGCCTCTGATTGAGCGAACGAGCAGGCGTCCTTGTTAAATGACAGATTAATAATAATTATAACCCGGGTAGTTAATCTGAGACTTGATTGATGCTCCCGTCTAGTATATCACAGCGGCCAATCGGACGGTGTCGTTTGGAGCATGCTCCGGATTTAAAAGGCGGATATAACCGAGTCCACGCAGCTATACGTAGCCAAGGGATTTGGAGACCCTGACATACTCTGACCTGGATAATGGATTGTCGTAGGCGAAACAACCCATTGTTATTAGCCCGGTCTCCGGGAGTGATTCAATCGTCCATCTTAGGGTTCAGCTCATTATATCCTTTCTGGGCAACCAGCGCGAAGCTGAAAGAGCCGTAGCGCATTGTTTCCATATGCTATACACAAGGAAGGAAACCTCTGGCACGGGTTGCCACTCATGGTAGGAGGCCAGCAACAGACACCGTGAGGCCTTCGCAATGTTACTGGATCTTCAAATGTTTTTGTCGGTCTTTTTTTGCTTTACAACCTTCATTGAGAGTGGGTTGTCTTAGAATTAAGATTTTGGTCGATATTTACAAGCAAATATTCTGGACATTTTTTAAAGGTTGGTGTATAAATAAGAGACAATTCCTGTTAGCGGAGTTCTAGCTGTCAATAACATCGATACACGATTACAGCGGTCTATCAACACTCATCACGCATCTCATATAGCAGTCGCCAAAGCAAGAGCCTTTACTGAAGAAGGTAAACAATCCCAGCATGTTCAAAAATCCAGAAGTGGAAACCGCCCGGTTTCTCGACCTCAAGTCTTTCATAGACCAGTTCATAATAGCCCTATTCGGGCTAATCATAACCTTCCTCGCCGTGGCCATTGCACGCCGAATTGCCAATTCCAGATTCCTACCACAGCGACCATTCATCCAAGCAGGATTCCAGATATTAGCCGTCTTCATCGCATTAATTGTAATGACGTACGGATCTCTGATCTGTGTTACTGGAGTTGACAGCTTGTTGAATATTCAGCGGACGACGATGGCGTCTCCGAGCAGGCGGAATATTACCCGGTCGATCAATATTGCATTCCTTTGGTTGGCTTTGCAGAGCCCTCATCTTACGATAGATATGCATGTGTATTATTTGCTAGTCGTGATGTATACTGCAGTATGTATCACGGAGGATTACTGAGGTGCTGGTCTAGCCGCTGGCAAGGCTCCAGGTTGTCATACAGTTGCTGAACAAATCTCACGAGTATCTTTAAACAATGAATGAATGCGTGTATTTCCTCACTGCTTTATTGAGCGTAGTTGCAAAACCATCATATTTCCAGGAATGACATCAGACATCGAGGTGGGGCGTTTTGAAATCTTTATCCACAATTTTGTAGGCCAGGTTGAACTTATCCTTAGGTACTTTCATACATCGCACGAACTTGTTCAAAAATACCACATCACGAAATGGCTGAATTCGAGCAATGGGTCACAGCACAGGACGGGCTGGATAAACTCAGACTTATCAAGGCGCCTCTGCCAAAGCCGGGCCCTAATGAAGTCCTGGTGAAAGTACACTCTGTGGCGTTGAACTACCGTGATATCGAGGGTACGTCGGTTATATCTCCCTTGATTCACCATGGATGAAGTCTGATAAACGAGAAGTGGCCAAAGGTGAATACACACACCACAATTATACCGGTATCCCCACCGACCTCGTCCCCTGCTCAGACATGTGCGGTACCATCGTCGAGGTCGGTGAAGGCGTCGGCAAAGACCAAGCCAGCCTCAAAAGAGGCGATCGTGTGATTTCAACATTCAATCAAGACCATCTAACCGGTCAAATCACCAGCAAGGAACTCGCTACCGGCCTGGGTCTACCTTTACAGGGCGTTCTCGCAGAGTATCGAGTCTTTCCTACTCATGGCCTTGTCAAAATACCTGACTACCTCACGGATGACCAGGCGGCTCTATTCCCTATTGCCGGGTTGACGGCTTGGATGTCGTTGTTTGGATTGAGACCTGTCAAGGAAGGGGATTATGTCTTGCTGCAGGGGACTGGTGGTGTTTCCATCGCTGGGATGAAGATTGCAAAAGCTAGCGGCTGTAAAGGTATAATTTCCCGCAACATTTGTTCATAACTTCTGTGAAACTCATTGAGATCTAGTGATCATCACATCCTCCGATGACCAGAAACTAGCTCGCGCCAAACAGCTCGGCGCAGACCACACAATCAACTACCGCACAACACCGGACTGGGAAAAAGAAGTCCTTGCTTACACCCAGGATCACGGTGCGGATATCATCCTCGAAATAGGAGGTAGCCAGACTCTCCGTAAAAGTTTTGACTGTATCGCCTGGGGTGGCCTCATTGCTGCCATTGGCTATCTTAGTGGTAAGCAAGACGACGAAGCTCGGGATCTGTTAAATGTCAATATCCTTGCCTTGAGACGGAATGTTACCTTAAAGGGGATACTGAATGGTCCCAGAGATCAATTGGAGGAGCTGCTTGCGTTTTGTGAAAAGAGTCGAATTGCGTTTGAGGTTGATAGAGTGTTTGACTGGGGGGATGCAAAGGAAGCCTTTAAGTATGTGAATGCTGGGTCACATTTTGGGAAGGTGATTATTAAAGTCAACAAAACTACTTAATGTGGTTTGATAGTTAAGTTGTCTGTAAACGCCTGCGCCAGCTCGATCTACTTTTTTCCAGAGCTTAGTTGATTCTTTATGAGAAAGCCACCGATTGCGATTCTCCTACAAGCCATTTCTAGCGAATATGTATTATGGATCTCATTTGGTCATAACCTAGGAGTACCCCTGACATGAAGGCATAAAGTGAAGACATAAATAACGCAAAAAGACACGATCCGATCTATGACTCCACCGAGCTAGACTATTTCTTCGAAAAAGGCCACCTCCAGTTCCGAATCTCTTCCGAATCAAGGCCATCCTCAAAAGCCGTGTTTCTAGCTGCAATTTGTAGATTAATAAACTTCTCTCGGACAGCAGAAGCCTTGTTGTGCAACCGTGGGATATTATCAATCGCAGCGATGGCCAGGCTATATCTGTCCGTCTCGTTTCTTACGGCAAGCTCAAAAGGCGTGTCAATATTTCCTTTCTCACGATAGCCACGCACGTGGAGATTCTTTTGACCAGGGCGTCGATAGGTGAGACGGTGAACGAGGAATGGGTAAGAATGGAAGTTGAAGATGATCGGCTTGTCCTCGGTAAAAAGCGCTTTCCATTGCTGGTCTGACATGCCATGTGGGTGCTGATATTCGGGAATCAAGCGGAAGAGATCGACGACGTTTACGAATCTCACTTTGACATCCGGCAGGAACTCACGTAGTAGGGCGGTTGCGGCGAGCGCTTCGTGAGTTGCTACGTCACCGGCAGAGGCTATAACAACATCTGGATCTTCACCTTGGTCGTTGCTGGCCCAATCCCAGATACCTGCACCCTTGGTACAATGCTCGACGGCTTCTTCCATGGAGAGGAACTGAATGTGTTCTTGTTTGTCGGCGACAATGACGTTAACGTAGTTAACGCTGCGGAGACAGTGGTCGGCGACAGACAAGAGCGAGTTTCCATCCGGGGGCAGGTAGATGCGAACGACTTCTGGGCTCTTGTTGGCAACAACATCCAAGAATCCAGGATCTTGGTGCGTAAAGCCATTGTGATCTTGACGCCAGACGGTTGCCGTGAGCAAGATATTGAGCGAAGCAACTTTGACACGCCATTCGACTTCAAGGCACTTCTCAAGCCATTTGCAGTGCTGATTCACCATGGAGTCGATAATGTGGATAAAGGGCTCATAACTGTTTAGCAAGCCATGTCTTCCTGAAAGAATGTAGCCTTCCAGCCAGCCTTCAATGGTATGCTCGCTGAGCATCTCCATGACTCGGCCTTCCGTTGCTAAATTGCCTCCGTCTTTATCTTCGTCAAAGTACGCACCAAGCCAAACCTTCTTGCCTGCCTTGTATACCTCGCCGAGTTTGTTGGATTCCGTCTCGTCAGGGCCAAAAAGACGGAAATTAGTCTGATTCTTTGCAATGACATCCCGCAAAAATTTTGCCATGTTGGTCATGTTTCCAAGGACTGAGACTCCGGGATCGATTTCCTCGACACCATAGGTGCGGAAATCGGGCAGGTCTAACGGCTTACGAAGAAGACCGCCGTTTCCGACTGGGTTGGCGCTCATGCGGGAGTTACCTGTTGGTGCAAGAGCTCTGAGTTCAGCGATGATCTTGCCTTTGTCCGCAAAGAGCTTATCTGGGCCGTAGCTTTTCATCCATGATTCAAGCAACTTCAGGTGATCCGGATTGGTGAGTACATCTGTGATTGGAACTTGGTGTGCTCGCCAGAATCCTTCAAGTCTCTTTCCGTCGACATCTTTAGGGGCAGTCCATCCCTTCGGGGTGCGAAGCACAATCAACGGCCAGCGTGGTCGGAATGCCTTTTTTGATTCTCGAGCTTTCTTCTGGATCTCCTTGATTTCCAAAACACAGTGCTCAAGAGTTGCTGCCATGCTCTGGTGCATACTTTGGGTGTCGCTGCCCTCCACGAAATATGGTGTCCAACCGTAACCGATAAACAACGCTTCGAGCTCTTCGTGGCTGATACGAGCGAGAAGAGTTGGATTGTTGATCTTATAACCATTCAGATGCAAGACAGGGAGGACTGCACCGTCTGTGAGTGGGTTGAGGAACTTCGTGCTGTGCCAACTGGTAGCGAGTGGACCAGTCTCGGCTTCTCCGTCACCGACCATTGTCAGAGCGATCAGATTCGGGTGATCATAGACAGTTCCAAAGGCATGCGAGATCGAGTAACCGAGCTCTCCTCCCTCATGGATACTGCCGGGGGTTTCGGGGGTGGCGTGACTGCCGATACCACCGGGGAAGGAAAATGACTTGAAGAAACGACGCATGCCATCCTCGTCCTCGGACTTGTCTGGGTACACTTCACTGTAGACGCCCTCAAGATATGACTGGGACAGGATACCAGGAGCACCGTGTCCAGGGCCAGAAATGAAAAGTGTATCCAAGCCGTACTTCTTGATGAGACGATTCATGTGAATCCATGTGAAAGATTGGCCAGCGTCTGATCCCCAGTGACCCAGTACACGGTTCTTGATGTGTTCCTTCTTCAGGGGTTCTTTGAGAAGCGGATTATCGCGTAGGTAGAGCATGCCTAGACAGAGGTACAGACTTGCTTTGAAGTATTCGTCCATCTTGCGAACTTCATCTTTGTCAAGTGGCTTGTCGACCTTGACGGTCGACCGAGCTGGTCCATAAGCGGAAATCCTTTGGATGTCGACCTCGACTGCGCTTGTCGCCATATTCCTTACTATTTGATCGGGAGTTGAGATGTTATTGTATGTAGTTGTTCTCTCCTTGTTCTAATGTTGTAGAGGTGCTTGTCGCTCTCTTGGGATTTTGTATTGAGATTCCGCGACTGGTTGGAATAAAAACGAGGAAAAGCTCTACGAGGACCTATGAGCATATATATCTCTGTTAGTAGCCAGAAACACCTACATCATCAAAGTGGCGTGTGGGAGGTCTCAGGAGCTCGTATGTTGGCCCGACATCATCATGCCATGCTATATGCTATGCAACCATCGATTGACCCTGTTTGTCAAGCTGCAAGCTAGGAGAACATTGTCAGTAAGCTCGTCGGCAAGGCCGGAAGAGTCAGTGTGGATATGGCGCTGGACAAATGGCATAAGAGAGAAGAGATGGAAGCCGGTTGAGCTGGGAAGTCTAGAATGGGTCAAGAGTCGCGGGTGACGTAGGAGACTCCCCTCTTTCCTTCGATGCAGCCGTCGTACGGTTACAATCAAGAACAATCAACCTGCAATTTCATGAGCGATTCATTTTTGCACATGCCCGGCTCTAATCTCCCAATCATTTTCTATTCTTTAATCGTCGCCGTTGGGGTGCAAGCAAAGCAAGCCAATCCATGCATATAAAAGCCGAGAGTATCCCGACGCACGGCCGCTAACTGCCGACAGAGTCATCACACCACGGTCTCTCGCAAGGGGCACAGATATCTTCATTCCTTAATTTTAGAAAAGGTGACTATCTACTGAGCAATTTCCAGGAACCGTGCTACCGCTATGCTTCATTTTTGTCCCCCTGCTGAGTAGCTTGGCGAGCAGCCTTCGCATTCCCCTCCAGACCGAGCCGCATAAGCTTATTGTCTCCCGGGATCACCATCTCAAAAGTTTCCCGTATCACCGTATACTGATGATAACCACAGCGAGCAATTGGCAAGGTCTTCTTGACATCCAGAATACCATCCGTCAACACCTCATCCTTGATGTGAACCGCAATCACCCTCCCGATCACTATGTCAACAGTCCCCATGGGCGGATTCCCCGGTAGTCGCGTGGTAGAGTGATATTCACATTCGAATTTGACCGGCGATTCCTTGACCATCGATACATCCATCAGTGTAGCTGGCTCCTTGGATATGTATTGCGACGCCCTTTCGAATTCGTCAACACCATGAGCTAGGTATTCTCCGGTAATGTTGACGGCCTCGCGCAAGTCCCAGGTGGCCATGTTCCAGACGAAATGTTTCGTTTGCTCGGCATTGACGACGGTGTCTTTGCGCTGGATATTGTCAGGCGGCAACATGTTCGAGGAGAACATGACGTATGGCGGGTCAAAGGKGAGATTGTTGAATTGCGAGTATGGTGCTAGATTGTCTTGTCCATCTTTGCTTCGCGTTGATATCCAGCCAATGGGTCGGGGGATCACACATGCCTACGCAGTTGAAAAATAATCAAGCCATAGGTTAGTACAAATTCCAGACGAATCCAATGTGCTACTTATACGGCAAAGGTATACACATACCTTAAAAGGGTCATGAGGTAGGCCGTGGTCTGTGACACCGGGTTGATAGAACATTTTCTATATCGAAGTCTGTTTGGACTTCCAGAATATAATCTTAATCCACCTAGGACTTTTGCTTTCTATTCCAGGTAGAAGTCTTTGGCTGATATCTATTAGTCTGGCATTATTAAGATTTGTAATTGGAGATCACATTGAAATGAGGGGCAGCGTATCTAGCACCAGACTTAATTGCTACTTACACTACTGCATGCCGCTAAAATGCTGGCGTGATGGATCTGATCTAAATCTACGACGAGGTAGCGCTTATTTTTGGTCATGTAATCATTCAGCCTATATCAGCAATGCTAATAGCCTTCAAGTATATACGTATCTGACAAACATATCCCAGTCCAACATTATATGCAAATGCGTAACTCCCAAACCCATCGTTTTTTCCCCGTAGAATGCAATAGTCTTGCCTCTATTTGCGCTTAGTAGCGTTGATAATCTTCTTCTTCACATGTTTTGGCATCTTTTTAGCTCTCTGTTCCCTTTTTTCTTCCTTCACCTTTTGCTTGTGTAAGCGCTTTGCGTCTTTATCCTCGTGCTTCTTGCCACGAGGAGCCTTTTTGGCAAAAGGATCTTCATCATCAGACCCATCGGCACTTTCATCAGAGCCGTCGCTAATGGAGACGCCGCCACTTTGATCAGATTCATCATCTTCTCCAAGCTGTGCCTTGGTCTCAGCTTTGGTCGATGGTATGGCCGCTTTTGATTTGTCGGCCAATAGATCACGATACACAAGGTCGGCGCTTTCGCCATACTGTACTTTTTCAGCGTCTCGCTCAACATCGTAAACCTGTTCGAGTGTTTGTGGAATGTATTGTTGACGGAAGACTGCAGCATCTACGTCGTCCGTAACGCCTTCGGCATCACCGCCATTCTCATCTCTGATCTCAAACAACTTCTGAATCGCGGTAACCATAGATTCATTGTCGCCTCCCACCATCTCTGGGCCTTGGCTGCTAATGATGAATTCAAAGACCACACGCTCAGAAAGAGTGTTGACGCCTTTGCGCCGGAAGAAATCGCTGACGTTCTTGATGTCCATTCGCAGGAACTCCAAGCTGCGCGGGTGGTCATGTTCAACACTTTGACTGACATCAATTATGTAGAGTTTGTTTTTGTGGTATAGAATATTATATTCACTCAAATCGGCATGGACAAGTCGGCATGTTTGATACATGGTACGCATGTAACCAAGTAGTTCCATGTACAACTCCTGCCATCGCGTCTCGGGATCTGGTATATCGAACTCAACATCCTTCAGACGAGGAGCGGGTATTCCTCGCGAATTTCCCAAGAAACCCATCACAAGGACGTGAAGTCGAAGATAAAGCGGCTCAGGACTGGGGATGCCTGCAGAATGTATCCTTCGCAGATTTCGCATCTCCTTCTCGGCCCAGACTTTAACCATGGCCCGGTTATTACTCTTGTCGTAACCCTTTCGGAAGCGGAACTCTCCAGTAACATATTTGTCGCGGTCTTTAAACACTAATATGCTGGTTTTGTAGACCTTGATTGCTCGCTGTAAGGTCTGGACATCACCTTCCTCATCCCGTATCGTTACAGCATGGTACACATTCGCTTCTTTTCCGGTAGAAAGACAGCCATTAATTTCCGAGACCAGATTCCTGTTGATCATTTGCAAGAGAATCATTCTTGTGCGTGGATCCAACACCTGCTCTGATGTAGCACGATCACTCTTATCCACTGTTCTTCCATCCTTTCCCCTAAATCCCGACTGTTGGTCGTCGAGTTTGATCTTGGCGGCATGTTTCGAAAGCGACGTGATTTGATCATCCACAGCAGCGGCGACATTTGCCTTGGGCTTCTGAGGGTTGGTCTTTGGGTATGATGATTTCGGCACATTGGCATCTGCCATGGCCTCGTTCAGCCGGCGCTGACGGTTGTATGACTTCGTAAAGTCATTTGGGTTCGCAGAGCTAAAGTCTTCTTCTAGATCCTCTTCGAAAATATCGTCGTAGTATTCATCTTCTTCCTCGTCAACTTCCTCGCCCGCTTGTGGTGCGTTCGTGTCTTGTGCATTATCGACTGCGGGGTCGACTGGCGTGTTGTTGATGTAGCCTGTGTTTGGGACGAACTGATGTGGTGGAAGCTGGCCGTCAGCTAAGCCATGAGTAGCACCGCCTGACTCCATCTTTTGATTCAAAAGCTAGTCCGTGAAAGAAAGATTTGAGTCAAATCAACTGCTGTGATCTGGTGTGCAAAGAAAAGGAAAAAAAAGTATATGGCCAAATCGGGTTAATCGATAAGGAAGTGGCGGACCCCGCGGTCTTGGCGCCCGACGACCGAAAGGGAAAGCACTTTGTCCCTTTTGGTAAGGCGGTGTGGGCCAGCAACGCGAATCCCGGGTCTTGCACTCCAGGCACGCGTCGCACCTACTAAGACAAGGTCAAGCAGTGTTGAGTTCAAGTATCTGGCTTTATCGAGGTGCACCGTGCTGCTACAAACAGATACGCGACTTGAAGCCAGCACTTCTTCTGTTTTGTCTGCTTCGGTGATGCTTTAGTCTTTCAAAGTCAACACGATACCGTCGCGTGTCTCCTTGTCACGATGTATATCAAGCAAATTATCATCCAGGGCTTCAAGAGGTGAGATACCCTGCGCCTATCTAGAGAAATATGTGTTTACTGAGAGCGTCATAGTTACAAGGACCAAACGGTCATCGAACCATTCTCGCCCAAACACAATGTCATCGTCGGCCGTAACGGTTCGGGCAAGAGTAACTTTTTCGCCGCTATTCGATTCGTGCTGAGCGATGCATACACACAAATGGGTCGTGAGGAGCGTCAGGCTCTTCTCCATGTAGGTGACTATGTATCTTTTTTGCGCAGCATTTTTTTGATAAGTGAATAGGAAGGTTCTGGTTCCGCCGTCATGTCAGCATACGTCGAGGTGATATTCGATAACTCCGACGAGCGGTTTCCCACCGGCAAGCCTGAACTCGTACTTCGCAGAACTATCGGACTGAAAAAAGACGAATATACTCTGGACCACAAAAATGCCACGAAAGCGGACGTCATGAATCTCCTGGAATCAGCTGGCTTTTCACGATCAAATCCTTACTACATTGTACCTCAGGGGCGAGTCACCACACTGACAAACATGAAAGATTCGGAACGTCTTGTGTTGCTGAAGGAGGTCGCTGGTACACAAGTCTACGAAGCCCGACGAGCCGAATCACTCAAAATCATGAACGAGACGAATAACAAAAGAGCCAAGATTGACGAACTTCTCGATTACATCAACGAGCGACTGGGTGAGCTAGAAGAGGAGAAAGACGAGCTACGGAATTACCAAGAACAGGACCGCGAACGCCGATGCCTGGAGTACACTATCTACTCTCGCGAACAACAGGAGATCGCCAATGCGCTTGATAGCCTTGAAGGCCAAAGACAAACTGGTGTCGAGGATACAGATGTCAACCGCGAACACTTCATACAAGGCGAGAAGGAACTGTCTCAAATTGATTCCGAAATTGCTCAATGCAAACAACAAATAGAGTTTCTGAAAGTTGATAAGGCGCAATTGGAAGATGAACGCCGTGAGGCTTCTCGTGCCCTCGCTCAGGTCGAATTGCAGGAGAAAGCATTGAAAGATAATCAATCCGCTGCTCAAAAATTGAAGGCTCGATATGAAAATGACTTGAATGCAGTCCAGACTGCCATTAGTCAGCGCGAAAGTGAACTCCAAACGATCCTACCCCAATTCAATGCTGCCAAGGAACAAGAGGATGCTGTGAAGTTGCAATTGGATCAAGCCGAAACGTCCAGGCAAAGGATTTATGCAAAGCAAGGTCGAAATTCTCGCTTCAAGAGCAAGTCTGAGAGGGACAAGTGGCTTCAGAAAGAAATTCAAGAAACGAAAAACTCCATCAAGGCTGTTAATGCAGTCAAAGCACAGACTACTGAAGACATCGAAGACCTTCAGAAGACTATTGAGTCGCTCGAACCTGAAATTGAAAATCTTCGGAAACAAATTGATGGAAGAGGAGATGCGATCCAGTCAATTGAGCAGGAGATCCAGAATGCTAAAGATGAGAGAGATCGTCTTATGGACCAACGAAAGGAATTATGGAGAGAAGAAGCTCGCTTGGATTCAGTATTGTCGAATTCGTCCCAAGAGGTAGACAGGGCTGAACGCAGCCTTTCACATATGATGGACAATAACACTAGCCGCGGCATGGCAGCCGTAAGAAGGATCAAGCGCCAACACAATCTGGAAGGGGTTTATGGGACCTTGGCTGAGCTTCTTGAGGTGAACGAACGTTATCGAACGGCCGTGGAGGTGACGGCCGGGACAAGTCTATTCCACTACGTCGTCGATACTGATGAAACGGCTACAAAGGTCCTTGAAATACTACAGAAAGAGAAAGCGGGTCGAGTGACATTTATGCCATTGAACCGCCTGAAACCTCGCCCTGCAAACGTACCCAAGGCAAGCGACACCATTCCAATGATTGAAAAGCTGCAATACGACCCACAATATGAAAAGGCCTTTCAACAGGTCTTTGGCAAGACCATTATCTGCCCAAACCTGCAGGTAGCATCACAGTATGCGCGAAGTCACGGTGTCAACGCTATCACTCCAGAAGGTGATAGATCTGATAAGCGCGGTGCATTGACAGGTGGTTTCCACGACTCTCGTCAATCCCKCCTTGAAGCAGTTAAGGCAGTGACTAAGTGGCGTGATGAATTCGAGTCTAAGAAGAATCGTGCAAGCGAGATCCGAAGGGACTTGGAAAAGCTTGACCAACAAGTTACCCAGGCCGTGGGCGAGTTACAAAAGCTCGAGCAGCGCAAACATCAGTTCCACGGCAACAGTGGCCCGCTGCGACAAGAGCTCCGTAGCAAACGTGAACTACTACAGAATAAAAACGACAATCTAGATGCCAAACAACGAGCTCTTCGCAATATTGAGAACAACTTGACCGCTCTAGACGGCCAAGTTAGTGCATTGGAAGCTGAAATCTCATCTGGCTTCCAAAAGGCTCTTACCGCGGACGAAGAAAAGGAGCTTGAATCTTTGGGTGTTACTGCACAGAGCCTACGACGTCAATATGCTGATTTGTCTAGTCAGCGTAGTGAACTTGAGGCTCGAAAATCCGTGTTAGAAGTGGAATTGCGTGAAAACCTCTACCCACGACTAGACCAACTCAGCAGTCCTGATGTCGACATGGGTGACGATAATTCCCAAGGTACCCTGAAAGAAGCACAACGGCAGATGAAGAAATTACAAAGCTCTTTGGGAAAGATCACACAGCGGCTAGCTGAAGTTGATCAGTCCATTTCCGAGGCCAACACACAAGTTGGCCAACTTGAGGGCCGCAAGACGGAAGTGCGCAACAATCTGGAAGCACTAGCCAAATCGATTGAGAAACATCAGCGACGTATGGAAAAGAGCATGCAAAAGAAAGCGGCGCTGACCAAGCAAGCCGCCGAATGTAGCGCCAATATTCGTGACCTTGGTGTGCTTCCGGATGAAGCATTTACGAAGTACAACAAGACTGACTCCAATACCGTTGTCAAGAAACTACACAAGGTCAATGAGTCGTTGAAGAAGTACTCTCACGTCAACAAAAAGGCTTTTGAGCAGTACAACAATTTCACGAAGCAACGCGAGACCCTCACGAAGCGAAGGGAGGAACTTGACGCAAGTCAAAAATCGATTGATGAGCTTATCATGGTACTGGATCAGCGCAAGGATGAAGCCATCGAGCGTACATTCAAGCAAGTCTCGCGTGAATTCCATAACGTTTTTGAAAAGCTCGTACCTGCAGGTCGTGGACGACTCGTTATTCAACGCAAGACTGATCGTGCTCTTCGCACGGACAACGAGATCGAATCCGAAGATGAGGACCGACGGGAGAGCGTGGAAAACTATGTTGGTGTAGGTATCAGCGTCAGCTTCAATAGTAAGCATGACGAGCAGCAACGTATTCAGCAACTAAGTGGTGGACAAAAGAGTATGTTTCCTTCGTCTTTTCCAAAGAAATACTTTACTGACGTGACAATAGGTCTGTGTGCCCTCGCTCTCGTCTTTGCTATTCAAGCCTGTGATCCCGCTCCATTCTATCTGTTTGACGAAATCGATGCCAATCTAGACGCTCAATACCGTACTGCCGTGGCTCAGATGTTGCAGTCCATCTCCGATTCTACAAACGGTCAGTTCATCTGCACGACATTCCGACCTGAAATGTTGCATGTCGCAGAGAAATGCTATGGTGTCAGCTTCCGCAACAAAGCTAGTACTATCGATGTTGTCTCGAAGGAGGAGGCTCTCAAGTTCGTGGAAGAGCAAAAGTCGTAATCGGCTCCGATTGCTTAGATCTGTATCAAGAGAGAAGTGGTGGCTACGTCCGGCGTTTGTTGACCTCGGTTTTCTTGCTTTCTATCTTATTCCTCTATCTATATCCCGTTTCTTCTACTTTTTTGTATGATGGATGTCCTTTTATTTTTGCTTTCGTGTACGTATAGGGCGCGTAGTTGATATGCACTTTCAAGTTCGCTTGCTCAAACCATTCCGTCTTGCGAACAGTACAAGATTGCATCAATATCAATACCCAACGCGGTCAGCTATATGTAAGCATAGAGTTTTGCCGCACAAGTATATCGATAAAGGGAAAGGAAGAGTAGCCTCATCCTATGAATCTCGATATTATTACTTTCGCTCTCTTCTAAAATCTAGTAACTATCCCATCAGAGCTCTCTTTGATCTTCATATCACGACGCTTGGTGGTCTCTCAGATCCGATGGCTTACATCACCGCCTTTTTTGTTTCGATCCAAGGAAGGAGTATGCGTGAATCGGATCAAGGACACACGACGGATCTGCGTCTGAAGAAACAGATATGTTGTTTTCATCACCTGGGAAGATTGGGTGCTCTTAGCGAGCACAGGAAATTTTTAAGGTACCTTATTGGTGCAATGTAGTACGGCCCCATTGCTCCCATCATCAAGGAAGTGGGCATTTGTCGGTGTAATCTGAGTTATAAATAGTATAAGGGCTTAATATAGCAAGATTGACGTTCATTGAAGACCATCTTCCTTGGCTCGGGCTTTCAACCGGCCTATAGCCTCATCGACAATATGCTTCGGCAGATCAGGTATATAGTCATCACCGTCTATCGACTCTTCGTCCTCAATAGCAGTCCCTTCTACAGGAACTTCATCACCATCGTCCTGGCCCGTTACGGCAGGKAGTTTGCCGCCAGATAATTTTGAAAACTTGATTCTCATCGGAGCACGGCTAAGGCCTGGCCATATGTCTGATGGAAGATAATCCCCCTGTTCGACCCTGAACGCTTCGCGGGCATTGATATCCTCCTCATATAGCTGGTCGAGCTTGATACGGGTCTCTCGTAAGACACGTTCGATGCCCTGACGCATGTGTTTTCGGCGCGATACTTCAAGAATAAGACCATCATAGGCATCGAGGAACCCAAGATATAGGGACCGTAGATCGACAAGATCTGCCATGCCAGTCCGTATGCGCTCGTGCTCCTCGTTCCAAACATGTGTGAAAGCGTGTGCTTGTGAGATAAACTCAGGTAGACGGGAAGTCGACAGAGTGGAAAGATGATCAAAAACCTCTGTAGTGGCATTATATACAGTGGTCACGGAATCTCGATGTGAAAGGATACTCTCCAAAATAGTTTCCATCTCGCTACTTCGTTCCTGAATTTCAAGCACGACGTCCTCTGCCTCCGCAGCATCCTTCGTAAGGACGCCTAACATATCTTCGTAGTCCGAGTCGGTCATTGGGTCAACGGTGTCATTCGCACTGGGGTCAGCGTCGTCTGCTGTCTCTTCCGTGTGGGGAACATTAAGTCCCTGAGGCATATCCCCAGTGATAGAACGCGCGACAGCCCCTCCGCCTTCTGTGTGTTTTACGGCAGTCACACATCGATCAAAATGATGTACCAAAGACTCAAGTAAGTCCGCCATCTCCTGAGCGTGAGACTCTAATGATCGTAGCATGGGTGGTATGCTTGATGGAGACACTAATGCAGGGCTGGATGCGCTTGGAGAAGACGCTGAAAGTGAGGAGCGTGAAGAGGCCAGCTCCATTGTAGTACGATATCTACCCAGGGCATGTTGTAGTGCGCGTAGTTCCTCATCGAAACTCGAGCTAGAGGTGTCTAGCTGAGACTGAGCCGCGGTAGTTCGGTCTATGGCAGCTTTTAGGATTACTTGCAGCTCTTCTACACCGCGTTCGTCCACAAAATCATGAAGGCTTTTCGGCTCTTCGCCTTCTGGACGGAAGGAAGGGTGGACAACTGTTTGCCGTAGCTTGTCTAGTGTTTGACGTAAACGACCGTCAACATCATCGAGCTGTGTCAGCACGGCAGCGAAGTCGGCACGTCCCCGGTGGGAAATATTCTCAATTTCACCCCGAACATTATATAGCAATCGAATTTGGTTCTTTTGGCCCCGTCTGAGAAAACCTGTTTTGGCAGATAATACAACGCTTTCCTCTAAAGCATTTCGAGCTGTGTTGACTATTTCATCCGCCCGAGATACATGGTATATGGACGACAAAGACCGTTTCGCAGCGACGAGATACGAGATTAAGGTGTCCAATTGGGATTTAGGCTCTTCGGCTAATGGATGAGAGTCGTGGGCGGCTTCTCTTTGTGGGCCTGGATTGATGGACTGTGATTTGGATTGAGGCGGTGAGGATGTTTCAGCAGAGGATTGCGACATTTCGGACTATATGAGTCAATTTCAATCAATCAGGATGCATGGAAAAGGAAATAGTCATTGGCCAAGTTGATAAATCGAGAGATCTTCTGGCAGGCCCAAATAGTCAAGGCTGGCAGGCAGTGAAAGTCGAATAAACACTCAAAAAGGGAGTTGATGCTAGCACATGGCTGTTGAAGACGTGCTTTGGTGATGAATTTCGATACCGACTCTCGTCGAATGAGTTGTCAGCGAGCTTCGAGAGCTATGTGCAAGCTTCTGGATGACTTCCGGGGACTCCGTAGATCAATCACATTTCGTGATTCATAGCTCCACAGGCCAGGGATCATAAGTCTCAGGGGGGATTTCAAATTCGTTGGATGGATGACGACGTCTAACAGGGAAGTGAGTTATGTAGCTCGGCAGACAGGAGGCTGTAAAGCTGAAGCTTGAGATAAGGATAGCCGGAAGTCACGGGACATGTTCCGAAATCCAATCCGGGGAAAGAACGCACCGGTGGGCCTCCTGCCCAAAGAGGACAAAAGCCAGCCGATGGCGTGACTGCCATTTTTGCAAGGCGGCAAGGCAGCTGCGATGGCGTGATTTTGCTGTGATTGGCTACGCATAGATTTCTGCCAGATTGCATGGCGATATCAGCCAAACCTCGCACGTGATTCCATCCGGGTACTCGCTCTTACTGTGAGTTCTACAATCACGCCAGACTGTCGGACTCCGTCGTCAACTACCACCCCTAGTTAATGACTGAGTCAACGCCACTGACAAATCCAGATGGTCCTTTATCTACCATCGCAGCCATCTCCTGGAATGTACAGGCATATTTGTTGCGACTGTCTTGTGTGGCTTTTCACTTAAATCCCCGGTTGCCCGTTCAGCTCGGTTTACTTTCTCCGCTCGCCGCTACCTCTACTGTTTTGCGATAAGACAATCTCACAACGACTACTTACTCGACTTGACCGCTTCCGCGGGGGATACACACCTTTGCGCTATTCGACTAATACCACATATCGGGTCCAACTTGCCAGGTATGCCCGACGAGCATTCGACGTTGCAGGATGCGAAGGAATCCCTTTTCAACCCGACTCCCCGCAAACAAGGCCTACCAGAAGACAACATGATGACTCCATACAATGGCGTACGGTCGATTTTCGACAACTCTTCCGGATCACATCAATTGACCGACGACAACACGAACCAAGAACGAGCACTATCTAAAGCGAAACTGGCCGACGAAAACATTGCTCCCTTCCTGGCCAAACACATCCCAAGCCAATATGCTCCCCTTGGAACGGACACCAGCAAATCCGCAGGACCTCCGCCCAAGTACATGAACTCGAGATACTGTTACCGCCACAGGCCCGATCTGAAATGCCGCAGACAAGCCGATGAACCGTCCATGGATCACCTGCAATGGGTACGTTCATCTCAGTCGGACATTTGGCCGGTGGATAGCAATACTAATGAAGAAAAGGAGTTGCAATCTCTTCCACAAAGCGATCAACAAGGGATAGCTCACGTGTGGTCCTTGTTCTCGGCTGCCCCCGCAAAACAGCGAGAGCTTATGCTTCGGGGCATTCTCGCGCAATGCTGCTTTCCTCAGCTGTCCTTGATATCCAGCAGCGTACGAGACCTCATCCGTATCGATTTCATCACTGCGCTACCGCCTGAAATCTCTTTCAAAATTCTCTCCTACCTCGACACCGCTTCCCTTTGCCGTGCTGCTCAAGTATCCCGAGGCTGGAAATGTTTGGCCGACGACGATGTTGTTTGGCACCGAATGTGCGAACAACACATTCATCGCAAATGTACAAAATGTGGATGGGGATTACCGTTGCTTGAACGAAAACGATTACGGGCTTCCAAGGAACAAATCGAGAAACGTGCCTTGGGTGTTCCCGTATCCCCCGAGTCATCTGCAACTGCACAAGCGGTTGATGCAACCTCGGGTGTGAAGCGTCCGGCCGAAGACTTAGAAGCGTCCGACTCTCAGATTGTTAAACGTCAATGCTTGCCAACAGAGGAAGATACCGATCTCTACAAAACTAACTTTCGACCCTGGAAGGATGTTTACAAGGACCGATTTAAGGTTGGCACGAATTGGAAATACGGTCGATGCTCGGTCAAAGTCTTCAAAGGTCATACCAATGGAGTCATGTGTCTTCAATTCGAGGACAATATCCTTGCCACGGGCTCCTATGATACGACTATTAAAATATGGGACATGGAGACCGGTGAGGAACTTCGCACTCTTACTGGACACACTTCCGGTATTCGTTGCTTGCAATTTGATGATACAAAACTCATCAGCGGAAGTATAGACCGCACTTTGAAGGTCTGGAACTGGCGAACTGGTGAATGCATTTCCACGTATACTGGGCATCTCGGTGGTATAATAGGATTGCATTTTCAAAACAGCATCTTGGCCTCAGGATCAACTGATAAAACTGTCAAGATCTGGAACTTTGAGGACAAGTCTACCTTTCTCCTAAGAGGCCACTCCGACTGGGTCAATGCTGTTCGTGTCGACAGCAGCTCACGAACTGTGCTCTCCGCCTCAGACGATTGCACAGTGAAATTGTGGGATCTTGACTCTAAACAATGCATCCGAACCTTCCAAGGTCATGTGGGCCAAGTGCAACAAGTCATTCCTCTGCCGAGAGAATTCGAGTTTGAAGAGGATCATGATGCCGGTCACGAAGAAGACAGCAACGCGTCCGTATCCGGAGATGAATCGCCCTTTAGCCAAATCTCCTGCTCACCAAACACGACCTTTTTTGAAGGCGACCGCCCTGCACCTCCGCGGTACATCCTTACCAGCGCTCTTGACTCGACCATCCGTTTATGGGAAACGTACACCGGGCGTTGCCTTCGAACCTTCTTTGGACATTTGGAAGGTGTTTGGGCATTGTCTGCCGATACTCTGCGCATTGTATCGGGTGCCGAAGATCGAATGGTCAAGATTTGGGACCCGAGGACTGGTAAATGCGAACGCACATTTACTGGACATTCCGGCCCAGTCACCTGCGTTGGTTTGGGTGACAGCTGTTTTGTGACTGGAAGCGAAGACTGCGAAGTCCGCATCTACAGTTTCAAAAACTAGTTTTCTTCTTAACATATCTTTGCTTTTATTTTTCTTCTCCCACCCAGTGTGGGTTCATTTATACCCCGGTCAGCATTGCGAAGGTTTGACGATTATGTTATTTGGTCGTCATGTTGTTTTATAAGTCTCAATGGTAGTGAGATTTGGTTTCTTTGGAAGGATGGGAAGGCATTCGTAGGAATAAAGGCGTTTTACTTTTATGTATATCACTTGTGGGGCGTTGTCTACACGTACGGGAATATTGGTACGGGAAAAAAGGGTGCTTATCTTGCAAAAAAATATTGATTTTTTACTGAACATAGCGGACTTTTATGTCTAATATCAATATCATTTTCAAACATACAAGCTCTTAAAGTACCTAACCTACTACGTACCTGTTGGGACAGTCTTATCATACACAGCAGACTGTACTCAAATGTGAATATGGCCATCCACATGTGTCAAGTCAGCGTTTCAGAAGATATTTGACCTCCCTCATCCAATGAGGCTTCTTATGCGGAAAATTCTCCTTTTTAGGCTGCGGTATATCGTCAATGTCCAACAACGAGGCCTTTAGGAAGACTGTCCCCGGAGCCGCGAGGACGAGTGACAATATCGGGCTGTAAAAATTGAAGTCAGGGCATTGAGCTGGATTCAAGGTCCGATAAGAATGATGCTTACCTCCCACAGGTACCACAGAATTGCCGCTGAAATGGAGATGTGTTAGCGAAAGTGGTCTTCAATGTTCTCATCGGTTCAGCAGATAGCTCAAATATTTATGCATACCTCTATAACACCTCCGTTGGCAGTGTTCTTGTCTGTATACTTTCGTAGAACGTTCTCGGGGTCATGGACCACAATGTCAGATTCGTTGAGGAGAAAGTTGACTGATGATACTATTTCCGACATGGTTAGCCAAACTGGTCTCGAAATTCCATTACAATACACAGGTGATCTCGAGCCAGGACTGAATCAACCGTCTACCGATACAAAAGAAAGGCGAGGACTTACAACCGCCTGATCTTCGACAATTGTCACTATAAACAAGCTGTTAGCCAACGAAATCAAAAAGTCATGCTTTCTATTCAGAATTCTGCTAATACTTACCAGTAGCACAAAATACAGCCATCGGGGACTTTGTCAAGGGTTACTCGAATGCTGCCACAGTTGCATTGGCCGTCTACCGTCATGGCGACTATAGATAGACTTGACAGTCTCGTCTTTGGMCAAAACTCAGATATGGAAGTTGAAGAATTATTTTGAGGTTGATGTCGTTTGCTGGTAGCAAAGATGAGAAAGATCAGTGGTTTGTGTCAAGCTGGTATGGAGGACGAGTTACTGGAGATTGAAATTATCATGCGATAAAGAGCGAGCTCATGGGACTTTTATGTATCTCAAGGGTGGCTTAACAACAATTCTACTTCTATCTTCTCGAAACCTCACTCGGCTCTAGAGTAAGGTTTCAAGCTTTGTTGTTGCTACAAACGCCTGCATATCCGCTGTGTCGCTGTATGGCAAAATCTTTTCCTCGTTGTCAGACACAGGGCGTACATCCGAGATTATAAATCCAGTCAATCGTCTTTATGACATTATAGGTATTGTGATATACAGATCGCGCGAGTCACCTAGATCTACACGATGATTCGCTGTGATCCGGGGTAGCCGGAGTTCCGAATAGGACCACGGAAGCACCTACACAGTGATAAAATCGCACTTGTACATACAGACTTTAAGAAGGGGACTGATCATGGGTATAATTAACGTACCAATAGTCAAGCTCCTGATTGGTGACGCTGTTGAAATGGATCGTTTGAGCGCATCATCACGACAGAATGCAGACACTTCTCGAATTAGGGCTAGACAAAACTCCGGTTACTCCTTTGGGTAATTGGTTGCTCCTGCAACTCCAATCCTCTAGACGCTTTATTTGTTGTATCGTATGATAATGTCTTTGTGTCACAGAGGATTATAAATCATGAGCTTCACCTCATAGATCTCGATTCAATTTTTTCATTTTCTTGACAGACATCAGTTTTCATCTTGATCACTCGGAGTCTTCCGGGATACATATAGAAGTCACCCCAACCATCTGATTGAATTAAAAATGAGTCTACCAAAAACATTCCGACAGGCCGTTTTCAAAGAGGCCGGTGGTCCATTGGTCATCGAAGAGGCCAGTTTTACCCCTCCTGCTCAGGGCGAGATCCTGGTCCAAGTCGAGGCATGCGGAGTATGCTTCTCGGATACTATCACACAACATGACTATATGGGAGGCGGATTGTATGATTACATTGTATCTCAGCTGAGGAATAGAGACTAATCATTGCTCGGTTTTTGTTTCATAGTCCACAGGTTCCAGGTCATGAGATAATCGGAAAAGTTGTTGCTGTTGGGAGTGGGGTCTCGGGATGGACGGTTGGTGATCGTGTCGGTGGTGGATGGCATGGAGGACATGATGGTATGCATTTCCTTGAAGGGTGCAAATGAACCGTTATAACGTCTATCGCAGGTACATGCACAGCTTGCAGGACTGGTCATTACCAAATGTGCGATAACCAGCTTGTTAATGGAGTAACACGAGGAGGTGGATGTATGTCAATTCTTTTCATCATCTCAAAGCAGCAATCAACATCTTGATTGACATCAACAACAGACGCTGAATACTGCACCATCCGCTCCGAGGCCGCTGTGCGCATCCCCCCAGACGTCGATGCAGCAACATACGCCCCCATGCTCTGCGCCGGCGTAACAGTCTTCAACTCTATGCGTCAGATGCAGATACCCCCCGGCTCAACGGTTGCCATTCAAGGGCTCGGCGGTCTGGGACATCTCGCTTTACAATATGCTAACAAATTCGGATACCGTGTCGTGGCGCTCTCACGGGATAGTAAAAAGGAGAAGTTTGCTAGGCAGCTTGGTGCGCATGAGTATATTGATGGAAGCAAAGAGGATATTGGCGAAGCGCTGCAGAAGTTGGGAGGAGCTTCATTGATTGTGTCGACTGCGCCTGACAAGGCCTCTATTACTCCATTGTTGAGCGGACTTGGGATTAAGGGGAAGTTGCTTATTTTGTCCAGTAAGTACGCTCTCAGATGTCTTCTGAAAAGCATGGTTCTAATTGCTCAACATAGTTGTCAACGATCTTCCAGTGAATACAGGGATCCTGGTTAGTACACCCCGAAACGTTGCAACGAGGCGGCTATTGTGCTAACAGACTCTCAATCAAGATGCGATACGGATCTTCAGTCCATTCATGGCCAAGTGGACACGCAATCGACTCCGAAGAGGCAATCCAGTTTGCCGGCTTGCAAGATATCAAGTGTATGGTCGAGACGTTTCCTCTAGAGAAAGCCAATGAGGCTTATGGTAAGATACTTATTTACCTACATATCTCTGTAGTTTATTGCTGATGTCTTGTAGATGCTATGTTGAAGGGAAGCGTTCGATTTCGCTCAGTTATCAAGATGAACTAGGAATGATTTACGAATGTCAATGAAGAAAGTCTGCTTGTGGAAGGTATACGATATGATAGTCTTGAATGTGTCATATTGGGGGAGTGCCTCGATGTCCATGATATAGTAGCAATGAGAAAGGTACTGAATCGTTGAGGGATTAATCAATAAAATTGATGGCAGTGGGATTAATATTGTGTCTCATTCCGCAAGCTTAGATAACGGCCATCAAATGTGCTGAAATAAAGAATAAAGACACAGAAACAGTGTGGTACAGTAAACAGAAGGCCCCCTTTTCATTGATATCAGGTTAGATGTTATTCATATAAACTAAAACTTTAAATTTAAGAATCAGAAATCGGAAGCACGGCTTTTTATCATAGCTAGACTCACTTAATTTTGTCAATTTTGGTCAAGCACCCAAGTGTCAGCCGGGTTCGCGGACCCCGAGTAGAATTGCTCGAGGCCAGTGAAAGGATCGAGCGAAAATCCCAGGTCCGTTGTACCCGACATTGGGAAGTTCATTAGCTCCATAAACTCTGGGAACTGAGATGGATCCATATTGTCAACGCTCAATGTTCCTAGATACGGACGGAGGAGGTCGGGAGTGTTTGACGTCTCAAGGCTTGTTAAGCGGGCGTGAAATCGCTCCTTGAGATAGTCTGCCTTTGCTACAAGATTGCGAGTCACGTTGGCAGCGCTTGCTCCAACGGCAAAATGTTTGCCAAAAGTCTCGAATACGGCAATGGCATTGTTAATATTTTCTCGGACCTCGGGAGTCAACGGCGACAGGGGATATGCCAGAATGAAGCCGATGAGGGATACAGTTGCGTTCCACTGGAAATGGAAGGCTTCATGCATGCCACTCAAAATCTCAGAGCCGGTAAGGATCTGGTGCATCATGCGTGTTATGGCCATGGCATGCTCAATGCATGAGTTTGCATGGCTGTTGGTCACCGGTGTCAAATTAGTGAAGGCGGGTGAGGTCTGTGGAGGCACTTCGGCGGCAAAAGTCGATGGAAAACATAGAAACGGACGATAGAGATTCAAGGCAAGGTTATGGTAAAGCAGCTCAAACATAAGGCGTTGTCGCTGAAGCCATAGGGGGGCGTACAATTCGATATCGAGCATTTTTCGATCTGTTGAAAAGGGCAGGCCACCGCTTTTTCGCTTTGTCTTCAATCCATCTGGCAACTGGGTTTCGAAGCTGTGGAACACTTCCATCTGTGATTCGAGGAACGTTGCACATTTTTCGAGAGTTTGAGGGTCTTTGTAGATACCTCTTCCGCTAGCTACGACGTCACCGCACTTATCGGCGAGTGCAATAAAAATCGATCGAACAGCGAGCGTCATTTTAGTCATTTGCAAGGTGTACGTCAGCCATGTCAAATCTTCTCCATAAGAAGCAAAGTTTGAGCCAGATGTCAGGGCCAGTTGACGATCATCGGCCGGCAGTTGACAAGAGATTAATGAGAAGGGTGCGCTCCACGGGCGATCGAGCTTCATACACGTCTTACACTCCATACAATATAACGTCCACCATACACGCTTGCGTAACTCTCTTTGCTCTCGCGGCATATCTGCCGGTGGCTCAAGATGCACGCCAAGCAAATGTGCTGTCCGTATAGCGGTGGCCAAACCACTGTAGGCCATATTCTGATAGGACGCGTTGCAGAGATACTTGACGGCGAGAATCTGGCATTGCAGTGTCATCATCGACGGTGTTTCAAGTTGAGAATTCAAAAGCATCTGCGATCGATGATAGTACCATCTACCTGCAATGGTGGCATCATTGCCATCCACAACAGTTTTGGGTTCGGAGCTAGAAGCTTCTCGAGGAAGAAATGCGAGTCCGTATTGCATGCAGATTGCAAGGATGATATCGACCAAAGGCGAAGGCTTTCTTGTTGACGAAGACGTCTTCCACAAAGACCGATAATGCTCACGAAACTCGCCTTCATCCAAGATCTGAAACGTGCAATGGTACGATTCCCAGTAGAGGCTCAGAAAATAGTCTTCCTGTGTTGGGGTCAGATAACTTCCAGATGCACCAAGATCTGCGGAGAGTGCGGTTTCTTCTAAGCTAGAGTCGGATGGCTTGGACGAAGTTGGGCTGACAAATATTTGACTGGCGGATTTGGGCTGGATGTGATCGTCAGATTGGGGTTGCTGGAGGGCAATAGTGAGATCTGATCTCAAACGACTGATATAATAGGTATTCGACAATAAACCATACCACTGGCTTTGTTGCGACTGAGCTCCAGTGATATAGATTCCCTCACGAGGTTTGCCTAGGCCAGCTTGAATCCATCGATCATTGCCATTTTCTGGCGGAGCAGCTGCTTTCACTAGTTCGTCATTGAAAGGGTCAGAAGGTGTCTGGAGCTGGTTTTCTAATTCTCGAATCCTCTCTTCTAACCTCTCAATTTCTCTTTATTAAATGTCAAGTCAGCTTCTGAATGTTATAACGGGTGGCTGGAACTGACCTGACGGCACTCGGGAGCGACCTCGTCTTGCTTCGCTCACGTCTACTACAATGGCCATGTCTGCTTTGACAGTTTTGGCATGGGGAGTTGTTATCGCACTTGATTCTATGTACTCGGCACCAGTCGCAAGCCCTTGTCACTTGGCTGCGTTTCTGTCGATTTGGGGATGCTGTTCTGGAAGACTTGAAAAGTCTACCTCTGGTCTGCTTGCGAAGACCCGCAGCATTGTTGGGTGAGAGGACGACGAACGTCGCAGACATGATACGATGTTAAATTGGGGGGTGCGAGAAGTTGTGAAAGTATTCAGTTGCTGACAGCTGGACTAGTTACAGAACTAGCGGGGTTTAACATCTCATGTTAAGCCGGGGTTATCTCAATGGACTAGAGCATAATCTCCGTCTTACTCTTGGTGATGAGCATTACTAACAACCCTCGACTTCCTGCTCCGCGAAGTCTCGTATAAAAGCGTGAGAATAATTCATTGCTCAATAATGATGGATTTTGGCGACTCAATGTGGTGGATGATGAATGGGGAGAAGACGTTGACATCGATCCTGAGTGGATCCCATATCAAATCAAGGCCATGTCGAAGAAAGACCTCGAAAACTGTAAACAAGAAAGCCATGGCCTTAAAGGAAGTAGAGCGTGGAGTCAGGTGAGATGAAATGTTAAGCGACGAAGCAGACGCTCTCGATGCCTCTCACCACTATAAATTGGTTCATTTTCAGGTTTTCTCCTTTCCATTTTCTCTCTTTGACATACCTCACACGCTACAAATCCCAGCGTTAGCTCTTCACATATGAGATACAATATTCATCAAACGTCCATCATCAAATCCAGTCTCTGTGGCCTTTCATCGATGATCTGAGCTGCATCTAAGCCAGCAGTGATAAAGGTACGTCGACAGCGCTCTGATTTGGAAATTGTCCAAGCTAAAAAAAAAATGTGTCTCAAGCTTTCAAGAACCAATAAAGCTATCGAAGAGATTCAGACCAGGAAAATGTTCGACTGTGAATGGTATCGTTGTATTCTCAGGGGCCTAGGTCGAATCTTCAGTCAGCCAGAACCGACTACTACCCCAACGATTGTCTGCGAGGAATGCCATCATCCGCAGTCACCACAGACTACCAACAAAGCTGTATTAGCCAGCCTCATGACCTTAAATGCATACTTGCTCGCAATATTTGACGACCTCGAGAAACAGTACTGGACAATTCGCAGTGGAGGAGTCAACGTCGTGGTGACTCTCTTGATGTTAGGCTCAGTGCTTGGTTTTGTTGGGGCCACTGTCTGGACTACTCTCCTTGTTCTGCCATATATACTTGGGTTGTGGAATCTGTGGTGCTGTTTCTGGGTAACTCTGGAGCGAATTGTGAACAGCTTCGATGAAAGTGAGGACTTCGTTCACGTTCAGGCTGAAGGGGAGACGGAGACCAATGAATACTTGGGTGAAAGCAAAGACCACATCGACTAAATGACTGAAGGGAGGTTTTTGTATCTTGGTGATCAAGGAATGAGATTTCGAACACCGTGTGATTGTGTGCTGAGATTTGACATGTCTGCAAATCCCCCTCACCGACAAGATAAAGGATATGTTTCATTATCATGACATTGCAGTAGCATCCTAGGTAAAAAAAACATATTGAGACAATTAGTAGCACTAGGGCTTTCAGACCACACACAATAAACGGCGGGTTCCAGTAAATGCATCAGAATTTGTTATGATTCTCACACGAACACTCATGTCATCCTTCTGTTTCTGTCATCATCTCACTTGAAAAGCTCTGATTTTGATTCGCTCTCCAACGAGAGAAGCACGATGAGTTCTCCCTCTCAACAACTTAGTCGAGCCTCTCGAGATCTTTCGCCTACGAATCTGCCAAATATGGATTCTCAGCTTACATACAACAAAGTTCATGAATGGCTCATGAAAAGCCCTGATCCTCCACGTCAGTCACGAGAACGAGCGGCTGCTTCTCCAAAGTCACTGCCMAAGCCACTCTCAACGTCAAGTCCAAAGCTAAGTTCGAAGAATACATCTCCCAGCCATGAGATAAGCCCCCAAAAATCGTCTATGATATGTATAGCTACAAAAAGCGTACCAGTGTCTGAGGATGCTATCGATACGCATAAATTTGGGACCAATATACACGACGACAAAAATGAACGCGACCAAACACTCGTACTCTTTGGCAAAGAGGAGAAAAAACCCATTGACGAAGAAGACGACAATACTGAGACTTATACAGACCATTCTCCTCCAACTTCAACATGGGAAGATGCAGTGATTCTACTTTTCTGCACGATACACTGGCTGACAGTCATGGCGTTGGTATGCTGCCTGGCCGGTCTCATAATCGTTTGGAAAACAGGCTACAGACTTGGACTGGGAACACACACCCGAAGAATTCGAAGAAATGATGTAAATTGGAAGGATTGATATCGGTCCTTGGATCTGCAGGTGGAATAACCCATGGATGAGCCTCAACCTTACCGAGTTTCATATGTACAATCTAAGCTTAAAACAACGACATTTCAAGAAGGAGAGATATTGGTCCAAAGAGGAAGGACCGTGGAAGAATTCAAGAATGTCGATCGTGAAACGCAAGGGGGATCCCTGCAACCACGTGGATGTACTTAGATACCCATCAGAGCCCTACATGGACTGATGCTTTTGAAAACATGAATGATATGTGTTGAACAATCCATGGCACAGCTGAATTCGAAGATATGTAGCATTTGAATACTATGGCCGTCAGAGATCATGCACATGTCTGGCCTATATGCAACACGAAATTGATTAATACATAAAGAAGAAAATCTTGTATGTCATGCAAAAATGTGTTAACCCATGAGACATCCACAAAAAACGTCAAGAAATCGCACCACTCCAAAATAGTATATGCGACGTGTGTATCGGCTAAAGATGTAAAGGTGGAAAATATATAGTAAATCCAGAAATGAAGTATGCATACACCCGTGTACTCCGCTGGAAACCGATCTTGGGATCATCATGTTCCAAAACGCCAATATCCGAAGAGAATAAATCACAGAATAAGTAGAAAAGAGAAGATCACTTAATTATCTTCGGAAGAATCGTAATGAGAGAGTCGGTTTTGTGGTAGATGCAGACGAAGGAGAGGATTGCGGGGATGTGGCAGGATTCGATGGTAATTTCCATGTCTTGGTGGGATTCATTGGGTCGATGAGACTCTGCTCGGGGCAGACGTTGTCGTTTGCGTAGTTGAAGTAGCGTTCCATGATGTCGGTTTTGTGGAGCCATCGTTGAGGTCCGTACGAAAAATGGGATACGATGGATTGGGATTCGACAAGGACGGCTATATTTCATCTGAGTTAGCATATTCACAGACCAGAAAAGTGATTGAACTTACGTCGTCGAAGCAGCCGTGGCATCTCAACGGTCAATTGATGCTCATCGTCACCTTGAGGGTGACCCGTAATGACGTCCATGTAGTCGAGCACATCAGCTCCATGCATAACAATAAAGTTGATACTCAAGCGATATCCACGCATATTCCAAGTCGTACCCTTGCCGTAGTCCTTGGACAAATAGTACCTGCCCAACTCATTGTTTTCGAGATGCTCAAAAAAGCCGTAATGATTCTGAGCGCCAATTTCCCATTGAGTGAGATGAGGTCCGCCCTCTGCATTGGTGGCGGCAATGCTTGAAGTGAATAGATCCGTTTCATTCCGTGTGGGCAACCAGCGGTGCTTGGGAATGTCTTCTGGCTTATCGACGTTGAAGTAGTCTGTGAAGTTTTCGAACTTTGTGAAGTCCAAATTGTGGTCGCCGGACCAGGTCGGTAGTTCTGATGTCTTCCATGCACCGTTTCCGCGTGAGGCGAGCGCGGTCTCGTTTGGTTCCAGCTCCGGCTTGTATGACCGCGCAACGTCTGAATGGTAATGCCACCAACCTAGCGCAGGGCTGTTGACAACATTGGCCGAGATCATGAGCGCATTGGGGTTGTTGATTAGTGTGGTGACGGCTTTGGGGATGGCCTGCGGATCAATAAAGACGACATCGTCATCAATCTTGACATAAATCGTATTTCTTTCCTTGAAAGAGGCCTCATAAACATTGCCATATCCCTTCTCTTCCATGCGAACAACCTTGTAGTCACCACCTGATGCATCGGCTACTCGGTCGAGCCAGGCGAGATCTTCCTTGTTGTCGGTGTTTGCCGCGAAGATGACTTCGTCCAACCAACCACCACTAGAAACCAAATTCTGGCGCAGATAGCATTCAAGAATAGACGAACGATCGCGACGTCCGTAAAAGATGATACCAACAACCCTCAACCCCTCAGGCTTGTGCAGACTCGAAACAGCAGAGGCAAGGTCATCTTCGGAAGAGGTGGTATCATGTGAGGATCCGGTGGTTGAACCCAAGGCAGGCCTAGGCAGCGATGGTAGTGTCGGGAGAGGGGATGCTTCTGGCTCGACGTGAGAGGAGCCCGGCGAAACCATTATATGTGCACTTCCAGTATCCATGTCATCGAGACGGGGGGGAGGCGGCCCCGATTTCCAGAACGGCGGTTCTTCGACATAGACGTAGGCCAGCGAGAACACGAAAAGAGCGACGACTGTGACGGTTGCGAAATATGCAAGGCGACCAATTCGTCCTGACCTGGGATACGTCCACCCCGGTAGTGAGTATTTGTGATTCATCTTGGTAAATTTTGTGTTGTTTCTTATTCCCCTCCTCCTATGCTGAATGCTCCCCTCTGTCTCTGTCCCCGATCAAGTTTCCACGGAAAGACCAATGGAAATGAGTCGGAATAGGATCATGGGACAGGGCAAGCGATGGTTAAATGAGTGGCGATAGTACGTTTGCTTCAGTTGGTGTATGTATCGAAGGACGCTGTCTAGAGAGAAAAGGAGAAGACGAAAGTTAGTCCAGCTTGTTTCCGACTAGTATGATTTCAGGTAAGCAACGCTTACTAGTGCAGTTTGCAGAGAATCAGCGCATGGTCGACCCGCAGTTCAGCCTTGAAGCTTTCTGATCTGGTCGTTCCTGTATCTCTTCCAGGAGCGTGAGCCTGGTCGCTATCGGTCACTGATAGTCTGATGCGGAGTAAGAACTAAGAACCAGAAGGAAACGAGCTTGGTCAATTTGTGTCACTTCCGGAATCAGAACCAAGACCCTGGGCTCTCCCAAACTGTCTGCTCAGAAGGTCAGCGTCGACTTGATGACACCGGCCGGCCAAGCCCCCATAGTAAAATTTCGACGGAACACAGCCAATCACAAAGCTTCATTAAAATCAATATAGCAGCCGCCATGCCGGATACATGTTAGCGTCCGAGAACGACCAGATTTGTTGCCTCAAAATGGAGCCACAGTAGCCAATTAAACTGCAAGGAGAGGGCTCTCCAGGTCATATCCGGCATGGTGAGTCTTGGCACAATGCATGGTGTGGGGCCACGTTGCACCTGGCCCAGTTTAATTTGCCGTTTCCGGTCAGCCTCCACCAACCTTATCATCGATAGCAATACGTACGTTACTGTACGTTACCTGTACAGTACTGTTGGTTTCTCTCTCTCGTGATTGTTCCGTACGGAGTAACTATTCGGGCTCTAACCACAATACAGCTATGTCTGGTCTGCATACTCAAGGACTTTCCGTCCGACGGAAGATCCTTGATGTAAGCATGTACTCCGACTAGCAGTCGTTATGTTGGTGTATCGAATTGTAACGTAACTCGTATGTATGGTAAGCTCGTTTGACAGAACCAAAAGGGGCCGAAATTGTCTCAGACACGGCCCAATGAATTCTCTCGCAAGATGTTGATTTATTGGGGGCGTTTAAGCCTCTTTTCAGCCTCGATATGATATCCAACTGTGGCTTGGCGACACCTTGACATGTAGACACATGTATTTTCTCTACCGATGTGATCTGTTAAAAGCTTCATTGAACTCCGCGTTCAGTGATATGGTCAACAATGAGCAAGAATAAATTGAATGGACTGTTGGCACTAGTACCAACTCACTGAAAAAGTGCAGCCGGCCGCTTCCGTACTAACAACTTCCGACGATCTTAGGGTTAGCTGACAGCCGAAACGTATCAGATACTTTATCCTGAATACGACAATTAGAATAACTACTAGATGAGACTGCACTTTCAACCGTCATGAATGACTCCAAATTCCACCATACTACTCGTTATTATGTGTCGTTTCAAAGCTACCAAGACCGGGGTAGGATTGTACCGACATGATCAACACATGGTTGGACCCATGCAGGTGGTCCGTTTCAAAAGTTTCATTCCAAACCAACAGCTACTATAATTAGATGGCCCATTCCAAGCGGGCAGCGTTGGATCATCCATACTTACTCAACATGCGCACCCGATTGATTGTCTGTGCTGACCTAGACTTTTAGTCAGTTGTCTACTACGCGACTATATGGAGATATTGACGATTGCGCAACGTTTTGTAGTTGATATACCCGACTACCTTCTTGGAAGTTGGGGCCTTTGAGAAGATCAAGGTGTTCCAATGTCGGTTAGTGGACAAATATATCGTTGACAAACAATCATTTCTTTTTGTACAATTCTGAGTTATCTACAATTCTACCCATGTACACAATACCGGTTTGCCATGACAAATAATCATACATGTACCAACCAGCCCGGACGCCAAACCCAAATCCTTTGTATCTCCAGATGTCCCAAGACCTAGTTCCCAGCAAGAATAGAAGATCACTTCTCCGAGGTATCATAATTGTAGAAACCAGGTTTCATCCTGACCTCCCTCCCCAAACACAAACCATACAACTCATCAACATAAGTGGTCCCAAACCTGGCCAGACCACCTTCAATAACCGTCCTTCTCTCGGCACCCGCCAACGATGCCATCGAATAGCTAACATGTCCATCGACCTGATACTCACTAATCGCATCGTTATTCTGTGGTGCTGACGAGGCGTGTGGTTGTATAGATGATTTCCGTTTTGATGGTATGTCTGTCATTTCAACATCGTCTAATCGCGCTACGTCCACCGTCACTTCTTTGCTCACGAGGATCTCATTAATGAATGGATTGAGCACGTTTCTCGTGGGACTAATGCTTGTTGGTGGTGATTTCGGGGGTGGTGCTGACAGGAACGCCGATTTGGTGTGTATATCTGATAGTTGCCGAACCAGGGATTCTTGCGATGTAGCGCGTGTAAGCCGACCAGGTAGTAATTGGATTTTCTTGCTGCTTACGCTTGACTGAAGACGGCTCAAGATCTTGCTTGGAAACACTATAATTTTCTGTGAAGGGTTGATTGAGTTTTCTTCCTCCTTGTGGTTCGCTGTTGACTGTGCAGAGTAAGACGCAAACTCGGCATTCAATTCGCGGATGAAACGTTCCCGTTCGCTAATCTTGTCGTTGACTTGCTCCTGCACTCTAAAGAGTCTGAGCGGTGTGAATGTAAGAGTGGTGTCGGATATCCGAGTATCCAAAGCAGATACAACTCGGAAACAAATCAGTACACACTGCTCCGGATCAGATGGTGATTGTCGATAACACGGTGCAAGAAGCGGCTTTGCTGAGAACCGGGCTGCCGATGCAATATTCTCAGGCAGAATTGTCATTAGCTCAAGCATGGCTCGGTACAAATGTGTAGGAAATGATTCTTCCGCCGCTGTTGACGAAAGAGTGTCGACACTGCTGACGCTGCCGTTGCTGCCACCGATAGTGCTTCTTAGAGCTAGCAGTTGTTTCAGGCATGCCGTGAACCCACATTCATCCATCGAATTTAGCAATTCCAAGTCGGTTTTTGTGAGCGAAGAGATCGGTAGAGTCGAACTAGGTAGTGTCATCCCACCACCAGTTCGGGTAAGTATTTCGAAATGTTCTCGGAGCGTTGGACGTAGACCAAAAGCAACAAGATGGACTCCTGGCGGATAGCCCCTATCACTGCTGGCATAATCACGCATTTCGTGCAGATGAATAGCGAGATCTGTAGGTGATAAATGTACACGACGAGACAGGATATCTGTAACTCGCTCAATTGGAGCGAAGCGATATCCACTCGCCATGAATTTTACTGCCTCGTGCTCATCCAATTGCCGTACAGTGAACATGAGCTGACCCTTTCCTATCCTAGGTAAGGCCCTTGACCCCAACTCGAATCTCGACACCTGAGTGACCGTCGACAAGACTTGGTGGTAGAGCTCTCCCAGACCAGAAAGGGGTAAACGCAACTCGTCAGCCAGGTTCTGCGCGGTTATACAAAAGAAATGTTTGAAGATCGTATCAAAGCTGAATTGTGTATCCTGGTCGTTTTCGGTCACTATGCCGCGCTGATTTATTAGACGCTTGATTTCGAGTTCGTTGCTTTGAAGTGTGTTTTTCATCGATGGGATGATGCCTTTTACCAGAGCCCAGTTGCGGGATGCGCGGAATGCCCATAGGAAGGCTGGGTGGGTGCGACTGAAGTCATCGTCTTTCATGGACTGTTCTAATCAGTATCTGAAGTAGCATTTACACAAGTCGAAGCAAAATACCTTGTTGATGTATCGATCGACGACTTTCCGTGTCGGAAGAAGAGCTTGGGGAGAGACCATGATACGGCCAGCAGGATCGAAAAATGCGCATGACAAGACTAACTGGCGGGCTCGAGTAGTCGATTGATGTCGACGACCTCCAGCAATGATTGCACAAATCGTGAGAGTGATGCAGGCCGCAAATGACTACACAAATTAGCAGGCTAATCGAAACACAGTTTGCGGAAATGACTTACCAATGCCGCACAAATTATAACCGTCTGACTCCGTGACAGCTGACCAGCCCCCAAGAATTCCGGAATACGATGATATTGAGTACCCACGGCAGCTGTCCAATGCATCCCCGAGACCGCGCCAGCCAACAACGCCGCACAAACCAGTCGTCGCCACCAGCTATTCGTCCAGGCTGCTTTCCATCTAAAGAAAATGCTCAGGGCGATGGTAGCAGATACAGTCGCAATCAGAGCAGCGCCGACAATGTAGGCCGGTCCATATGAGCAGTGATAATTCGAGATTCCGAGCTGGCCTAGGTAGTGCATGGCGCATATAGCGGCGCCAGTTCCGATCCCACCGGCGAGAAGGCGTACTAGCGACGGTTTCTCTTCGAAGGAGATGGCATAGAAAGCGGTCGATAAGACTAGTATCGGTAGGAATAATGAGACGATGGTGAACTGGATGTTGTATGATATCTGTTGGGCGTTGCTGCCGTCACCAAGTACAATTGCTCTGTTTCCGATCTTGGCTCGTATTAGTAACGCAACTGCGAATGTTGATCTTGGACAATGGTCACTCACGAAGTGCATACTATAAATACCAATCCCTCCCATGGAAAGAGACGAAGCGAGTAGCAGATACCTATAAAACCCATTAGACACAGACAAACGAGAGGACAAATCCTACGAACCAATTGAGCAGACCAGATCGCGAGGATCGACGATGCAGCAGTTCCAGGCAAGTAGTCGAGCCCATTACACTCACGATATACGACAAAGCAATGTAGCCACCATCGTAGTTCACTGGCATCGGCACCAGGCCGTTGAGCATTTGCTGTGTTGGCGCAGTCATTGTGTACCTGCTTACCTACATGTACTTACCGACTATGTAGGCAGGCATTCGAGACCCAAATTGAAGGATCGACAGGATTTTCCGGAATATAAGAAACGAGCGGCTATATCACGACCGAAGGCATAGTGTTAAAATATAGAGCAGATCAAGTACCGTGCATCAGGGAAGAACGGGGTATTCCGAAGTCAAACGGAGGAAAAATGGGACAGACATCTATCCTAAATCTAAAAACGCCATGTGGCTATCATAGGAAAACCAAGCAAATCCCCTTGGCTGGGTACGGAGTACGATACGTAAAAGTGGGATTGGATCTATCCATAGGGTCGAATTTCAGATCTATCAGGGATGTGGGACTTGCTCTTTCGACTCGACCCGACAGAGGCAGAGATAGTTCGAAGACTTGTGGGCCAGCTTCATGCATAACATGAAGCTCCGTGTAAGGAAAAAGCAAGCTGAACCAATATGAAGTTAATATCATGCCGAGAACTGACTGGGCCTTCCAGGGCTGGTCGCCAACTGTGGCATCGCGAGAGTCCCGGTCTTATTCGGTGCTTAGTGCTTACCGAGGCACAGATCTCGAATGGCTCACGGCGAGAGTAGAATCATAGTACTAGGCTCCAAGCCTCCAAAGTATACATCCTTGAAAATTTCAGATGAACCACACTCGCATCGACCTATGAGTTGGGACTATGTATCCTGCTCAGTCAGCCACTGGGGACCTGGATCGGACTATGTGCCCTAAATCTATCCAAGCGTCATGGCTAGCGCGATCCGGAAATACGAAGAGGAATCTCAGGGAATGTGGGTTTAATCTATTTGCTTGTATCTGATTTGATCCGCAGTAGAGGGGTAAACAAGACTACAGATTTAGTAGAAAAACATTTCTTATGGAGTCTAGATTGCTTTACGTACCAGGTACGTAGCTTCGACTACGGAGTGCATATACTATGTACTTGAGCAGGAAATTCGGCTTTCTTACCTAGGTATTATCCCTGCACTTGTTGCGCAGCCACATGCAATAATCAATATGAAAAAGCGTAGAGTCTAGGCTCGATGCATCTGCCTTGGTCCGAAAAGTGTAATTCCAGAGCCTAGCGATGCAGTATGAGGTTTATTCACAATCACCGTTTCACATCCACGATCCGAGAATCCATTTCTCGATCGATCAAAAGTTTTCTCGCTTGATATTGCCCTAACAGCCCTACGTTCGGGATTCTTGCATTTCTTGGCCCTTTTCAAGATTTTACTGGGTTCCAAGATCCTCGGTGGATAGGAGAGCCACATGGATTTGGTAACATCGACGCTAGGTGAATCCACCGGGATTACGCTAGGAGTTGACGCCGTACGACAGTCGACTTGCGTACGGAAGAGGCCTAATGGGGTAAAATGTAGATACTAGCTACGTAGTTTCTGGTTAGTAAATTAATGCTGATCCATGGACCTGCCTGCGATTTCGTGAGGCTGCGAAGTGCGACTAGCTCCGACTCGGACATACGGCAACTTAGAGCACAAGAGTAGAAAAAGAAGCGAGGAAGATATTAAGGGCAAAACACAAACACTGCTCGATTCTCATAGAGATAACTGCTTTGTTTCACCATTGAAAACCTCAAAGAAGATTCTATTTCCACATCGAAGATCAATCAATCACTTGGCCACCAGATAAACTTTGATTTGTATGCATGAAAAAAGTTCAACTCTAACAATCGTGCTTATTTCCAAGCCCTAATCTCCACTGAATCAAAACAGTGCCCACTATTTGCTGCCTTTAGACTCTAGGGCCTCTACGAATCCCGCCGACACTAAGAGAAGTCAAGAGCTAACATTTGCATGCGATTTCTTGAAATAATCGGGAGTATTTAGCCGGATGCTCCGAGTCCAAAGCAAGCCGAGAACATGTCAAGATTTTCCACGCATGAGACTGTACATGAGACAGATCAATCAAGGGATATAGACACCTAAAAGAAGCAATCGAAGGATGCGAAAATCTAACTTTCTATTTCTCACACAAAGTTCCGTCGGATGTATGGGGACAACCCTATCGTGGTGCACTGTTGTTCTTACGTATTGACAACGCTGCCTGAGAAACTATAACACATTAATAATATAGATGATACAGTTCTGCATGAGTCAGTCCTACCAACCAATAACTGGCATTGTAGCATGTAGAGTGCATGCAATAAAACACCCGCATATACACTTGTTGCATGAAACTAGATGATCTAATTCGAAATGCTGTATTTCAAGCGCCGGATACTTCTTGCTTTGTATTCTGAAGTGCACCCACGAATCTACCGATGAATCCGATTCAAACCTCAACTCAAAAATGATGCTTAATCGGCATACAGGTCACAACAACGCCACAGCCATCGCATACGTGGGTGTCATGTCTTTGACGACGCAAGGGGTGATACCTTTTGCCATCCCACGCGACATGTCACGCTTTGCATCTTATCTCTCTCTTTAGACTCTCGCTCACGATATGTAAATTCTCCGTTTTGATCTGTTTGGTTACATGTACTCCGTAAACTCTAGGCAATTCGGACGCATGTTCCAGATGTCGGCTAGAATGTCTGCTAAATACATTTTGCATGTAACTCGTACTAACTTCTAAACGTACATTAACTTTTTATATTCATTCTTAGCCAAGTTTTTGAAGTGCCCTTCGTCCAATTGGGATTTACAATGCATCGGTGACACAACCGTGGCTGGCATCGCTGACAAGTCTGTAACAAAAAGCATTAGTGTGAATTCCTTGAAAGCGAAAGAGTCAAAACAACATACTTGGCATATTTTCCTAGAGTTCCCCGCATAGTCAATCCGGTAGCAGGTAACTTGCCAGCCGCGCGGTCCGCTTCCCATTGCTTGCGACGCGAGGCCAGCTCGCTCTCCTCGACATGCAAATCTAGAACACGGCTCTCAGCGTCAATGGTGATGTCGTCGCCATCCTTGACGAGGCCGATGGGTCCGCCGACGGCGGCCTCGGGGACAATGTGACCGATCAGGAATCCGTGAGAACCACCAGAGAAGCGGCCGTCTGTGATGAGAGCGCAGGACTTACCGAGTCCGGCGCCCATGAGGGCGGAGGAGGGTTTCAACATTTCTTCATGAATTAGTACCAGTCAATATAGTTCAAGTTCACTCTAGATCAGAGAAACATACCGGGCATGCCTGGACCGCCCTTGGGGCCACAGTAGCGAATAACAACAACAGTCTTGTCCTCCTGCTTAATCTCCTTGCGCTCGAGCGCAGCAACAAAGTCATCCTCATCATCAAAGACACGAGCCTTGCCCTTGAAGATCGTTCCCTCCTTTCCAGTAATCTTACCAACACAACCCTCGGGCGCAAGACTGCCTCTCAAGATCTGAATGTGGCCGGTGTTCTTGATTGGGTTCGACAAAGGACGGATGATCTTCTGGTCCTCGGGGAAGTCAGGGACGTCCTTGACGTTCTCGGCGAGTGTCTTTCCAGTAACAGTAATTCCACTTCCGTCAATCAATCCTTCCTTGATCAAGAACTTGATCAAAGACGGGGTTCCTCCGACCTGGTACAAGTCATTAAAGACATATTTTCCAGAGGGCTTGAGGTCGGCAAGGAGGGGGGTGCGGTCAGATACGGCCTGGAAGTCGTCAATAGTCAATTTGATGCCGACAGAGTCTGCAATGGCGATCAAATGAAGAACAGCGTTGGTCGATCCACCAGTAATGTTGACAAGAATCATGGCGTTCTCGAATGCCTGGCGTGTCAAAATGTCTGACGGGCGGATGTCCTCCTTCAGTAGAGTTTTGATGGCTTCACCGGCAGCCAAACATTCGAGCTGCTTGACCTTGGAGTCGGCTGGGTTGGATGAAGAGCCGGGCAATGTCATACCCATAATCTCAATAGAGCTAGCCAAAGTGTTGGCAGTATACATACCACCGCAAGCACCCTGACCGGGGCAAGCATGACGAATAACATCGAAGCGCTCCTTCTCAGTGAACTCACCCGACAAAAACTGACCGTAAGCCTGGAACGCAGACACAATATCAATATCTGCATTGTTCTGCGTCGCAGCGCAACCGGCCTTGATAGAACCACCGTAAACCATCAAACTAGGTCTGTTGACTCGGCCCATAGCCATCATGACACCGGGCATATTCTTGTCGCAACCGGGGATGCTAATGTTAGCATCGTACCATTGGCCTCCCATGACAGTCTCGATCGAATCGGCGATAAGATCTCGGCTCTGGAGCGAGAAGCGCATTCCCTTGGTACCCATACTAATTCCATCACTGACACCAACTGTGTTGAACTGATATCCGATCAAGCCCGCTTTCTCGACACCCTTTTTGACGAGGTGGTTGAGCTCGAGGAGATGCATGTTGCACGGATTACCGGTGAACCACACCGATGAGATTCCCACTTGGGCTTTGTTCATATCGGCTTCTGATAGTCCTGTGGCGTACAGCATGGCTTGCGAAGCGCCTTGGGAGATGGGCTGTGTGATGGCTCTGGAGACCTTGTTGAGGCCTTCATCGTCACTTCGGCGAGGGAGGGTAGTCGAGAGCGAGCGTCTGCAATCAAACAGTTAGAGATTTGTTCGTTTAGATCAATTGAGTCAAGCAGTCACTCACGAAGCGAATTGAGTATTCTGAAAGGTCTTCAGAGCCGAGGGCAACCGCCCTCTAGTTTGTGACAAAAACATTTTTGCCCTTTGTAGTTGAGTTAAGGGCCACAGCGGAGATTGTCTACCACTAAAAAATGTGAGCTTCTTATCTCAATCTGTTGCATTCGGTTCACAGTAGCGTAGAAACATACCACTCAATAGAATATTGGTTGTAGAAAGAATTCACAAATGTCGGCGGTGAATGACTGAAGCTGATTTTGGAGGAGGTGGTTCTATCCGGGGAAACGAGGTCCATCTCCGAGCTCAGCGCAAAAGTGCGACATCGGCCGGACCAGCCAATCCGCGCGCGCTGTAAGGTCAGCTATGACATCTTCCCCTCAGACAAAGTACGGGGTAATCTTAAACTATTTTCTTTTAATCAGTCAAGCACGATGAGTATCTTCGTTATTTTCATTCAAATGGCAGTACATTGTCATAGTCGTAAAAGGCATGATGCATAGCTAATCATAAACATGTGTATATAGTACAAAAGTATGGTATAATATCAGTGTTAAGGCACTTCTTTGTCTCCTCGCTTCAATTCGCCTTCCAAATCAAGAGCTTCACTGACAAAAGGATGTTTTGCGATTTGATCCAAGCTTTTTCGTCGCGAGTGTCGTTTCAACAATCCCTCTACACAGTCCCGCGCACCCTCAAGTCCCGCGCCCTTGACGGGATCCCATTCCTCATCTTCGTTGGCGTACCGATACCATGACCATTCACACCGTGCGATTCGATGAGGTGTTCGGGCGCGCAGTTTCGCTGGGTCCCCACGGGTGCCTGGCAAAGCGTCAAAGGGTAACCGGTTCTCCATCATGGCGTACAGCAACACTCCCAACGCCCATGCGTCCGTGGAACGTCCATCGTACGGCTGACCCATGAGAATCTCTGGTGCCGCATAATCTTCACTACCACAACGGGTATGAAGAAGAGGACTTTCAGGTGGCTCCGGAATCCTGCGGGACAGACCCAAATCACTTATGGTTATCACCGCGCGATCATATGTGCGCCAATCGGATATTTGCCCCATGGCTGAAGGCGGCAAATTGACCAAAACGTCTGAACAAGAGGTCAGAACCACTATCAAAGCTAGAAAGCAGTGAAAATGGCAGGCAACTTACTCTCAAGTTTGATGTCACGGTGGACAATGAAGTTGGCATGCAGATAGCGTACTGCCCCAACCATTTCGGCAAACATTCGCCTAATCAACGGCGGAGTCATAAGAGACTTCATATCTGATGTTGCAAAATCGAACAGATCTCCTCCAGGACAATAATCCAAAACTAGCAATGCTCGCTTGTCATCGCTACCGAATGCTTTCAACTGAACCAATGACGGATGATTGACCGATTTTAAGATATCGACCTCGCGCTTTAGAGACACTTCAACGCGCTCCTCGTCTGCTCCCCCAGCCGGCCCGTACTCTATAATCTTGACGGCAACCAACTTTTGGGACATCAAACTGGGCATCCGAACATGTCCATCCTTCATTGGCGCATCGTCCGGTATCCTCACGGCAAGACTGACTTGACTAAATGTTCCCTGGCCCAACTGTCGAAGCTTTCTGTATTTCCTCGGCTGCTTCGTACGAATAGATCGTACAAAGTATGTCTCATTCTGAGAGCCATCGGATGCATCACTTTGGATGATGGGCTTCGAGTCTGCTTCTTCATCTCCGTTGCGAGTTGAGCGAGGCGGCGTCGGCGGTCGGGCTGTAGGCAGTGCCAAACCTCGCTTTTCTCCAAGATATTGCTCACGATGCAAGCGATTTGGGTCAGTTGTCGAATCTGCGGAAGACGACGACGAGAGATCGGAGGGATGGCCGGTGCGTGGTAAGCCGTCAGGTCTTTGAAGCGATGCGGGTCCTCTCTTAGGGATGTGTTCGCTCAAACTGCGATTCCGCGAATGCCCACGGACCTCTTCATGTCCTCCCAACCCGCTTTCTCGCACCTCACTACCAGTGAGTCGAGTACTACTATATCTCCTCGACCGCGACCTGGATGATGCCGTTCGGAGCAAATGAGTGGAATCGCTTAGGCGTAAATTCAAGAACGAACCACTGCGCGACAATGTGGACGACGTTCGCGAAAGAGAATGCGACGAGATTGTGCGGCCTCCAGAACGCCACGAGGCCGGGCTGAGATATCCGATCGGCGACGGCAAGGGAGTGATGTCAGCCATCGCAGCTAGCGCAGGAGAAGACACAGTCGACGATCGCATTGACGAAGGAGAAAGCGATTCGGTGCTGGACATGGTATTCACCCTCACAGGATAGCTAGGAGTTCGCCGAGAGAGGCTGGTCGAGGAAAGACTCTGGCGTAGAGACGAATCATTGTCGTTCAATGGAGTCACCGGTCGATGGTTGGGAGGCAGGTCGGTATGTACATATAACGGAGGGAATGGATTGCTTCTGGGGGCATAATGCGCTCCATTGTACGAAGCCCAAACAGAGGCTATTGTATTGTTGTAAGGGTGCGAGTGTGAAACATTGCAAACGGGCTCCGAGGTTGCTGGTGTTGACGTCTTCGTCGTTCGGCCTTGGAATTCCGCAGGCAGTAAAGTCCGGGGATTTGCATGCTGCGACTGATCTTCTGACCCGACGGTCTGCCGTTGAGACTCGGGAGTCGACATAAGTATAATGAGATGGAAAAATGAACAGTCCAACTCCAAGACACGAAAATTCCCCTTATCTCCCTCTTCCTCTGTTTCTCCTGCCCTGGACGTAGTCGCAAGGAAGGTTTCGGGAGAGAAGCCGTACTTGCTTCTAGACGGAAGCGGACGAGTCACCTGGCTTGGCAGCGATTTTCAGTATGGATCGGATTGGAATTGCCAGTGTCAGCAGAGCAATCCGAATTTTTCTCGCTTTTGTTGGTACAGCTAGTTAGACAGAGCCAGGTGCATCATGCACATTAGTCGAGCGCAAGCGGCAGGGTGTTTGAGACTGCGTACAGTACGAGCGCCGAGCCTTCTATAAAAGCATCTTTTGGAGATAGGCGCCTGCAGCTCTGATGGTACCTAGCCAGTCCAACGTGACAGTGTAGCCTAAGAGGTAACAGGGTAGCTTCAGGCTATAAGTCATTTGTCCTGTCAAACCGTCCCATTTTTTTTTTCTCGGGTGAAATTACTGGGAGCCAGATATGCAACGGTAAAATTAAAATGAGGCCCGCTCAAGCCTTACGTAGTAAGCCTTTAACCCCAGTTTACGCGGGGCGGGTCACGACTCACGACGCGACGATACAGTAGTATGCACGTATGTAGCTGGCACGGCACGGAGTATATATAGTAAAGGCACTCAGAAAGGATTTGAGAGACTAGTCCAGTCAACAACCATCAGATTTGTAAATGTTTGCATACATAGTATACTCCGCGGATGTTGACCGTCGGGTAAATTTCTTGCTTATCCAAAGGCTGGCAAATGAGCAGTCAATCTTACCCAATCAGGCAGTTCCGCCAGAGCTTGGAGAAGATCGCATCGCGTCACGTGGAGCCTGTAGTGTACCACACTGGCGGGCCAATCGGGTGGCCTGAGCCAATCATTTTTCAAAGACGCGTATTCAGTTTGTATGTAGCATGATGTATCACATACAATGTACTATGTACAGTGACCTCACCTGTCAAAGGGAGCTAGGCCTGTATGTATGGTCAAAGCTCTTGCCTATCCCTAGCTGCGAAGCGCATAATCAGGCCATGATGCGACGTACACTGCCCAGGTCGGTATTAATTACAAGGCAGAAGACCAGTTGTCTATGTGCTCATTGCAACATGTATTATCTAACACCCAGGTGGTTATAACCATGCGATCACCGCCATGCTAACATAAATAGCCGCTGAAATGGAAAAACGACAAACCAGAACAGAAAGAAAGGTTCTATATGTACAATACAATTTCCAAATGAGCATATCCGGTCTGAATCCGTCAAGAAATGCCAACATTAATAGTATGCCCTGACGCCGGAGTGAAGAAGTAGGTCCGAATTGTTAAAGACCCAAAATGAACTTTGTTAATACACTGCGCGAAGGTGAAGCGCTGGTTGATTGTCGAAAAGTCTCTCTTGCGAGATAGAGCCGTCATTAATGCAACGTTGAAAATAAGCGGCGAGGCGAAGAACTTTTTCCGTTTCGATTGGGCTCGTTTACTCGAAGACAGCCTTGCGGATAACCTATACATGAGTTAGCAATAATACTATCGCCAAATGAGAAGCAAGACGTACGGTCCAGGCCCCGGCTATGCTAGCAACAATACCGCCAGAAATAAGCATAGGTCTTGTGCCTCGGGTACTCTTAAAAATCATTCCACTCAAAGCACCGGCGACAATGCTGTTGGCAGCATCGTGCTTGCCACGAGTATATCCAATCATGGAGTTGATACCATTATACACCATAGCCACAACACCTGCGCTGTTTCCCAAAAACGGTCCTCGTCGGGTAATCGAGTTAAGCACACCGTTGAGACGCAGCTTAGGTGGAGCATTGGCCGGTGTTCGTTGTAAACCTTCTGCCAATCCCCAGACTCCTCCTATCGTAAGTCCGGCCAAATATGTCGATCCAGCGCCGTAACAAAGATCATCAGACCAGCCCCTTGAGGGTAGGGCGGACCGTGAGCCGGGGATTGCGTCTAAAGCGGAGTCTTCTAGTGAGAGATAATCAAGCGTGTCCTGATTAAGGCCTGCTAGCGGGTGCAGTTGAGAAGGGTCGGGGAATGATGTTTGTCCGAGAAAAGAGGACACGTCTTGCGCAGAGGTAGGGTCGAAGGCATCTTGTGAGGTGGTCGCCTTGCGGCCGCTGAACGAGTCCCAAATAGCCATGACGGGCAGAATAATCAACTAACGAAAAGCGGAAACAGAAAGAAAGTCGCAAGGGAGAATTGAATAGGTCGTGAGTGACAGTAGATTACTGCGCAGATGGCCGATTCGATATCGAGTGATGGCTCTGAGATGGACGAGTTGACATTGATCGAACCTGAAGTTAGGATTAAAAACTTCTTTTTCCTTCTGACGGCAAGCCCAAGTTCCTAAGGGAAAGAGCCACTCACGGCGCAGAACGGGGAAGGAGCCACCGGGCCTGCGGAAGAACTCTCGGCCCGGTCAGATATCCATGCACACTAGTACCGAAGTGGAAACATTTCTTAAATTTCCACAAGAACAACCACAAGGTGGGATGACTCTGGAGTTGCGGGAAAGAACATTCTAACCAGCAGTTTGCTTTCAGGTGCTTCAGATAGTCAGAAATATGACTGTCCCCAAGGCTAGCCTTCTTGGTGGCGGTGTACAGGATGTGGAAGCGGACATCAAATCTTTTTCCACGAATATACAACTGGTTCCCGAACAGACTCTGCTAAGAATATGCAAAGGACCACTCAAGATATTTGTACAGACTTGTCAAAATGAGCAGTGAGCGTGACCTCCGATAGAAAACGTATTCTCGTCCCGTGAACTATAACTAATTATTGTATAGACAAATCAGAATTGCTTGGGAATCACTGTTCCTCACTTTCTCCACTAGATCTATGTCGAAAGGACAGACACAGGCTGCATGCAACGCGGTGATCCATTTTCTAGAGAGTGCATCGTCCTCGAGTATATCTACAACAAAAGATATGGCATATTCAAGCCAAACATGGCTTGCTGTGTTCGAAGTGGTGCTGATAAGGTTTGACGACACTACGCCCAAGCCGATGAAGCAGGTCCTCAACGGCCTTTTCAAGTTTCTTAAAAAGCACCCAGATGCTACTGAAGCCCAACGAATAGAAGCCGGAGTCATGGACAAAATTATGCCTAGTATCATCCTGGCAGATAAATCACGGTTGAAATCATCTCTCGTCTCTCTAGAAAGACTTTTACGAGAAAGTGGTATGTCTACCTCGACACTGATGTCACTGATTTATGACTGGCTGGTGGCACACTATGAAGAATGGCAATCTCTATATGCTAGGCACTGTCAAGCCTTATCGGTTGACATATCGCCATTACACAGCACCGATGTGAAGTATGACGATGTGAGCATTAGTGTGAAGCATAGTATTTCAACCATTTTCAGCCTGGCAATTCTCATACATGCAAAAGAACATGGGTTCGTCTCGACAGGTGGATCTTTGATGGCATTTCTGCACAAAAATGCAAACGTAGAAAACAAAGACACCGGGCAGAGCTGCTATCCTCTGACGAGCTGGATTCGGCCCACCAAGCACATCATGCTGGAAAATATGGAATACTTGGAGCTATATTCCAGATCTATTCTTCTGCCCCTATTAGAAGCAGACATCAAAGCATTCCGATCCTTCATCGCGGACTTGCCATTGGACCCAGTCTTAACGGGTAATATGGAAGGTTCGGGAAGCGTTGATGAGTTCATTCTTCTTTTCTCTGCATTGGGGGTTGGTAAGAAGATCGGCTTTGTGCATGAAGATCGTAAGTCGAATCCATTTCTGGCTCTACCTTGACTGGTCTCGCTGACAATCTATAGAGTTCGAGAAACGAACAGCTGCGACAAGGAACGTGGACGTTGCAGACATACTTATTCTAAAAAGTGATGTACTTGGTCGCTTTTTGCTTCACAACGAACCGAGAGTAAGACTGTTGGCCCTTTCACTTCTGACAACGGCACCCGTTATGTCGAAACCTATATCTGCAATTGCCTTGAACAGTATATTGGATGGTCTTTATTCCATTAACGCCGACTCCGACGCATTCATTCGCCAGGAAACGATGTCTTATATGCGTAGACTTATGTTACGTTTGCGAGGACCAGGAATTCTGAAAGATTTCATGGAAAAGGAAGGAAAGGATAGTAAGATATTTATGGAGCATTACGTCGATTTCCTTGAGAAAGAGCTGCTCCCAACCGCTTCCTACCAACGCCATATATCGGCGCTGAAATCGATATCACTTGTGTTGAAAACTGGTATCGACCCAAATGCTACTCATGTTCCAGAAGAGGAGCAGGTGTTGTGGCGGTACAAAGTGAATATTCTGCGGCCCAGTCTTTTCAGACTACTAGTGGATCTTCTCCTAGACCCATTTGAAGAAGTCCGAGCAACCGCTCTTGCACTTATTGGTTTGTTCCCAAGACACCTTTCCAGTCAAGCAAAGCATAGTGCTTTTGATGGTGGTTTAGTTGTTGCGGAGAAACTGGTGACTGCACTGTCGAGGGCTGAGGCGCTTGCTAGTGGAACCAGTCGAGCAGACCATGCGGATACGGTTGCTAGACTGTACCATGCCTTATATTCAACAGCCAAAGACGGACACGAAACAGGGGCTGTAGATTCTTGGTACAGTACGAAGATTGGCGTCGCAAATGAGATTTTACGAAGACTTGAGGTCAAGCTTTCTCAGGAGACAGGGCTTTTTCAAGCCTCTGTTAGAGACGCACCACTTCATGGAAATACGTCTGCCCTAAGGTGAGCCGAATATACTATCTCCGCAGAAGGAATCAATCACTCACTTCAAAACAGATACATCGTGGCAACTCCAAACTTCTATGCGACAATCTCAGGTTCAACAGACGAATATGATTCATCGTGGCGAAAAGTGCATCATCGAATCGTATCAATATGTGAAAACATTTGGACAAAGGTCACGCCAGTTCTGTGCATCGACTCGCCCGAAGGGCATACCGATGAGCTTATAGAAGATTTCATGGTTGGACCAAAGGACTTGTTGTCCTACTCGTGGCGTGCCCTCAAGGATTCGAGGTATGAATAATCGATCAATATGAAACGTCGCATAAATCTTACTGACAAATGAAAAAAGTCTTCTGCTTCATGCTATTGTTTCAAATGCGACTTATGCGCCAAATGATGGGCTCCGACGTGCTGATTTTGAGACCATTGGTACTCTGAGCTTCGTTCAGTTGTCGGAACTTAGACACCGTGGTGCTTTTAGTACTGTTGCCCAGACATTTGCAGCATGCTGTCTGCGGTGCGCTGAAAACAAAAACTCTGAGATTTCCAGTCTTCCGGATATGTGGTACCAGGTAAGCAAGATCTGGCTTAAGAGTGGCCAATGGCTGATATCATGTAGAACTCATTGAAGATGATACAACATCATGCTTCCAAGCTGACACGAAGATCTGCTGGCCTTCCAGCTCTTGTGACTGGCATATGTATTTCTAAGTCTGGAGACCCCTTGTTTGGCAAAATCATGGACGATCTACAGAATATTGCAAGCACACCAGCCGTCCAAGTGTCTAGCTACAATGAGCTTTCCCTGCCACAAGTTCACGCCATGAACTGCCTCAAGGATATTCTCGCAACTTCGAAATTAACTTCTTGCACCGAGAACTATATCATGCCTGTTCTCAGATTCGGAGCAGACTCTTTGAGCTCCCCAATGTAAGTCTCAGTCATTCTCCGCATTGGTCAATCTTTTAATAACGACGCCAATGAATGACTCATTAATTTCTCATAGTTGGGCGATCCGAAACTGTGGACTCATGCTTTTCCATGCCTCAATGAATAAAATGTGCGTACGTCGCCCAGGAGTACCGTTTGGATTTAGTGGAGATTCAGGTGTCGAGCCCAATATGTCACTCGCTTTTCCGAAATATGAAGGTTTGACACAACTTCTTGCTCAATTACTTGCATCTGCAGACGAAGCTCGAGACGGTGGCCGGGAACCCGAACAGGGATTACTAGCTTCTAACGAGACCGAAAAAGTGTTCCCAGCCTTGGGAATTATCGCAGAGAAAGTTCCGTCTACCTCCAATAACGATGATGACTTGCTACGTGGTTTGGTTATACATCATATCAAGAGCACTATATGGGCTGTCCGTGAGCAGGCTGCCAGAGTATACGCGTCTCTTCTCCGATACGGCGATATGTTGTCGTCGATTAACGCATTGATGGATGATGATTTAGCCAAATTATCTCAGATAAATCTACATGGCAAAATGCTGTGTGCGCGATATACGTTGCTAAGGGCGTGGCATTCGACTTATTGGCGCGGTAAGAAATGACCTATTGCCTTCGCACCTTGAAAAATTTCTAATTGACTCGTCGTAGACAATGTCGATGAAGTGCTCGCGACTGTACGGAAGGTCTTTGCAGGGTTCTTCCCATTTATAAGATCCCCATTCGGCCAGGGTACATTGCTTGATATCTTGGTAGATGTTCTTGAGAGCAACGTTAGTTCCGGCAAAGAAGGTATGTACTCTTGTCCGAACTCCTTCTGAGCAGAGCATAGTAACTGACAAACTTGACTTCTTCTAGTCATCTCTAAAACTACCCAGTTCGTGAGCGAGTTTATCAGCGACTACTCCCTCGAGCATGGTCTGGCAGAATTAGTCAATTCTGGACCCCAGTCTCCAGACAGAATAAGTGCAAAGCGCGCTGAATCTTTGCTTCGCCGGTCACTTGCCTGGTGTCTGATATTGAACAATACACTGTCTATTGTTGTCTCTGCCGCAGACACATCGCCTGCTGGGCTTATGGGGCCATTCTTTGATCTTTCCGCGAGCGATAGCGACGCCACCTGCTGGATTTTGGAACGCATCCGTCTCGTTTTCCCTAGCTATGAGGGACAAAGGGAATTCCTCAGTCTTTATCTCCTCGTTTTACTTCAAAGCTTTCACGAGGAAAATGTCAAAGCACGGACCGCCCTGAATCTTGCAGAGATCTTGGAAGACGCCTTAGAAAGGGGCATTGAAGTTGAATTTTCAAGTAAATGGGCACGAGTGTCCGATCATCTCTCACTTCAATCAGAAGAGAATATTTGGAGTCGTGAACTCGGTGAAAATGTTCTTCGATTGCAGGGGTCTTTGTTGACCTTGAAGCACATGCATGCAGAGAGTGCAGATCCGACCACAGAGACTAATGGTGGGCTTGACTCGCTTGATCTTCGACGCTGGGCTGTAAGCCTTCGATCTGCGCTTAGTGAAGAAACAGTACGTGATTCCGATCTTATTCAGTTTATATTATATCTGACTTGTTGTGTGATAGGTATTCTCTGCCCGATCATCAGCCATCATGTCACTGAAAACGTTCAGTCGGATTCTCCGTAAACCCAACCAGGCAGCTGACACAACACCTGATACTCTTGACATTTACTTGATACTATACGACATGCTAAATGACGACGATGACGAACTTCGTTCCCTTTCAGCCCCGATTGCTTCATGGGTACTCTCTCACTCAGCCATTTTCCCTAATCAAGCGGTCACACTTGGAGCTCTGCCTGCGAGCGAGAGTCTGGTTAAATTCATAATTGAAAATTATGCGACGCAACCAGCCTTGTTTCAACATGTTATCACACGCTTGATGAAGGAGACGCTTTCTCAGAAGAAGCAAACAGACTTCAAATCTTTTGAGACGTTGTTCGAGGACTATTCCAAGGAAAGTCTCGCTCTTTTCGAAGAAGAGAAACAGAACTTATTCATCGACGAAGTTCGAGAAATCGATATATGGACAAAGGTTCTCAGGCATTTGGACAAATCTGCCTATGATCAAAACACTATCAACAAGCTTGCGGCTTGGGTGTCAAATGGCTTGACATATCTCAACAACAAAGTGACATCTTCTGCCGTTGACGGTCAGGAAGATGATGTCCTTGGCTGGACCTCAAAACCTGAGGTTTATACCCTGGGCTGTTTGCTATTTAATGTTGCGTCATTGCTCATCGCCACTTCTGAAATGGAAGTGGCTGGTAGCTTCCAACGCGCCCTGACGACTTTGTATGAAAAAGGTCAGATGATCTCTCTGCATTCTCAGTGGCTGGATAGGATTCAAGCTACGATTTCTCTCTCGAGAAAGATCTAAGTAGACATAAAGATATTATCAAAGTTAACCAATGATATGTGATTGACGTCTTGTTCTTCTGAAACTCGTAGTAGGAACGCAGCCTAGAGGAAACAAGGTTATGTCCACTTTTGTTTGTTTGCTCTTTTGTCGAGGTTAGGTCATTGAGGCCTGTATGAGATGGACATGAGGAAACTTGACGGAGAAGTCCTTCTCTTTGAAGGTGGCCTCGAGGTATTGTTTACATCAATTACTGCGAGCTCCTGACAGATATGGTCGCCTTATTGTGATTTCCCAATTAGATATTTTGGGGGTCTCCTGTCTTTCTTTGCTACAAGCTTCTTATACTCAGTCTACTTAATCTCTTTGCACAATCTGCAGTGATGATCCATTTCCTTGTTCAGACTTAATTTCGATATCCGTCTTTGAATTGACATTATTTCCCTCTCAAAAAAGACAAACGTGAAGTCTGAAAGGGTTAACAAACACCCTTTTATTATGGTCCGATGGGCGACACCGCGGAAATATTCAACATGACTTTCTCAAAAAAAGAAGTGGCCTTTATACTCTGGATTGCGCTGTTCATCCTTGTCATCGCTGTTGGCGCGTTATACGGACTCTTTCGCACCCGCCACCTCGAACCTGACAAAGTCATATCGAGCGAGCCAATTGTTACAAGTCCACTACTTGGTCACTGGCGCAACTCGTGGAAAAATTCTTGGTCTGACTCGTGGATCAATTCATGGGACTGGCTGCGACGCGAAAGACACGATCAACTCCTTCCAACATCCCATACTACCTCAAAGTCAGCCTCTGTCAAACCTCTACCGACAACAGAGGATATCGCACCTTCGATAGATGTGAGCCCAACAGAACGACCTCTACAATACACTTTTCTAAGCGGAGATCGCGCTCGAAGGATCCCAAATGCTAGTCCTCCATACCTCGACAAATTCACAAGTCAAAAGATAGTACCCTGGGACACAGAGGTGCCCGCCAGTCCCCAGCATTGGAGGTTAGCCAATAAATCGCGAAAATCTAGATCATCTCGAGGTCGAAGTATAAGTCCATACCGACCGTCGTCTAATGGAATCTATCATTCACAACCCATAGATATCCCGTCGAAGAAGAAACGTAAACCACGCCCGACTTTTCCTTTGCCGGAGAAATTGATTTGGAAGGCTCTTACTCCTTATGAGAGAGCTGGCATGGTCTGGTACCACAATGGCGCGCATTAGTTTGCTTATCGCTTCCCATGCTGAGGACAGAAACAATCTGGGGAGAATACCCAAGGGAACAAAATATGACGGGTGATCGAGAGATACATGAAATGAAGACTGGAGGTACCAGTGCAGGGCAGGGCCAGCCACGTGATTACTCTACACACACATTGCCTGCATACAACCATGCATGCTATAGCACAATGAGAGATGAAAGCACAACCGGTTCATGCACTGCCTATTTTAGTTTGAAGGTGGTAGGCGCTAGGGGATACGGAAGTTATCTGTCTTTGTCTGGATAGCGCCATACTTGGAGCTGGCACAATCATTCAGGCTCTGTCATATGTGACCGTACTCGGATCGTCGCAGGTACATACTACATACCACATACTGTGACGATGCTGGAAGAGTCAAATTCCTCAGCAGCAATCGTCGGCGGATGAGCAGAGAAGCGAACAAGCACACATGCTCGAGTCCATTGGACTACTCCGTGTTTCTTTCACGTTTCTGACATCTTCTTAGCTAAAGTTAATAGAATTTACCTCACAAAGAAACACGTCGAAAAAGAATAAGAAGCTTTACTGTGTCAACCTCGTTCCTTGGGCCTGTGTCTGGGTCTAGCCACCAATCAAGCTATAGATAGCTATGAGGAAGCCTATTAAGGCGCTCTAAGTATTCTTTCATGAAAATGATATGAAGGAGACTACACTAGAATCGGATGAAAGGTTCTAGATCAGGAACGTCATCCAACTCGGGAATACTCGCCTTCGTCTGGGTCTTCATGTCATATGCGGCCGGTTTCCTTTGTTATCGAATTTAGCAGGACTTTGGATCTGTCTATTCAATCTGCACGGACTTTTACTATGCTAAAGATCTTGCCACAACCCATGGCTACATAGACGATGGCTTGGGTATATAGACTGAATGGTCTTCTCCCAGATATTTCCATATTCCTCGTCTGAATCGTCACAATCTTAACTGCCAAGTTGATCCACTACACAATCTGGTTAGAAGCAATACCACTTTCGTTCCAAAGTTTGATAAAACATGACCACCATGGCAAGCGTTGTTACGACTCGCCGAACCTTTGGAACCCCATTTTCTATGCTCAGATCCTCCCGCTTGGTCTTTAAACAGTATGCTCATAAACTTTATGCGACTTTACATGTAGGGGCAAAGCACAAGGGAGACACCATGGACAAGACACCCAGAATGTATACTTCGAAGCGCCTCAAATTCGATTCCGACGATTTCAAGAAAGACGTCTCTCAGCTTTGTGCCACACTCAACTCAGGTTATGAGGAAAAGGTTATGAATGCAATTCTCGATACTTATAAGAAGAATTTCGAGCGCGGAGCTGTGCTCTGGAAAGCTACAAGCAAAGAAGATGGCGTTGCATTTCGGTTTTATGAACGCGAGAGAGTGGACGTCGTCGGGCCGGCAATAAACCGTGGTCTGATACCATGTAGTCATCCGATGATACCTCTTATCACATCGTGGGCAGATTTTAAGGAGAATGCCATTGCTTCCTGCGACTTTGATCCGGCCAAGGGACTCAATAAGACCTGGATATGGCTCSGKGGKCGCTTTTCTCTCGAAGAGCTTCTTGCAGCACCAAATGTTCCAGACACGCTCCGCTCCCTGGAACCTAAATTAAAAGATGCAGGTCTACACACTGTTCGTCATGCTGCCGTGGACTGGCGCTCGTCAACAGTCAACATTTACTTCTGGGTCCCGGGACCGATAGCCTTGACAGCTGTAAATAGATTGATTGCGCTCTCCGGATCAGAGCCAATTGACGAGGAGGCACTCGCTGCAATGAAACCATTCTTCAAGCCCAATGGCTTCACTTTCGCAACTACTATTGACTCAGCTACCGGCCAGTTCAAGCGAGCTGCCTTTTACGCCCTTCGCTTAGATAGCAACAACCTCCCGGTCATGGGTGACCGGCTAGCTACTTTCTTTAAGGAAGCCCCAAGCCTCGACAAGAAAGAGATGAACATTGTCGCTTGGAGCTTTGCTGGCGGGCCTAGCGGGTCCTCGAACTATATCAAGGGCGAGCGCAGCTACGTCGGAGATCTAGAGCAACTCCTCAACGGCTGGGGTTCTCCTATATGAACTAAATGTTTCACCCCGTGTTTTCGTCTAACGTCTTTCTTTCCTTTGCGTTTTGCCATTCTTCGATGTTGTTACATACTAAGATATTTATTATACTTACAAATTTATGTCGGCCATCTCTTTCTTTGTCTTTTCCTTTGGGGTGGGTGTTTGCTTTTGCTTTTTCTTGATACCTATTGTTGCTTGGTAATTGATCTAGGTTTAGTCACGAACACAGACTATTTCTTTCCTTTCCTTTCTTTCTCCAAATAGTCTTCTTTGTTCTGCGATCCAAGAATCTCCTAATACGGAAAGTGGTGCCCTAGTTATGCCTTAGTGCTCAGGCAGAAATCTAGTCGGCGATTGCTAGGTAGTACTCGACACCTGAAGGCTCAGGCCACCACAACACCTTCCCTCCAAACGCTCCTCCCGGCTTCAGCAACAACAGGTAGACAACCCCGCGAAGACAGCAACAACAACCATCGCGCAATAGCAACTTCTTTCTGAGTCAATTACCGAGTCAATAATTCAGCACACGGCTTTCGTCTAGATCCCACCACCTTGGGGCACGCTCTACCTGGCGCTTCTCGGTTGTTCTTTGAAGGCGGCGATTTCCTTTGTCAAGCACAGTCGATCCAGACAATCTACTTTCCCGCTCGTCGCCAGCCCTTCCGATCCAACATCAGCTTCTATGGATTCTATTTCCAGTTGAATCTGAAGACGACTCGTTCCATCAATTTGCCCCTGCATCAGCGGATTAGAGTGCTGTCCTCCTTGGATTTAGTTATTGTTGTTGTCGTTGTCTTATTATCTGGCGGCTTAAGCTCGGGAAGCTAAAGCACCTGCCCACCTCCTTCCGGTCAATCGAACCCGCACTTCTCCAACCACGCTCAACAGAACAAAACAAAACATCGCGATCATGTGGAACGACGAGGATAACAATCCCTACGGCGCCTTTGATCGCCCAGACGGCCATCTATCTGATTCACTGCACTCCGGTGCCGTTTCTCCTCGTAAGTTTACTTCTTTCTTCTTCCCTCGGCCATGCGGGCCAATGACGTCGTAACGCTCTTCTAATTGAGGCTCTCTCAACTTGAAGCTCCCTATGATCACGACACCTCCGAACCCTCGTCGCCCGTCTCGACCCAACCACCAGACTATGTATCGCGCTTGACCGATAGCGAAGATGAGGACGACAATGATTTTGAGATTCGCCAGCCGCAGCCGTCCGGTCGCAAGAAGGGCGTGTACGATAGTCGCATTGAGCAGATACTCTATGAGAACCCCGAAATGCCTATATTGATCACGGATGCTGGCAAGAACCATGAAGGAGGAGGCGGATACATCGTTTATACCATTCGTACGGGGGTGAGTTACAACAGTAACTATTTGGAGAATATTTGCGTTGGCTGACTGGACTTCCTGTCGTATTTGTATAGGACTTGGAGGTACGGCGACGATATTCGGAATTTGCTTCGTTAAGACAGACGCTTGTCAGTCTACATCCAACCCTTGTGATTCCACCGATACCCGAGAAACATACAATGGCCGACTATGCTGCGAAGCCGACCAAAGCGAAAGAGGATAGTGCCATAATTGAACTTCGAAAACGCATGTTGGGTGTGTTCCTGAATCGATGTCGAAAGATGAAGGAAGTGCGCGAAGATGGCGTCTGGTGGCGCTTTCTGGATCCTAATGTTAGCTGGGTGAGTATCTTTTGTTGCACTTTTGTCGCAAGACCTTAGTCCGTGTTCAAGAAAAAACAAGGCTGATCAGTACAGAGCGAGGTTTTGCATTCCCACCCTGCATCATCAGTCCCAAAGAACAACCTGAAAGCTCCGCCCTTAGATCCAGCAAATCCAACTCCGGCCCACGCCTGGCTTCCTGTCCCTTCAGCATCGGCAAAACTGAGATCTTCATCAACAACAAGTGCTAGCGGTACACCTGCTTCACCGTCCGAGTACTCTCAAACACCATCAACAGCTGCGCACTCGACGCCGGGTGTACAGGTACTAGGCCGCTTCCCCCCGACATCCAAGACGCTCAGTGAACAAGACCTCGATCCATACTTTATTAATTTCGAAGCATCGACACGGGAGCTTGAGCTGTTGCTGCAGGGAAACATTGAGAAAGTCAATCGCCGCACTTTATCACACTTGTCTTCGCTGTCTGCTGATTTAATGGAACTCGGCGCCCGCTACAACGGATTTTCACTATCAGAACAGTCCCCTACCGTCGCCGCGGCTATTGAGCGCATCGGTCAAGCTGCCGACACATCTTATATCGAAACAGAAGAGCTCTCTGCCGCGTTGGGAGCTAACTTTGCGGAACCCATGCGGGAAAGTGCCCAGTTTGCAAGCGTTGTTCGTAGCGTGTTACGATACCGAGTGCTTAAACGGGTGCAGGAGGAAATGACAAGAGATGAGCTTGCGAAAAAGAAAGCTTTGCTTGAGTCTCTGGAACGAAGTGAGCAGGAAGCAAAACGTATCGATCAGTATTTGAATCAGGCAAACTCTACATCGACGGCGACTAGGTCATCTAGGTCGGCATCTGCTTCTTCGGCGACGAGCAGTGGGCAAGGCGAGCACGATACATCTCGGACTTCTGAAGACACAACCTCTATCGACTCTGATTTTCCGCCCACCCATGGTGATATCTCCCCTCAAGGGTCTCCAAGCCAGGCCAACCCGTACCGGGATGTGCCACCTGCTCACCGCAAGAGCCCGAGTGGAAACTTTGTCACAAATAAGCTATTTGGTCGTATCAGTCATGCTATTCATGGATTTGCGGATGTTGATCCTGAGCGAACGCGCCGAGATCAAATGGGAAAGACCAAGGAAAGTTTGGTCCAGGTAAATAATATCATTCCTTTTGACACATAAGTTATATCTAATGAAGGTTCTACGTTAGCTGGAACAAGCTCTCCGAGTCTCCGAGACAGACGTTAAAGATGCAAGTGCGGGCGTGCTACAAGATCTCAAGCGATTCCAGAAGGACAAGGAGGAGGATCTCCGCCGATATATGGTAACTCTTTCTCAAAGGACATTATAGTCAAGAGCACCAATTAACGTGATTTTCCTACACAGGTCGCCTATGCTCGCTGTCACTTGGACTGGGCGCGGAAGAACCTCGAGACGTGGACGGAAGCCAAAGACGAGGTTGATAAGATCGTTGCGCGATAGATGGTGGATCGGAAGTATCCTTGCATTGTTTGCTGTACAGAAGTGGAGGCGTATGTGTATGTATCTTTCTAATGAGACCATGCCTACAATACTGTAGTTATTATTTGCTCGTTTCCTATACCAAACTTGGTCTTATGTTTCAATGCGCCCAGCCAGTTCCGTCCCACTCTTTCCATTCAGGGACGATCTTTATCGCTTGGAAGATCTAGTGACCCCGGTGTATTTAACCTTGATCCCTTACCACCTTACCGTTTACCTTACCCAGGTAGAAAGCGAAAAAATTGCTGACTTTGTCTCGCCACCTTCTCAACTCCACAATATCTCGACACAGCAATGATAGGGTCAATCAGACGGTCCGGATGATACTTATCGAGTAGTCACTTGATCATTTTTATTCTACATTGGACATCTCGAGGCTCCTTCCATCACAACTCACTGATTAGTCATGTCACCAAATAAGTTAGTTTAAGTAGTTAACTAACTGACCGTGTACAAAGCGTTTGCTGGACAAACGACTACATTGAGAAAACCAAAAATAGCTTGCAGGACGCAGTGTTCAAAATTCTATCTTAATATTATTCGTTATTCTTGACCTTCTCTTTCTTCATTTTGGTCTATTATTTCATGGAACTCTTCTCATCCCTTCTCGTTTTGGTTGGCGGCGGCGGATCTTAGTCCTTCCTAGAGTCTTGTTACTTCTGGCTCTCTCCACATTAATAATTTTTCACTGATTGCTCCATCCCCTCACAGCCTTTTTTTTTCTCGGACTTTTTGCATTTGTTAGATTCTCCTCTCTTCCCCATCTTATCGTCTTTTTCCTATACACTCATTACCTTGGAGCTGCCACTAGACGTGAGCAGCTCACCGCCACGACGTCGTCCACCAAGCGTCGCAAAGTCGTTGAAGAGCCTCGCCGCCATCCAAAGGCGCCCTCCTCGAGTGGCTCGGGGGCCAGGCACGCTGATTCGGAGGAAAGACGTCACGGCCAGCCGACGAAAGAACCTCACCACCAACACCGGAAATCCAACGATTCGGTTTCAAATAATTATAATAATATACAGAAAACCTCCGCTCATCGCCAGAAGCAATTTGGCTCGTCTTCTCCCTCGCCCTCTCCTTCCCTGGCAACCTCCACCTCATCCGCGCCTCCTTCCTTGCCACCACACCTCCCACCATCATCCCGGTCGACGGCGGCCCTGGCACCATCCAACAAGCCCCGATCCTCGGGCTCGTCACCACGCTATATCCCCGCGCATCTCCAGGAAGAAGTTCTCGGTGTCGCTAACTCCCGAACCGCCAGTGCCCGTGCTCCCACTCCAGAGCACGCAGTATCTCCGTCGGCGGCCTACGCAGGGCTCACGCTGGACAGTGACCCTGCGACCGATATGTCCAGTTCAGAAAAGGATCAACAACGTGAAGTGCGCTCCTCGTCTCCCGGCGTGAAGCGTCGCATGTCTCAGATGAACCAGGACGAACGATCCCAAGAGGACGTTGAAATGGACAATACAGACCACCAGATGGAAGAGAGCGACTCGCGTCCAGCTCAGAGAAGAGCTACCTCGGTGGACATGATTGGAGCTAATGAGGATGCGGAAATGGCAGATGCAGTTGACAGCAGCAATAACAACGATTCCGATCCGGTCTATCCCACGCCTTCCAGTATGTCGACATATAAAAGCTCTTCCGCAACAAAGGAAGGTGCCAAGATCCACGATTCTGCTTCTAGTTCGGAGCTCCCACCTATCGACGAACAGGTTCAGCAAGTCCTAGAGTTGGCCCAGAAGTTACCAGAAGATAAACAAAAGGGATTCGTCTTGTCATACAACTGGTTGAACAGAGTATTGGCTCGTAGTTCAAAGGAGCGTGTACTCAAAGCTATCGACAAAAAGTTCGCTGAAGGAGAGATCGGACCGGTGGATAACACGGACATCATTCTCGACACGGATCCTTCCCTCACTTTTCAGGATGAAGCAGGAGAGCCATTTGTGCCCTTACGCCCCGGTTTGCAGATGAACGAAGATTTCGAGATCGTTCCTCAAGCTGCGTGGGATCTGATTATGAAATGGTACGGATTGGCCGAACAGTCACCGGCCATTGTTCGTTATGCACACAACACCAGCGAGGGCGACGCTACCAACATTCAGTATGAGATTTCTCCGCCAATCTACACCGTCCATAAGCTGCCGGGATCTGCTGGTGGCATGTCTCACCATGCACTGAGGGACAAGAGCGCAGCACCTGTCAGATTTCTCGCAAGCAGACAGACCAATTTTCAAAAGTGGCTGAAAAAGGCGAAAGAGCTTGCCCATATTGATATGGCAACCAAGGTTCGGGTGTGGAGAGTCCTGGACGGTCTTAGTAGTACCCAGACGTCCGGCGTTATTACGCCCGCGCATTCAAGAAGCAACTCACCTGCTCCCGGAGCTACCTTGGTGGCCAACGCTGGAAACAGTCTCGTGCTAGATGTCAACACCTTTTCATCTCTCTCAGATACGCACCGCGAGTTGATTGAGGATGCTAAAGATCAAACGAACAATGAAAAATACAACGGCAACTCGACAGTCGACCATTTCGGGCTCGGTGATAACGCCGTTGTAGTTCTGGAAGAGCAAATTGGGGGCCCTGGAGGTGGTGAATGGGTTTCAGATGCCTCGAGATCGACATTGAATCGTCTTGCTATACCTAGTGCTACTAGACCTGGTGCTAACAAAGTGAAATCTAAAGCCGTTACTACCACCAGTGGTCGGACAACCCCAGTTTCAGAGCCAATCCGCGGACGCAAGAAGGACGGCCGGCCGAAAGGCAATACGGGATTCACGAACCTTGGAAATACGTGCTACATGGCATCGGCATTACAATGCGTTCGCAGCGTGGAAGAACTGACATTATACTTTTTGAGTGCGTTTGAACTTTCAGATGGCTATTTTAGCATACTAACTCAGCCTTGCAGATGATTATTACAAGAAAGATCTCAACCCAAGCAATCCTCTTTCACACAATGGCGATGTTGCAAAAGCGTACGCCAACTTGCTGCACGCTGTTTACGATGACAGTCCAGCTTCCTTTTCTCCTAAACACTTCAAACATACCATTGGTCGTTATGGACCTGCATTCTCTGGATATGGCCAGCAGGACTCTCAGGAGTTCGTCCTCTTCCTTCTCGATGGTTTGCAAGAGGATCTTAATCGCATCCAAAAGAAGCCATACATCGAAAAGCCAGACTCTACCGATGAGATGGTACATGATCCGGCCGCATTGAAAGCATTTGCCGACAGATGCTGGGAAATTTACAAGGCTCGCAACGACTCGGTTATCACGGATTTGTTTGCAGGAATGTACAAATCAACCCTACATTGTCCAGTGTGTGACAAAGTCAGCATCATCTTTGATCCATTCAACAACCTTACGCTACAGCTTCCTGTTGAGAACCTGTGGACAAAGGATATATTCTACTTCCCTCTTCACAAACCTCCAGTGCTTATCGATGTTGAGATTGATAAGAACGCGAGCATCAAAGCATTAAAGGAGCTCGTGGCACAAAAGGCGGGCACAGACCCATCGAGACTTATCATGGCAGAAGTTTATAAGAACAAATTCTATCGGCTGTTCGACAATACCAGTACCATTGCCGATAGCAACATTACCGGATCAGATGATATAGGTATCTTTGAAGTCGAGACTGTGCCGACCAATTACAATCCAGACCGTCCCAAGAAGTCATCTTACTCAATGTCCTTCAACAGCGATCACGAGGATGTTCCAAAAATCGACTCTCCTCGAGCAGATCGCCTTCTTGTACCGGTTTTTAATCGTGTTCAAAGATCAACGGGTCGGATCGGATCAAAACAAAATTTTGGCGCTCCATCGTTTATTGTTCTGTCACGAGAAGAAGCTCAGGACTATGATGCTATCTTGCGTAAGGTTCTGCTGGAGGTGGCGACGTTGACTACTCGTGATTTCCTTCACGAAAGCGCCGGTGTCGAGGAAATCACACAAGACGACAACACCGATTCTGACGCTGTGATAATGAATGAGGATGACGACGACTCCGACTCGAAGATCAAAGCTGCATCTGTAGAGGGTGAAGAAGGGCTCGTTGACGTTTCCATGGAGGATGCTAGCGATGGAAAGGAACTGCCTGATGATTCATCCAAACCAGAGACCAAAAAGTCACCTCCCATGCGTTTCCGAAACCTCTTTGAGATGGGATATGTGAGATCAAGACATGAGGTCATTCCTCTGGGTTTCTCATCAGTTGACGACCATACAAATTACCCACTCATTTCCTCACGAGCTCCGAAACCAAGGCCTAAGCCGAAGCCGAAACCCCGCAAAGTTGAAACGAAAGAGAGCCCCGACAGTCCAGTTAGCAGTGAAGACGAAATCAATACTATACGCAGTGTGGATGACAAGAGGCCCTCCCGAACCAGCGGGTCCTCGACCGAATTTGGTAAATTGGCAAATGGCGACTCCAGCGACTCTGAGGACGAAATCAATACGGTTTCTAAGCGATTGACGGAGACAACTCGAAAAGAGGAGCCAGTTTACTACATTCGTCCTGGTGAGGGTATCGTGCTTGATTGGACGGAGACCAACCATGACGGACTTTTCGGTGCTGACCAAAAAGACCGCAACGAACTGCGTGGCGCGCCAACGTGGACAAACGTGGAGCATCTACCTGATCCAGAACTCGCTGCTAAACGCGCACAGCGGGCGAATCGCAGAAAGAAGGGCCTCTCGTTAGATCAGTGCCTTGACGAGTTCGGTCGGGAGGAAATTCTGTCTGAAAATGATGCATGGTATTGCCCACGTTGTAAAGAGCATCGTCGGGCTAGCAAGAAATTCGAGCTTTGGAAGACACCAGATATTCTAGTCGTTCATCTTAAGCGATTCAGTGCTAGTCGAGGTTTCAGGGACAAGATTGACGAATTGGTTGACTTTCCTATTGAAGGACTCGATCTGAATGGACGTGTCGCATCCGCCGAACCAGGCGAGAGTCAGATCTATGATCTTTTCGCGGTTGATAATCATTACGGTGGTCTTGGTGGGGGCCATTATACTGCTTATGCCAAGAACTTCTTGACAAACGAGTGGAATGAATATAACGGTATGTAACTGCTTGTTCTGGTTCGAAGCCAAAGTAACTAACGAATGCATCAGACTCCCACGTGTCAAAGGCCATCAATCCTGCCAAAGTTGTGTCGACAGCTGCATATCTTCTGTTCTATCGCCGACGATCAGATCGCCCGCTTGGAGGCCAACTATTGCAAGAAATTACCGAAGCCTCAACTCGGGCCAACTCCGACAATGAAGACGACTCACGCGCCACATCGCCGTCGGGGGAAGGCAGGCGCCTCGTCGACTCCTCCCGCAATGGGTCTACGAGCGCCTTAGCCGGAGCCGGAGCAGCTCACCAAGCGGGAGTTGGTGGTTCGCAAGCCGGGCTCCGAGTGAGGAGCGTGGAGGTTGATTCCAGCGATAACGAAGAAGAATTACCGCCTTATGAATCGAAACATCAACATAGCTCTTCCAATTTCTCTATTATGGACCAACCTGCTTGGTCTTTTGACAATATCACGGGGCCTATGGTGTCGGATGACGACGATGGGCTTTTTGACGACGATGACGATAATGATAGCAACAAAGCTGTGGGCGGAGGTGATATGAGCGACCTCGAGCAGCATTTCAATGGGGATGCGGATGAAACTGCCAAATTCCATTCTGTGATTGATGATATCGGCACTGTCAGCGATGGGGACGAGGATCTGCCGGTCGTCGAATTACGTGTAAATGAAGATGACCGGGTTGTCTGAGTGAGCCGGTCAATCTCAGCTTGCTTATTGTTTGCTCTGCATGTAGAAAAGTCACTATATGATTGCTTGTGCATTACCTGCATAGTTAGTTCATAGATTCATATGCATACCATACTATACTCAGATTCCTCCCATCAGTCTAGATGTACTGGCTAGAATTAGGGCACAGCTAGTGTGGCGGTGCGATCTGTGGCGGTGCACCGCACTACTCGTAAATATTCTACACGAAAGTAGTCAATCTCGTTGTCAAGATCATGCAAGATCTATTATTCATGCGAGTATCCGCAGCTGAGCGGCAAACAAAATCGATCCTCTGAGTCAGCCCTACGTAATGACGACCTAAACGACATGACCCCGATCGTAACAGGCCGAATTGACAAGTAAAAATATTTGCGACCGATCAGCAGAATTTATTCGAGAAGTAAAAACAAGACATTTGACGTCAGACAGCGACATGACCCCTGCATAAGAGCAAGAAGAAGCGCGGGCATCTGACTCGTGAGGCTCATGGGGTATAGACTCTGCCCTAGTTTGCTTTTTTCAGTGCACCGCCTGATATCCACCTGACCTCTTCGACCAACCACACCATCCACGCCGAATGACTCTACTTCTTTTGGAAGTTTAGTGTAGGCTGCTCTGATACGGGGATCTGGCATTCACTGCCGATGAGTGGAGATAATCCCGGTTTTTGTCTATTTGCTGATTTGGTGTGAGATCTGTGGTCTGTATGTAGGTTTGCCCTAATTTTAGGTACCCGGTGGCGGCTCAGGTTGCTTGATCAAGCGAGCAGGAGTAGAACGAGAGGGAAATTTGAATAAGAGTCATGCATGGCCTTGAGTTGGGGTCATGCATGTACTTTCTAGTATTGGCACTTTGTATTGTGCCTTGTGCCTTGTGCCTCAAGTGCCAACAGTTGTACTGTGTACACCTGCAAGTCACTCTACCAGTCACTGGACTTGCTTCTTCTTTACGACAGAATCTCTGTCCATGACCTGGAAGCCCAGAGACCACAGTCATGCTGAATAGAACTGTTCCGATTGTATGACATGCTCTTGTCAGGATGTAAGGTAGAGGCTCTTTTCAAAATTAAAAGGCTAGTATCATCCTGCCTGGCGAATCTTCCAAAGCCTTCTCTCATGCTATTTAGCCAGCACTGCCTCCCGTTTTGGAYTTTTTACTAKSGAGCCGATAGGACTTACTTATTGCTGCTTTACCACGAAATCAAACAGCCAGGCAAACGCTTCCAAGTCGATTGAAATGCTATATTGTTTGAATCTGTCCTTCTCCCGTATATCCATGTCTCATATCTACTATTTTGTCTGGTTTCCACCCTTTGTTGTGGCAGTCTAACGTGTGTGATTGGAAGATCCGTTGTGAATTGGCATGTTAATGCTTTTGTTGAATGTGAGCCTCACAACCCAGGCGTAGTGACAAACAGACTGGGCAAGCCCTGTCAATCGCTACCCACAATCCTTTTTCTCCTTCTTTTACCTTGTCGATTATCAACCTATCAAATCAACATCTTCCTATGGACACTGATTACGAATACCCTATCTACGGTTGGACAGCGACAAACCACTACAATGAAACTCTGGATCTTTTCTATCATCGATGGCAGACAGGACGAGAAGCCCAAGAGATCTTTCTGGAGCAGAACCCTCTTTATCTGGAAGCAGAAAGTGGCCAGCCACAACAAGTCCAAGCAGTGACCGGTCTTATCACGGAAGACGACGCCCAGGTAGCAGCGAGTTGGAATAGTTTGTGGGATGAAGAGGAAGACAGCGACAATACCGAGCAGGAAGAGGATAATAACAGTTTTTGCTACTGTCTTAGTCCAGAGAGGGTGTGTTCCATGGAATCTGTTACATCAACTGGGGGGACGGTCGTGAGCTTCAGTTTCATTGGTGATGAAGGTGGAAGGGAATTCCCATCAACAGGTGGACAAAACAATGAGGGTAAGTTTGTTTACTTATTGCTGTTTATTTCACGTCCTCCACATCTTTTTCTTCATTTTCATCACCCTGAACAGTCGTGGATAAGTAAACACACCTGTGTCTACACTGTCTTGCATCGTGATTTGTGCATCCAACTGAGCATCGTATCAGATTTTTCATTATTGTCACTCAAATCGTTAGATTCCCCGCGTTTTGATCGTCCCACTGATAGATCCGAGGTATCAGCACAAGATCTCACGATGCCATCTCCTCACACGAGTCCGGACCCATCTAGGTCCTCACGCGTCACCAACACTAAGCACCTTGACAAAGGCAAAGGCCATGACCTGTCTGGCCTAGACCTCGACCGCCGTTTATCATCAGATGTCCACGCTCAGGATGATCCGCAAAACGACAAGCCCACACATGGTATGCGCTGGGAACCGGTTACGGTCATGCTAGGCAACTGGGAGAAGGAGTACAGTGTCCTCAAGCCCTATGCCGACTACACAGATGTGCCTTCACCCATAATCCTACCAGGATCTCCACCACAACGCCCTCCCAAGCCATCTCTATCTGCATTCTACAAAGTTCCCACAGTGCGTGATGCTTACGGGGACTATCTTCACTTCAGGCGGCGCAACAGGAATGTGAAGGAGGTTTCACCTCCTGCACCACCACTCCCGTTCCCTGAGCACATCGCGGGCCAGAATCAGAATCTTCGTCGCCGTCAGCGCAGCAACTCTGACATCTCGTTTCTTGACCTTGGAGATCCATATCAGCCCTTGGACGCAAACCATCTTGCCGGTGACGCCAGCACGACTATTTCTCTGTCCATGTCCACGAGTGTGGGACCATCTGCCTCTGGCCATCTTACTACTACATCGATCTACCAGCCTTTGGTTTCACCTCCACCTGTTACGCTCAATCCAGTACAGGGACTTCGTAGACGCCGTGGACTAGATGGTACATCTCTTTCGGTGCAGATTCCTGCAGGCAGCGATCCTAGACGGTCTGCGTCGGGCTCCCCCCAGTCGAAGGTGGCATCAACTACATCGTCGCTCGGTGCTACATTTCAGCTCGATGAGGAATTGAACGCAAGTATGCCCTTTCCTTTGTCGTATCTTTTCTAATAGACTCATAGAACTGCGAATTCTTCCCTCGTCGAGCTCAACGATGATCAATGTGAGTATCTCCCCACACGAGATAATACCGCTTCTAACAGTCTTGGATAGGACTCATGACCTTCTTTCACCTTCGATTACACCACTTGATTTTCAGTCTAGACTGTCTTTTGGATTCATATTTTTCTTACTTCTAGATTGCCAGATTTTCATGTATTTCACTTTTCATTGCTTCATGTACAAGTTAGCGTTCTAGACTGCACATTTCCTACTTCCTTTCAAGTCAAGCTGTACATTAGATTAGAAATTGAAACCAATCAATCATCACCTATTTCCCTTACCAAGAGGTACCATAGGAAGGAGCTCATTTCTTCAAATCGTTATACTCCAACTTCACAATCCCCGGCAACTCTTCCTCCAAACTCGGCGCCACGGGCTTCCAACCCAACAACTTGGCCGCCCTCCTCGCCTTTCCGCGGGAATTCATGCCCCAGCTCAGAGCCTGATAACCCGCAAATTTCTCGCAAGTCTCGACGTCGACCGTCTCAACAGTCGGTGCAGGGATGTAGCCTTCCTTGGCTGCAATCTCGGCAATGGAGCGTGAGACATCACCCCAGACGTGCTCGCCGTTTTCGACGAGATAGTATCCATCGGTGCCCCAGAGGCCGTTGTCGTGGCGGCCAGCGATGGCTGCTTCGGTCAGAAGGACGAATAGATTTCCCAAATCATGGATGTGAACGTTGTTCCAGACGGATTTCCCGGCGCCGAGTAGAGGGGCCTTTTTGATTTGGAGCGTCATGCTGGCGAGGGCGTAGACTTGGCGCGATTTTTGGTTGATGGGGCCTCGTCCAGGGCCTATCTCATCAGCATCATACATCATACATGTCTAAGAACAAGGAGGAATATGGGATACCGTAAATTGTAGGCGGACACAGCAATGCCGTCTTAACTCTATCCCCATTCTTCGTCCCAGCCTCTAACACAATCTGATCCACATTTCGATGGAACGCATGATCAGGCAAATGCGTCAATTCATCAACACCATCCCAGTCGTCGTAGATCTTATCGTCGTATTCACCGAATACTTTGCGGTCGGAGTCGCGGAAGGTCAGGATACCGGTGCCGCCGGTATGCAGCCAGTAGCCTGGTTTAGAGGCGGAGTGGCCCTCTGCGAGGCCCGCGGCGATTGCTTGCGCGGCGACGACATGGTCGGAAGCATCGGCCGTGTCTGCATTCATCAACACCGTCCTTCCACGATAAAGGGGGGATGAGGGGACATACGAACGACAATATCGGCATCAGCAGCCTCCTTCTTCAATAACTCGAAATCATCGAGGGCGCCATTCACAATCCGCACACTAGGGAATGCGGCTTTGATGGTGTCGTTCTTGCTGGCGTCGCGCACCAGGACCGAGAATGAAAAGTCGGGGTGTTTTTTGTGGATGGCGTACAGCGCTTCGCCGCCGATGTAGCCTGTTGCGCCGGTTCTGGTTGGTTGTTAGTACTGGTTGTGCAATCCGGGAGTGGTCTTACAGGAAGATTTTGGTCATTTTGAAGGAAGGGTCGGTTGATGTTTAATTCTTAGTTCGCACAATACTATTGCAATTGAAAGAAATACATAAGTTATGTGGTATACTCAACAATTAATAATCTGACGAGCCCAACATTTGAAATGAAGTCATCGTGTGGGGTTGGCAAAACATTTATCCTTCATGCCTAGCCCTGACACTCTACATCGATGTAGTATGTAATCATGCTGGTGCATATCCAATCGTTGGCCAAATTGAATGAAACATCTACATAGGTGATTGGTAGAATATATGTATGTCTCTGGTATTACATGTGAGGTCTAACCCGGGGAGGTTGAGATATATATTCCAGAGTTCGAATGTTCTCAACCTTGAAGCTGCTGAAGCTATCGACCATGTCTCACTGCTCTCCCTAGACCGTATATCTCCGATCGGAGAAATACCTTGAAAGAAGTCGTTTCAAGGAAGATCAATTCGAGAATATTTAGTACCAAGTATGTATCTACAGCACTGCAAGCGTCGACTTTGGCAGACGGAGATGAGTGGGGGTTATGTGAGGGGTCAACTGATACGTGGGGGGAAATTCATGAATCATGACATTCTAACATCTATTCTATACGGAAATCTGTTGACATATCACATAACCACCATAAACAATACTATGTACAAAGAAAACAAGGCATTGGACTACTCAGAAGGCCCGCCCATCTGTTGGAGCTTCTCCTGTGCTCGGCCCTTGCCCGCTTCCGAATTTCGGGGGTTCTGAGTTGCTCTGCATCACAATTAGCATATCGTCATGACGATCATCTTCCAAGACGACAAAAACCATACGCTTTCAATCCTCCCGCGACACGGGTCTGATCCTTCTCGCGATCGAACTGCTTCATCTCGGCGCGCGGCTGATCGCCGCCGAGAGCATCAATCATTTCGCGGGCATGCTGTTTCGCTTCTTCCGAGACGCGGGGATTGTTCGTTGTACTTGTCTGATCAGTACCTATCGACATCATCGCCGACCAGGAAAAGAGGAGCATACGCCTTGTAGCCTCGAAGCGCATTCACGCGATCCTCGGGCGAAACGCCGGCTGGATCGAGGTCTTGGAATGGAGTCGACATTATGCGATTCTTTCTTCTAGACTGACTAGCAATTGACTGGGTTATACGAGGTATAGGGTAAGAAGTGGGGAAATTCGTTAGATGATTCAGAGATTTTCGACATGAAGTATGCCATAAAAGTGCTATGGTGGCCAGACCGAAAGTGCCACATGGTACATGACGAGTGATGAGCGAAGTGGCCAGATCATCGAAACGAGGTCATTACCTTGTAAGGGCTGGATCGCCTTTGCCATTTCAAGTTCAAGTGAATTGATTTTGTGGTTATTCTTGGGATGATGTAGGCAGGCATGTTGAGTGTTGTAGTGCGATGAAGGTGAAACATGTTGTTGAGACTAAGATTTAAACTCAGCGATCGAGAATCACAGATCGGGGGATGAACCATCGATCTCAGATGCCGTATCCACTATAGCTATCCCCCAGCAAGGCAGCGCGACAAGATCAGCATTTCGGAAGCTCGAGGCCTTCCCGAGAGGATCCTCAGTTGCCTGTTTAGGCAAATCCAGACATGACGACACGACCATGACATACAAACCACAATATGACTTCAAAAAATTCAAGAATTCAAGGAAAGTGTCATTCTCATCGCCACCAGGGATGTAATAGATGGCACCGTTTGCAGCCACAGAACAAGCATAAATAGGGAGGCCAGTTTCTTGATATGGGTTAAATATTTCCGGCCCATAACTATCGCTTGTCTTCGCAACCTACCATTACCATATCTCAAACCTAACTATTTCAAACCAAAAGACATTCAATCACCATGAGCAACCGTGAAGAACGCGAGGCTGAGGATCTCTACGAAAGAGAGAACGATGCTTCACCCGTTCCAGGCGGCGAGGTCGACAACTCGTACGTCGGCGAGACAAACCCCAACCTGAGAAACGTCGTGCCCGTCCAGAACGATGAAGCCGACATTGATGATCCGATGCAACCACCCTACTCCAACTCGGACCAGCAGTTGGGTATGCCTCTGCTAGACTAATCCTGTTTTGGATGAACGATGCTAATGATTGACAGCACAAGACGAACGCGAAGCAATCGATCAGTCCAACATCCTCGGAGGAGACAGATTGCGACACGCCAAGCCACGCACGAGAAACGCATACAATGAGGGTCCTGACGAGGATGACCTCCCTGCCGAAGTCAGTCAAGGACAGGACGGTCGATCTGCCACAGGTCGAGCAGTTGAGTAATGCTAGGCTATGTTACCGTCTGTTTTGAATGTTTTGATTAGTACTATGTTTGGTGTAATTGTATGATATACGATAGCTCAATTCAGTTTTTGTGGTATACACTCATAGTAGCCGAGTAGACTCATTTACTGCGGGCGCTCTTTCCTCGGGTAGTTATCCCTTCTGAGACATTTTACCAACAGCCATTTACAAGCCCTCATGGCTAGTGTTGTCACGGACCATACATCTAACACGAGTTAATCCATAATAAATATTGTTCAGGAACATTGTGGAAGGTTGGTATTGTGCAGCGCGACTCTTGGCTCCAGTGAGGATATCCCTTGCTGAGGAAAATGTTGGCCAGAGAACGTCAGAAATTTTGGTTCGAGAATTATCTCTCATGTATAATTTGTATAGCGATTAGAGTCATCCAACCATGAGGCTGAAATGTGAATAGGGGGATGTCCCGGAGTTCCGGTTCCCCTCACTTCTCGGTGCATGTCAGGCTGCTATCAGTATCCTTTTGTTCACTCCGACCTCCGATGTCGTACTGGCCAGCACGAACTCCTCTGCGGCGTCCGTACTATTGTGAGCTATATGCTGTGGCTTGAGGCGGAATTTTTACCCGAAGCCAAGAGGGAGGCCAAGACCTGTCCCTTACATTGGGTGCTGAGACTGTTGCGAACTTGTGATTCGAGAACTCGACAACAAAAGCAATTATCGAGTTGCCAGTTGGGCAAATTACGCATGATAGATTGACTGGTGAGGTGTAACTCGCTGGGCGTTTGTACAACAAAACCACCGTCGAAAGAGTGCTGATCGAGTGTGGTTGCACATACACTCTACCAATAGATGGACCGGACAAAAGTCACCGAATGGGAAGTGGCCTGTTCCTGGGCGATGGCGTTGTGGCGGTGAAATGGCGCAGGGGCATGGCCGAAATCGTCGAATGCATTGCTTTGTTGATCCTGTTGACCTGTTCTAGACTCGCTCGGTACCGGCATGTTTGAATCAAACGGGCAGCAAAATACACGTGTCGGAATTCGTTGTACAGACTCTCCTACGGAGCCAAGAACCGGGCTGGAATGTAATAAGGCATTGATAAAATAGCATTCTCAATCATGGTTGCTATTGTTGTGTGGTGAGTCATTGAGGAGAGAGGAGGAAGTGTCAATACGTAGTACGTATTGTTTGTGCAGACGAGAGACAGAAGAGCAGGAGAGAAGACCCCTCGCAGTTTCTGTAACTCAATCATCCAAACTGTTACAGAAGCTGCGATGGTGTGGCGCTTGCCGTTTCAGAAGGGCAGCGTTGGCAGGTACAGAGATCCCGTGATTGGCTCSTCCCCGTTTTAGCGCCGAGTCCCTGGCCTAGTCTGCTTGGTCCACCCACTGCTTATCGTTTCTTCTGTTTGTACACCTCCTCTGTCCACCACTCCCACGACTGGCTAGAGCCCAGCGAGTCAAAAAGACCTCGCCAGACACGGTTCGGCACTGAGGTACCATGGACAAGCTCCACTGCGGACCCTGGCGCTGAGATGGCGCCGGCCAGGGAGCACTTAGGCGACCACGCCGAGACAATATCGAACATCCAAGCCGAGCATCTATGAAACTGTCGTCGCATAAAATTTCTCTCTCGTTTTCCCTAAAACTTCTTTTCTCATATAACCACACGCTGGACGCCGGTTATTTAGACTCGTTTCTGTTTCCTTTCCCTCTTCCGTCTCGTTTCGTAGATAGACATACCTCGTTTGTTAGTTGTCAAGCAGTCATTCCTTTCTGCTTGTGACGCTTCGATCCCGGTTTCTACACCACCAACATTCCGGTCAATAACAACAATCATTCATTCATTCAAAAATAATCGTTATTGACACATTCATTCGTTTGAACAATCCGTTGGGCTTGAACTCCCTCTCGATTTGTTAACATCTGGCTGTTCTCGATACGGGACAATTCTTTCTTTCACTTTTCATCTTCACTCAACAACAGAGATAGCACCAGACCGCAGGATCGTTCTGCGTATTCTCACTATGCCGTCGCCTCTCCTTAAAATGGCGACGCTCGCTTTGCTTGCATCGCCGGCCGTTGCAACCAGCAGCTACAATCTGCTCCACAAATTCGACGAGACCAACTTCTTCCAAAACTTCTCTTTCTACTCCGATCCCGACCCAACTGGCGGGTATGTAGACCTCGATATGTGTTGACTGATCGATGCTGATGATGTATTAGATTCGTCCAGTATTTGGACTATGATGCCGCCCATACGGCTGGCCTTGCCAAGATTCAGTCCAATGGAAACGTCTACCTCGGGGTTGACCATACCAACACATACACTACCGGTGGTCGACCTTCAACCCGTGTCATGTCCGACATCCAATTCGACCAGGGCCTTCTCATTGCGGACATTGCCCACATGCCTGGAAATGCTTGTGGTGTCTGGCCTGCCTTTTGGACGACCGGCGCCAACTGGCCAGCAGATGGCGAGATTGATATTATCGAGGGAATCAATAAACAGAAGAATACTCAGGTAGCCCTGCATACGCTGGACTCATGTGACATCTCGACAACAGCTTCTGAACTCACTGGCGATTTGACTGCGACTGCTTGCTCAACTTCTGTTGGTTCTGGTGGCTGTACTGTCCAGGGAACCGACGGCAGCTATGGAGACGATTTCAATAACTTGAATGGTGGTGTTTACGCCGTGGAGGTGACTTCTGATGCCATCAAAGTCTGGTTCTTCTCTCGTGCCAACATCCCCGGCTGTATTGCCTCTGGCCACCCTGACACATCCTCTTTTGGGACTCCAATGGCAGTCTTCCAGGGTTCCTGCGACTTTGAGAAAGACTTCACAGCTCAGCAAATTATTTTCAACACTGATTTCTGTGGTGACTGGGCCGGCTACAGTTATGCTGCTTCCTGCTCATTGACCGATGGTCTCACCGCTATTAAGTCTTGCGAAGCTTACGTTGGAGCCAACCCATCTGCTTTCACTGAGGCTTACTGGGAAATTGTGTCTGTTGCTCTTTATCAGAAGGGTAATGCCGCCGTCTCGTCTGTGGCTCCGACAACAGCCGCCACCTCCACAGCTGCGACCTCCACAGTTCCAGCTACAATTCCCACCTCAGCTCCCACCTCAGCTCCTACATCGGCTCCTACATCAGCTCCCACCTCGGCTCCCACTACGGCTCCCACGTCGACCGGATCTGCCTTGCCTACAAGCAGTCCTGCCCGTTTATCCCCCTCAGGCAAACCTAGCAGCCGACCAGTCGCGCCTAGCTCGGGTGCAGGCACCGGCTCTGGCTCTGGTTCGGGATCGGGATCGGGTTCAGGTTCAGGTAACAGCGCCGGCTCCAGCTCAGGTATCGTTGGAAGCGGCGCTCGCATCTCGCCAGCCAAGACCTCTTGTTCATCCAAGAGCACCGTTACTGTGACTTCTGTGGTTGCTCCTACTAGCAGTGCTCCCGTCGTGCCGACAACCAGTCCTTGCTCCTCCAAGAGCACTGTGACAGTGACCTCTTTCACCAGCCCTGCTCCCTCCGTTCAAGCAGTCAGCCCCGCTTCTTCCAAGTTGACTACCACCACGGTTATTGTCACATCATACGTCGATGTTTGCCCGACTGGTTACACAACCAAGACAATCACACAAACTGTCACCTACTGTCCTGCCGATGTGACCTCAAGCAGCATTGCTCCTGCCTTCACAACCACCACCAAACTTTGCACCAGTGGTTGCGCTCCTAGCCCAACAACTGTTGTCGTTGTGGTACCAGTTGAAACTTCTACCTCCCCAGCAAAGGCGACCGGCACTGCTCTTGTATCTGGAAGCAGCCCGGCTTCAGGCTCGGAGACCACAATCTTACCTGCGCTTGCTGTCTCTGCTCCAGGAACTTCACAGACTGGTGTTAGCACAGCAGTTAGCCCTGTACGCACTGGTATCTACTCAACAGGTGGTCTTGTTCCTGTGGCTCCTTCCACTACCTCCAGCCCTGCTAGTGCTAAACCATCAAGCTCACTGCCTGGTAAAGGTAGTGTCACCACAACCGGCGTGAGCCCCGCTTTCACTGGCGCAGGTAGCAGGATAACACCTTCGGCTGTCGGCTTCATCGCAGCCGTCGCTGGTTTTGTTTTATTCATTTAGAATGAACAAAATGGTGGAATTATTAGATTACTTGCATTGGACATTGATTTCTTATACCCTTTATTTCTTCTAGATACTTTTATTGGAATATATTGATACTTTTGAACCTTTGAAACTTAGACAAGATTTAGCACCATTTATACTGACCCACAACCTGGACGCACTCTTGATAATTTGGGAAATAAAGTAATCGATCGCCCCTCACAACACCCCTCAAGACAAAGGATGATTTTTCAAATTTGAGCAGTAACCTAGACTTTGTCTTGATGCAATAGTTGCTTGATACACTATGTTTTTAACTCTAACCGCTCACGAAGACTGCACCCTCCTAGCATTGTTCTACATCGCTTATACAGTCTAGCAGAAACAAAGGATTGAGGTCTAGACCATAGAAAGAGTTTATAATTCAGTCTCCTAGCGATAGGATAAATCAGAGTAAGCGTAGAGTTGATGTTGTCGTGGACGATGACTCACAAAATCTTTGCTCAAAACACGAAGTTTGGACTCCAGAAATAACCCAGTAAATTACCTAGGTATGTTTATTGATCCACTGCTAAGTAAATGAGTCTGTGTAAGTATCAGGAATACCTATATAGATAAGGCTCATCATCTTAAACAATCTCCTCCGTCCCCAGCACAAAATCCATCGTTGTTAATTAGCATCAGAACTGTCTTGAGTCTTAACAGCACTCGCATCACTATAAAGTAGAAGAACAAAAAGGGACACTGGTCTTGCAACCAATTGTATAAACCCTTGCATCAAGCAATCATCTCAATTGAGAACTGCTTGTACTTTTTGTCCCACCCCCAAGTAATAAAAGGGTCTCCTGTCATCCCTTGTTCCAATCCAGTTAGCTCGTCCTCCTGGCTACATTCTGTCTATGCCAAAAAGATCACTGTTTTCGGAGCTGTAGGCCAGGTGATGAGTTGTCCCCGCATGGAATTCTAAATCATTGATAGCGCTTAACGAGAGCCCGGAGTTGCCTTAGGAAGATTATATGTTAAATGCAATGCTTCGGGATGCATGCTCGAGAACAGACTTGTCTCAATCTCACTGTCAGGCCTTCTACCTTGTAAAGTAGGCACCTCAATACTTTAGGAATAGAAGAAGTAGCACACAAGAAGACCAGACTGCGACAGATCAGAAGGGTTTGGATTTGTTGGCGGATGATCTGCAGACATGCTTGTTGGGAGCATCTGCCTTATCCTACCCTGTCCTAGTTAACATATTTGTTTTTCTATTTACGAACTCTATCGATGGTCTCTAACGATTGTGACAGTTCTGATTCGTTAGGTAGCGTGGCCGAATTTGAATAATTTCAGTAGCTTGCATAACAAAAATAAGTATTGAACTTTAAACAAACTCAACAAAACCTCTGTCTCGCCACCCAATCAATCCTACTTCGGCTTCGAAAAATGCTGCGATTATCAGTACGTAGTAGTCAATAGTGCCCACGCCCCGCTGACAACTCGCATACTCAGAAAACAAATTCGGGCGGTTGTGTTCTTAGCCTGGCAGAAGCAGCGGATGGGCTATAAGATCCACTGCTCAAGCACACATGGCATGTAAAACTATCCAGCAAAGGTTATTGAGCAAGCGAAAAACGGCAAACCAAAATGTTTTTCGCCACAGTACTTTTAGTTGCTTGCTTTGCGGACATACGTGTTGCCGGTTTGAAGAGCGGTGATAGTCTGCTAGAGATTCGCGAGCCGTACCCTACCGCCCACTTCCAAATCTACGATGCACCCCTTGAAGTCAGGCCATCTAGGCGCCGCGCAATCGACAACACGGATGAGTCGCACAGCATCGCCTTGGCTTATCTGCAGAACAGCCACGGGATCCGGCCTGAAAATGTCAAAATTACAGATGCTTACACTAATAAAGACACTGGGATCAGCCATGTCTACGTACGTCAGACCTCTGACGGGCTCGACGTGATCAATAGTCTCACCAACATTAACATCGACAAGTATGGAAGGGTTATATCGTCCTCCCATGCCTTCGCACCAACTCATGAGCTGCGCAAAATAGTACGCTCGAGTAGGCGGAGCTTGACAACTCGCTCTGACCAATATGCCTCGTTGAAATCTGCATTGATGACGTTGAGCGAGCACCTCAATGCAGAAGTTGACGACAATGTACTCCAAAATTTGCGCATTTCTACGCTGTCCTCTGATGAAGCTCATGCTCCAACGCTCGTCATTGAGAATATTCCTACGGCTCTGGCTGAAGATGGTGCAGCTAAGGCACAACAGTCAATCATGCAACGATCAGACAGCACCTTGGCTCACGTATGGGATATGACTCTCCGGCAGGCAAATCACCGCTGGAATGCAAGAGTTAATACAGCAACGGGAGACATTGAGTTGCTAGCGGACAAAATGATACGAGTATTTGGAAGGGGATCTGATGCTAAGTCTTCCACCCGCAACACTCTGCAGAAGCGGTTATCCTACCAAGTGGTGCCTGTTACGAGGAAGGACCCTACATACGGATTTGAGTTCGTCGTGGACCCAGAAACTGTATCGAGTCCCAATGGATGGGTTTACTCGAATAATACCTCCGGAAACAATGTATTGGCATTCAATGGAGCTCAAACGAATGTGGCAGTTGAAACTAGCCTCAATGTCTTTGCATATGACTACGATGAGACTGCATCACCAGCGACACCACAGAATCTCGGCGCGGCCATAACGAACGCATTCTATGTTGTGAATACCTTGCATGATATTTTCTATATCTACGGCTTTACTGAAGCAACATTCAACTTCCAAGACGATAATTTTGGGAAGGGAGGGCAGGAAAACGACCGCGTCACTATTTCGGTACAGGACAATCATGGTACCAATAATGTCAATTTCTACGCACCACCAGATGGGCAAAATGGCGAAATGCAGCTTTCCCTCTTTGATTACACTAGTCCAGACCGTGATAGTGCATTGGAAAACGACCTAATTACCAGCTCATACGCACAAGGTATGGCAAATCGCCTCACCGGTGGAGGAACCGCATCATGCCTCGCCAGTTCAATATCGTCGGGCTTGCTGGTTGGTTGGGGAGATGCTGTAGCGGATTGGGTTGAACAATCAGACACTGTACCGGACTTTACTCTGGGCAACTATGTGATGAACAATACCGTTGGAATACGACATTATCCATACTCACGAGATAGCAGTGTCAACCCGTTGACTTACACGGACGGGCCACCCTCAGCAGCGCGTGATGACATTGGAGAAGTATGGGCGAATATGCTGCACAACGTTTTAGCATCCCTGGTGGACAACCGTGGCTGGAGTTCTAGTTTCCTAACCGACTCAACCGGAGATAGCGGTAATGTTGTGTATATGCATTTGGTTGTGGACGGCTTGTCCATACAGCCCTGCGAACCCACCTTCATTACTGCACGCGATGCCATTATACAAGCCGACCAGAACAGATATAATGGGGAGAACTATTGCTCACTCTGGCGATCTTTTGCTAGTAGGGGACTGGGGTTTGGCGCCGCCGAGGATAATGTTAACGAGTATTCGGTTCCACCTGGCTGCTAAATGAATAGAGTCGTAGCTTTAGCTATATGTACTGCAGCGCTATTTGATACCATCCGCCTTTATATGAAGATTGAGATCGTCCAGCTGATCGTTCCCGCTAATTGGCCGTTTTCTAAAATTCTCTATTAGTAGGTTACGTTAAGATAAAGAATAGCTTATTATTTTTCATATTTAACGTCTATATGCAACATTACCTTGTGGGTCATTACAGACACGAGCTCGGGCAAGGCCCTGGACCCTAGGCCTAGGGGCTCAACCCCTGAGAGTTTCTGATAGTATATAATTCTAGGCATTAATCTCGCCCCTATACGGCGTATCCGCCAGGGACCTTTGGGCATGCTTATAGACCMCCTCCTCCGGATGCCCCGCCACTCTATGCCTATAAGCCCAATCGATCATACACCTCCAATCCCTATATAGATATATTACAGTATATAGATAAAAATTCAAGGCTCATCATCATAGACAATCCCCTCCCTCCCCGGCACAAAATCCATCTCCTCCGGATGCCCCGCTACTCTATGCCTATAAGCCAATCGATCATACCTCTCCAATCCCTACATTTGTGCGGCGTACTAAAATCCGGGTACGGTCTTCGTTCGCGGCCCCGAACGTATTTGTAGCCTACCACGCCGGGGTCGGCGTTGCACATTATCGATTGTCGCAAAGTTTCGAGGCAGTGGTATAGATGCATTTCGAGGACGGGCTGAGGGTCGCGAAATTCGTTGCGGATGGTTTTGTAGTGTGGGTAGTTGAACCAGATGGCTTTACGGAGAAAGTTCTGATTTTTTTTTTTTTCGGAGTCAGTAGCTGAATGGAGCGAAGTATGAGGTATCTTGGATTTGGATTAATTGTCAGGGATCGGGAACGATTAGGGCTTTGCGCTTCCGAGAAGGGTATATCCTTCCCGTTATGGCAATTTTCTCTAGTCTTCTCTTCAAACATTGTTGACACAAACAGTCAACTCAGCTGAAAGTAAAAAATTTTTAAACACACCACACAGTGCAGTTGATGCGCCACCTCAAGAGACGCCATGTAATCACCACTCCCTTCATATCCAGCCGGAATGCGGACGTCGCCTTCATGCAACCCGGCTTCTAGAGCGATTTCTTCTGGAAGAGCGAATACGCCCACTTAGGTGACAGGATCAGAATTTCACGTCGTGGAATTTTCTTACTGGAGTAGACTTACTATTGTACGATATATCGCTCCATGCTTCGTCAACCTCCGGACCGGGCGGTTGCCGGTATACAGAAGGCCAGTCAAGGCTTCCGTGGGCAATGACAAGGCGAGGAGTCGTGTCGATATCTTTAGTAACGGGGCCTGGATACACGTCAGCATATCGCTGCAATTTTTGGCTTGTGTATAGAGCCGACGAGCGTACCGTCTTATTCCGCTTCAATGAGCAGTCACAACTCTTTTCTCTTGATAGCAGACCCTACTCATCCTCTAAACCAGATTCACTATGAGCCGTGGTAGTCTCCAAAGCCTGATTATAGCCCTTGTTGAAGAGTTTCCGCGTTCTCTCAAAAGCCATTCTTGATAGTCAACGGAAACGAAGTCTGGTACGCTATTAGGAACAATATGATAGTTGGAAATTTGAAGAAATGAGAAGTGTGGGAACGGGGTCGTTAGTGATGTGACCGATGAGAAACGAGTTGTCGCACTTTGTTCAACTCATCGAGCTTAGGTGGCCAGAGACTCTGCTTAAAGGTTTCGTCTCATGACTGACTCGCCAGTCGGAGAATATTGGACGGACGTTGATACCTGGGGTCATCTTGTCCAATCCATTCAAAATGGCACCACACACAATCCATACGTTTTTCTTCTATCTGAAGGCTGTACGGCCACGGCGGCAAATTTGGAAGGGAAACAAAGACGGCTGTCGATCTCGGGGAATATTCAACACGGTATTCGTTATGGCTAAACCTTTAGTTATACTACTTCTTTGTGCACAAAGGAGCAACGAGACTTGGTCTACCTAATTTGAGGTAATTCATTGTCCCTCTTTTAAGGTGTGTATGATGTACCCGGAGTCAATCAAACATGAGTGCCTTAGACTTGCAGTAGGTCACTCATGCAATCTCGTCATGCATGAAAGAGAAGTGAATAAATTATCCCATTTCCTCCTATTGACTATATTAGCGAGGCTTTCTATCAAACAACGCCCTGTACATAGAGCGCGCGGTCTCGAATGTTCGCTTTGATTTATTAAAGACCAATGACTCAAGAATTACGCCAACCATTTGCGTGAGCGTGAGATTTCCGGATATATGCATCATGTAGGGTCGTCGTTCTTTGATGTAAAGTACTATATGTGATACCTTTCTCGTTGCTCGAACAAGAAGCGGTGTCCTGTGATCTAGTCCTGGCCTTTGGAGTAGCATAATGTCTACCTCGCCATGTAACGCGTAAAAATACCCTCACTTCTTCGACTTACGTCTCTGGTTATAAAAGGGCTCTGCTCGTGGCCGGACGAAGGGGCTTTTTCGTTTCGACATTAGCTTTCTCAGAAACTACATAAGATCATCCACCCAACTAGGTACAACTCGCCCAAACTTACATATGAATCTAAGCCTATAACTCACTCCACTTTATAGGCCCTCAGTCACCTTCAAGATGCTGACCAAGACCATTGTTGCCACTCTGCTGGCGATTGCTGCTGTTGCTCTACCAACCAAGACTGGTATGTCCTGCTACCTGGAACTGACTGAAAGTAATTAATGACGTACAATTCAGCTCGTGACTCTGTCACAACCCCTGACTGGATTCTAAGCCCACAACCGATTGACGAGAATCACCGACCTGGTGACGCTGTCAAGCGCGACCCTAACTCACTTGTCCACTTCTATATCCCCGGCGCTCCCGCTGGTGATGCTGAGGAGACAGCTGGGCCTGATGACGCACCTGTCAAGCGCGACCCTAATTCACCTGTCAACTTCTGGATCCCCGACGCTCCCACTTCTGGTGCTGAGGAGACAGCTGATCTCGATAAACGGTTTTACATCTATCACCGTCCTCCTACACCAGGTGCAGAGACAGTTGAGAAACGTCATGACATCGACGTAATTCCATTCTAGACCCAGAGCCAGTTGACCGACCTGGACAACCTTCTGCGCGTGTGTAAAGCGCGATCCGAGCTCATCTGTCAACTTCTTAACTCCGGAGGCTCCGGTTGATGACTGAGACATTGCCGAAATGGCAAGTGTGATTATGTCACGTCGCTAGCAGTTGGAATACACATGAGTTAGTGGTGGAATACTTTTGTTTTTGCAAATTGTTTTTGATATTGCTGCAGAACGTGCAGGGCAAAGTCATTTGAGATTGCCAAGTCTTGTTGATAGTTGAATACTATGTACTTAGAAGCTAGCTAGACAATGCGAACGGCTAGACAGCTTAAAATTAACCGTATTGTCAACTAAAGCGAGGCTGTAATTCAATTTTGTAGATTCAAGCTAACAGCTCCCCTTGATGCGTATCGAACATATGTATACAAGCGCGTAGAAATTGGACTAGCATTAGCCTTCAGGCAGGTATCCAATAAACAAAGAATCTCGTTGCTCCTATATCCGACTATTGACGGATTGCGACTGGGTTGGGCGTATTCCTTTTAAGAAAAAGGTTCCACAGTCTGTGCTACAAACGTTTCTTTCATAAAACAGCAGCACTCACCCAGCCTCTCTATCCTGCTCAATAATTTTTTCATGCAAAACATGACAACAGGAATTAAGATGGCTCAGAAAGTAAGCCTATTGAATAACAAGCCGTCTCATTTTCTTCTGCTCAGCACATTCAGCATCCTCATCCTTATTGTGACTGTTGACATCTATCTATCCGTGCTCTCGCCAGCCAATTGCAAGTTATTCTCCAATGCTTCTCCCCAAAGCGTCACTTCGGGTCATGAGACCCTCCAAGCAGATAAACAAGAGCTTCAAGACGCGATTGTAGGCTTGGGTCAAAAAGGCAAAGCCGGTATTGTCTTTCGCGAAGTCGAGGATTTGGAGGACATGAGCGTCGCAGGTGACCAGAAATGGGACGATCTTTATGCTGGTGATGGTTACATATTCCTCAAGCCAGAAAATGCCTCCTTTCCTCAGGAGCCCTGGGGTGTTAGCATGTTTCATGGGTTGCATTGTTTGCAAGTGCTGCGAAACAAGATGCAAGAATTAGAAGGCCGAGTTTCGGGTAGCGACATGCCTCTTGAAGCACAAGTCCAACATGCGCATCAGCACGGTAACTCAGATGATTCTGACGTCTCTGATGTACATTACTTGCATTGCTTCTCCTACCTTGCACAGGTAAGATCACTTAATCGGAAACCTCGAGAAAGGAAACTAATTCGCTCCTCGTTGAGCAGTCAATCGCATGCTCAGCCGATGATACATTGGAGCCTCCACATATGAATCTCAATAGAAATGGTAGTTTCAGAAGCTATAACATTGATGGTATCGGTACTTGGCATAAGTGTCGGGACCAGAGTCTAGCGCGGAAGAAGATGATTGAAAGTAAAGAAAGTTTACTCGAGCGCTGGGAGTTTAAGGTCGGGGATACTGTGCAGAGTGTTTGGGGATAGATCGAGCGTGTATTGAAGGTTGAATTTTTTTTTAAATTCAATTGATCCGTTGTAGACATTTCGTTTCGATCGTTTCCAAAGGGGCATTGGGGTTATGGGGGTTAGGGCTAACTATGTAGTCCGTTTCTGGCAGCAGCCTCAGCTGAGGTCACGTGGCGGTTGAAGCGGAATCACATGCTCGGCCGAAATTATTTCTTGCTCGACGACGTCTCTTTCTTTAATTTCCTCTTCTGCACGATTATCCCTGGCAAACTCTCGAGATAACTCTGGCAGATCGCACGCTGCCTTATCGTCGTATTCGGCCCCACCGGTTCTCGTTGCGCGCGTTCTAGACTGATCAGCAAGCTGTTGGGCATCCCAGCTCCGTCGCACTGGTCATCGTTCGATCTTCCCCCGATAGCTGACGCTCCACTTATGACTTATGAAATGCAAATGATTCTGAATCTGATGACGATACTTGAACCGAATCACTGAAAGCAATACACTCACTTCCGACGTGCTCTACCTTCCTTGACCTACCGATATATTGCATTTGAGAACACGTGCTCAGTACGATTATTCTACAATCCCATCTTCTCTCTGTCGCATGGCGCTATAGCATCATAAACAGACAAATGGAAAAGTTCTCTCAATTCCGAGATCGAGGTACGTAGTATACTTCTTGAAAACCGTTAAAAACTGCAGTTTCTACGAAGGTTCAAATCTAACACTAACGTCATACAGGCTCCGGCATTGCGCCGTTCCTCCCCATCCCAACACCACGATCAGGCTATGCGCTGCCACTACACATATTTCTATTCTGCTTCCGCCTGCCGCTACTCATATTCGTGTGCCTGAGCTACTTTGCTGTCCTGCAATGGCTCCCCATCGGCTCGTTAGGAAAGAAGGCGTCGCTGTGGTGTATACTAGGTGTTCCCAGTCTGTGGTGGATCGACTTGCAGGTTGACGGCGTGAAGAGAGGGTTCGTATTTTCCCCTTTTGATGAAAAGGAATATTAGGACTAATCCAACTATAGACGCCTTGCTAGCCAACGAGCCCGCCTACCCATTTCCAAATGCATCATTGCTTCTTCCTTCACCTCGCCTATCGATCCAGTCTATCTCGCCGCCGTCTTTGACCCTATCTTTACCGCATCATATCCCAATACACGCAAAGTCGAGCGCCTATCACTTCTACAAGCTATTCTGCGGTCATTCTCATATCCTCTCGTCAACCCACCGTCGGACACACAGCTTGTCGAGCTTTCGGAGCTACTCGAGCAATATCAGTCTCGACCTGTCGTTGTCTTCGCCGAATGCACAACGACAAATGGGCGCGGTATCCTACCACTCAGCAGATCTCTCGTATCTGTACCACCACGCACCAAGATCTACCCGGTAAGCTTGCGCTATACCGAGGCAGATGTAACGACCCCAGTACCTGGTACATACGTCACGTTCCTCTGGAATTTGCTGAGCAAACCGACACATTTCATCCGCGTACGCGTTGCCGAGTACGTGACGACATCATCTAAAAATCTCTCGCCTTCATCACAAGCTCAAAGCACAAGCACAGACTTTTTCGAAGATGATGAGCCCACATCTTTCCTTGAGGAGTACGCCGGCTCAAATGATGATTCAGAGTTGACCAAGAGCGAGCTTGCTGTATTAGACTACGTCGGCGAGTCACTGGCTCGCTTGGGKAGAGTCAAGCGGGTTGGATTAGGGGTGAAGGAGAAGCAAGATTTTGTGGATATTTGGGCAAGGCATAAGCGAAGTCGCTGATTTTGTACGTTAAGCGAAGGATAGGAGTTGAAAAGCTTATAGATAGATATTTTACTTAATACATATTTATTTCATACTGGTCATTGTTTAGAAGTAGGTCCTGCTTAGTTCGAGAGAAACAAAGCACAAAGTACTAAAAAGCGAAGCTCACAAAGAATGCATCAGCTCACAAACTCCACGCTCAGCAAAATCAAAAGGGTATACCGCAACCAAAGTCAAACTATCCTACGCAACACTCGATCCAACAACAGCCCTAGTAGCCAAGTGCTCGATCCGCTGCGCATACAGATCCATAGTATGCATCAATGGATCGCCGAAAATCAGTCCTCTAAGCTCTGCATCAGAGGCAGTCACGGCTTCAATCGATATACTCGAAGAAGAGAAAGCCGTCTTTCTCTTGCCATCTTTCCGCTGCTCAGAAGGATGATACTTCGATGATCGAGAATGTTTCCGAGTTCGAAGAACAATGATTCGTCCTGCTAAGGAGAGCGTGGCTTCGGGGACATTCCATATCGGTTTCGATTTACCGCCTGTAATCGTAACCTTACTATCATTGGAGCAAGAAGGCAGCTTGAGTGAAGCCGCAGGATCCGGTCGCGCATAGAGCTCCAGCAGACTTCTGACATATGTCTTGTCTGCTCTCGCGACTGGATCGCCTTCATTCACAAATCCGTAGAATAGGTTCTTGTCGTATCGTGTCTTACTATTTGGTTTCTGCAAGGGTAGTAACGAGATTGGTGGTGCGCCGAATGTTATGCAGTGAACCCTCTTGAACAGGTCCTGCAGTTCGGTCAATTCGCTGGTTACCGTCTGCGATAACATATGGCAGTATAAAAGCGCTGCCACTGCTCCGCCTGCGCTGTGACCTGTGAGAACTAGGGAACATGTCGCGCGTCGTGGGTTTTCTTGAAGTAGATCGCGCAATTGCGCTGCAACAGGCTTGATCATCTTCCTGGCGACACTAAGAAATCCCGCATGACACAGGTTACCTTCGTCATCGAGGAGGTTTGTAGGTGCGGTAGGCTCGGTTCGGATATTGACAGCCCAGTCTTGGAAATTCTGCGTCCCTCGAATGGCGAGAACGACTGTATTCTTCTCGTCAAGAGGAATTGATTTCAGCACAACGGCCTTGGTACCGCGTCTCCAGTCCCCTGAGACGAAGTTTTGTCGTTCTTTGCTTGACGGTTTCTCGTAGGCTCGTCGGGAATATGTTGACGCAAGGCAGATCAGCGGCCAGGTAGCAAAGTACAATTTCAATGGAGGGAGGGTAGATGAGGTGTAAGCGTTGGCGTAGTTGTAGACTTTGGAGAAAGGATTGGTTGAGCTTCCTGGTATGCGCGCGACAGTCGGTACATTAATCTTAGTTGCTGAGGTTGATGGGCGTCGTCTGTGGTCTCTGTGCCTTGACTGCTTATGGTTTTCTGATGAAGATGGTGGTATATCTGCCAAGGTCAGAGATGATGCGGTTGCATCCGCATTGGCAAAGACCTGATTTTCGGCTACAGCTACTTCGTATTAGAGCATCCATTCAATGTCATCGTCTTGAGCTACTCACCCAGATCCGCTGAGTTGACTTGATATGTCCCATCATCCATCGAAGTGAGGACATTATCCAACCTCAAAGCCACGGCATCTAACGCGCCTCCATATTGCTCCCTAGTTGGTCGCGGATTTGCTATTGAATCATACACTTCCACAGCGAGATTCCCGGCGTCATTCAAGGTGGCCGCAATTGCACCAACCTGCAGATAGGACCGCCACGGACGTTGTTGCGGTCGTGCAAGCACCGTAGCAGCAGGTGTCGGCGGATGACCTCCGGCATGATGAGCATAGTACACAGGATTCACGGGTTGTTGATATGGGAGAGGGTGGGCGCAATGATACGCTGGTCGATAAGGCAGATTTATCAAACTTCCATGATAGTGGGGATGTACATGATGAGTATGAGCATAGACAGCAGGCTGGTGACCTATATCCGGTGTCGATTGCGAGGGCGCAATTACTGTTGATGGGACATGGACTGAGGAATGATTCAGAGCTGGTGTTGGCACCGGCGTTGGGACCGGTGTTGGGGGTAGAGTTTGATAAGGTGGTGGCGGCGTGCTTGGGATGGACCCGGCTTCCATTTCGAGGTTTGTTTATACACGATCGATGGCGAATGTGAACCCACAACCTCAAATCGATGAAATCATATAGATCTATTCATGTTGATGTAAAGACGATAGTGAGTCACAGCGCACATTATTACACAGGTTGAATTAAAACGAAAAAAGAGCCTCGTGAAGATACGTTCTTGTTTCACCTGATCTGCGCAACCTGACTGGTGGCGGAGCAGCCAACCAGGCCGACGAGTTGCTGAATCTCTTGTCAAGCACGTGAAAACCAAGTGCACTGCCTCTCTAAGCGCCCCTTCATGAATCACAGCTGTATAGCCATTAAATACAGTACCAACAAAAATGTGTTTTCATCCTCGTTTCCGAACCCTTTCCGTTTTCTCACCACTTCCCCATTATTTTGCTACAACACGCTACTAAGCTAGTTATTTAATACATTTGCCTTTATAGTTGTCATACAAATTTACATATAATGCAATATTATGTGCCCCTAATGTCATAATCAATAACGCGTAGGTGTTTCGTAAATGGGAGGGTAAGCCCATTTTTCATCCCACTGTAAAAAGCACGACCTCGGTAAGGACACCAAGGCTAATACTGTTCAGCCAAAGTTACCAAGATTGAGCACTTGAGGGCAACAGCCAATCTGATGATGCTGGAAGTTGGTACGAAGACACGATGGTACTTCAGTACTAAAGCAAAAACTCGGCTACATCCGAGGAAACGATCGAAAAGCAATCTCCTTTAGTCAACTCGATTCCCAATGTTCCCAGATATTAAAAAGCGAAGCATGGTCCATGAGTGCATCCACCAGGCCGTCATTGAAGACTACGCCCATTCCATACTGGCTGTCCTCGAAAGGAACTCCCGTGATAGGTTCTGCGTTTAATGAGGCGGATGGATTCGTGGCGTTCTCTTGATTGACACCAGCAGCTTGAGCGGATGGAGATGTGCACGGCCGGTAAGTGGGAAACAATTGTTGAATGGCTTTCACGAATATTCCGCGGTATAGAGACGCAACAGTATACGTCTTTTGAAGCTCTTCCATGATTAGCATCAACATTTCAATCTTATGGAGTCTGAGATTTCGGGAGAGCAAGTCTCCAGATCTGCATAACAATAGATGCATCTGCATTGCCGGAACTAAGAGGGGCGGCCTGATTCAAATGGGAGAAAAATGTTAGTAATTGTCAGAAACTCTCTTGTTTCTAGTGGAATCCAATGAAGGACTTGAGCAATATTAGATACTCACGTCATAGGACCCGCAAAATCTAGCAAATTATTCTGGGCCAATGTTTCAAGAATGCCAGTAGTCTGAGAGGCTGCAGCATCAGCTTTGAGTCGCATTCGAAGGCACCAATCTTCAGGGTAATTAGATGGAAGTGTATCAGCAGTTTCCGACGAGAATGGACGATAGAATGTGATCGCAAGTGCCCTAGGTAGTAAAATCGAGCATGAGCCTCAGTGATACTGAAGAGGGCCGGTGTACTTACTGGTAGTGCAAATGGACGTGATAACAATTAAATGTAGCTAGCCGTGTCAGGCCTTTTTCGTACTTATCAGGTAACTGGCACCGAAGCAGCTTTGTCTCGAGGGCCTCAACTTCATCAAGGGACGGCATGGGTTTCATGACCTGGTAATTCATTAGACATTCACCCAATACCTTACTGAGATCAACTAGCATAACCCAGTACCGGCCCAACTGCGTCATTTCTTTCGGTATGAAAGCATCAGAAAGGAATCCGGGTACAGCCGCAACATCGTAAAGTAGATCAGAGGCCAGTGGCATGGGAGTATCGCAGTCCTGTATATTGATGCGCAGCGGTCTCCCGTAAGTGAGACCGAGCCATCGGTCGCGGAAAAAGCAACTCCACCAAAGACGACGCCATAACATTCGCTGCTGCTCAGTGAAGTTAGGATTATATCTTGACCCGTCCGGGTTACGGTGTAATCCAAGGACCTGACAAAGTGAAATTGCGATTCCGGTCCAGTACCAAGGCTGCATGTGCTCATCAAGCTCAGAATGCCAGAAGCCCAGAAGAAGCGAAGCCTGTAGAAGAGCAATTTTGTCTCTCTCTCCGCCATTGCTGTACATGCACTAGTATTGTATTCCATTTAGTTCAGGATTTGGGATAGGGCGAGTTCACACGACCGGACACAATCGGCCATTCTGGGGCTTGCCTACCTTCGCTCGGGAATACAGGACACTTTTCATTTCCTTCCGCGACTTGTATCCTTCTTTCTGAACAACAGACGCTGGAATAAACTGGCGTGAGGCATTAGTCGCACGGATATGGAGAAGCCAAGGGTGGACTTACGTTGACTGCAGCAAAAAAAATACACCATAAGAGAAGAATATTATATTCGTGTAGGCGCCCATCATGATAGTGGTTCAATATTTGGTCTATTTCAATGATTGGCATAATGGGGTGCACATGGGACATGTAGGCTCGCAGAAGACTCGCGCAAGTATCATTCCCTGGTAAGGCAAAGACACCTTTGGCTAGAAGGAACTTCCGGTCTTCCTCCGGTATGGGTTTCCTAGCTCGTGACGGAATGAGTAAATGCCGTTGAAGAGCTGTGCCTGGTGAACACAATTCCAATGCCGACGTCGGTCCTGTCTTTTCGCCTTTGCTGGAAATTAGCCTTGTCGAGAGTGATGTATGGTGACAATTACCCGTATAGAAAGGGACTCCGCCAGTTGTTTGCGACTGCCCCAAGGCAGCCGAGGCAATTTCAAGTCCATTTTCTTCCTCCTCACGACTGTTCTGGTCGTGAACCAAGTCCTCTTCTCGACGAGGAGCCGGTTGCCGCGGATCCGTTGTCATGGTGTCACTATCGACAGCAAGCCCACGTACCCTCGAGGAGGATCGTTGTGAGCGATTACTTGCATGCTTCCGGGCCTTTGGGGTGCTGGGGCAAAATTATTATCCTTGAGTTGTGGAGTCATAGCCTCTGCGGATGTTTCAGGCCATTCTTACACTTTTGGTTTCCTTGCAGTCACCACGCAATCGGCGCCGTCCTGAACACATCCAGTGCAGGGTATACTGGTCACCGAAAGACTGCATCGTACTTTGCGCTGCCGACAGGCGTCGCACGCTACAGTCGAGCGATAGCGTCGAGCTGGCTTAGCCACAGGGGTTGACTGCGAGCTGCTCTCCATCGTATTGTGCTAGCCGATTCCGAGGATTAACGGAGGAAGCGGATCGGACTTTTAGTGAGCAGTGATCGACGCTTCCGTACCACAGACGAGCTATGCCCATTCTGGTATCCTCGGATATCCACAGGTTGTTTGTTATTTAGCGATTGACTCCCACTAATACTATTCACTTGCCATCTTTCTATGAAAGAAGTCAATTATACTGATTCTAGTAATGGCGTGAAGTCTACTTGGTCAGATAAGCCACAATTGGGATGAGGCAAATTCAGTCGGGCGACGTCATCTTCGCAAATGCCGAGGTAGTAATTGGTAAATTCGGAGGCAGCAAGACAAAACCTAGCCAAAAGCAAATTTCCTGAAACTCAGGATATTACAGCACATAAAGGGGACAGTTTCGCGAGGTTTCGTGAAAGTCTTTTCATATATTATGAATCTCGTCTGCGCCAACAAGCGAGTGACAGAAAGGAAACTCGCCAAGCTCTTGAGGGAAGTATTCTAGTATGATTCCAAGGTTGTAGATACATGTACTGGTAAGAATCTGATATCAAGTGAGGGCTGGTAAAGTGTAAGTGTATACCTATAGCATCTCAGCATTGCACATAGATATTCTCTAGAACTCTAACTTCACAAACATTGAACATATCAAGAAAATGTGACATAATATACACATAGATAATACTCCACCAAAAGGTAAATATCATAGACAAATAGGCCTATGACATACGCCAATATCGTTACTGACAGTCGATGCATCAAACGAGCGCGAGCCCAGTCAATGCCCTGTTCTCATCGGAGAACAGCTTCATCCTATTCTTTCCGTCCCGATCGCAGCGGTAAAGACTGCCGCCAAGATCGGTCAGGTAGATACTGTTATTGGGAAGGTCCAGTTTCAAGCCTATGGCCTCATTCAGGTTTCTGCTGAGTATGTCGTAACCCAGACAGGATGTGTGAGGCTGAGGCAAGCCAAAATGATCGAGGTATAATCGATTCAAGGAGTTCCCGAAGGGGATTTCGCCACGATCAGTCCAATAAAGGACCCGAGTTTCCTCGTCAATCTCTAGATCAATCGGTTCTGGAAGGTTGCTCAAAATGCACTGGATGTCGTCCCTCGTGGATGCTGACTTCCCTTCAGGGGTAGATATGTTTGCGCAGAAGATACGCCCTTTTCCACCTTTCGATGGACCCTTCTGTGTCCAGTAAAATTTGCCCAGACTTGGTGCAACAGTCATTCCAACACACCATTTCATATTATCTCCAGCATCTGGCGCACTAGGGTCGCCAGTCTGAATCAAAACTTCGAATTCCGTCCCGTCAAAATTGCAACGTATGACACGAAGCCCTTCGCGGTCACAGAAGTAGAGCTTCTTTGATTCTGCATCCAATGCCAATTGTTTTGGTGTGTTGATGGCCCCTGGTGCTATAATAGTCTTGACATCGCCTCCATCCAAGTTTGCTGACAGCACCGCTCCATCCTCCTTTCCCGGGATACCCATGTTGGTCCAAAAAACTCGCTTGCTGCTGGGATCCACAACGATCCCATCTGGAAGAGCTTGACCTGTAGTGAGAGCCTTCTCTACGTGTCCATCTGCTGAGATCTGCAGAATTTCACCGGCCTCGAAGCTCGGTTCTTTGGATGACAAGCCAAGGTCCAAGACAAGAAGGCTGCGGCTTGCAGCATCAGATTTAGCGACTTCATCAGAGGGCTCGTAGAGGCCGCCCTTCGGAGACTTGGACCCGAGCTTGCCATAGTCCAGGTATTTCCTTTGCAGAAAATCGACGGTTTTTTCACTAGGGAGTCCTCTCTCGGCGATATAGTGCTTCTCAATAAATGCCACCGTGTCTAGACCGACGCCTAGAGAGAATCAAGGTCAAATTCAGATCGAAATGTCGAGGGACACAAGCGCGAAATTCAGATATAACGTGACCTGTAGGGAGATTACATACTGTCCATGCCTTTACAAGGTGCCATGCCTCCCTTGATGAAAATCTCCTTCCATATCGAATCAATCTCACTAGGAGTCGAAACCTCCTCAGCGAGGATCGTCAGAGATTCTCGCTTAACGGCAGCCCATAGGCGGTTGAAAATAAAGCCCGTGGACTCTTTCCTGGCGACATACGGCTTTGTAGCCGCTTCCTTAGAGCGTTCGAACATAAATTGAATGATTGAGGGATCTGTAAAGCCGTCTGTCATCAACTCGACCACCATAACCTGCGGAGGCATGTAGTAGTGCAAGTTCAAGATACGTGACTTCGTAGCATCGGACACCTTGTCAAGCATCTCAGAGGATTTGTACGAAGAAGAGTTGGATGCCAAAATACAGTCTTTCGGAGCAAGCTTATCCAGCTGCTCAAAGGTATCAATCTTCAGTTGGATCTTCTCGGGAACTACTTCAATAACGAGCCACGCGTTATTGACCGTATCTTCCAAATCCTCAGTTGCGGTAATATCGCCAGGTCTTGCTCCTGTTTTTTCTGCATAGGAATCTACATTCTGCTTTACGTAGGCGATACAGTCTGCGCGTTGTTCCGGAATGGGATCGCGAACCTGGACCTTGTAACCTGCCGATGCCCAGATACAGGCTACGAAGAGGGTCAGCACCTTCACGACATTATTGCTGATCTCACATACCGACTCGACGTCCCAAGACGCCTGCACCAAGGATGGCTACAGGGCGTTCCCTGTAGTTTTGGGGCGGCTGCCAATTAGGGATCATTTTGGCAATATCAAGATTAAGTATCGAAGACAAGAAATTGTCGAGTTTTAAAAAGTTCTCAGAAAAATCATTAAAATGTTGTTTTCGCCTGTTTCTAAAGTCGGCTAATTACTTAGAACCCCAGGAGTTTATATAATTGTCGGGGCTGACGTAGGCTCATACCAATGCTTTCTAACTTCCTGTCTCTCAACCAGCGCCACTGCCATGTATCTCGGGATGCCGACCAAGTCTTTCCTTCGTCTCCGAGGAATAGACCATCAGGCATCAGTAGAACCCCCTCGGTCTCTCGATTTCCCGGCGTGGAAAGAATGATCCATTCGGCCGCAGCATCGCATTCATCATACTATGAGCCCCTTTATTCATATTGAGGCGGTAGAGCACATTGTGGACAGCCTCTGCATTGTATGGCCGAAATGTCAAATAGGGAAGATAGTATGAACTTGAACCCGGGGTTCCGATTGGACGGTTTTTAATAGAAAATCGGAAACGTACCTCGGTAGACCCACAGGTGTAGATAGTTCCCTCCGAAGTTTGGCTCTATTCCTCGGAATAAGTGCGGGTTTGACTGCGAAATCAATGCTTTCCACTGTGGCAGTGGTTATCATCGCTCATTGCAAGTGTAGGCTCGTCCCTTCCACCGAAGAAAAATTCGTATCATCCCGGGATCCTATACGTAAAAGTTTCCCTGTCTCGGAATTCCTTTCAGTGAAATCACTCTGTAGATACTGATCACTGGCTCTATCTTCGCCCAGCCATCCGAACGTCCCAAATGAAAGGAGCATTACGAGGCTCTTATAATAGTTGATGAGTGCTGGATGCACCGTCACTGATACTTCAGACAATTGGTGAATAATTAGTATTCTATGAGATCTATAGAATATACCATCTTTTGTTACAACGTTTGGCTAACGCTCCATATCTATGAATGTAGATGGGTAAAATTAGAAGGACTCCCAGACCACAGCGACACTAAATGAACTGAATAGAGGGACGGAGTGAAAATTATTGATACATGTTATATAATTGTGAAGATCAAGAATATAGTGGCGACAGTACAGATCAAATAAACAGCAAATGAAATAAAGTGACAGAGTCAAAGGTCCATTTCCAAACAAAATACGAAAAATTTCCTTGCCAAATCCTCGCAGAAAGATGACAATTTGGCAATTTAGAAACAGAAAATCTGATCAGTCATCTTGGAAACCGGTCCAGGGGTCTGGAACCCTAGACCAGCCAAATTCATTTTAGATGCATTGACCATGCCCGGAGGCCCACAGAGCATAATCTTAGTCTCAGGAGATGGTGGAGGAAGATGTTCGCGCATAACGGCAGGCGTAACATAACCCTTACCATATTGCCATTTCGGGGAGGGATTGTCCAGCATGTACCAGATCTTGAAGGTTCTGGGGTATGCTAGTGCAAATGCTTCAAGCTTGTCGCGCATTAGGATGTCTTCTTCGGAGCGGTTGGCATAGATCAGATAAATCTCAGTAGTGTCGGTATCATCTTCACAGATCGCGCGAATAAGCTGGTACATCGGCGTGATACCTGTGCCACCAGCAACCATTCCGAGCTTCTTACACAGGCCCTTCTTGTAACGCATAGCACCCTTGGGACCTCGAAATGCGACTTTGTCACCAACCTTGAGATTGGCAAGGTACTTCCCTGTGAGGATACCGTCCGGGTAGCACTTGATCACAAGTTCTAATCTGCCGAGGTCGAGATTATTTGACGTTGGTGTATAAGAGCGTGACACTGGCTGGCCATCTATTGTTGCTTTAATGGAAACATGTTGACCGATGGGAAGACCAATGGCTTCATTTTTGCGTGGGAGCTGAAATACGAAGAGGTAGACATTGGGAGCCAAGAGCTCCTTTGCCACTAGAGGCAAGGTCTTGTATTCTTTTGGCTGGAGGAATCCCCGGATAAGGTGAGGGTCGATCTTGTGGACTGTGTTCCTTTTGATGTGAGGGGGAAATCTTCTGAATCCCGAGTCGATCTCCGTGAGTTTGGAAAGCTTGGATACTAAAACACTACCCAGCATTGCGAAGATGCAAGTAGCTGCGACAGCGCCATTGATGAAACCACCGTGAGGGAGAATGTCACCAAACTTGTTCGTTGGAAGCCGCGCCATCTGGAGAAGGGGCTTGCTGAGCTCATGGAGATTCAAGTGTGGCCTAAGTGAAATGGAGGCAAAGTATAGTGATAGAATTGAGCCAGCAGTCACTCCCACGGTTCGGACAGCACTAGAGCTACCCTTCCGTGGCTGTTGCACGACCGGCTCTTGAACAACCCTTACAGTAGTACGGGCCTTGTAGTCCGCGGCATCTTTCAATGTGCCAATCAGATAAGCCTCCAGGATTTCATCCGCATCCTCTGAATGGCCCACGTCCTCATATGCCTCAGTTGCATCTTTCCCAGCAACATCGACCAGGACGTCGACACCACCCGGATGATTCTTGACGTATTTAGTTACATCGTAGACTATTGGCACTGATTAGCCAGGGTGAGGTAGGAGGGCAAAGCGCCGCTCACCTTTTCCATGGATAGCCACCCACAAATCTGCCCTGCTTTTATGCACTTCGACCTCTTCTAGAGTGAATTCCCGCATGTTGATAGTAGTGCTGTGGGTAAGATAAGTCTTGTTTGACAATGGAGTTTATGGACAAGGAGGGGAACACGATGTCTTATAAAGTAGCGTTACGAATAACATATTTGGCTACTTTTTCAAGGCAAATGCTTTTATAGTATAGTCCAGATAAACATTGGGTATGCCGTAGGGGTTTAAGTTCGGCTCGGGATCCCGAGTAAAATCCTTGTCGTTCGGCTAGGTCGGAGCATAGTAGGCTTAGGGCTACGTCAGCTAAAATACCTCGGAAATGAAGTGTTTCCGAGGAATAGGAAATTCGCGCGATTTCTGTCATTAGAAGCTCGCTCTTTCGCAGCTATTCGAAAACTATCGCATTGATAGAGAAGCGCATGTATAGTCTTGATCTTCACCGACCCTCCGTACAGCCGTCTCCACGGAGACTATATAAATGCCGAGCTGCTCAAAGTCATTCTGTATATAGCCATTCACTATCTCAGTCTGTCTGTCATGCGTATTGCCATCTTCGTATGAAGTCAAATCCCACGCCCCGTCATGCCTTCACAAACATTCTACTTACTTGGACAAAGTCCATCCTCCGCCAGGGAAGTCCAGATAGATGCTTCCCAAACATTTGAGGGCCTGCAACTTCTCGTTGCCGGCCATTTTGCAATTGTAGAACCAAGTGGTTTGTACCACCTACGCGCTGATATAAATCAAAGCTACAATTCTGACAAATGCTGTGTAGGAATCAGTTTCCAGGGACCCGACGCTGTCCTAACTGAAGTGTCTGAGGTTCTGGCAGCGGCGACTCCTGTGCCCATCACAATCGATGGACATCCCGTTCGCGATCCACCCTGCCCGAAAGAATTGCCCTTCGTCGGTACCTTCTTTGAAGTCTATCCGGATCATCTTGGAAATCATCAACGTCTTTTCGAGAAGTACGGGCCGATCATCAGAACAAGTAACCTGGGTCGTGTCACCTACCAGACCAATGATCCGAAGATCGCCGCCATTGTGTTCTCTGAATCCGATTTCTTCACGAAAAAGATCAATGAATCCCATCCCCTGCACGCCCTAAAGACTCCTGCTGCTGGTGTTTTTCTTGGTGATACTGATACACCGGAATGGAGGGTCGCTCATAAATTCTTGCCTCCCGCTCTGGGCCCCAAGGCGGTTCGACACTATGCTCCGACGATGCAGAAGACTGTGGAGGATTCGTTCAAGGTATTCGACAAGTTGGACGAGCAGGATGAAGCGTGGAATGTCTACCAGTACATGTTGAAGCTGGGTTCCCAGGCTGTAGGCAAGCTCACCCTTGGGATAGACTTCCAACATTTCGACGCACCAGATGCTCCCGTTCATGAAATGGTTCACAACATCGCCGAAGTCCTATCCCTCAACAAAAAGGTCACCTCGAAAGGAAACTGGTACAGTTCCCTACCATTTGGCGACCCAAAAAGACTTAGGAATCTGAGAGCGCGCATTGAAGAAATGGTAGAGGAGTCAATGAAAAAGGCGTCAAGAGGAGGTGTTGAGGACCTCCCTCTCCAAGATGCGGCTTTGACAGCAAGCAACATGGTTGGTAAGTGACAGTTCTATTGAAAGACCCGCTGTAGCCGTAGGCTGTCAGGTTAACATTCAAAAGATTACGCTATTCGTGCCACTGACAACAAGGGCGAGAAATTGCCAAAGTCTAGCGTGGTTTGGGCCCTAGTCGTGGCTACGGGTGCCGGTTTCACAACCACCAGCTCTCTCCTCTCCTGGCTCATATACGGCCTCTGTCAGTATGAGGGCATGCAAGAGCGGTTGCTCCAAGAGTTGATTGACCACGGCTTCGATGAGAACACTGAAATGACTGCCGACTTCACGGACAAATTGGAGTTCCTTGACAAGTACATCAAAGAGACTCAGCGACGTCACAATCCCTCCTTTCAACCGGGACGGACTGCGAAAGTTGACCTAATCCTGCCAGGTGGATATAAGCTGCCGAAGGATGCAGTGGTGATCCCTGCCTTGCATCATATCCACAACCATCCCGGTCTCTGGGACAACCCTGCTCGGTTCAACCCTGATCGTTGGGACACAGAGGAAGTAAAAGGCAGGCACAAGGCGGCATATATCCCTTTTGCAATGGGCCCTCGTATGTGCATTGGATTCAACTTTGCGCTTCAGGAGATCAAGGTCTTTTTGCCCAAACTTGTCTACCGTTATAAGTTCTCCCGCGAAGGCGAAGAACCCATCGAGTACGACCCAATGTTCCAGTTGATCAGACCTAATAATCTTTACGTACGAGCAGAGCGTCGAACCAAATGGCCAGCAAAGTCGACAATAGCTTCATCGTGAGATTCTATGAGAATATTCGCCATGCACTTCCGAACATAGAGGATGGCGCGGGTCCAAAGACCGACAAAGAGAAACAAGTCATGATCTTCAACTTTGCATCACTAGCACCAGTATGTTTGGAAACTAAAATTGCTTAAGTGTCTGAACACTTATGGAGTTTGTTGGGAACAGCGGATGATGTTTGGCTCAAGAAGTCGTTTGAAATGTGCGGGCTCAGGCAAACTGTTTATATTGATTAGATTGGGAGTGGTAGTCGATCTTCAAATGTTGTTTATAGGCTTTGTATAATAAATATCTGCCAATTAAGGTGTCAAGGTGATCGATCACGCAAATTCTTTATAGTCTTGAGGTTTGCCCAGGAACCCATCCATGGACCTGGTAGGTTCTCTGAGACCTTGTAAGTCATCTTATAATCTATCAGGATTGTCCCCAACCGATTCTCTACTGTTGTATGTTTCTAATGTGAGAAGAAAGGTTGTAGGTCGGATTCTAATGAATTCCCCCCACATTGAACTGTGACATACGAAGCTCACGCAATCTAAGCGACATCCCATGTTTAATCTTGTATATACCTACGGACAAGCTTCGGAAAGTGTCCACGGTGAAAGCGATAAGGTTTCTTATTCTGAGGGCAAACGCCAAGTTAGGGTTAGGACTGTAACCGTCATTTTTCTGTATAGCTTCACGTTCTCATCTTTGTCCCGGAGAGTATCACAATCAAAATCTTCGAGACAGTTGCCCAATTGGGGGTTTTCGATAGGTAATGTCACCTTTCCTCTCACATACGAGTCTGATGTCAAACAGTCCGGAACAATTTGGGTTCGTTTGTCCTACTGGGCGTACAGCTCCAATCAAAGGGTTGCCAGATCAATATACGACACCTTTATAAGTTTCATTGTTCATTTCCTTGTAAAGACACCGCTGGGCGCAAATTAAATCCTTGTGTCACATGATTCTAGGATTATTTTACCTATATAAAGGCCCTCTCTCCTGCCCCAGGTTTTTGTTCCTTCTTCCTTCCTCATTCCCCTCAACCGCCTTCCTCAGCTTCTACTTCAAAAATAACTATATATGAGATATATAGATCTTACCCCCATTACCCAAGCCTGTCAGGAGGTTGCATTTCCTATTGCAAATGATGGTCACAATGTTCGTTATGCCGCTTCGAAAGGCTGTTCTTCGGTAAGATCATTAACATACTTTGAGGATGCTTTGCTAAATAGAGACTGGTTGAAAGGAAAGATCAGCGCTGTGCGTAAGAGGGGTTTGGGGTTTTCCAACCGTCAGTTGATATTATGCCAGAGCATATTCTGGCAAATTCTTTTCGCTTTCTACTGAGGCAAAGCTGGTAAGTCGATTCAATCAGCTCTAAGGCATATGTATGTCGGCTAACAATCTCAGTCAACGATTTTGCCGGTTCAAATTTACTTTACAGGCTGATGGGCATCCCTAATCAGACTCGGAAACAACACGAACACGGCAGTCACAACGTGGTTGCCGCTAATTAAATACGATGAATGACGATATACAAATAAACCTTTCTTGCGGAACAATGCCTCTTTTTTGATGCAGTGGTCTCTTTTCCGGTTTCTAGAAATACGGCGATTGGCAAACATAGATGCTGCTAATTTGCAGCCCTTTTACTCTTCCATTTAATGAAGCTATTCGGGGCGCAATCTGCACGAGAGTTTGATCCTCTAGGTTCGAGATTTTCGGCGATTTGTCATGCTACGTTTCACTCTAAGGCTCTACACACTACGTGATCATCTTTACTAGCTATATCGCTATTGGTGATCTTGGACAATTGGTAGCTTGATATATACTTTTGGTGTTATTCAGGTGGAATTGAGAACCCTCAATGCATTCAGCTTGGTGGGCTAAGACTGAACAGCCGGGTAAACACCACTCGCCGCAACGAACCGAACAGAAATGGAGATATGTCCAATATATGGTCCTCTTTCTCGTCTAAGTGAGTTTATTGACCTTCATCTCAGCTCCATAACACCGAAGGTGGTGCCCTATCACCTGCACTTCCAAGGGTCAAATGAGAAGAAACTCCGATTCTACGACCAAACTACCTTCGTGTGTGCAATGGAGGGAAAACTTTTTTCGAGCGACGAACTCTCGGAAACAGACCTAAAGTGGAAACCTTCCAACAAACAATTACTAGAGGTCGTCGTGGAGTGCCAGGCCATCGAGACACGGGAATCACGAGAATACGAAGTGTCGGAAAACAGTATGACACCAGGTATCCAACTCTTTCTTGTTCTTGCTAACATTTTACAGTTTCAAGTTGGCGCGACGAATTAGCCGCCAGGCAGCTCAATAATAACACGTCTACTATTCAAAATGATCCATTGCCACAGCGCGATCCAGAGAGTCAAGTCGTTCCAGCTACCAACACTAGAGAAGGAGTTGCGGGAGAGCATAACAAAGAAAAAGAGATCACGGCCGATCCCCAGACTCTGTGCAAATCTAGTCCCAGGGCCCGCACTGTGCCTGACACTCCTTGCACGCCCATTGCAGAAAATGCCCACAAGAAAACGGATCTCAAGGCTAATACAACTCTCAATTTCGATACACCAGACGCTGTGAGCATCGTTGAGATTGACGAAGAGGATTAGTTTACTTGGCAATCAAACGTGTAGGTTCCTCTATCCATCGATGCTAATATGATACTTACTCTGTCTTCTCATCTTGTGCAGAATATCAAAACTGAATCCGATGCTCGATCTGACGCAAACAAGCAGCGAAACTTACAATGTACAACATACTCTGTTATTTGCTCAAGGTGAAACGAGAGCAAGTAGCCAATACAATTCCAATCCAATATTATTGTGAAAAAGATAGTTGGACCAGAGAGTTCACATATCTTTATCATGGTGCCACTATTATCCTCGCTCCCCCAACACGTCTTAAGTATTGGGTAGAGAAATTTATCCAACATTACCAATATTCTATATAGACTAATGTCTGAAGAGATCTCATACTCACTCAATATACAAAATGCTTTACAGGCTCTAGAAAAAAAATTTCAACACACAGTCAAGAAGTACATAGACCAAAAAGAAACGAAAGGCCAGGTAATAACAGAAACCAATACTAATTCGTATATAACTAGAAAGCCCAGTATCAGTCATAAAGCCCAAATCACCGCAACATTTCCATTCATAGCTTTAGATAACAACAAATTTACCATAACTCTAGAGGAGATACTCAAATCACAGAATAATAAGTCTACGCCCCCTCAAATTATTAAAGTATTATCTAATTATAAGAATAACTACTAAAAACTTAGTTAGATCAATGACTATATTTAGAAGTATAGTGACTATAAGGTTGTCTTTACCACCGAACGCGTTATCAAAGTTTCTACAATCTTTAAGGTATATATGCCTCCTCATCCTAGTAGAGTATCTTGATGATCTCTCTTTCTCAGTAACTCCAGAGAAGATTTCCTTCAATGTACTCCCAATACATAGATAGCACAGTTTCCATCAAGAAAAGAATACAAGTAATTAATAAATTCAAACACAACAATCATTTCAACAGTAACACAAATAAAAGCTTCGACATCTTAATGGCCGCCCAGAAGACGATACAGGAATATCTCCCCATCATACAGACGTCCCAACTAATCAAAATCAAAAAGCCTTATTCCACTTCAGCATCTAACACAACAATGAAACAAATAGTAAATCCTATAGGACAAGAAAATACCTACTTTGAAGCCATACAACTACAGACGAAAGGCTACTTTTTTAAAAAGTTAGATGTCAGTCAGATCAATCTTCAGAGTGATTAAATAACACCGCTAACGGTGAGTGTAGCTCAGATACATAATTCATCTAGGCTATCCTCGCTGTTGTAAGCGTACTGTATAAGAGATATCTAAGAGAATTAAGATACAGAGAGATAACACAACCCAGTAGCTGTTTAGCCACATAATGCGTTTCATTACATAGAAAAAACATTAGCTTACTAATTATTCATTATTAGCATCAAGCATATTACATTAACAATCAATAATACAGACATTAATTCCTTAAAATAGTTTCATATCAAAAACATAGTAGTTTATACGCTTCAATGACCAGAACATTAATCGCTTTAGGTAAAGCATCCGGTGCACAACAAAAGAAGACAAATCGTAGACAATAGAACGAACAATCTTCCGCTGCCTTCAACAACCGATATCAGCTGGTACCATCAACTTCTTTCTTGTTATATTAAAAGATCCTTGTAGTATATGATATTGATATTGATAGCCCTGATACATATATTTTCCTTTTTTAGCACCCAAGTGGAACGCTTGCTTCGACTTTACACAGAAACCAAACGCGAGAATAAAGAGTTAGGATATTCCAGAAATAATGGAGAAAGAAGACTCCGCGCCTAGCTGCAACTTGCTTGAAAGAGGTTTTCTTTTCCTGTACAGCTCATAAAAGAGACAAGGACAAATTCCAATGGACCAGCTTAGAAACAATCTAGTTGTTGATTTTGGCTTTGAGGGATTCAATCTCCGCAGTGAGGTTTTGCATCTGTTCGGCTTGGGATGCAATGGTCTTGGTCTGCTGAGCAATCAACGCCTTGATTTCGGCAATGTCGTCCGACACAGAGGTCGAAGGAGCAGCAGGGTTCTGGGTGGTAGTTTTAGGTGTTTCGATGGTTGGTGTAGAAGCAACAGGGGTTGTGGCCTCCTTTTCTTCGATGGGAGATGGTGGGGACTTTGTGATAACGGGTGTCGAGGCGGCCCGTTCCACAGGCTTGGTCACTTCTTCAAAGCTAGATGCATCGTCAATCTCTTCTTCCTTCTCCTCATCGTCGTCGGCGAATTTGTCAACCATTGCGGCCATCGAGGCACCTTGATCCTTCATTGACGGGGCGGGTCGCACTACGACTGGGGTAGGCTCAGCGCGGACGGGTTCAGTAGCTGCAGGCTTGGCGGCCTCAGCCGGCTTTGGCGCATCGGCGGTGATGGTAGATGATGGCTTGGACTGAGTTGGAGTTACCTCCTTGAGCCCAGTACCATCGTAGATACCCTCCATGGAGATCTTGGAAGGGATAGCTTCCTTGCCAGCTTGCCATTCGGAGGAGCTCATGGCAGGCGTAATACCAGTGGTAGGAGGATAGATATCGTCTTGGAAGTTTTCAGACCGACGAGGCACAATGAATGATATAGGCTCGATATATGAGTCTGCCACAGATTTGTAGATTCGGACGACTTCATTTTGGTGGATGTTAACACCGCGCTTGGGCATGAAAGCCAGACCTCGTTGGGGATCGCCTGATTTATATTCGGAAAGGAACTCAAATTTGTCGTTTTCGTACTCGAAGTAGCGAATGTTGCCATCACTAATCGGTCAGTCACGAAACGAGGTACTAGATGCAAGACAAATATGGAAGACAAAAACGACTCACCCTTTACCAGCCAAGTATAGACATTGAGTACCCTCATCCCAGAAGGGAACACAAACACCAGAAATGGAGTCTAGAGTCTTGAATCCACTAATGGGTTCTCGCACCGCACGAACGTCCCAGAGAGCAAGCTGACGATCACTCATCTTGGAGAAACCTGTGGTGACAATTCGATCGTGTTCACCCATCCACACAGCTCGGCTGTTTTTGGCTCCAGAGTGTCCTGCAGTTTCCTGGGCAGGGCGCTCTTGGCGAACATCCCAAAGCCTCAATTTCTTGTCACGGGATGTGGTCACAAGAAGTGATCCATTGGCGCTCCAAGACTGAGACTGTACGATATCGCCTATTTTCAACGTGTATTTGGCGGCGCCAGCTTCAATATCCCAGATCTTGATCGTGTAATCTCCCGATGCTGTGGCAAGCACGTTCTCGGCAGCGGGGTTGAATAAGACGTGTCCGACCTTCCTGGGTGGCTGTTAGCCGTAATGCACGAAACTGAAATGACCTGCAGCTACTGACTTGGGGTGTCCGCTAAGCTTTCCGACAGGGGAAATATCTTGAACTTGGTCGACATCAACGTCGGGGCGAACGGTAAAGTTATCAGGCACACGCCAGAGGAAGACCTGTTATCTTAGCCAATTGACGCCGAAAGGTAATCATGTATATTTTACCTTGCCATCGTCGGCACCGGACGCAATCAATGAATCATTAAAAGGATTCCTAGTGGACCCATCAGCTTCGTGATGATTAATGTATGTTTCCTTTGTAAGTGCCTACCAATCGGTATCAAGAACAGCGGCAGTGTGTCCTCGGAACAATGGGATCTTCTCGGGAAGTTTTCCTCGCTCTTCAAGAGGAATGACTGCAAAGGCACCGCCACCACCGGCCTCCCAGTTGACTGCCAGGTATTGTGGGTTAACCTATTACGCGATTAGCGACATGGGATAATATGGCAGCCTTCGGCGTCGCACTTTGAGCAGGTTGGTATCCCAAGCATTGCGGGACACTCGCAAGTTATCATAACATTGTTCCTGTTCGTAGAAGATGAGTGATCGTCCAATGTAATCGTAAAGCTACTCTGTCGAATCTAGGCGTACTCGTCTTGTGGGTTGGCCAAAAACGTGTCCTACTCAGGAGAGCAGCATTAGCTCGTGCGCGAGGGAACGGGACAGCAGCGAGAGCACTTACGATACTTCGACGAGCGGACGAAACGACCAGACATGATGGTGGAAACAATGACGGACAAATTGACGAACAGAAAAGAAGAAAGTGGTCGCCAGGACCTTTGAGACGCAATTGAGGTTAGAGAGATGGAGTGCACGAAGGAGTAAGCTTGGAGAGTCTCAGCCGTCGCCGCAGATAAGTTGGCTGGCGCCAGAGTCCAGGGGTCTAAGCCCACCACCTACGTAGTTGCCGCGCAGCAATGATCTTGGGATACTACGTAAACACCAGGCAGTTCATAACAAGAATATTCAGAATTGACTACGGATTACTTGATTTTTAATATATATCGACAGTCAACCTGTATAGGAAGCGTAGAGAGACTGGCGATTGCGATCACGTGGGTGACGGACTCAGGGCTTCCCAAAACGGACTAGTCAAACGGCTCGGTATGCCCCTCTGCTGGCCTGAGGCACTAAGGCAGCAAGGCCCAAGCTGTTTGCCTGAACGGGTGCTGACTAAGGCCTTCCGTTTGTTTACATCGTTTCTCCGGGTAACCGCCGTCCCTGGCTTTGTTGATCTCGTTCAATTTAACCAGTGCTGCTGCGACTCTCGGACCGAATCGCATTTTCGTTACCTACCGCGACCAATACGACGAACTGCCATATTGAATTTGCTGGATCAGGTTGAACTCGCTCATGTTCTGACAAGCTTAAAACACACGCTATCGCCACGGTCTTCTAGTGTGATGCTGTTGTAGTGTTGTTTTTCAATTTTCTTGACGCCAAACCGCCAACTCTCGCTCCCCGCATTATTTTGCACCGCCTAGAACACCCATGGATGAGAATTCAGTCAACGTATGATCGAAATTCCTAGCTCAATGACGGTGTCTAATGAAGGACATACATTACAGATGGACTCACGCCCAGTCAGCAAACTGCGAATGCCACAAGCTGGCTTAGCAGAGATGAATTCAGCGAAAACAAACTCGCGATCTGGTTTGAAAGCCCCAGGTTTTGCGACGTCTGGAATAAAGCCTTCAGGCATTGCGAGTGTGTTTCAATGTTATATCTCTATGAATGCTTGGTGTTTAACTCGATCACAGAAGCGCCCTCGCATCAACCTTCCGCTTCCACATCCAGAATACCCAACGGACCCCCACGTACTCACGCCAGAACGAACTCGTTTTCCTCGTCGGTCTCTACCCGAACGACCCAGTCCAGAACAACGTCGTCCTCCTCATTTTCTCAGACTGTCGGATCGGGCTCTCGTGCGGCAACTTCAAGACCTCAGACGTCTATGGGCCAGCGAAGACCTGGCGCATCTTCTATCGCACGACCATACACTTCACTCGATACCCATGAGGAGGAATCACCGAGCAGTGTACTAGGCAAAAGAAAGGGTAGGCAACATTTCCCAAAGTCTTATCAAGTTACCCCTGGATCATACGATAAATACATGAACTGCACGATACAATTGACGCCTTGTCCAAGCCCATCTCACACCCCCATTGGCCCGCTTCCCCAACGCAGAGAACCCTCAATAAGTACCCTCATGAGCAAATTGTCCCTGTCGGAACCCAAGGATACCCCAATTGAACAAGCCACGCTAGCAAACAAAGCGCGCAAGATCCCCTTGCCCTCTGGGAATACAAGAGTACCCCTACGCCAGGCAAAATCTACGTGCCAATTGACATATACCCCACCCCGTCGCAAGCCCAAGTCTCTTCAAAAAACACCATCTGCTATAGTACCGTTTCTAACCAAGTCTTCTCAATTAAAAGCCTGGGAACATGACACTAGGCTGCAGGAACTCGAAACCTTCGCGGACACATTTTTCAGCAAGATATCACAAGTCGGCCAGAACAGTGATGTTATGAAGGATGCGATCAATCTGTACAAATCACGAGGTACGTATTTCTATGATGATAGGGGATCCTCGCTGACAACTCATAGTGGAGGAGCTCGAAAAGAACCGGGACGAAATTATGGCCAACAATTGCACGCTTCGTATTGAGATGGAATCGATGAAAAATAAACTTTCAACCGCCGAGGAAGCACTCAAAATCGCAGAAACTGAACATGAGATCGCCACGGACGAACACGAGCAACGTTTGCGCATTGAGACTGATGCTGTACGCGAGGAAGGTCAGACGCAATTGCAAAATTTGATCTCTCAACATCAAAACGAAATCGAGGACCTACGACGGCGCCATGAGAGAGAGCTTGACAACGAACGCAGTACTTACCAACGAGAAATCAGCCAAGTAACATCCCAGAGCGCCCTCGACACGCAAAAGGTTCATTTGGAAGTGGCGAACAGAGACAGGCAGATTGAAGCTCTTCAGCGTGACTTGCGCACCGCGCGTGATGATATCGAGGCCGAGAAATTGAAGAACCGGGAACTACGTCGGAACCTGGATACCTCTAGTAGCAATACTTTGACGTTGGAGTCCTCAGTTCGCGCCTTGAAAGCAAGGATTGAATTCTTGGAATCCGGAAGTCAAGAACAATCTCAAGCGTTCGAACGCCTTCAGAAACAATTAGAAGATGCTCTTGCTGAGACGAATGAGGCGAAAGAGAAGCTACGTAAGGAAGAGATGCTTCGACGCAAACTACACAATCAGGTGCAAGAGTTGAAGGGTAATATTCGTGTCTTCTGTCGTGTTCGGCCAACTCTCAATTTTGAGCCGGAATCTGATATTGCTCAAATCGCGTTTCCCGACGGTGGAGAAGACTGCAAGGAGATTGCAGTGATGGGACCTGAAGAGAGAAGCAGTTTGGGAACGGTGTCTCGAAAACAAAACGCATTCTCCTTTGATCGTGTCTTTGGGCCTGGTAACCAAAACGCCGACGTGTTTGAAGAAATCAGCCAACTGGTTCAAAGCGCTCTAGACGGCTACAATGTCTGCATTTTCTGCTATGGGCAGACTGGTAGTGGAAAGACACACACAATGTCGTCTGCAGATGGCATGATTCCGCGTGCAGTACACCAGATTTACGATACCGCAAAAAGCTTGGAAGAAAAAGGATGGACCTATACCATGGAGGGCAACTTTGTTGAAGTTTACAATGAAAACTTGAATGATCTTCTCGGAAAGGCCGATGATTTGGATAAGAAGAAACATGAAATTCGGCACGACATGCAGAGGTGCAAAACGACCATTACGGATGTCAATACGGTCACACTCGATTCCCCCGAGATGGTTGAGACCATTCTCAAGCGAGCTGCTGCCAATCGCTCTGTCGCAGCAACGAAGGCAAATGAAAGATCCTCCAGGTCACATTCTGTCTTTATTCTGCGACTGATGGGTCACAACAAGATAACTGGAGAGCGGTGTGAAGGAACCCTCAACCTGGTTGATCTTGCTGGTAGTGAACGACTAAGTCACAGCGGTGCAACTGGCGATCGTCTGAAGGAGACCCAAAACATTAATCGAAGCCTAAGCTGCCTAGGAGATGTTATCGGTGCTTTAGGCACAGGCAAGGAAGGTGGACACATTCCATATAGAAACAGCAAGGTTTGTTCTCATCCAAATCGTCTTATATATTTATCACTCTAACTTATTTCCAGCTTACATATCTGTTACAATTCTCGTTGGGTGGCAACTCTAAGACGCTGATGTTCGTCATGGTCAGTCCCCTGCAGGCACATCTCGGGGAGACCTTGACGAGTCTTAAGTTTGCAACGAAAGTACATAATACGCACATTGGGACGGCAAAACGTGTCTCAAAGATACAGAATTAAGCAGCGACTGACTACTTCCTTTACGATATGATACCACGAGTGCCAGTCAAAATGACATGGCTTTACCTCATTTGCATTGGTGTTTGGAGTTATACTATTTTTCTGATACGCTTCTTACTTTTTATACACGATGGTGTTTCTATTTTGCACTACAACTATAGTAGGATGTCACGTCGTGTTCGCTACGTTTTACTTTCCTGTTTTCTGATTGAAGTTTTGTAAATATTTGGGCTGCTGGGCAGCTGACGATCTTCGTGCGAGTATTTTATCAATTTGGAAGTGTCCATAGAGATGAGTATATTGACGTTGATTGAATATGATCATGAAGCAAGACTATTCTGCAGGTATCCGTATGATCCATTGTCACCTGAGATCCACAATTATGAGGTTAAGGGTATGGCCATGAATGCATGTGGCATTTATTGCTTATCGTCGAAGATCTCCGAGGTTGATCAATTTCTCGAGGTCGTATGCGAGACACTGGCACTTAATCCACTAGGAAACTATTCTGGATTTCTTTAAGAATAGGGTTCTGAAAGCACGCGATGCCTCTTGTTGTATTCCACCCAAGGCAGTTATAGCGTTATTCAAATTGGACTTCTTTATTCAGATAAAAAAAATGTGGGACAATCGGACAATCTCTCGGCTATCACAGATTTATACCATTCGCGTGCCCAATGATGAGTTACATTGTCTCGTGCGCCGACTCTAGCCCTAGCCCTGTTGCAGGCACCACGACGATAGTGTGACGTCAAACCTCCATAATCTGTGAAGCAGCAAGTTTCTCTTCAATATCGAGCAATATAAAACATCGGATATCGACTTGGGAGATTTTCTCAGTGACAGCAACAAGATCCTATCGACACCTACATCTGTCAATAAAATCGTCTCGTGGCGATATCAAAGCACCTTTCTCAACAAACCCTAGAAGCAAACCCTAACAGCAAACCCATCTTCAACCAACCCTTTACATCAACCTCACTGTCACAACTCGCCTAAAAGAATGACAACTCTAACGGGCTCCTGCTACTGCAAAAACATCAAATATGAACTCTCACTCAATTCGCCCGACGATGCTCGCACATCGCTGTGTCATTGTCGGAATTGCAAGAAAGCATTCGGGACAAACTATGGACTGACCGCAAAAATACCCAAGGACTCTTTGAAGATTACCCAGGGACAAATAAAGAAGCATTCGGCGGATAATGGTTCGGGAGTGGTGATTAATAGAGAGTTTTGTGATAATTGCGGGAGTTTCATTCTTGAGTATGGGGTGGGTTTCTTGCTTACCGTTTTGGTGTTAACGGTTACTGAAATCTTTGTGTAGGACGCGGTGAAGGATAAGTTTCGATATATTGTTGTCGGCTCGTTGGATGATCCAGAGGCTTTGCCTCCAAAGGGAGAGTTCTTCTGCAAGGAAAGGGTCTCTTGGATGCCAGAGGTACCCAGTAAGTCTACTTTGCATACCTCCTTGATGCACAGGTGCCATTATAACTGTGAGATAGATGTATTTCATAAGAGGGAGGTCAAGGAATAAAAGTACGTGGTATTCTCATTCAAGGTCAAGCTTTCATCTTCTTTTTCTGCCAAGTTGAACCGTTGCTTTTTTAAATATATGTTACTGAGAGGGGAGAGCTTCATTTACCCACAGTTGGGCTAGAGACACAATGATCATAGTTTGATACTCAAAACTGGAATAGCATCACTCAAGCTATTCAGTCAATATCACAATCTTTCCCTCGGCAGCGCTGTCTTCCATGCAACGATGAGCCTCCACAATTTGATCAATGTGAAATGTCTTGCCTATCTTCACTTTCAAGCTGCCATTCTCAACCTGCTGAATTAACTCATTGAGAGGAGTCGACATAAATTCCGGAGTCATCCCACCATACACAGTGAGCTTCGAACCCCATGGTATGTCGGATAAAATATTTAGGTCTTTGACGATCCATTCATTTCCAACTCTTCCTGCTACGCAGAGAGTGCCTCCTTGAGTGATGCACTTCAAGCTGTCTTTGAGCGTAGCGGCTCCGATCATTTCAAGTATCTTGTTGAACTTTTGATCGAACTCCTTCGCAGCCAACTGTGTCGCTAATTCTCCATCTTCTAGGAGAAACTCGTCTGCGCCATGTTCACGAAGCATTGATTCGCGATCCGCGCGTCGACTGGTAGCCGTTACATGTGCCCCCAAACTCTTTGCAAGCGTAATAGCAGTGAGCCCGATTGAAGTAGTCCCACCTCTAATCAACACGCGGTCTCCATGTTTCACTTCCAATGAACGATGTACACACCCGTATGAAACCTGCAACATCTCCGGTAACGCACCGAGTATCTCCCAACCCAACTTAGTCGGGTTGGTAATGGCCTGCACCTGATTCGAAGGAACAACAGTGTACTCCGCATAACCTCCGTCAAAGAAAAGACCCATTCCGCCCATAGCCGTCATGACGATTTGTCCTTTTTCGAATTCGCCGTTTGGTGCTTCCTCGACGACACCGGTAGCTTCAATACCGAGGATTCGGGGGAATTGAACGTTGGGTGAGAGGCCCTGACGGGTCCATTTCTCTGACCGGTTGAGACCGAAAGCTTTGACGCGGATGAGGACTTGGTTCACCTTCGGTTGAGGTATTTCTCGTGTTTCGAATTTGAGGGCTTCTGGACCGCCGGGTTCATGCACAACCACTGCTTTCATTGTTCCCAGTGATCTGGTATGAGCCATTTGACAATTGGAGAGGTATGACCGTGGTACTTGGAAGCTTAATAGTTTATTTGAGCTTAGGAAAGCCTTTTTGCGTGGTATATGGAATAATGAGCGAGATATCATAGTGGAGGAACGAAAGTTGTCAGCCAGTATTTATACTTTTGAAAGTTAGTTGCAACTTGACTATTAAAGTTGATTCAGTAGCAGCAGCAATAGCTTTCAAGAAAGGGCCCAGAAATTCCCCGACCCCTTAATTCTATCTCTGGGTTCGTAAAATGCGTAATATTCTTAGATAAAATTCCCTATTTAGGACTGTAAGACATACAACTCAAACCAGACAAACAGCAGGGATTGCATCGGCAGCCCTAGAAACTCGCCGATCCCAAATTTGGCAAAGTAAATTGGATCATCCAAACATCTCAAACATGACAAACATAATTAAGGTCGCATTTTAGATTCGTATACATTGGTTTTTGATTGTTTAAGTAGGTAGTTCTACGTTGTGCAGCCTAGGTATACACAAGCTAAGGAGAGCATAGACACATATGACCTTTGCTTAGATTCAAATTTACCTACGTAGCTATCAATATTTTGGGGCTTGCCTCAAGGTATGCTCCTTTTCATAATAGTCCAAGGCTACATAAAGTCTCGCCGGGATCACCATAACGTCGAAGCATAAAGTCCATATGGTATGAGATCATCCAATCATTATAGGTCCAATAGGCACGGAAAGAAGAGACAGTAAAACATCGACAACATCAACCCCTAAAGCTAGTAGAGTACTGGGGTCCGTCAAGCTCGTAACAACAGTAGACGTCGAACAACCCGCGTCTACCGGCTCCCCATTCATACGAGCTTCCAGCCAGATGAATGCATCCGGCGCACCAAGAATAGCCATAGTCGCATGTTCCGACAGCTCATCACGCAAATACTGAACGCGGGCACCGCCAGGACAGTAAACTTGTGAGACCAAATCATCAGTATTGTTGACCGGACTTATCTCATCTCCGGCGGATTTATAGATGTACAATGGTATTTCCGGTACATGTTGGCCCATTGCATTGGCCTCAAGTAGCGCAGTAGCTACCGGCCCGGTGAAGATGTTTGGATCCCTGACGTATGAATAGACATCTTGGCCAAGATAGGTGGTTATGTCTCCCGCGAGACAGAGAGTTTGGGTTTTGTTGAACGCAGCAGCCTTCGAGGGCAGCACATTCTCGGCAATCAGCTGGGCGGCACTCGGATACTCATTTGCTAGGCCCTGGATACCTGCGGGAATCAGGCCGGTGAATACGCCCTTGTTGGTAGCATATATCACGGGAAGAATCTGAGGGACAGTTCCTCCTAGAGCAGCTCCGGCAATTTTAAGCTCCGGGGCATAAGTTGGCTGCAGCTCGGCAGCAAATCCGCTAGCTAAACTGCCACCGGAATACCCCCACATGGTGATAGTCGCATCTGAAGAGATATTTGTAAACTCTGTCGATGCCAGTGCTGCTCGAATATTGTCCAGAGTGGCTTGACCAGAGAGGKTATTAGCCAAGAATGCGGACTTTGTGCCAAGATGATCGGGTACGGTAACCACCCATCCCTTTTCGAGGGCGGCTGTGATGAAAACCAATTCCAATTGAGGCATGATGAGACCAATTACTCCGTCTGTGGCAGCTTCTAGCTGGAAGGCATAAGATGGCGAGCAATCAGCATAAGCAGCATCTTGCGCCACAGCATAGGACAGCAATTTAGTGAAGTCTGCGTTATGCGGTATGAGAATGGTAGATACGGTTGCCACTGCATCGCCGAAAGAGTTTGTCGTTCGGTATAAGATCTGGTATGATGCCGCTAGATTGACTTTAACCAAACCGAATGCTGCGATGGGATACGGTGGTGTCCGATAACGTAAAATGCTGCCTGGCGCGGTGGACTCAAAGCCATCAGGAGGCACATAGAAAGGGTCATCAAGCGGGTACTGAGGCCCTGACCTAACGACCGGTATGCCAAAAGCCAGCAATGGCATCGACAGGCTGATAAGCCAGCAAGATAAAATTTTGAGGTTGACCATTTTCAGCCCAATTTGACTTGACGATCCCTTTCACAACTCAGCACAAGCCTCCATTTATGTGCAAATCTTGAGGTCAAATATAAACCTCAGATAGCACAGCGTCGTGTGTCACCAGGCTGATTCACTCCATCAGAAGCATATGCTCGAATCCCACGAGCGTTACCCCATACTTCCGTCGACATTGAGCCTCGGCGGCTTGTGGCCTCGATGATTTTTTTGAGTGTTGAACTTGAGAACCCCGCAGCTTGTTTGTTGGTTTTCTTCAGGCCACTTACTCAATCCGATATTAGTGCACGTGCTAGTAAAATCCTCCTCACGTATCAAGGAGGAGAACTTGACATTGCGGAGAAAATCACTTCCACTAAAAGCTTAGTGCTTAGTGATTAGCGGCTCGAATGCTACTGTTTTGGCCTTTCTCAGGAGACAGGGGTATTGCCATAATGATGATCGGCGTCAGTCTCTAGATTGCAGAACGATAATCCGAAGTAAACATAGCAGCCTTTCATGTCTTGTCAGCCTTGTCCAGGTTATGATTCATGATGGTTCCCCTCCTTAGATTTGATTCTTAAATGCCGAATACGAAGACGAACCCCTGGCTCTGAAATGCACTGACTGTAGTGTGACTATCATACATAGGACTTCGGGTTTCGCTGAATGTCTTCCAACATCACTCAATATCTGATAAGTATCAGTCATTGACGACTATTAAATAATGAACAATGGGTCCATATATAACCTGAAGCACCGGAAAGCACGTTTGAAGAGTCCATCATTTCGAATCTGTCGCTCACTCAAAGCGAGGCCTAAACTGCTATTATTGATCAATTCAGCAGCTCAGTCATACTTGGACGGCTGCATTATCTGCATGACAGTGCATCAGACTGCATGTGGCTTAAGGTTTCCGGTCAAGAAGCTCTTTTCTCTCTAAATCCAACGTTCTCTTGAACTTCTTTCAGATGTTTGGGCGGCGTTCGAAGCCAAATCGGCCTCGGTATTTCCCACCTTGCGTGCAGATCCTCATGTGTCGGGGCAGGGTTCCCCACACAAAACATGAGCTTAAAGCGTTGAGAATTCGAGGCCGTATAGCTGAATTCCTGATAGGTGCGAATTTGAAGAATAAAATTCAATTATATCTTTTACGATGAACTGGACGGAGAAGGTAAATATTATTCGGTGTTATGATTCGTTGTTGCATTCCTTACGTATCCAGGATAACTCACCATACCCCTTTTATTATCTGGAGATCCCAAAGTTGACGTGAGCTACCGTCTTCAAAATTTCGGTCAAAATTTGATCGACAACGTGCTGTAGATATAAAAAATTGAGCTATCTATCTGGGACGTACTAAGAATACCCGTCTGGTAGAAGTAGAGCCATTCAAGTTATAAAGTATTTGCAATTTCTTTGGTCTGCAGTTGTTGGAAACCCTTCCTGGAAAAGCCGAATACCTTGATAAACTGGCATTTTCCTTCATTTTGCATCGCTCTTATCTGTGTGGCATGTACATTCACTTTCGTCGTGTCAACAGATCTTATCAGTGAGGCCATCCAACGTCTGATTGCGTAACAAGAAGACCAAACCCTGAAATTTTTATATCAGTTATAAAATGGCTACCCGGAGTACTCCATCTTATTACATCGGTCTTGCAGTCATCTTCGCATATGGCGTTCGTGCCTACACCCCTGGCCCTACGGCCTGTGCCAACTTGACTTCAATCCTAGGGACTTCCATAGTGAACAGTAACACCCTAAGCCCGGCCTATATTGAGAGCCGGACAGACTATTGGAATACTCTCCAAGATGTATACGAACCATCTTGCATCATATATCCATCCTCAGCACAGGATGTCTCCGTTACCCTTCAAGCGGTTCGAGCAGCTGGGAGTCGATTCGCGGTCAAAGCTGGTGGCCACAACCCTAATACGTTCTTCTCCTCGGTTGATGCGGGTGTCCTTATTGATTTGGGAAGCATGACAGGAATGTCATATGACCCTGATACTACACTAGCAACGTATGAACCTGGCAGTTTGTTTGGAGATCTCTATGACTACTACGTGCAATACAACCGCACCGTTGTTGGTGCGAGGTTGGCAGGAGTCGGTACTGGTCTGGCTCTTGGTGGCGGTCTAAGCTATCTTTCCCCTCAGTATGGTATGGCCTGCGACTCGTTCCGGGAACTGGAGATAGTCTTACCCAGCGGTGATATTGTCACTGCATCTAATACCTCTGAGTATTCCGACCTTTTTTTCGCTTCACGCGGTGGTGGTGGGAACGCATATGGTGTGGTTACCAAGTATACTGTGCAGTCACGTCCGATAGGAGAACTCTACGCTGGGAACATCATCTATCTGTTTGAGCAGGTTGATGCAGTTGCAAGCGCGATCGAAAACTTTATCCAGTACAACGAAGATCCCAAAGCAAGCATTATCGGCACCTATGAGATTCTTGGAACACCCGATCTAGAACTAGACTTGGATCAAGCAGTCATCATGTTTCTTGTCTATGATGGCACGGATCCAGGTGATGCATTTTCTAATTTCACAAGCATCCCCTATCTCCTCAACCTCATGGGTAATAAGACCTACCCAGAGGTAGCAAATATGCCTATCCCACTGTCAACCGAACTTTCGCGCGGTGAAAATATCTTCCGTGTTGGTGTACATAGGATTGGAGATGGAGGATATGCGGCCGCTTTAGATGCATGGCGCACTTGGGCAGAGGATAACAAAGGCAGCTACGTTCTGACCTCGTTAGACTTTCAGCCTATCCCTTTGAGTCTGACGGAGGCTAGCAAATCTCAAGGCGGAAACGCGATGCAAATGCCCGACGGACCCTGGTTCTGGGTCAATTATCTAATCTCGTCAAGCCCTCTTCTAACAAGCTCAGAGTATGACGCTGTCCAAGCCAGTTTTCGTGATATGGTAGCAAATGTAAGCAATGCGGAAGGGCTACCACTGTTCATCAACGATGCGAATAAGGATCAGAATCCTCTCACGACATTCTCGACGTACTCAACGTTGCAGCAGATCAAGCAAAAATACGATCCGGATGATTTCTTCTCCAACTACACTGGAGGATGGTCATTTGATTAATTATTTTTTCACTGTGGGAGATTTGCTATACTTTAATGGATGTTTACATTTGAGCTACTCATTTACCTAGGCGTGTTCGCCTAATATGACGCAGGAATTCCTTCCTATTTATATAATACCCGGGACCCCCTCCGAACCATCACACAAGAACCTAGAGTTTTTCTTGAGCCTCCATCTTCATCGAAGCTTCTTTCGCATGAAAGAAGCAATAATGTGTGAAGGTGAGCCATCAAGGGCAACAGCGTCGTATCTTGGCTCTTCCTTCCAGTAGACATAACCCAGCTTTTCATACCAGATCTCGTTACTAAACTTCGGTACATTAAATCCGCATCTCTTCCACAAACCCCTCCATTCAGGGGCATCGATCTCGATATGCTTTTTACTGACAGTAGTCAAAGCGAGTGTATGGCAGTGAGGACTTCCATATGGCTCCTGCATCGCTAAAACCTCAACTAGATCCATTGCCGCTCGTCCCACTCCCCCTGTTCGATATTCCGGTAAGATAAAAAAAGTTTGAACAGTCATGATGGATCTATCTTCGCGTGCGAGTTCGGGATCCGCAGGCTCAGTATAAGAATCGAGAGATATATGGCCCGCCCGGATAGTAAATAAAGTAGCCGATGGTGATACCGCATTGCCGTCTGCAGCATGGCCATTTGTATGTTGTGTAACGGAAACATTGCCACCGTTCTGTTGTTTGCCATTGGCCTGCGCTTTCTGTTGAATCATAATCCAGAATAGGGATTTGAGTCCCTTCTCCTGCTTTTCAATAAACATTTGCAGAGCCTTATCGGAGTGATCCCAGCCACAAACGACTCGTTGTTGTTTGAATTCGGCATGTTGATCGGGATCGTTGAGATTGATCGGAACAAGACTCAACTTTTCCGTGATCAGCAGCGAAGAAAGATCGGTGGAGACTGTCATTTTCGGAAAATGCAAAGTATAACAATCGGAGGCCAATAATGTGCTCTGATTTCACCTGCAGCCGTTACTACAGCATAAGCAATCACTGCGCTTCAGGCAAATAGAACTTCTAAAGAGAACAGCGAAATTAGGCGGCAGCTAAACGGCATACCGGTATTTAAATCCTGCAAAATTAGAGTTAGTAATAGATTGCAATAGTCACAGCTGCGGTTGAGGGGCTCCGTAATATCGTCGAGAGTCTAGTCCCAAGATAGTAATTAATAATCATTATCTGTGCTGCCTGTCATCTTCGAGGCTGAGGCTGCTGCACTGACTACCTAAGCAAAACATTTAGGATAATCATAGGGCGCAACTCTTAGTGACCAATTGACGTCCTATCCTGAGATTACTTAATAGTCCAACTTAGGGCTTAGGGTTAGGGCTTAGGGCATGTCCAAGAACGACGACGATTTGATTCCGGGTACCAAGACTATTTATTTACCTACGTACTTGATTTCTCCTGACGCGCTAGGGCTTTCACTTTCCGTTTCAGTGCTCATCACGTCGCCACTTCTACTGCTTGGTACAGAAAGCGAACTGCCTACATGACCTAGTAGTTCTGTAACTGTTCGAACCTCGATACTAGAATCTGGCATCTAGCAAATACGCACCTACTGTACGTGCTCCGGACTAAAGCATCCTGGTCGAACCCGTCGAACCCAGAGCCAGCTTGTGGTCAACGAGACAGCCAAGAGGTCTAGTTTCTTCAATAGTGTGGCTAGAGCCACAGTCGCCGAGTTCGATAACAGGCTCACGATACTTTCATCTGGGCCGAGGCTGGTCTCAAAGCCTTGAGATCGACTCATATCACCATCCTCAATATTAATATTGTGAGTAGGAATATATGGGCAGAATTTGGCAAATTTGATTAGTTGTTCAAATCCCGGGGTCAAGCAGAGTTCACTGGATCAACCAGAGTACACGGTCTGACTCCGACTAATCATTTTCTGAAGTACCAGTCTGTGCTTAGTGCAGATTTCACCCCGCGTATACGAGATATTAAGCTGAGGCGCAAAAATTTTGGGCAAGAACTCTGACTTGGTATTGCTTTCCCTGTAACTGATTTGTCGACCCTGTCAACTGAATTTGGTGGGCGTAACTCTGAAGCAAGCTGAACCGGTCAATCTATGGATTCGCTGCCGAGTGTCCAACAATAGTGCCTAGAAGTCAGCCAGCCACATCAGAGCTGATATCTAGTCCTCGATCTGAGATTTTTAACTCAGTCGTTCTGCTGAAGAGAGGTTATTTAAGCTCCGTCTGCCCTATATCATCATGCCTAGGAACGATCCTTTTATACTCCCAAACAAGAACAATCAAGAAAACCAATCGTCATGGCTGAAATCTACTACGAAGACACCGTCCGCTTCAAGACCACGGTCGATGGCGCAACTAAATACGTCACCTTGGCTGTTGTCCCGCCCAGTGAAACCTGCTGGCTCACCCTTACGGATGAACCAACTGAGGACAGCAATTTCCTGATCCGCGAATGGAACTACGATAACACCAGCCGCCTATACTTCAGCGGCAATCTTCGCGCCGACACCCCAGACTCTCATGGAAACTTCCGCCTGCTGCACAGAGACACCCGCCCCCCAGACCACAATGTGGGGGACGACTACTGCGTCTCCATGGCGATGTATGAACCTGGGGCGAATATGGGGTACTGGGGCATTTCCTGGGACGCCGCGTATGACCTCGAAACGTTTGCGCTGTTCGCGACCGCATGGCCGGATTCTGATGGCGGAGTGTGCAGTGGGAACTCTGTGAAGATTAGGAGTTTGATTGGTTCGAAGAAACCGCCACCTGTGGGAAGTATTGGGCAGTTTTTGACGATCAATAACATTAATGGGCAGTGGAGGATTACAGGAATTTCGGATCACGCGACTTATCCGGTTGGGGCGGAGTTTGTCATCGAGAAGGTTGTGTAGTTAGGAATTTACTACGAGTGTTGAAACTTTACGTGCTTGCGACCCTGAATGGAATTTGACCTATGGCCGGATTTACATAGTCTCTCTTTATCTGAGCAATTGCTTTGAATATCATCCTTGAGCATGCACCAGATCTCCCATAAATTTACAAGTTCATCTGCGCATCGACTCGAGTCAACGCAGCATTGCAAATCGACGCTACTAACATTTTGGACGGCGCTATAGAGCGTTCAATACTTGAGTTCAAGCACTTAGTCCGTATAGTCGCGATTCTCAACTCGTTCTAATCATCACCCAAACCGACGTGTGATGAGTTGCTTCATGTATTTGAGGACTTGCTCAAAGACGTGCTAGGTGGAGCTCCAGTAGTCTTCGCATTTCCACCTGGGACACCTGGGACTCGTTATTTGCTGGCTTTCCGAAAAGTATAATACACTCAATAATGATTGGGATATGACTCGTCTATTTACTAAAAGCATTTTGGAAGCATTGAACTAGTATGTTCTGAAGCCTGTTCGACGATGATAGACTATAATCTAGACTGATCTTGAGTCTTTCGCTATTCTTGAAATGAAATTCCTGAAAATAGGCCACATAGTTCACTGCAAGTCTTCCGATCCTGCTCATAAAGTGAATCGACACATTCTTCAAACTTTCCTCAAACCATCCAATACCACGATTTCCATTATAGCGGATAGATGAAGTATTTGTTTTCCAGGTCTGTAAGGTCTAAAAATGCAAGATCCACCGTGGTTTGCACCTCGCGTCCATCATCATCGACTTTTTCCACAAATCCAAGCGCTCTCGATGCCTGCTGCTGCGCAATCCACTCCCGTCGCTCCTTGTTTCTCTTCGAAAGAATGTATCGAATAATCAATAATATAACCGGTGTACCAACCCAACTGACCACAATCTGCACTATCCATGCCGGATAGTAACGAGGCCCATTTCTCGCAACCCAGATCTGAGGCGAAATAATGTTTGAGATACTATATCCGACCATGAACATAACGTTGCGTGTCAACTTCTTCGTGTATCCGGATGCAGAGGAGCTTGTCCAGCCCAGAGCGGTGATATAGGAAATACCAAAAGTACCTCCTGCCAAAGTCAAGCAGGCGAGCAAGCCGATTTTCTTCTCCCAAGGGACAGTCACCATACCGATTCCACCGGCTATCGCAGGTAATATCCAGAGCACTGACCAGTAGGCGTTGTTATTTGGGAACTTTTTCATGAGGAAGAATGCAACAATGCTGCAAACCACTGAGAATCCGGAACTGGCGACTCCGACCAAGGTTGATCCCAGGTTTGATACACCCAAACTTAGAAAGAGCAGATTTTGTTGATATCCTAGATTATTCGAAATCATCAACGTGAATGCCTGCAACGCAAACAACCATGAAACAGGGTCACGAAGAGTTTCGATCGCTTGGTATCGTTTGAATTGCTTTTGCTCAATTGACCCCTTGGTAGCATCATGCACACGCTTGATAGTATGAAGCTTTTCGGCACGGCTCAGAAACTTAGCATGCGCCGGATTATCAGGGTAGAAGAACCAGCAGAAGACAGATAAAAGCAGACTCAGACCACCTGTAATGATCATAAGGAACTTCCACGGACGTATACTGCTCTGACTCCACAACAGACCATAAGCAATAAATCCTGTCGGAATGTTTGAGCCCATACATGATACCCAGAATAGGGGCTGCAGGGCGCCCTGTTCTTTCGGAGGGAAAAACATGCCCAACGTGATTTCCATGGCTGGCACCAGTGATGACTCGACGAAGCCCAGAAAGAAACGCAAGGGGATCAGGCCACCATAGCTTCTGGCCGTATCATGCAGGAAAATGATTAAAGACCAGAGAAAGACTGTGCCAGAAACGTATTTTCCCAGCGGCAGGCGTTGCATTAGATAATGACCTGGGAACTGGCCAACGAAATATCCTATTACGAGGCCATCGGTTAGATACTTTGCATAAGAGAATGAAATTTATAACGTACCCACGTAGAAAAGAGTGTTGAGGTTGTTGTATTGAGTGTCATTTAGATTGGTCTCCTCGAATATGCCAAGTAAGGAGGCGTATGCCAGGGTGGATTTGTCGATCTAGATGTGTTTTCTCTATCAGCACTAGATCCCAGCCCGTATCAATGAGAAATTATTCAGAAACTTACAAATAATAAAAGATTCGTCAGTGTAAGTAACAAGATGATATACCAGAACAACCTGCGGGACAGGCTCTTTACTTCCTTTTCGGTCAAGGGTGGAGTGGAATCGCCATACAGCTCAACAAACTCAAGAGTCACGTCGGCATATTTCTGAGCGACAATGGGTGTGGAGCTCGTAGAGTCGTCGTCGACCGTTGTCTGCAGATTGGCCGCCTTCTCAGCCATGATATTTCTATTCTCTATATGCAAACGACGGTTGACCAATGCTTCGGCTAGGAATATGCCTAATCTCACAGGAGACAGCAGGTGCCAAGCTACTTATTTATACTCGGAATATTTGAAGTCTTATCTTACGATGGGTGAGTGAACACCGAATAACAGCCGACCTTGACAGGGAAGCTGCAGCTATATCAAGAGCACGCCATCGATGGCGAATATTAGGGCTGTTATTCATCCATAAAAAATACAAACCGTTGTTGGTTTACAAAACTCATTTCATATTCGTTACCAATGTTTCCCATACATGTATATCTCTTATCAGCTCTATGTATGCATGTTCTAGTTCCCCCTACAGAATGACCTGATACGCGGCTACTTGAAACTAATATTCACCACAACCTTTGATGTAAAAATGTGCACGAGCCATTTGACGAGCTCACATACGAGCTCTAGAACCAGCTGATAAATTGTAAGATAAGTCCTTATCAATGGTCAGTTGCCAAAAAAAAAGTCCCTCCGCAAGCTCTGAGCAATTCGCCGGTAAAAATCGCCGGTAAAGCCTCCGAGCGAGCCTATGAGCAGGCCCGCCTCTTCCAATTCGATCAATACCCTCTCTACATTTGATACATACTCTCTGAGTCGATTCCTTATTAAGCGTCATACGTCCATATCTATGGCGCTACGGAAGCTTAAAAGAATGCTGAGGTCATTGCAAACAGCGAGACCATATTCACAACAGAAATCGAACGCTGATTGATATGTCCATTTATCACAATTAATGTAAAGCTTCAGTGTCTTACTTTAGAAATTGACCGAAACAACGAGACAATCATACCGATGACATGAAAGTCTGCATTTTGAATGGAGGTGAAGACAATTCAATAAAGCGTTGCTTCAAGTGCTCATCATGCCAGGAATATGACAATTAAAATAACCATTGAAAATCGACATGAATGCTAGGAGGCTCGGCTCGGGATTCAGTCCGCAGAAAATATTCCTCTTTAAGCCTAAAGCTAGAAACGATGCAACTTCCTAAGCTGTTCCAAATAACACACCGATGACGCCTTTTTCAACTAATCCATAATCAGACATCGCAAGCCCACGGGCCTCCAGCTACCGGTAACCCGAAAAGTATGCGTCCACAATGCAGCCTCCGGGATCCGATCATTGTGGCCCGACATCGGTTCTTGCAAAAAAAAAAACAATCACGTTGTACATGTCTGCCCATATACGTGCTATAACAGAGTCATGTCGTCGTTGTGTAAGTTCCATCTAGCCATTATCAGATTGACCATAGGGTGGTATGGGACTGTCTTGTATCCTTCGATATCACCAAAGCTTAACGATACCTAGATATGTCGGTGGGATTTTTGACTTTGTAGAAGATTAAGTTTGAGTTCTATCCACGGATGACGCCGGCGGTGGCTTGAATGATCATATAAAAATTAAAAGCATTGTATGATGATTGCATTTGTAAGCACTCGCATCGAGTATCGTTCAACCACCTTCTAATCGGTAATGAAAGTCCGAGTGAGATACATTCGCCGTCTGTTTGATGCCTCGAAACTCTCCTCAGCTGGAGGGCGTAGCTCTGGATATAATCAGATTATTTTTACAGGTAGGTTGATAGAACTAGTGCTGCCCAGGGCTCTCTCCTTTTCAGCAGCCGTGATGATTCAGATTTGGAGTCTCGACCCCGAAGTCGAAGAAGTGCACACTGAAGCAGATCTAAGGTAGAAGATTATCGTGATTTGACTACAATTTATTACTAACGGCATGTACCAGATTGGTGTGTAAATATGTATACCGCTTTAGTAAGGGCAGTTCAAACACAAGCTACGCAATCCTTAATCATGCTAGATAGCATCGGTTTTTCTCAAGCCAATACAGCCTGGAGTGGGTCGAAGGTATACTGATCTTACTACCTGGAATGCCCAGCAGTTGTAACTTGTCTTTATATACGACAACTCTACTTATATAGGCACCTATGTATTACTGAAAGAGACGAAAAAGCTCATTCTTTGAGCGATAGTTACGCCATCACTAACCCGAAGAGCATGTAGAAGCATTAACACGAGCCCTTGGCATTCGAGACCCTCATAGCCACGCCACTATCCACTACTGGGGCTATCCAGATGAACTAATGCTTGATGTGGAGTGCTACGAAATGTGCCACGAATGATGAAACAAGTGTTGCGTAGTACATATAATAACAGAGATGATATGTTTCAACTACGTACCAATCCATACTACTTCGAACGATACTTGGCTATAGTTGGCTTAATGCCCCTCGTCTTACAGCGGCTTATGCTGGTCAGCTTGATATCAATTGGTGAACTCTTGAAGAAATGGCTCGGTCCGGTCAACGTGTTTTCTGCACCGTTTTTGCTTTTTCCTTGACATTATCCACTCTTTACCTTCTCGAACTTTTTTTTTTCTCTTTCTATTGAAGGTGGACTCTGGATCTGCAGTGTATAACGTGGGAATCCGTCGCTAGTCGTATACCGCAGTCACTGTATTATGCAGCTAGGTGGAGCTATCCTTCAACACAACCAACTCTGAGGCCAGGGAAGAATATCATGTGGCAAATGCAGCCTTCTCATGCTCGTCACTTGTTCATTTAATAAAAAATAGTAACATGATAGTCGGGGATAACAAATTTTGAAAAAAAGAAAAGTCATTTCATTCTCGCGGATACGCTGGCTTGACAAGAAGGAGATCAACAATTAAAAAAGTAGCCATGGCCGGCTAGTGATAATAACATAATGCAAATGATCCAATGATCATGGCTTTCTGCCATAAATCAGATAAGCCTTTGCATACTGATGAATGCTTCGGTCTCGAAGTTCACTGATAACATGGGCCAAGAGGACATCGATTTCTTCCTTGCTCCAACCCAATATCCGACTTAGCAAGGCATTTGTGTAACCAGGAGCCGCTTGTTCCTGTTCATATTGCATGTATCGGCCAATAGCTTTCTGCTTAGGGTCCTTGGGCCATGGGTTCATTGGTACTTTGACAATGTGCATCGTAACATCCTCGAAGCCGGCCTTTTTCATTTTGTCCGGCCACTCATCCATGTTGGCCATCGGTTTGCCGTGCTTGATAGCGGCATCTTGTAGAAATTCGACCCACTGTTTGGTGTAAACGGCTTTGTCGAGGGAGTCGTCGTCGGCAAAAATTTCTATTCGAAATGACTGCATCTCTAGAAAGCCACCTGACTTTAGGTTGGCGTAAGCTTGGGTAAATAGTCTGTCGAAATCTTTAACGGAGCCCGCCAGTTCACGGCCGTGAATATAGTCAAATGGGCGGGCGAAAGGCCAATCTGCTTCGAAATCGTCAATTTCGAAGCTACAATTAGGTGGTGTCCTGCAGATCAAATTAGATGTTGTATACGCTGAAGATTCTTGAAGAGACGAACCATTGTGGCTGAATGGCACTGAGATCATTGCCTACTAGAGTATTAGTATGTTTCTTGTGAGTTCGTGTGAGAGGACAGATCAAAAAAAATATCGACTTGCCTAAAACCTGTGCGGATGGATACTGGCTGAGTTGATGTCAGTAGACAATTGTCCCCTTCATTCTACCAAAGGGCATTTAGACGGCACATACTCTGCAAAATCAATGGCCCAAATCCCTAAAGATATGAGAAGTTACTATAAAAGGTTGTTTCCAATTACGAGGCTATCGTCCTTCTTACCAGTCCCTGTGCCTAGGTCTAGCACGCGCTGAGGGGTTTTTGTGATAGGTGCGGAGTGCAGCTCTCCTTTTAGCAACATTCGGTATACATGGTGGAGCAAGTCCATTCGATCTTGCTCTTGGTCGTCATTAGGCTATTGTTTAGATCAACAAGTATTCAACTTGCATTGAATAAGTGGGGGCTTCGTACTAGCATATATTCGCCTTCCCTATAGGAATGATAACGGCGTCCATTCTCATCAGATGTTAGCTAACGACTTTCATGCCTATTTTGTAGGTTGTTGTTACCTCGTATCTGTAACGAAGTCATTTAATGCCTAGTCTGATGAACGATTGGAATCAACTAATATCGCAAAATGCAACTGACCTGTATTTCAAAACACTAGATGCGATAGATGTCTGATAACTCAATGAATCCACGCTGGAAACCAGAGGCTAGTTAGCGATTGACACATCATGGGATCGCGGCAGTCCAATGAACTTACACGCTACTCTCGAAGGCGGAATCTGTGTCAGTGCTCTACGCAAAAAATCCAAGTCAGCATATATTTTTCTGCTCGTGTTCCTCGTCGTTTCTCCCCTTCAATTTAGTAAGATGATATTGGGATCGAGTTTCATACATCAGCCTCAATCGGTGCGTCCGTCGTGATATGTTCAGCCATGGCTGATAGTGTTTGAGCCCTCCCAGCAACCCGATGTTGTCTAGCCCTAGCGGTAAGCGCGGATGAGACTAGGAGTAAAGGCTGGAAGAGTATGATATTGGGAAGAATCAGAACAGAGAGGCTCGAGGATGATAAAAACTAGGAGTTCTCCCGAGAATCCTGCGAGACCGCTGCGTGCAATCTATCGTGTAGTATAGCGTCTTGGGAGATGAGTTTCTTTGTTCACTTTTTCGATCCGCTCCTAGTTTGTTTTCCCCTCCACAAGTCCGCTACCCGCCCAGTAAGAGTAAAGAGGCCTTGACGGAACCTTTTCCTACCAGTAAAGCGCGGATCCTGCGGGAGGGTCAGAAAGGCAGCGACTCAACAAACGCGGAGAGCACTAAGCACTGAGCAGAATACGGACTCAACTTCCGAGGACGAATCTTCCCAAAGCGGCAGGAAGGCCCAAAGTGGGCCAGAGAGCCAATCCAGTCTGCATCGTCTCTGGTACAGTGTCAATCAAGACCGATTACTACTATCGCAGTAGTAGGCCAGTTCTTGGGAGTTGGTACTCAGGTAAATGTTACAGGACTGGCCAATCGCTTCGTGAAGGTATACCCCCTTTTAGCATAGTTTGGTAATTTATCAGCAGGTTATGCTGCTGTCCATCTTGTTTTTGGGGCTTGCCAATCAGTGTTTGATTCGTTCACACACGCAAAAGTGGGCACTTAGCGGCCAGCATTGTACTACGCGTAGCGGAAAGCTTCTTTGCCGGCCCGCCGCGTGCCGCAATACCACGCAAGTACGTACCCATGCTTATGCAGAAGTATGGAGCACAGGCTATATAAGCCTATATTTCTTCAGGAAAGAGGACGCTAACAGCTAAAACGCCCCAGGACGTACGGAATACACCGTTGGTTGCATCGAGTGCCAGTGTCTCAAGATACTCGTTCCCAACGCCGCTAGTATGGTCAATTGTACTTGGTTTGGGTATGCACTATGTAGGTGTGTGATAACCGAGCAGACGGTATTGGTGGCCGGCCAAACGCGCGTAAAGCTCCCCAAGAAATCCAGCAAACCGGTCTGACCCGTCGATGACCAACCCCGTCAACTATTCCATGATTAACTTTTCGACTGCTCCTGTAGAGCCCGTGCGAACTTTGGCCATGGGCTAATTGACCTAGACTTGCGTTCGAGCCATGCTAAGAGACTAGTCGGAGCCTTGGGAACCCGCTAATTCAGAGGCATGGATCAAATCGAGCTGAAGACCCGGCACTATGGTTGGTCGGAACGCGGATGACGTTCGCTAGAGGTTTCTGGCCTGTGGTCCGAACGATTGGGTCGAATGTACTGAGCATGAGTAGTATCGATTAAACGAAGAGCAATAATATTTTACTCCCCGTTATCTCTCTCCTCATATGATCCTGAGTCCATGTCTCCCACTGCAGCGGTTTTAAAGGGTGCTCATGCTATGTTTATATTCAGTCTACAGCACAATTTTTTGCTACGACAGGCTGCATGTGTCAATTGACATATATACACAAAAAATACATCCCTAGGAGCATTGGTACGTCTTTTATCATACAATTCTCTGTCTATGCCGGGCCGAATGCGACAGGTCACAATGGAATGCTAACATTACACTCCCGGTCTTTTAGTTAGTCCACCATAAAGATGGCTCCCTCAGTGGAATGGACGAACGTTTTCTATGCTCTCACGGGAACATGGTTCATTTATTTATTTGTGGGCGCTATATACCGGCTATATTTCCACCCTTTGGCGAAGTTCCCTGGGCCGAAGGTTGCCGCCTTGACTGGGTGGTATGAGGCCTATCATGATATGTACCGCAGGGGGATGTTCATATGGAAGATTCAAGAGATGCATGATAAATATGGTATGCAACACGATATGCAGCTGCGCCTGACACTCCAATAATGTCTGTCGGTAGCGGCATGTCCAACATACAATCATGTCCTGCAAGTTTAATGAATGTCTCTAACGCAATCCCCATAAGGCCCCATTGTCCGAATCAACCCACATGAGCTACACATCCGCGACGCCGACTTTTACGAGGAGCTGTACGCACCTGCTTCAAAGAAGCGCGACAAATACAAGAACTGGGTGATACTTTCCGGCACCCCTGACGCATCCTTCTCGACCGTTTCCCACTCCCACCATCGTTTGCGACGAAATGCGCTCAACCCATTCTTCTCCAAACAAGCAGTCCAGCGTATGGAACCATTGATCACCGAGAAAATTGAGCGTCTGAGCTCTCGCTTGACTGATGCAGCTAAAACTCAACGTGTGGTGCGCTTGGATGCGGCACTTATGGCTCTTACAATGGATATCATCTGCCACTACTCGTACGGCGAGAGCTACAATTATCTCGCATTGGAAAACTTCAAGGAGGAATGGAAAGCGGCCATGATTTCTGCATTGGAAAACGGCATCTTCCTCCGAAACTTTCCTTGGGCGTTGCCTTTGCTGAAATCAATTCCCTACTCCGTTCTTAAGGTGCTTCAACCCAAAGCCGCTTCCCTCGCAGAATGGGCAATGCTCGTGAAGAAGAAGGTGGACATCTTGATACAAGAACACTCAATGGGAAATAAGTCAAGTGGAACGATCTTTCAAGCCATGCTTGATAGCGATCTACCGCCAGAGGAAAAGTCCGCTGCTCGTCTTATTGACGAAGGTCAATCTGTCGTCGGGGCCGGAAGCGAGACTACCGCTAATACCTTGACCATTATTATGTTTTACTTGTTGGAAAATAAGAATCTTTTGCGTAAATTACGCGAAGAGCTGGCTCCGATCTCACTAGACGAGACTCCACTTTTGCCGAAGTTGGAGAAACTTCCATTTTTGGTAACATAACCCCTTGTAGCTATTGTCAAAGTATCTAATGACTCTCTTAGACTGCCGTTATTACCGAAGGTCTCCGATTAAATATTGGTGTTATGAGTCGATCGCCTCGCATTGCTTATGAGCCTATTCAATATCAGGACTGGGTTATTCCACCTGGTGTAAGTAGAGCCGTTTATGCCGAGAGATTCCTATTTGCTAACAATCCCTCAGACCCCGGTCAGTGAATCAATTTATTTCGTACACTGGGATCCCACATTATTCCCCGAGCCGTCAAAGTTCCGTCCTGAGCGATGGATAAAAGCCCAAGAGACAGGTGTTCGGCTGGAAAAATACATGATCTGTTTCTCGAGGGGTAGTAGGTCATGCTTGGGTATCAAGTGAGTCACGATAATACCACATTTTTCTCCCATGTATGTCGCTCACAGATTACTTTTTTCTACTAGTCTCGCCTACGCGGAACTGTACTTGACCCTAGCCAAAATCATACCTCGGTTCGAGATGGATCTATTCGAAACAACCGTTGAGGATGTGGAACCAGAGCGTGATTTTTTCGTCGCAGTCCCGAAATTAGATTCCAAGGGCGTGCGTGTCAAGGTGGTTGGAGTCAATTAATTCTGCGACGTCCATGGCGGGATCGCTTATTAAACTATATTAGCTTGACAATTATGATCTTGTCAACGTCATCACCTTCGTGCGTTCTATTTGTGGCCTAGTGTCTCATGACAGCTGTATAATCCCCTTGTATTTCTTGTTAGAGCGAGGTGTCCTATAGTTAGCGTTATATCAATGTACCCGACGCAGGCGTTCAGACTCGGAAGCAAATATCATCCTTGAAACAAGCGCGACATCTAGACCAGCAAAATGGAAATACACTTTTTGCACCCGCTCTCGAAACGCGAATCATTTCGTCTACTCGTCCTATCTCTCAAGCGGGGCCACTTTATCAAGGTTCATGAGAAAGAGCCGTCCGGACTCCGGACAAGTTGTGGAGACGACCCATTGATCGCAAACCCTAAAGCATGAACCCTAAATCCATGACATCTCATGTCAAAAATGTCTTTATTGATCCTGGTGGACTGTGCTACGTTAGCATGAATCATACGATGGAAAAAGTCAAGACCTCTTGCAAGGCACCTGTTGATTTGTGCTACATTTCGACATCTCTACTTTGGCTACTCCCTTCGGTCATTGAGCCACTTGAGCAAGTATTTGAAGGTTCTGCGTAAGTTAGTATGTGTACGTATTTTACCGGGGCCACCGGTAAACTGTGAGAAGAGAAGAGTAACGAGCCTGTAAGATGATCACCCTGCCATCTCGATTGATTAAGGGATCGCCAAGTGGCAGATCACATATTGGTTTCGCACTTGCATGTGTAGCAGTCGGTCCTATTTCATCACGACCTTGATGAGCCCTAGCAACCTTGGCTGTCCAGGCTTTAAGTTTCCAGGGGCGGATGCAAGGACGGAAACCCCCCCGGTTCATTATTCTTCACCATTTTCAGGGCAATCCTGGGTTTACATTGGACACGGAAATGGTTTCCATGAGGGATATGTTGTTGTTGTATAGATATCTCGACATGGGTCTTGCGTCAATAGTAAGGATGAAGTCATCCCGCGATGCAAATGACAGGGTTTGAGAACCTATGTCTCATCCTACATTAGATCCTCGACAGTAGCTAGCGAGTAGGATTATTCACACATCTTTCTCATCATCATGTCGAGAACGAAAATTTGTTTGCCCTGTAAACTGAGTACATACTTTTTTCGTCAACAAGGAAAGTCGATTCGTCATGCATGGCGGAGTGACTATCAAGAAAGCCTAAATTTCTTCAGGTCAAACCACGTACGTCCAAAGGTTACACAAATCTTACAACGGACGTCTTCGGGTATTCTGTGTGTAAAAATACGCAGCGTATATAGTCCGTAGTTTGATGCCTAGACATTGACCTGATGTCAACAAAGACCACTTGCACTTGTCCTCCATTCCCCGTCTGCACGTTTGTATTTTCCGTCGTCGAGTCTGAGGCTTCAAACTAACCGTTAGTGGTTCGTAGCCTCGATTGGACCCCTGTTGACTGCTCACATGTGGCTGCAGTCGCAGAACAGGGATTCTAGCGTCGGTGATTGCTACTTGGGGCAGAGTACGTAATGTGACATGTTACTGGTCAGTGAGTACGCAGTTTTGTACTTTTCAAAGTTATGGTGGGATGGACGAGTAAAGTTTTAGGCTTGTTGCGGCAGAGTCTGTGTATTCATGAAGTTTTCATCGAGTCCAACGTCCAGTTATAAAACCACAGGTGCTGTTGAGTTGATAACTCGTTCATATGTTACGAATGATAGACTTTCAGGCTGAGCGATTTTCCCAACACACGGAAGTACTTCGGAGGTAGGCCCATTTGGCTGCGGAAGCATAAATACTAGTAATACATCATAATACATAGCTTTGTTCGAACATATCTCCAACTCTACCAGACGTTCAGATATTTGGTATATACAGTACATGTATTCGGTCGCCAATACGTATGAACTGACGAATTTTCAAGGTTCGTAGTCAACCATTCTACCCTCTCACATTACTATATCAGATCAAGAGAAAAACACACCACCATTCGTATCCAGCACAACCCCTGTCACAAAAGTATCCTTCATAAAGTACAAATACGCCTCCGAAGTATCATCCGGCGACCCATTATCCTGCGTTAACGACTTCGCCTTTGCCCTTTCAGCACCAGCATGCGCCATTTCCTTTGGCAGTTTCTCCAAAAGTTCCGTGATAATAAACCCAGGCGCAACAACGTTAACGCGTACCGGTGCCAAAGTGACAGCTAGACCTTTCATTAGGCCCTCGACGGCATTGCTGATGATCGGCGGTAGCCACGAAATAGGCTTGCGGGCCTGCGAGCCAGTAGTAAACGTAATCGACGATGTTTTGGCCGGTGTTATGTACTTGTGTGCATACTTTCCAATCGCTAAGGCGCCATAAAACCGCACAGTTAGGAAAGCATCTACATGCTCGAAGCTTGATTCCGCGAGCGGTGCCATGGGCGGCACATTTCCCGCCGTGAAGACTACATGATCGATTGTAGAGTCCTTGGCAGTAAATTGGAGTAGTCCCTCGACGTTTGCCTCGATTTGGTCTTTGACAGAAAGGTCCGCTGCATAACTTCTCACGTTTGATGCGTTTTCTGGTGAACTTACTCGAAGTCTCTCAACGGCGTTGGCGATTTTGTCCTTGGATGAGGAGCTAATGGTGATGTGCGCGCCTTCCTGAAGTGCTTTTTGGGCGACAGCGAAGCCAATGCCTGATGTCCCGCCGATGAGCAAGATATTCTTGCCGGCGAGTTTGCTTATGGTAGTTGCCATTGTGCGAAAATGCGCTTGATGTCGTGTAGATTTGCGCTAAGGTAAGGTATTCAACATTCCAGACAGAAGCACAGTTGTATATTATTGGAAAATAAGTAAATATCAAGGAGACATATTGATCTACATCATTCCTTTTATATGCCATTGAGAATTGGTATATTGGAGCCATTCATACCCACGGACAATTTGGTCCGTTCGTCCTTTGAGGAATTGTTCATACCGTCCCGCAATACGATGGAGACATGCCACGATCGCAGTTGTAAATGACACAATTCAATAAATATACGAAGTAAGCGTCTAAATTTAAAGATAGTATTACCAATCGGTAGTTGTCGATGTACTCGTGAGGATATCTCGGTAACATCGGACGAGAGTTGTTGAGTTTCCCGGAGTATTATATTAAACCAATTAGCACGAGAAATCGTGTGTTGCAGCAACTTCATTTGAGCTATAGCTTGATGAGGCATCTGATGAGTTATTTGATGAGTTTTCCATTCATGATTGCGAGTTTATCTCCGATGACGCCGGGACTGTACGCTTAATTCACTTGGATTAGAAAACGTAGTAGGAGTCCAGCAAAAGCTTCAAGCTATCTCAGACCATTGATATGTAACAAGCGACACTACCGATCAAAGCGATCAAAGATACAACTCGTTGTGATATCATGGTCGTAGTAAGCTGAGCGCACCACCAACAAGATGCAAGCTTCCCGTCACCAGCACGTCGAGTCCTTTCTTTTCGACAGCGATGTCTCTAGCAAGCATCAACGCATCTTCAATCGTTGGTTCTACATATAGTTGGGCTTTTGGGTCCAGTTGTTCCCATCGCGTAGCATAATGGGTGCCCAAATTTGGAAAAGGGGTTTCCGGCACTTTGAGAGTCTTGTCTATCATTAATGACATTAATCAGTAAGAATAGTTGAACATACTTCCTGGCGTGGCTGAGAAGTTACATACCGATCCGCCTCACGCCATCTTTCCTTTCATTGTAGGAGGTGAAGATGACTTTATAAGGCCGTGCATCATTCTCGGGCAAGCTACGAGCTAGCTCCTCGACGAGCGTCATACCGTCACGTTCTTCAGAGTAATGACTGAAAATAAGGACGCGACATCTTGTCGATTGAAGTTAGTTTAAGCTACTGTCAAACCATCAGAATATTTTTAAACTTACTTTGTCGTCTCTGAATGGTTTGTATTATCCGCAAACCACTGTGCGGCCTGTCTCAGACTCAGCGGGTTATGCGCACCATCCAAGAACCACCGTATTTGACCGTCCTGGATTATCTCAAATCTGCCTGGCCAACTGAAATTCTCAACTCCCTCGCGGATAAGATCATCATCAATCACACATTCTGGTGCCTTCGCCTGTAGAAAACACCGCGCTACCTCCAGAGCCAAGGAGCAATTAATCCGTTGCACAGGAACAGCCAGCACCTTCTTATTCTTCGGTAACATCTCATAGTTCGACACAAACTTCAACGGAACATTCTTCTCCTCGGCACGACGACGCATAACCTCCACCGGCCCTGGATCCTGCGGCGCTGAAAAGGCTGGAACCCCAGGCTTAAAGATCCCCGATTTATGCCACGCAATATCGTCAATCGTAGGACCTAATTGCGCGACGTGATCCATACCAAGGGATGTAATAGCAGTCACGACGGGGTGCGGAATGACGTTCGTAGCGTCGTATTCACCGCCATGATGAGTCTCAAAAATAGCCGCCTGTACACGTTCTCTGATGAAAGTGTGGAACGCCAATAAAGCTAGTAGTTGCAAGTAGCGAGGCAGTCTGGATTTTTTATTTTCGCCGGTAGCATCACAAGAATCAGGCGAAAGACGCTCCCACACCTCGAAAAAGTATCGAGTGAAAAGATCCTCGGTGATGGGCTGATTGTCTATTTGTATCCTCTCCCGGATGGATTGTAGATCTGGACCGGTATACAGGCCAATGCGATTAGGAAACCCAGTCCGTAGACCATGTGCGTGAAGAAATGATCGCGTAAATGCGCATGTGCTACCCTTTCCTTTGGTGCCGGCGACATGGATGATGTTTAAGGCGTTGATGTCGTTGGTCTAGATACTTGATGAGAATGATGTTAAGCCTTGAGTCAAATTTGAAGCATACTGAGTGTCCTAAGGCTTCAAGCCACTCTTTCATTCCAACTACACTTGGCACGCCTCGCAATGACTGTGAGCTAGGAGTGGGAGTAGATACTGCTGCAGCACCAATGTTCAGCATAGCAGGAGTCTTAGGTCGGGCCGTTCGCCGACGCGACTCGAGCAGTTTGAGTGCATTCTATTCTTGCTAATTAGTAAAAGTATAAATATTGATGAATAACTCTTGCCTCATAAGTTCGCTTCATATCGCCGTTCGATAAATATTGCACATTTGACGATCAACATTTGAGGTTGAATTGGTAGATGAGGCTTCGTCTTCAGAAAAATACAACAGGGCCGGCCATCAGCGGCAGTAGAAACCGAACATCTAACTACCTACTGCAACATAAGGCTGGGTAAGTTCTTCCACTACGGCGGACTGATTGTACATTAAGGACGAAATAAGTATTTTATAGAACTTACATTTCTACACATGTAATACGCATGCTTGTGATTGGTAAAAATATTATTTAGTAGATATAAGATACGACATTTATCAAATTAAAATATTATTTATTTCTTGAAATAAGATAATTATTTTCTCTTTGATTATATCAAATATAGCAGCTCAGATACGTCAATTTGGCATCAAGAGCGAGTAAACCATAAGGCAATCGCGTACAGAATACTCTACATATCCAGTGCATTCTTTCATGCAACTCTTAAGCAGACACTAAAGATAGAAAAAGTCATTAATCACGAGTACACTAACTGTCGCGACTTGCAAGCCGAAAAGGCGCACCCTAAACAATATATACTGTTTCTGAAATCTCCTTTTACTAAAACACTGACTTCAAAGTCTAGCAAATTTGGCTGTCGAATCTGCATCAATTACCCCCGTACTAATTTTATGTTAGCTGGCATAAGCTCTGCATCGTCCAGCGGTGCTCTGCCAAATGCGTGTATAGCTCTTGAAGGCCCGTGGGAATTGCCAGCACAATGCAAGCTTGTTTCTAGATTCTGCGTCGAATGGGGCGATTAAATTTGGATTTTTAATTCATATGACCAAGATCTGAGGGTGTACTCCTTGGAGAAGGTACTATATCTTGACTGGAAGGAATGCATAGAAGTCTAGGGAACTTGTACTCCAAGCCGAATGGCGCGAAGAAGATTGAGTCTGGACAGGAATATGGTCTTGTGAGAGATTGAGTATTGTGTCTGAGCTGTTTTGAATTAAATTTTTTTCTGCTGTAGACAAAAGCAATTATATCCAAGTATCTTTCTCGCAAGTTAGACCCTTTTTCAAATTATAAAAGAAAACGTGAGATTCTTACACTTGTCAACACTTCAAAAGTACAGAGAAGAGATTCGCATTCTCGGATCGTGCACCATCCTTTGCCCTTGTAATAACCAGTCAGACCCTTACCTGGGCTTCATTTCAATTGGGTGGCGTGCAAATGATCGTCTAATCGAATGGCGTCGTCGATTAGTTCCTGAAAGGTGTTACCTAAATCGCTTGACGCTATCAGCCTCTGACGGGTATGATTTTCAAGCCGTCCAGAAATTGGGCTTTGACCTGATCGTCAGTCCAATTGGCTTTATGGATTGAATCCCAGATGGATACTCATCAACTCGGATATGGAGATGTGGAGCGAAGAAGAGTTCTCGAAACTATGGTGATAGTCCCAACACCAATGGTGAGCAGCCTTATTGTCGAGGAAAACCACCGATCTGAGCAAAGGAGGGATATAGCAAACGACAGCAGTCACGGCTGAGCAATAAACCATCCAGGAATTATGTCAACAAAATACACGATGTAAATCTACAAAGCTATTTTCATCAGCTGCAATTTTCAGGTTTTCAGGCCCACAGTTTTTTTATTCACGCACAGCAGGCTAGTAGGGTTCAGCCAACAGGTCTTGTAGCAGAACCAGCTATTGGGCAAAGCACTGAGGAGAAACAATGCTCTCTAAGAGTAATAATGGTCCAGTCTAGACATGACTTGTAAGTTTAAAAGACTGCCCCCATGAACATACTAGTCTTACCACTACATATAGCGGAACGAGTGTGGTATCATCAGTCTTTGAGCTTGATATCTATTGTTTTCTCGATTGTTGTATGAACATTTGTGAGACAATAAGTCTGTAGCTCAATCCACAAGATGTCGGTTGTCTGAAATTGATAGCAACGTTGCTGCGATTATATCTTTAGAGAAGAAGAAAGCCCTTAAGCTCTAAGATTGTTGGAATTAATTTGGCCTAGTTCAGACTATTATTAGAACTGGCCCATTTAGTGGAACTTGCCATAGAGAATGTTGACCTGAAATCAGGCAAAGCTTACAAGGTTATCAAGAACACGGGTTTTCAATTTTTCATACGCCTACTCTAATGGTCGCGTCCAAATACTGAGGCTGAATACCTAGGTGGATCAGGATAATCTATAGCAACACTACCACCCAATGATTAAATTACCTCAGTGACGATCATCTCAGGACGACCTGTACTAGCGGTTGCCGCCAATCAGCACCTTGTTCAACCCATATACAACCAACGATTGAATGAGTAGCCCTTTTGAATCGAAGGAATCAAGGCTTAGTATAGATACAAATGACAAACAGTATCGCTAGTGATCTTATCTGTGCAGATCCCCCCACTTAGTCAAAAACCAACAATGGAAAAAAGACTCCATTATATAGCCCCCGATATTACAAAATTTTCTCCAGCTCCTGTTATCTAAGTTGTTATCGAATGGATTGTCGTCATTGTTTGTCTCTCGTGCCTTTTCTTCCCGTAGATCCTGTTGGTTTAGCTGAGGACCCTGGTACTAAAAGCCCTAACAGAGCGCTAGCAAGGTTGACTAAGCCTCGTGATCAGGGTTTCTGGTAGTCATGCATCGAAAGAGACAATAAGTTATTGAGAGATAGTAATGTAATAAACCAAAATGATGCTCGAATAACAAGATCTGCCTTGATCTTGTTCTAATTAGGCAATATTTCTTATTTACCCACCGAAGCTAAGTTTTAGTCTGCAACGGCTCCACTGAATTTCTACTCTTCCAGCTGTGATCCGATATAATTCTTTCTCTGCTTCTACATCCTCGAACTCGTTTTTCGATTATAAAATGGCTGGAAACTCTGCCCTTTCCATTGTGACAGACGAGAAACAGCAACTGAGACCAAATCTCAATTTCTTGCTTCTCCTTCAGATCATTCTTTCGGCTCTACTGGCCTATCTCATTGTCTACACCCACTCACATTACCCAGAGGAGTCAACAATATGGTTTCTCGTAAAGTTTATACTGCCAGTCTGCTCGCTGGTCTTTTCTGTTTTGCAATCATTGGCCTGAGCAATGCTCACCTGTCTCTGGTGAAGCAACCTCCCTCGCTGTCCGGAACCCTGACGGTACCGGCGTGGCAGAGTATGTTGACCAGGCCGAGCTCGTGAAGCGCGTTAACGTGAAGCTTTTTGCTACCGCTCTCGGTGCTCTCGGTGGCATATCCTACACTGCGTGCGCAGCGGATATTGAGCCTACCACCAAGGCAGCTATTTGCGTAGGTTATCCTCATTTCAACCATGCTGCAAGATCATACTAATATGTCCACTTAGGCAATCGCTGTCATTGGCACTGTCATCAGCGCTGTTTCTGGTGTCATTCGTAGTCTTGTCGGTCGCGATGGACTCGCCATCGACCCTCGCCTTCCTTCCCAGCTTGTTCACCACTTCCCTCAGCAAGACGGACTCAGCACATTGAATCAACTTTACTCCGCATACCAGGATACTCCAATCCTTGTTGCCCACAGTGACTGCTTCGGACCTGGTTGCCATCAGGTGCACTATTCCACCAGGAAGAGCACTATTGGCGATCACATCATTCACAGTTTCTCGGCCAGCCCGCGTCACAACAACTCCAGCGTGCAGCGGCGAGACTGGTCCGGTGATGATTCTGGTGCTGGAAATGATGATGGTTTGTACGGTGTGTACACCTTTATCAACGATAACCCGACAGATGAGACAGCAGAAGGTATGTACGCGGCTTGAAAATAACATCAACGAAAATGTAGCTAATACGAGTCATGTAGCCTACGACGGAGATTTCCCGGATCACATGGAGAAGGCGTCTGACATGGATATTTTCGCCAACCAGGGAACTTTCTGCTACAACATTGAGGACGCGGATGATAATGACAACTACGGTACTGCCGGATACCTGACTTTGCAACAAGATGAGCCCTACTATGATCCAGATCAGGAAGATGCATGGATTGACCAGTGCAACAACTCCCACTAGGCTGAGTAGGATCTGAGATATGGAGGGCACCTAATGCGAGCCATATATGACACTTATTTCGAACAATGACGAACAATGTCATATGCGGCTTGAACTACATTCCACTATCTTTTGATTTGTGCCTGTTACAATCTTGTCATGATGCAATATTTCATTCTTGAGCTTATAACCTAGAAAAAATCACATAGTTTACCAATGCACATTCTTAAGAAAGTGCTACCAGCCATCCAATTTGTATGAATATGGCTCGGACAAAGGACTTTTCGGTTGTAGTCACCTATACGCTCAGCATCAAGATTGCAACAAACGGGATTTTCTGGACGACGTCTTGATCGCAAAATTAACCCTAGCGTGGTCCAGGACATGGCATCACCTGTGACAAAGCTCGAGATTGTAGATCTCTTGAAAGAGATCAAAGAGTTACTCAAGGCTCGAAATGATCGGCTCGAGAATGGTAATCGCCTGACAAATGATTAATCGGAGCCTCCGTCTCCGGTTATGGGAAATGCTGCGATAGAAAAATCGAGACACAATCGACTTCCGACAAAGCAAGAGGAAGTATAGTCACAGGAAATCCGGCAGATTGTACGGGACAGAATCTGACAGCGCTGAACACCTGGAAGAAGTAGCGTTCACCATGTGCTTTTACACGAACATGGGAAGAGATTGGCATGACCACGACAGACTACCTTCGATACCTCGAAGCACTGAATTGGTAGTATTTCTCCATCCTGGTACTGATTCCACCCCATTATATCAAAACATCCTCTTAGCGTTGTTGACCAGATAACTAATGGTAAGCAGACGTGGAAATATGAAATTTACATTTGCACAAATGTAAAATTATTGAAATACGAATCTTGTCCTCAACCTACACTTAGTCCGCCGTATACACGCTGCTTAATCTTATCGTAGGTAGATTCAACACGTGGCATTGTTGAACTTTTTTTAGACGCTCGAGAGAAGGAATTTCTGTTCGCCATAAATGAAAAGACAAATTGTCTATCTGTATCTTATCTCTCTATTTTTCGTATCCCAAGTGAGGCGGACTCCCTCAGTTCTTTTCGCTTTGCTTCAAGTAGATACAGAGTGACTTGGATGCCCTAAGTGACGGATCATTTACAGAAAAGGTAAAACACTTTCCAATTCTAATTTGGATTGCTTATAGGACTACCAAGTAGCTGTAGTAACATGCAACATACAGGAGAGATATATTGGTTGGAGTGTATACAGCCAAAGATTAGTTTTCGCCAGTAGACAAAACTATCGCCACCGGCCAGCCTCGCGCTCTTCCTCCACGCGAGACATGTCATCATCATCACCTTCATACTTGTAGTTGAGCCTTCGTCCACTGTTCGTCTCTCGGTCATGTTGACGGTGGGAACTCTTGCTGTCGCGCTCTGTAGTCATTGCATCGCGGCGTTGTTTCTCCTTCATCAACCGCTCACGATTGCGAGCTTCGCGCTCTAAAGTATGTGGATCTTTAGTCGAAGTCGTGCCTCTTTCTGAAGGCCTTTCCATTTCACCGACATCACGCCCTTCACGATGGCTGCGTTTGGAACGGCGCGAATGTCGTCGGGAAGAGTCGCTTTCGTCTCCCGACAGAGAACGGTCGCGACGAGAGCGTTTGCGATCTTTTTCGCGGTCTCGATCGCGGTCCCTGTCACGCGGTTTGTCTCGTTCGTGACGGCGGTCTCTGTCTCGGTCAGTGTCGCGGTCGCTTCCATTGTCATGACGTTTTTCGCGCTCGGAACGATCACGCTTACGCGAGTCTTTTTCATGGCGGCTTGAAGACCCTTTACCAAGGCGCTGGGCATTGGCGATTCGTCGCGCAAGGTCATATTTATCGTCGCCATTCGTTGCTGCGGCAGACCCGCGATCACGATGTCGGCTTACACTGCGGCTATGGCGACGAACTCTGGACGATCGATGACTGGACTTATGATCCCTTTCCTTACCAGAACGATGGGATGAGCGCCGCTCTGAGGGTGAGCGTGAGCGCGACTGCGAGCGTCCGTCATGATCCCTGTCATCTCGCCGAGGCCGTCTATGACGATCTTTTTGGTCTCTACCATCGACACTACCACGAGCAGATTCGGATCGGTCTCGCCGACGAATCCGCGACTGTCGAGATTCCGGACTTGGCGGTGACTGAGGGCGTGATGGTCTGGGAGATCTTTCTCTGGATGGCGAATAGGAACGTGGCTTATGGTCGACAACAGACGGTGAGTGCGCAACCACATTTTCTTGGGCTATTGTTGGAGTTGCACTAGATTTGATCAGTCATTAGGCCTACAGCTAAATACTTGCGGAAATGTCTTACCCGCGTGAACTGTTCTCTGCTGTCTGTGAGATTGAAGCAGTTCGCCTTGATCCCGACAATAACCCGCCCCTGTTAATGCCTTCACGCATGGCACGGGGTGCTAGCGGAGCCCCAACAACGCCCTGTCCAGTGGGTGGACCTTGCACGTTGTTGTAATAACCACCGCGATGGCTCATGAAGCCTCCTCGTCCGAAACCTCTACCACGACCATAACCTTGATCCAGGACAGGCACTGGCCCTCTAGAGTAACCCATAGGACTCATAGCCTGCGGTGGCGCGCTATCAATACTGTCAATAGTAGGGATACCTTGTAACTGAGAGGTAGGCTCCTCGTCACGACTAGTGGGTTCACCGTTGATGTCAGATTCCAACGGTTTATCAGTCCGGTCTGTACCGTCAGCGGCGTTCGCATCTTCTGGTCCGATTATAGTACTATCTTTGGGGCCTTCTGAGAAATCATCACTGCCACCCGGAGCCAATTCGTTGTTGAACTTTTGGATATCATCCTCAGTCTGTCCACCTCCCTGGTTCACGGACTCTTGAGATACATTATTCTGATAGTTCTGCTGGTAGTAGTTAGCATGATCGTACCCACCACGACCGCGATAGAAGCCGCGGCCACGGCCTCGTCCCATGCCTCTCATATAGCCAGGGCCATTTCCATAGTAGCCATTTTGGAAATTTTGGTTAGAGTATTGCTGCATTTGAGAATAGTTCCCGTTGGGTTGGGACATGTATCCAGCATATCCAGAGGTACCATAATCTTGGCCCATGCCATTCGAGTACGGATTTGCATTGTACATATTGTTCTGAGAGTTGTCCCAATTGTTATACATTTGCTGCTCAGTGCCATATCCCATGTTCATGCCATTGCTCATATTACTCATGTTCATACCAAAACCCCCGAACATTCCTTGAGCTGCATTCATCGGACCCATTCCAGGCATTCCTATACAGTTAGTCAGGATTATGATGGAGTAAATGTGAGAGTTCAACTCACCCATGGTGTTTGCAAAGTTACCCATTGCATTGGGCATGAATTGTGCCATCGCGCTCATATCCTGGCCGCCCCAGTTCATACCAGGCATCATCCCCGCCATGCCAGCCCCCATGTTCGGAAACACCTGATTGGGTTCACTTTCTGATTGCGCATGCTTAGCTTCGGTGCCTTCAGTAGCTTCAGGATCGATCGATGCGCTATTCGCTGACACAGGATCAATTCCATTTTCGCCCGTAGGAGGAACTAAGTCTCCATTTCCCTAGCGAACGGTAAGAATTTGAGAGATGAGAGGGGTTTGTGTAGGAACCAACCTGAACTGGCGGAGCTCCGGGTGGCGCTTCATTCTCATCAACTGAAGGCTTATCAGTAGCAACAGCTACAGCTGATTCAGTCGGGACAGTTTCCGTAGATACAACAGTGTCCGCGGTTTTGGTTGCAGGTATAGCAGGCTCGCCTTGCGTCTCGACAAGAACGTTCGACGTAGGAGCTGTGGTCACAGCCGGCGTAGTCGACGGACGATCCTTCTCCCGCTTCTTCTCTTCTGTCCGCAAAAATGCTTTCAACGTTGTACGGAGAGCTTTGTTTGGCTTGCACAGGTCGGGAGAGACGGGGTTATGTTCGCAGACTGGACAGCTCTCGGGCAATGACGTCTGGCCTGAATATAAATTGTCAGTCTCTATGTAAATGACACAAAGTAGAATGATCGAAGATACATACAGCTTTCGCATATAGCCTGATCACAGCATGGCAGGCGAAAGGCGTTGATAGCTAGGTTGTTGCAGATAGCGCAGCGGAGTTTGAATGGGATGTCATCTTGCGTGAGAGAGCTAATTTCGTCAGCTGCTTGGCTTCCAAGCTTTATGGTTCAAATAGAGTCGAGAATCTACTCACGAAATTATGTCCAACAGACTTTGCGAAAGCTCGGTACTCGCCATCATGGACTGACGCTGTCGAAGAACAGCTTTTTCCCACGTAAAAATGGTCTGCCTCAGGACAGAATGACGGTGCAAAACGAAGCGTCGACAAAGGCAGACATGGCGGAGGAACACATCAGTTCATATTGCAGCAAAGAAACTGTCGTCGCATTCGTGTACAGTACAATTGACAAACAACGGGTTTTGGGTCGTAGAAATAAGTGTGCTCCGCAACTATACATTTTGGAGTTCTTCACGACGGAACGGAGGAACAATTCTCCATTTAATATCATTTTACCGTCAACCGTTCCTTTGGTAAATTCTTACATGTATACTGTACTCACAATCTTTCGCAGCAAGCTGTGGCCGAGAGATCGCTTGTTATTATTAATTATATTGGAAGATCTGTAAGCAGAATATTTATGAGGAACACATCCCTCTTTCGAGATCAGGGAGTTCGTGAGGGCCCAGTCTGTCTTTGAGGATATTACACGTGACTTGAATCTACTTTGGGCCACTCACCATAACATGCATAAGTTAGGACAAAGTGAAATCAGCGTATGTAAAATTGGTAGCATTATTCGGACTGTATTCATATCTGATAGAAGCATCAGTTGATACGGAACGATCCATGCCAGACTAGGCAACAAGATGAACACCAGTCCTCAGATTAGATCAAGTAATTTGAACAGTCATCAATGCGAACTTCTACAAAAAAGACAGTGGCGATGCCGTAAAACTGGGAGGTTTCCGGCCTCAGCCTTACTGATTCTTTGGCTCGACATTTCGTCTTAACTCTTATCATCACGGGACGGTTTGCGAGGTCATAATCTTGGTGCCTGTTAGCTGGTCAGAAGTACGACATATTCGGGTAACAGCGTAGAAGATGCATTAATCTTTTGATGGCTGTGAGTCATTCCAGACCGAACATTTGGCGGTGCGTGGGATGCATTGTGGTTGGGAATGAGTGCATATATTTATTGATGACGTGCAGCAGCCTGTCTTTGTGGTAGTGATCGAGTAAGGAATAATCCAGGTCGGTAAAGGTAAACTGTATGAAGCGCGCGACATTTCGAAAGCTCAGGCACTGAACATCGACGCATCGAGTGTTGCGGCACAGGGAGTGACGCGTGAGACTGATATGGGATGAAGGCGATGATGGCAGAAACTGAGAAAATACGTACACACCGATTCGTACTAGCGCGTGTGCCGGTCAGTATCAGAAGCGATGAAATTTTTCAGCAATCTGAGCAAGATTGATTGATAGTGGGTCAACAACCCTGGTAAATTGTGTTAAAATACATGGGAATACATAGTACGTACAGAGTGCGGGTCAATCAGAATCGGCAGGCTAACCGCATTCAGGGCCAAGGGGGCGCATGCCGCAGCGTGATAGGTCGAGAGCACAGCGGGACCCCATCACACGTGATACGACGTACCCAAGGCAGGAGCAGGAATGGGCAAGCATCGCGCAGGGTTAAAAGGGCTGCTGCGACCCGCGCTGCGAAAAACATCGAAAAAGATGTCCTGCTCTTGCTTCCACGCACTGCCCCCCTCGCCGTCCACACTGGAGCTCCCCACTTTCTCAATCTAATTGCCTTTACCTGTTTTCGCCACGCACTGTCGACGCACTCTAAAAACATCCAGAAGCTTGGACCACCCCATCTTATCGCCTCTGATGGAAAACGCTTCAGACTTGATTGAGCAGTGAACAAAGAACATAGCCAAGTAGCCAGTACTCGACTCGGTACGGACTCTGCGGAGTACCATACACAACATACATACATACAACTGAGTGAAGAGGCACTCGTTTCTATTCGCTGGTTTGATTAGACCGTTAGCCACACCTGGTAAGCTCGAAGCCTCAATTCCAAACGCTGTTGTCGAGTGTGGGTCTCTTGTCTGTAAGCAGCCAATCCTTAGACACAAAATAAAGAAGAGCTGGCCCGGACGAGACGATTGGAAAAAAGAGAAAAGATAAAACGACAGACAAAAAGAATTGATTGCTTACTCAGGCGAGCAGAACATGACCGACCCGGAGAGCTCATACCGGCCGCGTTCCCCAGACTTGTCCTCCTTCCCATCGTCCTTCTCGAACACCTTCAACAACAACGCGTATCAGCCACAACCGCCTTTTCTCGCTAGCCCTCACGGCCAACGCGCTTCCTACGACGCCTCACCTTTTTTTGCGGGCTACCAACCACCGGTTGCGAATAGCCGAATCCCCCAACAACAATACCAACAACCCTTCTATAACCCGGTCTACGATAACAATCCGTACGACGACGATATGGCAAGACGGAGTGCTCGCTTGTCAGCACAACAGCCCCAAACTCAAGCTCCAGTCCATGCCCAAGTACAACCGCAACTACAAGCTGAATCTCACTCTCACATTCACCACCATCAACCGCCCCACGCACAAATCCAAGTCCACCACCAAGCACCTCTCCCTCATCCCTCCGAACAAAACTTCGTATTCGACCAACATGTCGCCGCAGTCGCCCCCAAAGAAGAACCACACGAGACCCGGCCGAAACCATGGGACGGAATAGACGTGAAAACGAAGTTCCCAGTAGCGCGGATAAAGCGAATCATGCAGGCGGACGAGGAGGTGGGAAAGGTGGCTCAAGTGACGCCAATCGCAGTTTGTACGTCCCCCTTCCCTTCTTCCATATCTACAAACATAAAACGCTAACTTCCTCCAGCCAAAGCACTCGAACTCTTCATGATCCAACTCGTCACTAAAGCCGCACAAGAAGCCCGAGACCGCAACTCAAAACGAGTCACGGCAGCACACCTGAAACAAGCCGTCGGCAAAGACGAAGTCCTCGACTTTTTAGCAGAGATATGCTCCAAAGTGCCCGATCAACTTGCGCGCAAGAACGAAGAAGACGGCAGCGATCATAATGAGGGTGGGAAACGGAAATCAGGCGGCGGGCGACGGAAAAAAGATGTGGATAGTGATGATTTTTAGCGAAGCTTTGTTTTTTGTATATACCTTTAATGAGGATGGTTGGGTTCATGGGTTTGGAGGGTATTTTCGTTTATAATGATGCTCTGAATAGACAGGGATGGGTTGCAATGGCGTGTGGCGTCAAATCTACTTTTTATCTCTTCTTCACGATGGTTACGATCACTATTCTTTCATTGTGACTACAAGCCTCACTGCTGGTCTTTGCGATTGAACAATGATACAGTGAGTCAGATGACTATATTCTACCTGACTGAATCTGGTGGCTAAACCTCTTTGGTCATACAAAGTACACCACCCCGAACATAGACGAGCTGATCAGACCTTAGATCTCCGTTCCCAAATCACCTTGCTCGGCGACTGAGGTCTCGAGAACAACGACTTGACCAAAATACGTTAGCATCATAGCCATTCTGGCAGTAGACTACGACATTAGGGTAAAACATACCGAATAATCAATACCCAGCAACTCAGTACTCTCATCAACCGCTGTAACTCGGAACGAGCTAACAAAAACCGCCAGAATAACACCCAGCTGCACATACGCAAACTTCTCTCCAATACACCTATGCCTCCCGCCGCCAAACGGTAGATAAGGACTATTCGAACCTTTACCCAACGAGTCGTTGTCATCGTCATCTTCTTCGTCGATGGTATCGAGTTTCTGTCCCCAGCGGTGAGGGTCCCATTTCAAGGGTTCGCCAAAGTAAGCCCTATCACGAGCCGAGAATGCAGGTGATGCGAGGAGTATATCTCCCTGCGGTACTACAATTTCATTGCCTCGCTGTTCTTCGCGGACGATGAGAGGTTTTCTCGCAAACCGCATAATCGAATGGATAGGGTTATACAACCGCAGTGTCTCCCTGATAACGTATGCATGCAGCTTGAGTCTCTGGAGGCTTTCGTACGTCAATTCTTGACCTCTGAGTTCTCTAATCTGCTCACTATACAACTCCTCCTGAACTTTGGGGTTGGAAGCAAGACTCAAAATCGCAAATGCGATAACGGCAGAACTGGAATGGTGTCCGCCCAGAAGCAACGCAATCATCATGTGCGCGATTTCCTTGTCGGGGAGGGGGCTGCCATCCTTGTAGGTGCAGTTTTGCATCAGGTTCCAGATCATGTCCTTTGCTTCAGCTTCCACGGGTTGGTTGGTTTGTTGTTCTTGTTCGTGCTGACGGCGCTTCGTGATGATGTCGGTGTACAGTCGTGTCATCTCCCGTTGCGCGGTATCCCGTCGCTTGTTTCGAGGCAAGGGAACCCAAGAGGGAAGGAAGAAATTGATTGGCGAAAAGCCCATGTCGAGGTCGTGGTAGAGATTTGCTATGCGAGACCCAGCTGAGGAGAATTGTTGACGTACTTCGGCGCCTTGCAGGGATGAGGAGGCGGTATAGATTGTTAGTTCAGCCATTGCGGAGGCGACCTCGAGTGTTCCTGTCTTTGATTTTGGTTTGATGTTGAAGTCATGATATGTTTGGAAGAAATCGGTGGTTTCTTTGGCGATGAGACGAACATACGACTCGAGCGCGGACTGGCTGAGCCCGAATTTTACAAACTTCATTCATCAGATCCGGGTTAGCATCCGGCTGGTTATTGTAATTCTCGAGGAATTGAGAGCTTACCTTCTTCTGTTGCAAAAACTTGCTATGCTCACAGTCGAAAATCACATCAGTCCCAAAAACAGGCGTCGTCAACGGCGCATAGACGTCTTCTGCGGATAATTCGCTTTGCTTCCCATTCAGCACAAAGTTGTTTCCTTGAGCTCCAAGGTAGACGGTGACGCGTCGTCCGAGCAGAATGAATGTGAATACATTTCCGTACTACGACAAAGCATAGTCAGAACGCAGATGCCCCCTGTGGGATAAAGGGGTAAATAGTCACTTACTTTTTGTCTGCATCTCTCAAAGAACACCATCGGATCCTTGCCATAACTGATTGTGCTGCCGATTATTGGGAAGTAGTGGAACACGAGCGGTGGCTTGTTCCCGTTGCTTTTGGCAACGCCTTGGAATAGGATATTCACGAGGACGCTCAGACTGATCAACGCGGTGAAGATAACTGAAACTTGAAGAAGCAGCGAGGACGAAGACAAGAAATTCACTACAGAAGAGGTCATTTTTGGAAATAAACACGAGCAAGGAGAAATGATGGTCTTGTGCCAGAGGATGGCAGATTGAAAGAGTAAAGAAGATGAATGATAGGGGAAGTAGGGCCAAATTCCAAGCATCACTTCCAAGGCTACCACTTTCCTTCAAAAACGTGAGCATCACTCCATTGCCAATGTCTGTTATGACATGTCATTGGTAACGGAGACCTCATTATTGGCCGATTCAGTCTATGTGGATTGCTGGGCTGACTTGAAGTTAGGGCTAGGGGGTTTAGGGTTATCGACGGATGTCGAGCACCCGAATGGTCCGACATACTACGCATTCACACCCAAGTCAGGAAGGTCATTCCTCATGTGTGGAATAGCATATTGATCAGTCAGTGAACAGATTTTGAAGATGGATATCAGACTTCACATGCGGTTGACTGAGTTGGTTGAATAGGCATTGTTAGATGTCATAATGTGCTTGCTTCGTATGTATAGCTGCGTCAATTGCGCAGTAATAATACCTATTTGAACTAGACGCATTTCCAGAGGTGCTTTGTAACCCTGTAGAACATCATAAGGAATTATCAGTTTCAATGTTGCGTACTGTTAAAGGAAAGTGGAAGATTCGTCGGGAAGGCTCGTTTTCTGATCGTTTTCAGGAGCATCTTGACTACACAACGAGTAACAACTCGTCAATGGCAACATTCAAGTCAGCATTATCAGAATAAACATGCTCCATGCCCCAGGCTTTGACGGCTCTTACCGGTGAAGTAAGACTTTCATCGGGCAACGGCTTTGTATAGGGAAATTCGTTCGACTAGGTACCGCAACGGAATCAAACCAGGACACCGCGCTTTGTATACACGAAGACCGTCATCATATGCAATTTGCATTGTACGGGCCACCAAGCTGAATCAAATATGAAACCCGTAAGATTGGGTATATATACAGGCTCCTCCTCTGTTAATCAGCTTAGTTCTATGCGGTATGTTTTCCTACAAGACGTTTATTCAAAACTGCCGTGCTGATATCTCTTAGGTAAGTAACCCTATGTGTTCATTATTGTTTCATGAAGTAATGTAAATATAAGCACTAGACACATTGAATTCATATATTCACTTAGCCTTCGTGGTGTTTGTTTATTTAGCGGCCATCAACCAATCAACTTTATGTTAATGTTATCGGTCAGACATAATCCACAAGCGAGCTGCCACCCATGCGGATCACTTCTTTTTCCGACCCGATAGGCCACTATGAAACTATCCTAAGATAGATTTCATAAGACAAAGACCCCAGAGGTGCCTTTGGCGTTGTAAAAACATCATTCCCTTGGTACGTCCTGCCCGAGGCGTCAATCCTGGCTCGGCGTTGGAACCGTAACACCAGTGTTTTTTCCTGCTGAGCATTCAATTCTTAGAGCAGCAATGATCCAGAATTTGTGCTGACGACACTGCCGGTCGCATTGGTATCCTTCATCAAATAGACATAGGCCTCAGCGACTTCTAAAGGAGTGCCCACTTTCCCTAGCGGCATGCTAGATTGGATGTTCTCTGGAACACCGTTGGAGCCCCACATTGGAGTTTTCACAATCCCGAGACTCACAAGATTCACTCGGAGGGGCTTAAGATCAAGTGCAAGGTTTCGGGTGAGACCGTGGAGGCCGGTCAAATAACCTGATATCAATGACCAGTTCGGGAAGGGTTTCTGAGATCCAGCGCCGGTAGTGAGGGTCAACGATGATTGATACCCAGCCTTCAAGAAGCGTGGAGCCAACTTTCCGAGGAGGAGAGGGACAAAAAATCGAATATGCCCTGCACGGTGAATCGCCTCCAGGTCGATCTGATCGATAGATAAGGTAGGAAGAGGGTCACCGGCGGTGTATACAATATGATCAAGAGTAGAACCGATACCGCTGAGAAGGTTCTCAAGATGTCGTTCCACTTCAGATGAAGAGAGATCAATAACGTGTCCGGTGACCTGACCCCCCGGGTATTTTTGCTGCAAAGATGCGACGCTTTCCTGTACACGAGAAGCACTGGAGGACGCGATGTGGACGCGTGCTCCTTCTATAAGAGCCTTCTCTGCAACACCAAAGCCGATCCCTGAAGAACCTCCAATGACAAGAACCGTTTCATTTTGTAGAGGTGACATGATGATCGATAGAGTAAATTGAGGTCGTTCGAAGGAATTTCATGCTCTAACGACAATTTACCTTGATTTCGAGCTCATTATTTATAGACCAGAATGCTAAGTCTAAGGTCTCATCTTCAATCAGTATAACCAAAGATCTGGTCACCCATTACGGACATAAGCTCTAAAATCCAAAGTCCGGATGGCGCGAACACTGATACCGTCCACACACCTTAATAGGTACTCGAAAGTCATGACGTGCTGCGAAAAAACAGCAATGGATGGGACCATTTTTGACTGATTAACTTTCGAGCCGCCTTAGTGACGCAGGGAAACCCAGATCGTGGCGTTAGTTAGCTGTCAATTCTGACTAAGCATCCGCGAATCTGTGATTTCAAATCTTTTTGTTTATTTCCGTTTGTGGTCAGAAGAGGTGTTATCTCCGTTTGTGGCCGGGAGAGATGAAGAGCCAAAATGAAAACTCATTAGGGCTCACAATTGATTGTGGTTATCTCTAAAAGTGATTTAAATACTTCCAGGCTTCTACGGCGTACAACATGCAGATTTTCGCACCCAGATACCCACGATGGCGAAGGATATTCTTGTTGTGTTTGGAGCAACCGGTCAACAGGGGGGTTCCGTGATCGATTATGTTCTTGGTGACACTTCATTATCTGCCAAGTACCACCTGCGCGCTATTACGCGAGATGTGACTTCGAGCTCCGCATCATTTCTTCGAACGAAGGGGGTGGAAGTGGTTGAGGGCGATATCAATGATAAAGCTTCTCTTCATCGAGCTATGCGAGACACGCAGGGCGTGTTTGCCATGACTTTACCACTTTTCAATGATGTCGAAGCAAAAGAGCTTGAGATCACACAGGGGAAACGCATCGCCGAGGTTGCAGTGGAGGAGAATTTGAGCTTCATTATTTTCAGCAGCCTTCCCGACGTTACGTCCATCTCCAAGGGCCTTTATCAGGGGGTTGATTTCTTCGATGCCAAAGCGGCAATTGAGCTTTACATTCGATCTTTGCCTATCACGAGCATATTCCTCATTCCAGGTCTGTTCATGCAGAATTTCAGTCAGCATATGGGCCCCCAAAGAAAACCAGACGGATCATTTGTTTTGTCCAATGTGGTGCCTCCTACGACGAGGCTTCCGCTTCTTGAAGTTTCTAGGGATCTTGGTAAATTCGTTGGTCCAGTGCTCTTGAAGCCGGAGACTTTCAACGGACAAACAATATACGCCTTTACTCGGTACTACACATACGAGGCCGTCGCAGATGCGATTAGCCGCGCGACGGGACAGATTATTGAATATCAGCAGACATCCACTGAGGTGTTCACGGCTGGKATGCCTCCGAAATTTGCCCAGTGCCTGGTGGAGATGATGTTGTTTGTCGAGAAGTTCGGATATTTTGGCGAACAACCGTCGGTGATCACCGAGAAGCACGCGAACTTTGCCGCACCATCAGCTTTGACCTCGTTTGAAGAGTACTGCTCAAAGGTATCTTGGCAAAATTCACTTAGCTGATGATAATTGGCTTTGATCATCAAATTCTTGAAGGTCTCAATTATACGCTCTCGGGCTTATACATTATCTGGAACCAAGCCTCGTGATGCTTGCTTTGCTTGGAAAAGGCATACAGTCTGTTGGGCCCACGGGCACCTACTAGTCCCCGGTGAATTCGGAGACAGATGGAGAATCATATTTTTAAAATCTCAAAATTCTCATTACACCATTCGTATACTTCAATTCGAGAACTCGCCTAGTATGAAGCAATGCTTTACCCTAGAATCATAGTGTGACTTTTAGGGAGATGGTTGAAGGCAAGAGTAGAGAAGTATAATCTTCTTTTGTTTGAATATTGATAACATTTACCTTAGTCAATGGTTTGCAGACATTGATAGACCCAAAATACTTCATAAATCAATACAAAAAGAGTCATGGAAGGTCCCAGCTGAGAACTCAACAAAAATATCACAGTAACATAGTGTAGTGCGCCTTCTCGGTAGCTATGAGGATATATGATTGCAAATAAAGAATCGATTGTGACTATTACTAAGGAGGTATCGATAAAAAATCAATATACAGGTGACCTATTCGTCGAAGTGGTGTTTTTAAATTTGGGTGTAGAAGATGCCGTACTATTGGAGCCTGATCTTCGCCTCCTGATTCTCTCTTTGCTTTACACGATTGTGGAAGACGGTCAGAGAAGCTGTCCCGATCGTGAAAAGAAAGGCCGCAATCTGAAAACCAGTCTGAGGGTCTGCCTTGAGGACTGAGTAGAGAATTGCAAAAAGCAAAGATGCAAAAATAAGCTGAATTTCTTTCCATAGAAACCAGTGCCATCTCCTCCAAAAAGACTGATTTCCTAGTTCACCAGATTCAACATCCAAAGGAGCCTCTTTGCCTAGAATGTTCGACTGGTCTGGCTGTTGTGATACTGAAGGAAATGACTGGGAGACATCTAGCTCGATCCACTGTTGCTCAGGGCTACTTCGGTGATCTGGATGTACTCCGAGCCTGATCTTTCCAATGGCGGAATGTAGCTCCTTCGTATGTTCATCGCACTCATTTTTTAGGAAAAGAGCAAATGGGCCAATTTTTGGCGCACTAACCGATAAGGCTCCTTCGACTTTCTTCCAAATGCCATGTATTTCGGTAAGGTGAGTCTTGCCTTCTAATGAGATGTGATACCGCGGATCCTGGCGCCAGTAAAAGGTAAACTTCCATTGCAATCTTGCAAATGCCACTTTATATTTTTCAAGAGTCTCAAGAAGACGTTTGAGGAAAGAGAGCCTGGCTTTAATATCACGGTGAGTGAAGCCATTCCACGGAGATGATACGTCGGTCAGCAAGGCTGTATTTCCCGCAAATAACGAATCAATGTTCTCCCGACTCTGTGATTCTTGTAATTTGATATGCGATAGGATCAGGCCTTCTGTAACACTCAGTGTGTTATTTAACTCGGAGAGTTTTCCGATCAAGTTAGGGTGAAGTGGGAAGTCCACAGCGACTGCGGTCGAAGCATTGGAATTCTCCATTCGCACAGTTTCTGGAAGAGATTATTGATACCAATCAATCTGAATTGTTAGAAGAAGTCAGTGTAATGATGTGTGCGAAGGGAAAGAAAGTAGGGTGTGAGCAGATTCTTAACGGCGCCAGCTAGCCAGCCTTGGGATGAAATGAGCCTCAGCCTTGAGACACATTCAGCCTTGCGCTGCTGGTAGATCTACTGTAATAAAACTGATTCTTCTTTTGGTGATATTTTCATGCTTGTCCGGCTTTATCTCTAAGGTCCTTTTTATTGGACTAATTAAACACAAGCGGTACGAGCTTTCTCATTGAAGTGTTTCTACTGTTTCCGAAAGTAGTCCTATATACTTTACTAGCATAGAATATTCAAAATTGGGGGCATTCTCTGATCTGACAGCACATTTGACCAACATAAATAATCACCCAACTGTTCCCGCCCTGGCAGAACGTGTGAGAGTCCTACTAGACCCAATTCATCCGAACAAACTTTCAACTTAAAGCTTGAATATCATCTCTCGTATGGGGAATGTCCAGAATGTATCGTGAAGTGCGGAGAGCTTCCCGGAACAGCAAGTACAAGCGTGCCTCCCCCACCCGCTTATCAGGATCAATCTACAGGCACAAGCGCCTAAATCCTGGAGTATGCAAGTCACCTACTCAAAACAATTTAGTCAGAGCCGGAATCTACTGCTGGTCGAGAGGTACGCCGAGACGGTCTCTTTAGATGCCTCATCTGGAATAGTTGCATCGGCTGACGCAGCGATAAACATGAAGCTCGGCGATGGGGTTGATGCATCATTGGCCAGAGATGCCACCTGTGTGTGTATGATGTCTGTGCTTTGGGATAAGCAATCTAAGTAAGGTTTCTTGTTTATCTTATCGATGGAGCTACGTATGATTGAAGCTATCCATGTGTAAGCCACATTACTTTGTCACCCTGTAGAAGAGCCCCTAGCTGCTGAAATTAATAAAGGTATATAAGCCGCACCACATAAACATGGGGTTGCACAGAATCTTTCTTTTGACAAGTTGCGATCATCAATTGATCGCTAGGTAAAAATCTCGCCTTATCAATATGCCAAATTACAAGCACTTGCTCTTGGTACCCTTGGCTCTGGCCAGTCCGGTCCTCGGTGGCTCGAAGCAAACATGCGAAAAAACCACCGTTGCCATTCTGTAAGTTTTATATGACTCTGACAATCGAAGGACTCGCTAACAATGTGAAATAGTGGTGGAGGCACCGCCGGTATCACAGCAGCTGTGAGTTAATCTAGGCGATCTCGAAAATCTACCTTTATTATGATACCGTATCTAACAGACAAACCTCTAGCAAGCCCTAAGCAATAACTCTGTTCACGACTTTATCATTTTCGAATACAATTCCGATATTGGCGGTCGTATGCGACATACAACATTCGGTCAGGACGCAAATGGTGATCCTATAACTCTGGAACTCGGCGCAAACTGGGTTCAGGGATTGGGAACAGCTGGTGGTCCTGAGAATCCCATCTGGCTTCTAGTATGCTTCAATGACTTCACCGGAAATTTAGGGTACATTACTCATATTATTACGAATTACTAGGCGCAAAAGTATGGAGTCAACACTACCTACTCCAACTACAGCTCGATCTTGACCTACGATGAGACTGGTTATACCAACTACTCCAGTCTCTTCGATGACTTTGAGAATGCATACTCAGTCACAGAGGAATTGGCAGGKACAGTTTTGTCGGAGAACCTTCAGGATCGTAGTGCCCGAGCTGGCTTCACTCGTGGCGACTGGCAGCCGAAGAAGGACATGAAGATGCAAGCCGTTGAATGGTGGGAATGGGGTATGTGAATCATGGTCTCGATTGAACATATATTGGAAGGCGCTAAGTAATGATGATTAGATTGGGAATACGCATATGAGCCCGAAGTAAGCTCCTTGGTTTACGGTATCGTGAACTATGTAAGTCATCATCCCGCTTCGTCTGATGTCGTCGTCTCATCTTCCGGCAGAATACAACATTCTACCAATGGTCGGACGAAAACAACTTTGTCTGGGATCAGCGTGGATTCAATACCTGGCTCAAAGGCGAGGCAAGCACGTTCCTGACAAAAAACGATAAACGGCTGCGCCTCAACACTACCATCACCAACGTTACTTATAGTGACACCGGTGTGACTATCACCGATAGCGAGGGAGGCTGTTATCAGGCGGAATACGCTATATGTACTTTCTCGTGAGACCGACCGCCTCTCCAACATATATTACTGCTGCTAACTGTAAAAGACTCGGCGTCCTTCAGAACGAAGCCGTAAGCTTCCAGCCCGAGTTCCCTGAATGGAAGCAGGATGGAATCGACAACTTCGATATGGGCACCTACACCAAAATCTTCCTCCAATTCCCATCGGACAAAGTTTTCTGGCCAAAGGACACACAGTACTTCCTCTACGCCGACCCTATTGAGCGCGGATACTATCCCGTCTTCCAATCTCTCGACTCTCCGGGCTTTCTTGAAGGTTCCGGCATCATCTTCGTAACCGTGGTGCACGACCAGTCTTACCGCGTCGAAGCTCAAACCGACGACGAGACCAAGGACCAGGTCATGGCCGTCCTCCGAGACATGTTCGGTGCTGACAACGTCCCCGAACCAACTGCATTCATGTACCCTCGCTGGAGCTTTGAGCCGTGGGCACACGGAAGCTACTCGAATTGGCCGTATGGTGTGACATTAGAAATGCACCAGAATCTCCGCGCAAATGTTGGTCGTCTTTATTTCGCCGGTGAAGCTACAAGCGCCGAATACTTTGGATTCTTGCAGGGTGCTTGGTATGAAGGTCAAAGTGTGGCTGAACAGGTGGTAGCTTGTCTGAATGGAAAGTGTACAGAAGAGTCACACTATACGCCACTACATGGAAGTACTCCGGTAAGCCAGTATGACATGCAGAACGGATGGACTGTGACGAGTTTTCAAACGAATGGATTTTGATTTGTCCGAGCATTGAGACGCGACCGAACTTATGTACATATTTCAAATTCCATATAATGTTTGACTACCATCCATCAATCAATCGATGCTCTAAGCCGAAATAATGTCCGTCGGAAGGAGCAAGCAGTAACATAGCATCCAGGAGACTTCCACCGGACTGATGGGAAATGTACCCAAAGTGAAGAATGCATAGTAAAAAGGAATCCGTGCAGATAACCCGATTTGTACGCAAAAGCGGCATAGTGTGAGAGCTTTGAAACTACGTGTGATGACAAGAAGAGGATTCGAACCCCCGCCTCTTGCGAGACCGCGATACTAGAGACAGTTACTGTTAATCATAGTGGGTGTGCCCCCTATAAGTAATTTCGAATGCGGCCTTAGACCGCTCGGCCATCTAATGTTCGGTTTACACGACTCATGAAGCCAGTCCCCGCACGCCAACCCCCTTAGTTAGTATTGTTGACGATTGAGGTGAATGCGATACTTCGCTGTTTCAGGCCACCCAAATTGTGACCAGCGCTGTGTGTTCCGCGACAGTCTTCACCAATCTCCTGAAATGTCCCCGTGGACATAAGCCATGGATTTTGTACGCACTCCCCCTTTCGAGTCCCCTGCGTATCCCATCATTGTGCTAATTGCTCACTGTTGTCTTCACAGTGGTCTCGGCTTGTTGGCGGKTCCCSCACAGCTTCCAAACCCCCTCGAGCAAGCAGCCCCGTGGAGCGGTTGACCGCCTTCAAGAGATCCTGCAACACTCTGCAAGTAAGTCGTTGCCATTGACCCGACCGATCAAATGACTCGTCGCTGACAGGTTCGATCACAAAGCAAATATGGCGCTCGAGCAACTCCCCTTCCAACGAACTGGCCGCGACGTCCCAGGCGCGGGTTTGCGTTGACCGTTTGAATCACGTCCTCAGCGAGGAATCCAGAGGCCCTGCGCCCCATCCCTGTCTTTCGTATGCGTCCACATCGCAGATATTCGTGACGGTCACAAAGCTGGCATTGACCTATCGAGACGAGGGCTTAGTGCGATCGTCAGCAGTCTTCTTCAACACGCTGATCGATGCCGAGGTGGACGGAATAGTTGATAACCGTGTCTTTTCGCGAGCTTTGATCGATCTCGTTCGAAGAAATTCGGTGCGTACGGATGACACGGAGTCGCGTCTGGTCGAGTTGCTTTTCGGCGTTGCAAACAACATTCGTTTGCGTCCACAAATATTGACTGCTTGGTTCATCCCCAAGCAGGCTGAACTGCCCGAAAGAGAGTTAGAAGAGGACGAACAATTCGCAGGAGTCACACGCAGGGATGATTTTCCACTTTTCTACCTTCTGGTAGATTATGTTCATCGAGAAGGTCGTGCAGGTGACTTTGCTCGAACGGGTCTGTTGTATCTCATCGAAACTGCAACGCGTTCGAGGATACTTGAGAAATGGTTGATAGAAAGCGACCTGGCCACACTGATGGCAACAGGTCTGGGAGCAGTGTACAGTCAGCTCAGCAGGTATGAAGTGTTTGCCGGTGACATTGTATGACAAAGATTGACGCCCTGCAGAAATGTTTATCCTACCTTTGTCGAGGGTAGCGTGCCGACCATTGTAGCCCTCTCCGACGAGAACGACATCCAACGGAATTTTGACGGAGTAGTCCGTCCTGACGTGGAATCTTTTATTTCCTATTTGCTCTTTTGGCAGGACACCGTCGAGCATTGCCAATCAAAAGAGGTCAATGATACGCTACTCGACCATTTCGAAGTGCTCTTTCTACAACAGCTTCTGTAAGAATATTTTTCGTTCATAGTTTTCTGCATATGTTGCATCGCTAACAAACGAAAGCTATCCATCTCTGTTGGAGTCGTCCGATGTGAAGGGTGGATCAACTTCCACAGTCCTGATGTATCTGTGTCGGTTACTGGAATCAATCGATCAGCCTAAACTTGTTCACCGTACTCTTCGCTTTTTGATGGCCGCTCCTACCGATACCGAACCTAGCGTGGATGTCTCCCAAACCCTACACAAGAAGCATCTGTCTGTCAGCCGGCGCAAGTCACTAGATATGCTTGCTACCCTGGCAGAAGCCGAGGAACAACAGCCATCGCCATCACTATTCAATCTTGCTGACTTGATACTCTTGAGCATTAAATCACAAAATAAAGAGACCATCGTGGCGACCTTGCGCCTGTTGACGGTTATAGTACGGAGACATCATCCTTTTGCAGCATCTTTGATCAGAACGAAGGAGCCAATGTCTGCGCCACAGCGCACCGTTGGTGCTCTCAATGAAGAGCTCCGTAGATACTTATCTTTCGCCACAACTATTATCGATGACCCATCATTAAACGACTCGTTTGAGCATTATTCCAAAGATGCCGCGCTTGTCCTCGAATCTCGTCTTTTCATACCATCCCCAAGGAGCAGCATCCTTGACGGGCCGGCCGATCAGCCACTTGACCTTTCTTTGGATGATGTAATCTTCAAGGAGATCTTAACATTATTGGATCGGTTCTTTTCAAACAGTGTCACGGTGAATCTCGGATTGACCGAGCTCATCACGAGTCTTGCTTCTTCTAACTTGATCTCACTCAATGGGTGGCTTTTGGTCGACCCTGCAAACTACGACTACGAATCGGATCTGTCGCCTACAGGGATGAAGACCTCGACTGTCACGGAAGACAACGATTCAGATGTCAATGATGAGAACATCGAAACTGACCCTTTAGCAGCAATTAGGAAGAGTCTGGCGCCAGCAACCTGGTCAGATGGGCATGAAGCACTCATCGCAAAGTCTTTACGGAAGCTGACGGAACATCTCGAAAATTGGAGGAGGGATATTCCGGACTTTGATATTCTAGTCGCCGCTCGGCGTGACCTCTTACACAGCGAGGATGATGACGACGTCTCAAGAAATCAACGCTCAATCAATACATCTCGCCAACCCTCACAACCTCCAACTACACACTCCATTGAGCCTCCTCTTTCTCCACGTGGCAGGTCTATCAGTAATAGCGTCAATCAAGACGGGCCACTTTCGAGCACTCCAGGCTCGTTACCACACAGTACGATTGGCTCTCCTTTGCGTGAGCCATCCATCCAACCGCCTGTATCGTCGTCTCCGGCTCACCGTCCCGTTGCGGTTGAGGACCTTCGACAACGACTTGCCAGCTCATATCGGATCGATAAGGCGGCTGAACAGCCAACCTCTACTCCTCAAGAAAACAAGTTCACCAATGAAAATCGGACAGATGGTCCGGTCGATGGGAGTGAGCAGCCGAATCAGGAGCAATCGCCAGCCCAGAATGAAACCGTGGTTACCCTTGGACATATCCTTACCAATGCTGTAATCTTATACGAGTTCATACTGGAATTGGCCGCTATGGTGCAAGTTAGGGCTACGTTATTTGAGGAGGCGGGTTATGCATGAGAGCCGTTGCTTGTACATCTGTATCTATTTTTGTTTTATTCTCTACATACCAATACCCATTTGTTCGAGAGCGACCGTTCACAATTGTACTATAGAACAGTAACAAGACTTGATGGGGAATTGTCAGCTGAAATTCACGGCCATTAAGCCTCACAGACATGAATCTCATCTAGAATCAAAAATTAGTCATGTTCTCCAGATTGACATACTAAGACACCAATTCCAGAAGCAAATACAAAACACAGAAAATAAAAGACCGACTAGAAGGTCCGAAGATGGGCGACACCGGGGAATTAAATCGAAACTATTTGCCGGCCTGCAGAGACAAGGCCGACTTTGGCCGCACATCCCATCCAGAATTGATCAAAGTGATCCAATAGTGAGGTTAACAAAAGGCTAGTAACTACTAAATAGTATTCGGCATATTGGATTCGTCTAAGTGGATTCGGAGCTAGGATTTATGCGATAGACTTACACTGAATTCGTCTGTCGATTGGGCTATGCTCAATCGACGTATTCGGAGCAAATCGAAGACAAGTTCTGCATTTTCCCGTACGAGAAGCAGTGTGTCAAAATATAGTCTATCTCTATTGGGATAAAGTATGTAAATACAACATCTGGTCCGCGCCAGCTTGGATTGTGACCCATCCCTTACATCTACGTATAAATGATCTTATAGTCCGGACTTTCTCCAACGGTCGTCTTATTGAGTCTGTTTTTCTACGTACTGTGATTGTCCGTCTCCTTCAGTTCCTTCTTCCTCATCTCCACCGTTGAACTCGACGACTGGCCAGCAAGACATCAAAATGGCTACTCCCAGCAATCAAGCGGCATGGATCAATGAGAAAAACGCCAAACCCCTCGAAGTAAAAGAAGCTCCCTACACGAAACCTGCAGCCAACGAACTCGTCATTAAAAATGCCGCCGTTGCCATTAACCCTATGGACTGGATGCTCCAGGAAACCGGCCATCTCGCATTCACCTGGATCAAATACCCATTTGTGCTGGGTGCCGATATGGCCGGCGAAGTAGTCGAGGKGGGCAGCGAAGTGACTCGATTCAAACCCGGAGACCGCATCTTGGCTATGGGCTGTGGATCGGATCAGGATCGAAACAGGGCCGCTGAGGGAGCTTTCCAGAAATATGCTGTTGTGTTGGACAATTTCGCCTCACCGATTCCGTCCACTTTGGCCTTCCCAGACGCTGCTGTCCTGCCGCTTGGTTTGTCTACTGCTGCAGCTGGACTTTTTCAGGAGGATTTCCTCAATCTGCAATTGCCCACCGTTCCGCCAGCTGCACCAACTGAGAAAGCCCTCTTGATCTGGGGAGGGTCAACGAGCGTTGGTAGCAACGCGATTCAACTCGCGGCTGCTGCTGGTTATGAAGTATTTACCACCGCATCTCCCAAAAACTTCGACTACGTTAAGAAACTCGGTGCTTCTCAAGTGTTCGATTACAATTCCAAGACCATCGTCAAGGACTTGGTCACAGCTCTTAAAGATAAGACCGTCGCAGGCGCCTACGCTATCGGCGTCGGCTCTCTGTCTCTTTGTGTGGATGTCATCAGCAAAACCAAGGGTGTCAAATTCGTCACTGATGTCGGATCGACCGATATCCCCACGGACAAGAAACTGGCCGGCTTCACACTCATCCCATTCTTGCTGGGCACAATGAGCCGCGGTGCAGCGCTTTGGGTGAAGACAAAACGTACCGGTGTCCGTACCAAGTTTGTCTACGCTAGTGACATCAAGAAGAACTCGGTATCCAAATCTATCTATGCCGATTTCCTTCCTCAAGCTCTGGCAGAGGGCCATTATCTTGCAGCACCGGAACCGCAGGTGGTCGGCCATGGCTTGGAGAACGTACAGGAAGGATTTGAGCAGTTAAAGAAGGGTGTTTCGGCCAAGAAGTTGGTTGTCACCTTGTAAGCAACGTTATCTTCACAACACAGCAACGGGGGACGTCTGAGAGAGCGATCATTTTTGTTTCGGAGTCTCGCGTCTTGTTCGGCGAGCACATTCCTGCTTGGAATTTCCAGGCCATTGTCATGTTTAGATTAGTACTAATATCATGTATACCCCTTTGTTATCCTAGACGATCTATCTTTCCATAGTTAGGTATGAAGTCGATTGATTATCGATCTACACGATTGACCGAAGCCGCGTACCTATCATAATGCGTACGACAATTGCCAAACGTCGAAATCCTGTTGAAAAGCGCTTGATTTGGGTTTGGCAGGATTAGGGTTTGGACGAAGACTAGTTGAAATGATCTCACGAACGGATATAAAAGAACCTTATTCAAAATAACTTAACTATATGTATCATAGACTTGACGGATACATATCGATGTTGACCCCTGAAACGACCCTAGGCCTGCCGGGAGTCGCGGATCAAAGGCCGATACATCAGTATGGCGATTGGTGGATAGCCTAGCATCCACTCTTCCGCAATGAATACTGGAACCGGATTAGGAATATCGGTAGAGTCGACGCCATCATTGGCTCGGGGCTGAAACCGTGACTCCGGAGTAGCGATAAATCATCGGTGCCTCAGCTCAGACTCCGTATTTATCAGCCGCGAAATGCGGCTTTGAAATTAACAACTTTCGTACTCCAGCATACAAATCGAACCCGGAAAGATTGCGAAATGCTGTGATTTCGGAAAGATTCTGACTCTCGCGGTCAATGACACAACCATTACCCTCGAGTCGTTCCATTTTCTTTCAGCTAAATCGCCGTCGACGCGGGCCGGAAGCGCTTTACGACTCGTGAAATCCAGACAAAGACAACGAAAGAAAAGATATATAACCGAATAGTGGGAGGGGACGATCATGCAGGCTACACAGGACAATGTCGAAGATCCCTTCGCGGACCGAGAAGATGCACCCTTTCTGGACCCGAGCCAGCCAAAGAATGAGCAGGCCTTTCGGAAGACGGATAACAATGTTTCTCGCGAAAAGCTGCGAATCCGGCTCATGGTTACACTATACGCAATCCTTTTGCTGGTGGAGATGGGAAGCGCAATGACACAGGGCCCTTATACTCGAATCTTCGAGTCGGTTGCTTGCAAACACTGGTATCGGGACCACGATCCGTCGCAACTCGGGAGTGATGGAGAGGTACCCGAAGAAGCCTGTAAATCCTCTGTTATTCAAAGCGAGGTTGCGACGATTAAAGGAGTCTTGGAATTCTTTGATGGGGTGACAAGTGTATTACTCGCAATTCCGTACGGGTTGCTGGCCGATCGGATCGGACGAAAGCCTACGATCATGTTAAGTATTCCAGGCTTTATTCTCAATATGGCAATAAGTTTGGCAGTCTTGTGGTGGTCAGATATTTTCCCACTACGTGCGATATGGTTCTCGGCTTTGTCATGGCTATTTGGCGGTGGTTTAGTTGTTGCATCTGCGTTGGTATGGACGATGATGGCAGACGTCACGACTGAACAACAACGATCTGCGATGTTCTTCCAGTCTGGTGTCGTTATTATGGGCTCTGAGTTTCTGAGTAACTCGATTGGATCGTGGCTTATGCTTTACTCGCCCTGGAGACCTTTGCTCATTGGCTGGTCAATCGTCATTGTTGGTCTGTGTCTGGGCTTGACGTTGCCGGAAACGAAGAATGCATTTGCGCCCACTAAAGGTCCGGAGCAGGAATATTCTCATGAAATGTCCGACTTGTCCACTCTCGCAGATGATGAGGAAGAGGAAGAAGGCACCTTGCCTTTTACGAAAACCACCGCAGCGCAACAGCCACCAACTACGGCTTGGATGAAAGTCAAAACCTCTTTCATCGCTTATTCCTTTTTCTTCAAAGACAGACAAGTGGTCCTGCTCTCTTCAGCGTTTTTGGTCTACAAACTCAGTCGGGGAACTTCATGGTTCCTAATTCAGTACGTTTCTATCAGGTACGATTGGCGTCTTGCAGCAGCAAATATGATCACATCGCTCAAATCAATCTTGATGGTTCTTTTGTTTGTCGCAATCCTGCCACTAGCCTCTTGGTATCTGCAGAAGAAGCGAGGCGTTGACAGTCGTACCAAAGACATGATTCTCACGAAGACCAGCGTCATGTGTCTTCTGGTAGGCACTCTAGGCATGGGCCTCTCGCCGCATATTTCTATAATGTTTTTCTTCCTTGTAATCCAGACTATGGGTGCTGGATTTGTGTATACTACGCGTTCGGTGATTACGACGATGATTCATCGTGACCAGACAGCTCGCTTATATACATTGATTGAGATTATCCAAGCTCTGGGTATGATCTTGGCCAGTCCGGTTATGACTGGCTTCTTCAATTGGGGGTTGCAGTTGGGGGGGKTTTGGATAGGATTGGCTTGGATGGTAGCTGCTGGCCTTTTTGGCATTGTTGGCTTGATCATCTGGAGAGTCAGGTTGCCTGCTCTGTCTACCAGATCTGATGACTGATAAAAGATTTCTGATTTTTATGTGGAGTGGTTGGAGAGTTTTGTACATATTTACACGGCGTATTGAAAGTTACTGAAATATATGACTTACATAGATTGCAAAGAGAGTGGACTGGACATATCGAGGATTCAAGGTACTGACGATGGTCCCTCAGCATTAAAAAGAACATGAATGAGTCGAGTATTTTGCTTCCCTGTCTCCATGATTACAATGGCGTTCAGTCTATCACCTTGTCATCCACTAGATGACAAAAGGTTGAAAGAAGTCGTTGATCTCATCACATACAACGGAATGAATGTGGATCCCCAGGGGGGAATAAAGCCCTAGCCGCAACCCTATTGTCAAATGGACGTTTGCGGTAAACAAGGAGTACATAACCTGATTGCTGGTCAAGTCAAGCTAACAGGGCACAGAGCAGATTCGAAGGATTACTATTTAGTGAAATGATGTCTATAACACGTGTATCTGGGATTGTATAACAGAAAGCCATCAAAAAGACTCGAAAATGAATCACGAAGAGAAGATTAAAAGTATCCGAAAAGAAATATCCCTCCAAATTATGTACGTTGATGAGAAACAGTAGAACCAAGGGCGATTTTTAATTTTCCAGAGATAAGAGTCCTTCACAAAACATGACTGGCAACTATTTCAAACACATAGTCCGAGTAGGCAAAGGTCACCGCAGCAATCACTATTGACTGAGCATGATTGCAGAAGAGCTATAATGTACCACCACTATCAGTATATCTTCTTCATACTACAGGCCTGATGAATAGTATAGACTCACGCTTGCATTCTGTATCGTCGCCGTCAGAGGGAGCAGGGGCTGCATTCGACAGGGCTCCGAGAGCAAGAAGCAGTAGGATGAACTGAGAGATGGACTTCATGCTTGTGAAGGTTGATTATATCGCAGTTAGGCAGGCAATGTCGTTTCAGCAGAAATTCAGATATTGAGCTGTCTTCAAGTGTCTCGTGGCTGCTCAAAAATATCTGGTCTTCCTGACATCTTATATGCGTGGAAATCATATGCCTTCACAAGTAAAACTACGAGCTAGATATTAATGACACGGTTCAGAATCCGCATGCGGTAGCTTAGTCTCTACGAGAGCTGGCATCTATGATCTTTCAAGATAATGAACAAAGTCTCGAGTCATGGATAACATCAAACCCTTATCTCCGAAGCACATGAAGAGTCAAACACCACAAAAGCACGGCTCAATGGGCCCTGGTGTAACATCAAAGCAAATAAACTTCAGCCAATCGCAAGATTTTTCCTGCGCAGAATGATAGGACAAAAAGCTTAGTTGTCCCGTTGTCATGGATCGACATTCTTGGATACGGTTTGCGGCACCTGGCAGTTATCCACATTTGTGTGGATGGATCAATCAATAACGGACGGCCACGGAAAGTCAAATATATCTAATATGCGAGACAGAGATTGGCACGAAGTCATGATTCATAGGTACGTACGAGCTACAGGGTACAGACTAGCATGCTTGCATCTTGAGGTAAATCGTAGACTCAACTAATAAAGATCTATTGACTACAAACAAAAATTTCAAGGCTTGGATAGCTCCCTTGAGCATCAAACAGTAACTTCGTTGGTCGTAACTCTCATCATGACGGATTGTAGACCTCGAATAAGTCTGCAAACAGGATGTTGGATACGAGGTAGATACCAGACATGAACTAGGCTAATAAATTCATCCCCACGCAACATGCTCACCTTCACTTGCCAACAGATCATAATTCTTGAACTCACGAGGTGGAACCTTTCGCTCAAATAGGATGTCCAACTCCTCAAATGTCCTATTTTTCGATTCCGGCAATCTGAAATAACACCACCCGTAGCAGGCAAAGCTAATAGCCCCAAAGAGAAATCCAGCTTTGCCACGCCAGTCACCTTCATCAGAGTTGAGCATGTATGGTAACACAACCGTGAAGACGATATTGGCAGCAGCTTGGACGGCAGTAGCTATGGCAATGGTTCGTCCACGTAGACGAGTTGCGGAGATCTCTGATATGATTACGAAGCATATCGGGCCAACTGTAGTCTGGTAGATGAAGGTCCATATGTCCATTAGAGAGGCCTGGGCCCAGACAACGCCGGTGTTATTGCGGCCAAGATCTAGGAAGCCGATGACGAAGAGGATGATAGTCATGAGAATCATGCCGCTGTTGTAGATTGTGCGGCGACCGAACTATAATAATCAGTAAAGTATGCTCAACGGTAAGACTTTTCGAAGGAGAACACTTACGCGGAGCATCAATGGCCATGATAAACATGTTCCTACAAACCCGAGGGCGGTATTACCGACACCCACTACCAAGCATCAGCAACACGTTGTAGAATCATTATGATAGTCAACTCACTGTTAAAAGATTGAGCAGGATCCAAGCCTGCCGTTTCAAAGAAAAAAGTAGCATAAGCAATCAGTGGATTACCACCAATGACCTGTATGAGATATACCATGACGGATATCTCGGTACGGAATAAATTCGCCTTTTTGAAACAATCCCAGTAAGTCGTTGTAGCCTCGATTTCTCGCTCAAGAAAATCGGTTTGTTCAATCATCACAAGCATTCCCTCAATATCCGGACGATTCTTGGCCGACGAGAGTCTCAACAATGACTTGCGAGCATCATCAATTCTGTCCTTGCGTACCAGCCAATACGGGCTTTCGGGTGCAAATACAAGACCAACAAGTAGCACCACAGGCCAGACCCATTGAATGGCAAAAGGCGCCTTGTAGGCCCATTCGTCCAGTCGGCTCTCGAGGCCTGCCGCCACTCCCTGTGCGATAAACTGGCCGATTACAAAAGCAAGATTGACTGATGCTGTGAGAACACCACGAAGAGCAAGAGGGCAGATCTCAGATGCATATGTGGGCGCAATAACGACATAGAATCCGTATGCAAGACCTCCGAGAATCTCTCCGGCGCAGAGCATACCGATACTATTAGAGAAGAATTGGACAAAAACGAAAGCTATGGACCATACACAGCACAAAGCCAGTGTCAACCGCCGTCCCAACTTTTCTAGAGGCCAGCCGCAGGCAAGAGCTCCAAGCACCTGGCCGATGGGGTTTCCCTAGTATAAGAGTTAGATTTATTGGGTCGCTGTCTCCTGGCACTCAACACTTACCATATTCAAAGCCATCTGCCATGGAGCCGGTATAATGTAATGGCCATTATACTCATACCCGAATCGCTGCTGAAAAGCAGGTAGCGCAAAGAACGTGGTAATAATCTGCGCATCAAATCCCGCCATGACAACCGCGATACAGAAAAGGAATGCCCATCCCACAGCCTGCGGCCATTGCCGGATAGCTTCCAGGAAGGTGGTCTCGTGCTCTGCGATTGTGATACCGCGAGTCTGCTCGATTACGAGCACGTCGCCTTTATGAGGGCCGTCATTACCAGTGAGTGCTGGAGCAATTGCCCCGGAAGCGATGGGCCTGGTCTCTGGATCCTCCATTTTGTGTTTGAGGAGAGGAAGTATGCATGGGCGTCCTTATCTCTTGAGAGGGGTCAAGTGGTATGTTATAGCTGGCTGAGGTATAAAGAACCTCCTGCTACTTAAGGAGGCAGTCACACGAGCGGCTGGTTATCGGGTACGCTGATTGGTCAATTTGCTTAGTCGATCATGCGGGGTATGTAGCATCTGACTAATCAGACACTGCACATTCATTGGACGATTGGAGTCTGGCTGTAATCATCCGTCAACCGTTTCAGGCCGTATCTTCAACTTCACTTTTCTCACCTTAAACAACTGTTCTTAAACATATTCGTCTGTACGATACAGTGGACAGCTCAAGCAAAGTAAGATTGGAAAAGTGCCCCTGTGACGTGCGCTTGCTCACGGTAAGATGGCCGGATGTCTAGGGTTCGTCTCAAGGTTTCTTGTACTTAGGTGAGGGCACACTTTCTATGATGATCAATATATGTACATAGAGTGTATATATTAGCATGCAAATCTTGAAAGAGGCGTATCTTCACCTCGCTCTTGTCAATCAGCTAAATGGAGCATCTACTTTGCTAGTCCCTCACACCTCGTCGGAGAGAGGGACGGATAGGGTCCAAGCCCTAAACCCTAAGTTTTTGCCCATACTCGAGGAATGGCATTCAACAACAGTCGATTATGATTCAGGACATGATTTTTGTCAGTTCACGATAACTGTAATCTACTATGAAGACCTCTCTTTGGAGATAAACACCGTGGGCGTCGGGATGAATGCCAGGCATCCGTTCCGACACCAGATGATATACATCTTTGGATACAGACACTCACGATGTCAACTAATTACATTATTTTTATGTCTATGGAGATTATCTAGATATCTACCTACATAACAAATCAACACCTTACACCTTATCGTCAGATATGTATGCACTCGCTATGCACATGTCATGTACCCACATTCCACATTCCGTTTGCTGCCCCGGACACGGGAATCTATGAATGAACAAGTTCAATGACAAAAGAATGTAATGGGAAATCGCATTTAAAAGTAACACGCCTAACAGAGCCATGAAATTCATCTTAGCCTTGCATTGCCGTCCATCGACACATTCATGTTTGCACGGCATAACCTGCTGGTCTATTGTCTACCAAAAGCTGACAAGATGTCCGGACTATCTCCAACAGCTGCATCTGCAACTTCAGCAGTGACATGCATATCATCTGCATCTACAGAGACACTCAAACCCGAAGAGAGAATGACAACGAATGAAGTACAACCAGCAACGACGCAGGGAAATCCGCCGCCGAAACTGTACAAGATACACTCAAATCCTTGGTTCCAAATACTTCTTATCAGCGGTATATGCTTTTGCTGCCCTGGTGTGAGTATATTCTCTCCGATGCTTTGAATATTCCACCGCTGACGAAGTTACGCAGATGTATAATGCTTTGACGGGTATCGGTGGATCGGGTCAGGTTGATACTACAGTTGCCGCGAATGCCACCGTAGCTTTACTCTCGGCCATGGCAGTAACATCTCTATTTATCGTCGGACCAGTCTTTAACCAGTGTGGGCCTCGTATATGCTTGTTGCTCGGTGGTTGGGCGTATCCGCTTTATTCTGGTTCTCTTCTGTGTTTCAACAGTAAGTTCCAAGTAGACCGTGGATGTGAATGCAAAAACTGATCTTGTGCAGAGAACGGAAATGGCGCCTTCGTAATTGTCGCCGGAGCAATCTTGGGTATAGGAGCATCCTTCGTTTGGGTCTCACAAGGCGCTATCATGACAACATACGTCCCTGAACAACAAAAAGGCCGCGCGATCGCACTTTTCTGGGTGATATTCAACCTTGGCGGCGGAGTTGGTTCACTGGCGAGTTTCGGCTTGAATTACCGTTCGACTACCGGCACGGTCTCGGATGCGACGTATATCTCCCTTCTCGTGGTCATGGCTATTGGATGGCTACTTGGAGTCTTGATCTGTCCCCCATCATCCGTCCGGAGCCACAGCACTGTTGTTGAGTCTCGCCGAAAGTCACCGGCTAAGCTTCTGAATATCTGCCTCATGATGGTTAGCGATTGGCGCATGCTCTGCCTGATACCGCTTTTCTTTAGCGCCAATGTCTTTTATTCATACCAGCAAAACGAAGTCAACGGCAGCAACTTCAACATTCGCACGCGGTCACTCAATGGTGCTTTGTATTGGCTGGCTCAAATGGTAGGCGGCCTTGTCATGGGCGTGCTTCTTGATTTACCTGGAGTCAGCAGGCCGCAAAGAGCACGTATAGGTTGGGTGTTCCTTTTCACCACCGGCATGTGTATATGGGGAGGCGGATATGCATTCCAGAAATGGTCAAGTCATCGCATCAACGTGGAGCATCGCAAACAGGATATCGACTTCACATGGACTTCTAGCTCCGTTGGACCGATGTTCTTGTATATTTTCTATGGCGCATACGATGCTTTTTGGCAATCGTTCTGTTACTGGCTGATTGGTGCGCAGTCGAATTCCGCTACGGTAACAGCGGTTCTTGTGGGTGCGTACAAGGCATTTCAAAGCGTCGGCGGCGCTATGGCGTGGCGCATCAATGCTCTGGAAGTGTCGCCTACCGTTCAGTTTTTTATGGATTGGGGTTTGTGTATGGGATCATTGGTGCTGGTGATTCCTACTGTGCTGGCAGTCACATTGACAAGTGCTGATGAAGATACGGTAGATACGGAGGAGAAGGACCAGAGTAGTTCGACGATGCAGATTTCATGAGGTACATCACTGTATTCAGTGCTGTTAATAATGCTGTACAAAAACCTCGTTTTGAACAATATGGTTCATGTATAAATCATTTATCATGTCGTAATATGTAATGTCTAAAGATGATATAGTTTGAGTCTCAAGGTGCTATTAATAGAATTTCAAAAGGTATATATCTCGCATCATACCGCTCAACAACTTCAAACCTCTAAGCATAAACATTGCGCAGCGCACTCTCCATCCAAATCTTGGCATATTCCCGGTGCAACAACTCGACATGCCATGGCATAATTGAACCCTCAACCTTTGTTCCAGACAAGCCATTGAAAAAGATAGACTTCAGATGAAATTCAGCAACGCCTTCGTCCTCCTTGACGTCGACGGACATTTCGAAGAGGCCATCGGATTCTCGAACATCGCGCTTCAAGGGCGAATCGCCGCAGCGAACCACTATTCTGTTATCTGTCTTCTCGACGACTTGGAAATGATCGGTGATCTCGGTGCCGACTTCGTAGGTTGATGAGAGGAGTTCGTTGGTGGACCAGAGCTGGTGTGCGGTTTCGGGTCCTTGGTATTTTTTGGCGAGGTAACGGCGTTGGTAAGCGTAGCCTATTTATCGAAACGAATTACAAACGTTAGCGATCCCATTCGGACACAGTTGTGAAAACATGGTCAGAAGCTTACCTAGACCACCCCAAACACCAGCACAGAAGTGCTCGACCAACTTGCCCTTCTTCTCCAACAACTTGGGGTCAATCTGCGACAAGGGGACTTTTCGAATGCAATCGTCACGCAACACGGCGTTCTCGTTGGGGTTAAATTTCTTGTACCACGGCGACGTAAACAGGTAATCCGTCCTCGGCAGAGGCTCGACGTGCGAATTGCGAGTCCAGATTAAATGCGCGCCGATTGTCGCAACGCCTCCGGTGGTCGTCAATTTGAGGACGCGGCCGATGATACCCATGTTGGTGATACCCTTTTCAGATTAACAGATGGTGATGGATTAAGTTGATTGAGGAGGACTGCTTGAACGAAGTTGTGGTTGTTGGTTTAAGCTTCGAGTGTCGCGCGACTCGGAGGACCTCCGTGGAACGACTCGACTCGGGGGTTGGCGACCGGCACGATTCCCGAACTTCCGATGTCTGTCAGGTACAGCTACCCAGAACAATAGGAAATTGGCACACCTATAGGATGATATTGGATATCGACTTTGAACAAGCTTATTAAAGAGCAAGATTGTCCAGGTGTACCTATCATCTTGCATTACTCATCTTTTGAAGATACATTTAACGAGAAAATTGCTTACGCCACCAGTGGCTATTCAATGGCTTATTCTCTACCCAAATATCGGCTGAACAAATACATATAAAATGCGAATTATCAAGACAAATGCTCGGTTATATATGAAAGTGGACTTTTTGTGTTGTTAGAGACGTATGGGTAGTGCTCAGCTGCCGCCTCGCGGACTCAAATCTTACATTCCTTTTCTTCTATTAACCAGGCACATTCAATTCAACTGACATCTACGATCTGATCGGCTTGGCTCGGGCTACTATAGGTTATTATAAGCGACTGGTGCTGGGAACCTCATCGAATTCGAGCACGCTTAGTATACGAGTGCCAGCAGATTGACAGAAATTGACATGCTGCTTCTACTATTATCGCTCCTGCTGCTGGTCCTCCTGTTCCTTGTTTATATCGTATATTATCCCCCTTTCTCGATAATACAATACTTTCAGCGCCGCTGGCCTGATGTGCTCTGGCATGTATCAACATCGGAAAAGGTAATCGCACTTACTATCGACGATGGACCATCAATCTACACAGCCGAGATTTTGGAAATACTCAAAGCGAACGATGCAACAGCGACATTCTTCATTATTGGATCGCATGTCTCGAATATGACGCATGAGGGCGACGAGATTCTCCAAAAATTGATTCGAGGTGGAAACGAGCTCGGCAATCACGCCATGTATGATGAGCCGGCGTACAAACTGCCGGATGACGAGCTCGTGTCACAAATCAATAAAGTTGATGAGCTCAACCGGAAGGCTTATGAAGCGGTGAATGGTGCGTCCACAATTGTCGAAGATGATACCGCATTGCCGAGGTATTATCGTCCAGGAAGTGGATGGTATACCACCAGAATGCGCAATATCGTGAATCGTCTCCAGTATAAGCTCATTATGGGCGATGTGTACCCCCACGATCCTCAAATTCCATTCGCAAAAGTCAATGCTGCGCATATCCTTCGCATGGCGCGACCCGGGGGAATTATTATCTGTCATGATGGACGACCTTGGACTCTGCCGATGTTGATGGCTGTTCTTCCAGAGTTGAAGCGGAGGGGTTATAGAGTTGTTAAGGTTACGGAGTTGCTTCAATGTGCAAATTCATAGCAACACATATACTTGTTGATGTAAAGAAAAACGTGCCAATCATAGTAAACAGGGTATCTATATGCACAAAAGCCCAACTGATAACATTATAGAAACCATCTAATAAATCCTCTGTAAACTCGGTTCTACCCACTCCGGTTCGCCACAGTCATTATCTTTCGCCCATTTCGAGATCTTTTCTATATCCCATCCGCTTGTCCAAACAGCGGTCGTGGTCCACGACTCTTCACGATCCTTGCGAGTTCCCAGTCGTATTGAGCGCACAAATGTGCATTTCTTTTTTGGTATGGATTTGTATTTCCAGGACGTTTCCGTCCAGTAAGTCCATTGGAAACATTCGCCGTGAGCATGGCATCCTGCGGCACATGCTTCGATGGTTTCGTGGACGGGTGATTCGGGTGCTTCTTCGAAACCGTTCCAGTCTGAATTTTGCCAGTCGTCGCGTTGCGCTACCTGTTCTAGGCCGAGGTAGTTGAATAAGTCGGCATGAATCAAAGGTCGCTGGAATGGAAAGTCAGTAGACATGTCCTTACATACGGAGTAAGAGAATTGCATACCTCGCTAGTGTGGTCCTTGACAAAGTTTGTCAACCCAGGAACGTCGCCCGGCCATGTCTTGTGTAGACTGAGAACTGGTTGACACCAATACGGCTTTCCACTAGGACCAAATGGAATACCATGTAATGGATGAGGATTGAATATTGGATACAATCCAGACAAAAACACGCCTTTGTTTGCCAACGCAAAGCCCAGAACAGAGTCTCCGCAGCAGTCGCTTTTGACTAGATCCGCCCATCTCTCTGTAAGAGACAATTCGGTACGGTTGGCGTTGCTGGACTCATCTGTTGATTTGACCGGCTCCTTGCTTACAAGTCGCTGAATCGCCGTTCGGCTGAGTATGAAACCATTGCCTCCATAGGCAAACCACGTCTTCTCGCCGTCCAATTCGCGACCCGGCGATGGGGAACCCATATACCATTCCTGCTTGAAATCGTACCGATCGAGAAGACGGAACAGCGTGTCCCATACAACATATGTATCGGCTTCAATAAAATAAAACCACTTTGCTTGCGGATTCACATTGTACGCATATTCGACCATAGGCAGAAACTTGAATCGATCTAATAACCACCCTTGCCTATGGGTCAACCGGTCGCTGGCATGCTTTCCCTGTTTCCATGAACTATCGCCCTTGTTTATATCTGCATATGCCTTTAGGCCTGCAGTCTGATCGGTCTCGTCGTCGTCTTGGTCAATCCCTTCCCAGTATACTTTCGGTAAATCGGCAATGATATCGTGCGACCAGAATCCATTGCCAATCTCTTCCACTCGATCGGAAATGACGATCAAATTCGATATGCAATTCGTGATATTATTGATATGCGACGAGATCTGATCAAAGGGTTGCGTTGAGCCGATCCTCAACACAATCTGTACATCTCGAAGTCGGTCGCGTGGGAAGTCGGCACAGTCGGGATCATCGTAATTTTGTCCATCGTGCAACTGTTGCGTTTCTTGGTCGCCGGGTCTCTGCGACCACAGATCTTTGTTGAGTTGTTGCGTGCTGGTCCAGCTATGCGTCGAGTAAATCGTGCCGAATATGAAGAAAAGAGTCGCAATAGGGACGAGGCCGAGATATTGGCGCCGAAATAGTCTCATTTTGAGATATCTATTTTAGATAGATGTTTTCAGCTGGGCGTCGACAGCCAAGCAGCCATAGCTCAATCACCGGCATGCATCCATGAATTTCGCTCAAAATGCCAACGTGACAACTGTAAGACAAAAAGCAAAGGAGTAAATTGCAACAATGATGAGTTTGGGGGTTTATTCATTTGCATGGAGCCTCCGGATGTCTCAGCTGTGTTGGCTGTTGGCTGGTGCCTCGAATTGTTGCCCCATAGCCGACGTAAGCAGGGATTTTAGTCTGAAAAAGGGACAAATGCATGAATGTGTTGTACGAGTCGCTGGTACACTACAATTCCTTGCTTTTAATGGGATTTTCTGGCTGAATACCAATGCTGAAAGCGCACCCAATGAGATAGAGGCAGGGGATACGAAGGGACGCGACGATTGAGGCTGTGATTGCTCCATATGGAGTAATGATGTAAGAGGAACTGCATCTAGAACTACGTCGAGACCCGACTGGTTGGAAGTTCGCCCTGTTCCGATTATTCTGCGCCTCTTTTCGACTTATCACAATACTGCGCTCAGGGGTCTTGCATGTTATCCCATAGTATGTATTTCCTACTTGCATTGCAGTCACCGACAGAGAATCAGAAATCAAAGATGAAAGCTTTACTGTACTCCGTACTCCGGCCGGAGTATGTGAAGCTTAGCTGTTCCACAAAACCTTGTTGAAGCCAATCAAATTAGCTCGCATATCCCTTGGCCACGGAGCCAATAACGGCGCTTATATTGCTTCAGTCAGAGCTTTCTATTGGCTTTTATACATGGAGCCTTCACACTAGCGAATATGCTTTGGCCTTTGCGGCTCCACATTTGGCGTACGGTAACTTCGTTCAATACAGGCTTGTCACATACGAGTTCAAGGGTTAGGGCTCGGACAAATGTATCTATTTCAATCTCATTTTAACGCTCACGCAGTGTCTTCAACATCTTCACGCTTCTTGCGCAAGTCTTCCCTCCAGCCATGTCCCCATTTATAAACAGCCCACACCAACGGACTAAACGCCAGCCACAAGAAGGCGATAAAAGTAGCTGTCCAGCCAAGTCCAATTCGCTCGATCAGCGGACCTGCTGCGGCAACAGCACCAGCACCCGTTAGGCAGCGCCAGAGATTAGTTGCGGCTACAGCCGTGGCTGGACTTTCGCGGTTCGTGTCGATGATCAGTGTGTTGAGCGAGCTGAAAGCCCCTGTGGTCAAAAAACTCATGAAAAATAGTATGACCATCGGTCCGGCAAGAGAGGTTTTGAACTGCATAACCCATCCGTAAGCAATCAAACATAGTGCACCTCCATACACAAAAGGTATTGTAATTGCGAGCCGAGCTATCTCGATGTTAAACTTCTCAATACTTTGTTGTCGGTTCTTAATTATTGGCATTCCCTGTCGTGCAGCTTCCCGCTTGAAGTTCCAATCAAGGAGGGTCCCTACCGTCCTTCGAGACGTCAAGCTACCACAGCCGAGAGGAAGATAACATAATCCAATCTGGATGGAATTGAAGTTGTATTGTGACTTGAGTTGCGACGTCAGCGTGCTTAGGACAGCCATATATCCACAATACAAAAGTGCACCATAAGCGAGGATAATTGCAGGCTCCTTTTCGGTGGCTATCAATGCAGAAGCAAAGATATTAGGCCGACGTTTGCCTATTTGCACGGTGTCATAATTTGGCTCAGGGGGTTTCCTTCCGTGCCGGAATCTACTGCTCAGAATCTGCCACCCGGAGCGATTCCATCTCGCACTTGGCACGGATCCGTTGCCCACAACTGCGCGACATGTCTCTGGTAGGAACATCACGACAAGAGAAGCGTACACGCCAGCGAGTATAATCAAAAAGCGAAAGATCCACCGCCAACCCAAGAAATGATCTATCAATCCTCCGATGACTGGGCCCAGAGCCGGTCCAAGCGTGACACCCATGGTCGCGTAACCGATGTATTTCCCTCTTTCTGCACGAGTAGACAGATCTGCAACTGCTGCACTGCCTAATGCAATGGTGCAACTACTTCCAGAGCTTTGCAGACATCGAAGGACCATGAGAGCTGCATAGTTTTTCTGTAATGACAAGCCAATGTTCGCTGCCAGATATATCACAAAGGCAATTACGTACGCTGGCCGGCGACCGTGGATATCGGAGAAGTTTGCAATGAAAGACGGAGCTACTCCTTGGAAGATCTGTACGCGGCATGTGTTAGACATGATCTTACAAGTTCCGTGGCGCGTTGTACTAACCAAAAACATCGTGATAGAAAGATTCATCTTGTTGGTTGACACGCCTAAATCACTTCCAATGCTATTGAGAGCCGGGAAGTAGATACTGCTCGAAATGGGTGAGATCATTGCGGCAAAGGAACAAAGCATCATCAAGAAGATCTTTTGCCGTTCGGGCAGTATGCAATAGGGGACATCAGTTGTTGTTGATGTTGTTGCTGTCTTTTGCTTGGACTCTTCCGGCTGGAAACCCACCGAGTTCTTCTCTTCATCAAACATTACATTTGATTTGTCCTGCTCTGCGTTGTTTGTTTGGTGCAGATTGGGTGCAATTCTGACCGGAGCACGTATTGTACCGGCATCATCACCAGCTTGATTTTTGCTATCCTGAGTCGGTAATGGGCCCATTGTGAGATTGATAGTGCTGAATAGATAGTGACATGGTGTTCCGACCCGTTCTCTTCGTGCGATGCATTTTTATACGTCTTCGTTGCGAACCCCGGTTCCGGTGACAGACCAGCCGGTTCCGCTGTTGTCAAGTTCAGGCTGGATGATTTATTTACCCTAGCACCAAGAGCAACAATTGACTGCCGTTGTAAGACAGATTTGTCTCTTGACAATTGAAATGATCATCCGATTCAACGCTCCTCCTATACACGCGGATGAAGCCATTGTAACTTCTCACTTCTTATAGACCTATAAAAGTCACCCACAAAGTAACAAACCGAATGTCGCTCAACAATCCGTGAATGCAATAGAGTGGAATTTCGTTGATGCCGCAGTCGGTTAGTAAAGCGATTGTCGCTTGCTCAACCAATGCTCGGTCTAATATTGGTAACATGGGAGCCTAAGCTCTAAGGGTTTCAAAAATCCATCGAGGCTCTTGGCGGTCTATCTCAATTCGGAGTATTGTTTACAGCATAAGTTGTTTTTATTCACCTAATAACACTCGCTTAAGCTACTGACTAGGCTATTTTAGGTTATGTTTACGAGTCACGGTACTGATGTAGCATGGCTTAGTACAAATAATTATTGCTTAAAGTTACAGCCCTGTATCATAGCTTAATTCCGAGCCGAGATCCAGCTTCCTCAGGCATCTCAATTAAAGTCGACAAAAATAGTTACACACAGACTGCAACTACTGCGACACGCGAGATGCTTAAATGAGCACGATTAGATAATGACCGATCTTTCAAGCATTTTATTGGTCAATGCGTACAGGATACCAAGGTTGTTCGAGGAATCGAGGGGGCTTAGATTTCGGCCCATTCAACTTGTCATCATAGCGTCCATCAACGTGTCAGATATTCAGCTATCAGGACCTAATGAACATACAGACCCCATAAGTTGTCAGGCCAAGAAGAAATTTGGAAGCCTAAATGTAGGTCAATATGGCTGGKAAAGAAAAGTGTCGGCTCGGTGATAATGAGGTGATGGAAAAGAGATCAAGTATAAAGATAGCCACGAATGCCCATGTTTAGATGATACAAAGAACATCAACAGTCAACAATAAGAACAATATCAAGAGTTCCTTTCATCTTGAATCTATTATTTTATTTTCAATTTACTACTTCCACTTCGATTGTATTACCATATAAGACATCGATCAAGCCCTATTACCCCTGTCCTCATCTATATCCTACTAGCGGAAACCTCAATCAAAATGTCCAACGCAACGCCAGTGACGTTCAATGCGACCCTCTATAACAACACCGACCTCTGCACACTCGACACTTGCCCTTTAGATTGGGCCCAAGTCGACTATGTCCCTTCTCTTCCCGGTAACCTCATATACGTCGCAATCTTCGGCCTTGCATTGCTATTACAAATCGCATTCGGTGTCTACTACAAAACATGGACTTATATGATCGCCATGATTGGTGGTTTAGTTGGTGAAATCATCGGATACATTGGACGTGTGCAGATGCATTATAATCCTTTCCCTCAGACTCCATTCCTTGAGTAAGTTCCCTTCGTCCTTCTGTTTGGTACGCCTTTCTAAACCAAGTCATTAGATATCTCGTCTGTTTAACGATTGCCCCCGCTTTCCTCTCCGCCGCTATCTACCTCTGCTTCTCGCGCATTGTTATCGTCTACGGCGGAAGAATCTCCCGCTTCCGTCCCAAGACCTACACCTACCTCTTCATTGCCGGGGACTTCATCGCTCTCCTGCTTCAAGCAGCCGGAGGCGGTATCGCCGCTAGCGCATCAGGCTCCACACAACAGACCGGTATCAACATCATGATTGCCGGTGTGTCATGGCAAGTGTTCAGTCTCGCCGTCTTCGCAGCCCTCTGCATGGACTTTGCTCTTCGCGTCCGCCGTACGCAATCCGTGGATCTCAACCCGCAATACGACGCCCTGCGCATCTCGCGCTCGTTCAAGATCTTCCTCTGGTCTCTCGGAATCGCCACATTGACCATCTTCGTGCGTTCCGTGTTCCGTTGCGCTGAGCTTTCGGGAGGATTCAACGGGTCTCTGGCTAATAACGAGGTTACGTTTATGGTTCTTGAGGGCGCGATGATCTCTATTGCGGTTATTGCGTTGACTTCATTCCATCCGGGATTGATCTGGAAGCGTGAATGGCGTGAGTTGGCGAGGAGTATGCGTGCACGCAAGGATGGGAAGGATTACCAGGCTGGTGCCTTGATGTCGGCCTCCGATGCTGATCGCGAGAGTGGCTATCAGATGCGATAGATGTCTTAAACGTGGGTTTGTGTGTGTGTGCTAAGGAGACGAGATTTTGTTTTAGATTATCTACATCATATTTTGAGTGCCCTCATTTGTAATTTGCAAATATAGCGTCTGTGTATAGAAAAGTATTCTCATTATGCATCAAACCATCATTTTTAAGTAATGGCGCCTTTGAAGCTTCGGCGTAAAATCTTCCTAATCAAGTAATTGTCTCGACTAGAGGAGGAGCCAATCAGAGTGCAAGCCTCATATAAATAATCTACCTTTTAAGCTTGTAACTACCCGACTATACAGGATTCTTCGAACAAGTGTAACGATCCACAAACCAACATCCGGAGTTTAGCGTTACCAATTTCCCATTTTCCCGAATAAGTACAATGGACTAACAATTATCGTCTCTAACGACGACAATTACTAATCCCACGATAGTATCATCTAGAACTTGAATGTAATGAGTATAAAAGCGTTGATGTAGACGGTCAAACAATACACGATATAACATCGCAACACATCTCTTCAAGCAAGCATCAAGCTCGTGCAACTACATACTATCACAATGGCACCAACAACAAACAACGTCAAAATCATCTTTGGCGGCGCCGTCTTCAGCACGCAATACGGCTTCACAGTCGACAAAGTCAACGAAGTCCTTTCCTGGCTCGAGAAGGAAGACATCAAAACTATCGACTCTTCCGAGGTCTACGGCGACAGCGAAGAGCTCCTCGGCGCCGCAAATGCGGCGGCAAAGGGGTTCGCAATCGATACCAAGATTGGAGGGGGGTTGGCGCACGTTGCATCGAGTGGGGAGAGAGTCGTGGAGGCTGCGGAGGAGAGTTTGAGGAAACTTAATACCGACTCTGTTCGTTCCTTCCCCTTGCCTTGTCTTGATATGAATGAGTATTGATGCGTTCGATAGGTTGATGTATACTTCATTCACACTCCCGACAAACGCGTCCCTCTCATAGACACCCTGCGCGGCATAAACCAAGTCCACAAACAAGGCAAATTCAAGCGTTTCGGCTTATCCAACTTTGCCCCCGCAGAAGTCGAAGAAGTGTGTCAAATCGCCCTGGAGAATGACTTTGTGTTGCCCTCCGTGTATGAAGGCAATTACAACGCCGTCGGACGCCGGGTCGAGACTGAATTGTTCCCTATATTACGCAAGTACAAGATTGCCTTTTATGCGTACAGCCCTATTGCGGGTGGGTTCTTGACAAAGACCCCCGAGGACGTCGCGAATGCGAAGGGCAGGTTTGATTCGAAGATCATTTTTGCCAAGATGATGAATACGATTTACAACAAGCCATCTATGTTGCAGTTCCTGACTGAGTTCGGGAAGTTGGCTGCTCAGGAAGGCATCACGCAGGCGGAGTTGGCGTATAGATGGATTGTGTATCATTCGCATCTAGATGGTGAGATGGGGGATGGGATTATCGTTGGTTCAAGGTTTGGGGATCACTTGACTGCGACGATTGAAGGGCTCAAAAAGGGGCCGCTGAGTGGTGCGGTTGCTAAGAGGATGGATGAGTTGTGGAAGGGGGTTGAGAAAGATTCGATTTTGGATAACTGGAATGATTTTATATCGAAGAACGGCGGTCTATAGGAAGTGAGAAATGTTCAGTGTAGAAGATTCGAGATTGATTCAATGTCATAACTAGGTATCTCCAACTAAAGTGAATGTATATCTCTTGATAAACTCCAATTATATGCATGTAAAGTCCCCCAGAGACAGCAAAGACAAATGTGTTCCCGATAAAGCATCCAATGCAGCGAGTTTCAAAATGCTTTCTCCGCTTATGGTAGTCCCCAAAAAAAAGATAACTGAAAAATGCCACAATTCGAGTTTCATGAACATACACCCAAAAAGAAAAGAAGAAAATAATTTTGCAGATAGATAAACGCATGGGTATGTGAAAGATAATACAAGAAGTGAATCATGTAACAATATACGACATAAAAATCCAGTCCCGGACACCATCCGCTCGTGCAAAACGCCGTAATGTATATGTGTGTGTGTGTGTAATGTAACAATCGGCCAACGTCGTCATGAATCCTTTGGATCGAGAATTTCATCGACCTCAAAAGATGGTTGCAAGACGGCGAGAGCATGCAACGGTGTATTGCGTTCTAAGGCTTTTGTTGCCGCCAGTCTTTGCGATCTCGTAATAAAGTTCCGGAGGTATTAGGATCGAGAAGACTCATCATCATCTTGCCAAGCTCATTGTGTTTGATGGGCTTGGTCACATAATCGTTGAATCCGGCCCGGGCTGCATCATCGATCTGATCGGTCATCGCATTGGCAGACAGCGCCATGATGGGAATTTGATGAAAGTGATTTTTAGCCTCCCAAGCTCGAATCTCCCGGCAAGTGTCGTATCCGTTCTTGATGGGCATTTGAATGTCACACTGTTCAACAGTTAACCTCGGTTATGTCAAAAGGAAAACGTCAGAACCTACAATAATCAAGGAATAATAGCCTGGCTCGTGCGATAGAACCATGTCCACGCATTCTTGCCCATTTGTTGCCGTTTCCGAGACTACTTTGACTTTGTCTAAATATTTCAACATGACCTAGTCCATGTTAGTACATGCGTGCAATTGAGCTAAGAGTTGGTCAACACTCACCATACGGTTGGTTTCATCATCTTCAACCAGTAGGATACGGTATCCCTTATTCCCGATGACCTCTTTGACCATCTTGGACATTGTCTTGAAGTTGTTATTGACTTCGCGTGCCATGTCCTGATTTCGGTCCTTGCTCAGATCACGCCTGTTGTCCGGATCAAAAATTCCAGAAAACGACGATGGTTTCACGGGCTTCGGTACAGTATCAACCCTGAAGCCAGCCGCTATCAATTCTTCAATTTTGCCATTCATCTGGCGCTTCTGATATAAATCGCAGATGATGACTATTGATGGTTTCGTCTTCATATCCGAGGTCAACACGTGCTGCAATGCTTCCATGATTTCGTCTCCGCCAGGGAAATCGAGAACAATGTGTGAGAATGTAACCGATTTACTCGTTTCCTTCAGATCTTTCCAATCTTCTAGGTCAGCAACTGCCGTTGACGTTGCAGGAACCTCGAGAGGTATGACCTGCTCAATATGCTGCCTGACAGCCTCTCGTGCATGATCAAGAGGACAGATGATAAGGACCGAATAGATCACTGGGGGTAGAAAACTGGAGGCTGATGCCTTTTCAACGGTAGGCGTAGACTGTACCAATGGCTCACTGATTTCGGTGGCTTCCGCCGTGAAGAACTCCCCAGCTAGTGGCGATGGACCGACTTTCGGAGCTGACTCGGTAGGAGCAGAAGAATCAGGAGTAGGTACTGCAGAAGAGAGTGCCGAGCCAGATGGATAGTAGAATGCGGGACGTATGGAGTGATCCGGACTACCAGAAACTTCTGTCATTGGAGACATGTCAAGAGCAGGAGACATGTCGTGGAAATTGAAAATCCTGGAATCGGTGGAGTTATTCGACTGCAATGGGATTCGGGGCTGCGTGGTTCCCTGAGATGTAGCTGTTGCAGTATCGGACATGTCGGATGAATTTCGCGTCAACGAGGGATCTGATACCTGCGGAGGTGCGTCGACCTTGATGTAAAAGGAGAATTTGGCACCTTGCCCTTTCCTGCTACTAGGTGTCAATTTACCACCGTGCATCTCAACCAATTGCTTCGATAAGAATAGACCAAGCCCGCTGCCAGCATTCTGCTGGGATCCATTTCCGCCAAGCTGACTGAATCGTTGCATCAGTCGTTCGGCGTCTGTGTCACTGAAGCCTTTTCCGGTATCGACCACCTCGAAATTGAGTAAGAGCTCGGTATCCCTGAGTGGAACTTCGGGCTCACGGTAAACGGAGCATCGAGTGTATATTTCTCCCTGGCCGGTAAATTTGACGGCATTTCCCATGAGGTTGATGAGCACTTGTCGAATGCGGAATCTATCACCTATGACCATGTCGGGAACATCGGTATCCATAAGATAATTGATTTCGAGACCTTTGTCGATGGCTCGGGATGCAACGGTATCAATGACATCTTCCAGAACAGATCGAAGGTGAAACCAGGACTTGACCATATTCATTTTTCCAGCTTCAACGCGTGAAACATCCAAGATATTGTCAACCAGTTCACGGAGGTTAGTAGAACTGTTTTGAATCGTATCCATCATACGACGCTGCTCATTGTCCAATGCCGTGTCTAGGATGAACGGAATTGTACCGAGTATACCGTTCAATGGCGTTCTAATCTCATGAGACATGTTGCTGAAAAACTTTGTCTTCGATTCCATCTCTCGATTCAACTTCTGCATCGCCTTGTTCAACTCCCGCTCCAGAAGCTTCCGGTCGTTGATATCAGTGCAAGTACCGTACCACGATGCCTCACCATCCCCAAAGTTACTCGCTTCCACTTTGACGAGTCGGACAAGATGCCAGCGATAGCCACCGCCCTTGGACCGTATTCGAAGCTCGGTGGTGTAGAAGATACGACCATTCTCATCCTGTTGAGAGTTGACTATTCCTTGGTTAACAAGATCAAGTAAACCAGGCGTTACTCCATTAGCAAACAACTTGAGAGGAGCAACATCAGGCTGTGAAGCAGTGACGTCATTCGTGGCTCTCACTCTCACGATCTCCGTAGACAAGACACCGCATTTTGCCAAATCATCAGGATGGATATACGCAGTAAAACCGTAGTTCATCGCCTCTTCTGTGGTTTGCCCAGTGTACAAATGCCACTGTTCGTTCGCCGAAATCAACCCTCGAAGCTCCGTGGCTTCAAAAACAATTTGAGGAATCGAGTTAGCGAGGGCTCGGTATTTCACATTGGTAGCGAAGACCTCGCGTTCTTGCGCGGCCTGCAGCTCAGAGACATGTTGCTCATGGATGTCAAGAAAAGAGCCGATCCACGAAACAACTTGCCCTGTTTGGGATAGTAACGGGTTTGCGCGGAAGATGAACCACCTGTAAGTATTATCGTCTCCAAAGCGCTTGACTCGAACTCTTTCGGTGAACTGAGAGCCTGTCTGGAGAGCCTTGTGCCACTGCCTCGATATGGACTCCACCTCGTCGGGGTGTATATTCTGCCAAGGATCTCTGATGGACTGGTCTTGCGGCTGAGTTCGACGGTAGGCGTCAAACTTGGAATTGGTCCATAGCACTTCACCAGATGGCGCTTTGGCTAAGAACAGATGCAGCGGCACTGAATTCAGCATCAATTGGAATATATGTTCAGAGATTGAGATGCCTTCCCGCTGTAAATGTGCAATCACAGACGTGGTCGAAGTGTTACGAGACGAGCTGCGGGTGGGAATAGACGCTGGGGTCGGACGACCATTGTCATGGAATTGATCAGTGGCACTGGAATCTCGATTCGACCAATCTTCCTCACGAGCGGACTTTGAGCGAGATACGCTCGGCGAGACTGGCATCGATGGGAACAGGTTCTGTCTGGATTTTGACACCCGGGTTCGAGTGCCAGAAGGACCAGCAGAGCTTCGCACTTGATGAAGGTTGAAGTATCCATCAATTTTATCGACGTTCTGTCCCATTGCTGGTGTTGTGCCCGGTTCACTGGAGGGACCCGTGCTCATATTGTCCATACCAGGTGTACCCATTATTGAAAGAGAGGGGCTGAATTTCGAATTGTTAGTCATATCGTCAGGACTGGATATGCTAGCACGCGCTGAAATAGACCCGCCATCCGTCATTGCTTGGCCGCTAAGGCCAGCGACTAATTCAAGCTCACTGCTCGCATCTGAGAATGTACCGCCTAGGCCGAGTAGATGTCCAAAGCGGGGCTTGTAAACTCCGGGTATTAGTTGTCTTTCGAGTTGACTGTATTGGTGTGCTAATAAATATGATGCGGTGAGATGAGGCATCAAGTATAGTAGAGATGACCTCAAATTGGCCGGGTATGGTACGACCGGAGATAGAAAAGAAAGAACAGCGACAGGGAAGCGAATCGTTTCCCAAGTGGATTCCTTTGTGCTATTTGCATGCAATAAAGGAACGTGAACGACACTCTTCGATCTGTCCACTCCAATTGCAGCAACGGGTTGTACTTGGGCGTAGTCATGTGAAGGCGGATCTTGCGCAAAGGCTGCTTCATCTACTGCATGATTCATAAAGAATGGATTCTGCTCTGGGTGAACTCGGGGCGCAGGTGATGGCGCAGGAGACTGAGACCACGGTGAGCTTGGAACCTGTTCGTATTCTTCATAAATCGGAATTGCGTAGTGACTGAGAGAGTCTCTTTTGTTCTGCAAAACATTTGGATTGTGCGCCGACGATTTAGACCTCTGACGTTGAGTGGGCGGTGGCATTGTATTGTCCTTGTCAACTTTGATCGGATCTAGCTGAAAAGAAGGCGATGGTTCGGCCGCTGGTGTTGCTTGAAACACGTCGCTTGGACTATGTACCGCGGTTGTCACATCGAGATCGGTGGATGAAGGAACTGCCGAATCAAATGCATATTCTCGAGTCAACACGGCGGGCTTGCTTCGACCAAATAGTTTGACGACGCCAGTTCGTTTGACTAGAGGCTGGTTCTCTGCTTCCAGATCGCGGGGAACAGCAAAGACAACCATTGAAGATGAAGCTCTAGAAATAGGAAGGCCCGATGGGCCTAGTCCTATCTTCATGGTGTTGTCTTGGGAGGCAGGAAAAGAAGCCGACGAAGGCGGCGATTCGGCACTGCTACTCGTAGTGTTCCCATCCGATGATGCTGCGGGTGAGATTTCAAAGGCGGATTTACCGGTAACACTGATAGGAGGAGTGATTATACTTTTCTTATCCTTGGTGAACCCAGCGAAAGAGTGTCGTGCTAGTAACGACGGTCTCTTGGATGACGAGTGTTTCTTCTGAGTTGGTGTGTTTCCCGTATTCTTCGACGAGGTATCGTCCTCCTGTGTGGCGGCGCCTTCATTGAAGGCAGTCGTAGCGTCTGATGATGATGCTGTAGGGTTAGTGACTTCAAAGAGCTCGTTAGGGTTGAAACTGGCTTTCTGGCCCCACGGGACATTCTCTAGGTCAGTGGCATCGCCAGGGACTGCCAGGGAGGCTCTTTCGATTCCGTAATGGGTTTGAAAGATATCAATCACATTGTTCCACCAAGATTCCAGCCCCGGCTCAGAATTAAGTTTCAAAATCACATCGTACAGGTTGGGACTCGGATACATGGGATCATCGGACATCGCGGCGCTTTCGGGTATAAAGAAAGCAGTGTGGGATCCGGTCTTCATCTTCGGAGGGGACATATCGATGGTACCTGGGGCCTTGGAGACGGTTCGTTTCGACTTTTCTTTCATTCGTGGATTGGCAATTTGCGCAACATCTGATTGTAGTAGAGCATCCGATGTTACATGCTGACCCCGTAAAACTGGCATTTGCGGGAACGGATAGGACGGGGTCTTGGGAGCATGAAGGTCTGGAGTCCTACTAGTCAGATTTGCACCCTTGACGGTTGTCGCAGACCCGTTAGACCCAGTACGAGAAGCAGAAACATCGAATGGTGAATGAGGTTTCGAGTTGATTGCAGTCCGTGGAGCACTGCCAGGAGACGGGACCTGCATGTGATGGGAACTTCGACTTGCATCGGTTCCTGGCTTGGAGATCTTCGCAGAATTGTTCTGATGTTGCGCTTGCTGATTCACTAAAGTCTGTTCCATTTGTTTTCTCAACTCTTCCAGTCTTCGTGCATTGCTCTGTGCGGTGTGGGATGCATCGGTTGTTGCGTCAGATGCAAGATTCAAACCACCATCCTGTGTTGGCGAAGTGTCGGAAATGGTCGCGGTGATATGTAGCAAGGACTCTGCACGCGATGGGTTGCGACTATGAGATGTAGGGCCGGTCGATGGGGAAGGTGCCTTGGTCGGCGTTAGGCGGGCTGGATTCCGCCGCATGGTGTGCGCGAGTTGGGTCTCCTCCTTCCTCTCCTCCTCTGTTCTCGGCGTAGCATGCGTGAGCTATTGGAGATTCCTCAATGCTTGATAGAAGCGACGAAGTATAGCAGGCATCGCTTGACTCTCTGAATATGCGATTACTGTTATGTGATTTGCTCAAGACATAAAGAGGTTGCTAACGGGATTCATCGATCGCTACAACTGAGGTGTAACTGAACGGCGATCAAGCGAGGATGGAAAGCTAATGCAAGTGACGGTAGATTGTTCCAGATCGCGAGCGTAGTTGTATGTGGCTGTGAGGTGTAGATGATAATTCGGCGTTGTAAGTATTCTGTCTCGAAAGAGTGACTGTTAGCAAGCACGACAAGGCAAGATCGGCACACAGCGAGACAGTCGAAGATCAGCCAACGGAGAGAGGGGGGGGGAGAGTGTGTTGACCGATTAATGTGGAGGGCCGAGATACATACAGTAATTACTATGTAGGTAGAGATTTGGCTGTTCGGACAGTGGGTGTGTCAAGTTCTAGTGTTAGTACATAGTAGTGTTAGGGAGTTGTGGCGGCAGATCTGGGAGTGTTCTGTGGTGTAGTGTAGGATAGCGCACGCCGCGGGCTGGGAGCGACTCTTGGTGAGCGTGACTACTACTAGCAACACTACGTACAATATGGTTCCCTACGTAGCGTATTCTAAAGTGGACAGCGTAGAACGACGAAAAGGAAAGAGAAAAGCGGCCGTCTGGCCTGGCCTAGGCTATGACGTAGCCGGGCTGGGAGTGTCATGCCCGTTCTGGCCTAGCGCATCGGCTTGCGGGTGAACACTGAACATCCAGCAGGAAAAAAAAGAAGAAACGAGGAAGGAAGGAAGGGGGGAACTGCAACCATTGGTGGCGCCTTCCCCAGAGAGGCGGCCAATCGTGCTTCTCGTGGCTTTCCTCGTTGATTGCATTACACAGTAAACAATTTAATGAATACTGCCGTGTGTAATGTTGAGGCCTCTCACTACCCACAGGTCATGTGCCCCTGCCATACGTGTTTACAAAACTTTACAACTTCTGCTCCATCGGCACTCACAGCTTTGCTCTGTTCCTTGTTGCGAAGTCGTTGATTTTACCGTCAGGCTTCGGTGCTAAGCTCTTTCAAGGCTGCGTGGCTTGAAGGCTTAAGTGCTAGCCAATCAGTGCGCATACCGTAGCTTGGCAGCCATTCAGCGTGGCCCAAATCCCCCACCGCCCCCTTCTTAGTCCCCGGTCACCGCACAATGACTGACATGCATGATGCTTCAACTGCCATCCTGAGATGGGATCCGAATCACCAGTTGCGCTTTGTTTGAAACCGAGCAAGCTTCCTCTGGTCATGGCCATGAAAGATAGTACTGTGTGCATGTACATGTTCATCCAGTGTTGCGGCGCACACTGAACACGGCGCATCTGGCAACTTGGCACCAGTTTCGTCATCCGGCCCGAGTTTACCCACTTTACTTGGAACCACTGAACCCAGCACTCCCAACTGCAACACAGCCAAGTTGGCCCTGGTGACTGGGTGCTCTGGTAAGTACTGGTACTAGCGGTAGCTATTCTCACCGAGGATACATTGCTACTATTTATTTACCCAACTATCTTTTGGGGCAGCAGTTCATCTGAAATCTGTCGAGTTGATGTTTTCAGGGTGCCAGCCTCGCCACGATGCACGAGTTCAAGTACCGTGTGTACCCACCTGCGCCACGCACTGCTGTCCCATGGCAATAGCATCAACTCTCGCATGGTCCATGATTACAAGCTCTGCTCTTTGATGGTAGTCAAAGCTACGTTTCTGACTTTAGACAGTGCTTGGACAATCAATCATCCCAGAGTGAGTCACATAGGACGATTTGAAGCTTGCTTTGCTCTCTTCGGCTACACTTCCTACCTGGATCGCAAGCCCGAGAATGATCGATCCTTGGCTAGAGTGGATATTTCCTTGATGTCCATTCCATGAAGATATTCACACGAGCAGCTCAGCAAGGAGCTCGTGCTCGGAAGATCCGAGTATACATTGTTCTGAGGACATTGTACGGACATTGACGCCGGCCAATCAGCATCGACGTCGCGCAAGTCTATTATGAGGCCACAAAGGGGCTCATCGAAGTCTGTAACCCTATAGGAACCTTACGCCTTGGCAGCCTGGTAAGACACGGGCGTTTCGGGAACTTAAGAGGCTTTGTTTTGGTCAAAGCCATCGAAGGCATCCACTCACCAATACAGAACCCCGCTTCATCTCGAAACAGAAAGTCCTTCACGATAGCATCAACCACTGAAACCATTAAACCAATCACAATTCAAGGGAAATCAATTTCCATACAGATTAGATAAAACACTTGGGGCAACAGCTGAGGCAACATCACTAAGCTTTGTCTTCTGAGTCCCAGCGCGGCAGATGTCTCAGTTGAAGCCGTACAAAGCAACAAACGATGGACGTACGAACACAAAACTTTGAGGTGACGTTATGTAAATGGATCACCGCGGGTGTAAACATCCATTACCTAGGTATACAGAACATACTTCCTAGGCAGTAATAGGCGCTACCTGAATGTACTAGTAATATGGATATCTCCTGATGAAGTTATATCAATCAGCTCTTTACATGGCGCCGTGTTTTCTAGTGGCCTTGAATGAAGCTATACTATGTACGATCAAAAATTAGTGAACAAAGGCGCAATGCAAGCAAAACATTGTTCAAATGATGTCAATGCCACGAGGAATTGGATGGTGTTTTGGCCCGAATGGGAAAGATCCCAAGATCGTCGGAGTCTAGACTGTCGAGCCAACTACGTCATGCTCTGTGTTCCTGTTTGCAGGAACGCCCTGCTTGAGAGACACCAAAGAGGCAATTGGTAGTCAATCTTCAGGTCGCGTAGGGCTACAAACATTGATACCGCATACATACATGTAACGATGATGGAACTGTGTCCGGAGAAGGTCCTTCTGTAAGCCAAGACAGGTTAGGTGGTTAGGTTAACTACTTATGTACCGGGGGCTGAGTAACTATATATCAGCAACATAGTCACTATGTATGTAATGCCAACACAAAAATTTACAGGATGGGCTTTAGCTTTTCGCAACCGAAGTTGAATTTTACGTCCGCTAACGTACTCACTCCATACGTGACTCTATTCAGAGACCGATGGCCACTGTGGCGTCTCTGATCAACATCGCAGGTCTTGGCGCCCACACACAATCTACAGCCCTCAGGCAGGAAAAAGTCAGGTGACCGCGTCTTGGCGATCGCATTGGCGCTTTCCTCGCGGCGAAGTTTCACGCTAAGCCCCTTTGGTGGGCCGTGGTCTGATGATCAGCGAATGAACATCTCTCTAGCCGACAAACAGCCCCATATTCTAAATCGTACGCACTGCCCGTTCCCGTCGCTGGTCAACAGTCCCTCCTCTAAAGCGTTCGTCCGGTATACGTGCGATCGCGAGGTTTGTCTTCTTTCGCTGCCTGTTCCTTTTTTTTCGATCAGTCCTTTTCCGAGACTAGTGCAGTGTTCATGCTTGAATGACAGGTAATGGCCGCGACCAATCCCCATTCTTCTCCGCCGCTTTTCAACCAACTTACCGTCTTTGGCAGGAACACCTCCTCCGACCGACAGGCACCGAACGTCCCCCGAATGAGAAGATATTGAAGCCATCATCAAAAACCGTTGAACATATCCAACAACCTGTGAAAAACAGAGCCTTTCTTCGTTTCAAGGACGCTGCCACATTTCACCTTTAAGTCGAAGCTTTCGATCGACGCCTTCCCCTCGCGCGGAGCATACATTTCCTGAGATCATTCCAGTGATGGACTAGCACTTTTCAGGTACAGCAAAGTTCCCGAACATAGCTGAGCCTGATATGGAAGAGCATTATATTCTTGGTGACGACCTTCCGCTGCCTCCCGCGCGGCTTTTTGAGCGCCTGGCTCTGTTACCTGGTTATATCTGGGACCAAGGGATTGAGCCTGTTCATTCGACTTATGATAACTGGCATGTCGCTGGAATTAAACAGGCTTCTGACCATGACGTCGTCACGCCTGCCGCGGCCTCCTCGGGCACGCCCAGTACAACACGAGAATCCCCGCGAATAGAGTCCAGGCCGCCGTTCCGTCACCATTGGCGCAGTAGCCTTAGTGAATCTAGCAGCGAAATTTCCTCCTCACGCATCGATCAAGAGTCATACTTTCTCCCCGTTATAGCCCGCGTCTCTTCCCATGTCGTTCGGCTCGAAAGAGAGTTTCATATGCTGCGTTCGATCGTTCAGGTATCCGACCCCGATTGCAATCATACCGTTCGCCCAGTCGATCTTGTGAGGCTCCCGCCTGAGCCCGGGGATACCGGTCCTATCCTCGTGTCGATATTCGAGTCACCAGGCAACAATGCACTCAAAGATCTTATCGCTTTTGGGCCCGCGTGGTATAGCATCGGCACACTGAGCGAGAGTAGCAATAATACAACACCAGGAGAGCAGGTCTCTCTACCTGTGTTCTTGGATTTCGCTATTGGCGCCTGCGACTGTTTGGAAATATTGCATTATGGGCAAAAGACTATCCATGGCGAAATCCGTCCAGATGCTTTCCATTTCAACCGCGCTACTGGAAAAGTCAGATTGGTGAATACTGGAAACGGAGCGCGGTCTTTTGACAATGCGCTGAGCGAAGGTTGGTCGGCATTATCACGCGAGGTAGGCGTGAAAACGAAATTGCAATTTATAGCCCCAGAACAAACCGGACGCATGCCGACAGAACCCGATAGTCGAACCGATATTTATGCCTTAGGCGTTCTTTTCTGGATGATTCTCGTAGGAAAACCGGCATTTACTGGCAGCACTCCGATGGAGGTGGTGCAGAATGTCCTCGGCAGGAAATTACCACCAATCTCTTCGAAGCGAATGGATGTCCCAGATGCCGTCTCTGCGGTTGTCATGAAGATGACCCAGAAGGGCCTTCATGACCGCTATCATACTATCACAGCTGTTAAGAAGGATCTTGAAGATATAGTGAAGCTTCTCGGTGACGGTGATTTCAATTCGCTCAAAACATTCGAGGTTGCTCAAAACGATGTTTCATCTTTCTTTACTCTTCCATCTCAAATGTTTGGCAGGGAGGACGAGTACCAAAAGGTGGTGAACATCGCACAGAAGGTCCACCGGCGCCAACAAGCCCTATATGCCAAGATGGCCGCTCAGGCGAATGCGAGTGGATTTGCAGGATCAGCGTCATCTATATCCGAAAGTCGAATGGACAGTTTTGACATCGCCGAAGGATCTAGTGATTCCGGCTCTCTCAACCATGTAACTTCTTCGAGACACAACTCAATTGCTGGTCCATTTGGACTCAATCACGTACCTACACGTGACTCCGTTCACAGCACTGAATCATCTCTCTCGACCCAAAGAGGTTTCGGGGTTTTCAATAGGCCAAAGGGTTCTGCTTCCGCTGAGCTCAAAAGCCTCGGTGATAGCGGTGATCGAGACTCTGCCCACATCTCTGTGAATACCACTCAAAGCCCGATGGAGACGCTGAATCCTATGAGTCGACACAAGGCCGCTACCAAGATTAGGCGTAGTGGACACACTGAAATTATTACAATCACTGGTAATCCTGGCATTGGAAAAACCGATCTCATTCAGCGCGTACACCCAGCTATTCGAAAACTTGGGTATATCGGGGTAGCAAGACTCGACCGCGCTAGAAGAATTCCATTTGAACCCTTCGCTAAAATATTAGCTAGTCTTCTGCGCCAGATATTTTCTGAGCGAGATGTCACTACAGAGTACCATAATAACCTTCGTACTTTCCTTCGGCCACTGTGGCCAACGCTACATCAGGTGCTCGGTCTCCCCGAGCAGCTGATATCGAATGACCAGAAAGAGAAGTCTGTTTCTCCGAAAATGGTAGTTGCTCAACATCTCTTGAAGGAAAGCTCGAAAGTTGAAATCACCAAAAGGCCTAGCTTTCTCCATGGCCAATTCCCGACGGACCTTTTCTCTTCAACAAGTACACCCAGCAAAACAATGCGCTTGATGGAAATGTATTTGGAGATACTTCGACATCTATGCTCTCAGAAACTGATCTGTGTTTGTTTGGACGATCTTCAATATGCAGACGACGAGTCGGCAGACTTGATTGGTAATATCTGCAAGACCAGAATTCCCTGCTTGCTTGTTCTAGCGGCACGCAAACAGGAGATTGAGTCACGGGAAGTCTTGTCACTGTTCAATGCGGAAACTGCGAGTATTACTAAGATCGAACTTCGCGCTCTTTCTGAAGAAGACGTTGCAAGATTTGTATCAGCAACGATGCAACTGACTCCAGATCCTCGACAAACTCCTCTCTCCGTCGTGGTCATTGAGAAGAGTCAAGGAAATCCCTTCTTTATTCGAATGATGTTGGAAACCTGCTATCGCAAGAACTGCATTTGGTACTCTTGGAGGAACAGCAAGTGGGAATTCGATATTGATCGCATATTCACAGAATTCGTCTCGCCTGAGTACGGTGACAACTTGGGCACCGATTTTATACTGAAGAGATTCCAGGAATTTCCTCCTGCTGCTCTATCAATTCTGATTTGGGCGACCTTCCTCGGAAGTCCATTTTCATTCTCGCTCATACAGAGACTGACGGAGGGCGAGTTTTGGTACGAAGCTGCCGAAGATACCAAATGCAAAATTACGCCTATATGCAAAGCATTAACGCCGCGCTCCGAAGCTGAAGTTGTGTCTGGACTGCAATTCTTAGTACAGGGGTACATTGTACTTCCAGGGGAGACTGATGATGAGTTTCGGTTTGTATTTCTTGGATGCATGAATGTGTTGACCTCTGCTTATGATAATTCTGAAATAGTTTCGCACATGACCGATTCGCTCGAGCTGTCTCCACATTGAGCGAATGTCACGATGTTGAGAAAATGCATTTTGTCATTGCTCAAACTATGATGAAGTACTGCACAAAGGAGGATGAGATGTATCCAAAGTCACACCATATTTGCCAAGCCGCAGACTTGATCCGAAAGCGAGTTAGAAATAGAACTCGTTATCGAAAGGCTCTTCGAAATTCTGCACGAATTGCAATATCCTTGGGCGCCCGACCCACAGCACTTTGGTACTCACGCCATGCCATCAAACTGTTGCAACCGAGCTGCTGGGATGAAAAGGCTCCTGATGTGGATTATCAAGAGACTTTAGAACTCTACCTTTCCACAGCCGAGCTGCTTTCGTACCATGGAGACAAGGAAGAGGCTCTCAGGCTTTTGACGCAGGTTTTTCGACACGGTAAGACTGCAGCCGATAAGTCAAGAGGCTGGATCATCAAGAGCAAAATTTCGACCCATGCGGGAGACTTCAATGGTGCTATGGACGCTTTGCTTTCGTCCCTCGAAGAGCTTGGCATTCACATTCGACAACCGACAACTTATGCACAATGCGACATTGCGTTCACGGAGTTGAGAGATTATCTTCAGCCTCAAGATCTTGATGCTCTTGTCTTACAGCCGATAAGTGAAGATCCCAGGGTCATTGCCCTGGGAACTGTGCTTGCGGAAGCCATGGCTGTAGCCTTTTGGGGCGATGACTTAACGTACCTGTACATGGGCGTTGAGATGATGAAGCTTCATTTGTTCACCGGTCGTTTCTCGCAGGTTGGCCTGGCATGCTGCCATCTAGCTATGACAGCATACAGTCGCCACAAGGATTTAGAGTTCGCAGCTAGCATGAGCGACTTGTCTTTATTGATTTTCGAGTCCTACGCAGAACCTTCTTCACGGGGAACTGGGTTCATACTGCAATCGTTCATGGTCGAGCATCTCCGAGTTCCATTGCGCACGATCTTGCCATTTATTGAGACGTCGGTGGAATATGCGTTCAATTCGAATGATCCGTATCTGATGCTCACTAGTTTCGGATTGATGGCAGCAACTCGTTTGTACCTGGGTCAGGATATGTCCGAAATCGAGACCTTTTGCACAGATACACCCGATGAGATTGTAGATTGGACGCGTGATGTACGGGCAGGAGTCCTGCTTGTAGCTGTTAAGCAAGTCACACGCGCATTGCAAGGCAAAACCTCGTGGAGACACCCTAATCTCGTCATGACGGATGATCAACACAGTACTCTGGAATACATGGATCACATTCGTCAGCGTTCCATGCGTTCCGATCGCCCTCATGATATCTACTGGAGTTATGCCATGATTCCTCTCTATGTCTATGGCCATTATGACAAGATCATTGAGCTCGCTAGCAGTATGATGGACAGCATTGAACGACTTTGGTGCATGAGAGCGGCCCACCTCACATACTTCATCGTCCCATTGGCGATTCTTACGAAGCATATTGACAATCCGAATGCGGGCAGTCTAGAATCGCGCATGGAGCTTGTGTTAAAGTGCAAAGAAGTAATTGATTTTGCTCGGACGGCTTGTGATGTCAATCATGCAATGTGGTCTCTGCTCATTGAGGCGCTTATGCATGAACACGAAAAGGAATTCAATTCTGCTGTACAAGCTTACGAAGCTGCAATTGATCACTGCGAGGTCCACGGTTTTCCTCTAGAAGAGGCAATGGCTCTTGAGTTGTATGGTAAGCCATCGACTGTCGTCTCTTCGGCTTTGACTTTGACTGACAATTTACTAGGTGATTTCCTCGTTCGAAGAGGCGCAAAACGTCCAGCTAGGGCGATGATCAGGGAAGCCATCGCGGCTTGGATGGGCCTGGGCGCAATCGGAAAGGCGGGCCACTTGTCAGAAAAACATGAGTGGTTGCTGAAGACAGCCACGGCTCCTAGACACAACGATGCTGGCACACAGACCATTGACTCTCTTGCAAATATCAATCAGAATGCGGCCGTCGAAACCACGGCCGCAGTACAAACAAATCTAGAGGATGATAGAAAGAAGCATTGGCTAGAGAACTCGGGCAATCATGTAGAAACTGGACCTCTAGATATACCAAGTGTTGGCCTAGGTAAGTCTTTGAGTTTGGTAGTTGGATGTCTGCTGACATGTGCATATTCAGATATCATCGATCTGTCAAGTATCCTCGAGTTCAGTCAAGTCATGTCTTCAGAGCTTCAAATCGACAAATTGCTTACAAAGATGATTGAGATCATCCTTGAATCTTGCAGTGGCTCAGATACAGCTGTCATTACTACTGAGTTTGAAGATACCGGATTTGCAATTGCAGCGATTGGATCTCAGGATGACGGCCAGAAGGCCTTCCTCGACGGTCTACCATTTTCCGAGTTGGAAGACAAAATGGCGCAACAGATCACCCATTACACCTTGCGCACTAAACAAGAAGTACTTGTTCACAATGTGCTTGAAGATGAAAGATTTTCCATCGTTAGCGAAGGATATAGCGCGAGATATCCCGCGGGTCGATCTGTCATCACGTTGCCAATCGTTCAGGCCGACAACCTCCTTGGTGTGATTCATATTGAGGGGAAGCCCAACTCATTTACCCAGCGCAATGTTGTTGTTCTCCGCCTTTTGTGCAATCAAGTCGGCATCTCACTCAGCAATGCCTTCATGTTCCGCAAAGTCCGCAAAGTGAGTGCCACAAATGCAGCCATGGTTGAGTCACAGAAGCGTGCATTGGCAGCAGCGCGCGAGGCGGAGCAGAAAGCGAAAATTGCAGAAGCAGAGGCAAACCACAACGTCAAGTTGAAGGAAGATGCGGCAAGAGCCAAGTCCGTCTTCCTTGCCAACGTTTCTCACGATCTTAGAACCCCGATGAACGGAGTCATCGGATTGTCTGAGCTGCTCAAGGGTACGAATCTTGATAAGGAGCAAGACAATTATGTAGAGTCAATCCGAGTCTGCGCGGATACTTTGCTTACCCTGATTAACGACATACTGGATTTTTCAAAGCTGGAAGCCGGCAAGATGAAGATTTCCACGGTGCCGTTGGGCCTCAAAGAAACAATCAGTGAGGTGGTTCGAGCTTTGCGATACACCCATCGTGATCGGGGCTTAGAAACCATCGAGGACTTGGATAAGGTGCCTGAGGATCTGGTAGTCATGGGTGATCCCGTTCGTCTTCACCAGATTTTCATGAACTTGCTCAGCAATAGTTACAAATTCACTCCAAAAGGTCACGTCAAGGTTACCGCCTTGGTTGTACGCGAAGGCAAAGGACGAGTTCGTTTAGAGTGTTCTGTTGCAGATACCGGAATTGGTATCCCAGAAGAACACAAATCGAGACTGTTCAGACCATTCTCCCAAGCAGACAACTCTACAGCTCGATCATATGGCGGTAGTGGATTAGGGTTGAGTATCTGCAAAGCCATCATTGAAGACGTCCTTGGGGGATTGATTTGGCTCGACTCTACGCCTGGTGTGGGCACAACAGTGACATTTCAGCTGGTGTTTCAGCGAGCGCCGAAAGACTCTGCCGTCACTGCGCCATGGATGCAGAGTTTTAACCAAGCCGATAAATACGACGTTCCTCGCATTACGCAAGTTGTCGCCCGGGATTTGACATTAATCCCTCGTGAGCAGATACGTGTCTGTATTGCAGAAGATAATCCTATCAACCAAAAGATTGCGGTCAAATTTGTGCGAGGACTTGGACTAGAATGTGAAGCGTTTAGTGACGGACAGCAAGCGGTAGAGGCGCTTCGTCAACGGTCAAAAGAGGGACGACCATTCCATGTTGTTCTTATGGACGTTCAAATGCCGGTTTTAGACGGCTACGATGCTACTCGTGAGATCAGAAAAGAGACGGACGCTAATGTCAACCAAGCGCTTGTGATTGCCATGACTGCCAGTGCAATTGAGGGCGATCGCGAGAAGTGTATCGAAGCAGGCATGAACAATTACCTCGCAAAGCCCGTACGATCATCGGTCCTTAGCGAGATGCTAGACCAATACTTGTCTCCTGTCAAACGGTCCAAACTTCGTCGCCGTCCCATTACGCAACAGAGTATTGAGGGTTTACGTGATGGTGCTGGAACACCAGGAAGTCAATCGTCATCGTCTTCGGCCAGCCAAGTCATTGCTTTGACACCTGACGATGAACGATTGCATCCTCGTTTGTCATCTTCGCCGGTTGTCTCGCCGCCAGCTGTGTCCCCGCCTATTTTACCACCGCCAGTCATCTCTCCTTCAGCAGACCAGCAGCTTCCGCAGCGGTTGAGGAAACCTTTGCTCGATCAATCCTCACCCACCAAACCAGATGAAAAGCCCCCATTGCCTCGAAGGAAGGGTCCGGATTCATCTATTTGAGAAATGAAGCATCATGACTTTATTTGTTGATACATTTCTGTCTCTCGGCAGGKCTATTTCTTGTATATGTATTTTTCGTTCTTCGTCATGAGGGATGACAAAGGTGCTTATGACTTTTTCGGTTCGTTCGATGTTTCCCCTTTATGATATCCACACTTATCCATGATGGTTATGATGGCGCTGTATATTTGACTTTGATGTTTCAAAATGTGTGCTTTTAGCTTCTTCAATCGATTATAGACCATTGTTTTAGGATGAGGATGAGAGGGAGCCATAGTTATATAATTACGTCTTTTTCTCTATTAGTTAGATCAGTCTATCCGATAAGCTGCTAGATCGCTCTCTTTCCGAATACTCTGAATCTCTTAATACCACCATCTGGGATAAGAGTTAATTTGACATGCGTAAACACCGTCTTATTATCCAGMCCAGCCGCAAGCTCCACGCCCTCAAACACATGCTCTGTATCAGCCTGTGTCTTTTTGTCGCCATTCAGCAACTCAACCCAGCCCGGATGCTCATTCGTAGGATCCTCTTTCTCGTCTTTGGAGGTTACAAGACCATGAACGCGAATTTCACGCGGGAAATTACCCCGAAAATCTTTCGTGTCAACTACGATCTTGTGCACTGTGCCTGGTAATCCGAGCCTGAAAATGGCCCAGTCAACGTGTCCAGGTGTGCGGCTGCGAGCAGTCTCCCAGCCATCGCCCATATCCTTTCCGCGACCTGGCAAGATTGTGTTCGAGGCTGGTGTGTAGTGCTGATCCGACGCAGAGAGGGCGAGACCACCCACCAGCGCAGATGAGAGTTCTTCTATTTCTGTTGCTGCTGTTGTCACAGGCGGTGGGATAGCATGACCATAGAGCCTCAAACGCGCAAATCCGCCATCGGGATACATCAATAGACGCACGTGAGTATACGGCGTCGGATTCGCGGCATCGTACGAATCAATCTTCCATGCCCGTCGCTGACTCGGCCCGCACTCTACAAGGGGTAATATCGTCTTCCACCCTTTATACTCCGGACTGGCAATCTGCTCATCGGTCTCGGCGCTTGCAGCAGGTGCGTATGTGCCCTGCAACTCAGCTTTTTCGCCATAGTTACCCACGAAATATGCAGTATCGACCTCGATACCTTCAATGACTCCGCTTGAGACACCGAGTTTTATGACCACCCAGTCATATGGTTCCGGGTTGTGTCGGCGCGTCTCCCACCCATCGTACCAGGCGCCTGTATGCACGAAGACGCCGGGTTTGTGGACTGGTGGACCGGGCGTGAGTAAGTTTTCGGCTGAGGCGAAGTAGTCGTTTGATCGTGACAAGACTCTGGCGTTGAGAGCGGAGGAGGCTAGGTTTGTGGTACGTGCGAAAGTCTTGTCGATTTCGTCGTTGGGGACTCGCGTGACTCCGTTTGAGGAGAGGCCGGAGAGTTCGGCGGCTTTTTCGAGGGGGATGGTAGGGGCTTCCATTGTGTTAAACTAATCAATTGGGGTTTCTTTTAAAAGAAGGTAAATGTTTCTATAATTCAAGAGGAGGAAGAAGTCTTTGCAAAACCTAGTGCCATTACAAAAGTCGCAAAGCGAGGGGATCAGAGGGGTTCTTATCTTATCGCTACATGACCACTATGTACCACTACTTCGAGTTAGGCACTGGTATCACCTCGTCGACGTCTCGACGAATAGCGTGCCAATTATTCCGTTCCAAGTAGCTAGAATGAGGCCATTCGTGATACAGTTCGCTGTGGGGATTGCTCGTATTGCTAAGGTTTTATGTTTTCATCAGGTGTATCAACTCTGAAGGTTTCCGGCATCGGCTGCTAGTAGGCGGGATTATCGGAGGTGGCCGATAGGGCAGATACGACGGAGAGTCGCCCGCGGGTCACTGGACAGAATACCGATTGTGTTCACCATCTTTGTAGGTATGAGGTGCTCAATGAGCATTGTCCATACTACATGAGTATGGTGACATTAGGGTAATGGAATTGACTGGTCTAGGTTCCACTGCATGTAGAGTACCCGTCCTTGATATGGTACAATTTGACTATGATACAGTATATACAGGTGACTATTTCTTGCCAATCGTCTCGGTCCCTCCCATCCACTGCCTCAGAACCTCTGGAATAACAACGACTTCTCTCTCCTCATCCCAGCAATTCTCAAGTATAGCGGCCAACACTCGCGGAACCGCAACAGCCGTTCCATTAACAGTCAGCGGGTAGCGAGACTTCTCCCCTTGACTGGTACGAATCCTCGTTCCTAGTCGACGGCTTTGATAGTCTGTGCAGATCGAGGCAGATGTGACCTCGCCCCAGCCTGTCTCGAGATCATATCCACTGTTTCCAGTTTCAGTCTCAACTGCTCGCAATCGCGAAGGGAACAAAGCTTCTATGTCGCGTTTCCGCGTTGCACTAGCCCCAAGGTCACCAGTAGGCATTTCCAGAATCCGACATGGCAGGTTCAAAGCAGTCAATATCTCAACTTGGATCTCCCCGAGTTCATTGAACAGTTCTTTCAATGGTGTACACTTCTCGAAAAGAGGGTCAGGCGTGTCAGATCGTGGATTATTCGACCATCCGAATAATTCTACCTTGGTAAACTCGTGGACACGGTACAGTCCCTTTGTATCGACACCTCGCGCACCGGCCTCGGCACGGTAGCATCGACTTGTGCCGACAAATTTCAGAGGTAAAAGTGCCTCGTCGATATCTCGTCCGGCATACATCGCAGCCAAAGGAATCTCAGCGGTCCCCGCAAGTGACCGTTGAGGTCGCGCTTTATCCTTTTCGCTCTGCTCGATGTGCCATATCTGTTGTTCATTATTCTGATCGCGCGGCTGGTATCCACACGCCTCTTGAATATAAGAGTAGACAATCGATGGCGGCGCGACGGMTTTGAATCCTCGCTTCAGCGCCACATTCAGCGAGTATTGGATCAGCGCTTGTTCTAGTAGAGCTCCCTCGTTTATCAAGAAGTACCACCCCCAGCCAGTCGATGTCGCGGAGCTCGTAAAATCGAGTAGTTCGAGCTTCGTCCCGATATCCACATGTGATCGATACGGCTGTTTGTTTCTGAGCCAAGTAGATGATTCATCAGGGTCGTAGTTGATGTAGCCAACCACACGAGGCTCGTCGCCAACGGGAGCTTCGGGGGAGGTAAGGTTCGGTAGCGAAAGAGCGAGCTTCTGTATTTCACTGTCTAGGGTTTCTTTCCGCAGTAACGTATCTTGAGAATTCTTCTTGAGATTTTGTGCCTCCTTCCGTAACTCGTTTAATTTCTGCTTCTTCTCTTCACCGTTGACTTCTCGATTGCCCGCTACCCTGCCGATCTCCTTCTCCAATTCCTTTATTTTCCGTCGCGGATCTAGTAAAGCCTCTTCAAGCCTTTTTGTCTCTGCGTACAGCTCCTTAATTTGATGCGGATATCCCTCGTGGGAAGCATAGTTGCGATTCACGCAATTGCGCGCGAACAATTCCGCGTGTTCTCGGATTAGCTTCACATCGGGTACTGGCTTGGGKGCGGKGGGAGGGCGAGACAATTCAGCGCTTCGACATCTTCGGCATGAAGAGCTAAAATTTCGTCGTAGGATGAAGCGACAGTGAGTGAGAGGTATTCGCGAGAGGTTGGTGGGCGCCATTGAAGCAGCGGTGGTTGTTTGAAAGCTTGCGGAGAAATAGCTAAACGAATTTACGGTGGTACGGCTGCGGGTCGGAGATAACCCTGAGCTTTACTGGTACACAATTTCTTTTTCTGTACATATTAAATTCCTAACGAACAACTTGATTTTCCAAAAGCTGCTAGATTTTCTACAACGCCGAAACCTAATCACGACTAAAATCAAATATGTTCGAAAAATACGGAAATATGCAAACTCATAATGCCTTTCCCGATCAAGGCCTCCATCAACATTCGCGTATACAGTCCTCGTCGTCTTCATTTCTGAGTATCGACTCAGAAACCAAACTTGCTCAGTTTGACACGTGCCCCAACGCCCAGAAGAATGAGAACTGAAGTGACCAAAACAGCCCACAGTGCAATATTCAGCACAGAAATGTTATACGTAGTCTGCGTTGCAGCGGCCACAGCCGCAAGCTCTAGCACTAGCAAGACATAGCCAAATACGCGGTGGTATTTGTATATTTTCTTTCCATTCTCAACGCTACCGAATACCCATTTGGGGACCCAGAACTGGGCGACTCCGACCAAAGCCTGGATGATGATCAATATGTACGTGATGAATCCGAGAACTCCGTGTATGGAGCTCAATCGGTGTTCAGAATCTTTGTTTAGTTCAATGACGACAAAGGCTGAGATGAAGCCGGCAAGACTGAGAGTCAAGAGAGCGGAATGGATATATGTCCCTACTGACTTTTGGCGAGGTGTTGATGTAGGTTGAAGGACAAGGATTGCTTGTACTTGAAGCAAAAGAGCGGTGGAGTTGAGCAGCTGACAGAGTCAGTACTTCTTGCAATCAGCGATTTTTAGAGGATTTCCAATATACCGGATGCGCTGTAAAAAAGATCAAGTCGTGAGAGAACACGGCAGACCAGATGACAGCGAACAACTAACAGCCGAATTTAGTAGTCGCATGACAAAGTGGGATGTAGACTTACCACCCAGATACCGGCCTGAGCAACCACAGCAGTTCCTGCAAAGATCGCGAAACGTAAGAACACATTTCAAAATGATATGTTCCCAAAAGACACCAACCTGTGAGAAAATTATGATAAATCGGCGTGGTGTCGTTTTGGGTCACGCTGCCGTTAGGCCCTAATAGAGGCTCTTCCTCATTCAGGATCGGATTGGTGATGCCATCCTCAGTGTAGTCTGCGGAAGTCATGGCGAACCGTTTGAAGCAATTGAAAAGAATACTAATTTCATACGCTTGTCCGATAAAGAGAATTGAAAAAATAAAATGAAGGAATCAACGTCTGGATATTTGTAAGACGAGAAAGACATCGGAGTCCGTGTTTACCTGATTTGGCATAGCATACAAAATGACGCAAATCGCTTTAAATCCGCGTAAGATGTTATTCTGACTCGCTGATTGGCTCGATTCGGATATTATTGCTATCAGAACTCCCCCGCAGTCTACACCCTTGACCATCAACAACTATACATAGTATGGATAAATGAACGAGGAGTTCTTAAGTGTCTGAATGAGTTATCAAGGCGTCTAAATCTCGACATATGAGCGATTCATCTCCCCTGTCAAGTGAACGTAAGGTGTTTCTTTGGCCGCCAACCCGAACGATTGCCGAAAATGTGAAATTGTTGAAAGTTTCGGCGAGGATCGCCAATATGTTTGACGCCAGATTCCAGCATATTTTTCGATTTCTACGTCATGCAATTGGCCTCGAGCTGTCTTTCCTCCTTCTCAGGGTTTGGCGAGACCAATAGGACCAGACAAGGTCAGCTGATCGCACGTTACCTTGCATGGTGCATAATATCAGACGTACAAGCCATGGGAGACCAAAAAAAATGATTGAGATTATTGTGGTTCTTGATGAATTACCAACAGCCGTGTGGCCTCATGGATAGGTGTGTGCACTCTTGGAGCATGAGCCGGGGCTTGTTCTGCTCGTTGGCTCCGTCTTGTTTTTTGACGAAATCCAAAAGACCTCACAAGAAATGGTAGATGCCTCTGCAGCGCGTCTTTGTTAAAGGAACAAATGGGTTGGTCGATCTTCATCACAGCTGAAGTGGAATGATGACCACAGATTGAGTCGTTGGAAGCGGTCCGGATGAACTGCGTTCAGACGCCATGCTCCGAGTCGTCAAGCCTTTTAAGTCTCAAAGAATTTCTATGAGCAGTCTTGTTCAATATTGATCTTTTCATGCTGCGAAATCTAGCGCAAACGGAGAGCGCCACTCCCGGGTGGCTGTCGAATTTCTGAAATCCCGCTAAAGAAGAAACGCCCATCCAATATGTCCATTGCATGGATATCAACATGACTGTAGGATGCTGCTGTAACTACCACACAAGCACTCCGCACTTCTTCTGGCCAGCTACACATGGTCAGCAAGCGTCCTGAGATTCGCTGAGATATCTTGAGAAGAGAGGCCACTTGACGCTGTGTCGCAAACTGTTACCTCGTTAGCAACATATCCACATTTTGTTTCATGCTCAGTAATGCTTCCAGGAAACAGACTTGAAAGTGGCATAACAGCAGCAAGCCCAACTATATGTGGCGTTTGTAGTTCGTAAAATGAAAGGACAGATGCTGAAAGCTTACGGCAATTAGCTAGCTAAATGTGGAAGGTAATAGTAGCTATTGTAGAGCATGAAGTCTGATTTTGACCTCCAAGTTCCAACTGCCGATTGCCCGACGACTATTACCGAAGTAGGCTATTTATTATCCAACATTGAATTAGATTGTTATACCTCCATACGCTTTGTTATGTTAGATTCTTTTCTTAACTCATGCATCTGAATCATGTAGACAATAAAAAAGCACCTCTATCTTAAAAGGTTTTTTGAACCCAACCAAATCATTGCCCAGTCATCAATGTCCATCTCAAGGCACTTGGAATTTGGTCATTGAGCCGGCTCGCATGGTCCAAAAGCAGTTGAGCACCAGAATAACTTACTCCATCCATGGATGAATAAGCATATATCTTCCAGGTCATACGCTGCTAAACTTGCTCTCAATAACGATCATTCTATCCAAATCTAAAAACGGATACAGCTATCCGCTCAGCCTTACTCGATCTAACCAATTGACTCTCACATGTGAGCACACCTGGGATTCAATTATACAACTGAAAACCCAAAAGCCTCCTAGGCTTCCGGATCCATCTACGGAGTAATTATAGACACAAMCCTGCCTAGCCATGAATCGTCCACCGCCACTCCTCGCTCATTATAGCAACGGTTGAGATAATGATTGTCCGTAAGAAATACTTCACAAGCGGTGAGCTATGACCTTATATAAACTGGGGAAACTAATTTAACTTGGCACACGTTGTTGGCCCTTAAGAGATGTAATAGGAGGATGGTCCGCTTCACTAAAATCTTACAGCATACTACTGCGGCCCGCTGCTGAATAGTTAATATCGTATATTGGACAGGCGAAGAAGTTATACGGACCTTCTGAAATATGAAGAAACTTCGAAATGCTACATCGCTGCCACTCGTAGTCATCTATAAATTGATCGAGTCGACCACGCTATACACAATCCCTGAAGTCAACCAAAATCTCTCTCTCAAAGAACTTTCAGAAACAAGTAGTGTGTGTGTGTGTGTGTGTGTGTGTGTGTGTGTGTGTGTGTGTGTGTGTGTGTGTGTGTATAAATCGATATATTAAACCACATGAACTTTACTAACAGTAGCTATTAGGATCTAACACCTTATTTTCAAAACACAATGAAATACATCGCTGCCTTTGCTGCCCTCCTCTCTGTCGTTGTGGCAGATGAGTTTGGTACAGCCTCAGTCTACTGCGGTTCTTCCGTGAGTTCTATCTACCTGCGTGCATATAGGGCAAGACTCATCTAGTGAAGTGCACCGACGGCACTCTGATCTGGACAGGAAACGCCACAACCCGTCCGGAAGCATGCACCGACCTTGGTGCTACCTATGAGTATTGCTACTTTGAGGTCGACCCGGCAGAATATACCGCCAACTGGGCCCTTCAAATTGGAGGCAACGGAGTGTGCAATGTGGCTGCGGACCCAGTTGTTGATGCAGGAGACTGCTCGGCTGCTGGAAGCTACGACTCTTATGATGTTTACTTCTATCTATAGATGACAGAATTCGAGCACATTCACATACAGATCTTTCAGCACCAGTTTCGTGATCTTGTGACCAAGATTATGTATCCTGAATCTGTTCTTACTTTAGATAGAAGTGTAGACTACATCAGATATAATAAATGCTGTGCTTATCAAGAGCCTCTCTCTCTCTGAATAATTCCTGCTATTACATGTACTTTGACTCTGTCTTAGTGCTCGGCGGCATCTGTCACCAGGATGATTTAGCCCTTAAGTCTTCAACATCTGCTTCCTGAGGTATATAAGTAGGACAGACCGCAATGCTAGGCATTTATCCTTATCATTTACTCATTGCACTAATTTCAAATACCAGAAGTCATTTCGAGTCTTCTATCGCATTAAGGCTGTGGATCGACTATCTAAGCACATTCGCCTTCTATTTCTATTTCTCGCCAATCATGACAGTGCGCTTAAATGTACGTCCTCAAATACTCAACCAACGCCATAATCGCCATAGCCTGTCCATACGGCATCGAAGTGATAGGAATCTCCCTGTAAAAGTCCAAATTATGACCCATTGCCGTGCCAAAACTAGTGTTTTGCAGTTCTCCATGCGAATCAATTGCACTCAGCACTGCTTGGATAGCCTTTTCGGCCGTCTCGCGGTATTCACTACCAATGTATCGCTTGCGCTGGCCCTTGAGCATACCATATGCGAAACCAGCGGTGGCCGAGGCTTCGACGTAGGAGCCCTCATCTGCTTGATCGATAAGTGTCCGCCAATATCCTGACGAGTGCTGGAACTGTTTCAAGGCTCCGCATTGTGCATCCAAGGTATGGATGAGGTGTAACCGGATAGGATCATTAAGGTCGAATTCGAGCAACTCCAAAATCTCGGGAATGACAATGGTAAGCCAACTGTTACCCCGAGCCCATAGGGCTTGTGCAAAATTGTGACCTCCGTTCTCACCCTTAAATTCCCAGCCGTGGAAAAACAGCCCGGTGCGAGGGTCGAAAAGGTATTTGATATGGAGGAGGAACTGTTTCTTGGCTTCTGCGACATATTCAGGTCTGCCTAGCAATTTGCCGATTTTGGCCAAAGGCAACACGGTCATCATCAGGGTATCGTCCCATAGTTGCTCCGAATTTATGGAGTTGTAAGTGATATGTTGCATTCCGCCGTACTTTGTTCGTGGTAATTCATACATGGCCCATTCAGCCCACGAATCGAGCCATGGCAAGTAAGCCACATTGCCGGTCTTTTCATATACATATGCCAGCGTGAGAAAAACGGCCATCGTGTTGATGTTCTTTGTTGTTCCTCCCTCAGCAAATCGGGCCGCAAACCAATCCTCAATGATTTTTAGTAAAGACTCATGGCCTGTCATTTCGTAGTATTTCCAGACTCCGTAGAGCCCGATACCGTGTGTCCATTCCCAGCCAGCCCATGACTTTGTGTCAATCACACGCCCATCTTCTAGATACAGCAGAAATTTGCCGGTTTCATCTTTGATGTTAACGAGATTATCGATTAACAGTCTGATTGCGCTGTGAACAGCCGCGGCTGTTGGTTTCGTGGCGGACATTGTGTCTGATGTTCTAGCCGGAAGTGTCAGTCACGGACAGGTATTCCCTTCCTTCCAGACGGAATATATTAAGCGAAAGCAAAAGACTTTCAGCTAAGCTAGTCAGCCGAATAAATCGTAACCAATTGACCGAGGCCGGAGTATCGCTACCCCGAACTCGCCTCCACCAACTTAGTTTCGTCTTATATCCAACGGGACAGCAAAGTCAACCCCGCATGGGGGAAGCTTCTTGGCTCATTTGGCTTGCGCGTAGTGTCTTGGCCTGGAACAATTATCTCCGGTTGGCAGAATGAGTCTTGCAATTCGCAGCCTGGAACAATGCAAACCCCTCTTCTCCAGCTTGTAATTTGGGGGTACATTGGGGGTGCACTGGTGATTCGTTGTTAGTGTGCTTACTCCAGGAACCCTAGTTCATGATGTCGGCCGCTATCAGGCGCAAGTACAAATACAGGGATGAAGTACTGCAGTCGTTGATCTGTTCAAACAGTCCGATCAGTACTGAGCAGCAGTCACAATCTAAGCACTAGATATCTCTCATGGCTGGCGACAACGACCTGTCCATCACCAGAGATGGTACAGTGAACCCACCCTCTGAAAACATCGAGCCGAAGCGTGCCACGGAGGACATCTCGCATATCGAGCGTGTCCTATCTTCAGACAGCAATCATGCCGAGGAGAATCTCAAGGGCCAAATGGACCTGTCGCGTGTTGACAAGGAGGTCCAGCAATACGCAAGCATGGGCCAAATCGAGATTGACGAGGAGACCAACAAGAGACTCTTGAGAAAGATTGATCGTCGTGTTCTTACCTTTATGGTTGCGACCTATTTCTTGCAAGCAATTGACAAGGGCACGTTGTCTTTTACCTCGATCATGAACATTCGTCAGGATACCCATCTTGTAGGGCAACAGGTATGTATTTATACGGACTTGATTCATGAGATGACTACTGACGGGGACGACAATAGTACTCCTGGCTCACAACATGTATCTACATTGCCGTGCTGATTGTCGAATACCCGACCAACTGGGTCATTCAGCGAGTGCCAATTGCAAAGTATCTCGGCGTCAACGTCATTTGCTGGGGCATTGTTCTTGCATGCCATGCTGCGTGCACCAATTTCACAGGCTTGGTCACTGTTCGAACTCTTCTCGGTATATTTGAAGCTTGTTGTCAGCCTTCGTTCGTCATTCTGTCGGGTATGTGGTATAAGCGAGAAGAGCAAGCTGCCAGGGTCTCGTATTGGTATGTAGCTCTTTCAATCCTCCGAAATCTAGTTGATAGGTATTAAACGGTGATAGGTACATGATGAACGGCGGTCAGCAAATCGTCGGCGGTCTTCTTGCCTACTGCTTCAGTCTAATCGGTAACCACCACGCCATCAAATCCTGGCAAGCCATCTTCCTAACCTACGGCTGCATCTCCGTGCTATACGGCCTCGTGCTCATCACCTTCATGCCGGACTCGCCCATGCGCGCAAAATGCTTCACCGAAGAAGAAAAGCACCTCATGGTCGAGCGTGTCCGAAGCAACCGCACAGGTCTGCAGAACCGCGAATTCCGTGCCTACCAGGTCAAGGAAGCCCTTCTTGACCCTCAGACATGGGGTTATTGCGCTATTCAAATATTCACTACGCTGCCCACTAGTGGATTAGGTTCCTTTGCCAATATCATCATCACCTCGTTGGACTTTACGGTCCTGCAGACCCAGCTTCTTGCCATGGTACTCGGGGCTTACATTATTATTGTGCTTTTGACTTCGACTTGGCTTGTGAACCGATACCACCAGAATCTCCTCGTGATGGCGGCATATCTGATTCCGTAAGCCTCAAGTCCCACATATTTTGATATTTTTGCCTATATTAATTCTTGACAGGTCATTCGCCGGGACCATCGTCCTCATGACAGTCGTCAATCACAACAAAGGAACCCAAGTCGGCCTCCTGATTAGCTACTACCTGACTCTCTCCTTCTGGTCCGCCCAAACCCTCACCTTGAGTATGGTCTCCCGAAATATCGCCGGCCAGACCAAAAAGGCCTCCGTCGTAGCAGCCACGTTCATCGCCTGGGCAGCCGGTAACGCCGTTGGCCCTCAGGTGTTTTTGGCACGCGATGCTCCCCGGTACTTTATTGCTTTCAGTGTGCATTTGGTCTGTTACTCGCTCATGCTCATCTCAATCTTCGCCTTGAGATGGTGGCTCAAGCGTGAAAATGCTAGGAAGGAGAAGTTGAAGGCGGAGCTTGGGGATGATCCTAATATGGTCCATGCTTTTGAGGATCGGACTGATAGGGAGAATATCCACTTCCGCTATGTCTACTAGTTCGGGTCTTGCGAGTATGCGTTTGAATTGATTTTCATTTCAGAGTATTAGCTATGACATCCAATATTCAATGCTTCGCCTGGGTATATATGCGCGACTTGAAGGATTGTATTAATAGTAACATCGAAATGAAACCATCATAGAACAAAAGACACAAATTCGTAAACAAATGTGGATTAATATAGCAACGGGGATATCATATTTCATCAATCATCAAAATCACGTCGTAGAATAAAATTGGTGCAAAAAGGTATTGCGTCCAGCGCATCATTATCTCCACGGGAGATCTGCTTCCTCAATTCGAGTGCAAGTCAAGTATGGTAGGCCTCCAATACCGCCATCCCCGACTCCACTTCCCCCCGAGCCTCCATTGTGATCACTACCTTTGAGGTCCAGCTCAAGGAAGTTTCTCATTAACGGTTTGACTACCTCTCGCGCCAAACGCTTGATTTCGTCCATCTTTCGCTCAAATCGTTTGAAATTGTCGCGGTTATAGAGTGATTCGGATGCAGATGACGCTCTTAGCTTCAAAAAACGCTTTAGTTCATCATGTGGTAGATAAGCCTCAGGCGACGATGAGCCAATAAGCCTATAGACACGACCTGAAGATATAACAGTGCTGGCTGAATGTCGTGGAGCGGAAACAGTACGACCTTCTTGCCCACCTGACGAATTCTTCAATATAGGGGCTGGAGGTGGCGTTGTGTTCTCGACAAACCACTGCCTGAATAGAGAAACTGCGAGCCAGTCTATGTACGCATTTGATGGACTAACGCGCTCGCCTCTAGACGTTGTTAATGTAAGACGAAATAGCTTTGCGTCAACCCGAGCTTTTAAATCTTCCAAGTCGTCAACTTTATCTTCAATCAAATCCAAAACAGTATCAGGCAATGGGGAAAATGAGCCATTGTTGAGCTGGGCTTGCGCTGCTGGCCATTGTCCAACCACGTGTACAAGAGCCTCGGTGAATATGACACGGCTGCGGGCCAAATAACCCAACTTGAGGTAACTCGGGGGATATTTTGCGATCTGCTTGAACAATCGAGATGAAAACCGGAGCAGATGATGATCGATGCGAGACCCCACTACCCCCAGGGCATCATACATGTCTGCCAGACCAAGTAGAGCCTTGCATTCCGAATAGGCGGTAGCAATATTCACACTATTCAGGATTGGTGTGAAATTGTAGAATGTTCGAAACAGATTGTCGTAGTCGCGTATGAGTGGTTGCGTTTGTGTATCTGGTACCACTGCATTGGAGGGAATATGCACAGCAGACTGCATCCCAGTCAAATTGGCTACAGATCGAAAGAATCCGGCTCGTGGTGCGACTGGTTTCGTGATGGGTTGCGGTGGTGGATTGGAATATGACGGCGGCATTGCAAATACTGGATCGGATGAAGGGGGCTGTCATATCAATTAGTATTCAAGGCCTCATTCGATGGATGCTGTTACTTCAGAACATACCTTTTGGACGAGAATCGGCTCTTCGTCCGACTCTCTATGCTGCCAGTCAAGTTCATATCTCCATCTCAGCTTCGGTAGCGTAGCAGATCCCTGTGCGCTACCCCGGCGTGAAAGGATAGAGGAGCCATCTTCGGCAACGCTCTGCAAACTCGGATCGGAATCGATGGCAGCGCTCGCCGACTCCATCTGGGCCTGATAACGCGACCATTCTTCGCTCGTGCTTGCCTCGAAAAAGCCGGAACATTGCGATAAGATGAGGCGATGTAGCAGGTACCGCTTCTCCTGACCACCGGCTGCGATGACTATTTCGACATCCCCGGTATGCGCAAAAACTGGGAATTCATTTTGTGGTGTGTATGAGGAGCCACCGTGGTGTGACCGGCCATGACGATGTCGTCGACTGGAATGCGAAAGACGTGACGAAGCCGAAGCGGGTGGAGGAGGAGGGTTCGTGCGATCAACTGTGTCCGGATAGGAGACCATGGCCATCGGAGTCTATCTGAGTAAGGGCGCCAGTCTCCTTACTCAGGCATCGTCGAGACACAAACTATGGCTGACGGTTGAAGGCGAATTTTGTTTCACCCTAGCACATGTAACTCCTTCAACTTTGGCGAGGAAACCGACTTCCCCGCAGTTGCGCTTGTTGATAAGACCAAAACACGCGCTTAGCCAGCAACGGTGAGCCTGTTCCGAAGCGAAACACAGAGTATTACAGATGAAAAACCAGGTGAGACAACAGAAACTTGTGACGAAACAAAACTCGAGCAACGCGTTGGAAGATTGTTAAACGAAGTCTACGGGGAGAGGTAGACTAGAAACAGACGGAGGGCTGCATGCGGCCAATGACGGTCGCTCCTTCCACACGGCTAACGGGGAAGGTGCGCCTCGAGGCTGTGTGCAGGGGTTTTCCTGGCCTGTGATTGGTGAAAAGTACATAACAAGCCTCAACCCATGACAGCTCAGGTGGCGATGCCCGCTAGTCCTATTCGGGACCATCTAGGGTATATCTCGGCTGAGTCAGCCATGCTCTCTCATCCTAGGTTAACTAGTTAACTTGGTTGCTAACTTATAGTCAAATGTATCGTCAAGATGTTACCATAGACTAAGGCAAGCATGTGAACGGTGTCAATGACGCCAATGCAGTTCGAGGGCACGTGCGTAGTGACTAGGCCGAAGTAGCCGTTGCTGCCTGAGGCAGCTAGTTAAATTCCCCGGCCCCGCTGTCCGTTACTAATGATCAATGGTAATTGCCATCGCTAAGTTCACTGCAACATTGAACAACCATCTGATATAGATACACCGCCTGATAGTTCATCTGCCTTTCTCAAGTGTGTGTCTGTGTGAGAGATAATTGTATAGCAAAGCAGGGTTTGCAACTCGCTTGCCACCATCTGGGATGGCGTCGGCCCAAAAACATTAACTGACCCGGCGCTTATATCATGACCAAAGGATGCTATACTTGTCGCCGACGTCGAATAGTCTGCGACAATGGATATCCTACCTGTCGAAAGTGCCAAAATGCCGGCAAGGAGTGCCTGGGCTATCAGAAGCCTTTGGTATGGGTCAAGGGGGGAGTGGCTAGTCGTGGAAAGATGATGGGCTTGAGCTTCGATGATGTAGCGTGTCCGGCTTCGAGCAGCAGTCCATCTATGCATTCTCAGCAGATGCTGCCATTTTCTCCGAATGAGGGAGAACGTTGCATTCCCAATGGCACTCTTACACACTCTCCCAATCGTCCCCCAAACTCACTCATGTACGCTCTTGTCGACCCAGTATTTCAAGACTTGAACGAGACCTCAAGATTTTACGTTGATATATGTAAGTCATAACTTCAATAATAACGCTCAACAAATCTAACTCAACCAGTCAACCGATTGAGTGTCCGTTGTCTTGCGCTTTATGATGCCGTCAAGAACCCCTACCGAGAATTAATCCCCTATATCAACGGCTCCTCCGTATTAGCGGATTCTCTGGCTGCTATTGGCGCAATACAATTTGCATACAAGTCTGACAATCACGGACAACTTCTTATTGACGCAGCAGCGGGCGATGAAACATCATTTAAAGCTGGAATGACGCTCATGAAGTTCCGTGACTCCCAAGCATACGAGCATTTCTTACGACTAAAACAGCGCGCTCTTCATCAATTATCCGCAGAAGTGTCGCATCCCCTGACACGTATTGATGACCGGACCGTCGCAGCTATGTTTGTGCTGATACTGCTTGATGTGATTGAGTCGGGCAACACGTCATGGATGTACCACCTCGAAGGCGCGAAGAATATCTTGAGAAGCAGGTTTTCGGATAGCAATAGAGTCCCTTCTACAGACGGGATTGATGCATTTGTAGTCGATGCTTGCTTGATTACAGAGATTATGGGCTCAACACTCGCTCGACCGGGTGTCTTATCAAGACCCTTCTATTCACCAAGTATGGGTTCGGCCATGCTCAAACGTCTGGAAAAGACCTCCTGGGTCGGCTGCCCTGCCTATCTCTTGGACGTTATATTCTTCGTTCATGCACAGCGTTACTCTGAAACGGGCGAGACAGCAGAGTACTCCCTGTCATTCTTGACGCCATTCGGAGAAGTGACACGAGCTGAGTCACCCCTCGCGGTCCTGCGACACATCGATGCCTTTGACGCCGATGTATGGGCCGAGGAAATGCAATCATACTTGACTCTATCAGATCTCTCCCAACGTCTCGCGCTCGCCCGCGCCTACAAAGCCGCAGTCTATCTGTATGCGCGAAGAGTCCTCTCCCGAACAACCGCTTTCGCATCCGACTGCGCCGTGACAGATTTCTCGACATCTCCTCTGCAACCTCGCAAAACGGTTGAAAACGAACTAATACAGAACCTCCTCCTCATCCCACCCGAAGACGAACACTTCAAATGTCTCATATGGCCTACTTTCATTGCCGGTGCAGAATGCACATCCCGCGAACAACGCTCAATCACACTACGACTCTTAGGTCTCTTGTGGAATGGATTCTACAGTTTAAATTTGCAGAATGCTGCTTGTGTATTGAAGGTTATGTGGGATAAGCAGGATGAGCGACTGCAGGCCACTGCTTTAGAGGAAGATGTGGATGATGAAGGGTTTGATTGGATTCAGGAACTTGATCGATCGAGTACGGATTGGCTGTTTATATAATCACTTTCTCCTAGGGTCGTTCGTGCCATGTTTCGGGATTACATACGAATAAGTTTGACAGACATGTACATATTAATTTTCTAGTTGGATTTATATTAATTAATTATTAGAGTTACCTGATACTGGAAGGGCACTGGAAGCATCAATGATACTACCTAGGTATCCACTTAGTGAAGACCAGATCAAGGAGTCTGTATATTGGTCAGTCGAAAAAAAAAATCGAGATGATTAAAAAGTCAACGCCAGTCGAGGTCTCCTCGATTGCTATGCAAATGTATATAACAGAACGAAAAGAAGAAAGTACATATAATGCAATATGCTATTCGAGTATGGTTCAAAAAGAAAGAGGTCCGGTGAAAAGGGGGGAGAGTACGCATAGTAGTATTGTAGGAATCCATCATAATGATTTGTCTAACGCTCAATCGACCAAATATTCAAATCCAACCTGTTCAGCTTTCAACAGCTTCCAACAATTTTCGACTTCTTCAATGTTCAACTTTCGGAGGAAGAGGGTATCAGAAGGCGAGTGTATCAATGATAAGTAATAAGTAAAAAGAGAAAAGAAAACACAAGGACAGAAAAGAGTGTTGATTGTTTGGTTCGGGTGTTAAAACACTGCAGCTAGGCCGTTTTTGGAATGTCGTTTACTGAATCGCTTCTTTCCTTTGAGTGATTCGTTGTCTCCTGTATTCTTCTGGAGAGTGGATCGCACGGATGGTTGGACTTCGGTTTGTAGATCTGCGCTATGGTCTAGGGTATTTGCTTGACTCGAAAATCCCGACGAAAGCTCGCGGTACTCATCGCCAGAGTATGCGCTGCTTTGTTGTGATATGGCCAGTTCTCTGGCTCGGTCTAGTGTATCGATCCATTCCTGTATTGAATTTGCTGATGACGCGGCGCCAGAAGAGCTAGTTTTCGGTTCTTCAAACACATAATGCTTATCTCGCTGTGTATTCATTAGTCTTTGATTTCGCTGATAAACATATTTGTTTGGAGACTCACCGTATCGACAATCCAAGATGCAGAACCCTTAGCATCTAATGTGCTCCGATATGTGGTTTTAGGAGCCAAAAGGGAGATTTCCAGTTTCGCCCTCTTCTCATCCCCACCAGCGGCCGTGAGGATGATTCGTGCTTGAGATGTGATCATCACAAGTCTCTGCTTCTTCTTCGTCGTACTTCCACCAAAGAATCTGGAAAACTTCCGGTGTGTTTCCGAATCTCCATTGCCATTACTGCCCGGACTGTGAGAAGCGTGGGAAGACATCACAGTCAAGATACCTAGTTTCAGAATTCGCTCGTTATCTTTCTTTAGCACTGGCGACCATTCGATGTCCAGTTGACTGGGAGGAGGCAGTTCCGTGATTACACGCGGGTAAGCCCTCGTAGACTTAGCGGTGGCCATACCAGAAGGAGCGGAGGAGATGTTTGGAGGGAAACTGTCTTCATCACCTCCACCTGATAGTTTGATTGGCTCCCTCGGGGGAGGAACGTAAGCTTTCAGACGTGGTGCTTTCTGCTTCCAGAGCCCCCGGCCCCACTGAATTCCATCAAAAAATTGGTGGTTTTTGATGTGCTCGATAGGTAGACGACGTGCCGGGTCTAATACAAGAAGTCTCTCGACTAGGTCGCGTGCAACGGCGGGAAAGCCCGTAGGAAATTCGTATTCAAGAGCAACGATTTTCTGAAAAGTTAGGTACTCGTTGGCGGCTTTGAAGGGTGGTCGTCCGGCGAGAAGCTGGAAAATAATACAGCCAAAAGCCCAAAGATCACTGGCCTTGCAAGCGTTCTTATCCGTGAGCAATTCCGGGCTAACATATTCAGCAGTTCCAACAAACGAACTAGCCCGTTCCTGTACTGGAGGATCGGTTGAGTCCAAGGAGGGAATGTCTCCAAGGCTATTTTCTGCCTGCTTTGATGTATCGAGGATCTTCGCCGTGCCAAAGTCGGTGATTTTGGTATGCATTTGGCTATCTAATAGGATATTCTCGGGTTTAAGGTCGCGGTGTATAATCCCTCGCTTATGCATATAGTCAATAGTATCGAGAATTTGAGCACCATAGAACTGTGTGCATTCTTCGTCAAATGTCACCATGCGCTTGAGTACTCCAAGGAGCTCTCCACCTTTGCAATAATCAAGGACAAAGTAGAGGGAACGTTCATCCTGGAAAGTATAATATAGCCGGACAATCCCCGGGTGATCCGTGAGACGATTCAGTGCGTCTTTTTCAACATTCACATATTTGACCTTCTTTTCCTTGATGATATGTCGCTTATCCAAGATTTTGATTGCGTATTCGTTCAATGTCTGGCGGTCGGTTCCCAGACAAACCGTACTGTATGAACCCTCGCCCAATGTCTGTCCAAAAGAGAAATCCCGCACACCCTTCTTGATGTAACGAGAAACGGTCCTGCCGTTGGCATCAACTTCTTGTCTGATGCCAACCGCAGCTCCCCGATCTTGCCAGTCGTCGCTACTTGCAGGTGGGCCATTTTCTAGCGCATATGGCGAGCCTGCAGGGTTGCTGTGCCCCATTCGCGAGCCCTTTCGGTGAGGTATGGGTCCATTACCGGCGAGGTATTGAGCTTGCTTATAAGATCGATCGCTGTGACTATTATCCCTTGAAGGCACTCCGGCTTGGAGGGCTACGGAGCCGCCTCTCGAGTCCGTTCGGGACATCCTGTCCGGGCCCGATGCAGAAGAATCTGTACGTATACGGTAATTGTTCAAATCTCGGGCGGCGGCCGACGCGGATCCGTTGGCGTAATGGTTATGCACATGGGTGGAGGCAGAGCGAGGTATATTCTGGAGGTGTTGACTCGAGCTTGGGTTCTCGGGCAAGTAGGCGACTGATGAGCGGTATGTGGCATTTCGATGGGAGGGTGCCGAATCGGTAGGGGGAAGAATTTGAGATCTGTATGAGCTCGATAGCTCTGGCGTTGAGTCTGGTACGTATCCAGACTTGTATTCATCTTGTAATGGCAATGAGTGAACTGAGGTCTCGACGTGTTTGTTGATGGGGTCATGATCGGAAGGAGGTAATATGGTCTGTGAGGACGACGGGATCGATGGAGTTGCTGTGGTCGGCGCCGTCGCATCTTCCGAGTTCAAGGAGGAATCATCAGGGTTAGCTATCCTCAATCCGCCTAAGGATTGAGATAAACTTAGATCTCCGTCCATTGTGAGTTTTCTGCGGCGGTAGACTCCAAACACTCGGAGTAGAGATAGCTTTCGGAATGGTGATCTGGGATGAAGGTAGGGGGGAAAGGCCGCGCCGATGGATGGAATACAGAATCGAGAGTACTGCGTATCCAGCCAGACGGCACAGATAGGATGTACCTAGGCTTATGGCGGCAGTGATGGCATTAGCATTGGATGCATGGTACGGTGGAACGCGAAACTGGGTGAGGTGAGGATGACAGGTCCGGCTCGGAGGAGTCGACGAAAGCCAAGCGTGGCTGTTGACAAGGATGGACAATGAGAAGCAGCGGAACAGATGGAATTGATTCTTCTAGCGTGAATCAGCTAGCAGATGGAATGAACGAGAGCTAGAGTGAGTGACGGAGCCAGTGAGGGTTGCTGAGAGGGGGGAATTCTAGGCGACTTCCTTCAGGCACGTCCGTCCGTCGTTATTCTTTCTAAGCTTAATTGGGGCCCGCGCTCGAAAGGGGGGGGGACACGCAACCTTTGCCGCCTAACTGGGCCTTCACAACAATTGTACGCAATCAAATCTAGCTTGGTGTTGACTTTATTCTGTGTATTATGATTGCCATATGGCATGCATGCCATCAAACAAGATCTACGTATATATCTACGTCAGGTCTGGGCTTAGCTCTATCTATGTTACCCTCCCCCCGTCCCTACTAGAGTACACAGTAGGTACATGGAAAATCACCCGGCTTTCCAGTATCAACATGGACTCGATGGTTCACAAGCATCACTCCCAGCAATTCCTAGGGTGGTCTTCGAAAACCTGCCAGGGAAAATGCCTTGTAGACCTCTCATCCGACAGATTAATCCACCTTGAGCAAACAGCCAGTCCAGACACGGCAGCAATGTGGCGCAATGCGTTACGTCGACGGCTAGGCCACTGCCTACAGATCAGTTCTGGGCTCTATCTGAGACATGAGGAACATCGTTGCAGCGACAGTGCATATGCTAGAGCCTCGAGAGCGATGCAGGTTACATGATTCACCGTGAACCGAGGATGATATAGATTGACGTCTTGGCAGGGCTATTTTTGGCTCTCGTCTGTGTATATCGTCAAACGACTGGGTGGTGTTGAAGATGAAGACTATGAAGCATTCGCGGGCGTGGACTTGAGATGAGTTGATGTAGTCAACAGGAGGATAGGTGTAGTGAGACAATGAGAAAACGATGCAGAGCCACAGTCGCCCCTTCCTAACGGCGACCGGTGCGGATTGGCAGCTACTTACCCAAAAAGGCAGGAGCACAACACCAGTCCCTCCATGCCATCATGAACCTCTTTCCTACCCATCGTTAGTCAGTTCTCTCTACAGCTATACCAACGCATATACACGGCATTACAGCACTTCTTTCCTCTAGTCGCCATGTTTCGAAACCCGCCAACGCGAGTCTTGCTGTCCGATTACGAGGTTTTTCAAACCATACACGCAATTTGTACTCAGAGACTCATGACCCTAAGTCTTGCCTATTGCCCCCCATTGAGCGAAGAAGATGAAAGTGAAGGTGAAGCCGAATTCCATCAGGTCTCGCCGAGTATGAGCTATACCAGGTCATCTTCGGTACAGTATCCCATGTCCGAAGGCGACAGGCGGGCCTGCGATGTTTTGAAATGCTATCAAGACACGAAGGTTTATATCAATTCATCAACGCCGGATTCAGATGATTTGCCTGCGCATTCGGCTGGATCTCACACAGCGTTAGACACTCGCTCTACCAACCCTAGCGAGACTTATCAATCCGAAGGTACTTCCGACGCCCGAAGACTGGCCGAGCCAACTCGTAACTAACTGCGGTCGTGCATCAGATCAAGATTTCCTCGAGATACCTGATTCCCAAATGTCTTCAACGTCCCAGGAATCATCTACCGATACCACACCACCTGCAACGATCATCTTCTCGCCAAGATCTCCTGAGCCAACTCCTCGACCCCGCAGAATGCACAGATCGGTTTACTATGGAAATTTCCCCGTCTTGCAAGTTCAAGTACCAGAGATCTATGAATGCATCCCAGGCATGGTCATATCTGATATCATGTCTGGAAGTGGTACGTCAGCATCCACCCAACTCAGCCATACAAACAAATACTGACAGCAACACCACCCAGGTTCGATGAACTTGCATGGCAAGTCGGACCCCCAGCCCAACTCACCCGAGATGTATATTCCCGTCTTCCGCTCAGACGAAATCAACATGCGAATTGGAGTCGGTACATGCTTGCACAGCCTCCCAAAGAAAACAGTTCGGCGGCGATCGTAAAAGTGCAACCCGTCAAATGGTCCAAAGAGAATACGCCCCCGAGAACTGATCGCCGGCCGGCGAAAAGAAGCTTTGTGCTGGAGGTGATTTGCCAGACTTATGAAGTTGACTAAGAACAACCTTCAAGCAAATGGATGGGCAACTTGAGCGGACCTTCTTATGTCTATTAGAGATGTTATCATTGTAGTCTTAGCAAATCATAAGTCACCTTGCGGGTCTTATTCCTACACATTCAAGACTTTAGGAAGAATTGAACGAGAAATCACACTCATTCTATTCACATTGTAAGAGGTATATCCATGTATTGTATCTAGAAAGAGTTGGATAAGCACAAAAGGGGTTAAAAACGGTAAACTAATCGATGCTCCAGTCCATGGTCAATAATGTTCATTCGTCACACGCACAAAAAAAGGGGAATTTTCTCAGAACAACTTCCAAGATCTGCAAAATAGGGGGATAGAAGAACCGAAGATTACAAAGGAAATCTAGCATAAAATCTTTCAAAAGAAACAAGAATCGTCGAGAACAGTCTTCTTTCTCTTATATTCTAACATTTTCTTCCTTAGCCCTGCATTTACTTCTTCTTGGCAAAGACCTGAGCACCATCGACGAGGCGACGCTCAGTGTTCTGTCTGCCGTTGACGAAGTCAGGGTAATTGAGGGTCAACTCAACGGAGCCGTTGACAATGTTATCAACAGCTTCGACACCAAGCATGAAAGAGTGGTCCTGGTTACCGACCTCGTAACGCCAGCTTCCGAAGCGGCCACGAGACCAGATGCCCTTTTCTTGAAGTTTGGGGAGAAGCTGAGTGAGAGCACCCTCACGCTCCAAAGATGGGGTGGGGTAACCATGGTCGAAGCGGCGGTGGTAGGTAGAGACGATCTCGTCACCGGGCTTGAGCATCTCAGTGTTAACGAGACCCTGGATAGAGTCCTTCACAATGTTCTCAAGGTCAACAGGCTTGTAAGAAGACTCAGAGACCTCCAACATGATGGACCAGTAAGGGCCAGGCTTGGCCTCACTGCTGGCAGGTCCGGAGCCATCGGCAAGCTGCTGGGTGGGGAGCTTCTTGGAGGCGTCAGGCTGGTTGTAGGGGGAGTAGTTGGAGAAGATGGTGGCACGGTAGAAGGGGCAGTTGTCCTCGGGGAAGTAGAGCTAGTATCGCCGTTAGTCGATCCATTGTCAGTCGCACAGGAAGACCAAGACTTACCCAGCACTTGTCTCCAATGCGCTCGGGACGCTCTCCTCGGATACCAACACCAATGACGTGGGTCGAAGAGTAGAAGAGCTCCTTGGTGTGGTCGATGAGCTCCTTGTCACCGATCTGCTCGCACAAAGCATCAACAGCCATGGTGGAGACGAGCTTCTCGTAACCGACGGTGGTACCATCGGCCAAAGTGACAACCTTTGAGTTGGGGTTCACCTTAGTGACCTTTCCGTGCTCACCGAAGCGAGTCTTCTCCTTGGGGAGAGTGTTGGCGACGGCAATCCAGATACCACCGGTACCGTCACGGGCGGGGAAGCGGAAGGTAGCGTTGGGACCCCAGTTACCGGCAGTCTTGTTCAAGATGACGTTGGTGGTCACAGCCTTGACATTAGGGGCGGCGACACGCTCACCGAGCCAAGCGCATTGCATCTAAAAAGGCAATCAGCATTACTCCCATAAACATGAGTAAGTATACGCGAAAGATTGTTTCTTACCTTGGTGGTGGGAACAGCCCAGACCTTGAAGTTGTATGGGCGCATGAAAAGGTCGGCAAGACCGACACCCATTTGGCGGAGAATCCACTCGTCAAAGGTCTTGGGCTTTGTGTTGGAGACGCGGGCTTCCAAAGCAGCGTCGATCATACCCTCAATGCAGCGAACTTGCTCCTGCTTGGGAAGCATGGAGATGTTGTTCTGGAAAGGGTAGGGAACCCATTGGCCCTGGCAACGGACGTAGGAGATACGCTGGTGAGTGTACCAGTCGTCGGGCTTGGGGAGAGCCTCGTCAATGCAGTCGTCAAAGTACTTGTAGTGGGAGAAGATGACGTGGCCGCCGACATCGTACAACTATATCAAAAGTAATGTTAGATCGACTCATTTTTCGATGTTGCGAGACCGGAACATTGCACTTACGAATCCCTCAGGAGTGACATCTGTCGAGGCGAGACCACCAGGGATCTCGTTGGAGTCGATAATGAGCCATGATGGGCCGTCCTATCTCAAGTATCAGTTTGGTTTCTTCACCCTCTTTATTTTTCTCCGCGAGTGCGGCGGGGAAGATGCGTACGATCTGGTTTAAACGCTTTGCAGCACCCAAACCGGTAGGGCCTGCACCAATGACGAGGACGTCAACGGAACTGTCGAGAGGAACAATTGTCAGTTATCGTGCTGTCAAAATAACGTGGTGTTGCGACGTCGAAACTCGAAAGGGGGGGTAATGCGGCTCACATGTCTGGGTGGCTCATCCTGCCTTGGAGAATATCCTGGAAGCTGGGCACACGTTGTAAAGTTCTGCGGGCGATATTAAGCATAAGAGAGACCTTTTGTTCCGCTGACTGACGCAGCAAGAATTGATCAGACAGATGGAGTTTGTAGATGAACTGAGTAAAAAAGAAATTCGAGTGGAGGAGTCCCAGGGAGAGGGAAAGAAAAAGAGGAAGCAGCAAGCTGTCGTATTGCACGGGAAGGAGAGAGTACGTGCGTTGGGTGCGTGCTTGCTGTGGGGGTGGGCGGTGTGCAACAAACCAGTACCTGTTTCAAGATCTCTCCTTTTCGGGACTGTCTCTCTGTCTGTCTCTGATTCTCGTTCATCCACAGCGGCTGTTTCTTTTCTTAGGCGCTGATTGACCGGTGCGGTTAGTTCGAGACGACGTGCTGATATTATTTGACAACAACAGGTCGGGTCGGGTGGAGCTGGCGTTCTGGGACTGGGAAAGGGGCAACCCATCAAGTTCAGACCACATCGACAACATCGCTGCTCTTCAGGCTCATGCTTTCTACGGCACCTCCCTAATGCAGACTTTGTGAGCCAGTCACAACTGCTATTCCGGAATACTAGTCAAGCCAATCGACCATCTCGCCCCATTGGAACCTTGGAGTTGACAGCCTCGTGCGAGATGAATTTCCACTTTTTTCTATCCTTTTGTTCCCCCCTGAGTCTGGAATGCTTTGGTGGCCGCCACCAATTTGCCTAAATTAATTCCACGTACACTAATCGGGGTCTCTCCGAGCCCTGTCATCGCTCTCAGTTCTCGCTCCCGACGTCTTTTGAAGAAAACTCGCTGGTCTCAACTCTCTAAACCATCCTGTATCGGCCGCTTATAGCATTCATACTGGGTCGTCACCATTTCCGGACGGGTTGTTTTTCCAGGAACAGGAAAGGGCAGGGACTGGACACGATACATTCCGATGAAGAAGAGGATCTAAAGTCAGCGCTTGGCAGTCACCGCGCCGGAAGCGGCTTTGCCAAGCATTTCCCAGGTACATACGTACAAGTACGTAGTTAGCGACACAGGATGGCACATGGCCCTCTACACTTATCTACGACAATATTAATGTATTTGAGCATCAAAATCACGCTACTATCAGTGACGGCTGTTTACAAGAGATCTGATAGCATGGTTGCAGCGGTTACCGACCCGCGATCGGCATGCACCGTGAGAACTCCAGGACTAACCGAGCACAGGGCAATGTTATAGGTGCCTCATTGTCATGGATGGCTTGTTGTTACATTCAACATAAAACAGATGTACGTAACGAGCTTGCGATTCAGGGATTGTTGCTTGTACTTCCTTAGCCCTGAAGACAAGCCATGTGTTCCCGACACGGTACGGAAATGAAGAAACAATAGCACCAGTCAGCAATTCTTATTACTCGGCCACACTTGACTGCCGGAACAAAGATTATCTTATGCGAAGCCGCTCGGGGCGATCTCGCGATCAATGGATGACATATCGATTCAGGGGTCACCTGTAGACTCAATCATCATCGATCACCCAGGTAAAACGATGGTGAAATTGCTGGTCCCACTGATGGACGTACCAGAAGGATGCTGTATTCGTCACTAAGATAGTCGATCAGTAAATGTGTCCGACCACTCGCAGTCATCTTGTTGTTTTGTCTATCAATTCTCCATTTTCTGGTCGATCAGTGGTCATGTGATCTCGAGCTACTGTCAGCCGTAAGGACGCACAGCCGGAGCATACTCCGTACTTTGAGAGGGTCATGCTCTCGGCAGTTTCTGCACGAAATCATCTCTTACGATTGAAGCATAAAGATGTCTGTTCACAGTGTCCACAATTTAAGAAGACTATGGAAAAGGCTTGAATAGAAGGAGACGAGCAATTTAGCACGATGTTAGTCTTAAGCTTAGTGCTGTTAGTGCTAGTTAGTCCTGGCTAGGAGATAGTCAGCCAATCTCTGATTCGTCGACAATCGCTGCGAGGCTTGACGGATTAAGATTAATTAGCAGACAAATTAATTACCAGATTCTGGGCCCTGACGTTCCTTATTACGCGTCTTTTTGCTGATCCGTAATTGTCACGCCCCGCCGATCTTACAGATTTACCTCAACTTCATGCTCCATTCACGAATATCGGATAGTTTTTTATTATAACTACGGATCAGATCCCTTGATTAGAATTGCAAAAACCCCATTATCCAAGATAGTACGGAGTACGGATGATGTTTGGACGTTTGATCTGAGATTTGCCTATCCAGATACTCCGCTTACATTGATGTCGTCATATGAGATCCATGTTTCTTTTTTCATTATTCACCTGCTCTTGAAACTATTGATGGGCGCAACTCCGTACGACGTAGATCCCGAAGTATTGGGACTACTTTCAGGCTATGATGGTAAAGCTGTCGATAGACTGTCAAATTTCAACACCAAATAAACTTGATAGAAGGCTGCCAGCCGGAGACTGCGACCCTTCGATGCACAATAGTGGATTCTGCTTATGCATCAAGGGACGCTGTTACAAAACCTCTCCGCCTGTGGCGATGCATATCACGTTCGATAGCCCTTCAACCTTCCAGACGGAGTATCTATCAGCACCTTTTTCGATATATTTAGCACAGCCACTGAAGATACCTCTCACCGCTTGACGCGCTGCCAAGGTGTCCTCTGAGACAACGCGTACAGTATCATATATATATATATATATCGACAGTAAAACTAATCTCAATCACTGTTCCAGATGTTTCATGGAAAACTGGAAAGGGTGAAACATGATCGAGCCGCAACAACAACGGCTAGTCTGATTGCATGTACATGCGTACTACATCGTGGAATTACAGCATGAGTATGTGTAAATATGTAATTTAATGTACGGTGTAGTACGCATAGTCGCTGATTTATTGACGAAAACGGGGCTGTTTAGTTGCGCTATCGTGTTAAATGAATACGAGGCTAGTCCCAAACAAGCAAGAACTGGTAAATTTAGCAACTATTGACGAGGGTGGCGGCTCTATGGAGCGCTGGTGGCCAACGGGTGTCATGTTAGACCTGAAACCGTGCGCCGTGTTTCAAGCCAAGCACCCACTTTCCCGTGCCACTTCCGCCCAACCGGACCCTCCCTCCTCTTTCACGCTTTCCCTGAAGCCCCAAAACCTCTAGTGTCCACTCCCCGCCCCCTATTATTGCCGTTACATACAACGAGTACGTAGTAATACTATGTAGACAGCTAGGCACGTTCGCTCGCTGCTTCCGGCTGGCACATACATTGTACAAAAATCGTCCATCCAATACAACATACCTTTTTCTATACTGTCCAGTCCACTTGCAATCCTCATCACCTATCAACTAATCATCCCTGCTCGATTCGTGCGACTCATTCCTCTAACGGCGCCTGGTCCCCGTCGCTATCCTATCCCGGACTGACCCATTTCTGGACGGTTGTCTCCTTGGTCTGAACGAGCCCACGGTCCTGGTCGATCTCCGCTTGTTCGATATCTACTAAATCTCTAGCCTGCCCCAGTCAACGGCCCAGTCAACTTTCCTGTCCTCTCGCCTTCAGCCCCCAGCGAGTCAACAAACAAAAGAAGAAGGAAAAGGGGTGCGAGCGAACTGCGAAGAGATTGGTCGGTGAGCCCAGTTACAGTACGTACGCTCTTTTCCCTGTCCGTCTTAGACGCGGAACCACGAAAGACCCTACCCACTCTTGTTGCGTCTGGAATCCGTCTGAACTCTGTCTCTTGACTCTCTGTCATTTCTTTTTTTCAAGAATTTTTTTCCTGTTTGGTTAGATTTCCACATTTGCCCCTCTCACTAGAAGTCAGTTAGCACCTGCCTCTACTGCCACTCTCACCACTGTTAGAAAGTAGCAGTACGACGTTCTCCCCCCATTCCATCCCTTTGAAGTCTCCCAAAGCCTATTTGGTCCTCCACCATCATCATTACTTCTTTTCAAACTTTCATTCCTCTTTTTCCCATGCCCATTTACGTGCTTCTGTTCTAATCCCTCCCATACCTTTTTTTGCTCTTGTGTTTCTATTCGTGTTCGTCACTTGCTTACACGGCAGTCGATCACAGCCACTCGTTAAGCTTTGTCACGTACCTCGTTTTATCCGCAGTCGTCGTCAACAACCTACCTTAATTAATTCATCCTCCCACAACCTTCCTCGTGGCATCCTCGTCTTTCGGCAAGAGCAGCCAATTCCGGCAGCGTCCTTTTGAACTTCAACGATTTTTTAGTGAACAAGCTCGCATCATCGCAACCACAATGAGCTCCGACAACGAAAAGGCCCGTACCTCCGGCGAGGTCTCTCGCCCAGAGCCCGTTTTGCCTACCGTCAACCCGGAAGCACCCAAATCGGAGCCTCCCAAGGCCGCTTTGCACCCTGCTTTCTATGTCGGGTGAGTTGTTATCAATGAAGCAGAAGATGATAAAGTAATCTTGACTGACTGGCTTGGCAGTACCTGGATTGCTTTGAGTTCCAGTGTCATTCTGTTCAACAAACACATTTTGGACTACGCTCAATTCCGTAAGTGACTCTTACTGAACTGACCAGAAGTACACAGTCATGCTAATCTAAGTTTATTTACAGGTTATCGTATGTGAAAACCGTGCTACTCTAATTATATCGTTTTAACCGAATTACAGCGATTTTCTTGACAACATGGCATTTGGCCTTCGCAACTCTCATGACCCAGATCCTCGCCCGTACCACCACGTTACTTGATGGCCGCAAGTCCGTCAAGATGACTGGTCGCGTCTACCTCCGTGCTATCGTTCCCATCGGTCTTTTCTTCAGTCTCAGTCTGATCTGCGGTAATGTCACCTACCTATATCTCAGCGTCGCTTTCATCCAGATGCTCAAGGCCACTACTCCCGTCGCTGTCCTATTCGCTACCTGGGGTTTGGGAATGTCTCCTGTCAACTTGAAGGTGCTTATGAACGTCTCGGCTATTGTTGTTGGTGTGATCATTGCCTCCTTTGGTGAGATCAAATTCGTCTTCATTGGTTTCTTGTTCCAAATCGGTGGTATCATCTTCGAGGCTATTCGCTTGGTTATGGTTCAGCGCTTGTTGAGCTCTGCTGAGTTCAAGATGGACCCTCTTGTCTCTCTTTACTACTTTGCTCCGGTCTGCGCTGTCATGAACGGTGTGACTGCTCTTTTCCTCGAAGTCCCCAAGATGACCATGGGCGACATTTACAACGTTGGATTGCTTACTCTCTTGGCTAACGCCATGGTCGCTTTCATGTTGAACGTTTCCGTTGTGTTCTTGGTAAGTGATCTATGAATTTCGTGCGTGTATATCATTTTTAACCTGATCTACAGATTGGCAAGACTTCCTCATTGGTCATGACCCTCTGCGGTGTCTTGAAGGATATTCTTCTCGTTGCTGCTTCCATGGCTATCTGGCACACTCCCGTTACCGGCCTTCAATTCTTCGGTTACTCTATCGCCCTCGGTGGTCTTGTCTACTACAAGCTCGGCGGTGAGAAGCTCAAGGAATACGGCAGCCAGGCTCAGCGCTCTTGGGCCGAATACGGTAGCACCAACCCTGGCCAGCGTCGTCTCGTTATCATCGGTGCCGTCGTTGTCGGATTTTTCTTGTTCGTTGGAGCTCTTGCTCCCAGCTACGCACCAGAGTCTGTTGACCATATCCGCGGTGCCCTCGGAGGAGCTTCCGCCGGTCGCGTTTAACTTCTGTATCGACAACAGAGACCGCCATTTGCGAGGATCGAGGTTTCGCTCCAATCAACTATTTGAATAAATCTAGGACATGCGGATACCCGACATCGATTTCTCGCAGATAGTCTTTTGATAAAAGAATGGCCTGATCTATACATATATGCGACAATCGTTACGACAAGACTCGATATGCTGCATACAGTTCCTCACTAGAGGCCTTGATATATTGTACGACTGCAACGGTTGGATCCGCTGGAAATTGCAGCCAGTTATTGTGTAATATTTCGGGGGGACAGTTTCTATTACACGCCCTTGGACCTTCCTTCTCTTAGCATTTCACTTCTCTCCACCTTCTATTTGGTCCTTCTCTGTCTGATTTCGCTTCAACATGGTTTTCCGTTATTTCGGGAGAAGGATCTACGAAAATACTTTTATTCATCCCTTTATATGACGTTTCCCTTTTCTTTACTGATGGCATACTGTTCCGCGCATCTAGGTCATTTTCATTTTCATGCCGCATTGTGACTATACGCGCCCTGTCTTTACTCTATTTCTGTTTGCGATGTGTGTTTAGAATAGATGGTGCACCGGGGCTTGAATGCTGCTAGTTCTTGCTTGTAGAATGATACGAAAATCAAAAACACTACGATGTACTACATTTCCTGTTCTCTGTCTACGTATTCCGGGAAGGTCAACACTCAGCCTCACTCGGCGTCCAAGGACGTAGCGGAGCATTGGTCCTTTCTCGGATGGCTTCTCTGGTACAGCGTGAGAACCACACCAGACCGACTCTGGCAGACAGAGCGACATTAGCGCCTCAGGCTGCAAGGCTGCAATCTGAGTGGGTGCCGACTAATTAGTTTTATTGACTCAATGATCAAACTCAAGTGAAAGCCGGCTGAGCGAAGCCCTCCAATAATGTTCTCTCTCCACAGCCACCAATGGAGCGCCAAGCCCACTAACACCGATTGTGACAGGCCAATGACTTGCAGATAAGCTGTGGGTCGTCGCCTGCCGGTCCTGCGACTGAGCAGCTTGCGTAGCCTCAGGCATGGCTCCGTCGCTCAGCTGTTCCGGGTTGCGCTGCAGAAGCAAACAGAGCAAACACAGCCCAAAAGAGCCAAGTCGACTTGTCATCGGCTGGGCAAAAGTTTTCCTATTGGCGCTCCGTCCTCTTTCCCTCGTCAGCCGCTCCACTGCCTCAGGCACTCCCTTGTCTGGATCGCCGCCGCTATTGGCTCACACGCGACGCTCCTCCGCATCCATTCCATCGCATCGCATCGCAACGCAACGCAAACTCGGCACATTTGTCTATGGAATCCGCGTCCGCATTCGTCTCCTCTACTCGTCCTTGGGGCTTCTTTACCCTCTCATGCAACCAACCCATGGTGAGGCAAGCTCGCACCCGATTGTTCCGTTGCTTTCATTTCCCGTGAACTTCGCCCTCTTTCTTCTGTCGTTCTTTCTTTCTTTCTCTCTCTTACATCCAACCTCACTTCAATTGATCACTGCCTCTACTATATCTCTTCGCTTACTCAACTCGTGACCTCCTTCCTCCTATACCTACCGCATCACCTACGTCGCGTCCATTGAGACCAAAATCCCGACACTCAACACACGCGACACATCCGCTACTTTGCGCTGCCGAACCTCACTGCTTCATTGCAGTGGACATTGATCAGGTCTTATACTGTTGTCTTGCATGATAATCAGTGTGGGACTCCCGACACATTAAGGTTCCTAATAGCTCACTTGTTCAGACTCACCTTTCTAGATAGGCACTTACAGCTCACTCTCATCGCCCTCATTTCCTCTTCCCACCCTCTTCGTTCGAAAGCAAAGACCAAACAAGCATTCGATTATCCGCCAACATGGGTTCTGTCTACAACAACTTTTCGGATGGCCCTACCATGATCCTACCCTCATCTCAGAACCATCCCTCATGTCAGTTCCCTTCTCAGTCCATGCAGGGTTTCCAAGCCTATGACTCTGGCTCCTGGTCTATGGATGCGGTGTATGCGAATCCACACAAAGCTCCGCCGCGTCATTCCTCGAGCTGGACACCTCCATCATCCTCAAAGACCTTATTCACAAATCCATCGCGCAAGAGATCGCGTAACGAAAGTGAGGATGAAGACCTCCCCAGCTCGAAACAAAGCATTGCACCTCTTGCACCTGTTGTGGAAGCACCAATCTACGGCGAGGGCATGGTCCTCTTGAACCCTCGCACTGGTATGGCTGTGTCAGCCGAAAGTCAGACCGGCACATGGTATGAAGAAAAGGCTGCAAAGAAAGCCGCACAGTTGCAGCAGTGCAGCAGTGGAAATAAACTCAGTCGCAAATCACAACGTCTGGACACCTCGGCCTCCAGCACAGACGACGTTGATCTCGCCTGGATTCAGAACCAAATGCAAACTACCACGAATGATGATATTCGTCGCTCTCTTGGCAAGAGCAGTTCCTTCAACATGAATGACGAACCCCAAGTTGATGATGTGACTCTCCTGCTCGGTATCAGCTGGCAACGTGTTAGCCATGACGACAACATGGCACCTGCAGTCACTGGCTGGGAAAAATATATCAATAATCATTTCTACAAGTACATGCGAGACGCCCGCATAATCTTGAAGAGCCGCAGTCTCAACGCATACCTAGTTGCTGCACCTCCAGCACACGAAATCCCGCTTCAGGACACCGCTCGACATAGCGATTACGCCGCTATGCCCAGTGAGTATCAGTTTGATCCGTCTTCCTATTTCTTCCTCTTCAAGGAGGACCTTACCGAAGCACAATTAGTTAGCTCGACATTGGACAATTGTCTCCGCAACATTCAATCGACACCGATTCAATTTGAAGGCTCGGAGGTATTACGCGCTTCTGAACGATCACCTGAGCGAACTGTTATCCCTGACCAGGTCAATTGTGTGGTTGGAAATGGTATTCCCATTGCACGCCTTAGCAGGGATGATCGTGAGAAAGTCAATCTGAATAATGATATGGCAATGAGCATGGGGACGGACATGGACGTCGATCTATAGTTTCTTTTCTTTCTTGTTTCGAATCGGCGGCTTGCTACGACATTTTGTTTTCGCATCTTCGCTTGTTTAACGAAAAGTCGTTTCGGTATTTCGACGCTTTGCAGTTTTGATTCGCTTTTGACTATACCGACGATGCGCAATTTTGTTACTAATCTTCTCCGGATACGAAAGGGAGATTTTAAGTTGATCTTCTATCATATTTGTTTCTGATTTTGACAAAGACGAGAACTCAAATAAGAAACAGTAAGTCATTAGATGAGTGAAAATACCAATAAGAAAAACAACGTCACACAGTCATTTCTTTAATTGTAGTACCGAAATCAATAGGATGTTTTAATCAGATAAAACGATAATGTAGTACTACGTGTGGTAATGGTTGCGCTGGGAATCGAAACCAAAAAACCAGATCATTTGGGAAGCAAAGTCACATGATCCTGGGCAGTGACTCAAGCATTCCGCTCGGCCATCGCCAGCGAAGGTTTTTGCACCTCCGAACTCCGCGCGTCGCTGGACTCGTTTCTCGCCTTAACGAATGCTCATTAACGCGTTCGCAAAATTTATAGCCTGGGCCCCCGTTTGGGAAGGATATATCGATCCTTATTGATCCTGTTTGTTTGTTTTCGCCCTATTGAGCCTATTCACTATTGTTCTATTGTTTCTCGTTTGTGCATGCTTCGGCTTTTCAATCCGAGGCCGCGGGGATTCAATTATATCAATTACCGACAACAATATCGAGGAGTGCGATGAATATGATAGACTTGAAATATCGGATATTCACTACTATCACAACTTGAAAGAACCTCGGAAAGGAAATTTACCAGCATGCCTCTGGTCAAACCACCTGTCCGGCCGCAGCCACGGCAGCCCGTGAGCAGGCTGCAAAGTATCAAACCACCCCAGTCAGGAGCTATACCACTCAAACGTTCCGTGGGCATACAAGTCCCCCGAGTGGGTAGTATGAGCAGCAGCAGTGGTCTAAGCCATGCAGCAGCGCCACCGCCAAAAAGGCCGGAAAGCAAAAAGCCAGCCGAGACATGTCCTAACCCTAACTGTCCTGATCCTCGCATCATTCGTGATGAGGATATGAAAGTCTGTGAGACTTGTGGTGCGGTCGTTAGTGAGGATACTCTTGTCTCTGAAATAAGCTTTGGGGAGACTTCGGCCGGTGCAGCGGTCGTTCAGGGATCCTATGTCGGTGCCGATCAGACTCATACTCGGAGCAGTGGACCGGGTTTCCATCGCGGAGGAGGCATGGAAAGTCGTGAAATCACTGAGCAGAATGGTGCCCGCTATATTCAACAGATGGCACTAGCTTTGGACATCCCCGAGAGCGCGCAAAAGGCTGCCGGTCAGGTATTCAAGTTGGCCGTTGGATTGAACTTTATCCAGGGTCGACGAACCAAGACCGTTGCTGCAGTGTGTTTGTATATTGCCTGTCGACGACAGCCCGGAAACACAGTCATGCTTATTGACTTATCCGATGTCTTGATGATCAATGTGTTTAAAGTCGGTCGGGCATATAAGATGTTGTTGGAAGAATTGCGACTCGGCGGCACGGTGTTTACGATGAATCCCGTTGATCCCGAGAATCTGATATTGCGTTTCGCCAAGCAGCTTGAGTTTGGTAACCGGACCATGCATGTTGCTAAAGAAGCCGCGAGGATTGTGCAGCGTATGAATCGTGACTGGATGACAACCGGGCGTCGTCCAGCGGGTATCTGTGGCGCTGCTCTGATTCTAGCAGCACGTATGAACAATTTCCGACGCACCGTACGTGAAGTCGTTTACGTTGTCAAAGTCACTGAGGTGACTATCAACCAGCGACTGAACGAGTTTAGCTCTACGGATAGTGGCGGTCTTACCGTCGATCAATTTCGATCTGTTCACCTGGAGAATGCGCATGATCCCCCGTCTTTCAACCCCAAGAAGAAAGAAGGTCGGAAGAGAAAGTCGAAAGTACTAGAGACTGCAGCAGAAATTGAAGATTCTGAAACAGAGACGGAGACAGATGCTCAACCTACCCCACCACCACTACCTAAGCAACCACGCATCGATGCAGATGGTTTCGCTATTCCGGAAATCCCTATAGATCCTGCATTGACTGCTATAGATCCCGCGCTGAGTGCGGGAAATTACCAAAGTACAACTGCGCAGAATACAGTCTCTAGTATTGAGGCGGAGCTTTTGGCGCAGTCAGTTCTCGATAGCGAACGAGAACAGACATCGAAAAAAGGAAAGAAGAAACAAACAGTACCCGAACCAACTCCTGAAGAGCTTGCTTCTGAGGAAGCGCTCGAGAATGAAATGAATCAATTCCTGGCTAATGGCTCCGACATGGTCGAAGCAGCAGCGACGAATAGAACCGCTACCGCCGCAGCATCAAATACAAAACCCAAGGCACCAGTCTCCGACAACAGGGAGATTGAAGCCTCTGAATTCGAGTCTGACCCTGAAGTCGCGAATTGTCTTCTCTCGCCCGCAGAAGTCGAAATCAAAGAGCGTATTTGGGTACATGAGAACCGAGACTATCTCCGCGCACAGCAAGCAAAAGCTCTTAAGCAAGCACTATCTCAAGGCGAGGATGACGGAACTTTACAGAAAAAACCACGCAAACGGCGCAAAGGAAGACTGGGCGACGTAACCTATCTGCAAGGTGAAGATGGGAAGGGTAGTCGCGCGTCTACACCGGCAGAAGCTACGAGACTCATGCTTGAGCAGAGAGGATACAGTAAGAAGATCAATTACAAGATGTTGTTTGATCTATATGGCGACGAAGGTGCGGCTGAGATTGAGAAGGCGGAATCACAGAAACAAAGTCGCAGCCAGAGCGTGGCATCAGAAGCGGCCTCGTCTGCCAATCTCAAACCTGTTGTCTCTGCTACACCCAAGATTGCAGTTCCTGGTGCGACGGCGGGAGGATTTAACGAAGCCGATTATGACGACGAGGAGGAGGAGGCAGAGGATGCGGTTGGTGAAGAGCCAGACGATGATCAGGAGGACATTGAGAATGCTTTTGCTGGGAATTATGATGAGGAGGATGATTATTATGACCAGGGAAGCGACGATGGCTATTAGCCATATTACAGCATATGCATGGTTTTACACATGTAGATCTATCAACAATATATTTTACATTACCATACATGTAATAACTACAAAGAAGGAGTAATAGTACAGCAGGCTCATCCCGTTTCAAGTGTCTCATGATATGCTGCAGATGTTTCAACCACGAAACACCAAACATAGACGATCGCCTTGTTAAACAACATTTACTAACCAATACATCATCCAGAAACAATCAACCCACGACGACGCCTTTGTTAGGGCAGACGCATCCGGCCTGTAGCAGAAATCTCGCGGGCGGCGTGTGGCAGCACGCTGATTGGGCGGGAGCGATGCGGCATTTGTGCGTAATCGCGACGCTTTTTCCCTTTTGGTCCTCGTCCATTGTAGTCTGGCACAAAAGACGCATTTTCTGGTCTATTTGTCAGTAATCTGTTAACTTTTTCTCTTCTATTTCTTTCGCTCTGTTAGCGAAAATGGTTGAGCTGTCTGCGCCATTCCATCACTCTTACTCATCTTGCTGCTGCTTTGTTTGCCACCAGTGCACCAGATGGGACAGATAAAAACTGCAGTTTCATGTCTTGGGAATACCTTCAGCTAAACGAATATCTTCGAATAAATTATTTTTAGCATATTCAAGACTTCTGAAAACGAGGTTGTCGACAAGATGACTTCACACAAACCAGCTCTTCTTACAGTGCTGCTGGCGACAAACATCCACTGCGCTTCTTGCGTCGCTCTTGTTAAGGAGATTCTTACATTCTACCAATCCATCACAAGTGTCGATGTCTCTGTTCTTCAGCAAGAAGTCCGGGTCCGCCACGGTCCCGAAATCAGTGCATCGGACTTGACAAGCACACTCATCGATGCTGCGTTCGAAGTACAGCTAGCCACGACCCAGGATGAGTCTACAGGGCAGATCCTGGAGTCCATTGAGACTTCCTCATGGGTGACGTCGCCGCCTGTCGTGCGATCACCTCTTCTGTCATCCGGTACACACACCAGAGTCACGCGGGAACGCAGGTTATACGAGTCCCAACGACGTAAGCACATAGAAAACTGCCAGGCCTGCCAGACCGAGCGACAGTATGCTCTCCACGAGGCTAAAAACTCACCACCCAAGTACGACAGAGTCTGGACAGAGAAGCTGGTGACGACAACACCAACACTGAAAAAGAACGACCCCGAAAAGGAGACCCCGACCCTGGAGTCTGTGCAGGTCACGCAACCAAAGCTGCCGGATGTGTTCCATGCCCGTATTGCGATATCTGGCATGACGTGTGGTGCATGTGCGAATTCAGTCACGGAAACGATACAGCAACTAGACTTTGTCAAGGAGGTGTCTGTGACATTGTTGACCAACAGCGCTGCTTTGATTTTTACTGGGCCACGAGAGAATATCGATAAAATCATCGACGAAATCGAGTCTACTGGGTTCGATGCCACAGTCGACACGGTCGAGAAAGTCACCGAGACAGGAAACGATGTAATACCTGTTTGGGAGGCTCAATTTGGCATTGGCGGAATGACTTGTGCTTCTTGCGTGAATGCTGTTACGAATCATGTCAAGCAGATGGACCATGTCAAAGATGTGTCTGTCAGTTTGTTGAACAACAGTGCCACCATTGTCTTTTCAGGCGATCAATCCTACAGCAAGACGATTTGCGACGAGATCGAAGCTATCGGGTACGACGCTTCGTTGATCGAAGTCGTGCAACAAAACAAGCCCCCTTCCGATGCTCGCCCTAGGTCTAATAGGTACATCGCAAACATCAGCATCAACGGTATGAGCTGTGGCGCATGTGTTGGAAAAGTGACGCAAGCCGTTCAGAGTATTTCCCACGTCAATGATGTTGTGGTCGATTTGCTTTCGTCTAGTGCACGGGTCGAATTCGAAGGCAAGGACAACACGCAACAAATTATAAACGAGATTGAGGATATTGGCTACGAAGCGACCCTCATCGATTGCAAGCCAGCTGAAGTCGACACTACTTCAAAGCCAACGGAACGAACAGTCATGATACGTGTCGACGGAATGTTCTGCCACCACTGTCCTGATAAGGTACTCCTGTCACTCAAAGACCTGGACGACAGCATCCAAATTTCAAAAGATCCAACGTTGAAAGATCCGATTGTCAAAGTTACCTATACACCCAAGCAACCGAACTTGACAATCCGACGGATTTTGGGTATTATCGACTCGTCCCATGAAAACTTCAAAGCAAGCATTTACCACCCTCCATCTATCGAAGATCGTTCTCGCGCAATGCAACTGCGCGAGAGACGTCGTTTCCTCTTCCGTCTCGCATTTGTCCTCATGGTCGCCATTCCAACATTCATCATCGGAATTGTCTTTATGGATCTCGTCTCCTCCGACAACCGTGCTCACCAGTACCTATCAGAACCAATTCTGGGAGGATCTGTTTCTCGCATGGAATGGGCAATGTTCTTTGCAACTACACCTGTCATGTTCTACGGCGCAGACGTATTCCACATCCGAGCTATGAAAGAGGTTCAGGCCCTGTGGCGACCGGGAAGCAAAGTACCGCTCTTGCGTCGTTTCTACCGCTTCGGTAGCATGAACTTGTTGATTTCGGCTGGGACCTCAGTGGCGTATATTGCGTCTCTCGGTGTACTTATAGCTGGCGCAACTACAAAGTCTTCAGATGCCACGAATGTGGATACGTATTTCGACAGTGTGGTGTTTTTGACATTATTCATTCTGGCTGGTCGTGCTTTGGAAGCTTACAGCAAGTCCAAAGCTGGCGATGCTGTTTCCGACTTAGGAAAGCTACGGCCAAGTGAAGCGTTATTGGCAAATCCCACTACTTCAGAATCGGTAGATTCTGATAGTGGTGTGCAGAGGATACATGTCGATTTGCTTGAAGTCGGTGATATTGTCATTATTCCCCACGGTGCTTCCCCTCCAGCAGACGGCGTAGTCACCAGCTCCGGTGATTACCAATTTGACGAGAGCTCCCTCACTGGCGAGTCGCGACCCGTCTCAAAATCAACCGGCGATGAAATATACTCTGGTTCCGTCAACGTCGGCCAGCAGGTATCCATCAAAGTGACGGAGGTTGGAGGCGCTTCCATGCTTGATAAAATCGTCAGCGTTGTCCGCGAAGGACAGAGCAAGCGAGCACCCATGGAACGAGTTGCAGATGTGATTGTTGCATATTTCGTGCCCGTCATCACACTCATAGCCATCCTGACTTTTATCATCTGGCTTGCACTTGGGCAATCTGGTTCTCTTCCATTGGGATATCTTGACACTACACTCGGTGGCTGGACTTTCTGGAGCTTACAATTTGCTATTGCCGTGTTTGTTGTGGCGTGTCCATGTGGTCTAGCCCTCGCTGCACCGACGGCTCTCTTCGTTGGCGTTGGTCTTGCAGCGAAGCGAGGTATCTTGGTCCGAGGAGGTGGAGAAGCTTTCCAAGAAGCTACACGTCTTGATGCGATTGTGTTTGACAAGACTGGCACCTTGACTGAGGGCGGGAACCTCAGAGTATCTGAGCATGAGATTCTTGACTCTACAAACTCTCAAAAGGTTGCTATCGCGTGGACGTTGGCCCGAGAACTAGAACAGACTAGTAACCATCCGATCGCGAAGGCCATTGTCGAATTTTGCAAGGATAAACTATCTGCCGAGAACAAGATTGGTGTGAAGTCATCTGATATTCTTGAGATCTCTGGCCAGGGCATGAAAGGCACCTTCACACTCTTAATCGATGGTGAGACTGCGTCGTATGAAGCAGTCATTGGCAACGAACGACTTGCAAAGAGTGTTGTTACCCAGACATCGGACTCGCAATACTTCTTTGAGAACATTCTATCCAGATATCAGTCGGCTGGACGTTCAACAGCTATTCTGCTCCTCCGTAAAGCTCAATCATCGATCAATAAAAAGGACAAGGAGACCGGCGTCGACATGGACAACTCTGACCACTATACTCCCCTAATCATATTCGCTACATCGGACCCCATCCGCGCCGAGTCAGCTCAGGTCATCGCCCAACTCCAAAAACGCAACATAGCCGTCTACATGTGTACCGGCGACAACGAAAAGACCGCCCATGCCGTCGCATCTACACTCGGCATCCCACAGACCATGGTTCTCGCAAACGTAATGCCAGCACAGAAAGCGGAATACATTCGCAAAATCCAGTTCTCATCACTATCTTCTTCAGACACTGAGAACCAGACAAAGCAACAAGTCAGGAAGATAGTTGCCTTCGTAGGCGACGGCACAAATGATTCCCCGGCTCTCACAGCCGCGGACGTTAGTATCGCCATGTCGTCCGGCTCCGATGTCGCAATTTCTTCCTCATCATTCATTCTGTTGAATTCAAACCTCACCACAATCTTCGAGTTGGTGAAACTATCGCGCCGCGTCTTCAATCGCATCAAACTCAACTTCTTCTGGGCCGCGATATACAACGTCATCCTTGTCCCCGTCGCCGCGGGCGCGTTTTATGCAATTCCTGACGGGACGCAGAGTATCACTGTGGCGGGTTATACGCAGCATGTAAGTGGGCACTGGAGACTGAGCCCCGTTTGGGCTTCGCTTGCGATGGCGTTGAGTAGTGTTAGTGTTGTGACAAGTAGTTTGGCGTTGAGAATTGAGGGAAGGGATATCAAGAGGTGGATTATGAAGGTGTTTAAAAAGGCATAAATGAATATGAAACATGCATATTTATATTTTCGGGATTTAGCATAGATAAACAGACTCTCGGGAGCGTTATGGGCCGCATGTATGTAGTCTGGTTACTACACCTCATGAATGTTCTAGAAGGACTTTTTCAATTAATCTCATTTCATATCGAGTGATTGAAGCGAACGGCATTGGGTATCAATACTTCTCTAGACTACAATAATATGGAATAAAACGAGGTCACTCTTTCTCGCCCCATATCTCAGCCACCTTCCTACTCAAAGTTCCAGCAATCTTCTTCTTCGCAATCAGATTCCCCATCTTATCCGTAAGCATCCTCTCCCTCGCTTTCGCAGCGTCCTGCGGAGTCGCCGCAGAAGAAGACACAGACTCGAACCCTTCCATGAACGCTCGTGGCGTGCGCCAATGTCGTTGTATTTCTAATGCTTTGTCGCCTGTGATACCCCTTGTGCACATGAGCATTTTGAGGAATACGTCTCGTAAGGTTAGTGTGTCGGATTTGGATGTTAATGCTGAAAAGGTAGAGAATGACACGCCGTACGTTGTAGTTTCAGAGGATCGGCCACAACGAAGTTCGCGGAGGGTTGTGAGGTATGATTCCGAAGATGATAGGTTGGAGCTGGGGATTAGTGCTACAGATTTCGGTTTGACGCTGCTGCGACTCGGTTGACTTGACCCTAAAGAAGATGCCAAAAGAGACTCACTACCGTACATTTTGCGCAGGAGAAATGTCATTCGTGCTAGGTATCTGATGGTGTCGTCAAGATTCTTGGTCTTTTTGACAAAGTAGCCGTTGACAACCTGTGTAGAAGCAATGGCAGAGGCTACTGCATCCTGGTAGTTTGGTACATTCCCAGCTGCTGAAGCAGATGGATGTGAGACGTTGAATTCTTCGATAAGGTAGACGACATTCGAAATACCGCTGCGGCGGAGTCGAAATTTCTGTTCGTGAAATCTTCCATCTTTTATAGACCCGATCAAATCGTCGAGTCGTTTGCGCTCTACGATCCAATCTAGCATCACCTCGTCGCCTTCTTCGCCGTACCGCGATAGATAGTCTGGGTCTTTGCATTTTGCAACCCACATTGCATCGCCGAGTTCAAGTGCCCGCACTTGTGTTGTGATGCCTTTCGTTTCTAGCTCTTTTGAGATATAGTCTCGGTCATTCTTGGCACGAACTTCACGAGAATCTAATACAAGTTCAATCGTGAAACTGTTTGGGGGTAGGATTATGGGGCTTGAGGGACGATTCGAATTCGACAATTGGGATTCCTTGCTTCGTGTGGCAGATATTGGGCCGATCTCGTCGAGAACCGTGATACCATCGTCGTCCAGCGACGTGAAAGCCTTGTCATTGGTCTGAAATGTGCGACTCGATGTTGGAAGGCCTGGTTCACAAGGTAAGGCCTACAAAAGTCAGGAAAATATAAGATCATCCCCGACCGGTGTGTACATACCGACTGATTTGGTAAAGGCAGTCCTACCGCACTTGTATTACGAATTCTCTTTGCACATTCCCATCCTTCTTCTGTCAGTGCATACTTTCGCAGAGGCCGACCCTGTTCGTATACAAGCTCCTTTGTTATAAGAGTTTTCATCGAGTTCCATGCCGTGTAGAATTTGGTGGGATCACTAGGAGCTGTAAATGACGTATCAGAATGCGCCTGAGCGACTTCAATTAACTGCGCTTTTGACATTCCTTGCGAAGAGTTCTCGTCTATCGTTGACAAGCCTAGTATTAGAGCGTATGCTCCGGATCGTAATGCAGGGACGTAAGGTTTAGCCTTCTTCTTTTTGGCGGGTTGGTCTTGAGCTGTGAGGTCATCTCCCGATTGTCGTTTCTGGGTCTTTTTTTTATTTGGAGGTTCTGGCATGGGTAGGCCATGTTGGTCGCAGTATTCCTTCAACTTCTCTGTAAGCCTGTCGCAGAGTTTAGGGCCTAAGCCGTTTAACTGAATGGCTTCTGAAGGATGACTGAATTCCAAAGGGCAAGCTTTCATAGATTCGTATGCTTTTTTGTATCTAAGATGAATCAATACATAGGTCTAATATCTCCGATAGGGCCAGGGTTGGAACGGACACTGTGAAGCCTTTTGAGTTACGTTCTCGGGCTTCATCAAGCCATTCCTTGATCCAACCCAGTAGGAGTGGGTTGGCGCATATGTCGACCATTTTGTATCGCAATCATGCAAGCTGAGCGGCATCAGTCACATCGTTCGTCTCAGGGCTGTCCTCGTAAGCTACTCCTCTATTCCTGACGGAGCTGGTCTGTATTGTGGAGAGACGTGTAAATGACTTCGCGTTACGCGTCGGGCGGGACACGCTAGAGTAAAAGTCACGTGGTTGATCGTGAATGACGTCACTACGAGGGGTCTGAACTATCTTGACTTACTTGAAGCAACACGTCAAACCCGGTGAAAGAAGAAAAACGGTATTCATGATCGAGTTGGCGAGATCAGACAACTGCAGCTCAAGAACACGCTTTACATCATCTAGTCTGCTGGGGCTGGGTGGAACACTGGCAAAATATATCCTGAGGCTATTCCGGACCAATATTGGCCGGTTCCTTGTTAGAGTTGTTAGCGAGGATCACGTCCGACCCAGTTTGATCTCAAACTGTGGATATCATTGGCAACCCGGTTCCATGCCAACATCATAGGCGATCCGAGTCCAGGTTCGTACAAACAATGTGAGAGATGTAGGTGAATCTGGCTGTTTAGGGCTAAATCGACCCTTGTAAAGTGATGACGTCGGCCCTTACCCACCTGTTATAATTGTATCACGTATAACGACTGTTCAACCTTCATCATTAACTCTTGAGATCACTATCCCCTGGAGTGTGCTCACTTGTGATCTCAGCATCCCCTAGCTGTCATGGTATTAGACAACGCTAAACCCGCTACAGCCTCTTCAGGCCAGCGTCCAAGCAACACCATAGAAAATGTCACAAACGACATCAACAAGGTCGACATACTCAAAAGTGAGCTCAACGCCCCAACAGACAGCCATGCCCTCGCACACGCCGAAGTGGAAGAGGCCAGCTTGATTCACACATCGCCAGATGATGAAGCCACTACCGACATTGGCTGGCAACAGCAGCCACACGAATTCGATGAACCTATCGTTGGCGGAATATCAAATGAGGACTTGTGGATGTTGATTCGACGATTCAACAAGGTTGGTGTTATATTGTGTGCATTACTGAACAAAGGTCTGACAAGTACTCCTTTAGCAAATATACCATGTCAGGGATACTCCTACACTCCCACTCGACAACTTAGATCTCAACCCTGTTGAGGATGAGGAGTTCTCGCCCGACAAGCTCAGGTCAAACATTGAGCGTTTGTATATGACGGTCATTGTGGGTTTGATGAACTCGTACAAACATATTGTTAGACTCAGGTCATGGCGTGAACAACGACGTACTGCTGCTTTCTGTGCTGTGAGTTTGAATTTATACAAGAAAGGCAAGTCAGGACTAATTCTTGAAACAGGTCTACTTTGCAGCATGGATTTTGGACCTCGTTGTACCTGTGCTGCTCTCCGTTGTGGTCGTCTTGATTCTCTACCCGCCTAGTCGCTCAATCCTATTCCCTCCTGCACCTATTGCTTTGGTTGATTCTCAAACCGGCGGTGTTCAAAAACCACGAGCCGGCGTCCTCGGATCCAAAGATAGTCTCACTGGTGCTCCAGAGCGCTATCGGGGCGAGGCCGTCGAGCGAGAAGCTAGCAACCTGGTTAGCAGTGTCGCCGGCGTGGCCATAGGAAGTGCAGCGGGCAAACACGATCCAGCGGTTCCTGATGATGCTCCAATGGAAGACAAAGTCCCGGACGTGACGGATGTGGCATCTCAGGTCGGTGATTTGCAGAATTCAGCAGGCGGAGGAATCCCATCAACCAAGCATGACAAGACAAAGAAGCCGATGTCGGATGCTGTTTGGCAGAAAATGAAGCCGGTTATGCATATACTTGGTGATATAACAGATACATATGAACGATTTGGCAAGTATGTACAGCTACATCCCCCCGACTTATTCGATCACTAATCGATGGATCAGTGCATTATCTCCAGCTCCGCCGTTCCCTAAATATGCAGCTCGCCTAAGACTTGCTGCCATCTTACTTCCAATGGCCTTGGCTTCACTTTTCATTACTTCCTATATGGTCGTGAAGGGCACCGGGTTCATGTTTGGCTTTGTCTTTTTCGGTGACCCTATTCTGGTCAGAGGTGCCAAGTACCTCAATCGCCGATTCCCTCATTGGCAAAAAATCTTGGAACTACGAAAGTTAGTCTCTTTCCTATTGGGGGTTTATTTTAGCTCCTGACTGACAATTTATTAGCTCCATCCTCAAAGGTGTACCAACAAATGCTCAGCTTACCATCACCCTTCTTCGCCTTGGAGAAGTAAACGGAACACCAATTCCTCCACCTCCGACATCTCTCGATCAGGCACCCTCAAAGCCTGCATCTATCCACGAAGATATCCCCCTCGATGCATCCCAAGCTGAGATCGAAAGTGCCGTCAGACCCGATCCGACCATCACCAAGCAAGTTACCGAACCAAATTCTCACCTAAACGAAAAATCCAAGAAGAAAGGTTTCGTACCTGCTATGCTTCGATTCTTCAAAGGGACAACTGCCAAGGGAGTTGAGACTAAGTTGGCAACGAACTATGCTCTGGCTGGTCTTGGCTACCGAAATGCAAAAAATCATCTTGGTATTCTTCCCAAGAAGGGCCTTGAGGTATCACCGCGTGGACCGGTAGACTTTCAATGTCGGTACATGGGTAAGAAAGGATGTCTAGTGCTTGATTGTAGTAAAGAGGAGCCTATTCTTTATTTCACTAGCGAAACGGGTACCCAGCCACACAACCTTGAGGAAGCAAAGAAGGTGCTTTTCGCTATTCTTATCAAGGATATACGCCATCTAAAGAAATTAGGTGGAATGGGCTGGAAGGGAAAGCTCGTTGTTGGATGGGCCGAGGCTGAGAAGGAAGTTATCGATGGACTGCGGATTATAGGCAAAGATCCAAAGCAGAATTTCCATATCACGGCGATGAAAACGAGGGATCAGTTGTTTAACCGACTGATTGCTATGGGAGATCAGGTGTGGGATATTTGCTAATTGTTTCTCAACCCCATTACTTGTATCGGCTATATTATGATTGACGACAGTATGCAGTAGAATAAGCTTATGTAGATAGCCATGGAATTTAGATTTTATTGTTCTAAAATCTCTTTGAAATCTCTGACAGCCTGCTCAAATGACTCGTCTCTATGGAATCCCAATTTGATAGCCTGGCTATTATCAAATCTCGTCGGCCACGAGTGCACAATCTTCTTGACAATTGGGTCCTCCTGTTCCTTCAACAAAGCCAACTTATCCTTGCCCCCGACTTTCTCCAAAGCATCCATCATATCTTGGATCGTCACACAGATGCCCGGAACATTGATCTGACGAATATGAGGCGGTACACAGTCTGCTGGCAAACCAAGCGTAATAATCAAATTCCGCACCAATGTGCGAGGGGAACAGAGCCATGACTCAAAATATCGATCCTCAAGAGGGATAATCGCCTCTTGGCCATTGAGCGGTTCCCGAATCATGCCAGACAGAAACGAAGAGGCCGCTGCAGTCGGCTTTCCTGGTCGTACCGAGATGGTAGGGAACCGGAGCGTGAAGCCGGTGATGAATCCTCGACGGGTATAATCATTGACCAGTGTCTCACAAATAATTTTTGCTGCGCCGTAGGATGATTCGGGTGTAGGTATGACGTCGTCCGTCACGATTTTAGGCAGAGGTTGTCCATATACAGCCTGGCTAGACGAATAAATGAATCGGACACCTGGGAAAGCTTTCTTGCGCAGAGCTTCGAGCAAAGCTCGCGTTGCGTCAACATTTGCTTTCATGCCGAGCTCGAAATTGGCCTCGGAACCTGAAGACATGATACCGTGGAATGCGTATACGGCGTCAGGCGCGGATTCGGTGACCAGGCTTTCGATGTCGCCGTCTACTAAATCTGTTTTGATGGACCTTGCATTCTGGGGGTATTTCACTCCTGCTGGGACCGGAGGGTCGACGATGTCCACGAGGATGACTTTGTGCGCCGGATGGTTTAGAAGTTCTTTTGCGAGAAGTTGGCCGATAAACCCGGCGGCTCCGGTGATGAGAATATTCATGTGTAAGTGGAATAACACGATTGGATGATCTCGCGATAGATATTTGCAAGATGTCTCCTTTCAATTTTACAACTCCTGAAGAAGGGAACGTGTTTCTATAGAACGCAGTAAGCACACCCCACCATAGACGTTCCCCTCATACTTGCTCCAGGTTTGTCTCCGCATTGTAAGGAGCAGCTCCGAGATCTCGGAGATGCTCCGACTTCGCGCTTCAATATCTCAATACTTCCAATATTTGAAATGTTCATCGCATAGGCTGCAAAGAGTAGACTTGATACTATCGATCCGGCCTGGAAGCCAGTCTTGAAGGTAATGTCTTTCAATGAGCAGACAGCTCAAGAAGGATTGTCTGGTTACGTCGAGTATGGGGAGTTGTAATGATTGTATTAACCTCTGAGCAGAACTTGCTTCGGGGCAATTGCATAGTAAATAATCCAACAATCCCTGCCAGGGCTTATGATAAACATACCACCGAGTGAAATCACATCACCACAACATGGATGTCTCGCTTAGGTCAGACGAGGCATCTGAGTGGGCGGAAGAAGTCCGGGGTACTACCAATTGATGATACTAGTAAATTACTAGCGCCGGAGACTCGGGGAAAGCAAATGGCATGATGATCTGTGCTCTTGTCTTTGACACTTTCTTTGTATTGCTCTTATTTCGCGAACAAGGCACCGAGATCTGACTCGGCTAACCCCCTCTTGGCTACGAGCATTTGTTCCGTGAAAGCACATGGCGATGTGAGGCTTACCTGGCAGCCGATTACCAAGCATGTCAACAAATGTTACGCCACTCAAGCGATCCGCCATAGAAGCTGGATTGGACAACGATGATTCTGTCATAGACGTCGACACCAAGGCTTCGGTGCCAAAGGTGTCAAAGGCTCGTGCGTGTGAGTGTAATGAAATAGCTTTTAGTAAACGTAAAGCGCTAACACTTTGTCATCCCAGGCGCCGAGTGTAAACGACACAAAATCAAATGCGAGGTGAAACCCGGCGAAACAAGCTGTACAAAGTGTCTCCGCAGTGGGATCAAGTGTGTAGTCAACGACTTTTCACAGAAATTTGTGGACGACGATTTAGCGTGAGTGAAGCTGATGCGAGCGACAACGGAAGCAGACGGCTAATTGTTCGGTTTAGATGGAAATCGCAAGCGAACTCTACTATACAACAACTACAGGCTGCCGTGTCGCATCTCCTTCGACACAACAATCTGCCCGACATTTCAACATTTTCTCCATCGGAAAGCAACGTAGACCGAACACCAGAAGCAACGGTCACCCCAAGCGTCCGGCTACCGTCCCACGACACAAAGCGATTGAGTGTACCGGCTATCAACTCAAGCACTGCTACCGAAGGACAGATGATGGCCAGAGAAACTTCACAGGATGGAAATTATGAGGAGCAAGATCTTGTTTCCGCGCCAATGCGCAGTCTTTACGAGGTGACCAAGTTACGGAATTTCGGAAATCATATGGTTGAGAAACCAAAGTCAACATTACTAGAAGAAGATTTCATCTCGCGCGGGTATGTGTCGCTACATGAAGCGCAAGAACTGTTCGCATACTTTAGCCGCACAATGAATCAGCTTTTATGGGGTGGTATTGCTGTTCCTCATCGGGACCTGACGTCCGTACGGCGAGCATCAACGCTTCTTCTGGCTGCTGTTCTGACGGTAGCTGCACTACACATACCGAACCGAGCAGAAACTCTAAATACGTGCTACAATGAATACGTGTCGCTGGTATCTAATATGGCTTTGACACGGTCACATACGCTAGACGATATTCGTGGGCTTTGCGCGGGCGCATTCTGGCTATCGGATCTCAGCTGGAAGCTATCTGGACATGCGGTCCGTATTGCAACAGAGATGGGTCTGCACCAGAGCTTCCATAAGATGACTCGCGGGTACGCTGATCAGTACCATTACGAAAGGGCCCAACTTTGGTATTTGCTCTATGTGTGCGACCACCATTTCAGCATTGCATATGGACGGCCTCCGGTGATTCACGAAGATAGTGCCATCAAAAATTGCGAGATGTTTTTACAGACTCGATTTGTCGTTCCAGGCGATATTAGGCTCATGGCGCAGGTTGCTCTCTTTCACATTCTGACCGAAGCATACCACACTTTTGGTTCGGATGCTGAGCAGCCGCTCAGAGAAGAAGACTTTGGACAGTTGCGGGTTCATAACGTAGCGGTTGATCAGTGGCGGCTTTTATGGCAGCCTCGATCGGCCGACAGCCCGTACGTTCGCACTTATCCATCCAAAGGGGTAGTACTTCACTATCATTTCGCCAAGTTTCAACTAAACTCGCTTGCTCTCCGAGCATTATCGCCAACAAATACACCAGTTTTCTCAATGGACCGCAAGGAATGTGCCAACGCTGCAATCTCAGCGGCCATGTCATGTCTAAACATGGTATTAGAAGAACAAGACGTGCGCGACGCCATTGTCGGTGTCCCCATTTTCACGCACACGATGGTCACGTTCTCGGCAGTATTCCTGCTCAAAGTCGCCGTTAACTGGAACTCGGCGTACCTCAATATCGACGGAAGACAGGTACGACACACGGTTGAAAGAGTAATCGAGTTGATGAATTGCGTGAGTGCAGGCGATCGACATCTAACTCGCCATATTGCGCGCGGCTTAAGCAAAATGCTTGATCGGTTCAATGCGTGGGAAGGATGGTTCAACAATCACGGTACCAGGAACCCTTCCACTGCAGTTCCCGTTGGAAATAGCAATGCTGGGGCCCCTACGAATGGCTATGATAACCCCGCGGCTTCCACCGCTACTATAACAAATAGCAACGACCTGCAGCCTTCCTCCACAGTGGTCAACACGGGGAACAATGTCAGCACCGGGGTGAGAAGACGCTCCATACCCGGAGGCGCGAATGCCATGGCTCAGGGACTTCCACCCCCGGATCTTATCTATACAATGGTCGGCACTTATGGATTTGGCCTCGATGAGCAGTTGATGGATCCTACGATACCAGGATTTGAGTATATGTCGCAATGATTTTGCTTTTCGGCCGAGGATATGGAGTTTATGATGATTAACCATAGTTGTTTTGTATATAATAGCGATGGAAGTGAAGGTTACTTGTATTGACGTTCATATAGTATGGATATAATTAGTATCACTTTTATGCACCACTGACGTGGCTGTAATATGAATGTGCGTCTGGAGCGTTTATCAAGCAAATGACATGAATTCTTATAGGTAGTCAGTAGTTAGGGCAAGATCCGCGGCATCTGTTATCATCGGACTGTATCTACGACTTTGACAACTGATACATGATAGTAGGTACTAGATAAACAGTTTTGAGGGTTTCGGTTCACTAATACGTGTATACAAGTTTTATATCTGCGCTGGAATCATTGATCGAGAGGATCAATAATGATTTCCTTTTTGAGCTCAGTCGGTGACCGATCGACCTGCTCGTTTACACTCGTTTATAGATCGATTCTATGGTAAATACGAAAGTAAAATCTAAACCCGAAATTGTCATGACCTAGATTTGCGATATGACACGAATAAATTGAAAAAAGATGACAATACATTGAGACGACGATATTGTCATAATCAATCCTCAGCCTCAACCTCAGACAAATCATCTTCCTTTGGCACATCGCCACCCTTCTGCTTCTTGGCAGCCTGAGCAGGGCCGGACTTGTCGGCAGTGTCGTTTGTGCCATCATCGTCTTCTTCGTCGTAATCTTCGCCTGCGCCGTCTTCGCCTTCATCCTCGCCTTCACCGTCGTCGTCTTGGTCTTTGGCTTTGTTGTCGTGGGCGGTCTTGCGCTTTTTGGGAGCGGGGGCTGTCGCATAGATTGTTAGATATGATGATTAATTGATTGATTAATTGATTGATTAATTGAAGGGATGGACAGAGGGTAGACGATAGTCGTAGATCTTGGGTAGAAGGAGTGGAGGTGATATTATGATGTGTGAATGGGAAGCTTACCTTCTTCCTTGTTCTCTTCTTCGCCTTCGCCTTCGTCGTATTCCTCTTCCTCTTCCGAGCCTTCTTCACTCTCGTCGTAGTCGTCTCCTTCGGCGTCGGAGGATTGGTACCTAGCCGAGATCAGTCAGTTACCTGGAAGAGTATATCCAACCGCGAATAATCAATTGTATCGACAGAATAATAAAAACAACGAAATAACAATTTCCCTTTACTGGAAGCCGATCGCGTCAGGTATGCGACGGGATAGCGATGTTCTTGACACGGTAGCACCGGCGACGAGGATGGGCGCAATGACGACAACAAGGGAGGAGAGAAGGTGTGTAATTGATGCGACAACGCAATTGCAACTGCAAATGGAACAACTGCTCGGGGGAAAGATGCTTACTCCTCCTCCTCTTCGCTCTCGTCACTGGGAAGAGCTTGCAGCTCCTCCTCCTCTTCGGCTTCTTGCTTCCTCTTGCGCGTAGACATGATTACGGATGTGAGGGAGGTTCGGGAAGTATACGAGTAGAGAGCAAAAGGATGATTTTAAAATGAAAATCGAAGTCAATTTGTTGTAATGAAGTCCAAAGGGAGGCACAAGGCTGGAATAGAGTCTTGTGTAAGAATTGGAAAGGAAAATAAAACAAGAACAATATGAATGGGCGAGGGCGAGCGAGAGATTTAAGGTGAGAAGGGCGAAGGGCGACGGGGTTGGGGAGTCGGGGGGAACGGAGAGTACGAGTAATCGATCCAGCGCCCGGTAATGCTAGCTTTACGTGACAGAATGTCAATCACAAGCAGGGGATTGACTGCTACTACTATGTAGTTAGTTGTTAGCCATTACTAAGCATAGCCAGTCCGTATCGGTCAGTAAGAAAGTTACTGTACGAGACGGAGGTTAGTCTTGAGTGATTATTCCAAGGTGATGGAGGAGATGGTGAAGACGAGGAGGAGGGGCGCCTGGGTGCAAGGCTGGACCTTCATTCAGCTGTGGTGGCCTGCATGCCTGGAAATTCAGGAACTACGCTAGCACGGGACTAGCCAAGCCCTAAATGACTCGGCCACATCACGTGAGTAGCCCCATTCCACGTGCTCGCGTTCCTAACATGGCCTACTAACTACCGTAGTAGACACACTTGACAGATGCAGAATGACATACTACGCATAATACTTGTGAGAAAATGTATATTATGTAGTATGTAAGAGAATATCACATTGTTGTTGACACAGAATTGCCATATAAGCGTTCGCAGACATGCCGCAGCTATTGACAATGGAAGAAGCTCAAATTAAATATATAAAGACAGACGTTTATTGGCAATCATTATCAAACATCACTGCCAGTGCTGCGAAATGTAGCACACACCTGGCAGTATTGGTGCGTCAGGTCGAGTACAGGCTGCGGCAGATTGGTCGCTTGCACGATGCTGCGGACTTTGACCGCGCCTTCCTCTTCAATGAGTTTGCGCACTAATAATAACAAATCGGGAGAGAACTAACGCAAGGTCAGCATTTTAGCCCAAGAAAAAAAAGCTCGAATAGGAAGCTCACCTCGGAATACCAGCGATATTGCCAGGCTATCAAACGGATCAACGCATTAAGCATGCCCCGAGTATCTCCTTGCCTCTCATATAGCTTCAAGATGCCACGCATAGCCTTGGGCGAGAATCGTATCGACAGACATTGCCTGTATGCCTCAATTCCCTCGTCAAAATGATGGAGTCGCTCAGCCAGCTCTCCCAAAATCTCCCACTCGGTTGCTGTTTTCTTGTACTCAAGCGATTGGTGTCGCGAATGAGCCATTTCCGATCGCCAGATAGTGTAAATGCGGAGGTCTTCATACAAGACCATAAACAGATTATCTAACCACCGCTCACACAGCCGTTTGTTCTGGAATTGAGCGTAGTCGGCGTGGGAAGGATCCGGCTGCACCTCATGTTAGTAATGTTTCCCTCTAGTTGAGCCAACTATACTCACATCTTCATTCCCGGACTTGACCGTTTCGGAAGCTACAGTCTGTTCTGGTTTTTCAATGCTGGGTTCAACTGGCTCAAGGCTACCATTCCCATTTTCAGTGCCGTTTGCTTCACCGGAATGATCCTCGTCCGTCTCGGCATCACTGGCTGCGTCTCCCATAGGGCTCGGGGGCGGATGAAGTGCAACGGTGCTAGCATTATGCGAGTGGCTTGGCTTGGTCGTTTGCTGACGCTCCACTCGGTATTCTTCTTCCATCACAAACACATCACTTCGAATCTTCAACAGCTGATCCCACCCAATAGCAGCGGCAATCTTTGTGAGCAGCTCGTAAGCTTTGAGAAATGTACCCTGGTATCCGGTAGCATGTAGCTTTCGAAGAGAAGGATGAACAAAGTCATGTGGGTCTCCTTGTTTGGGCTGGCCTTCATCAATCTCATCTAGCGCACTTTCCGCCAATATAGGGAGAAGAACTCGTGATGGGGGAGGCATGCGGGGAATATCTTTATCTTGATAAGTGAACATTGGACAAGAATTCAAAGTCAGGAGCGCCAAGTCCCACTGCTCCAAGGTGACGTATACTTCGGCAAGTCGAGCCCATGTACTGAACTCGCTGGGTGCGGCAGTCACACTGCGTTTGGCACATTCAAGTGCAAGCTCTCCTTCTCCTTTACTTAAACAGAAAGCGGCCTGGCAGTCCAGAAGCGCGTAGTCCATGGGGACATCTTGGAGAGCGTCATGCATGAGCCGAACAGCCTGGACCTCCTCATCCGCGGAGATAAGGACTCGTGCAAGAAGCGAAGACACCTCCACGTCCTTTGTTCGCAATTTCTCAAAGAGGTTGATTCCTGACGCATACCGACCAGTAGTGTGGATATACTTAAGAAGGCCTGAGGTTAAATGATTTGCGACGGTATTAGGGACTTGAGTTTCGGGTTCGGAACTGAGTTGTCGTCCTAATGTCGATTAGTATCGTTGCGCTAAACTGTACGGCAAACCTTACCCATGAAAAATAATCTCTCCGCGGCGTCCAAGAACTTGTGCTCCATCTCCGTGTTTGTCACCGGGTTGAATCTGCGAACACCAACGATTTTCTTGATTGCATCGCCCGTTCCGTCATCTGCGTATGTGTATGATCTGAGGACTGCGCAAAGGAAGGTCTCCAGCCACAGGGCTTCGGTCGCAACTCGTTTGTCTCCACGCTCATCGATACAATAGCTCTCAAGACTGCCAGGAATCTTGACCTCTACTCGCATGTCCAAGTGAGAAAAGGCATTATAACAACTAAAAGAGTAGACTATCAATCGACCTGTTCATTCGATCATTCGTCAATTCCATTAATCACTGACCAGTACACCCCTGAGACCACCTTATTTTGTTTATCGACGGGCGAGTATGTGAGTGTGTTGACGTATGCGGCGAGGCTGGCAGACGACGATGCATCAATACCTGTAACGTGGTGGTAGACACCGGTCTGCGATCACCATTAGTCATTTATAGTTGGAGTCAATTGCATGATGCAAATATACCTGGCGTGTGGGATTGGTCTTGGATTGCTTGACGAGATAGACTAAATCCGGAGGTCCTAATTCTCGTAAATTCTGCAGCGATTCTGTGCGTGCGTCGACCGCTGTAAAGACATCCTCCTCCTCATAGATCCTGTGCGAACAATCATCGTTAGCCCACCCCTGTCTCAGGCCTATGAAAAGAAGAATCCATGACATACTCGGGCACAGCAGGCAGGACCATGATGTAGAAGGTTCAAGGACTTAGAAAAGTCCAAATAAGAGCGCAGTAGAGATCGAGGCCGACGAACGCTGGAATAAAGGTGGCAGATGCACACGACCCTACACAAGCCGGGGGTCGCAAAAACGTGGAGTCGCGGCCGCAGTACGAAATTGATCCTCAGGCTTGATTGGCTGGTCAAGGAACAAGCAATTGAGTGCTCGTGCAGATGCTCGCAAGAAACAACGGAATACAACGCAGAAGAGAATAACGAAGTTTATTGTCGTCGTAATCAGCTCCAAAATGTTCCTGGACGGGCGCAACTAACACGTGGAGACGTACTAAACTGTCTAAACAGCAGGAGCGGTTCAAACAGCGCTTCCTATTGGTCTGCCGCGCACAGGCCTGGAGCTTCCGCCAGAGAGGCTTCCGTGGCAGCCTTAGGCACCCTGATTTGCGCTCTTTGGGGCTTTTAAGGCTTTTTAGCGCCTGAGCTTCCGCCGCAGCTTCCCSGAGCGCGCCTGCCGTTAGACGTGTTCTACTTCACATCAATCTCACCTTCTACAACTCCAACAACCTAACAACAGACACTACACGGCTTAGCGACTTGAGCGCTCCCACAACCTCGTTGAGTGTTGTCGTCACTTACTCAGCTCTTTGCTGGCTCTCAGTCTCTGACCAAACCGACAAATCGTGATATGCTCCGAATGCGCCATCTTGAATTGTCCACTCCAGCTCAGAGCTGCTGACTGTGCCACCACCTTTCTGACAATTTCTGGTATCTACTAGCGTGATGCTGCATGCCTTCCACAATGGCGAGCTTTACTGCCTTGAACATCGAMCCCGCCGAGGACATTCAGGAAGAGGTCGACGATACCAAGGAGATCCAAATTGAAGAGGCCCTCAAGCTGTACCAGAACGCCCTCAAACTTCATTCGCAAGGGCCTGCCTTCTACCCACAAGCCAAGGATGCATACGATGCTCTCTTGCAATCCGAAGTCTTTAAATACCCCGAATCGATCTCTGATTACCGACGAAATACCCTCGCAGACGGAGACAATGACGAGGTTGCTGTCGACGCGCTCGGCGAAATCGACGTCAATGATGCGGCGGCAAGTGCGCTGCCTCAAACGATATTTCTTTCGTACAAAAATAACGGACAGTTCCTGTTGGATGTCTTGAAGGAGACCCTTCGCAAGCAACCTCCATCTGTGGATGAACAACGTGCGGCTATCACGAAGGAATCACGCTCTGCGATGAGTATGTTTGCGGATGCCCTGGAACGAGATGATACAGATTTGGACCTTTGGCGGAAAAGCGCTCGTATAGGAGGCGCGATGAATAGCTACCGTCTGGCTCGGTATTGTCTGGAGAGTGTTTTAGTTGGCGACGACAACGAGGTTGAAGTACGAACTGAACAACTAGGTTTGGATGAGGCATTCGCTGCTGAAGACCTCCGAAAAACGATTCAAGCGTTGAAGGATGAACTTTCTTCTATCCAGGCACCGCCGCTGAAGAAACCACGGTCGTCATTATTTCGATTTTTCGGCAAACACTCTCAGGATCCCTATCCGTACCTTCCTGGCTTGTCGCGAGATATATCTGATACAGCTCCTTCTACCCTGAAACAGCCATTGAACCGTCATATTGTGAAATCTCCTGAAAGGACATGGGATGCCGTTGGCAAAGCTATCATGCAGCTACTGACAGAGCTACGACGAAACCCGGCCGTTCTCGAGCCTGGCGCCGCTGTTGGGATCGAAATCCCCTCCGAAGAAGCATTGCCACAAAGTCCAGGCGAAAAGAACCAGCCAGTGCCTGCGAACGATGATGTCACTGAGAAGACAACGGCAATGCCTGAAGTTTCAAACACTATCGAGCCAGTGGATGACCAATCTTCGATTGATCAACGTGCGGACGCACAGCTAAGAGAATCCCTGGAGGGATTTTCCGGACAGCCTGCCAATGCTCAAGATACGACAACGGAGGACAAGAACGGGGAGAACGTCGAAAGTACATCAGCCAATGTCAATTCTCGAAAACGATCTTCAACTTCCGTCGCCAATGATGAGATGGCGGATAACACAAGGACTAAAAGTCGTCGCATTCGTGCTAGGGAGTCTATTGTTGAGAGCTTGCAACCGACAGAGGATATCAGTCTTGATAACAGATATTACGATGATCGTTTGGAAGAATTTGCCCATGCCGATGAGTGGATGTTCGGCACTGTTGGTGATTTGCTGTCAAAGGCAGGCATCGAAGCACTTGGAACGGTCGACGATCTCAAGCAACAAATGGCTCTTTCGAATAGCCCCAATTCTCAGCAATCCAAGGATATAGATTCGACCCTTGTTCAGGATCTCCAAAATGCTCTCAGAACCTGGAATGAAGAGCGAGCTCGTTCCGCTATGCAGGGAGACAGTTCCACAGCGTTACAGGACAGCCGTGGGAGGCAACGCTCGGGGCTTGCAATTTTTCTTGATCATTCACGGAAGTCAACGCAAAAGGCCAGCAAAAGGAAAGCGCTGTTTGAAAGCACTGGCTTAGCTGAGTTTACGTCGAGTATCAATGACTGTTGGCTTCATGTCCGTGAAGTTAGCTTTCAGTGGTTGAGCAGCCTTCTACAGCCTGGAAGAGCTCAGTTCTTCGATGCAGTATCTGGCGAGCTTTCAAATGAATCTTCTTATGTTTCATTACCGTGGCCTGAAAGTTTGAAGGAAACGGTTGTAAAGCTTCTCATTCAAGAAGACGATTATATTTACGAAAGACTGGCCGACGTCGTTTGTGGAAGCACGCAGCGAGCCTTAAAACAAGCAGTGTCGAACACTTCCCTGACTTGCGCCGATGACGCTCACGCTAAAGTGGATATGATACAGGCAATCCACGAGCTTCACTTAGATGTCTATGCTCATATGAACAATCCCAACAGTCAGATCGATCAAGCAACCCGAGCTTTACAACGTGATCGCTTAACCAGATGGGGTGCATTGGCGCAGACTGCGGTTAACAATCTCTTGGATACCGAGCCAGAGAGCGAGCAACTTGATAGGATTTCTCTGCGACACCTCTGGTCAATGACTTTTTATTCAAACATGGCTGAGGACGTAAGCCGTGATTATATCATGCTTTGTCTTGAAGATCTCAAAGAGGCTCTGGTCTCATTTGGTGACCCAGAGATAACACTAATCAACAATGCATTTATGCCTCAAGTTTCTGCCGCAGCTTTGGATCAGGAAATTACCCGCCTCAACTCGATGGGATTTTTTATGAGAATTTTTGGGTCAGAAGGGGAAGATCCGGTCTCTTTGATAGAAAGCATTGAACCTGTCCTAGACCCTGCTTCGGTCACATATGTTCGCGGAGATGGCGCGAACGACGAGACTACATCCGTTCCCATTCACTTTCGAGAATTGATATCATTTCTCGATAAAGGAGATGCAACACTACGCCTTTTCTTATGGCGCAGATTGCAAGATGCTTATCGGGCTATCGACTACATTCCTAAGGTTGTGTCGTGCCAACTTCGGAGTATCGAAGCAATCGTCAAGGAGCTTCGGGGACGAGTCTATCTCGAAACGCAAGATGATCGGGCCTCTATATTGCTTCGGTGGTTGAAATCTACCAATAATATTTTGACTAAGCTCATACCACAGCTGATTGAGGATCCTGTGAAATCATTCGAGTGCATTGACGTTGACCACTTACGCTCTTCAATGACCGCTGTCGCTCATCTATCAAGACTTCTTCATAGCTTCGCTCTGTATGAAGACGCAGTCAAAGTAGGGCAACGGCCGCCAGTGGAACTTCGAGGAGCCCTAGGAAAATCTCTCGAGAGTTTTAAAGAGAAGCTTCGGGATATGCAGGTTAGGTGTTGGGTCTTACAGTATACGCTTCTGAAAGAATTCATGATACAGGAAAAGGAGAAGTTTTCTACGCCATCAGATTATCAAATCCAGTATCTCAGAGCCGTCCACAATGCCCTTGGGATCCGATTAGCTTGCAAATATGCCGACAAGGTCTTGCTCCGTCTGATGAAATCGGAGCTTCTAAGTCTTGAGACACAAGAAGATTGCGAGTTTGATATTGCACAGGTCCTTCTTGATCTGCACGGTTTCAAATTTTCCAATCAGTTGGGCACTTCTGATCATGGGTGTCCAACAGAGAAGCCAAACGCGCAATCTGCAGCAATGATGATAGACTTTGTTCTCATGCAAGTCAATCGACTCAATATGAAGGATCTGTCCAAGTCTGATCTGAAAACCACCATTGAAAAGGTGCAACAAGCTATTGGGCCGGTCAAACATTCCTCTTTATCCTTCAACAAGCGAATTATATCAGCCTACCTCAAATCTCCTATCAATCCATCGGAACTGTTTGAACTTGTACGAGGCGTTGGCGGTCTTGCATTGAGATCCTTACCTATAACATACGCTGAAAATGCGAAGAAAGGGTGGTACTTCTTACTTGGTCATGCGTCCTTGACCAAGTTTCGTTCTCAAAAGCGACTGAATGTAGTACCCACCAATGACCTCGACGATGCCATCGGATATTTTCGACAAGACCTGGAATATGCCACAGAACGATGGGAGTCATGGTTTAGACTCGCTCAAACTTACGATACTAAACTTGAAGAGGACATCATATGGTCTTCTGACAAGATTAACAACAATCAAGCGGAGTTAGCAACCCTCCAACGTAGCGCAATTCATTGCTATGCCATGGCAGTTGCAGGTGCAATGAGAGCCGCCGAGGATGACTCAAAGACACGGCAGACAATCTCGGACTTGTTCACCGACTTTGGGATGCGCTTATATGCATCTTCGCGAGAACCTCTCAATATGGCCGCTTTCAGTCTCGAGGATATTGAACGCCATTTCAGCCGTTTTGAAAGCCAGGAACTGTATACGGGTAAACCGTTCAAGGAGCTCGGGGTTTACTCCGTCTGGAGTCTCGCTGGTCACATGTTCAAGCGTGCTATGGTTGACAAGCCTAATAACTGGGTCAACCACTATATGCTGAGTAAATGTCGTTGGAAGATGTTCAACAGCGATGAAGCAACTCGGGGGTCCGCTGGACCAGTGTCAATTGATGAGGTTCTAGATCCTCTGCTTGATGCAATTGAAGCATTGCCACAGCGGAAAGAAAGAGGTTCGTTCCCAGATCGGATACTTGAGCCACATTTTAGGCTAGCGTCTGTACTTCACAAACTTGTGACGCGGAAGCAACTCGAGCCCACCAAAGCCGGAGAGATTCTAGCCGAAACTCCTTGGTCTAAAAACACATCGCCTCCGCAGAATATCGAAGAGTGGACACCATATATACTGGATGTTTTCAAGAAACTCAAGCATGCAGACAAATCTAACTGGCATCATCGTATACTATCACGCATGGCAAAGATCCACTATCATGGTCAGGATGATGCCGATGCAGCGGCAGCAGCAAAGAATGAATTGATGCCCCAGATATTCACCAAAACCATGGTCCTCCAAGTCTGGCGCCCAGAATATGAAAGACCCGGACGACATTACGTCTACACTACACAATACGTCTCTTATTTTACCAAGCTGTTGGACCAAATCAGCGATCATGTCAATCTCGAACAACTACTACGTAGGGTGAGGAAAAAGCAAGGGGACTATATCAATCACTCGAAGCTATGGGAGGATATGTGCATTGTATATGCAAAGGTGAGTCGCTTATCCGATTTTAAACGGCTGAAACTGTACTAATAGAGCTTCCAGCTTATTCGACGTGCGGGAAATATCTCCGAACACTATGAAGAAGGCGTCTTCAAACAGCTAGGCTGGGATGAGTTCGTCACAAACTCCGCTCGATTGGACGACTTTAAAGATCTTGCCACAACTAGTGGACGGACAATGGACTTGCTTCGCGAGGCAGTGGAATTCAAGAAACTCAACAACAATCTCATGAAAGTTACTATGTTTGAGGACCTCACTGCTGATATATATGCGCGCTTGTATGAGGAGAACAAGCATCGATTCATTGAACAGGCAAATGAAGAGAATAGAGGGAGGATGAAAGTCGACCACCTTTTGATGAATACCGATGGTGCCGCGGATGTGCCCACGCCCCCTACTTCGGCTCCTGCATCTGAAGCGCCAGTTCCGCGTGGCCGAACAAAGGGCATCTCCCGCAGAGATATTCAGAAACGAGCCGAAGCTATTGTCATGCGTCATGCTCGGCCTGCAATCACTAAGACCGCTGCTACTCCGGTCGAAGAAGAAAGATTCCCAGCTGCCCCAATAGTCCGAGTTCCCTCTATAGGCAGTATTAGGGGCCTTATGACGGGAACTGCCTCTGCAGCACAGGATAGTGTGCCAGCTAGTCTACATGAGAGTGCCGACGATGAAAGCGAACTCAGTGAGATCGATGACGAGAAACTCGCCAAGCTAAAAGCTGAACAAAGTCTTTTGTTCCCAAATCTAAAATCAATGAGGTCACCGGAACCAGTCTCAGAACTTTCCACGGCAGTTAGCATTGATGCAGACAGGAATGAGGATGCCATGACTGCTGACGACGAAGCCAATGAACATGATGGTGAAGACGATTTGGAAGGAGAAACGGGCATTGTCGAAGAGGGTGAGGATGGAGAAACGGAGTTACAAGCAGCTCCGGAAGATGATGAGGACACGGAGAACGCAGATGAAGAAGAAGATGTCGCAGGGGCCGAAGATGTCGACATGGACGTTGAGAAATTTGAGGAGGCCGCGGATGAAACAATAATGACTATCGATGAAGGTGACGAGACTGAGGAAGACGAGAGCATGTTTAAGACCAACGGCAAAGGAAACGAAAACATAGATAGGAAAGAGAAAGAAAAGGAAGACGAGGATAAACTTGCAGCATTTAATGAGGCGAAAACTTTTGGTGATGTCGAAACCTCTAAGACAGGCCTGGGGGAGACTGATGCCGATGAAGTTGATGAATCTTGACCTGGCCACACCTTTTTCCAATGATATGATTCATGTTGTTATATATTTTTTTGTACAATTACTGTCGACTTTGTGGGCTATATTTTTTGCTTTGTTGTTTGATTGTTATATGTTCGGCCAGGCGTACCATCAAACTGCGTTTGTTTCGGGTGAAGTTTTTGTTCATTTCCACGGTTGTACGGTATGTGGACAGGTTGAGGGAGCGGTCACTCACATGGATGGCGTTTTCTTTGTAAGCATGTCTGATTTTGGGTTGTATGCGTCGCTACTGAGGTAGCTTTGTTGCGGTACGTCTCCGGCTACATTTGTATCGAAGAGTTGCTCGAAGCAAAAACAGAATATTCAAGTGCAAATATTCTAATCATAAATAAAACGCAAGACACCAAAACATAGAACACGAACAATATATCCAGCCAAAAACCCATATCCGTCCTACCTATGCAAACCAGACCTTCCAATCCGACCTTTCCGACCATAATTACCATCCCGAACCTTTCCAGCCCCAAATCCCAAAAGCGGCATGCAAAATGAATACAATAGAAGCATACAACGAACATATAATATCGACATATAAAGAACATGAACGGTATAAACGTTAGTCAAAAGGTACTTAAAAATCGTCCTCAGAGCCGAGGTCTTTCTTTCGCGACGTCACTCTTCTCGGGTTTCTGGCACCATGCACTAGGGCTGCCTTTGGCTTAACCGGTGACTTGTAGGTTTCGGCGACTTTGAACGCAGTGACACGCTGAAACATGTTCTCGAGGTCGCTGCTGTCGCTGCTTAAAAGGTGATTTTGGTTATTTCCCGCGTCGTTGTTACTCATGGCAGGGCGAGGCTTTGACTTGCGAGTCGGCGAGGATCGGGAGTTGAGTTGACGTTCTAGAGCAGCTAGTTTGCTTCTCAGAAAATCGTTCTCACGTTCAAGCTCGTCAACTCGTTCATCGGCTGTTGGCTCTGGATCTTCATAGACTGTTGAATGTGAGCCTGATATTCTAAGAACAGGGACATGCATGGCTTAACTTACCCTGAATGCCACGAGAAGCAATTTCTAACTTATTATCGAGGTGCTCTTCGTGATGGCCAGCCTATAGAGGTCGTTAGTCAAGAACAAAAGAAGGTTAGAAGGGAAGAGACGAACCTGTCGATCCATAGCTTCCTGCCATCGTTTGCGTTCCTCTTCCATTTTCTCGTCCATTTCAGCCCAACACTCCTCGCGAACCTCTTGCTCAATCATGAGACACTTTTCCTCAGCTGCTCGAAGTCTGAGCTCGACCTCTTGACGGGCTATCTCTTCCTCTGCGAGCCTGACAATTAAAGCCTCGTAGTCATCTGTGATTCGAACGATCTCCCGAGCAGCCTCCTGGAGGTCTTCAGTAGAAGCTGTATAAGGTGTGGTTCGGCCGGTTGATGTTGGTGGACGGCTCTGGGTTGTTGAGGTTGCGCTTGAGGTTGATAGAATTGTACTCGAGACGGATGGGATCCGAGGAACAGTAACCTCACGAGCTAAGGCAGAATAGCGAAGAATTTGTGATGTAGCGTTAAAGTCACCCAAAGGGTCAGCGGTAACAATCATGACTGCCTTTTGCGGATAACGGTTATTTGAAGCCGAGTGAGAGGACGGGAATGAGTTTGAAAACAGTAGCTCTGTAAGTTTGCATTGTCTGTATGGCACTACGGTCTTGTTTTGTCAGTGTAGAGCAGAAAAAAGTGTAAGAGAACAAAATACCTTATTGCCCTCCGAGATTTCACTTTGCATCTGCAAACATTGGCCGAGATACATTAAACTTTCGTTAATCTTTCCGGCCTCAGCCAATGTCGCCCCGGCTGTCCTAGCGTTTCGAGCGCGTTCAGATCCTACTCCAGTAAGTCAAGATTCTTACAAGGGCGAGAAATACATACCAGCCAGGTCTACGATAGTCAAAGAATTTCCAGTCCATGAGATCTCTCCATATCGACGCCCACAGACTTTCTTCTTCACTTCAAGGCAGAAGAAACCATGACTGCGAGAGCTAACGTTGTTGCTTCCGGTACCAGCAATGCGGCGCTCAGTGAGACCAGTCTCCAGTACCATCATAGCTTCTTCATAGGTGCTGCACACGACTTTGCGTAAACCAGCAACGATTTTGCGGTCCGGTGAGCCCTCGGTAGATTTGAAAAGTAAAGGTCTTCTTTTCTCTTTCTGGTTGTTTCCACGGCTTGCGGTACCGTTTACTTGGGAAGGAGAAAGTAAATCAAAAATGCGGTCGTTGTAGACTTCGTACATAGAGACAACAACCACGTGCTCTGCTTGCGAGTCCATCGGTGTGACTAAATGGTTGGTATTGGGCAGGGATGGTAGAGCGTTAAGACGCTGGTTCAATTGGCGTCGGGGTATCATGGGCGTGTGTGTCGATTCCTGATTCAACTCGTTAGAGACCTGACTTCTAGACATGAATAAAGTAGTCTTACCATCAATGGAGTTTGTCCTCTAGACATTGGAGTATGAGCTCTCGACGCTCGCCCCCGCTCAGTCGGGTCGCCATAGATGCTATCAATAAAGTTGCGAGCAGAAAATATTTGGGCTTCAGAGGAGTCTGCTGCACTCAAAGACGCGAGAAGAGTAGGGTCTTCGAAGTTGTCTGCGGAACGTATGGTATCGGCAAGAGATCGAAATAGAATGTCAAGGGACATTTGAGTTATTCCACGTTGGGTTTTCGTACCCAGTATGGTATGACTCTGTTCATGATTAGCACCCTGTATTCTTCAAATATATTCTTCAGCATCCATCTCCTACCTTGCCACTACCAGTCACGCCAAGGGTAGCAACCAACCCATCTCGACCTTCCTTTAAAACACCTTTGACTAGATTAGGCACGCCTGTATTCTCAAAGACCTCAAGCTGCTTGGAGCTCTCTTCAAACACTCTGGTAAACGCGAACTTTTCTACGGCGCGTTTTCGTGAATCATTTGGCGGCTGTAAGGTGATATGCGTGGGGTGAGGGTTTTGTGGCGAGGAGACATCGTTGTCTTTTGTGATTTCGACTGGTTCGACGTTCAGATATCGCTCGCCACGGTGCGCATGGGCTGCTTCTTCTTTTGTGATGGGCGGTCGTAGTCTGAGGAAGACCTGGAATAATGACGTCTGGCTCGACGGCTGTTTCGTCGAGGGGTTCATTGTGATATCCTGAGTATTGAAGTTGGTGGGATCAAGCCCGGTGTGATGTGAGCATAGATTGTCAATTTGCTTGCATTTGACTGTGTCCTTCAAACGTAGAAGCATGAGAAGCGCAGGCTTGTAGGACCTCTTGTATGATCGAGTCGGTGTGAAGACGTTGTCTTTGATGTTTTTTCAGTTCCCAAAGCAGCGATCGCCGTTGGAGTTGGCCCGGCAACCGCGACCAGCGCATCGTTGACAGCTAAGAGGGCGTTAACGCTCTTACAGCCAATCATGGTCGCGCTTTTTTCTCCAGTTTCAATATTTCAACGTTTCTTTTTTAAGCTGAATTTATGAAGGAATCGCTCAGTTACCTTGCAGAGTCCCTCAAGTCTGAATGTACAGGATGTGGAGATAACTTAGTTGACGGTATTGATCAGATTATTAATCCATGGCCCGGATATCGCGTCGGCCAAGTTGGCCGATAGCAAAGTCTCTTCCTTGAGAATGCTTGCGACATTCTAAATCACCAGTTGATGCTGAACCGCTTTAGAACACATTAGAGAGACAGTTATCCACCGCGCTGGACGCCGATGGATTCACAGTACGCAATCCCGGTCCACTTATGCTTTCTATGCGGCAAGCCATTTACTCAAGGTGGGTCGATAACATCGCGGACAATGTGAAGTGTCTAATTTCGACAGCGAGACAACATCGGCGACATGAAGCGTATTGCCGCAGGAACCAAAGCCGAATCCGGACGCGGCCTCGGTCTTGTAGGGCTTGCAACCAGGCCAAGATCAAATGCAACTTTCGGGCGCCATGCAATCAGTGCACTCGCAAGGAAATAGACTGTGTCTATGAGCAACCTCGGAAAGAGCTTACTGCGAGTGATGCTCCTATAGCAGTTAGCAATCATGGGAGCAACAGCAACAATGACTTCTTGGAGTCGGCCCCTATATCGAACGTGCTTGAGGTACTCGATGGGGAATTGGCTGGATTCGATCGTTCCAGACATGTGCTTGGTGATTATGTTGAGAACTTTCTTCCAACTCTTGCAACGGACTACGAGTTGGACGGCTTCAGAATACATAAAGATTTGAGCACCATCGGCGGTACATCAATGCCAGCAACTCTGTCATCGGAAATGGATAATATCATGTCCGTCTCACAACCCGATAGCTTTGATCTCAGTTCAAGCATCAGCATCGGAAAAGGCCTGAACTATATTCCGGTCCATCCACCGACATACTCGTCCACATCCGGCACAGAGGTCACACCGACGACAATTCATTTCAGTAAAAAACAGATTGTGACACCAGCGCAACAATTGTTTACGAGCATGCTGATCGATATGATCCGTGCATACCCTCTGATGATGACTCGCCGCGAAACCTTTCCGCCTTTTGTACATCCTCATTGCTATCTGTATGAGGGATGCAATACATTTCCGCAAGCATTGACCAACTGCATGGGCATTGCACAACTGTTTGTTTCTCGAACGAACGATACGAGACCCTTTCTTTGGACAACTATAGTGGCTGAGATTAGAGACATATTGAGCAAGGTACCGATATTGAACTCTATCAAGTCAAAGTGGCTCSTACTGATATTAAGTGTGACAGCTCGGTTCAATGAACAAATTTGAGCTATTCAGTGCATTGCAAGCATCGCTATTGTATTTGATCATGCGTGCGATTGACATAGGGCCGCAGCATTCGGCGCATGATTTCGAGCTGGTACGGGCTCATGAGGTTCGTATTTCATCAATTCATCATCGCATTTGACGTCAACTAATCATGACAGATGATATGTGACTACACACTACAGCAAATTGGCCATCATGCTGACCCTGAAGTCAATGACCCTCACCGACAGTGGAAGGACTGGGTATTTGACGAGTCAATAAAAAGGTACTTGTCCTACAAATTTTTTTTTGGCATGCAGTCCTTTAATGCAGATGAATTACAGAGTAGCTTGGGTCTGGTTCTCTCTAAGTGTGGTATATCAAATTCGCAGCGGAGTGCCCGGAGTACCCTGCAGAGTCGCCGATTCAACCGAAGGCATGCCTTTACCCTGCACCAAGACTGAATGGGAAGCGCAAACCGAAGAAGACTGGAGAAGAGAATATTACAAAGCCAGGGATTCTCAAAGTACCGCTTCCATACAGACTTTTGGTGATTTGGCGAATGCATATAAAGGGTCGCCTGCAGACAGAGCCACAAAAGCTACACAGTTGGAAGCATGGAACGCGGGGATTGACAATTTGGGTGTTCTATTGAATCTTGCTGTGTACATGACTCGAAATTGACATGCTTGGTTTGAACATTGATATGAACATCTGAAAGTTGTACAGAAACAATTTACCAAGGTATGGGACCATTACTATCCGAAAATGTCCCAGTCGTCTCATCATCGTCACCAACAGTCGCGAGCTCCAAAATCCTTTGAGCGCCATCTTCCGGTTTGCCGCCATAAGCGTTGTAGTTGGTCAACTGCGTTTGGACAAGACCAGGACAAACAGCGTTGACGCGCGCCTTCATCTCCTCGCCCAATATACGCGCATAGTTCGAGACCAGCATGTTCACCGCAACCTTGCTAGAGTCGTACATCTTGTAGTCGATCTTATAGTATAACGTCTTGGGATTCAGACTCTCGGCCAAGGAAGCCATCCGACTCGACACAAAGATCACGCGTGGGCGCTGACTCGATTTGCGTAGCAAGGGGATCATGGCCTCCGTCAGGCAAGCTGTGCCAGTGACATTCGTGGACAAAGTAAGATCCCAGAGTTGACGCAACGACATTTTCGAGGTGACTTCGCCGCGAGCGCCGATATCTAGCAGAATCCCAGCGTTGTTGATGAGGACATCTAGCTTGCCGTATTTCTCATCGATGTATCTCGCTGCGTTGGCGATCGAGTCGTCGGATGTGATGTCCAATTGCACGCTATCGACAGATAGACCTTCGGATTGAAGCTCCTTGGCTGCTTTGAGCCCATTGTCGGCATTGCGAGAGCCGATGATGACTTGGTAGCCGTGTTCGCGTGCCAGACGGGTTGCTGTTGCGAGACCTATGCCTTGGTTGGCGCCGCTGATGAGTGCGATGGTTTTAGACATTTTATCAAGTTGTATGGTAGTTGAGCCAGATAGACAAGTAAGTATGTAAACTCTGTTGAAAAGATGAATTATTGAATCTGAGAAAAAGGCTTTTTAATTGTCTTATATAGACGGATTTTCATGCGTGGTTCTGCTAGCCTGATGTTCATGATGCACCATTTTGGCCGATACCAAACTTGAGACTATAGCAATGTACTTCTAACTTCTTCAAATCTGGCCGAGGTTGGTCCATTTTACTTTAACGATTTGAGGAACTCGAGACACTTGATTACAAATAGCGCAAAGATATTCCACAACTTTATTTATTGAACTATTCATTTGTTCGAAGAGGTTTTGTGGATAGCCTCAACGATTGTGGGTGGGCCTACATGCTTCCTGATCTAGTGATGCCTCAAACAACAGGTTTGAATGAATTGTTCATTACTGCCTCCTATGAACACACTTTGACGTCTGGTGAAATATGAATCTAGCAACACAGACTGTGAACTTCGCGTAGTAAAAGTAATACATTCCTTGAAAGGATGAGAAAGGAAATTAGGTAGGATCGGAAGAGATGGATAAGCGAAGGCGATATCGCTTCAGTTGCCATCCTGAAGACGCAATCAGAGGGCATATGTCGAAAGTGCAGTATGTTCGGCTCATTCCTCATCATCGGTGACCTTCTTCTTGCGTCCGCGCTTGGGCTTCTCGCTGGTGGCAGCGGCCGCCTTACTACGAGCTTTTTTTGCTGGTAGATGGACTTCCCCTGTCTGTTCTTCTTCTCCGACGTCCGCTTCTTCTTCATCGCTCTCATCCTTCGCAGCAGCTGCCTTCTTCTTAGACTTCGTCGCCGTTTTCCCTGGCTTGGCAGTCTCTTCTTCGTCGACCTTGCGGGCCCTGCTGCGCTTCACTGGCTTCTCCTCAGGATTCTCTTCCTTGACAGTGGTTCTACCTTTGGCCTTCTTGGCTGACTTGGTGGGTATTGCCTCTTCTTCGGGAGACTCTTCTTTGACGGCCTTGCGTGCTCTGCTACGCTTTGTTGGTTTCCCGTCGGTAGGCTCTTCTTTGACGGCGCCTTTAGCCTTCTTCGTCTGCTTGCTTGGCGCCTCCTCTTCTGCATCGCTCTCTGCACGAGAACGTTTCTTGGCTTTGGCTTTGGTATCAGCCTTGGCCTGCTCGGGCGAGCCATTAGCTTCATTTTGCACATCCTGCAAATACAAGTTAGACTCTGATTCTCATTATCATGGGTAGCATGCGACTAACCTCGCTAGCTCCTCCATTAAGCAGTGAGTGCTGGATCGAAATATCGTCAGCGATACATCATACACAGCTCCAAGAAGTGAGGTCACTTACGTCGGTTATGTCAGCTTCATCGAGTTCCCCCTTTAAGATAGCCTCCTTGACTTTGGCCTGATTCTCGGCAGAAAGCTCATCAAAGCCATCTAGCATCTCGTAATTTGGTTCGCCATCCTCTTCGATAGCTTCCAGAATATTTGCAAGGACCTTGATAGTAACACACCCCCTATTGGACGGCATCAGAAGATGTTATTCTAAGAGACGGCGTTTGGCATAACAGAAACAGACCAATGACGGTAACTCCAGCTCTGGTAGCGTTCGGTATCAACCCATGTTCCCAGACGAAGTTCGCCTTTTTGGATTTTGATGTTGTGGTCTTTGCAGGCTTTGACCTTACAACCGGCCCGCTTGTTGGGGGACTCTTCTGTGGAATAATTAGCCAATCATTTGTAAATGAAGTCAATGTGAAATATTGTAAAAGTATGTGCGAACACGTGAAAGCAACTTTCTCTAGGGATCTCGTTTGGACATAAACCCTCACACCGATGAAACCAAGGTTGGGCCAGTAGCCACATGTTGTGCTCGTACATATAAACCGCAAAGAGGCGGAAAACAGAGGTATATTCTAATATGGGATTGAGGGGGTGGGCAGATGTTTGTATGGGATGTGGGATGAGAGGGAAATGGGAGAATAATGGGCGGAAGCGCTGTGGAGAGTTAGATTGTGGTGGAAATGAAGAGAGGGATCTGTTGATAAATATCATCCTCATATTCGATGGACAGAGTGGAAAGGAGTCAGAGGAGCATCTCGGAGGCAGACGATGTCTCAATAATGTCAGAACGTACCGATGCGGTAGCTCCCCATGACGCGAAGCCACGCGAGAGACGCAAAAGTAATAGGGAAGCGACTTTTAGTGGGGAGTAATGATAGAAAGTTGCTAGTTATTGATGAAGGAAATAATCTTAGAGATGGTCAGATCGAATGTGTGAGAGAGAGAGAAGATGTTTTAGAGAAGAAGAAGGTGTTGTGAAATAAGAGGAAGAGAAGGAAGAGCAGGAGCAGAAGAAACAAACATGGCGAACACCACCCACCTGGGCACCTGCCAGTTGTGTCCGTTCATCTGCCCACCACAATTGCTTCTGGTCAATCCTTTGTTTGTCCGTTGTGCACAGCATAGACCGCTTCTCTTGATGGCTATTTTTTCTTGTCAGTGTTACGTCTCATGTGCACCGCTCAATGCTCTGCTACAGACATATCGCCGACCAAGAAGGATAAATACACAAATCGCCTCCTTCCAAAGACCCGGTTGCCTATGCAATGCAATATCTCTTGTGCACATTAGTTTCACATGGCAGTTTGCCTTTATGTAAAGATTTTCTACAAGGTATCTTCAATCTCATCCTAGAAATTGCTCCATGTGTAAGAAATTAGGTGGTCAACAAGATGAGCGGGCGCAATGATATACATAGTAGACATCGTTAACTTACTGTTACCATTACGCGGGCCCAACCTTAAACTGGTTAGGCTGTGTTACAAAGCTTAGTGTTGACGCCGCCGAATGTACTGTATTTACGTCAGTCTCCGAGATAGTACGTTAGGACTTTCACCTTGAATTTCTCGAAGCCTCAAAGCAACAACTCCGAAACGCCGCAACTTTTCTTGCGGGACAGTCATAAAGCAGACTTCAATCCAATCGAGCATAATAGCGAACTCGTTAGCACCAGCATACAGCACGTACTAGGAGCCGTCGTCGCAACATCGGCCTTCCCAAGTGAACCGCAAAAAGTGTTGCAGTCGCAAACCATACCCCATCGTCGCGAACCACCAACTCAGCAATATATCGAAGCCAATATGTCAGAGCCCGGCAAAGAGTCGATTCCCACCAGCGCAGACCCCAGAAGCAAACGGCCAACGAAGCGCCGCCAACTCACACCAGTCTCCGAACAAGCAAACCAAATCAACGTCCTTTTCAAAGACCCCAGCAAAGAGGTCCACCTAGCACCCTTATCCAAACCGCGAACACTAGACTCTCTTGCGCCACCCCCCGAAATTGTCGCAAATGTGCAAGGTTCATCCGCCGGTGCGGGCTCAGGCGAATTCCACGTCTACAAGGCGAGTCGCCGGCGCGAATATGAGCGCTTACGATTGATGGACGAGGAATCGAAACGTGAAAAACAAACCGAGGAATTCGAAAAGAAGAGAGCCGAGACACTGAGGAAGGATCAGGAGAAGACGGATAGGAACAGAAGGAAGCGCGAGAAACGTAAAGCGGCGGCAGCGAAGAATAAGAACGGCGTTTCATCCTCGACCGCGATGGAGGTAGATGGTGATGCGGAGAAGAAGGCAAAGGCTCCTTCGACTCGACTTGGGCCTCTGCCTCCACGGGATCGGGATCATGATACGCACGCAAATGAGAATAATGGGGAACAGCAAGTATATGAAGAGCAGGGGGTTATAATTCATGATGACGATTGAGGGAGTTATGCACTATTAACAGTTTTCTTCATGCTCAAGTGGCTTCATCTTTGAAACTAATTTTTTGACTCCCTCAAAATTAAAATATGTATTTGTACAACTTTTCAATAATTTGGGTCATGCAACATAACTGATTAGCTCTATTCTTTCATTCTTCTGTATTTTATTTCCAGGGTTGGACGCTTTATTCCTCTCCACCACCTCCAACGTTACCAGCCTGTTGCGCAGATTTGGCGCTGCAAATGTCGTCCACACGGAGAAGTAGGCATGCAGACTATGAACCTGTGTTAGCCAGTGATTTTTTTGATGACAGGATGAGACAATCAAGATACATACCTCAACAGCAGTCTTGATACTTTGCAGCTTGACTGCTTCCGGCTCCCAAACACCGTACTCCTTCATGTCGACAATGGCACCGGTATCTCCGTTGATACCCCAGGTATAGTTTCCTTCGACGTGCTTAGCACGCAAACGAGTAAGCACTCGGATAGGGCTGTCACCGGCGTTTTCAACCAAAGTTCGAGGAATAACCTCCATTGCATCGGCAACGGCCTTGTATGGCCATTGCTGCACACCTTCAACCGACTTTGCGAGCTGTTGAAGCTTGACGGAAACTGCCATCTCAGTGGCACCGCCGCCAGGAGCGAGACGGGGGTGGAAAATGACATTTCGAGCAACAGCCATGGCGTCCTGGAGGTTTCGCTCAATCTCATTTAAGATATCCTTGGACGGTCCTCGTAGAAGGATTGTGCAAGCCTTGGGGTCCTCACATTTGCGCATGAATGTAAAGTATTCGTCACCAATCTTCTCAATCTCAAACAAGCCACATCGGGTTCCGACATCGGATTCCTGAAGGTCATCGACACGGTTGACAATCGTTGCACCGGTGGCACGAGCAATACGGTTGTTGTCGGTCTTTCTCACACGACGGAGCGCTGTCACGTTATTCTTGACTAGAAAATGTTGGGCGAGGTCTATGCAAAGTTAGCTCTAGCATATCGCACTATCCTACCACAAAATCGAACTTACCAGAGACACCCTTCTCGGTAATGACGACATCGGGCTTCAGGGCCAAAATGGCATCACACATATGTTTCACCTGCTCTTCTTCAATCTCCAAAATCCGGTTCCAGTCATCCTCCTTGGAAACTTCGATGTTTGTTTGAGACTCTCCCTTCTTATACTCGAGCGGGCAGTCGAGAAGAATGATTCTAGGGTTCTCGATCCGCCTTCGCATCTTGGGGTGTGTAATGTCCTTGTTGACCATCACTCCATCAATTACAGTACTGTCCTCAATTTCACCACCGGGAATCTTCTCCACACGAGCGTATCGCTTAATGTCGACTTCACGCTTTCCGCCACCAACTTCAAAGGACACAGTGCGGACGGCCTTGAGGGCAAGACTGCACATGAGTTCTGACCATCTGGAAACGAATTTCGTACCGATCGACGACTGAATAAGGCTGTACATGGCTTTGTCGTTGTCGATGTCGACTGGCATAGAGATATCTTCGACAATCTGGAGAGCGTCGGTGAGGGCTCGCTTGAAAGCGGAAATGATCTGGACGGGGTGGATGTTTCGTTCGAGTTGAGGAAGAGCTTGCGCGAGCATTTCACCAGCTATGCAATTGTCAGCTGCCTCGTTTCTTGAACGCATATGAGATTTCATACCCAAAATGATGACTGTTGTGGTGCCGTCTCCAACTTCTTCATCCTGTGTGCGACTAAGCTCGATCATGCTCTTTGCTGCGGGGTGGGCGACTTCGATTTCTCGAAGGATCGCATGTCCGTCGTTCGTAAGCACAATACCGCCCATTGGATCTAACAACATCTTCAACATAGCCTTGGGACCGAGACAGGATCGAATGATATCGGCGACACTGAGAACAATTGATTAGAAAGCGTATAGAAAAGATCACGGATCAGGAGCCATCGTACGTTTTGGCAGCAGTAATATTGGACAGCTGAGCTTGCCGACCGACCTGCCGGTCACCCTGCTGGGTGTCTTGTATGTATTGTCAGTTGATGTTTTGTTGAATCATTAGGGGTCAAAAGGCGGGGGGATAAAATCATACTCATGACAACGACTGGCGCCTGCATGTTGACGGTGAGCAGGCTTTTGGAACCCCCGGACGAAACACTATGTGTGTGCAATAAATAAATAACACAGAAGTAAAGAAAGAGAGCTTGATGGAGGCTCCGGTAAAAAGACCAAGTGAGTACAGGAGCTTGTCGAGTGAGTAAGGTCTCTGGATTATGGCTCGAGCTATCAAATCAAATTTCCCTTTCTTAAAGTGGGATTGCTTTGCTTCCGCCGAACATTGAGCTAGGCCGATTGTGTACTAGCGCCATTTATCTACATCCCGCGGCGATTCAAGGGGAAGGAGCAGCCCTCACCATCTTTTTGACCATTATCATCATTGCTAACATCTGATCTGAAATCTTTGTGGGTTTATGCCATTTAATAATTCGTACTGTCCATAATGTACACAATCCAATCTCTATCCTCCATCATATCGCACAGTAATTGGCTTTGCCAACAAGTATGCGAAAAACTGGCTCAGTCGAGAACAAAATATCATGAGACTTTCAATGAATTTTGAGCATAATCTCTGCGATGCCTTGCTTCAATAACACACCCTGGACCACCGAATTACGCTATGCTCTGTCAAAGCATCCGGATGAGACGTAATCCTTAGCTTCTGGGCATGTCCTCTAGTTTTCGTTCTTCATCCACTTGTTCAACCGGGAGAGACTATGCTTGAGACGAGCACGCAGATTGGAGGCGACAGGCTTCACAGAAAGAGATCTTATACCTGAGGGTCGTCTGTTTTGGGGCTTTCTAAACTTTTGTTTCAGTACAAGGTCCGGAGGCACTGGCTGACGGTAACCATTGAGGACTCGGAACTCTCTGGTCGGAGCACTGCCATGGGATGTGGTTGGACGTGAAGCATAGTCGACAATCTCTGGATGTGCGGTCCATCTGTAGCGATCTCCAGGCCCGAGGCTCTGAAGCGTGGGATGCCCTCTAGCTGCGTGGTTGGTCGTCTGCTGAAAAGCGTTGCGCTTGTTGGCTGAAGGTGGCATTGCAAGGTACAATGGTGTTGGCGCTCGATCGTAACGGACTGGCTTCTTGCGAACAGGCTCAACGGGTTTGATCCAGTAATCAGCTGGCATGATACGCAGGTTGGGGTTTTCTTTCTTCAACCTGTCATACCGTTCCTGCTGGATCTCGCACATAATCTTCTGAAGACGGTTGGGGATTGCAGCCATAGCTCTTGTGTTGAGGTTAACAAATATCTCTTCTTCATCTGCCATGTCGTCGCTAAGTGATGAGCCAATGGACACGCGGTCATCCATGTAGTGCGCATTTCTGTCAAAATCTAAGGCTGAGATGCACTGGGAGTGGGGTCTAGAGTTGGCAGGCTGGTAAGTCAACTCTTCGTAGCCATTTGTCACGGTCAATGTCGGCAGTGCAGAGGAGCTATAACTCATATAGCGTTGTCTCGAAGACATTTTAGGCGAAGGGTTACTTCACGCACAAGGTTCAATAAGCTAGCAGGTTGATCAGACACCCTTGTCTCGAAAATGGTAAACGACGATAGTCGAGCGACCTATGGCGAAAATGGGATGCAATAATCAGAGATGATCAGAATACAGGGAGGGTGCCAGAGTCAGATCATGTCTTGAGAAGGTGAGTGAAAAGATGTCTTTGGGGGATGGTCGGATGAAGAGAGCTTTTGTATGAAATGTAGACAAAGATGTGTAATGGACAAAAACTGCTGACAAGAAGTAATTACCAGGCCTTCCACGGCGCCCCATGAGAGAGAACGAAATATGAAAAGATGTGCGGTAGAAGCTTTCTTTGTCAATCTAGCTCTGTGTGTCTTTGGTGTTTGTCAGACAGCAGGGCGCAAAGTGGTTTTAGTGCGTTTGTTTCGTCTTTCCCAATCGGGAAGCCGGTTAGAAACAAATTTACCTATAAGGATCAGCAAGCAAAGACACTTATTCTTCGCCGGCAACAAAGTCTATCTCTACATCTAGCCTGCAAACTTCGTCATATTCCTCTTGAATATCGTACCAGGCATCAAGCTTTCGACCGATGTTGAGAACCTCGTAGTCAGACTGTTTAGGTACTGATGTGTTTATATCTACACAGGCTAAACCATTACAACATCCAGATGTGTCTAGTCCAGTACCACTAGGGACTACTCATTTGTAATCCACTGGAACATTGATGCTCACAACTAGACCATCGCGAAGATTCCGTCAAGTATCGTATCTATACCGACCGAAGTTTGGCCTTGAGTTGAGGTTGTTGTACGACTGAATTCTCCAATAGAATGATACTTCTCTGCTTTTCAATGATTCGCGACAGCTCGAGACTAGAAAACCAGTACACAAGTAAGATTGCAATCAGTTTGGAGAAAAGCAACTGAATATTGGATCTGATTAATTGGCTTAAACTAAAAGCACGCAGTGGGATCTAATCTGATAAGATGTAGCCTCATGATTGGTTTGCTGTCCCCAAGCTCCGGGAAAGGGCCGCAGACCTGGAAAATTATTCTACCGTCATAAACATACTTTCACCTTTGCGACACTTCGCCGATGCCTCTTGAATTTATAATTATCCAGATTCTGGAATGGACGCGGAAGGGCCAGCCAGAGCTTTGGAGCCATCATCTCCGGCAGAATTAATTCTCCAGCAAAAGAGCGGAGCTTTGCAAGGGCTTGCGCAACCGGGCGGGAACGATGGAGGAATTCTCTCTCAACTGCTAAGCAACCCCTTCTTCACTGCGGTGAGTTCGGATCTGTATTTCCATTAATTGATCTCTGGACTATCAAACTGATATATATCGTCTGATAGGGATTCGGTCTAGCTGGTCTAGGTACCGCCGCTGCGCTCGCGCAAAGAGGCCTTAAGCATGGCGCCGCTCTCATCCGTCGGCGTATGCTCGTCGACGTCGAAATCAATGTCAAAGATGATTCATACCCATGGTTTCTTCATTGGATGACCCTATATCAACAATCACAGCTCAACAGCGCTCGGTCGGTGGGAACGAAAGGTGGAGAGAAATTGGGAATAGTAGAGACCTTGCTTCGAAAATTTACTCCGGCGATGCGTCAACTTTCCATACAAACACAGAAAGTCGAGCATGCAAATGGTGCTATTCATACGCAATTCACATTAATACCGGGTCCGGGAAGACATGTGCTACGGTATAAGAATGCTTTTGTCTTTGTGAACCGAGTGCGAGAGTCCTCGTCGCGCGACCTTCAATCAGGCCGGCCTTGGGAAACAGTCACGCTTACGACATTATATGCGCATCGACATATATTTGAGGAGATGTTTACTGAAGCACACGCCGTGGCTGCCAAATCGCATGAGGGGAAAACACGGATATACAACAGCTGGGGTGCGGAATGGCAACAGTTTGGGCATCCTCGACGCAAGCGACCACTGGAGTCAGTGGTGTTAGATGAGGGCATAAAAGAAAGGATTGTAGAGGATGTGAAAGATTTCCTCGAAAGTGGCAGTTGGTACTATGATCGTGGAATCCCTTACCGCAGAGGCTACCTCCTTCATGGGCCTCCCGGCAGTGGCAAGAGTTCGTTTATCCAGGCCTTGGCAGGAGAGCTTGACTATGATATTGCAATTTTGAATCTGAGTGAGCGAGGCCTCACGGACGATCGGCTCAATCATCTCTTGACTATCATACCAAATCGGACATTGGTTCTGCTTGAAGATGTTGACGCTGCCTTTTCCAACCGTCGAGTGCAGAGCGATGAAGATGGTTATCGAGGCGCCAATGTAACATTTTCTGGCCTTTTGAATGCACTCGATGGAGTTGCAAGTGCGGAAGAACGTATCATATTTCTGACCACGAACCATGTTGACCGACTCGATGAGGCGCTGGTTAGGCCCGGCCGCGTGGACATGACTGTCAGATTAGGAGAGGCCACTCGGTATCAAGTTGCCGCACTATGGGATCGATTTTATGGGGAATTCGATACCAAGGGCGTCTACAAGGAGAGATTTCTAGACCGCCTTGCCGACTATTCGCTCATTGAAGACAAAACTGGCAATAAAGCGGACATGACCAAAGCCGTCAGCACTGCTGCTCTTCAGGGATTGTTCCTTTTCAATAAGGGAGACATGGAAGGTGCAATCCGAACCGTGGGGGAGCTGGCAGAGTCCATGTATGATCAACAAGCATAAGTACGTTACCATGTATTTACTATGTATTATAAGACTACGATATGTACCATAGATGAATCTTATTACATTACTAAGTATTTCATATGATGTACTGCTGTGATCGGAGTCCAATGCATATATGTTTTTACAAACGAACGAAACACTCATGCTGATTGGCCAGAACACCATATCATGGGAGACTTGGGGAGAGCAAGTCTTGTCGACCAGCGAGGCAGCGATTCAAGCAATTTGAGGCTATTCGCTGATGATTGGCGGTCTAAAATAAGAACAGGCGTCTAGAATGTGGTAGGTGTGCCAATTTGCCAAGGCATTCAGGAACAGCCCGAAACAGCGCTATGATTGGCTGGCCGCGATAAACACCTGAGCCAATTAAGCGCCGCCCTCAGAGGCCCGCCATCTTTCCTACGGCCAACCAACAGCATCAGCTCCCAGCGAGCGTCTAGTATGGCTGCATCACTGGCCCAATGCACTCTGTTCCGTGCTCTTCACACTTCTTGCACCTGTCACAACGCGAGATTCTAGCAGTCTAGTCATGCTGTCGCTGGTAGTGTGCCGATAACCTGGAATTCTTCAGGATGGCCATTGGTCTGTCGGACAGCATGGCTGCACCTGCGTTTTTCTGTGCGGAGATTCGAACATGTCTACGCAGTTCATAAGGCGAAGAAATTCCCTTGAGGAGGGATGGCTCTCAGTATCAGATATTCTTTTTCAGTAATTTTGGTGTTATTGCTTTTCTTTTGCTTCCGCACAGTTGCTGTTCTGCATTTGCTAAGGCGTTGCAATTCCATTACTATATTCCGATAGACGCAGGTCGTGTCAGTGATTCGTTTCATTGTCCATTGAGTCTCTAACGTGATAGAGCTGGTCTCTTGATTATACCATTTGCTTTTGGTCTTTTGTTTAATTTATATTTTCCTCACCTTTCACCACACCCAACATGGCTGCCAAAGCTTCATTCCAACTTTTCCCGTCTCCGGCGAAGAACAAGAAGAACCCGTTCAGGACAATACCCAGGAGAGAAGAGACAAGAAACATATCCCCCGTTATTTCTGAACCGGATGAGAGCATCAAGTCCGGCATTCAGACAGAATCGGTCATTATCAAGATCATTGAAGACACAAACACTGACACCATACAACCCCAGTCGACAGCTCTGTCCAATGTTTCGCCCTCAGAGACCCTGTCAGACGCAACACATTTTAATCCGGAGCAACGTCAAAGAACTCCCGTCTCTCCCGGAAAACCAATCAACTCGATGTTTCCGCAGTACAMCCCTAMCCTGCCATTAAACAAGCAGGCTTACTTTCCTCGGAACAGGGATTCGAACAACACATCTCAAGAAAGTACTATTTTTGCAAGCGGACCATATCGTGAAACGCAGGTTCCTCCTGAAGTTGATGCCGTTCTTGGGCCCAAGACGGTACCTGCTAGCGTGTTCAACTTTCCTTCTGGTGCCCTAAGTCCTCGGGTGCATTACTCAACCGCAGAAGACTTGGTGACATTATGGGAGTCAGCTAACGGACAAGAGTTACGAGAGACTTTGGGAACCTTTAACCTACGTGCAGAGAGGTGCGTTCACGAATCCACGAATTAGTGTATAATCAGTCACTGACCATACTGTAACAGAGTCGACACTACTACTTTCACTTTCGGTAATCCTCAACTGCCATTCTACACTTTACACACTGGTGCAGATGGGTTCTCGTTGCTACGAAATCATCCATTGAAGCGGAACCGCGGTGTCCAAGTCATGGCTCTCGACTTTGAAAACCCAGCTCGTCGACAACCACCCAACGACGGATTAGTGACGGTAATATTTTCCAAACTCGCGGCGATGCTTGCGGTCGAACAAGCTGCAGAACTCACTCGACATCATGCCTTAGCTCCATCCGAAGCCATGGAAGTAGAGACAAATGCAGTCAACCGTGCTGCGTCTCAAGAGTCTTGTCGTCTCATTTGGAATGAACGGCAACATCGATACGAATTACAGCACCCGTCTATTCTTAAGCAACATTCACCGGCCTTGCTAGGCGATGATGGTAACCCGCTACCCCGAGTACAGACGGCGAAACCTGGCATCCTACATATTACCGTTTCCCTCACTGCGGAGAGGGAGTCCGAGCATTACCAGCCTCCAGTCATCATGGTCACAAGCCCGCGGTCACCCAACAGTATCCAGGCAGGAGATATGGAAGCGACGCCACGGACATCAACATTACCGCAGGCGGATATTGATGAACCCCTGGCCTCCTTCGATCTCAACACCATGAGTCTCTCTATATGTGCCGGACTTACCACGAGCATCATTCCATCGCTCTATGCGATCGACTCTCTTATTGTAGCCATTCTTGCCGTCGCTGTCACGGACGAAAGCACCTACCCTGTCCTTGCCAACACGGAATTGTACGTGTCGGGTCTGGACTCATCACGAACTCCAAGACAAACACCGCAAAAGCATCGTAAAAGCCGGTTGTTCCGCAATTCTATCGCTTCTACAGCCGCGAAAACGAACACCACGTATTCGGGGAGATACTTTGCCACGTTTGCCGAACGGGAAGAAGCGGAGGAAGAAGCCAAACTAATGGCTCAATTGCGCGCATCGGAGTCAAAGGAACGAAGCAAGAAAAAGAAACACAGCACCTCGGAAAAGAAAAAGGGCGGAATGTTCTCGTTTCTTGGTAGCAAGAAAAGTCAAGGCAAGCCAGATGGCAAAACAAAGCAGATAATAGTCGAGGAATTTGACATGGAGAAATACGGACATTTTGGTCAAGGATCGAGCAGAGAAGGTCAGGATTTACCTGGACCGGCAAAGATGTTGGTGAGCTTGTTGGTTTTCGGGTTGCAGATTGTTGTTACGTTGTTGTCGACTGGTGTCAAATGTGCTGTGTGGATGGTGGTTAATGTGACTCGATGTGTGACGAGTGAGAAATTTTGATACCTATAATTGTTAATTCTGGAATGGACATGCCTTGAGGCATCACATTGTGGACGATAATTCGTATAAAGCAGGAATTCGGTCATTTAGCGGTGTGTATGGTAGCAACGCAGGCAATACAAATTAATGTGCTTTAATGTTTCATTGAACAACTCGCACTAAAATGTCGACATTAAAAAAGAAAATGGAGCAGTAGCAGACAAGTGCAGGGTTCGGTTAGGCGGCGCAGATTAGCTGGGTAGGGTTCTGAGACATCAGAAATAGCGTGCTTATGGGCTGTTTCCCTTATCTTCGATTGACGTTGCTTCTATTGACGTTGCTTCTCAAGATACCAGACCAAATGTTGAAATGGCACACTCGACGGTCCCGGATCCTGCGCATGTTTTCTACATCGTATCGACTATTTGCGATGCAATATTTCTGTTGATTTTTCCAGTCAGACTGTGGAAACTGCATGGATCCGCCATCAAAAATGCCCTAAGTTGGCACGGTCCTTTCAAGGCAGTCAGTATTCCTCTAACCTAGGCTTTCATTGCTATGTTTAATACAATAACTGAACTCAACGCAGGCTCTTGGAATACTGCTCGCCATCATATTATCTTTGAGTTGGATAGAACCCCTGGGCTTGGGTGTCCAGCAGCAGAAGACCCAGTACTTGGGCTCATTGTTTGTGTCTATACTTGCTGCGTTGTGTCTGTCGTTGCTCCTATTCCAGGAGCAACGACGGTCCGACAGAGTTTCTGATCTCGCTACGTTGTACCTTCTTGCATCTACACTGTGCGATGTCATAATTCTAGCTGCACCTTCCAGCGTCGTTAGACATGCACATTCCTCACGCATGATACTTTTTCGTTGTTGTATACACACAACGCTTCTACTCCTCGGGTGTTCTACCAACCGGCGTACAGTTTTTTCTGATGTTACAGCTACAGCATCTCCTGAGGAACGCCATGGCGTACTAAATAGGGTCTTCTTCATATGGATTAACCCAATCCTTCTTCGAGGGTATACCAGCATCCTCGTCAACCAAGATTTGCCCAACCTGAGTCACACTATGAAGCCGGAATTTACCCGAGAAGCAATAATCGAATCATGGTCTAAGCGAGGTCAGTCAGAATTTCGAGGTAGTTCTTTAGTATGAATTCTCACAAATACAGCCAAGCCCGAAACGAAGATGAGTCTACCCCTGGCGTTGATGAAATGTCTGAAACAACCCTTTCTCGCTGCTATCGTGCCTCGATTGTTTCTGATTGTCTTTCGATATTCACAACCCATTTTGATCAGAGAAAGCATCAGATATGTTGAGGCATACCCTACGGAGACAGAATATAATCAAGGATTCTGGCTTGTCTTGTCTGCCGTGACTGTCTATGTTGGTCTAGCTGTAAGTTCAGATTATGGTTCTGTTCTGACTCACCTCCATGGCTAACATTTCATTGCAGCTGTCAATAGGTGTATATCAACACCGGCTTAATAGACTGAAGCTTATGACTAGAAGTTCTCTCGTCGGGCTAATTCATGACAAGACCATCTATTCACCTGCCGTTTCGTATGACAATGGCCAGGCTATCACACTTATGAGCACGGATGCTGATAGTCTCGATGATGTTGCCGAGATGATCCATGAAACTTGGGCCCAAGTCATCGAAGTGATAATCGGGATTACGCTACTAGCTACACAAGTTGGATGGATCTGGCCTCTTCCGCTCTTCCTGATTTATTGTGAGTAAGCTCATTGTTGAGTTGTGGCCGAATGCTAATTTGCAAAGTATGTTCATACATGAGTCGATTCGTTGCGAAAAATCTTCGGCCTCGTCAAAAAGCCTGGAACATTGCAACACAGGGTCGTATGGCTGCTATAAGCTCTATGTTGAGCACGATGAAGGTCGTCAAAATGCTTGGATATCAAAACCACCTTATGAACCGTATTCAAGAGCTTCGAAAAGAGGAGCTCTGGGCAGCCTCCAGACTGAGATGGGTTATGGTCTACTATAACATGTCAGGTATGTCACATACGCCCAATGCTGACCATGATAATCGTTGACCTTAATACAGCCAATGCCCTCGGAATATTCTCTCCAGCTATCACGCTGGTAATATCAGCTCTTATATCGGTAGCTCGTGGCGGCAAATTGGATACAGAGACTGCCTTCACCACCATAGCCATCTTGAGCATGGTCACACATCCCGCAAATATGGTTATGACTATTGTACCACGAGCGGTAGCAGCATTCGCTGGTTTTGAGAGGATTCAAACATTCTTGCTTCAACCTTCATTGCAGGAGACTCGTCAAATACTGTCAGAAAACACTCGGAATGAGGTACTCTGGGACCAGTCAAGCCCTGCCATTCAAATTCATGACCTAGGTATTGGCCGTGAGCAAGGTTTTTTGCATAACATAAACATAGAAATAGCCGCTGGATCATTCGCAATTATCTCAGGCCCAACTGGCAGTGGCAAATCGACCTTGTTGCGTGCTATCCTCCGGGAAGTCACCCCCGTCCGAGGCTCAATTGCGTTATTAACACGAAACATATCATATTGTGCTCAGAGACCGTGGCTCCCAAACGGTACGATCAAAGAGGCAATTTGCGGAACAACTGACATTTATAGTGACACGGAGCAATATCACGAAAGATGGTATCACGAGATTATAGAGATGTGCTGTCTCGCACATGACTTTGAAACCTTACCGTATGGTGACCAGACACAAATTGGTAGTAAGGGGCTCAATCTATCTGGCGGACAGAGACAACGAGTTGTACGTTTCCCAAATTTATTATTACTTACAGAACGAGCTGAAAACCCAATTGTAGACTCTTGCACGTGCATTGTTTGCAAAATGTGACATACTTTTGCTAGATGATACTTTCAGTGGACTGGATGGTGGAACAGAGCAGACCATCTTCAACAATCTGTTTGGTCCCTCGGGTCTGATCAGGCATCTGAAGACCACCGTGATTCTCGTCTCGAATTCATGTAAGCTGCTCTTGCCCACTACCAAGCCCAAGCACACAGCCTTATCACAGAGACAGACCAGTACTTCCATGCTGCAGATCATATTGTAGTTCTCAAGGATCATGAGATCTTAGATCAAGGAAAGTGGCAGGATATCCAGTCTAAAAATACATTCTCAACAAAGCTCCCTTCTAGCTATCGTAACAGGGATAGCACCATCCTCTCGGCAAACTTTGAGAAGCTCAACAATCAATTGCTTGCAAAAGATGAGACTGAACTAGATCTCGCGAGACAGACTGGAGATCCCACTTTATATGGTAAGTTCAGGGTTTCCATCATATTGACAGATTACGGCTAATATGAACGGTAGGTTACTATTTTAGTTACGTTGGCTTTGATAATCTTTTGATATTATTGGGCTGCACTATATCGTACTCTTTCTTCATCACCTTTCCCCAATACTGGCTTCAGTTGTGGACCGATGACGGTACTAGAGATCTGTTCTACGCTTGTGGATTTCTTCTCCTATCGACCTTGTCATGGGCCTCAACTAGCACTCAGATGTGGTACGTTTCTGGAATATCTTTCTTTTTTAGCATATTATTATTGACGGCTCATTCTTAGGTCTATTTTGATTCGACTTGCTCCGCAATCAGGGTCGAAGCTACATGAGCGTCTGTTATACATCGTGACTAGGTGGGCTTCGGCATTCCATGAAGGTGACTTATAGATGGCTAATGATTTGTAGTGCACCATTATCCTACTTCTCGAAAACCGATGTTGGCTCAATATTAAACAGGTGGGCGCCATTGTCCCTTTCTCAGTTCAGTGCTCATGGCTTCTAGGTTCAGTCAAGATATGGAGCTTGTCGACAAGAAATTGCCATCAGCTCTTCAAACTGTTGTAACCCGTAGGTTTTCCGGTTTCCTTGTCAATTAGCTCAATCTTCTGACACTCTCAGAAATCTTCAAACTTCTCATACAGATAATTCTTCTTTGCGTGGCTGAAAAGTGGCTCGCATTGTCTTTACCAGCCTGTGTACCTCTGGTCTATGTGATTCAGAAGGCTTATCTCCGAACGTCTAGGCAGCTTCGTTTCCTGGAACTGGAGTCTCGGGCAGGAGTATTTTCAAATTTCTTGGAAACTGTACGTATAAACCTCGAATGACTATCATCGAAATCTGACATTTCTAGGTCGAGGGTCTCGAAACAATACGGTCATTCGGCTGGTCCAAAGCAATGATTGATGCAAACGTCCGAAGTGTCGACTACTCCCAGCGTCCCGAATTTCTTCTCCTGTGTCTACAGAGATGGCTCAAAATTGTGTTGGATCTTCTAGCTGCTGCCATTGCAACTAGTGCCGTTGCTATCGCAGTAACGTATCGGGACCGGATCAGTGGCGCACAAGTGGGTATTGCGCTCAACATTATGCTTGTAGCAAATACAACCTTGCTGAGGCTTGTGGGAAATTGGACTACTTTAGAAACTTCGCTTGGTGCTATTTCTCGCTTGAAAAGCCTTGAGGAGACCACCCCGTTTGAAGGTGGGCATACGGAAACCTTGGAGCCGCCTGAAGATTGGCCTTCAAGAGGAAACGTCGAGTTCAAGAATATCACTGCATCATATCAGTATGTATCTCGCCAAAATTATACCAATGTTTGCCCTCTAACATATGCATATCTAGGTCTGGATCTGTTGCGCTGCGAAACCTATCCTTGAATGTMCCTGCCGGTCAGAGGCTCGTCGTCTGCGGACGTACAGGCAGGKAAGTCAAGCCATATAGTACAAATGACTTTGATCGTGGGCTCACTGGATTGATTAGCGGCAAAAGCACCTTACTTTTGACGCTGCTACGGCTTCTAGAGCTACAATCCGGCAAAATAGAGGTAGATGGCATCGATATCAAAACAGTGGGGCCAAATATACTACGGGAACGGTGCTTCATCGCAGTCTCTCAGGACCCTCTACTCTTACCTAACGAGACCTTGCGCTTCAACTTAGATGCGGATGGTTCAGTGACAGACGACGATCTTGTCGATGCGTTGACTGAAACGGGCTTGTGGTCACATTTCTTCAAGGGCGACACATCCTATGACGTGGAGGGAGCTACAACCATTGAAATTTCAGAAGACTCTGATGAACACCCGGTTTTACATCGCAGGTTCGCGCTGTTCCAGGAGCTCTCCGTTGGACAATGTCAATTGTTTGCACTTTGCCGGGCGCTTGTCAAAGCCAGGTTCTTACGGAGAGCTGGGCTAAAGCCTGTCATACTCTTGGATGAAGTCACATCCTCTCTTGATATTGAAACTGAGTCCACGGTCCATGATATTGTTGACAGAGAATTTACGCACAGAGGTCATACTGTCATCATTGTTGCTCATAGAGTTGGTGCTCTGGAGAAGCATATGGAAGTCGGGCGAGATGCTGTGGCACTGATGGCAGATGGTAAATTGCAGGAGGTTGTACAAGAATAGGCCGGTCAACTTCCAACCTTATTAAAGCAAGAGCAAGCTAGAATATACCTTAATTTAATTAATCGAAGTTGGTTATGATTATCCTTGAAACTATATTATTCAAATCTTCATAAAGCTAACACGAACGATAACTTGTTCTTCAAAAAACATGACAGTCAATACTACACATTGACTTACGAATTGAACTCTTGATCCAAAATAGCAAAAGACGCCGTCCCAGAAGTTTGCACTTAAAGATAAACTACTCACCGATATAAACAGAACGTTTTTCCCTTTCCAACAGAAGCTCCCGATCAAACTTCTTACAAAGCAGCGAAAACGCCAACAACACCAGCCAAGACACCACCAGCAACAACAGTCAAGCTAGGAATGATTTGGCTTCCAGCACCCTTGAAGGAAGAGTATGCATCCGCACCACTTGGGCGAGCGACGCGAGAAGATGATGCTGCGGAGGGGGTAGTCATGGCGCCGTGGCGAGCAGAGGAAGCGGCGGGTGTAGCCATCATGCTGGGAGCATTCATACGACTGCTTTGAGCAGAATTTCCAGAAGGTGTGTTGGAACCGTGGGATGTGGTTCCGGTCATTTCTGATTCTTCTTCCTTGGGGTCCTGGGTGTTGTTTTCAGAAGGCGCAGAAGGGGTGTTAGATTTGGTGTTGGTGTTGGCGCATGTGCATGCTTCCTCCTGGGCACCATTAACGCGGCCCGCTGCTGAGGCAGAGGGGGTTGCGAGACCCATGTGCACGACTGTGGCAGAGGGCTGGGTGGCACGGCGCACTTTTTGGGCGCTGCATGCTTCAGTGGCCATGCTGTTGGTTACTTCATTGACGGTTAGCACGGATGGCATTGTTATTGAGATTGAGAACTGAGCATACAGTCACTCTGTTCAGCGCCACAGGCAGACTTAATCTCTTCCATGACAGACTGGCGTGCAGCATCAGAGCAGAGACAGGCAGCATCACCGGTGTTGCATGCACTGCTGGTAAGGAGGGTGCGCATCTACTTGTGTTAGTGTTACTCAAGTCAATAGCCCAAGATCGACTTACAGCACAGGTCTGAGCATCTTCCCTTGCGGCGAGAGTGGAAGTAGCTGCAGTGGCAGCAGCAGCAAAAGCGAGGAGAGTAACGAATGAACGCATCTTTGCTAACGAGTGTTGGTCGACCGAGGTTTACTGGAAGAGTTGGTTGAATCGAAGTCGAAATAACGAGTGGACGTGGTCGAAAGACTCTGTTGCAAAGAATCGCTTTTGTCGGGCTGTTGAATAAGTGTTGCACAACTCACAGATTCCTGGGCGTCGAGAGGGGCAGAACAGCCATTGATATAGACAGCATTGCTTTGCTTCTACATTTTTTGATACCCGACCAGCCCTCGTCCAATACCGGGACGATGCTGGCATAGCGAGGTAACACACAACAAATTCCTTGGATCGAAACATACCAGATGATGGAAAGAAACCCTCAATTAATTACAAGACTCGTTGGACCAGCAACATATGGTGTTCGTACACTGACAAAGTTGCCAGATGGAATGTATAGATGAGCCGATCACTCTACGAGGCATGTTTGGGGGTCGCGTGTTGTTTGGACCAAAGGGGCAAAATAGGGTTTGCTTCGGAATGCGCATACAACAAACTCAACAACATGGCGCGTCGTGCAATTACGATCGCCAGCCATGACAGGAGGCAGTGCAGATTATACGTAGATATTGTATGCATGGTATGACAATGGCAAAACTCGTGGAGAATGAACCATACGCCTCATCTTTTCTGTCTCTGCAGAGTTTTGACTACATTGACAGTGCATTAAATAACAGGTAATACGCAACAGGTTGATATTATGATAATTTGAGCGCTGCCTAACGCTACATGCCATTCTTGCTATTCTTGCCGTATATTTTTTGTAAGGCTATTGAACTCTTCAAGCCTCAAATTGGTGTTGATACACGCCCCCCACGGTATGGAATGTCAGATCACGAATATGCATAACACTCGGAATTGAGAAAAAGACTAGGTAGCCCCTTTAATTGTCTTCGTTACGTCAGGGTCAATGTAGACCAGAAAGTAGCAGGTACAAAGGAACCGAAGAACTGGTTTTGATTGATTGGCATGTCGCTCTTCTATGAATAATCTGGTATGGATCTATGATTCTGGGGTAGATCTAGTTGATGCGCGAGGATATTACCAACATAGCACCATAGTTACACTACGTATTTGCATTGCTTCAATGAAGATCAGTATATTGGATTCCTTGATTGAAAAATATTCTGGTCATAGACCAGATTCAGGTCCATCCAATCGCCCAAAAGTATCGGCCGTATCCAGATCTTTCCAGAGTGAAAATTGGTAGCTCGAGCGTCCGCTGATCTCGTCTATCTCTAAGTAACCCTCCTGCAACATTTTTTCGAGAGGTATTTCAAATATACATAAAGAAACATCCCAAAGGGAACAAAATTAACCAGCAAGGGTATCAACGCCTATGCGCTCAGATACTCATACCAAGAGTATCGTATGCAATGATGAGACAAAGAAGTGAAAGTAGCAAAGAAGCAGCAAATGATTCGAACCTCGTTCGAATCGGTCTAGTTGAATGTATTCTTTTTGATAGCACGCCATCCATCTAGACGAGGAAGCGGGCTTCTGGCTCCGGTCCGTGTGGCTGGCCGATCCAGCCCTAAGCCCTTGCTTGTAAACAGTGACAACCGCGTCTTTTCCTGACGAACGGCTTCTCTCCGCTGATCACGTAACGCATCGATGCGCCCTTGGCCCATACGGTATTTCCGACTCAAACTCTCATCCAATAGTGCGTTGGCATCGAGCAGCTTTTTCGGAATGGTTTGAACAATTTGGAAGACTTCCATTGGATCCGATACCGAAAGAATCTCCCGTTCGCCAGCCTTGAAGATTCCCAACGCAACCCGAAAGAACGTCTTAGACCCCTCGTAAAAGAAGCAGTCCCACACTCGCAGTGTCGTTTCTAACGGCAAGCTGCCAATAAACATCGACATAAGCCAGTTGGTGAGTCCAAGTGTGATGTCAGGTAGTCGCATATTGACAGTTAATGCCGGAGCCTTGCCTTTTGACGTTGTTGGCGTAATTGTGACCAATTTGGTGTATACACCTGGTAGGTTGTCTCTCAAAAGGACCATCAAGATCCACATGTCTACATTGGCGCCTTCAAGGCTAATCTCATGCGTACCCGGAAACAACTCAGAGGTTATGATATGAAGCATCCAGAAAGCTTTTTCTTCTGGCAAGAAAAGCAGCAGCATCCCAGTGATGAAATTCAGTGATTGTGTGTAGCCAATACGTGGATTGTGAAGCGCAAAGGCATAGAGCACCCGTCTGAGTGACCTGATCATTTGAGTCTCGACAATAACTGAGCTATGCTTGGGGATGTTGCTCTCTGCATTATCACCGCCGCCTTCAGCCGACATCTCGGGTTTGAAATGAACGTTATCAGGAAACGTTCGATAAAGATCGCGTTCAATATGCTCTTTATCGGTGTTGATAGGTGAAGACATGGCCTGGTGCACTAGGCTCGCGTAGTGCCCAGGTTTCGGATGCATGTGCTGATAGCCCCCAGCATAGTAGAACCAGGCGGCACCTCGGTATTCGCTTGGGATACCTTTCCGAACAAATCTCTTGATTGCATTAGACTTAGGAGGGAACGTGACAGGGTTCTCGGTCGGCAACCCAGAAGACTCCATCAATTTGATCCATTTGAGCCGCCGACTCTCAGCCAATGCGGCATACGGTTTGTTCCAAGCTTCGAACTGCTCACGTGAAACGTGGTGAGTGGCTTTGCGAAAGCCATAGCGATCGCGGTCGTCATCACCCGGAAGAAATGAAGGAGGTACTTTTCCTGCAACTCGTACTATGGTTGAATAACGCGGGCTAGGGATTGGCTGATTTGCGGCTTTCGTTGTATCCATTTCAACGGCCGCCGAGGTATCGATGGAGAGGTTTGGAGGGGACAGTTGCCTGGATACTTTCGATTTGGGCGAGGCGATTTCGTTACCTACCGACTCCGCCGGTTCTGCACTGAGTCGCGATGGTTTAACCTCCTCGTGATTTTCGTTTTGTTCATTTGGTCCCTCGACCGTCTTCTCGCCTTCCGCCGGTACCTCGTACGTTCGATGGTCATTTGTGAAACTGAATCCACTCTGTCTTTGTTCAGATGCTGGTTCTTGAGGTTCCATTGCAGGATCTTCGGGCCCAGGAGTTAGCGAGGTGCCAGATGTGTGTTTGGTAGGCGAATATATATTCTCCGCGTTGGCCTGCAGCTCACCCCCGAGTGATAGAGAATGAGCAGATGCCGAGTCTTCCGGGACGTCGACGATATCGTCGAGATACATGCCGATGGCATCTTCAACAGTCATGTCTTCATCTTCGCCAAAATACCCGTTCGGGGTATCCGGCGACATGTCCGTGATGGAGCTACTTTTGGTCAAAATGCTGCTACGTTCTGTACCGCTCATCTGTTCGAAGCTCGAGTACGATGTTTGGCCCGAAGTCTGACTTGAACGTAGCGGATCGTTATACTGCAAGAAATCAGGCGTAGTACGAGGGGGAAATCGGGGCAACGGCCTGTTGTTGGCGTTCATATCTGAATACTGGCGATCAAGGAGAGGCGAGCGACGTCTGCCGTTTAGAGAAGAAGTGGACATGGATATGCGCAAGCCAGTTCGAGCTGACCGCATCCTAGGCACGGAGTTGATGCTTTGCGCAGTGTCAGTCATGGGTAATGGCCAGGCGGCTTCTTGTTCTTCCTCATCCTGAGAGCTAGTTCGATTCGGAGTCTTTGTCGGGGGGGAGCTGGCAACTAGTACGTCGTGGCGAGAGGACATGGGATCTGATACATGCGGGTGAAATAAGGGTTCTTCATTGCGCGACGGGCTGTTCTGAAAGGAGGTATCGGTGTTGTAGGAAAGCTGATCCAAGTTGGGCCGGGCCAGACGAGGACTGTAAGGAATGTACTTGGTCGGGTTGGAAGGAGACGTGGGGGACACTGGACTTTTGTGGTGGCGATCATATGAATCACTAGTGTTACTATTATTGTTGTCCAAGTTTAGACGTGGCGGAGGGACACGACGGCGTTGAACGACATCATCACCGGAGGTCGAATCGTCCAGGGGCGGACCCCCATGCTGTGTGACCATGGCCACTGAAATACCCGCCCTTCTCGCTGTGCATTTGTTGTCTGACGATCTCTGAAGAATTATATGATTGGACGGCGGGTATACGATGGACACACAACCAAAGCCTCTTTATCGACACGCGGGCTATATATGTGTTTGAGCCGGTTGATGACCTTCTAAAAATGGTTGCGGTTGTTTGCTCGTTTCGCTTCCTTTTCGCGTTTTCCTTGTTGTGGTTCAGGCCAATGATGTTTTTTTTTTCTTTCTTTTTCTTCCACTCTAACTTAGAAAGTCGAAATATCCAATGCCGAGCTAGGAGTCGAGCTTCAATTGCGTGCGGAGGGAAAGACAAAGGAGGGAATGAATGAGCGGATTGGGACAACGAATGGAAGAGACAACACCAGGCCTCAGAAAGCGGCGTTTCGAGTTCAGAACAAAGGTTCGATAAAGAGGCAGTCCATGCCTTGCAGACGGACGGAAGAATTGAAGCTGGAGAAGAGAAATGAAGCGACCAGGGCCCGGCTGGGTTGAGAGCGAGGAAGAGCAGACGATGAGAAAAGGAAGCAGCAAAATAATAACAAGACGCAGAGACGGTAGTGGCCCGTACTAAGATTACTGGCGGTATTAACACGGGACCATCCGAAGCGCCCGAAATGACGGATCGCAGTAGCTCACTTCAGTAATTACCGTACACAGCATCGTGTTCCTGAAGGGGCCTTGGCTCTTCTTCATGATGACAGCTTGCTGCATTGAATATTTATCACTAAGTCATAAACTAAGAATTTACGTGTTACTAGGATCATTATCATAAAATGTCGACAGTACTGAAGTCATCCAAGATTCAAGTCCTCTATAGTCTAGACACACACTCATCAAGTTTAGTACGAGGTCTGAGAGCCGCCGTAACGGCAACGTTTCCGACTGATCTGGTCTCGTCATACATCACCAACTGCTGACCTTACTTTTGGACATGTCATTCTATGTTATACCTCTGCATGCATGCTCAAACTAACAGTTGGATCATACTACATTCACGCCGACGATGACTCCTTTCTTTGTTCCGGCCATATGTTTTTACCCTCCGCAACTCCGTCGAGCATAGTCCCCGAAAATGTCCCTGTTAAGCGAACATGCAAACCTAAACTGATTACACTCTCGAATCAAATAAAACAAGGCTGATTTCTAGATCAGACCTATCGACCCGCACCGGTCAGATCCGACTCGAGTCCCGGGCCCCTCCATGGAGTTCAACTATATGTATCTAGATACGTAGTTCGATTTCTTCGGTGGTTTCAGAGAGCGAGAAGCAGATATATTAAAACCAAGCGACCGGAAAAGAAAAAAAAAAACACCACTCGTACGTAGTTTAAATATGCTTCCAGCAAGGGCTTACTTAGTACATACATATGCAAAGAGGTCTCAGTCTGAGGAGCTATGATAGATAGACAGCAAACACCGACCAGCCACCAAACTTGAACCCGGAAGAATCTGAACCCAAACGCCATGAAAATGATCAATGCGATCTCCGCTCCGGTTCACTTTCTGCTGTGAATGAAATAAGTGAGAAAGCTGAGGTAGACGAGCCTAGTCGGTGGACATCGAATCCGATTATCAAATGTGCAAGAGAAAGGGAATGAGACAGGGACTCGAGTAGAAGTTACTTCTCCTCCCGAGCATATCTCCTCGTCCAGTCTCTCGCAACCTCCTCAAACCGCTTCCGATCATTTGAGTATTGCTCCGCAATCCGCCCCTCCACTGCATCATCGGGCATAGGTTCAACCAACAATTGTCTCGCGAATTCAAGCACAGCCGCAATGCGCGATGAAGGTTTCCACTCGTCCGACTTTAGCATACCGAGACACATGGATCCTTTATCGTCATTGGAGACATTTGGGTGATAGATCTTGGTAGCGAAGGAGACGGTAGGAGGTTTGAATGGATATTCATTTGGTAGTGTAAGGTTGACGAGGAATGTGCCGCCCTATCGTTAGATAGAATCAGTATACACTTCTTCGCTTCTTTCACAAGGGCGAAGAGGGACATACTTGGTACGGGGTACCTTCGGGACCCTTCATGGAAACTTTCCATTTGTATACGTCTGATTCATCGGCAAGCTGGACTGAGATTCCGGCGGGCGGCGTTTCCATCAGTTCGGCCAGCTCCTAGTACGATTAAAGCTGAGTCAGTTSGAGCCATATCAAGCAATAGTCATCATAATGCGACAGAAGTAGGAAGACCAAGCGTACCTTGCTGATACGCTTCATGCTACCCATGATGCCGGTCTAAATTCAGAGAGGACTGAAGAGGAAAAATAAGAAAAAAGGGAGTACACAAAGTAGGAACAGATTGCAATGAGTTGAGATCCAAGATGAGGTTGTAGTTGCAGGCAGGTCATGAGGGGGGAGGTACCTTTATCTTGGCGGGGTAGCTTGGGTAGCTCCCTGGCCTGGCCCGTTATCGCATCGGCGTTGGCAACGTCCTGCTACATTTAATTTTTGGGCATTTCGCAAGCAGATATATTACTTTGGAATGTCCAACAGCGACCGATGCATCTTTTTCATGGATACCTTTTTCTATCACTGTCAAGGTCTGTCTACATGCTTCAGACACGTCACACGATCAGCAATCAACATCCCTTGGCCACCTGGTGCTGTACTGGGGACCTCACATGCTTCACCCAGCAAGATAAAAGTCATGACCACGAAATCTCAATTAGTGTTTTAATTCAGAAAACCTCATTGTTATGCATTTAGGTAAGAAAGCGCCTGCAAACCCACGATGATGAGAAGGTAAATCACTCCCTCTGCAATATCACCATCAACCCCATTACGCCCAGCAATACAGTCTTCAACCATGGATGCTCGCTCAACATGATTGTGACATATCCCACGCCGGGAATATACCCTCGAACACTGCCCACAATATCCTCCTTGCGGTCTAGGAAATCCTGTCCTCGGGCGTATAATTCTGTGTCGTCGGCGAGATTGTTGTCTCCTTTTGTGAGTAGCTTTTGAGGAGCGACGGTAGGAAGACTGCCGTCAGATATTAATTAATACCATACTGCAAGATTGGCGCTGCCCATATGAGAAAAAACGTACCCAGTTTTCTTATTCTTGGCCTTTAATTTCTTGTCTTCCTCGGTATATGATCGGACAACTCGGTGGACAATTGGAATATCCTTGCCTGCAATATCGATCAGCCATCTTCGCAGTTAGCAATAATATCATTGATGTGTGTACCTCGAACGTTATAAACCACAATCTCTCCCACCTCAGTCCTCTCCCCGCGGTTCCATAAAAACAGTAAATCTCCGCGCTGAAATGCCGGCTCCATAGACCCGGATAATACGACCACGATGGGACTGCTGGAGTTCGACGCTATCGAGACGCCTTTCCATAGCATGAAGGCGGTAGAAAGGACGAGGGCGAAGTTGAGGACTTGGGCGATCGATTGTCGCGCATTGGACAGGTTGCCTCCAAGGGCGGACAGCATTGTTTTTGTTTTGTGGGTTATCAGTTGCAGATACAATTTTGCATGCTCAATGATATATGCTTCTTGATAGAACTCGATAACTTGGGAGTCAAAACAGTCCGCTTGTTCTTGTTTTTGTGATAATGTTGTTGAAAATACAAAGCTGCTTTAGTAGACTAGCGGAGAGGTGGCCTTGCGGAGGACCCCAGATAGCTCCGGTCGACCAATCAGCTGCTCCCATCCTAGCTAAACCTATCACAGCATTCTGTATGACATTTTATGTTCTTCACCTACCTTTTAAGATATTTCCTTCAATTTGACAACGTAGTCGATAGAACCAATTTCCAGTAAGAAGCCACTGATGCATCCTGGAAATATACCAGTCGATCGCAGCAGTGGATGCTCTTCATGGCACCGGTTTTTCTCGGATTCCGGTCTCGACTTCCAAAACACCAGGTATATAATATGCACATTACTATGTAAGTCTCCAATTGACTTCCCACCAATGAGCCCATCAAGCGCAATTGCCAATAAATCGTACTGACCTCATTGCGATGCAGGAGTCAGGAGTCCAAGCGATCATGGCGGACAAGAGCTGAAAAGAAAACGGTTCGGCACGCTCACAATCCAATCAGAGACCTGGGAATTGCGAGCCGCGATGCAACAGCCTAGCCCTAACTCGAAATAGCTAATGACCACTGACTAATTGCTAGCGCTATGATAGCCTAAATTTCTTCTTCTTCACCTCTACGGTGCCCACACTGATCGTTACAGTCTCCCTTCAGCTGGACTTGGTACGATTCTTCTATGGTTCTGAGGTGGATCGGTCAATTGATTTGATCGCTACTTCGTGTAGATACCGACCGAGGTCGAGAGCTTGGAACGAATGAAACAGAACCCATACCGAATAAATTTCGGTAATGCCGATTGTGAATGTTTAAATCTGATGGAGCGTCATCTGGGAGCTATGATCCATCTGCTCGGATTTGAGATTTATTGGTCATTGCGAATACGACAACACCAAGCTCTAAACGTGAAAGTATTCCGAGATCCCTATAGTACCGCGGTCTATAGATCAGAAGGAAGGATGCATAAGTGAACATTAAAAGATTATCTTATTATCCCAGCAGACCGAGTAGCGCCAGCACTACTTGCATAGCCCATGCGACTCTTCGTCACCTATCCTATCTAGACACGCTTTTCATCAGATGCAGTAATCAAATAGCGGGAAACAAAAATAAAGCCCAGCAAAGATTTGTCGCTCCGTCAAATGCAATTTATACCAATGTATCAAACATTCCAGCTCCGTCCCTCTCGGGCATTAGCAGAAGAGGGAGAATGGAGAAAAGGTGCAAACAAGAACAGAGAAAAGAAACGAGGGTATCAATGAACATCATCTAGAGTCATGTAGCACTTCTTATCCACGAATAAGCGTCGCCATACCCTGTATGGCTCCTAAACATTGCGGATAGTATAAATCAACCAGATCAGCGTCGAGAATTGTTGATCCAGAGTTGAATCGCCGCCAGCGGGGGATCTTCAGACACCCAGAGACCAGCTCTTGAATCGGCTTGTCGAAGATCCGAGAAGATAGTGTGATCGGTGATGCTGTCCAGTTCCTGGAATGGTGATTAGCCTAACTAGGTCCTCTCATAACCGCGCCAACCGTAGTCTAGATGGAAAAAGTAAAAGATGAAGTGAAAAAACGTACTTGGCGCAGCAATTGATCGATCTCTCGTAACTGAGTGCTTTGCCCCTTGAATGAACGTGAGAGGAGCTCGTTGCGATTTATAACCCATCTCTTCGCGGCCGCAACGCGAAGATAGATCTTGTGAGCTTGGAATCGACGGACACTGGCGTCAAGAATAACCCTATATAACCCCATTGATATTTAGGACTTAAGAGCAGCAAGGAGCTGAGAAACGCACTGGCGCAATTGAGCCCTTTCCATTTCCGGATCGCTCCCCTGATCTTCAATAGGCATGCTCGAGAACCCCGCGGCCAACAAACGCTGTGCTGAAGCTGAGCTCTGTGCGAGAACTCGATATCCTTCCTGTTGCGTATTTCCCATTGGAACGGAAGCTAACTGCTGCGAGATGTGATGTTGAAGCGTTCGATAGTCATTGATCAATTCGGCGACTCTCATGGCTCGTGCATCATTCACTATGAACCGAAAGAAAAAGCTCAAGTTAGATATTTGACCAAGAATGCAAATTTCAGTTCAATACTGAAGTCGAGTCTAGATCTTCATTTGTTTTTACTCTTTCGGGAAAGGGGCACGTACGGCCGTCAGCCATATCTCTGGTATCTTCTTGAAATGAGCAAACACAGGCAATTGTTGATGACTGATTAGAAGGGTGACAATGGAATATAACGGACTGAGAAGAGAAAGCACAAAGGAATATGTAAGAGAAAGAATAAAGTCAATTGCTTATTGTATAAAGTTCAAAGCCAAAAAGCCATCCACTAGACTAAGCTTACATCCAACCGATGGATGAACTTCCTGCCTTTTAAGTAGAAAACTAAAATATACAACGTCTCTACTCCCAGTGGAAACCGAGCTCTACCTGTAAGCAAGATCAATTGATGTGTGCACTGGTGGACGGTGGGCACAGGGCAAGGTGAAATCAATACTAGTGTAGGATTGGTTGGGCCAATGGACACCAGCAATGGCATCAGAGTAGATTATCCGAGCTTTTGGATCTTGTCGGAAATCTGGGATAGTGCCAAGTGGGTCCCTCTTACCTCTTTTTTTTTCTTTCGGAACTTGCCTTTTCGATTTTTGATTTCCCTCCTTTCTCGTTCGTAACTGACCAATTATCGTTAGTATGATCGAGGGAGATAGGAGACGGACTGCCGAAAGCAATTGTGGGATTGTGCTGTCAAGACTCAGATTCAATTATGCGGAGGCCAGGGGATCGGATAGTGGATTTGATCAGCCAGCCATACGATTTCCATACTGTACAGAGCACATACATCGTACTCGACTTGACTGACAGAGACAGCTGTAGATGGATCTCCAGCAACGTCAATCACGGTGCTCCCGCTTGCTCGGCAGTTGCAGGAACAACCAACAGCATCCAGCTTCCTAAACAGTCATATTGAATTTCAGGGTGGAGAAAACACTGACACATTGCACCGTGTCGGTGGACCCGTTTCGCGACCCTAGCGGTCTGATCGAGGCTGTCCGATACTATTTTATCTATCGTTATGGTTCATCACCGTTCGTGCATGAACGCCACTCGCTCCCAGCTCTTATGGGCATGGGGCAGGGTAGGGCCGCGGCCATTGAGGAATGGAAACATGCCATGGAATGCTGCAGATGTAGGGTCCGGATCAGGGCAGGCTAAAGCAGGGGCATCCAGAAGGATGACGAAGTCATGGAAGTATCCGCTGTGTTTAGACCATTTTGATGTGAAGTTATGGGGATGGGTGACGATGTGACTGAGAAATAAACGTGAGAAAAGAAACGACGAAAAAAATTGGGGATTGAGCCGAGATCTACTGCCAATCACAAGCTCAGAAAGCCTCCAAGCCACGAATCCTAGCGTTAACAATCCAAGCTGAAACTGGAGCTGCGCCTTTCCGTATTCGGACATAGACTTGTGGCTGATGCGCGCCTGTGGCAAATGCACGAACGATATGTCCCTTTCCATCGACATTCTATACATAGTAGTTTTCTGCTTCTGACACTTTATCAACATCAAGTGGTCCTTTTCCTGCATCGCTCGCGTATTCTTTCACAACTTTCCGAATGAGGCGCACCTGAATGAGTTGTCTACATAACCCATTCTCAACGGTTACAACACTTCAGCGTGGCTAGACTCAAGCAGACAATAGCTGTACTACGCCGATTCACGACAACATCCTGTCGTCAGTACCTCACCGCGGTCCAACATTCAACGGCCATAAGCCTCAACGGTCTTGCAAAGGTATGTCTGGAAAACTTATTTATGTGTTGTGGCTTGCAAAGACTAGACAAATAGAAATCGAGAATACATTCTAGTTGCTTCAATCCTTCTCCGCAATGGCTTGCAGCCTTTCGTCAATTTCCTCCTCGGTTAAAGCGCGGAAGGAAACGTCTGTACCCTCCTCGCCATCAAGTCGGGGGCCGCCAACAATGCCAATCTCCAACTCGTTTTTCTTGAAGTCAACACTGAGAACGTTGCTCAAGGCTGTGATTCCGAGCTCGACCACTTCTTCCCAGTCACCTTCGACGTGATCCTTGTTCTTCAGCTTCTTCTCGAGGAAGTTCACTGCCTCCTGCTGCTTGGGGCCCGATGCAGTCGCCTTGTAGCCAGCGAAATATCCGGCGGGATCGCATTTGTACACCTGGGGTCCGTTTTCGTCATCTACCGAGATAAGCGTAATAGCAACACCGAGTGGACGCATGTAAGCCTATATCGTACGTAATGTCAGCCAGACGACTCTTCGGACATCAGTGCTTCATTGAAGCTGCACATGTGCAGTGTAACTCGTACCCGTTGAGTGTAAACTTGGTTGATATTGGCCAAACGCTTCGCCAATACATCACAAGGCATCTCGTATCCGTATTTATACCTGAACTCCGCAGCCTCACCACGGGCACGGTCGACGCATGCTCGGGCATCGGCTATGGATCCTGTCATGACACATCCAACGGAAGGCGAGATCTTGAAGATGTGGGAGACTGAAGAGGGCTCGATCAATTTGTCCTGCAAGTTGATACATCTATCAGCTGTCCTATTCTAGCTGATCGGTAGACATTGTGATCAAACTTACAGGAACCTTCTTTTGTGATAGGACAACGGCGCAGTTCTTGCCACGAACACCGATGGACGTTATGTTTGCTGCTGTAATCGCTTTGAATGCATATTCTATGATGGAGTTATCTTCTTAGCTGATTGACTCGATAAGGCGGAGCCCTGCTCGGGGTCGTTGGATTCAAGGACTGTCCGATTCGGAGATCGACTGGAGGACAAGCACGGGAAAGCATCAATACTAACCAACTTGATATAGACGTCCTGTATCAGAGAAGATGGTAATATGTCGGTCGTAGCCTGCGCTTCCTGTAGCGATAGATTCACTCATTAGATTCAAGCTTGAAGACCAAACAGGTAGCTGGAACACGGGATTCTAACCTGACATGATGATCAATTTATCCCTTTGTTGATATTCTTCTTTCTAGTATGTAATTATTCGGGAAATTCCCTGCCACAAAAATTCGAGATAAAGCCTAGAAGGATGAGTAGAAGCTGGATGAGGTTGTGTTGCGCGGTCACGGAAGCTGCCTGAGCTTGACAGGCCATAGCACTAGCTCCAGCTCATTCTGCCGCCCATCCCTGACCGCCTTCGTTCGTTCCTCCTGCCAAGATATGCTTTGTGCCTCTTTCAGCGCCAAATTTATGTCTTGACCACCATCCGTTGTACAAGGCATACTAGAAGATTCCAAAAATCAACATGATTGGCGACTCGTAATGATCAATTGGTCGTTTAGAGACACGCTACAACGATGGAATACCCTCTAGCTGCGAAGCTTGCTATAGCAATTTCAAAGCACCAGTGAGATGCGGCATCGAGTTTCGCGTACCTTAGCTATTGGCTTTCGTTCGAGCACGGATGATCGGATTATGAATGTGCCCCATGCAGAGGATCAGACCGATGCCTACGTCTAGGATCTCGGTCCAAATAAGACTTCACTTCTATACGACTAAGGTAGGGTGTTCTCAATAGCTCTATCGAACTCTATGCCGAATGTAGCAAAAGCTGAAGCTCAAACGGAGACACACTATGAAAATATGGAGGACCTTCGTTGCACAATATTAGCTAGGTAGAAAGGATGCATATCACAACCACAATGTATATTTTGAGCGCCACTACTGTATGTACCGATCAAACCTTGAAACTCCAAACAATATGCTATCACAAACGTAACCGTTGCATGTCTATATGACCCGCTCAATCACTGTCCGAATCAGAACTCTCGCTACTACTCGAAATATCCACAATCATAGTTCGATTCTTTCTCTTCTTCCTTGCCGGTGCTTTCTGCTTGGTTTCCTTCTTCGTAACTGATGTAGTTTCCGTGGGCTCTGATTCAGCTTCTGCTTCGGCTGACTTCTCCGGCTTACTTGTTGCAGAGGAGAATTTGCCTATTTTGCCTGATGCAGTCCACAAAACCATCTCGGCTCGTTTGCGATGTTCGAGTCTGGTCAGAACGTTGGGATCGATTTCTCCATTTTCATTGTTGTCTCCATCCGGCGCAGTCAAGGTAACACCTTCATTCAGATCCTTGACACCCGCATTCAAATTGCCCTTGAACCGCCATACAGCATTACCATATTCTTCTCTCCACGACTCGGGCAAAACAGGTATTTGAGCAATATCACTCGTCTCTTCTGTAACTGTACTTTCATCTGCCGATAAGGCAGAAGTATGCTTCTCGTCAAATTTGATGACGTCCTGCGCACTTTTGCGAAGTCTTGTTCTTGCACCTTCACTTTTCAATCCCTTTAAATACGCCAATAGCGCCGGATTATACTCAGAGGGGACATGCTCCAAAGAAAAGACATGTTTGAGTAGTTGAGCTTCGCGAATTTTCTGGAATTTCCATGATGTGCGGTCGTGGTGATACTGCCATAAGTAGGCGATGATAGTTTTGTCTGCCGATTCTGTCATGGACTTATCTCCTTTGGTCGTGGTAGCGGTTTTCTCGCTGTTTTTCCGTCGTTGTTCGCGCTTCTCTCTTTTCTCCTTTTTTCTTCTTTCGCGATTTTGCTCTTCGTTGTCCGCGTCTATTTTATCATCATGGTCGTCTGTTTTCGTCTCTGTGCCAGCACCGTTCATTTCATCCTTGTGCTCGATAGTCTGGACATCAACGTTATCTGCGAAAGAGACCGACTTTCTCTTCTTCCGTGACTTCTTTTCTGACACTCCATCTTCCTCTATTTTATCATTGTTCCTCCTTTCGTTTTGTTCGTCCTTTTGTTTCTCTTCGCTGTCGACCTCGTCTCGTGATCGCTTCTTGGATTTCTTTTTCGACGTCTTCTCACTCGTTTCCTTCACTGTATATTCCACGTCCTGTACGTATTCTTTTTCTTTTTTGGCCTCTTTCAATCGCCTCTTTTCTTCTTTTTTTTTCGCCTTGAGCTCGCTCACACGAAGATCGTGTTTGCTTTCGACGGACATGTCGTCTTGCGCAGATCCGCTTGATAATTGACCAGTGCAATAGAAATTAGGACAATTATATTCCGTAAAATAAATCGTAAACTGAGCCGCTTTATCAGAAAGAAAAGAGTTGCGCAAAAAGTTGAGCAGTGGAGTGACCAAACTTTTTKCCGGAAACTTTTTAAGCTTCAGATAGGCATAGTTCGGCTCCGACTTTCGAGATGAGAAAATCATCCGATCTTTGCTCGAGTAATATGTGGGGCTGCTTTGATATTACCATATTTTACCCCCACCATCGTATTACAGTGCTCCTGTAGCTCAGTTGGTTAGATCGTCGTGCTTATACTTCAAATGTCCGATACGGGCAGTGTTAGTATCGCGAATGTCATGGGTTCGACCCCCATCGGGAGCATTATTGCTTTTTGATATTTTTTGGGGTGTGGCTGATGATCCCTTCTACTCTGGTTAAAATGAACCAATTTTCACGTCAAACGGAGTATGGTGTGGGTGGGAGAAAAGCAATTTAGAAGTTGCGAGATCGCATGGCTGAAGGACATCTAATAGAGAATCTGCTTATTGAGACACAGCTTGGTATCTGAGTCGTCTTCTAGTAATATGCTCAAGTGGTATATAACTCGTTTGGGATTCGTACGTATACTTAGCTCCCTCGTTATCCAGTCTCAATTGATGTTGCTCGTTATTCCAATGCCTCAGTCTCTACGTACGCAGAATGAACACTGAGTGATTTCTCCGTGGGGCCTCTGAAAATACATACTCTACCTAGGCGAATGTTGTATGTAATAATTACCAGGTTTCCTCTGATTCTATTTGATGTATATTATCCACACAAGAACCATATTTACCAGATATATGCCACACTGAATTATAACAAATCGAGCTCCCTACTTCAACGCGCTGAGGCTTACCGCCCGGCAGTATCCTTATCCGTAGTTGTTATCGACAACCAAACAGTGCAAACAGCACCACCAAGTCCCGCGCGCGACAAACAAACAATTAATTATCTGTCAGACGTTGGCAATTCGAATGAAGAAAATTCATCACCTACCTTACCCCATCGAGCATTATATCAAGCTGCTGTGTAAAATTACCATATATCTCAAATGCTCCGAACGAATGGACTTGACTGGACATGACACGATCTAAACGGGAATACCCAACAGAAACACGTCGTGCCCGGATGCCCAAACGGTGGAAGCGATAGAAGCGACTTGCAACGATAGGACATCTGGTTTGCGAATTTGAGAAAATGTCAGCACGACGCATACCGGCGCGCTCACGCCGCGTCGAGGATGCCATGTCCCAATTAGTCGACTCTCTATTACCGCCCATCTCTCCTTCCGCATTTGGTGACGAATTCTCCGGAGACGAGGAGGATGCCGTGGCCGCGGCCGAGGAGCAACGACTTCAAGAGCATCTTCGCCGTGCATGGCGGATTTTAGATGTTGTCGGTGCAGAGAAAGAACAAGCTGGTATTGATGGCAGTGGAGGATCTGCGGCAGAAAATATCAACAATGCCTCTGATCTGATCAAACGAAAGTTACTACGAGAAAATGCGAGTCCGGATAAGGCGGTACGATTTTCGAATCTTTATTCTCGATTGTTGACGCAGCCTGTGCTCGGGCAGAAGTGGGCTATTCTATATTTGTTGTACCGCCTGTCGGAACAGGAAGACAGCGAAAATAACCGGGAGGAAGATGCGGTTACAAATGAAGGTGGCCGGAGTCGAAGTCCTCTTCTGGATGATGGGAACTTGGACAATTTACTATTCAAATCAAGGGCTGGTATGAGGGGAGCGCTGGTTGATGACATCGATGAAGGCCCTGCTATCAGTTCGTCAGTCTCACAACGAGGAGAATTTGTAGATCGAAGGCGTTCAGCACGAGCCGCAACAACGGATAAGCAAAGACACAATCATCCTGCGACCACCGAAGAGGCAAGAGACAGCAATTCAGGACGATCCAGGGGAACAAGCACACCAAGAGAAGTTCCACATGTTGCTGTCCCGCAGACAGAAAAACAAGAACCAGCGCCTCTCAAAACTGCAGAGTCATCTCTACTCCGAGATTTGCCATTCATTCTTCAAGGTCTTTCGTCTACGAATATGGAGTTCTCGTCATCCACAATGTTGAAACTACCAACCAATTTACCGATCCCAATGGTATCGTTGTTGCACACATTAGCCGAGCCATGCCTGCTGTATAAAGAGTTATCCGGCTTTGTTGATAGCTCAGAAGGGGGCCTTGTGAGCCAAGCATTGAGAGCGTCCATCTTCAATGAGCTTCGCTCTTATTTGGGGCTGGTTGCTACTCTTGAAGGGGAAATTAGAAGAGCCTTGACTGCAGCGGCTAGTGATGACCCTAAGGGCATGGTCAAGGGCGCGGTGACTCTAAAACGCTGTGTGGTCTGGACCAGGGACGCAACAATGGCCTTGCGACTGATGAGTATAATGGTGGAAGAAGCAAGAGGTAGGTACTCTTGACACCACTCATATGATTCTATCAAGTACTCACAGAACGTGCTTGCAGATAAAAAAGGTGGTCAATTGATATCCCTGATACATGGCTATTCAACGTCTCACGGTGATCCTTTCGTCGGCAATTTCGCAGAAAAGTTGCTATCACACATTACGCGCCCGTTTTACGAAATGCTACGGCAATGGATATATGACGGCGAACTTTCCGATCCATACAAGGAATTTTTCGTCATTGAATCAGAGTTTCGACCCAGCGCAGACCCTCGGCGCATTGCTTCGAGCGTATGGGAAGACAAGTACAAACTAGACGACGAGATGATTCCATCATTCATAACACAAGATTTCGCCAAAAAGGTTTTCCTCATTGGGAAGTCTCTGAATTTCATTCGTTATGGCTGCGGGGATTCTGCTTGGGTGGAAGCCTACTCAAAAGAAACGTCCAAGGAGCTTCGATACGGAGATACAGCAAGACTAGAAAACTCTATTGACGAGGCTTACAAGACTACAATGGCACGACTCATTCATCTAATGGATACTAAATTCAAACTGTTCGAGCACCTTCGTGCTTTGAAGAAGTATCTTTTGCTCGGACAAGGCGACTTCATCGCGCTGCTTATGGAATCGCTTGCTTCGAATCTGGACCGCCCTGCCAATTCGCAATATCGACATAATTTGACTGCTCAGTTGGAGCATGCTATTCGGTCGTCCAATGCACAGTACGACTCTCCGGACGTCTTGCGGCGTCTAGATGCACGTATGCTTGAACTTAGTCACGGCGAAATAGGATGGGACTGTTTCACCCTTGAATATAAGATCGACGCCCCTGTAGATGTGGTCATCACTCCATGGGGATCAACACAATACCTCAAAGTCTTCAACTTTTTATGGCGAGTAAAAAGAGTCGAGTTCGCACTGGAAAGTACATGGCGAAGGTTCATGACAGGAGCTCGCGGTGTCCTCGGCAGTGTGGAGGACAAAGTTGGATCGGACTGGAAACTCGCAAGATGTGTGATAGCCGAGATGATCCATTTCGTATGCCAGTTACAGTATTATATCCTTTTTGAAGTGATTGAAGCCAGTTGGGATCAACTACAAGCGGCAATTTCAAAGCCTGGCTGCACTCTGGATGATCTAATTGAGGCCCATACCAAGTACCTCAATTCTATCACACACAAGGGCCTTCTTGGCTCGTCGGGTACGTCGCGAAGCTCCTCGTCGTCCACCAACAAGCCGGAAGAAAGCTTCCTTGCGCAGCTGCATCAGATACTCAAAATCATGCTGAACTACAAAGATGCTGTTGACGGTCTTTATTCATTCTCGGTTGCAGAGTTCACACGGCGTCAAGAACTCAACGCAAAGATCGAGACTCGCACAGCACGTGGCCAATGGGGCGTGACCGAGCATGACTTCAACCATCCGTCTCCGTTCTTGTCAAATCAGGAGAACGCCAATCTCACCGCAGACGACCATATGTTAACCTCCTTGCAAACCCGTCTTCGCGACTTGTCCGTCGATTTCCGTGCTCGACTCAACATTCTACTCGGAGACCTGGCTTATCAACCGGATGTCGACATGCGTTTCTTGGGCGTGGTCATGAATTTCAATGAAGTTTACGAGCCCGTGAGAAAAGGCCGACGCGAAAAGACATCGGCAGCTGCTGCGGGGGCTTCATCGTCGACTCGAGACAGGGACAAAGATAAGAAGACTCGTAGGAATGTGGTACCGCCAAGTACCAGTGCCGCTACTGGCGGTGCAGATCCCCAAGAGTCGCAGGGAGACGCTCAATGAGTACTTTTCATTAATCATGTATCCGCATTTGCAGGCGCAGTTGAGGAGTGACGTCAGAGAAGACGCATATACCCATTTATAATTTTATAATGTATGTACAGAAGTTTGTACTACTACTAGTCACATTTATATGACATCCCGTCATGCAAAACCCAAGGGCATACCTCGATTTGTACTTTTCCCCCAGATCAATACTGTCATGCATGTCCGACTAATCTCACAATATAGAGGAGATTACTACGTATGTCGAGTTGGCCACGTTGTAGCACTGGCGCGGAACCATTGAGTCTAGACGGCTCTGCTGCAACTGGAAGACATGGGATGCGCTTAGACCTTAGTCTCCTGCTCTGAATTCACCGCTTGAACGGTCGATGAGAATCGATTCATTGATCTATTCGTTGTTTGTCTAAGGGGTGCGGAGTAATCAACAGAGTATGCCCTGATCAGGAAGGCGTAAGATGATCAACTAGTAGATTCAAGAGAATTGATTCGACTGGATTGATAGAGACAGGTGATTCGATGGAAGCAGTTGCGCAGAGGCTAATCAGGGCGAGGTGGTACTCACAAGTAGATTGCGTCATCACCTCCCGTCCAATCACGGCACATTATTGCTAATCTAGACGGAGGGGAGGAGCCGCAGAGAACAACGATTAGTGGACAGACGCCAGTGCACGCCMCCCCGTCTTGCCAACAACTTTAMAAGCCGATATTAATTTATTACTATGTAATTCCTCTTTTCTGCCGTTGTCCTCCGGCCGAAACAAGCGCTGAGTGGTCCCAATGAGCTTTCGTCCTTTCCCTTCGCTTCGCGCTAGTCCGCGCCAGTCCCAGAGAGGCTAGCGACAGGCGAGGTTACACTTTCTCGTGGAATTCCTGTCGTCGTCACCGTGATCTCATCGTCCCGCGTCCCTTCTTTTCTTTTTCTTTCTCGGCCTTCTTCGTTCGTTCTCTCATGATGGCCACCAACCGATTGTTCAATTTTACATACGTCCCGACATTGGCAGATGATGTGCCGATAACTTGCAACGAATTTGTAAAGGGGAAAATTTTTTTTCTTGGAAAATCGCGTAAATTCGACCGAATTGAGGGACGTACCACCACTCGAGTCTGCGGTGGCCAAAATTACGTGAGCATTATGCCAGTCTGGACTAGCCCCAATATGCTATCCGGAGATTTCATTCGCCGGATTGATCGTGGTCGAAGGGGGCGGAGAAAGCTAGTTTGGTCGCTCGATTCCTTCCATGACAGGGCGCATTCCCCTTCTTTCTATCTCGGGTGCCATTTCGCAGGCACTCGGTGCGCTGCTCTCTACTTGATAGATACTACTGTGTATCCAAAGAACTTATAAGAATACTCGCACTGTAACAGCAATGTATCCAGTAATCTGCAAAAGTTGTGAAACATTGTGATTAGGTTCGCCGTCATAGATCGCTGTCCTCGGTCGTGTGCTTCTGGCTAACGACTCCGGTCGCAATATCACTAATATACTAGCCTAGTATTGCCGGACTAGTATCGTGCCAATGGCCCACCCGGAAACCACCATTTGGGATGATAGACACAGTCCRGGCCCGCCGACAGCGAGCACTTCGGACGGGGGCCAGCCAGTGACAGCGCCAGCATTGAATGAGTGCTACCCATCTCTTTGCACAAGAAAAAAAACGTCTTCACTGGCCCTGCCTGCTTACTCGTACCTTCCTTCCCTCCCGTGCCTCCTCCCCCCCAATAAGTACCCTTCCAGCCCGGCTACGTCACTTTCCCTCCTTCCACTCTCCCTTTCTTCCAAATCCGTTCTTGGGACTGCATCATCATCATCATCACCATCACCACCAGCAACCCTCTGTGACCGCATCAACCCTCGACTACCACTCGAGATTGATGCTTCGTACTGTGACTGTGCGCTGAAGTCTATCTATCTATTCTTCATATTATTATTTTTTAATTCGCGTATTGTTTCTTAGTGCGTGTTGATTTTCGGCTGGTCGTTTTTTCTTTGCTTTTTTATTTTTTCCCTTACTCGTTAATACCGACCGGGCTCGCTCATCTACGCCGTCGCGTCGCCCTTCCCGGTCGTCATCGATCCTCTCTTCCTTCCTCTTTCTCCCTCACGACTCCCCATTCACGAGATCATGTCTGCTGCCGTGGCTCAGAGGGCTCCTCTGGGCAGGACCTCATCCCCCATGGACACCAAAAAGAATATAATGAAGTCTGAAGGTCAGTGTGCTCTATCCTTCCTGCGATCGGCTTTTCTCTGGTCGGGTGGCGTTGTTCTGTGTCCGCGATCGAGCAAAAGGCCTTCCCCTTGAGCAAACTGCCAATGACTGTCTGCCATCTGCCATGACCTCACAATTACCCTTATCGACTGTTCCCCAAAGTTCGGATGACCTATCGCCTATCGCCTATCGCCCTATCCGTCCGCAACATCATCTTCATCTTCATCATCGTCATCATCATCACCACCACCACCCTCCTCCTGCCTAAACACACTGCACCCCACAATCAACCTTGTGTCTATTTTCCTGCGCTGCATGCAATAATTATACACGTTTATTCTCCGTTGCTTGACATTACGTCTTTATTATCAATCAACAATATCTGTTACCGATTGTGGGATCGCGCATTGTATTAACCTCATCTTGGCACTACAGATTCCAAAGATCAAAAGCCTGCGACCGATACTGATTCTCTTCCACCACCMCCCCGCCCCGCCGCTTCTGGTCCCGGCGACACCCCTGACTACTTCAACTCGCTCCACAACCCATTCTCTCTCGAGCCCAACCCGTTCGAGCAGTCTTTTGGCAACCCATCAGCTGAAACCCCGGGGAAGTCATTACTTCCCCCAGTCGCATCCATCACGTCTCCTGCACTGCCCGGAGCTAGCTCAGCCGGCTACAACTGGCCCAACTCGCTACGATCTGGACCTCTGAGTCCTGCTATGCTGACGGGCCCTACTGGTACCGACTACTTCGACAGTATTGGACGCGGCTTCCCTACACCCAACGAGTCTTCGCTACGTACGGGCTTGACCCCTGGTGGAGGGGGGTCCATGTTCCCGGCCCCGAGCCCCAACACTCAGGCGATTCTCTCTCAGCTTCAAAGTGGTGGTGCGACTCCTTCGACTCTCGAGTTCCACCGCACAGCCCTCAACGCGGCCAAGCGCAGCGGCTTCAATGTACCCACGTCTAACCCGACTAGCGAGCCCGAGCAGCTCCAGAACATGGATAAGAAGACTGCACCAGCTGTTGTTGATCAGTTCACGCACCACGATGCTGCTGATGCAGCCAACGGCCTATTCATGCTTGCGAAGGGCGGTCAACCAAACAACGACGCGTTCGCTGCAGCTAATAAGCCCACGGATATGTCTGATACGAAGCGATCGACGCGAAACGCTCACAACTCGGTGAGCAGTGGTCGCGAGTTGACTGCCGAAGGTTCCGATAGCCAAGGCGAGCAGTCCAAGCCAGCATCGAAAGGCAAGGGCAAGAAAAATACGCCTGTCAAACAGACCTCGTCCATCAACGGCCGTCGCAAGGCGGAAGAAGCGCCTAAAGGCTCTAACAAGAGAGCCAAAATGAATAGTGGACCTATGGAGGTGACTCCTGAAGAGGAGTCAGATGACGAAGACATGAAGGACGACCTAAATGGCAAGGACCCGAAGAAGATGACTGATGAAGAGAAGCGGAAGAATTTCTTGGAGAGGAATCGGTACGTCATCCACGTTAACCACGTTATATGCTTTGCGGACTTTTATTAATGCTTATACAGTGTCGCCGCCCTCAAATGTCGTCAACGTAAGAAGCAGTGGCTGGCAAATCTCCAGGCCAAGGTCGAGCTCTTCACAACCGAGAACGATGCTCTAACAGCGACTGTCACTCAGCTGCGGGAAGAAATTGTGAATCTCAAGACCCTTTTGCTTGCGCACAAAGATTGCCCTGTTTCGCAAGCTCAAGGTCTTGGGCCTTTGATTATGAATGGCATGTCCGCCGGCTTCGACCCTCATCCATACAACCTCGCGAGTAATATGGGCATGCAACCCGGAGCACCGATGCCCCAAGCCATTCGCCGATAGATACAGCAGCGAATGATTAATATACGACTCAAGTCTGCGAGACTAATCGACAACGAATGCAGATAGGGCATCAATTCGCCGCCTGCCTCGCACTTTCAGACGCGAGGAAGTCTCCTGTAACAGTTACTTTTCTTTCCTCTCTCACCGCTTCACTTGACTACGGTAGCGAAGCTTCTTTTCTCGTCTCTTACTTGTGCCTTTATAAAAGGTCATTGGCATGGGCGGAGTTCTTATGATGCATGGGACAAAATGGACATGTGCGAAAATCGCTTCACTTTTCATCGAATTCCTAGGCTTTGCTGATTCGCGTTCAGTGTAATTTTTTTTGAGGCGTTGTTCTCGTTTACTGGTGGCAATTTACTTCCAGGGGGGGCTTCGGATTGGTTTGATTTATCTGGAGTTTAGAGTATCCCTGTACTTTCTGTTTGCTGTGTCCTCACCCTTGGATTTTTTACGGGTAAGGATTTTATTACTTTTATTCTTTTTCGTGTCTGATACTTTCTATTTTTATGATGATGCTGAGGTGACAGAATTCGCTTGCTGGTCTAGACTGTGATTTCTCTCCTCGTGGCTATCAATGTTTCTTTTTCAAGAGTTAGCTAGAAGTTATGGGCTAAGTAAACGAGCAGTCAATGCGACTAGCAATGAATAATGTCAGGAAAATATTACAGAAACTCTAATTAATAAGTATTTCTTAGGGAAACCGTTAGCCCTATGGTAAGCCACCGTGGTGAGCCCCTATAGTTAAACCCTGTAGTCAGCACTACTACGTAAAAGGATATTTATCTATGGAAAAATGATGCGTGGTCCCTTGTTGAAATCTAGATGCATAGAGAAGCAGCGAGATTTATGTGGTAAGGGATGTGTAAGGATTTTGTTTGAAATACGGGTGGGATTATGTTTTAAATCTCGCTGCTTCTCTATGCATCAATATTTCAACAAGTGACTCCACACTGGAATTCCTTACGCACGTACTAACAAGCAATAGCAAGCCCTCTAGCACACCAGTACCAGCTCACAGATGAAGCTCTCCAACTAATATCGTCTCTTAGAGCTTACTGGGGAGGGAGGTTACTACCGGGGGTCATCGAGGACTCGCTACAGAGGACTTGCTACAGGGGGCCACTGCGGGGCGTCACTACTGCGGGTTTACTATGGGGGCTACGGGCGTCATTATAGAGATATCGCTGCAGGGGCTACATGGAAATTCAATTGCAAGGCTTTCAGTATAACACACATAGTAAAAGCTGTGTAACTTTTGTAGGCTTGGGGTAAACGAACTTTTTAGGATTGCCGCCTGTTTCTATATCGGGCCGACCCCAATCAACAGTATATGTAAGTATAATAGACATATCAAGGTCCATCCTCGACCTCAAGATAGGTTTATGCCACCTTGCATACCGCCAACTTCACGCCAAAAGTGAGAAAAGTCTACCCCCTCGGATTCAAACATCTCCTGAGCTTGCAGCATGGCATTGCGTTGCCGCTCAGGGGTAAAACCGCCCGGCTGAGAACTCTCGTATTGAACCAGCTCAACCCAGCGAAAGAAAAGATCTTCCTTGCCCATGGCCGCGAGCTTTTCCTGGAACGCAAGTAGTTGGTCTCGTTGCTCCTCTCGTTCTTTGGTATCCTCATCGGCAACTCGCCAGATGAGCCACCCCTCGTCATCCGTGTTCACAAAAATAGCCGTACGGAATTCGTCGAGTTGTACTCCCGTGCCCTTGCTGATCTGACTGATCAGCTCGTGCGCCCGAACCATAGCGTTATAGTCCAAATCCCAATCGGCATCGATGAGGAGGTAGCCGCTCTTCTTGACTCTTTGCGGAGCTACAGCCGGCACGACCCTTTCTTGAACGACCTTGTCGTCGTCATATATCCAGCGATTGCGCTCAAGCTCCGCTGACCAGGAACTCCGGCTCTGTCGTACGACAACCTCCCGCTGACGGAAGCCGACTTTTCGACGCCAGTAGATTGGGCCCTGAATGAAGCGGATAGGCCAACTCAAAAATATAGAAACTAGGAAATAGTCGATAGAGAAGGTAACGGTGCGCCTTAAAACCGTGGCGGCCGCTGTTTTGATAGGCTGTGAGGTCAAGTCCACCGTCGATTCCGACGATAATCCTAGCGCTGAGGCGAAAATCTCGGGGTAAACATAAAAACCATTGTAGATACGGTATGCGAAGAATAGTACAATGGCAGCATTAAGAAGAACAGGTAGGATGAAAAGTTGCTTTTTGAAACCGGGACTTTCTCGATCGATGTGTACGAGATATATTTCGTTGGGCGAGAGGGTCTCTAGAAATGGTTCCAAGACTGAAGGCGCCTTGACAAATGGCGTTGGCGGCTTCACTGTGGATTTTGTTGAGGGCTGCTTGCCCTTGCCTGTTCGTTTGGTGGCTTTTGCCATGCTTGACAATTGTGCTGAAGCTAATTATTGATGGTTGATGAGGTTCAACATTTGACCAGTTGTCATAAACCACAGAAAAAGTCTAGGACTCTAGCTATTTGATCTGTCAAGTCATGTCAGCAGGGACTGAGCTTCAAGTTTATTTTCCAATCCTCTGAGTCTCACAATTGAAATGAAATGTGTGTCGCTATCACAAATCAATGATGCAGCCCCGAAAGAAGGAGCTTCACTGGATTGTTCCAGTGGGGACAGCAGATATTTGCACTTTACTAAATTAGGATAGATGGCTTTGATCTACAAAAACATCATTGATTTGCCGGCGGAACCATCGACAACGCGATACCTACACTTAATGCACATTTCTGACTGACGTTGTGGGTGTAGTGTGCCCTTTTTTTTTTTTGGTGTAGTCATGTGCAGATTTAGCTGAAAGGATTACTATGTTTGTTTTGTTTACTTTATTTAGCCATGGCTTTCTCAGATCACATCACCCATCGCGGTGCTTCTTCGTCTTCTCGGCGCTGGGACAACAAACAGCAGGCACAGCAGGACCTTCTTTCTCCACATCTTCACAGGGCGCACCTGAATCTCGACCTCGATCTTGACCGCGCGTACCCCTCAGACCGAAAATATTCTCGACGACCTAGCGCGGTCGCTAAAGATGCGCCGCGACCTCGTAGCAACTTTCGCCTGACTAGAACTTTGAAAGACGCGTTCGATGCAACATCGCGAACAATCAACATGGACACAAACGTCGGCGCCAGTTCGGTACCACCGGTCACCACAACTGACCGTACCCCGAGTCCAAAGCACCGACATCAACGAAGTTACACCCTACCCTCACCGTACACCGAAGTCACCAGCCCTCCGCCCGTCGAAATCCTAGAAACGTACCAGAGAATCACCGATGCAGACGACTTGGCAGATTTAGTTTCCGAGGATGACCGAGACTTTCCAGACCATGGAGTATCCCGGAAAAGCTCTAGCGAGCGGAGGAGGCGCGATTCTCCTGGATCTTTGAACAATCGTCGCACTCGAAATGAGATTTTGGACCCAGGTTTTAGCTACCTCGACGATGCTCCAGATGATTACGTGCGTGGAAATCTATCAACCTACAAACGCGACGAGGAGCGTTTGAGTCGCGTGACAACGAGTCAATCGCCGGTTTTCAGTAGAGCTAGGGTTGGGTCGAGAGCGGAGGGGTTGCAAAGACGTGATTCTGATCCACCGGCAGAAGACACCGGCCAAGATCTTGGTGGGGATGATGGTGTTCTTGGATTGAACGTACCCAAGACCTGGGGAAACAAATCGAGGAGCCATCGGCAGTGGTTAACCTCCATTACAGGCGACACCCCTCGTGCTGATACTTCTGCACGCAACACTGAACGAGAAACAAGAGCCAGGATTGGGTCCAGAAGTCGTTCACCTCATTTTACAGATAGATCTCCTTCTCGGCTTGATCGAAAAACCAGTCAAGAACTTGCGTCGAGATCGGAGAGGTCTCGTTTGGGAGCTCCTCCAGCAGACGGTCTTCACAACAGTGCGCGGTCCAGATCGCGATCACTGGGAAGAAATGGTCTAAATGGTGACACTATCCCAAACACACCGATCACCATCTACAAATCAACAGGCAAAGATCCTTCTCAGAAACAACGGAGTGACTCTCGGGAATTGCTCCGCAAATTAGCCCGCACCGAAAGTCCTCCACAGAGCACGCCCGCACAACAAAAGATAGAAAAGACGCCACTTCCGCAAAAAACACCTGTTGTGATAGGGGCTTGGGTCGATACACCCATGACTGTACGGAATACGGAAAAAAATGGAGAGGACGACACCAAAGAGATCGAATCGCCAAGCAAGACAGCTTCGAAGTCCGGCGTAATTCCACCAACGAAAGATTCACAGCCGGGTATTACTGCGAACTTGCCCAAAGATAAACCAGCTGATAAGACTATGACTAAGCCCAAAATACAAGAGCCTTCTTCAAAGTCTAATGTATTGACTGAAAAATCGGCAAACATCGATAATAAGAAACAGCCGAAGCCAGAACTCGTCAAGCCCAAGTTACCAAAAAGTGCTCTAGAGACGTTTATCGAGGATGCAAAAGCGAATGGCAATCCTCTATCATTGGGTGATGACACAATCGCTTCTCTAGAGGGATTGATGGATAGCACGGATGATAAATCACCTTCCAGATTCACGAATATCAAAAAAGAAGAGTTGGAAAAGGAGGTTGATGCTATCAATCAAAGTTCTGACAGATATACGAATTCACTAGATCACCTGGGTTCGAAGTTACAGTCCATCATTCACAGCATACAGGATGCGCGCTCAGGCCTCACTGTGATTGAGCATGCCATCGTACCAGGATACGGCAAAGCAGAAGGAAAACTGTGCGAAAGCTGTGGTAATCCTCAACATGGCCACGGAGACGGACGTGTTTACCTTGCCATTCCTATCCCTCGTCTCTGGAAACGAGACAGCAAATCTAAGCGATTACGGCCTACATATCTGGGCTGGGCAACGGCTATTTTAGGGTTGTGGTACTTCATCGAGAGCATCATGTGCGATATCTACTGCCATCCTACCATCGCCGAAGTCTGTGATGGCTACTGCCTACAACCCGACGCTCCACAATTCCCCTTTGTGCTACCGACAATGCTCTGGCGTTGGTCACATCTTTCCAGCATTCTGACTCCAATAATCACTATTTGCGTTGCCTTTGGACGCTTGATAGCGCAATTACTTGGCTTATGGGATGGGTATGTTGATGATAGCAATGTCGATTTCAAATGGCCGGCGTCCTCTTCGTCATATCAGAACGATATTCCGATTGGCAGCTTTGAACACCATGGGGTCAAGAACGGATTCTTTGGCCTGTGGCCGGGTGGTAGTCAGAAACACTCGACATCGAGTGTGGTAAAATCTGCATTCACAACCACCGCTTCCACCTCCATACCGACTATTCTACAAAGCATCCTTCACGACCCTCACGGTGACAATGCGGACGAGAGTTTCGATCATGATGAGATAGTTAGCTGAATATTCTTCCTAGTATTCTGTGTTCACGATAAGCTTTTTCTCGCTTTCCCTTTTTTTCTTGATATCGATCGCTTTCCGATGGCGCATTCCGGAGCGGTGGCGGTCTTTATATTCATACCTGGATGAATTAAGGGTTTTCTTTTCGAACAAGCATGTGTGGTATTATGAGCCATGCTAGCATAAGAAACAGCGTTTTAATCGAAGCAATTCAAGCCTTTACAATTGACTTACTAAGAATAACCGAAGAGCGAAAGCAAAACCTAACAACATGGACGAACCTATTCTTCCTTAGAATCCCTTCAACCGTAGAATTTGGCCGCAGCGTATCAATACCCATATGTCATTCTCGCCAAATTGATGACCTTCGAACAATACACCTACTGCATCGATATGCAAAAGATGTGATTTCTGGTTTCTGCATATCTGGTCAAATTGCTATGTAGTAGTTTCGTATTCCCACCACCCGTCTTTGACAAGTCAATTGCTGGTTCGGTATCAACCTAGAGAATTGTGAATAGACTGGCCTATATGTTCTGTTGAGACATCTCACGGCATCCATCATGATCATCCTCGCTTGTTATATTAAACCATGCTAGATCATCTAGTATGCACGCAACTTTTTGGTCCCGTTGGTGGCACCATCATGTTCCCATCTAGTTATTCCTCCATAGCATCCGTTAAAACCTTGATATCACGCCACGCGTTCTTATGGTATAAGGCATCACATCCCTCCATAATTTGTGCGCGTAATCTCCTGGTTTCTACATATCACGCCTGCCGCACGTTAATGCAGCAGCCTTGAGCATCTAATCTTGTTTGAGGAGACGGAGGCCATCCCCGTAAGTGTGACACATGTGTTGAGGATGAGGAAAGCACTGTATACCTCATGTTCCTGAGCCCCTTGAAGCAAGTAGGTAGCTAAGGTTTACACCGTACAGTTTATGCTGAACGTGTGACCTGTCTAAAGTACGAAGCCATGCTTGGATGCCTAGGTAAGGATACAAAAATAAGCTCATGCCAAAGTCAGGCAAATCAAAATCTTTAGACAGCCCTGCTATAACCACCTACTTATTGTTCCGGCAGCGGCAGATGGTTGTACGATAGCAAGTAACCCGGCTAAAGAGGCTAAATATGCTTCAATAAATTGGAAGCATGAGAAGCGCAATTCCGATTCGAAGTTTAATCGTATTCAATTGTATGCTGCCATAGTAACAGCAGACTCAACGACTAAAATGATACCCAAATACATGTAGCCTTTGGCTTTGATAGAATGAGAAGATGGAGTGATAATAGTACATGGCTTTTCTGTTTCAAGTTGCAGACACTATACAAGGCCTTTCATAGAAATACAGAATGTGAAATGGCTCAAGACGGCTTTAAAGTTTACCTATAAGTTCGCTGTCAGTTTCGTTCGTTATAATGAGTCTTGAATGAGAGACTCACCACTGTATGATCAGATCCCGTGCCAGCAGGATGCATTGATTAGTATTGTCGAAACTGCGATGTGGAAGATGGAATATCTATCCTTCGGAGCAGATCCACCAACTTCTCTGCAGAAAACCGTCCAGCGTTGTACGCGGAAGCAGGCGGGATGATGCTCAAGAGATGGACAACGTCGCGCGGTAGTGGAGCTGCTGAGGGTTGAGGACGATATTGTCCGCCATTGACCTGGGGGGTGGGTCGTTTCAATTGATCCGGTCGACGCGCTGGTATACCCTTCAAGGGAGATTCGGCACGAACAAATTTTCGAGGTCTGTCTTCTTCGAAGTCGTCTGATGGGAATGGCCGTTTGGGTGAGCCGGTAGGAGGTACATCGAGGTATCGTGTAGGTGTTCCTTGAACCGAACCTTGTTGCTGGTCGATCAATGGCACTGTTCGAGGGCGGACTTGTGATAATGAGATAACTGGCTGTGCTGCAACTGGATTGAAGTTCGCATCTGAATGACGGTGTGCAAATTGAGAAAGCGTAGGATCTTCGGGGAAAAGCTCGCGCATACGATTCTCTAGGCTAATGACTTGGCCTAGATCGCCATACCGAGATTCGTAATCATGCAAAAAGGAAAAAATAGGCTTTGTCTTGAAGACGTTCTCTGGTTTGCTGGTCAGTCTTCTTACAGTCATTTCAAAGACTGCTCGAGCATCTAGGTGATATAAAGTTAGCATTGGTGGGTAACAACATGGTTTTGACTTACTGGTAACATCATTAATATCAAAGAGATGCTTCAAATATTCCAGCGCAAAATTCTCATCGTCCGGAAATAGCCTAGCTCCTCGTTCAAAGATTCTTGTCGCGGCCGGATCTTTATAACAATGGTATTCGATCAAGGCACTCGCAATGTACACATCACTCGTGATACGACCGCGCTTGCGAGCTTCGGCAAATACCTGTCTGGAGCCGGCAAGTTCTCCAGGTTTGCCTTTTCCCTGTATACGTCGCATCGAACGCATCAAAGCTATCCAAGCAAACGAGATCAACTTGGAGGTCATGGTGATTTGTGTCGCATGGGCCTTGCGCATGGCTTCTATTTGACTCTCCTTGGCTGCTTCTTTGGCTTGGGCTTCTTGCGAGCGTCCCAACTCATCTTCGTCGTCAGCAACAGGTTGATAATCGTCTGACTCGTTGGCGAACTGCTCTTTGATCCTGGCGATATCTTGCTCTTCTCGCTCTCGAGCTTTGCCGTTCAAAGCATATAAAGCGTCCAAGAGTTTGTCAAACACTTCTCGGACTTTCGCGCCACGTTTCTGGGGATCCTGCTCCGATTCAGATTCGATTTCCAGTCGATCAGCCCGTTTGAAGGCAAGCAAACAGCTCTCTGGGTTTGCCTCCAAACCTTGAGTGAGCAACTCGTTCCCTTCAGCATCCATGCCGTTCTGAAAACAAAAGTCTGCAGCTTCGAACCATATATCCGGGACAAATCGCAAGGCCATCAATGCCTGCTTGTAGGCGTACAGCACTCTGGTTCTGTAGGCGGATATGTCTTCTTCTTTCAGGACCAGAGGGTCGCCCTTTTCCCAATTGAACCATCGGCGCCATAGTCCGATTTGTTGTTGAAATTCAACATCTCCCACAAATCCAGGGGCTGGTGGCATCTGTGGAAGCGTTGTGCGGTCGAGATCTCGAGTCAAATTTTGCAGTTCAGTATAAGAACTTCTAGCTGTCATATATGCGGGGGACCGCTCCTGCAAAAATTTGCGTCCCTAGTACATCATCTTGTTAGTGCATGTGACGTTTGATCAGGAAGAGACTATGTTACCGTAAGCTTGTTTAATCCCATCTCAAATTGATCGTACTCCTTCCAGAGGGTATTCAAGGAATGAGTGGGAACACAGATAGCCCTTTGGTAGGCTTTTCGTAATAGATCCATCTTTTGCTGGTCCTGCCAATTTGTACCACCAACGACGCCGGGTCCTGTTTTAATAAATTCGACATAGTCGGTCCACAATGAACCTGCCTCCCTATCTAGACCGACATGAGTCAGAGCCAAGTCATATGCAGACGTGATGGTTCTTCTTGCTTGGCCGGATGTGTCTGTAGTCAGGGGATGCCTTCGGCGTATGTAATCCAAATACACAGTCCACAACTGCACACTGGGAATGCTTAGCAATGTTCGGTTAAAGATTTGCTCCAGGCGTTGCAGCTCATTATTTTCGGATTCCATGTTGATATATGCCACCCATTGCTCAGCCTAAGAAGTTTAGTCAGTCTCATACAAATTTGTCAATGTGATAGAGCTTACAGAAGATGGAAAAACTTTGAAGAACCGCTCGTACACTTCTCGCGCGTTGTCGAGTCTGTTACGACTTCGATGTTCGGCTACCAGTTCGATCCATGCATTTATATCTCCACGAGGATCCTCTTTGATTCTATCTTCCAACAGGCCAATGCGATCATGAGGTAGGCGACTCCGAGACGCCGCGGAGTTTGCCGCCAAAGGAATGGGGGTGGTTGCGTTGCTATCAGTAGTCTCTCCAGCTTGTTGCAACGCTTCAGTGTACAGATTGTGACCAGAATGGAAAGAAACGGGATTATTAGAAACATCTTTGGAACTGGCCATCTCAGGCACAAGGGGTTGTATTGATACACCAGATGTAGAAATAGTTTCATTTGCATTTTTTTCAGAAAAAGGAAGCTGCTCAGAAGCGCCTGCAGAAATATGTCCACCATGTTCAATAGTTTCCAAAACTCCTGGTGGCTCATACTCTGCCTCATCCTTGTCTTCATCTTCTCTTTCATCCTCTTCCTCGTCTTCATCGTCATCAACAACAAAGCCACCTATGGTCTTGGTCTTCGGCTGTACATGCATAGTAGATGAAGGCCCTAATACAGAGGTCTGCGAGTCAGGTCTGGACGGAGGCTGGGATGTTTGTGCAGTGTCAACTTGGTCAGGCTGATAAGAGTCCTGTGGGATAGACTGAGTAGCGGAAGAAGCATCATTGCTTTGAGCAATCGTCTCATTTGGATTAGATTCTGCTACTGTAATTGAGTACTCATCATGCAAAGTGTTCGATGGGTCATAATCTCCTTCAGAATCTGAAGCCTCGATATTCTGCGCTACCCCGGCAGGATCATATTCGTTGCTCATGGCTTKCGCCYGGAAAAACGCCTGCTCGGCGTCTTCCTCGGCCATGATTGAGCGGCGCAGTGCGCACTCGAGGGACGAAACACGAGACACGAAACGTGGGATCAACAACTAATACTCTGCATCAGACGTAGTGTCAGTAATGCCTGTCAACAGCTTCAAATGTGATCAATAACACACAAGAATCGCACCAGGAATGTAATGTGGATTGATGCTTGCAGCTAGTGGGGTGCTCCAGCAGACGGGTTAATAGCGCAAATTCCAAGGTAGACAGGGATATTGCAATACGGGGAAGTAGGTCGATTAGTTGGTATCCAAGGCAATTGTTATGGTTTGTTGTTGTGCTGTGTTGTTATTGTTGTGATGTTGCAGTGTCAGTGAGAGGAAGTGGTTGCTCCAAGCTTTTTTGTCTGGCCCGTTCAGGCAAGCTAATTAGCATCACGTGACGTGGATAGCGCGATGCAAGGAGCGACGCGGTGAAAGCGGCGGGCGCGKCTTTGATTGATTTTCTACTTAAGAAAGCGCCCGCCTCAACAGCTTCTTTCTGTTTATCTCTCACATTCTCACACACACCACAGCCTCTTTCTCTACACACTCTTTGACTTAAAATCCCGAAACCAACGACTGTCCTATTTTCATATCACAATACACACAAAATCACACATTCACTATGTCTGTCGTGTCGCTCCTCGGCGTCAAGGTGCTCAATAACCCCGCTGCTTTCTCGGATTCGTATGAATTCGAGATCACCTTTGAGTGCTTGGAGCAGTTGCAGAAAGGTGAGACCACATCGCGATTTCTATCAGATTTCATCAATCGCATTCGCTAACTGGTGTTCCACAGATCTGGAGTGGAAGCTTACATATGTCGGATCCGCCACATCGTACGTTGTCTGCCTTGCACACTTACAAACTCCGCACTAACAGTCGCGATAGATCTGAACATGACCAAGAACTCGATTCGTTACTAGTTGGCCCCATCCCCGTCGGTGTGAACAAATTCATTTTCGAGGCCGACCCACCAGACCTCAAGCGCATTCCCCAGACTGAGATCCTCGGTGTTACTGTCATTTTGCTCACATGCAGCTATGATGGTCGAGAATTCGTGCGCGTCGGTTACTATGTCAACAACGAGTATGATTCGGAGGAACTCAACGCAGATCCACCATCGAAGCCCATCATTGAGCGTGTGCGCCGTAATGTTTTGGCTGAAAAGCCTCGTGTCACTCGATTTGCCATCAAGTGGTACGTTTTATTCTTGTGGTTATTAGATGGCATGACTAACTAGGAAATAATTATAGGGACTCCGAAGAGTCGGCACCCGCTGAATACCCTCCTGAACAACCGGAGGCCGACCAATTGGACGACGATGGAGCGGCGTATGGTGCCGAGGAGGTTGAGTTGGAAAACGCCTTGATCAAGGAGTTAGAGGAGACTGAGCAACAAGACGGCGAGGACCACGAAATGGAGGGTGCACCGGTTGCTGCTGCAGCTACTGCAGAGGACGACGACGCCTCTGATGCAGGTAGTGAGGATCTTGAGGCCGAGAGCAGTGAGAGTGAAGAAGAAGATTTGGAGGAAGAGGACGCGGCCGAAGGTGACGACGATGTCGAAATGGCCGACGACGCCAATCCCGGATCTGCCCAGGCTCCTCAAGCCCAACCTGAAGTCATGGTTCACTAAGCCAGCCTTCAGCACTATAACCTCAATTCTATCAAATATTTTTGAATCACGTACACAAATACCCGTGGAGTTTCGTTCTACGAGTGGTTCTCAATTCGTGGGAAGGACTCTTCACACATACCTTGGCTGGTTTTAACGATTGCATGTTTCCATATCTGTTAATGACATTTATCTCTATGAACAAACTTAAGCTGCTTGTCTGTTCCTCTAGTCTAAGCGCAAATAATGAGAAACTGCGACAGCGTATCCCTTTCTCCATTCTACATACTTGATATTCAGATGAAACCTGGAGTACCTTTGGTCTTCGTACCAAACATACATTTGAGGCCACGTACTCCCCATGTCAATCAGTCCACATCCAGACATCCATGGATACGTAAATTATTGACCCGCGATCTTCGTAGATATCAATAATGTCAAAATATCCTGAACTTTGTTGCCCAGGTACCCCTTACTTCCTAGTACTTGTTAGTTGAAGTCCCCACTAGGCTCAAACAGATGGACTCCTTTGCACCGTGTCCTCGCTCCAGTGGTATGTTCTCAACGATTTGCACTGATGTACCATGCCATGCTGAGCATGCGGATACTCTATGTAGCGAGGATGTGGGAATGTACCAGGATTCCATATATCTTTGATGTAATCCAGTACTAGAGTCAAAAGCTTTGACAATTGACACTTTTTAGACGAGATAATAACTCATTGGTATCATATAAATGCATCATTGTAAAAAGGGCAGCAAGCCCGTACACAGTAAACAGGTATAGTCATCCAGGACCATTTCCTGCTACAATTTGAAGGCGCACCTGACAGCAAGGAGAAGCAATCCTACTATAGTCCGAATTTTGATCCCAAAACTGTGAATACCATTCTTGTCAGTATTGCCACATAAGTACAAAAGGGATGATTGGTACATACCACCAAGAACAGCTTTTTTCTTCTGGTTCGAGACGAACTTGCTAACATCATTTGCCCAGTTGCTACTGTTCTCTTCCAACCGATCCATACTGTCGCCCATGATCCCAAGCCGTTCTGTTCTTTCTTGAACTTGGCGCTGCATGTAGGACCAGTAGCCTTCGTCGTTTCTGCTGGCAGATGGAGGAACACTGCGTCCTTGTCTTTCTGCTTGGCGGCGTTCGCGTTCTTCGTATTTCATTTGCTCCATCATTCGTTTCGAAGGAGGGCGATCAGGTCCGCCAACTGTAGGAACATGTTAGATAAAGGTGAATCAATGGCGACCAGTTCAATGAAAGAAAATACTAACTCAGTAGATCCATGTCTGCAGGTGAGACATATTGGGTGCCAGCTATCCATTGGAAATTGGAAATCGTGGGCCTGGGAGGAAGCATGGCATCTGGATTATATAGCTTATCATCCGTAGGTGGACTGGATGTTGTTAGTTTTATGCTCGCATTTAAAAAGCCGGGAGAGAAGTCGCACATAGGAGTACCTGAGCCCCAAACGTTAATGATTGCAACTTCAGATGGCCCAGTCCAACCAATCACATCGCTAGAAGGCGAAATCACTGCTTCAGAGAAACGTCGTACGTCTAAAATGTTGCTGATTTGCGTACAGCCGATCTCCTTTAGACCCGGAATCGAATAGGCACGAACATTACCGTCTCCAAACAAACCAACAAGGCTGTAACCGCGACCTTCTATCTTCACGAAGCCTGCAGAATCGCAAAGAAAGTCACCCCATGTTTTAGAGGCTCCTTTGTTAGTTGCAGGTCGGAAAATTCGGCAGTCTGATTGAGTCACTGCGACGACTACTCCATTGACCCTGACTCCGCTTCGGAGACCCGAAACGGCCATTTGGGTTGCTAGCGCAGGCTCACCAGAGTCGGCATTGATGGGAAAGATTCCGATAACCGAGTCGTCGAGGGAGGTAGAGCCAACGAATTGTACGGAATATGTGCCGTTGTTTGATGGCAATATCTTGAATGTAGCAAGGTTTCCGCGGCTCGTTCCTACGAAACAGCAAATACTTGAGTAATCTAAATGTCTTGTTAGCGTACTCTGATCTCACGATTGTTGGTACATGCTCACCTTCACCATCCAGCGTCAAAACACCAAACTCAATGCTGGTGGGCCACTCTAGAGGCGTACTATCTCCTGTGCGACTCCTGCGGAGACTGCCGCGTTTATTATTTGCTTTGAGAAAGTCGCGGATATCGGCGCTATGGATGACGGCAGGGCCACGAAGATCGATAAACACAAGGTGCCCTTCTTCGAAACCCGCGCAAACAAAGCCAACATCACTGTGTTTGAGAGCTGTCACGGGTCCGTTTTGCATTTCCAAAAGACTAAGCGGAAGCAATCCTGTACTTAGATTTGGATCGGCCCGATGACTTATGTTTGTGATTTTGCCAGGTCCTGCATTCGCACCTGGAGCCTTTTCACTTCCAGCATTTTGGTTCTTTCCCCAGCGGAAAATGACTACTTCTCCACTGCGAAGTCCCACTGATAGTTCACCAGATGCACCAGAGAACGATATCTGAGAGGCTTGGGTATTAACGTTGCGTGCTATTGCACGAGTTAGATCGACCTGAATGACCTCCCCATTCTCAATCTCGTCATCGTGGCCTGCATCCCATAGTCGCACAACTCCATCTGAATTTGCAGTGATAGCAATATTGCGGTCTTCAAATCGTTTCATAGCCTTCTTGCCCTCGGCACCTCCCAGAAGGAACTTTGGGCCTTGAGCTCTCTTCTCCTTGAGCCCGAGCCAATTGTTTCGGCTGACTGGCGTCAAGATCGCTTTGGTTATGAAAGGGTGAACGAAAGACAATGATATATGCAGCATGTTTGTCGGAGAGATTGGATGTCCATTAGGGAAACTGAGCGTCACAAGTTCACCAGTAGACAATAGAGCAATAACCGCAATAGGATCTTGCGCACCGGCGAAAAAGGGTGAAGTACGGGGTATCAGACAAAAGTCGACAACCTCTGCTCCAGGCGGGGTTGATAGAGTGAAGCGGCTTCTAGGTTTTTCTAAGTAGCTGGCAAGTATCTGCCATGAAGACGTTTGATAGTTGGGAGTAGGCCCTAGATCCAAGAAGGTCAGTCCCTTGTCTCTGTCGCTCGACGGGTGGCCTCCCGCAATCAATAGCCCTGTATTATCTGGGTTCTCCTTGGCGCACCAGGAAACCTTGAAGATCGGGTCTTTGACACTAAAGTTTCCATGAGGTGAGGTTGGTTTCTCTGCGCGAGTCCCCGGTTGGTTGATATTGGCCTCTTCAATAGTTCGTGCCATGACCAGGCGTCCATCTTTTGCATCCCAAAAGACTAGACTCGTGTCTTCATGTACCGTAAGAATAAAGGTGTTTGTAGGATGCCACAGGGCTTGGGTAAGCTTGGGTCTTCGTATGTCGCGCGAGAGAGTTGGGTCTGAGTCACCACCGGGAGCGCCGGCCGGGACCTCGTATTCGAAGAAGTTTTGAGGAATATTCTGTTTTATGGAGAAGGTAACAGCTCCCTCCGGATAGCCAATCAACAGTTTCCCAATATCTCGTGGTGCAAAAGCTAGGGATACAACAGGCGCCATTCTCACCCGGGGATTCTTTTCGAGCCATAAGTTCGGTAGTCGGAATGGCGTAAGGCCTTCTCGGTCCATATCGTAGGCAATGATTTCTCCTGTTGCGAGGAAAAGTAAGGAATCAGCATCGGCACCTAGAGCCTATTCAAGAGACATACCATTTTGTAGACCCAGGACCACATAGTCAATGCTAGGATCAACCGCTACCGCAGACACATGGCTTGGAGGCGCGTATGAAACCAAGGTCTTTTTCGTCTCCAACGAGAAGATCGAAAGCTCGCTCTTCGAATCAACGCTCACAAGCTTATCAGCACAAAAGTGCAAAAACTTTGCAGACGCTTTGCGCGGTAGGTTGAATATAACAGAAACGCGCCGTTGACCAAAGACATAGATTTGTCCGCTTCCGAACTGGGTGTCGCTGGTGCCGACGGCGATTAGGGACTGGACGGGGTCGTAGGTAATGGCAGATATGCGGGAGTTGATGCCATATCGTGTATACTGGTCCCGCATAGTTAGAGAAGTCAGAAGAAGTACTTGGTGGATGGGACAAACCTCATCTAGGGCAAAGAGGGTCGGCGATAGACCCTCGGAAAGGTCCTTTTGGATGCCTGCCTGCTTGCCGCGAAGGAACTGGGCCATTGAGGGCAGTCTCAGAAGAGGTAAGCACCGCCAGTGTGTATGGTGGCTAGCGAGAGGTGATATAGAACTGTAGGGAGGTTGCTATATGGGTAGAAAACAACAAAAGTGAACCGGAGGAAGGCAGAGTGGGGGTGACGTAGTCCGATCTCCGGGGAGCCGGACGACAAGAGACTAGTCAGATATGACTTAGCCCTTAACTCTTTCTATGGGATGAAGCTGAAGAAAACCACGATAAGATTGATTAGGGTTATTTAGAGTGACAAATGGAAAATAATAGGCAAAGATTGTCCCAGATATTTCAACGCCCAGATGGTCTAGTGGTTATGATACATCGTTGTGGCCGATGTGAGCCATGTTCGATTCATGGTCTGGGCACTTGTCAAGAGGATATTTCCGAATATCCATTCTCTTTTTGCTTGCATTTTTTATTTTTATTTTTTTAAAATTATACACGTCAATGCAACTAGCTAGCCGGTCCTACTTAGCCCCAGCTCTCACCAGCCCTCCGAATCTAGTACCCTCTTCTTTTGCCAGAATGGTCGGGTTTCCTACTTCCACAACCTCACCCGTGTCCATGACAATGACCCTGTCAAAATCCATAATCATATCCAGGCGATGGCTAACAGCCACAACCGTATAGCCTCTGAACTCAGTCCTGATGATCTCCCGCATAACACGCTCTGTCTCGTGGTCGACACTCGAGCTCACCTCATCCAATAGTAAGATACCGCTCTCCGAAGCGCCTGCTCCCAAACCTGCATTCCGTGCTCGGATGCGCCTTCTCAGCAGTGCGCGTCCAAGTGACAAAAGTTGCCGCTGCCCCGCGCTTAAGCTTCCTGCGCTCATGCCTGCATCCAGGCCGCCCCGTTCCTGGATGAATCCCCATATCCCCACAGCCACGAGAACATTCTGACACTCCTCGGCCGTTGAGGCATCGAGTGGATCTAAATTAGCCCTGAACGTCGTCCCATCCGGTAAAAATACGGCATCCTGAGGCACTGCAATTATGCGCTCTCGCAGCGCAGGCCGAGCAATGCGGTAGAGCGGGATATCATCAATGATGACATTCTCCAAGCTTTCTGAGGTGGGATCAAGGAGCTTAAGAAGCAGAGCAATGAGACTGGACTTGCCACTACCAGTACGACCACAGATGGCAACTTTCTCTCCGGACCTGATCTTTAGGTTGATATCGCGGAGGGCTAAATTGGATGTGCCATCGGTTTGGTCTTCTGCCCTGCTCGAGTCGTTAGCTTTTTCTAGGCAGTGTGTCATTTTCAGACACAGTTCTCACGTATAACTCGCGGATACACCATTCAACTCTATCACACCGCTCTGCGGCCACTGTTCAGCGGGAACAATATCTTCCTCCTGTCTGTCCTCCGGTTTTACGCTCTCGTTGAATGTTTTGAGTCTGCCTATCGCACCGATCGAGGTCTCTAATCTGGTGTAGAATATGACAATACCCGAGAGAGATTCGCCAAAGTTCATCAGAGTCACCAAAGAAGCACCGATAAAACCAGAGTTAGAGTGAAGGCGAACTGCAAGGGCCGTCAGAGTCACGGCCATTATCATGACGACAAGGTCGAGAACTAGATTGAGCCACTGTTGGATCATGATGAGTAAATATGCGGGTCGTTGGCTGGAATCGATCAGCCGAATATTCTTCCGGACGTCATTGGAAAGAAAGCCTGGCGTAGATACAGGTTAGTTCCTGACCAAAAACTTTTATTATAACATCTCCATTTATGATGGCTCAGTGTGTCTTATCAGACATTCCGTGTTATTCATGTCTCTGCGTTACACTCACCAAAAGCTCTCAAAGTTGCGATGCCTTTTAGAGTGTCTAGAAAATGCGTACTAAACAAACCCATCAGCACAGATCACTTGCCATTGGAGGACGACAGTAAGGCGTACTACAAAGGGCTTTTAGCCTCAAGATCCAGCAACCTTAGCTGTCTAGAAGTCCTCAGATAGAACCCTTGCAGGATATATAGTATGATGGCTAAGAATGGGTAGCTTATAGCCATGAACGGAGACGAAGTAAGTATAATAGCTGCTTCTCCGATTGCTTGAAAAACCTGATAACTCAACGTCAGAGTGAGATTCTTGATGATTGGTGTCCGATTACAGCAAACTCACACTGTAAAGGGTGTTCAACAGTGCACTTGGCAGCTCAGTATCTATGAGATTCAAGTCCTGCGAGAACAAATTGGTGACGACACCGGTATCTGTGGCTGTGAAAAACCGTAGCGGCGCGCGGATGAGTGTTTGTAAGGCATTATTATGGAGATTGGCACCGGCTCTTGATACAGAGACGACGAAAACCGCAACACCTAGGAAAATCAGCGATATCAGGGCACATATTTGAAGCAGAGCATATATTCCAGCGTAATAAGCGTAAGCGTGGGCTGGATGTTCCGAATAAGCGTCATCAGACCAGTATTTGAGCCCTTAGAGATACAGCACCGTTAATCATGATTTTGATAGGCTTTTCATAATTGGGATTGCTGTCCAAAGACACAAATAACTCACAAATGGTTGGGAAGTTCGTAAAGAAACCAAGAAGCGCTGCAAACAATATACTCAATGCCGCTAAAAACACTCCCATGCTCTTGAAATAATGCTTATACACTGATTTATCGCCAACTTGCCGTAGACCGTCGGTTTCCGGCTCTAGGGCTGACGTGTTGGTCATCGTGGTCTGAAGTAATTGGGGATTCGCTTCTCGAAGACTATTCTCCGATATCGATCCCTCAGATGAGGCACTGCTGTCAAGAGATCCGCTCAATCCCAGACCGTGAATATAGCCCTGGCGAGTGACCAACTGAGCATAGCTACCTTGCTCGACGATGGTTCCCTCTCCTAGCACTATAATGTAATCTGCGGCGGGKATATGTTTGATACTATGGGTACACAATACGACCGTACAGCGCCATCGTCTGAGTAGCCCATCTGGACCAAACACCTGCCGGAAGACCTGCTCCTCAGTGTCCGCATCAAGACCACTGAATACGTCATCTAATACCAGCAAATTTGTCTGCAAGTACAGAGCTCGTGCAAGAGAGACTCGTTGTCTCTGGCCTCCAGATAACGTGATCCCATCAGATCCAATGTTCGTTCTATCTCCTTGCGGTAGTGTGTTGAAGTCAAAGTCCAAGGACGTGGCATGAATAACATCAGCATATCTGTCTTGATTGAAGGGGGAGAACCCCACTATGTTATCTCTGATGGATCCGTTTGAAAGGAACGCTGTCTGGTCACAAAATCCGACGTGGCGGAACTCATTGCTCAAGGTAACAGTGCCTTCGTCGAAGGGGGTCTCTCCAAGCAGGGCCTTGCAGAGCGTGGATTTGCCCGATCCCACTGGTCCAACGACAATAGTGAGGGAATCCTTGGATAATTTCGTGTTTATGTCTCGCAAGGCAAACTTATTTGCTTCCCAACCAAACTTTCCGTTTGCGATGACTACGGGATGAGCTGATTCTGTATTTGAATCAGGTGATACTACTACATCCGGTGGAACAGCTTCAAATTTCCGCTTAGCGTCAGCAAGGACTTGGCGAAAATCATAGCGATCTTCGCTCTCCAGAAATGCCTGAATTCGGCCTAAACAAGCCAGTCCTGAGAGAACTTCCGGAATCGACTGAAATACTTGCGACAACGGATTTGTCAACAGCAGGAGCCAGGAGAGACTCGTGAATATTCTTGACACATCCAGCGTCCGTTGAGAGAATGCGAATGTTAGTGGCGGGCTAATCATTAGTGGAACAAACGCGAAAACTGCCGCAACGATCCATATCAGGCGGAACCGGGTTCCAGCAGCCAGCTCCTCTACACGAAGCTTCTGCACAAAGTCACCGACGGCGTTAGAGAGTCCCGAAATCTTTAGGTTTTTCATGCTTGCAATGACTGTGGCTGTCAGTCCGACTCGCTTCTGGACTCCTGCCATCCACACTCTCTGCGAGTCACCTGTAAAATTCATAAGAATCGCCAAACCGATAGAGCATAATGTGACCACTCCCATCGGCGCGACGAAGACCACTCCAAGCTGGTCATACAACATCCAGCTAGCCAGGGCGGCCTGGATGATGCTCGCCCATATATCATGTATAGATCTCAATCCATTGTTGATTCGCTCGATGTCGGTACTCATAAGAGTCAGCGCAGCACTGTCATTGTCAAATCCCATCCGTACTTTTGTGGCTTTTTGGAATATCTCAGTGACCAATATAGATCTTGCCATGGCACGCATACGGTGATGGAAGTACCTATACAAATCTTAGGGAAGTGGTCTCATCGTAACTTTAAGGGGTTCCACATACCAATAAAGGGCTGTGGAGATGCCGATACCTAAGTAGATCAGCAAGCTAGCACCGATAAAACCATATCCATAATTCGAATCGGCTTCAGGCTCGGCGAGGKATTTTAATAGCTTCTCAATGAAAAACGGTTGGGCAAAGGTAAACCCTAAAAGTGCCAGCCGTGGAGGTATAGGGAGTAAAAGGGGAAACACCAGCGTACGAAAAAGCACCTTTACAAGACCAAATTTATCGCCTTTCAAGTTCGAGTAATCCATGTTCTCCAGGAATTTTTCGTGCAGCGATTCTGCGCTCAAAGAGCTGTCAAGCGGATAAAGATCTTTGATAGTCAGAACCTTCTTGTATCCGTCCAAAAAGATCTTGTTGAGCCAGAAGAAGACCCCGAGAGAGAAGATGCCGCTCGTCTCCTCTGGACTGTGGTCCTTCTCGTCCCAATTCACCCATTTCGACTTTCGTTGAGCCTCCAGCAGTAGTATGCCCGCTTTGAACGCGATAGCGGCAACAAATATGCTACTGTAAGTAAGCTCAGGCTTGTCGCCCGATAAAAGGAAAAACGTCCTTGCCTGGGTTGCATCCAAAAGTAAGGTTAAGAACAAGTAGCTGTTCAGTAACATAGACGGTCTCGGACTCTTGCTGTGATCAAGAAGACTCAACACTATCATAAACAGGGTTGACACTAGCTTGAGGACCGACGAAGCTATGAAAATGCTGGTGACCTGGAAGGACCCAACCACGACCAGGATTAAGAGTGAAAGATCAAGGCCAAAGTAGGCAGTAATTGCACACTTGTACAGCCCAATTAGCCTATTGTTCAAGTTGACAATTTGTGTTCATGGCTAGAAGCGTAGTAATTACCAGTTTGATGAGTTGAAACACTGGGGCATTCACCACAGTGGGCTTCTGTGCTTGGGAAGCAGCGCGCCATAATGAGGTGACGATGAACAAGACGGAGGGGATGATTGAAAAGAACAGCTGTTCGAACTGGATGTTGAAGTCAAATTGCTGGTCGTTTAGCTGGAGGATGTTGTCCTGGTCCGGGAAGAATGGCATTTTGGTGCGTATAATGCTATGAGACCCGACTTTTATCACAGCTGCTGAGGACGCTTCACAAGAGAGGCATTATAATTTTATGAGGGACCTGCGACACTGGAAATTGAAGCATTTCTGAGCTGAAGCCAACGTCTCAAAGAATTGCGCTAGTTAACTGGTTGGTACCGACTCGGTTAGTGTCTGATAGGTAACTAGGCAGCAGTAATCCGTCCAACTTATCCTTCCAATGAAATCGACTTCAAACATTGAATATTACAAGGTATACGGAGTACCGCGACGTTATTATTAATTACTGATTTTTAGATGCTGAATAATGGTTGATTGATCTAATCAATTCGACTGAGTATTTCACACAAATGTCGGGTAAGGTGGCTCATTGCGTGATATTTGGTGCGATGGCCTACCGATAGCCCAAACGAACGCTGTATGCAATCTAATTTTCATAATGGCACGTTTCTCGTGTAAGTTTTGCCAAGTCGAGTAGGCTTAGCTTAGTGCGGAACACACTGCTAGGTCCAAAAACCACCAAGGAGACCTTCTGCCGATAGGTATGAAGTCTCCCTCAATAGTCTTCATAACGTTGGATTCGTCGCCGCCAGGGTATGTATCATGTCGGTGAGCCTACGGCGTGCCTGCATTTCTGTTGCATTATGGCTGTTGCGATAGTAGAGCTCCGTGATTTTGTACACATGTCTGTAACATGAATATCTGCAAGCCGGTCAGCTGCGAATCGTTCTAGTCATGAGAAATGGCGAGTACCTACAGTTTGGATCTGATGAATTGTGATTGGCCGCTTGAAGGAATCGGCCCGAATTCGGCGAGAAAGGCGTCCGAAGGAGATTCGAATATCTCTGCTAGCATCACATCACCCCATAAGGCACTTCCAAATTCCAACAGTCCGGACAATTGCCTTGTTTCGGGATCAAGAAGCACTTCAGAGGGACGGCCAAAATTGAAGATCACTAATCGGGGAGTTTTGATTTCGTCGAGCGCAAAGGACCACCGATACAATTCTCTCCGTATTTGACTGTACGGGAGATGAATGAACATGTCTTCTGCGTCCCGCAAGACTTCTTCAAAGAGTGTAACGAATGCTTCACGCCAATGACAACTTCCCGTGCCTGCAGCTACCTTACCGAGCGGCCCAAAGGCCGTCGAAAACTGTTGCCCGATGACATTGATCAGCATTGCGAGATGTCTATCAAGACCATCGAGATCCTTTGCAGAGAGTCGGTTTTGCAATTCTGACACAGGAACACCGTGGAGGTATTGCCTGACGAGGAAAGAGACACTTGTAGAAGCATCGTGAGGTACATATCGAAATAGCCTTGGTATGCTAGGATGATTGATGCGCGCTAGTACGGTGAGAGCTCGCACTTCCGTTTCGAGAGCGTTCCTTTCTCTTCGAAGGAGCGGTATAGCTGGTGGCGGAAAGACTTTGACGATGAGTTGATGCCCATTTGACAGCTTTAGATGGAAGACCCTATGAACACGAGTAGAAAGCAATTGTGTGCTGGAAAGATGGACCGTAGGAGGGAACAGTAGTTGCACCACATTCCGAAAACAGTCAGTTTCGGGTGTTCCCAATCCCATCAGCATCTGGGTTGAGAAGCTGACATCATGCGAGGCTTTACCGAGGGAATGACCATCGAAATCTTCGATTGAGGGCAACCGCATCGTCATCACATCAGGATGGAGTGAGTTAGGACCATGCAGTCTGACGGGATTGTAAACTGCGGGCTATATAAAAAATATCACCGCCTCATGATCGCTATTCCCCGTGGCCGAATTACCTCATACAATGCGATAGACTTGGTCAGCTGATCGATTCTCCAAGAATGTAGATTCGTTCCAACTAAAACGATTGACCGCTAGGTGGGATTAGTCGTAATCATATATAAAGTCGCATTTTGCAGTCACAAAATTAAAAGTATCGGCCTGAAGTTCGACCCACAGAATCGAGATGTCAAAGCACATTAGACACAGGGCCCGAAAGCGTAGATCTCGGTTAAACCCAGGTCCTCAGAAACCGAAAAGTCAACATTGCAGAAGCGCATCATGGCACGACGCCTGATGAAACGTATGCTTAGTCGCAGGTATGTGGGCCAGAATGTTTCTAACGAGAGGGCTGATTCAGCTCAACAGATTATGTTGTGGTAGTTATGTGTTGTCGTGTGCCGCGACAAGCTCAAAGGGGCCGGCCTGGAGTGGCCGGGCCAGTTGACTGATGCTGCACTCATGGAGCCACGGCTGCTGAATCGATGAATGGCTGAGTTAGTCGCTTATGAAGCGAGATCTGCTAGCGAAAAAAGAGTGCATGGACTGCATCATCACGGCGAAATTCCTTGATATGGAGAGTAGTTGTGGTAAGAATGGAGTCCTGAAGTAGAGCCGGAGGGAAAGCCACATAGAAGGACCTCGCTTCCAAGGTTGTTCTGTGGCCAATCAGAATCGCGAATTGGCGAGAACGCAGGAGGTCTTTGCTGAAGCCTTCCGATTGGCTCTCGACAGCCATATATCATGCTATTTAGTATGTACTACGTACGCATTTAGTACATTCTTAAATACATCAAACACAGGCGACGATGGGATCAATTATATCCCAGCAGCTGTCACAGTATCTCGCTTAAATCCTGTATTAAGCTGACAGTTGTGCATCCATCCAGTTAAAATTACGCCGCGTTCGTATTGCTACCTATAGAAGGCAAGCTCGGTATCGGCTTAGAAATATTTCCCGCAGATGGGAGCCCCTCCGAAATGTGCCACTGGGGACATAGATTGAGGGCCCCATATCAGCCTATCGAGCAATCGATCTGATAGTCACAGCTAGAAATCCAGTATTTCCGCGGAGCATAGTCCTTCCGGTATGTGCGAGACTTGTCTGTCTAGTTGGTCGGGCAGTCGACAAGTACATTGGTATCTATGAGCCGGACCACCAGCACTGTTCCTTCATGAAGCGGTGAGCTGACAGCTTAAAACAATGGTGCAATCTCCGAGTTCACGATACTGGAGTTTGTTGCGGTTTTGGAGTTGGACTATAAATCTCCATCAAGTTGAATCGTTTGAGCTCCTCGTAATCGCTACCGACGACGCTCATCCCAATAACATTCTGCATTGATTGAACATGTCAATCAGAAAGGAGTCCAAAGCACACACTACATTATGATATGCTCACCTGAGCAATCTCGACCAAAATAGTATAGTCGGGATTTTTGAGATCAACTTTGTGTCCGGATCCAACGGCTGCTGCGACTGTTTGTATGATGACGTCTCTGTTGAGTGTATTGTTGCTACGAACAGCAGGTCGAATAGCGTACTAGTCAAGAGTACATATCTTCCAGTCAGGTCTGAATTTCACTTTCAAGGCATTTCGGTGGAGACTTGAAGCCGGACGCAATATGGGCATAGACTGACCTTCTTGGGAACATCGTCTACGTGAAACACAGGTTGTAGAACTTCCTTCGCAAAAGCAGTCAAATCCACGCTCAATACTTTTCGAATCTGAGTGATGGGAGTCATGCGCTTGATCCATCGACTTTTTCTTTGGTCTGGATTGGCTTTTGCTTCTTCGCATATGTCATGAACCAGCTTCACCGGATCTATTGATTTATCGATCCGGTAGAGAACAACTACTAATTATCAATATCGTCTCGCGAAAAAAAGGACGGCGAAGGGAAGCTTACTGCAAGGCAGGTTCGAAGTGACTTTCTGAAATAATCGAGGCTTGGTAGACCTGGGTTTCAGGCCCTCAACTTCTTTCCTAATTTGAGCCTCTATATCATCGTCGTCTTCGTCGTCAGCATCCTGGCCCGTTGCTTGACTGCTATCCTGGTTCCCCAAAGACTTCTCATAGTACTGCATTATTGAAACCTTTCAGTTCTGTTCGTCATGCCATGCAATCATCGGAATACTTCCGCAACGGGTGGTGTAAAAGCGAGAAAGCTGACCTCCGTGAATATATCCAGAACTTCTCCGGCACATTTTCCCTCTCGACCCATATCGCATGTTATGAATACGCCGGCATCGCCTGCCTCAAAGGAAACTTTGTATGCTGGACCACCCTTGGATTTCTTGTACGTCGACCCGACCTATGAGATGTTCGTGAGTCTAAGCGCAAGGGTAGGCTTGATGGCAGTAGAGCAGTGAGACCTTTCTCGGCTTTGAGACTCTGTTTGTAGGCCTGCTCGCCATCCTCTAAGTAAGATCCTAGCTGTGCTTCGCCGATTGCAAAACGTAACTAGAGATGCGTACAGCATTAGCACAAGCCAAGATGAGACATGGATCTTTTCCGAGAGGGAAAAACAGGTTCTCACATAAGCGCGTTCTAGACTCTCTCCAATGATATGTGTGTAGGTGTCGAGATGATTTCGAGCTTGCAATGCTTGGTTCGGCCCGTGGTCGTTGGAGAAGGGAAAAAAAATTAATTGGAAGGTGCGGGGTCGCGAGCCCGTCGATCATCAGTCCACGGCGCCTTCCTTTCTGACCGACCTGAACTTAATGAACTGATTCAACCGTCGTATGATTCTTTTTCTCGAAGGTCATGCATTCTTCTCGCAATATGCGACGACTGACTCGATCTCGTGCTGGGCTGATGCCTGTTCTCTGTATGACAAAAGCATCTCCTGACGAGCACCCCACTGTACGTCATACGAGGCCGGCCAGTCAATTACATCATGTCCCTTAAACAAGATGGTATAAATTTATTGGGATTCACAGCACTCGGAGTGTGGATTAATAGCACGACTCCTTAGGTACGGTCTGGTCTTATTAAACTCTTTACCGCTACATATACGCCAATTCGACACACAATGGCTTCCGACATAGTGACTAGAGAACTAAAGCAGCCCATCAACCTGGTGGAATATCTCTACCGTCGTCTGCACGAAGTCGGAGTTCGCTCAGTGCACGGCGTTCCCGGTAAGTTTTTGATCGGGTCAATATGAGCCATGCTGCCGCTGACCTGTATAGGTGATTACAACCTACAAGCTTTAGATTATTTGCCTAAATGCGGTTTATCGTGGGTAGGAAACTGCAATGAGCTTAATGCTGGTACGAGATCAGAGAATAAGCTTTATATGGAAGTCTCTGCTTACTGGTGACCGTCATTGCAGGCTACGCTGCCGACGGCTACGCTCGAGTCAAGGGAATTTCGGCTATGATCACAACATTTGGTGTCGGAGAGCTTTCGGCGATCAATGCAATGGCTGGCGCATACTCGGAATACGTCCCCATAATCCATATTGTCGGACAACCCCACACTGCGTCTCAAAGGGACGGGATGCTTTTGCACCACACGCTAGGGAATGGAGATTACCACGTGTTTGCCGACATGGGCGCAAAAGTATCGTGTGCAATAGCGCGTCTGAATGACCCCGTTGACGCTCCTACACTGATCGATAATGCCATTCGAGAATGCTGGATTCAAAGTAGACCGGTTTACATCACTCTCCCAACGGATATGGTATTAAAAAAAGTGGAGGGCCAACGACTCGAGACTCCAATCGACCTCAACAGAAAGCCTAATGATCCCGAGAAAGAAGAGTATGTGGTGAGCTTGGTTTCGAGATTGCTACATGAGGCGAAAGACCCTATCATTCTGGTTGATGCTTGTGCTATCCGCCACCGTGTACTTGAGGAAGTCCATGACCTCGTACAGCAATCTGGCCTACCTACTTTTGTGGCTCCGATGGGTAAAGGTGCGGTCAATGAAGCCCATCCAAATTATGGAGGAGTTTATGCAGGGGACGGCTCTAATGACGGCGTGCGAGAAAGAGTGGAAGAATCTGACCTCATCCTGAGTATCGGCGCTATCAAGTCAGACTTCAACACTGCGGGGTTCACTTATCGCATCGGCCAGCTCAAGACCATTGACTTTCACAGCAACCTTGTAAAAGTTCGGTATTCAGAATATCCCAACATCAACATGAAGGGCGTCTTACGGAAGGTGATAGAGCGGCTGGGAGAAGTGAAGGTTGGCAAGATTCCACACATCTCCAACAAAGTCCCCAATCACGAAGCGGATGCGGACAGTCAAACTATCACGCACGCATGGCTGTGGCCCAATGTTGGCCAATGGCTTCGGGAGAATGACATCTTTATCACGGAGACCGGAACTGCGAACTTCGGTGCTTGGGAGACCCGCTTTCCTAAAGGTGTGGTTGCTATCAATCAGATACTTTGGGGGTCCATAGGGTATTCTGTAGGTGCATGCCATGGTGCAGCATTGGCTGCAGAAGAGCTCGAGGAGAATCAGCGAACGATTCTCTTCGTTGGTGACGGAAGTTTCCAGCTTACTGCACAAGAAGTGAGTACTATGCTCAGAAAGAACCTCAAACCTATCATGTAAGTGGCCCCAATGTTTTATGCTGCTTGGATTGCAGATCGGAGATCTGACGAAAGGGATAGTTTTGTAATTTGCAACGACGGTTACACCATCGAGAGATACATCCACGGCTGGGATGCATCTTACAACGACATTCAGCCATGGAGATTTGTTGACATTCCTTCAACTTTTGGTGGACAGCAAGGACAGTATGAGACCCATCAGATCAGAACGCGAAAAGAATTGTTGGATTTGTTTTCCAACGAGCACTTCTCTTCAAACGAATGCTTGCAGGTCAGCTTGATCATCCATTAAGACCGATGAGTGGTATTTAACTGACCTTACTCAGCTCGTAGAATTATACGTACCTCGAGAAGACGCCCCATTAGCACTGAAGTCAACAGCTGCGGCTTCGGAAAAAAGGAACTCAAGCAAATGAAAGCGAGGATGCTTGTATTGTTTTTTTCAAGATTGCGAACAGATGTTGCTAGATTCGGTGATGGCTAAACAACACAATCTGAACCTCTATTCTAGTATTGTATGGAAAGGGCCTCTTGTCTCAATTTAATACGAGTTCTACCATAGTAATTAGGATGTTTCTTCTTCCCCTCAACATGCATGTCCAAATCCAAGGGAGTGCAAGAATGTGATTGGGGTGTTCATTGTAGATTAAAGCAACTGGCCCAGCCAATCGCACCCCGACCCTTAGCGCCAAGGCTGTCAACTGGCCTAAGGCTACGATATGTTTCACGTGATTCTCGATCAGGGACCCACCCGACAAAGCCAGCAGCAAAACATGCGACCACCGTATCTCGACGTCCACGAAAGCCAGCGAGAGAGGAAAGCTGCTCGTCGCTTCTTTGTCACATTTACCCCTGCGACCTAGCTTTCACATAGAACGTCTGTCGGCTGCACGCTATCTTCATAACAACAACCCTTGCTCTTAAGTTTCCCAACGAGACCCACAAGCGCCTCCGTGGGTCTTCCCATCGGAGACTCTACCGGTGCTTCGTGGTTGCTGTCAGATCTTAAAGACTTCGATTAAAGACTGGCCGATCAGATACGCTACGACAATCCAATAAACTGCGATCCGGCTGTCACACCACCTAGCTCAATCGAATTCCACCGAGCGACGTTTGTTGACAGAAACGCTCAACTCAATCTTCGGGGCTACGGTATCGGCCTCTACAAGGAGTGAACACACACTGTTCCCTTCCGGCCCTTTGAGATTTCTAGCGCTGGCGACGCCTGTTTATTCTCTTGGACTGTACTGAACATGAGTCTGGTTAGATGGGCAGTGGATATCTTCTCATTTCCTCGATTGAGAGCTTCCAATGAGCCGGTTTGAGCTACGCGCTTGTCTTGAACATTGAATATGCGGCCAACACCTTCTCGACCTTGATATAAATCAGCGCGGTTGCGGTAATCTACTCGCTTCAACTGTTTCAATATACTCTGCTATCATGGAACAACGACAACAGTATCTACCACCCCCGCCTCCGCTGTCGCAACCTAATCAGTCTCATATAATTAATCTGCCTCCCCCACCTCCAAGGCCCTCAGCGCAACAGCATGGCATGATCCCTCCACCTCCACCAGGGCCGCCACCTCAGTCTGCCTACCCAGGTTCAAATCAGTGGCAAGCATGGCGCACGCAGAACTTCCCTCCTCCGCCGCCTCCTCCCGTCCTTCATCCGTCCTTGATGCCAGCGAATCAGGCTTATCTTCGTCAGCAACCCACTCCGTTGTCAATTCCGATACTTGCACCGCCATCCGAAGGACAACCGCTTACTTCTGCAACTTATATACCGTCAAGTGAGACTTTCGGGCCCGGCGTTGGCATTCCGCCGCTCTATGAAAATTATGGACATTCTGCGATTACAGAGAGGCCACGACCAGGTGCCACGACCTGGGATAGCACATCTTCGGATAATTCTTATAGAAAAGAGGGAAGTATCCCTCCTACCCCATCTCGCAATCTGCCTCCTTCTCTTGTTCTTGGGGCCTACAACGACAACATGTCGCCTGGACCAGCAACGGCTACGATACAAAATCATGGTTCTGAACCAGCCCGTACAACAAGCCACAAGCACAATGCCAGCAGTACGTCTCTCGGTGGAATATCGGCTGGAGATGCAGCTGTTCAGTGGCCCGTTGAGAGGGTTGTCAGCTGGCTTGCGAGAAATGGGTTTTCGAAGGACTGGCAAGAGACGTTCAAATCTTTGGAGCTCCAGGGCGCGGACTTTCTGGAGCTTGGTCACGGGTCGAATGGTCGCGGCAATCTTGGTAAAATGCATCAAGTTGTCTATCCACAATTAGCAAAGGAGTGCCAGAAAAGCGGGATTGGCTGGGATCAAGCCCGAGAGCGTGATGAAGGCAAACGAATGCGAAAATTGATACGGCAGATACATGATKATGGAAGTGAGGTAAAATTCACAGACAGACGAAGGGAATCACAGACACTCCCCAGTGCTTCTACAGACGGAGGTGTAGAGAACTCTCCTAACCTAGGATGGGATTCGCCATTTCCGCCGTTTGGGCAAGCGGCTGTGGAAAACACTTACAGCCACCCCGCTCACCGTCTACCTCCTGCTTTGATAAGTAAGCCGAGCACTCAAATCCGTCCGGTTACAGCTCCATCGTCACAGAGACATGATGCTGGTGACAGTGACCCGGCTATAAACCAGCGGTCAGAGTATTCTAGAAGCGCACTCGCAAATCTGGACGAACATCGGAGGCAAAGTCCTTCTTCAACTAGCGACGGTGGTATGTTCCCACCACCTTCCTTAAAGGCCCACGAAGACAGTCCCCAAAGTGGGAGTCCAGCAGCACAGCACGCCTTCCCTGTTCAGTCAGGATTAACTTCATCCTCAACAGGGGATCTCACATCCAGGTTTGAGCACCACCGGGGAAACAGTACGGATTCACTTTCTGGACGCGGAAACTCTATGCCTCGTTTTTATGAGAACCGAAAGCAAACACAAGAAAGTTCGCGTCTTACACCTCAAGATACCGGTAAAGACCCTGGAAAAGGCTTCTTTCAATTTTTCAAGAAGAAATCGCGCGATCACCATTCGAATCCATCGCCAGAAGAGCAGCTCCTAGATTCACCCACGAGCCCTTCAATTATGCGTCACAACGGCTTAAATAGCCCTTTCAACAAGCCGTCTTACAATAACAGTGACTTGTCTTTAGCCGAGCGTCCCTTGTCTTCTTCATTTTCTGATTATGAAAGAAGTACAGCACGATTGAAATCCGCTAAGCAAAGATACGCTATGGCCACTCTTGATGGCTGGAACTATCGTCTGGTGGATATCACAGAAGCTGATACAGCTGAAAATCTGAGAACAGTGATTTGCCAAAACTTAGGTATCGTGGATTGGCATACCGCACAAATCGCAGTCACAGAGCCAGGACAGATTGAACACGAAGACTTTCTTGACGACTCAATGCTTGTTCTCAATCGTCGCGCAAGAGCAGATCATTTAGGATCCCTGAAGTTCTATGTACGTGGCAATGTATCTCCAGGTTCTACTGGCTTGGGCGTATCATTTGCTGAGAAAGCCACGTCGTCTCCTATGTCAGCTCATCGTCAAGTGCAAAGAAAGCCTTTGGAAGAAGACTCTACTCTTCGTGGTACCCAAGGAGTGTCTGGCTCGCCGCTTGTTGCTCACCAATCTGCTACGGCAACCAGCTCTGACCAGCTGTCACCATCTTTGCCTGAGAAAGCACGCGCTGATGCTGGCGCTGATCTCGATTCAGCATCGCGGCTTGAAGAGCGTCAACTCGATGTTGACCGGAAACAACGTACCCTCTCTAGGCCGAAGCAACCCCCAGAATTACAACTTCACAGTGGTAATTATAGTGAGAACGGATATCGAAGTAGAGGCGTCATTGACTTTGACCAACCGCGGGTTTCTCCATACGAAGATAAACGGGTTGAAGGGCTTGTGCCTCAGCGGAAGCCTCCATCTGCCCCCTCTGAATCGAATACACTCACCAAGGTCAATTCTCTGAGCAAGAAAAGTACTGACCGTGCTCGCATGTCGTTGAGGATGCAGCACCAGTCGCCCAAATATAGATTAATCCAAGAGGAAGAATCACCGGAAACAAGCATTTCTGCGAGCCTGAATAATTCCGATCCGGTGTATACGGCTTACGGGCAATCAACTGGGATGGCCACTTCTTCCTCCACTTCATCTCAATCCACTCTCACCGAAAATAGTTTCAATACCGTGCGAAGAAATCCGTCGACAGCCTCGTCATTCAAACCACCTTCTTTACAAAGTCGAAAGTCATTTGGCCCGGTACATGAATTCGAAGAAACGAATGTCACATTCAATGCACCCCGAACACCTCAAATGGAATCGGAGGAATCCGAAGACGATTCCGATGATGGACTGTTTGCAGTACCTCTCACAACGAAGAAAGATACTTCAAAGGGCAAGGGACCTGTACCAGAGGTCACATCTCCCAAATCTCAGAAACCTTCTCTGACAGTCAATACCTCGACAAGATCCACCAAGGGACTGTCAGTTAGTTTCAGGTCGCCCAATCCCAATGATGAAATATCTGCTGGACCTTCCTACCCGAGCTCAGCAGTCATGCCTGCAGATTTGCGTTCGATGCAGGATAAAAACGGCGTATCATCCGCAAATGCAAATCCATCTCCTGATGATGAATCATATCGTCGCAGAGACTCTTTTGCGAGAGATGATATCTGGGCCAGTCGACCTCCTGTTGAAGGTGTCATCAACAATCTTGACGATTTCTTCCCCAACATTGATCTAGATGAGCCTTATCTTGAAGCGCCGGGAACCTCTCCTCCTGGCTCTCCGGTCAACACAGTTATGAAAGACAAGCCCGGTTCCTCTATCCAAGCGCCACCGAATCCTTCTCATCAGGGATCTGACCAGCAGATTCCCAGCGATCCAAACGCCAGATACTCCGTCGCACAACGCAATCTTATCAAGTCTGGAGGTTTGAGTCGTATGAAGTCTATACGTGAAGTCGCCAAAGGTGCTCAACAAGTGCATAGGAACCGAAGCATTGCAGGCCCAGCCAGTAAGAAATCCGGTGACATACTCCGACGCAAGAGCACAAAGATGTTTGGCGCAAAAATTATGCAAATCAGTCCAAAGCCTGGAAGTCGGTTGAGCCAGTTGAACAACGTGCCCAAACGGGAACAAACTTTCCGTATCATTAGAGGTCAACTTATCGGAAAAGGCACATATGGTAGAGTGTATCTCGGCATGAATGCTGATACTGGAGAGGTGCTTGCCGTGAAACAAGTTGAGGTCAACCCCAGAGTGGCTGGKCAAGACAAAGATCGCATAAAAGAGATGGTGGCTGCCATGGACCAAGAAATTGATACTATGCAGCATCTTGAGCATCCAAACATAGTCCAGTACCTTGGATGTGAACGAGGGGAATTGTCCATCTCGATCTACCTTGAGTATATTTCTGGTGGTTCTATTGGCAGCTGTCTACGCAAGCATGGCAAATTTGAAGAGTCGGTTGTCAAGTCACTAACACGACAGACTCTCAGCGGTTTATCCTATCTTCATGACCAAGGTATTCTCCATCGTGACCTTAAGGCAGACAACATTCTTCTCGATTTGGACGGTACATGCAAGATTTCGGACTTTGGCATTTCGAAGAAGACTGACAATATCTACGGCAATGACGCGTCTAATTCAATGCAGGGTTCGGTGTTCTGGATGGCTCCGGAAGTCGTACAGTCTCAAGGCCAGGGCTATAGTGCCAAGGTAGACATTTGGTCACTTGGTTGTGTAGTTTTGGAGATGTTCGCCGGACGTCGACCTTGGAGTAGGGAAGAAGCGATTGGTGCTATCTTCAAGTTGGGAAGTCTCAGTCAAGCACCACCAATTCCCGAAGATGTGTCTGTGAATATCAGTCCTGCAGCTTTGGCTTTTATGTACGACTGCTTTACAATGTGAGCTTATGACCCTGCAAAGGTTTTAGGACCATGCTAACCCTGACATTAGTGACACATTTGATCGTCCAACTGCCGACACCCTTCTCAATCAACATCCCTTCTGTGCGCCGGACCCAAGTTACAATTTTGAAGAGACGGAGTTGTATGCCAAGATTCGCGACGTGCTTTAACATTCTTATGACCGGCTTTGATTGCGACTATATGGAGGTGCACGGGGAGTGACCTCGTCTGTCGAGAGTTCTATTTTTTGGTGTCTTTGAATACTGCATAGCGTAGCCAGACTTGTTACCTACACAGATAACAATGCTAAAGTATGTTCAAAATTGTATGCAATAATTATATAAAAAAAAGTTGTGATAAAATTCCAACCTTCAAGATCTTCTCGATACAACCGAATCATGGTCATCATCCTCCCCATTGTCGATAGAACGCAAACCAGCAACCCCGACCCTAAAGACTCCTTCACTCCATTCCTCGAAAGTGTCGACGTCCCAAACCGCATCCTCTCTACCTTTGCCCTTGACATTGGCTGCTACGCCTTTGCTCTTGGCCAATAGAGCTGTGTAGCCCTCGTAAAACTCCTCATAAATTTGTATGACGCGGTCCTGCACAGCGCCGACCAGGGTCTCTTTTGTACGGGTATCTTCTAAATAGTCGTCTAAAGCTTTCCGTAGCAAGGGGACTTCCTTTTCGATGCTTCGGCAAACGGGGCTTATTGCGACCCCATCTGCCATGTTTCCCTTCTCGATGAATTTTGTAGGCAAAGTCGATGTCATGCGAGTGGCGAAATGATTCGTGAAGTCGTTAATGACTGTCCGGAGTGTGCCGTCAAGTTCTACTTTTGCGTCGAGCATGTTCTCAACAACCTTGGGTAAGAGGCCGCCACCCACAAGACGCATAAGATTTCCAGGGTTGAAGAGACCTCCGCGCTCGCGGAGTTCCCAGAAAGTATTCGTGACTCCAGAGAAGTCAAGTGATATATCGGGGGTGACATACTCGATATCAAATGCGACGATCTGTTGTTTGAGAATGAGAAGGTGCTTGATCAAGAATAGTTGGCCGTCGGTACGAGAGTATTTGCTCGATATTTGCGTGCTTGCTTGATGAAGCGAAAATGTCGTTTGATGTACAATTTGATGCGCAAGGTCATCAAAGACGGTGGACTATCTGAATGTTTAGCAAATACTCAAAAAGTGGCAGTGACGACGAGACTCACGTTGACAAGCCTATATATACGGCTAAGCAGCCAGATGGCCTTCCGCAGCGTGGGATACCAGGCTTGAAATGTAGCTTGGGTTTCAATGTCCCAGAGTGCATCTTTCTCCGTTGGAGAATCTATCTCTTCGTCGACGATTGTTGGGGTCTTTGGCAGTGCAGATCCTTTACGACCTGACAATGGAACACCTTTGGTAGAGGATGAGGTTTGTCGAATTCGAGTTGGGTAGTCCAGATCATCCGGTTTGGGGCGATATCTCTCGATCTCGCTGCGAAGAATACCTTGCACTTGAAATACGAGACGAGTCTGTGCATCTGCAAGTGCGGGTTGGATAAGGGCGGAGAAATCTAGCTGATTTGGGTCGTTGTATTCTGTCTCGTCTTCTGGATCGGACATATAACGAGTTTGCAACAGAGTGCACAAGTGGCAGAGTTTGATTAAGTTTGTCTCGTGGATGATTCTCGGTCTCAAGTGATCGTACAGAGGCTCACAGATAGATTCCAAGAAATCATATAAGCCTGCTTGACCATGAAACCATTCTCCCCAGAGTTCGAATTCGTCTAGACACACACCACGTATGTAGCCAATGCTGGCCCTAGCGAATGCTACCAGGTCCTTGGAAGTGCTAGGAGCCTGAGCAATGCTAGTAAGCTTTTTCCGTGCCAGTGGAATGATAAGCTTGCCTCGCGTTGCGGCGAAGCTTGTATGCAACTCGTTCATGAGGCTTTGGTACTCTGCTTCGGTTCCCTGTTCTGGGTCAACTGGCGGGACAGCTCTTTTCTGGATCTCTAATCCAATTTGCTTCATCTCAGCAGCTCCGATGCGGAACTTCGCATATAGTAATGCTGACATTGTGGTGTCATTGAGTTGTTTGTCGGCAATTCTTTTTGATACCCCTGACGATGTTTCTCGCAGTGCAGCGACAAAGTGTCCGCGGATAAGTGTCAACGCACGAGTCAGCAGCAACCGGTATCTAGATCGGTAAGTTTCCGCCTCTTTTTGTTCGGGCTATGAGGTATTAGCAGGTTATTTTCCATAGCAAAATCACAAAGAGCCATACATGAGACTCCATATAGTCTAAACACTCGTCGAGCTTTCTCAGCATATCTGAAAATTCACTGTTGCGGACCGTCTTTCCTGCGCCCGGAGCGTTGAGCTTCCGTGAAGCGGGATCCAGGAATTCATAATATACAAGGTTGTCCCTGATATCATTCGCCAGATGAGTGTTTTTTGATTGCGTGTTTAACAATCCTTCGCATTGTTTTTGGAACGTGGACGTCTGCAGATCGACAGCTTGGAATGATTTGGAGAGACTCGACAAGAGTTCGAGAGTTGACGATGTATCGGCGAGAAGAGAATCGAGATGCGCTCTAGATATTTCGAGTTCGTGAAGGCATGATCTGACCGTATGTTAGACGTGCTACCCTCGTTCTCTGTCGACTGCGGACATACTGATACGCTTCGTGACTTGCGTCTAGCAGATCTTCTTCCACATCATGATACCATTTTCCAAATTCCACCTCATCATTGATCGCAGCGATGCCGATTTCTTCCTCTATTTGTGAAAATTGCGCCGGTGCTTTTGCTCTTGGTTTCTTTCGTTGTATACCGGATGGGTCACTAGGACTCCGAAGGCGCCCCGCGGACTGTGGCAGCATTGCATGAAGTGATTAACAGGCCGGCGTAGTTTCCTAGGGATCCAAAAGCATCAGTAAATAATATGGAATTATTCACTAAGGACTTCTAGCATGAAGAGTTTGAAATCAAAGCTGCACCGTTCATTGAGTACTATTGAAGTGGAAAGGACACCGTCTGTTGTGTATGCATCTTGCGGAGGCCCGAAAGATTCTGCCACCGCCTACGCAACCAGCTCTTCTACTTTCTGAAGTCATGACGAAGCTCCTCGGGTATAGCTGCGATAGCTACGATTCTCAGAGCGACGACTCAACAACTATTGGTAATTTAGATACCGTCGGACAATGCATGCAGGTCACTCAAGACGACCGATTACTATGGTGATCGGATCCTCGTCACGCCTACTCAGAGCCCAACTCCGCGCTCGAAACTTCAGACGGAACTACAGCCAGGAAACATCGCGGACGTCCGGAGGCTCTCGAAAATGGGCTGGTCCTGCAGTGGCCCTCCTCGGAACATTTACCGCGGCTACCGCAGCTTACGTTTGGAAAAGCCAGCAAGGACCACCAGAGGCACAGCCATCCAGGCGAGTAGAGAAGGTCACATTTGAAAAGTCCAAGATCAATACCTCTGTGACCGCAGAGCGGAATCGCGAAATTCTCAGTGCCCAGCATGCACAGATTAAGAAGATGTCAGCCAATCCTGGGGTCTATGTTTGGGGTTCAAATAGCCACCGCGTCGTCGATCCGGATTCGAAAGAAACAATAATTAAGGAACCACGCCGCTTGCGCTATTTCGAGGGCCAATTTCTTAGAGACATCAAATTGGATCAAACCTCGGGGGCCGCTGTGACTGATAATGGCGATTTGGTTCAATGGGGCAAAGGATACTCGGAAACCGACTTCCAGCCGACTCCGACTCTCGTGGGCAAGAATTTGGTAAAGATTAGTATGTCACGGGACAGAATCATAGCACTTTCCTCCAACGGAAATGTGTTTTCGATTCCCATCTCAAAGAATGATCAACAATCAGGATCAAAGCCATCCGAGAGCTCCTGGTTGCCAGGGTGGTCCTCCAGAGCTCGAGTCAGCTATCGGCAACTCGTGCCCCAGCTCGGTCTCGGCGAGAAGGTTACATCTATTAGCAGTGGTTTGGAACATGTCCTATTACTCACAAATGCTGGCCGTGTGTTCTCCGCTGCCGCTGCAACCGAGGCATATCCCGCAAGGGGCCAATTAGGAGTACCTGGGCTTACATGGGCAACTCGGCCAAAAGGGCCCGTGGATTACTGCCATGAGTTATCAACCTTGAAGGATTCTAAGATTGTGCAGATAGCCAGCGGAGACTTCCACTCCCTGTTGCTCGATAAGAATGGGCGTGTTTTCAGTTTTGGGGATAATTCCGTCGGACAACTAGGATTCGAGTATGATCCAGCTTCACCTGTGATCGATACACCGACGCAGCTCCCCATGAAAGGCTTATACTCGACCAAAAACTGGTCCGCTCAGGTTACGAGTATCGCTGCTGGTGGTTATACCAGTTTCATCACCGTTGATGCGGTACGGAAACTTCTAATGGACGACACATCCACATCTTCGAATCAAGGTGTTCCAAGTGTCGACACCTGGGCTTTCGGTAGAGGTATTCACGGAGCTCTTGGGAATGGTAAATGGACACATTTCCAGGATAGCCCTAGCAAGATGAAGGCACTCAGCGGTCTGAGTGAATTTGACGAGAAGACCCAGAAAGTACAACCAATTCGACCTGTCCAGATATCAGTCGGTGCTACACATGCTGCAGCTGTGCTGGGAAATAATGCCCACTTGAACAATGGCAAAAAGTCATCCATTGCTGATATCACATGGGGCCAAGATACACTATGGTGGGGAGGCAATGAATCTCTTCAAGTTGGGACTGGCAAGCGAAGCAATGTGCCCACGCCTGCCCATATACTTCCTCCGCCTGATGTTGCGACGTCTACGAATCTCGATGAGGCTCGCTTTCAGATCATTCCAAGCAAACAACGGATAGAGTGCGGCAGGCAGGTTTCTGCTGTCTATTCGGTAAAAATTTAACTGATGTACGATATCATGTAATATAATCTCACCTCTACGGTTAGTTAATATGTATAATGAACAACAATTGTATTCTACTTCTATCAAATATATTTCAAGGTCGATAAGGAAAAGAAACTTATAGAGTAACAATGCGAACTGAGCAAACAAGGCGTTATCGGTCGTGCACGGGCCAATGCTTATCGAAAAAATTTCCCTCCGCAAAGAGAACAATTTCAATCTTCAAAAACTTAGAACATACAAAAATCACATACTTGTCGAGGTGCACATTCCATCATGCCTCGCGAGAAACAGAAAAGAGGGCGCCGTGCGCAAGAAAAGGAAAACAAGCGAAAACTCGAAGACGACCACGAGGAGCCAGCACTCAAACGACAGAAACCAACCGAGGACCAGCTCGAGGCCGCAGACTACATACCATTGACCTCTGGCGAACAGGAGGAACAAATTGAACAGTACGAACAGGATGCACCGGTCGCGGATCAGAACGATACACCTTTTTACGGATTGCTCGACACCGAAGAGCAGGAATATTTCTCAAGGGCCGCCGAAGTTCTCGAATTGAATCAATTCCAGACCGCCGAGGAACAGAGCATTTTCGTCGAGAGTGTATATGAAGAAGCAAAAGGAAAGGAATTGAAAATTGCATGCAGTCAGTCCTGTTCACGTCTTCTGGAGAAGATTATTTCTCTTTCAAGTACCGATCAGCTCCGACGACTCTTTGGCAAGTTTCTTGGACATTTCCTGCACCTGGTACAACATCGATTCGCGAGCCACTGCTGCGAGACACTCTTCGTCAAAGTTGCGCCCGCACTTACTCACAAAGCATCCACGACTAAAAAGCTAATTATCGAGGAAGAAGGAAGCGACGAACCCTCTCTATCACTCGCCGATATGTTTCTGCAGGTTGTTTCGGAGCTTGAGGGTAACTGGGGATATCTCTTGACGGAGAGGTTCGCGTCTCATACAATTCGTGTTCTTCTACTTGTCTTGGCAGGCGAGCCTGTGGACTTGGCATCACATGGCTCTCTTGTTGCGAGCAAGGCAAAAGAGGGTGTCGAAGTTCATCGGATAGAGGGACAAGAGCAGGTCATTTCCGCGAAAAAGCATACTGTGCCGGATACATTTTTGAATGTTCTGAAAAAGGTTATGGCTGATATGACCGCTGGGCTGGATGATACTTATTTGAGAGCATTGGCCACTCACCACGTCGGAAATCCTGTTTTGCAGCTTCTGGTGTCCTTGGAACTATCCCACTTCGGCAAGTCGACCGCCAAAGATTCACGCTCCGTCTTACGACGATTGATACCGGACGATACAATGGAGGAGGGTACACAGAGTGCTATCTTCTTGACCGGGTTGTTATATGATCCTGTCGGCTCGAGATTAGTTGAGACCATTGTGCGCTCTGCGCCTGGAAAGCTATTCAAGAATATCCACAAAAATATAATCCGTGAGAGGATAGCGTCTCTCTCGCGCAATGAGATTGCTTCATATGTCCTTGTCCGATGCTTGGAGCGAGTTGGCCGAGATGATCTCCAAACGGATTTGGAGATGATTATCCCGGAAGTCCCTAATCTTATTGAGAGATCGAGACTTACTGTGCCTAGAGCACTAATTGAGCGATGTCTCGTTCGCAATATCGACACTACCCCTTTAGCAAAGACATTGCAGGAATCACTCGATGAAAATCCAGTCAAGAGGTTACAGCAGTTACTCGAAGTCAACAATCCAGATGGTCCTGCAGAGGAAAAAGCCCCATCTGAGAGACCAGTGCAAGGAAAAGTAAAAGCGTCACCGGTACTCTTGCACAAATCACTATTTGTACAAAAGATGCTAGAGGCCCCTGGTGCGCTAAGTGAACTCGTCTACTCTGGCTTATTAGCAACATCTACAGACGCCATCATCAATATGGCCTGCAATTCAGTCACTTCACACGTCTTGCAAAAGGCTCTCACAGCATCAACATCAACAATTCAGTTTCGGCGTCAGTTCGTGCCTCAGTTCTCCAGCCATATGAAGCAACTCGCTCTTGATACTAGTGGTTCTCACGTGGTTGATACCCTCTGGGATGCAACCAAAGATATATACTTTGTCAAAGAAAGATTGGCGCAGGAGTTAGCCGACAGCGAACATGAGCTCCGCGATTCATTTATTGGCCGCGCAGTATGGAAGAATTGGTCAATGGATCTCTATAAGCGACGACGAGGAGAATGGAAAGGAAAGGCAAAGGGACTCGACGATCAAGTAAAAAATTTGAACATTGGCGATGAGAAGCCACGGACCAAGTCGAAACTTGATCTTGCTAGGGAGAGGTATGATGCTGCACAGAAATCTGCTGCCGGCAGGAGTAGCATAGTCACGAAGTCTTGATGTCTGTAGATCTAGTATAAAGAAATCAACGAATTCGAGGCCAATTTCGAGTCTGTATGTATGCAGTACGTCCTGTATCATGTTTGCACTCTTATTCGACCATAACATCGATGTTGTCGAGAGACCGCCAAATGGTGAAAGGCAATAGGCGTCCCACAGCTCCGTAATCGATTGAAGCCAAAACAACACAGCTGGTCGAAGCAGAACCTCCTTCATGAAGCGAAATTTGCATTCACGAATCAAATCACCTTCCAAATTCAGAACGAATCTCAACACACGGTACATTGACTACATTCAGTATGGAGGATTAATGCAATCTAAACGGGCGGGTCCTAATAACCCTAATTGCATACGCTGATCTTGACCGGTCACTTTCGTAACGTACTATGAGTACAAGTCGTACATACCAGAAATACGTGGTTGTCGTGCGCCGTCTCGTTTATTATCGTACCAATACCTGACGATAAGGTCTAGCCCCGGATATTGCGATTTAACGTTGCAGATACACCAGTCCCACTTACCCGAAGGAGCATTCGAGGGAATAGATTGCGACAGGACGAAGGCCCGAATCGGCTGAGCAACAGGTTCGCTGTTTAGGAAAATTAGAAAGAGGACAGATCAATTGGTTCCGCCTCAAATATTTCGTATAGTGTACTCGTACTGAGTATATGTACGTGTACAAGTATACACAGACTGCGTAGTTACATCGTACTAAAGCACGCGTATCAAAAATATCAAAGCATCAGCAACAAAATGCAACCGTTGGCTGAAGCGAACAATTCCTAGCGCTATTAGTCGGGACTGCATACACACTAGTACTAACAGATCCAACGGGTTTCCCGGTCTAGTCAAGCACGTGCTCTAGCTGAAGAAGTACTAGTGTGTGTGTAACCTGTCGAGTCAGGTCGACATAATATCGTAAGTCAGACTAAGTCAGTCAGTCAAGTGTCCATGATAACGGTGATATTTTTCGGCCTTCCATGGGTCAGGAGACATTATCCATGAACAGCCGTTCCGCATGTGGAGCGACTATGAAGGATGTCAAGCCACATCTGAATAAGCGAGGAGTCGATAACTCATCCAGCATCCAGCATGTTGAAGAAGACACGATAAGAAACCCCGAGTATCTCCATACTTTGAGACTACCCTGCCAAGACGACCTAACACGGAGACTATTCTACAAGCAGCCTAGTGGTAATACAGACAGTCCGTACCGTGACCTCCGTATTCCGTACCGCTAGTCCAATTCCAAATCGGGATGACCCCACCCACAGGACGACAGTAAGATTTCGATCGCAGACTAACCCCGATTGGTTCTTAGGGCTTTTGCTAGTATCTTGACGCCTCCCAGCCACTCACACGCCTCATACACAGTCGGGGAAATAATAAACGGCCAGCTTCAGTGGAAGCCTCACGAGAAAGAAAAGACTGTATGAAAAGAGTACGTACGTCGCATGCATGCCACATCGAAGCACTGGCCCACAGCTTGACGTCATAGTCTCTGTCGAATTGAAAGGATGGTACGTACTAATCGTCGTCTCCATCATCTCTAGGTGTGAAACGGGGACCTGCCCTATGGTCTGTCTATTTCGTTGGAAGTATGTTTTCCGGAACGTTTTTGATAGTCTCAGAGGCTCGATCGAAAACACGGTGGTGATCAACAGGTATCAGGCACACATACTCCGTAGACAGACTGTCTATCGATTTGCTGGCCTATCTATCATGGGACCACTTTTCAAATTCCTGCTAAACCCGCGAATGCTGTGTTTGCCGGTCTGATTCCGAATTTTTTATTGATTTTCATAGTTCGTACATTTTTTGGTCCTTGTCGAATGGAGCCCTTGGTCCCAAGATTACGGATCAAAATGGATAGTCGGGATCTGAACCTCTTAGCGAAATTGCTCTACTGAGATCGTCAATGGATCATTCATCACCACACTTACTGGTTACCGAAAATTCGAGTTTTCACCATGTCGTTGTCGCCGTTGATTAACTCCCCGAAATTAGGCCAGAAATCGTAACTACTTTCCTAGTACATTAGAAAAATCTCTGTCAACTCTGATTGATTCTGATAACCTATTATCAATGCTGTTACAACTTTGATGGATATAAGGTACAAAAAGTCAGGAAGGCCATTGGCAAGATGGTCTGACCATATGAAAGAGCAGAGTTTTGATAATAGAACACGAAATAATCGTGTACTGCGCACCTTGTGTTCCATTCAGAAAGACATCGACTGAGTCAATCAGCCACACAGAAAAAAGGTGCGATGCACTCGGTGTGTAATAGTGCACCCCCACCGACATCGTCGCATGAAGACTCGTATATCGCCTTCGTAACAGAGAACAAAACCATATGTATATCTCGGTTTCGCAGAAATGCAGCAACAGCGAAAAAAGACAAGCATCAATTGTTGAGACAAGAACAGAATAAATCAAACAAGACTAAAATCAAAGGGGTATCATTGCTCGAGGACTCGTATATTGTCCACGTATTCAACGCCCATAAACAGTACCTGAACGCCTTGTTGAACAAATGTTCATGTTTGAAAAACTTGACAAAAGCAAGAAACAAAATCCACCAGAAAAATGATGTGAGACTCCAGCATTTGACAGAAGAAGATCGCCCACTAGTCGTGAAGCCAAAATAAAAATTAATAATAGTACCCGAAGTGAAATCTGAAATCATCATTAAACGTCGTATAAATTATGATGAGAAATCGATATCGAATGCAGGAAAAACGATCAGAAGTCGGTATGGTATGGCAGCATTTAGTAAGTCAGTTTGACTTCCACCGCTGCTGTCGGAGGAGTACTAGTATCCGGAGTAGTAACCTCCAATTTCGACGTCTCGGTGATTTCAGCAACCATGTCCTGTCCTTCGGGTAGTTGCTGAACCACATCATCATCAACCATGATCTTGAGTCCTTCACGACTGACACGTAATATGCGAACAATGCGATCGGGATCAATCTTGTATTTTTCCGATATCTTGGTCATGAGATCTCGGACTGTTCTCTCCGTTAGATAGACGGCTCTGTAGTAATCACCGTTTTGCTCGTCAGGGAATCGAATATAGAAACATGCAACTGTGAACTCGTTAGCCTTTAGACAACCAACAGCTAAATGAAACAACTCACTTGGCTTGGGAGGGCGTTCCGCTGGCGGTCTGTAGGTTGGATCAATGTCGATAGCCTCAATGTAACCTGTGGTGCCCTTCTTCACCTTTACAGGTTGTGTAAGAAGGGCGGCATTGGACCACTCCATGCCCTCTTCCTGGCTCATGAAGGTCTGGTTCGACAATTGTCTTTCCGGAGGCCGTCGTGGAGAGTTTGTATTCGAAAAGCTACTGTTTGAGGGAGAAAGAATGTTGGAAATGCCGGAAGCTGCGTCATTGCTATACAGTGACTCGCGAGTACTCTGTCGGGAGAGACCTTCGAACTTGAACTCTTGTAGATCGCCGGGCAATACGACAGGGAACAGATCGGGGTCGTCTTGATCGTCGCCTCGAAGAGCGAGAACACTAACGGGGCGGGTTGACGAGAACATGTCTTGCATCATCGCGTATTTCAAATGAAGGTCGTCTTCCGGAGAGAGTTTGGCGTCGTTTTCTTGCGAGTCCATCGACCACGTTCGCTTGTGCTTGGGAACTTTGACTGGGCGAGCAGTGTCAGATTTAACCGAGACATTCACATTATTACGTTTGCGTTTGCCAAAATTACCTCCACCCATCTCAAGTTGGGCCATTTGTTGTTTTAATTTCTCCATCGTCTTTTTGACGTGGGCAATGTCGTTGGAAAGTTTGCGCTCGGCGCCGTGGTCACGGAAAAGCTTGACCTTGCAGTACGAAACTTCGGATCTTGGCAAATCGGGCGTCGTGTCGCTGGGGGAGACAATCTCGGTTTTTGCGCAAAATCGAACGGGAATACCCTTGACACCTTTCGAATGGCTAAAATCGGTTGAAAGAAAATTGAAACGAACAGAAATCGCACAGTCCGCGGAAGCGCTCGTAGAATTTGCTGTCCATGTAACACAGAAACCATCAAATGAAGCCTTTTCAAGCTCAATTTGACGCTGGCTCTGATCACTGTCTGCACCTTGGTTAGGATCAACGTATTCAACTGCAAGTAGTTTGCCGCCTCTTTGGTGGGCTTCGCTCGAACCACGTCCTTCCTTCCATAATTGCCAGCAAGTAGAAGGCTTGGATCGCTGCTGTTCATCTTCAAACGAAACGCGAATATATGTTCGATACTTGCGAGGCTGCGCACCCGGTGGGGGCGGTGATGTGTCGACAACTGAGACTGAGTATGCTTGACCTTTGTTTAGATAGGTGACTGGAATCTCATCTGCATGCTTCACCATGGCTGTAGGGGCGCGTAAGGTGACGCCAAATCGAAACCTATTTCATGTCAATAGCCAGGACATTTAAAAAATGAAAGAACGCCATCCGTATAAAGGAGGTGGTAGATTTCATGGGATTCTTTATGCTTACTTCTCGCCATCTGTTTCCGAACTCACTTCCATTTGGTCCGAAAAGCCGACGCCAGGCATCATCAGATTCATTGGCTGAGCCCCTGGCACTGTCATTTGATCTATCGGAGATTCTTCTGATCTGTCCATAGGATCATAGACCGAATCTCGGTGCATAAACGCACTTGGCGCAAAGGCTGTCTGTTGGGCAAAAGGATTGTAGTGTTGTGGCATGAATTGTTGCTGCTGGGCGGGGAAATGGTTGACATGCAGCTCTCCGTTAGGACCAGCGGGAAAGCCGGCCGAAAGTGTGTTGGGTAATGAAATAGGCGTGACAAGGTTGTAGCCGAGTGGTGTGTGAAGATCACCGGCTTGATGATGGTATAACGTCGTCATTCCGCCAGGCGTAGGCGTATAATAGCCTGGAGGCTGGTTTGCGAGCGCCATGAACTGAAATGAATTTGGATCCATTAAGGACGGTGTGAATCGAAGATCTTGAAGGTTTCTTGGAGTTGGATCGTTGACCTTGATCTCATCTTCGTCGGTTCTGAAAACGGAATTATCAGCATCGTTGCGACAAAAAGTCATTTGAGGGATCAAGGAAGACATACTGGCCAGATATTCCTCCGTCCACTGCAGCGGGGTTAGCGGAGCCACTATGCCTACCTTCGGAAGTCGAGCCTGTCGAATTGACATCGGGAAATGTCTTCTTAAACTTGCTGATAAGCTCTTCGTCCGGCTTTTGCGATGTGCGCCTATGGACAGTGATTAGCAGTAGGTTTGAGACTGTGCACGAGATCCTCACCTGTTGCGGAACATCTGGGCGATTAGAGTCGTAGAGACTTAAGGGAGAAGATTGTTGAGGGAAGATAATCGTAAGAGAGGGACAGAGGTGACCCGACTTGCAACATTCGGAGCGGTACACTGCCTCCTCGCTTGGTGTGATGTTTTCTCTGGTCGATGATGCTGTTGCCTCCAGTTGATAATCTGAACAAGTGCAAGAGCGCAGTAGTGATTGTGAAGATACTTCGATGAACTCGTGTAGTAATGGGTTCGACGTTCTTTGCACCACGATCAAAGTCAAAAATAACGATCCGGTTTCCGAGGCAAAAGGCGATGTCTAGGTGTAGCCAAATAGCAAGGTGGAAAACGTATTGGTTTGTAGTAGTTCTTGGATGACAACGCGTAGTTGACACTAATATAAGTGAATTTGGTTCAGTCGGAGAAAAAAAGTTCAGTAACGAACTTTCGCTGAGGGCGGGGTGTTTGGACGCCTTCGGGGGAGGGTTGCGTTGTTACCCGCTTGGATAAACCACGGTTCAATATGGAATAAGCCCTTCCCTAATCGAGAGGTGAGTATCATGGAATGGTCAAAGACTTTCGACCGAAAGATGGATGGCGAAATACGAAAGGGAAAGAAAGAGAGAAGGGGAAATAAAAGTGGAAAAGAGAAGCGGTTTGGACGAGTAGTAGAACGGGCCGGTAGCTGGTCGCCGAAAGGTCGGGTGCTATGGCTATGGATATGGTTATGTGTATCGAGTTTGAAAGGTGCGTGGTCCCTTGCGGCTAAGGCCAAGCAATGAGCTCTTAGGAGAACCACATTTTATGACTTCACCAACCTAGGAAATTGAGAGTCGACTGGATGTGGTTTGAAGAGAGCGCGGTTTAGTAAGGAAGGATCATTCGGAAGGGAAGGAGGGAGTACGAAGGAGAAGGAGAAAGCCGCAGCGGCGAGACGATAATACCGTACAATACATAAATACATGCATACATACTACTGTACAATACAAAATTGAATGTGGGACAGCAGCAAGCCACAAGGGTGGAGATCTTGGTGGAACCTGCGGTCTGATGGTGGATTAGCGTATTTCACACATCAGCAGTACCTGGTACTGTACTGCCACTGATCTCAATGCACTCGCCACTGCGTACTGCGTACTAGCGTCTGACAAGCCGATACAGAGATACACAGTCTTTCGTATTATTTTCTTCGAATGACAAGTACACCGGCTAGTGAATAGCGGGTTAGTACGACTTTAAGCTACTATACGGGATATTTCTTCGAGCAAAGCTCACTTCTCGACAATTATACTTTTCCTCTGACAGCTAGTACGCCAAATCCTATCGATCTCTGACTCGTATCAGACTACAGTACGCCTGCAAGCCACCATCAATCAACGAATGGCTCTATTGTCCGGAATGAGCTAAGGAGCTAGCGACAGACAATGAGATTAGCTGCTCTCACCAACGATGTACCGGCTTTTCTGTCCGCGACCAAAGGTGTCTGGCTACAAAACGCTAAGAAGGGATGCCGGCTGTGATATCCGTCAAGTCTCATTGCACGATTCGAATAAGATTATTATGGAGCATACCAGCAGAATGGTTCAACTGTAGAAGGAGACATATCTACTGTTAAGCTTACAGCCACGACGATTCTCTATTGGACAGTTGTTATGATGCATGATTTAAAAACATCGGTTATGGCACAGTTGAATCAACCAATCCATTCGAGCAACGGCTTCGAGAAACACGGAGTTAGCAGTTTCATCGCGGCACTTTGACAGGCTAGTTACGCCACACGTGCGCCCCAGTACCAATGCGCATTTGCCACGCCGTCTTCAATGTGTTTCTGGTGCATATGTGCGCCTCATATCCCCTCTCTTCCACAAAATGGCTGGCTTGTCATGGCGTGTATATCACTACCGCATGCAGATGGTGAGGCTTGCATCGCGATTTATGATACGATGCCATGTAAGACACGGTGACAGATAATTGACATGTGCTGGTCACATTGTTATCGGCACGTAGAAGTGTTGAGACATTCTCTGCTCGCTCATCAAACATGGAACCGTCGCAGCTGATCGGTTCAGATTTTAGAATTGTCGACTAGTTTGTAGATCGCTTTAAAGTAGGGTTGTTGCAGTTTCTGCCGGATACTAAATCCGTGGAAACGGCTCGTGTTGTCCACAGTTTCTGCTAACGAGCTATGTTTAAAGCTTTTGATAGGCACACATCTCGATTATGATGTCATAAGCATACATCGAGCACTTTTTTATAGAAAATTTATGATGTGTTTCGGAATATGGCAGGAGGAGAGCTTCAGTGTCTCCACAGTCTCCATCGGTGCGGGTTGTAAATTATGAACATCGAGAGATGACGTGTCCACCTGCATTAGCGAGGAAGAAGTCTATCATCTACAGGGATGGCTACAGCATACTAAAATATGCAATCACTGTAGCTATAGAAAAATCCGAGTGCCATCTGATCCCCCAAAAAAAAAGAGAAAGATCAAACAATATCATCTCATCTGAAGACCCAATGCGCCGGTCATTGGTCAGCCCCCACAAAGCATGTCAAAGGAGCCATCGGGACCAATTCCCACCAATCACAGTCACCCATCCAGATCTGCTGTGGGCATGATTACCATACAGTGCGTACGCATTACAATACGTCCTTACTACTTACTACTTAGAGTCTGAGCTAAGCTAGACTGTAATAGGAGAGTGGGGCCGGAAAGCCCCAACGGGAGCGTAACTTAACCCGTCGTCGAAACATATCATACACAGCACGATACGTCTCTTGACCGTTTGGACGCCAAGGCCCTAGTTCAGGGACCGCTTTGAGACGCGGCTAATTTTTCATGAGCTGCCTCGTCTTCGATCTTGCTACTATCCGTTCTAGACTATCGCACAGATGGTCAGTGGAAGCATATCGATGATTGATTGACAGATCTAGGCGTCTGTGCTCCATTGCAGTACTCCGTACTGCTATGAAAAGAGCGCCTCAGCAGTGTACACCCTTGTCTTTTCTGAGATTACCGACCGGGGGGGTTTGCAGGACGATATACTGTCGGCACTTCATAGGCCAGCCCATTCATCTCACTAATATCCCAATCTCCGTCCTGAGTTACTGTACTAACTAATTTCACGAAGTAGTTCTCCAACGGAGATTGCATCTGCATTAAGCATCAGCCGTTGTATAACTAGTCTGGTATTAATCACCGATACGTAGCAACCCTCCTTCCAGATACGAAATGAACGTGCATAACATGAACGCCATGGCGTTTTGGCATTTTCTTAATTTTTTTAGACGGCGAGATTTTCCAAGTGCGGGCTCTGCTCAGGGCTCTGCTTCGCTTAACATCAATGTTCAACGTTGTGGGCGTCCCCGGATTAATACAACAAAGTTTAGGCGCTCGAGTCCGTGAGTTCAGCACTGACCATTGATGAGTGGCAATGTTTGGCCGATGCAAGCCAACCGTGGTGTTATCGAATGCCAGTGCGTTGATAATTACATGTGTATGAAGAGCCCCTGCGCTGGGGCATCAAGCATCAGAACTCTGTGAAGTGAATGGGATGTAGATGGGCCAGGTCTAGAAGATGAATCGCGACAACTGCCGAGTTTGGTATCATCGATATGCATAAAATATCATCCCTGACAATTGGATAAGATGCCAGTGTCTGAAAACCCACATGCGGGTCAGAAACGGCAGACCGGCTTGCCGATGTACAATCAACCCATCTGAGATTTGCCACTGTGCATACTAGACTCTGTGTCGATGACATCGAGATGGAAGTCTATGTACAAGAATTCAATATTCATAACTCGTATCGATATTCCGGCTAGCAACCGATTTTACTGGTGAATACCATCAGTAGCAGTAGTCTACACGGCTTCCGGTCATCAAAAAGCCGGGCTGAATCGTAGCAAGATATGGGCAAAAATCGGATTGATAAATCAAACAAGCGCTCATTGAAACGTGTTGCCCAAGCCTCAACCAACGATTCGAGGACTTGGTGTGGCTTGAAATGTCATGAAGAGAACAGATAAATGCGGGGCGACCAATCTCAGCAGCAGGGGTGAGTCAGTCAATACACTCTCCGTATAAAGTGGTACGTACCACTATCCACGCCGCGTAATATCGAAATATGCCCGTCGCAACAAAAACAATAAATAACAGAAAAGTGAGTCGTACATTGCCAATACTGAATAGTAAGCTAGACAGACGGCATTTCGACTGACATCAGATAACATATTAAATTTTTGAACTTGAAGATTGTGGAGTATTCATTCCGATTTGATTCCTTGGGGGTATGATCCGGCATGAGACTGTTAGTCCAGCTGGGTAAAGATCGTCTCGCAATCTGTCCTTCTGAAGGGGGGGGGAGGGGCTGATCCGTCTAACTAATGCAACGATCGCCACTCACCCATTATGTTCTTTCCCTTTGCTGCGCCAATTGTCGCGGGACTCGATTGCGGATGAGGATTCCCCATGTGGGAGTCCTACTACTTACTACACTTAGTAGTACATTAGTTCATAGTAAGGAAGTTTTAAGCTGGATATCTGGCCAACCATAGCCGGCGCATGGGAATCAATACCGACTGCTGACTCGTAGGCTTTTCTTTTATCTTTTCTGTCTCTCGAACTTGATTTAAGACATGTCACGTCGAATCGAAATACACACGGATTGAGAGAGAAATCACGATAGATGACGTCAGGACATCCGCAATCGACAAGGTTGCAGCCACTCACTGTCGTGTACGGATTCTACAGTTTGACTACATAGTACGTATTATGGGGAACATCGACATGCATTGATTGACTGGCACATCGGTTCTTTTTTCCGACCTGCAAAGACCATCTACCGAACAGTGTAAACGGTCATCTACATAGGTAGGTACGAGAAACGACCGCATCCCAAGTAGGGTACTACATACCAAGCATTGCAGCGCTCGTTTCGTCGTATATCAGGCAAATACATGACTCACAAAAACCTCTTCGCTACCAGAACTCAATCGCACGATCTTCACCAACCCTCTCAAAGAGGCAGTCATCGCGAGGAGAAGGTTTCCGACATGAAACAACCGCGGCCAGCCGTCTATCGCCACCAGACAACATCAACAACATATGATTGATGTTGTGCTGAGTTGAAAGCCGAGAATACTTCCACGGTTCGATATTGCACGAACACGATCAGAATCAGTTAATTGGCGCGACTTTCTTAGGTAATCTAAGTCATACGATTCATTCATCCGCCACAAGATTTGTGGCTCCCCGCACGGCTATGACGGCTGACGGGGGCGTATGTACAACGGTAGATGGCTGTGCAAACGCTAAATACATATCGAATCAGCTTCTATCACGGCCACATAAACTGTTCGCCGAGTGGCGATAAATTATATTTCCGGAGTAGAGGTTATCAGTCACGATTTTGACAGCAGACTCGGTGGTGTGGGTGATTCAATGTTTCTGCCTAGTTTTTATGGCCACACACTCCGCGATTGAAGCCACATCCAAATCGATCGGCAAGATAGAGTGGTGGAGCTCAATATCGGTTATTGACATGTCGCGATTACGTAGTTAGTACACTGGATCGAGCAGAGGTTGCTATCTGGCTACGTTACTACGTAATACGGTCGGCGAGTTGACTTATGGAGTAGAAAGCCTTTCCACAAAACAACAACATTGAAATAAATGCTCTCATTTGATACATCGAACGTCAAAGCAATACGCATACAGAGAATCAACCACATACCAATACATCAAGCAATAGTGTGTAACAAAGACATGCATATGCACCCCACCCCATACAATGCAGCTCCATATCTGTGCCCAAACAGGCAACTGACGGGATGAGCAGTGGTACACATTTCCGGCCAATGCGCAGCTTTGTTTGGGCGGAAGCGCGGAGAAATTCTCCKCTGTATTTTTCAGAATGTACATCCCTGAGCAGTGGCTCGTTTTGAAGAGGGAAAGAATCATGACGATGACGGTTCATTAATTGAGTAGCGTCATGTTGACGTAGCGGATAGGGTCTCATGAAGCAAAGAAGTTACGATATACTCACTACTGCTGAGGATATCGTCGCAATAGTGGCAACATGGACGACAACTACTTCAAAAAACACCAGTCGCACAAAGAACCGTATCGATTATGAACCCATCTTTCTCTCGAGTTGTACTATTGCCGATCTCTTCTAACTAGATATGCGATTGAATATTGAAACACTTGTTTGATGATATATCGCCCAGTCTGTGCAAGTCTGTGTAACAATCACTGTGCAACAACAAGCGCGGCTGCCAGGACGAGACGGATATGTGAGAAGTGCCTGGGTAATGGACATAGATGTAGGCATTAATTCTTGAAGTTGTGGCCGTGACCGAATACCCAAGTCTCGACTACGTTCCACAATCTTGATGAGTTCCATGCTCGGACGATAGCTAGGTGTGTTGCCTCGCGCAAGCACAACGCTGTCGGAAAATCTAGTGTATATCCTGCAATGCTTGATTCATGGTATCTCTATCCTTGCTATCCCACAACAATGCAAACCCTTACGCGACCATCGGAGCTGTACGTCCGATATCTCGCAAACATACAAATGCAAATGCCTGACTTGAAGAAATATGACTCAAGACTGGGCGTATAAACAATATCTGCAGGTGGCCACATTATGCCATGTAAAAAATTCACAATAAGAATCTGCGACGGTTATTATTCGCAAATATATCCAGGTGTCGTTACAACCCTGTACGTACGCATCAAGCGTCTCAGAGCATGTCGAATTAAGCCTTCAAAGATAGGCGAGCCACCATTTGTATAACCGAGCATGCGTATATCGATCAATATAGAAAGACGCCTACCGTGTGATGATGAGCGAAATCCCATCAACCCATGCACCACAAGATCCAGAAACCCCGGCAATGCTGAAGCCCCGAGGAGGTATCAAAGCATGTCTACACACCATGTTAGTATCGACTACCCGACTTATTTTTTGGCTACACTTACCCAGATCCTCCTGTAGCGTTCCCGTATACCCCTGATTTTCTCCCGAAACTCGTAATAATCTCAATGCCATCAATCCAGAGACCAGCTCTGACGTAGAAGCCTAGTAAATGTTCTCCGCGTCGAGTGTCTATGATAAGAGTCAGCCGTGCAACTGAAAAGACATCCATAGTAGCAAGTTACTCACCAAACACAAATTCATCACCACCTGGCTTACCCCCACGCTTGCCAAATATTTGACTGGTTGCATCTTCATAGCAGAATTCAAGACCGTCAAGAGCATAGCCATGATACACCTTGATCGATGTCAACAACTTTTTCTGGACAAAAACACTATCCAGGATGACCTCCTGAGACTCGCTGCCTTCTAATTGAGACATCCCGAGTTTGCTGCTCCGGAAGCCCGTCTGGCCCTTGGGAAGCTTGACAATTGACTTTTTCGACTTCAGAGCGCCCAAATCGTCGATTGTATGTGATCCAAGGTTGCCTGAAAATATCTCAACCCGGAGCTTCCTCTTTTGCTGTTCAGGCGGGAGTAGATTTCGAAGTTCAGCTTCGGTGATGGTCACTTGTTTCGGTATACCGCTATTTGGAGATTCATTGTTGATGAACTCAAGATACTTGTGGCAGAGATCATCGCCTTCCGGATAAAGCTCTAGATAAGCTACGCCAGTTGCCGCCGTCAGTAATATCTTCCCGTTGTCCACTGGCCAAGCCTGGATACTGTCGTCTGGACGAGTAGGAGGATCACTCGGTAGACGGAAGCAGGGATGAAACCTGAATCTGAGGACGTCGAGACGATGCCATTGGCATTCGTCGGCTGGTAAGCACAGCTTGAGACCCTGACCTTTAGTCCGAGTCGAATACGGCTCTCGAGTGGTGAAGGTCCGATTCAAGCGAGTATAGTCACGTAGCATAACCCCAGATTCCCGGTGTGGATTACCGAATAAGTGACCGACTTCATGCAAATGAGCGCCTATACCAATATTGGCTGCCTCCCAATTGCTTCCTGCTTCTCCACAATCGTTTGCCACGTATCTAGTATCTGTTTCTGTACAGTCAGAGAATGCGGAAACGACCTCCTCCAAGCAGGACGGGTAGCTGTGCAGGCTATGAGATCCGAATATTGCCATCTTTATGTTACCACCATCGGAACCGAGAGCAGCATGTGCGGTGATCACTTGGGACGAGGTGTCCCAATGTGAATCAAGCAGCAAGACCGAAACATAACGCTTCTGCTCAGGATGCGGCCGAAAGTATGCCGTCACAGCTTCTTTTGCAATATTGAACAATTCGTCTTTCTTTGTCGCAGGCCCGTACTGCTGAGCTATATTCAAATCCCTTAATTCAGCCACAGTCTTTTCGGACCTTACTACATGGACTTTTGCTTCATTCCTGATCTGCCCCGCGAAAGTGTCCCGTTGACTCAAAGTGCCCGTCTGCCATTCTTCTTCCAACCTGAAACATCTCCTACCAAAGGTATTCCGAAACATTTGTTCGCCGGTATAAGCTTGCCACAAATAGGCAGCCATTCGGTACTTCTTAACGGCCAAGTCGAGATCATTGCCCTCGCTTTGGATCCGTTCAGGTGTCGAGTCGAACGTCCCCGGGGAATCCTTTCCTAGCAATATGACCAGGTCGAGAGGCGGAGAGTTTGTTAGAGGAAGGTAGTTGATGCTGTGCCAGGATGAATGACCGGAGCTTGAGCTCGAAGACAGCTTGGGGGAGTTGAAATCGAACCGAAGCCGATTCGGTCCGGGCGATAGGTGCACAAGGGCCTTAAAATGTGAATCGGAAACGGGCCAAGTTGTCGCCGGGAAGCTATCCTGGTTGTGGTGTAGGGTTATGGTTCCGTCTATTGGATGCTGTCGAGGGTCGCCTATGTGGCCGGACACCAACAGTACTTTCTGATGTACCTAGAATGACAGTCGGACAATAAGTGAAATGAAAAGAAAAAGCGCCAGGGCGAATCATACCCATGAGTTGTCCGATACAGATATGATGCGTGGTGCATATGGAGAGGCTGCAACAGGTGTTCGAATAGAGCCATTCGCCGGCGAACCATTTGTTGACTACGTCGATGAGTTCACGGTTAGTATGGGACATGGGAACAATCAAGAAATAGAAGTTGTGGGAGGGAATATACATAGTAACTATGTCGGTTTGATTGTGAGGTTATAGGGACGGGACGCTGCGGCAGCGGCGTTGGCAGGGGCGGTACGGAGCCATTTACTGCCTCGTTGAGGGTACTGAGGTTGGGAGAAGATAAGGAGGGTTTTATGGACGATGGCGGCGTCGTCGAGCTTTCTATCGTTCCTATTGTCGAGGAGGACTGGCCGCTGACTGCGTTGCCATTGGATTGGGAGTCGGCTGAGGTGGTTGTTCGGAAGCTGGCTTTGGAGCGCCGCCGGAGCTCTTTGAATATCGACATCTCCTTTTCCCTCAATTGTTTTTCTCGTTCTCTCCTCTTTTTTTTTTCTTTTTTCTTTTTTCGCCGTTAATTATAGTTTGTATCGATTAAAGACGAGAACTGAGGATACCGAGCAAAGAGAGGAAATCAATTGCACCGCCAACAGGCGGTTTTGCCCAAGAAGATCTGGCTGCTGAAGAGATTGCTGGCGTGTTTTGCTTCTTGATTTTAATCTCTTTCCAAGCAAGCTTTGGGCCTGGCCAAGTGGGGAAGGCACGCAGGGAGTGACGTACGGTTGCGGGTGCGAATCAAAATGGCAGGAAGTGTCAACAGGCAGGAGCTGCCTTGGAAGTTGGAAACTGGAAACCGCGAAGTCTAAACAAGGGAAGCTGCCGACCGAGGGAGAGGTGCGGCGGACTCTGTATGACTACCAAGGTATGTACGTACGTACTAGACTACCATTCCAGGTAGTGTCCCTCGAGACGTCCTCTGGAATGTCATTTCTCCTCGCCGTCAATCCAACAGGGCCTCCTCCACCAGGTAGTATCTAGCATAACACACCTAATTGGACATGTGTTATGTCGCAGCGAGCATTTCAGGCTTGACGACGCGGATTCCCGGATGGAGACAGTCCGTGTTTCACCTGCCCGTGCTTTAGTGCTCAGTCGCGCTAAAACAAGGAACATTGACGACGCTTAAGCCATTCATTTGTTATCTTGCTAGTATACTTGTACTACACGTCTAATCGACAGTCTGACCCTAGTTCTGTTCAAATGGTACAACTGACGCCCACGTGTGTGAGCTTGCTGCCTTGTCACCTTGTCCCCTTGTCTCCTTGTCGCCTTGTCGCCTTGTCGCTCGCGGTGGAAATTAGTACCTAGGAGCTAGCCTGTTACGGACTAGTGCTGCCGCCATCGATCGTCTGCCGGAATCGGATTAGCGCACTACTAATCTTAGAAGAATCGAAGCCTGAGGCGTCGAGACTTTAACTGCTTCTGGGCATAAGTCATTCTAGACTAGAGTCTTCACTGTTCCTGGGCTCAATTGGACAGCGTTTGAGTTACGATAGCAATCTGTAATGCGCATACTGAAGGTCACTTTCCTGGCCCAGAACCCGGGTTTCGAAGACTAGGGCTAGGCGAACCCCTAACTCTACCCTAACATCGTGACCGACAGTACATCTCATCCAGAAAGAGAAATTGCATGGACTAGACGCTTAACTTCGGCCTCTGTTGGTTGGGATGAGATACACATGAGTATACTGCCTCTGATATTCCACATTTTTCTCTATATATGAAGCTTCGTCTCTGTTAGGTGGTCCTCAAGCGCTATCAGAAGTCTTGATAGGACTCAGTGAATAAGAGATTTCCACGTGCTTTTACGAGCTACGAAGGTATAGGTAGATTGTGTCTCAGTCAGCTTAAACCGCAACTTACCAGCGTAAAATTTTCGATTGTTATACAAATCTTCACATGAATTGCTAATTCCGTAAATTGACTCTTGATTTCGCGCAAGACCCTTCTCTAAGTTTCTAGAAAGTCTACTCTATGTTTGATATTGATCTATATGCTGTCATTTCTTTGTTGCGGGAAGAAGAACTCTATATACCTCAACGTTGATATCAAAAGTGCAGGCTTGACTAATACTCCGTTGTGGGGCTAAGATAAGATAAGTGCTTTCCAGCTGAACGGCTGCTAAGAACCAACCATTCTTGTGACGCTTCGATTCTGATTTATCAATCCTTTCCATACTATTCTCAGTTCTATCGTGACCTACTCATTCTGACAGGTATTCTGCGTCACTGTACATGATCGATGACAGCATTATGCAGCTGTTGATTTCGCCATCAGCTCTTTCTGGACGTGCCACCTACAGAAGACGGTATAAGAAGTCGACTTTGGTAGGTGCTTTATACATCGGTAGCTGCAGCTCAGTCCTGTGTCTCCACTAATATACATATTTTAGGGCTGTGATGCCTGCAAATCTCGAAAAATTAAGGTAGGCTAGCTTTCCCCCTGCGAAAAAGCATCTTTCCGTATACTTCAGGCGTGGCTGATCGTTGAGTTGACCAGTGTGATGAGGCCCGCCCCATCTGCGGAAATTGCAAGCGACACTATGCAGATGATTCTGCTTGCCAATACAGCAAGCAGATTCGTCCATCAAAAGCCGGGGTACTGACGCCACAGCTAACGGTCGCCACGGTAAGACCAGCGACATTGGAATCAACCAATGTTTTGGCGCTGCGACTGATGCACCACTACACTATAACCTTTGATGTCAACCAGCCACTCAACCTTTCAAAGAAAGATTTGCTGGCTCGAAATCTATGGAAGGTTGAAATCCCGTCTATAGCCTTCACCTCAGAGACCGTTTTGAACGCTCTTTTGGGTATCTCTGCATGGCATCTGTGGTCTTTAAATCCGGACGAGGAACAGCTGATTACGGCATCAAGAGTTTACTTTGGCAAGGCTTTGAATTTACAGAGACTTGCGCTTCAACAAACCGATGCCAAAAAAGACTTGCCTCCAGTTTTTATAGCTAGCATTATCCTCGCGCACCTCAGTTGGCTTTTATCTCATTCCGACGAATATGCACACACGCAAACATCCGAGATGGCAACCTTTTATCTGTGCAACGGTATGCGGTCGTTGACCACAAAGGTCTCCGCAGACTGGTCCAAATTCGGATTTCTTGGCCTTGAAACTGTACTAGAAACACCAATCAAGCCTTGCAGCCGAGAGAGATTCATGGTTGAAGCCGCGCAAGACAACGAGACTCTTCTCAAGTACATTCAAGACGGGGTAATCGATCAAGAAAGCAAAAAAGTGTACCGTCAAGTACTCCGGGGATTATGGTGCTTGTACACCCTAGTGACGGATGACTGTGTAGATGTTACAACGAAGGAATATACAGTCGTCAGTCATCTCCACCGAGTGCCCCCATCTTTCATTCAATCATTAGAGAGTAAAGAACCGCTAGCTTTGGCTCTATTGGCACGCACATACGCCTTGCTTGCGCTTATGAGAAACGTTTCAACGGCTTGGTACATTCATGGAGCTGGGAAGTTTCCAATGTATATCCGTACTGTTCGAAGCATTCGAAGGTCGTTGGCTGCTGAATGGATGTGGGTTATGGAGTGGCCGGAACGTCTTATCTCAGATGAATTCTAAGTCTACGCTTGAATAATACAAGGTGATATCAGAAAACGAAGCCAACGGTCGTGTTTGTTATTCTCAGTCTATATATAAGCACCCAGTCGAGGTACTGTGAGGTCAAATACGTTCTCGGGATCATATCTCTTTTTCGTTGCGAGAATGTCGTTAACATGAGAACCGAAATATCTACTGAGTGTACTCAAGTGAGGTTCCTCGGCATAATGCAGCGATATATAAGCACCGTCAAGGACATTCTTTCTCTCAATCTCGCCGACATCGTTCCACAGATTCAAGGCCCACTGTTCCGACTCTGCACTTTTCTCCTCGGTTGTTGCGCAACCAATGATTTCCAACATGAAATGGGGCTCCCTTACTGCGAATACGGAGTCACTGTTCGGAGTTGACGTCGTTATTCTTGACTGATGGATTGAGAACATGGTACATAGGTCAGATGGCATCTTTGCTAGATGACGGCCTAGACATTCTGCTGTCTCCAGAGTGATTTCGTGCAAATTGAGCGTGCGAAATTGACCGTATGCGTTTGTTGGAATCAAGGCTGCATTACCATCATACCAGTCTGGGATAGTGGTTACTGCAACCGTGTTCATCAAGACAGTAGTCAAGGATGCGACCTTCTCAGACCACCGGCGGCCCTCATCTAAATCTTCGGAACTCCAAGTGAAAGTGGCACAGAACAGTCTTCCATGAGGTGAATTGAAGACCATTGGTTGGAGAGTAAGCTCTTTTGGAATACCTTCTCGCGATAATTTTCGGTATCCTGCGTTGTATTCAATGAATGCTTTCTCCATGTCCTTCGAATCATATATGATTGCGCCGGCAAAAAGCTATTATTGTAAGTCACTGATTTCTTTTGATGAAACGCTATGGTAAACGCCGACTTACAGTTTTCAAGGGATATACTTTGATGGTGACATTCAGAATGATTCCGAACGCTCCTCCTGCTCCTCGAATGCTTTTCAGCAAGGTTGTATCGGCCTCAATGATAGCACCACTAGCATCAAGTACAGTCGCAGCAACGATCTGGTCAACTCCCAATCCCCAGTTGGACGAAAAAGGACCATATCCGCCATACATTGCCCAGCCGAGGTACCCAACCGATGGAATGGCGCCTGCTGGTGTAGAGAGTCCCTCCTTCCACAGGATTCTGCCTAGCTGGTCTTGCAATATTCCGGCGCCCACTGTTGCTGTTTTGCGATCAGCGGCGATCTTGACAGATGTGAATGCTCGCATGTCAATTGTCAAGGCTCCTTCTTCTATGCAGAGACCTTGGAGGTTGTGGCCTCCTCCTCGAACGGTGAATTTGATTCCATTATACCGAACAAAGTTTACAAGTGCCTTCACTTGCTCTGCCGATTCTGGATGAGCTATTGCCAATGGATTGGCTTTGCGAGAGAGAAGAAAGATTTCCCGATCTTTCGCATACTCAGAAGAGGAAGGTAGCGTGCACTTGATCTCTGGATGTTCATTGAGAAATGCTTCCAGAGCTGTCATATGTGATTGCACCATGTTGAAGTTATGTATGGAGTGAAATAATCTGCGAAATAGCTGCCTATTCTAGTTTAAAATTTTTGTTTCAGAATCAGCAATGCTAATAATCACACGGACTCTTTTATACTGCATCTTGTTGATTTGCTTCATACTTATTACTCGATTCTTCAGCTGTCATCTTACCAGGCCTGGGGGCTGATAGAAGTGGGGCCGATTTAACACGAACCCGAACGCGGGGCCCACTGATTGGTCTGTTTTGACTATCAATCACGGCTTGGTAGAGCAATAGTGATCTATGCACTTTTTAATCGCCTTCACAGGATACGAACCTGCGATTTAAACATGAGCTGAGCGTGGGTTTGTACGTATATCGGCATAAGAGCAGTTCACAGGCGTATTTTGGGTGGCGCCCGATGTTCCGGACTACTGGCACTGCACATCGAACGGCTGAGATGTAGTTCTTGCTGCAGAAGGTACACCGCTTTAAACAGCTTGGACCGTGAAAAACGAGCCAGCTGATGCACTCATAAAACCGATATACTTCAAGGCAGCGTACTGAGATCGCTAAAAAAAAAAGTAACCGCGGACAGGTGCGTTATTGATGCTTATGAATACGTAACTAGCGTACTGAGAGAAGCGCTATCTGGACAACCGAGCTTGGAAACACTAGTGGCGTTCAATCTGTACACATAGGGCTTTATTTCATGAGTAGCATATAGTTAACTTGCATACTTCGTGCTGTAATCACCTGACTCAGTTTTACTGTTCATCCGCTATTGCCCATGTCGATGCTTAGGGTTAGCTGCAACTAGTAATCAATTTGGAGAATCCACCTGATATTAAGCATACCTAGGTAAAGGTTTACTATAAGACCGGTAATCTGATTATGTGAGGCGCTATCATAGAGCCTTGAGTCCTCGACTGAAAAAGGAGATACTGGGTTTGCTTCAGTGGTATCAATATTAGAATTTATATGAACATATAATAGGAATATACTTCCAAGGCTGGAAACAAGGTTAACCCTGGATAAGTGAAGTAAGTTCTATGMAAGCCATAATTTCCCGTATAAAAAGAAAAATTCAATCTGTAGAGTTCATCAAGGAAAAGAAATATACGTGCCCAAGTAGTTCTGCGGAGAGGTGGTGCTCACTAAGTAGTACAAGTCCATCTTCTGGAATATCACATTCTTTACTCTGTTTTTGTTGGTGCATGTATGTTTGACCTTTGAACCCACTCGATTCGGCTACATACACACTCGAGGACGATTATAGGACCTCACAAGATCCTATAAATTTCAGCGCTCTAACATAAATTCATCTACTTGGATAGTGGGGATAATGGTGAGGAGATGTAATATGCCGTCAACTAGTGAGACTGGACCCAGATAGGTAACTCAGCTTCCTACGGAGAAATTAACCTTTATGTAGCCCTAACGGCTACATCTCATGTCTTATGAATATCATCGACTCCTCTCATAATGATACGTAGGAATGCTATCTTTGGTTATCATACTTGGGTCACATGGTGTTTCCGGCGGCTGAAGATTAGTTGTCGTTTGTCATGCGATTCACACCGAGTGTCATTGTCTTTGATTTGAGCCTCAGAAGATAGGAAATTTTTACAAACCCGTTTTGGATAATCAAGGACATCATTGATTCACACCAATTCTCCCCAGAGCAGCATGTCTACGTCAACGTCCGCAGCATTCTGTTCATCAGTGCACTTAGCGGAACTTCGCCCAACGGAGTGACTTGCCATTCTTTAGACTAATGACAAGATATATTTTCAATACATTAAGTCTAATCTCTTGGCTTGTCTTCAACTTTTATAACTTTTATACTTGCACACCTACAAAGAGGCAATAAGTAGTCGCTTGATACGAGGAAAAATAAGTCACCGTCCTACCTCGGTTTGGACTCTGATATCACGAAGTAGTTGAAGGTGATATTCCACTCTTGAGTGGTCCATTTGAAGAACAAAATAATTATAAACATGGTTGATAATTCGTGCCCACTTGGGACCAAAATTAGTACACCTAGTAGTCGAGGAGCCGTAGTATGAACCAAAGGAAGAAAGTTATGAAGATTGTTTCGAGCTTAGTATATGCGGTGCTTCTTGCAGAGATCCATGCAGCTGGAGTGACTGGAAAAGCATTCGGATTCGCTTCAGAAACTACCGGAGGAGGGAGCGCCACACCTACGCTCCCTCGTCTCTTGCCCAGTGTATATACTAAATGGTTGTAAATCAATGTACCGACAATCACTAAGACTCAAATCACGGATTATTGACGACGTAGCTCGCGTGATTCTCATCGAACAAAAATGGATTTGTACAGGCACTGAAGGAACCGCATCTATCCAATGCTGCAGTATTTCTACCGCTGTCTATTCTGGTGGAACATCTGCTGGTCAAGCAACTATAACGACTACTTGTACTGACGGGACCTGGGCCTCTTGCACCTATATTAATGCAGCCAGAAACCCACTACAAGTTGGAAGTAACAAGAGTATCGTTGGTGTGGGAAGTAGTGGTATCTTGAAGGAAAAAGGATTGACGGTTACTGGCGGTAATAGTGATGTGATTGTACAGAATATTTGGATTACTTCAAGTCACGGTCTTCCTCAAGAAGTGACGGGGCTAGCGCCAGATGTTGAGAAGATATGATTCCGCAATACGTTTGGGGTGGTGATGCAATTACCCTTGATGGGTGCGACAAAGTTTCGATTGATCATAACAAGGTATGATATGACTTGATAATACCTTAAGCTTTTCGGATAGCATCTCTAAAGCTGCTCCAAAGTTTTCTTTTATAGGACGTCAAATGATTGTAATTGCATGTGATGTGTGCGTGTATCTGAGTGGGAAGGGAATGTTTCCAGGTTGAAGAACGACTGAGGGTTAGGGTTAGTCCAGTTGAAGGCCAATTTTGAGTCTGCCATCAAAGAACTTGGGTAATTTAGCCATCAAAGGGATGAGTGAAATAATCCGATTGGAGAGACTTGCTCAGTACGATCCGAATCAGGTCAATAATGTGTTTCTTAACTCCAAATCCACAAAACCCCCAGTTTCTCGAATCTCAATGTTCCACAAACAAAGAATGCAAAAGCTGTCCTTTCTGGTCGGGGATTCCTATCAATCCATATCTATGGAACCTACAATAGTGTCTCAGGTACGTATCATGGCCTTAATTTAACTATCTTGACAACTCACTGGCGTTAAGTGACTAAATATCGGTCGACTAACGCTATCCCAGACTAAGTAGAGTTCTGTGGTTGGCGATTGTCGGTCGTAGAGTAATCAGAGTCTGAAGCCCGATAACAGGTGGACAATCAAATAGTTAATCAGAACGATCAGTCAAAGAGACTGTGATATGGACATTCTTTGATGTCATTCTCAGCAAGCTGAGTTATAAGGAGTTTTGGTCCATTTTAGTCAAGATTCAGTCAAAATGAAGGCGTGCATTCCGCGGGTAATGGCCGGGCGACGGTTCAGGCACCCAGGCACCCAGGCACCCAGGCTGCAAGGCTCTCAATTTAGGGCCGGGTGGTTCCCTCTTTTGCCTTTTTGTTTGCTCAAATCCTGCCCGTCAACCCAGCCTCGTTTGGTTCACACCCTGTACAACTGCAACGATCACGAATTTTCTCTATTCACAAGACAACTGAAAAAAATACTTCATCTCAAACCGGACAATTCCTGCCAATTGATCAATTTCTCACCCTTTCCACACATAAAGAAGGGTTACCCCCTCAACTGCCTACTTCAGCTGACGCTGACCCTTGCTCCCACTTCGAGGGAAGACCGTCCACTTGCGACACTTCCCCCTAGGATTGGCCACTCCGTCGAGTATACCGAGTATACCGTCTAGTTCTTACACACCTGTACTTACTGTGGCTTATATTTTTTTTGGATCCTTTGATATTTCCAAGGACGAGAGTGACAAAACCAATCATGAAGGATCGGACAGTGAACCCGACGACTCGCAAGAACATTGCGCAGGTAAGACCGCACATCACCGCACATCACCGCACATTGCACCCTAAACATGGCACATGGTCTCACACTTTCTTCTCCATAGGTATGCATGAGCCTTCAAGATCGACTCGGCCTGGCCAAGGTCAAATACCAGCAGGGTCGATTGGGCGCTTCGGATCTTCGAGACTTGCACAACCTCGATAAACCCTCCGGTTCCTCCTCCGAGATAGCCTACAGCCGCTACGAAACCCCTCTTACGTCGTCGCCTCCAGGAAATGCAACATTCTCTCATGAACTCCCTCGATCTTCCAGAAATAAACATGCGGCCACGTTCAACCCTGAGGTGATGCAGCCCATGCTCAATGCTAGTCGAAAGCGGGTTCGATCGAATTCGATCACGGATAGACCAGCAAAGGCTCCTAGATTATCGTGGAAGGCTTCACTTCACCTCCCAGAGTCCTCTCCCGTTCATGCACGACCGTTGCAAATCTACTCGAACCACCCTCCTGCATTTGACGCTCCTTCATCTGCCTTTCTGGGGACTTCCGATGAAGAAAATGACCCCGAACTTCCAGTGCCTCGAGCTCACAATGCCAGCTCTTCCATGGTTAGCTCTTCGCCTCCAAGAACACCCACTCTCCGGTCAGCTCGTCTGCCAAGAACCGACAAAGATATGAAGAACGAGGATGGTGCGGATTTACTGCTCTTCCTAGCAAACTCGCCGACACCGGCAAGAGTCAGCAGCAGAACTCAGATCAGAGACTTTCCTCCATCAACTCCTCCCAGTCAATATGCCGCTTTGCCCTCAATGACTCCGACACCTGGAGGTGGGCTGTTCGGCAATCTTGGCACTCCTAGCCAGCAATTCAACTTTGCCGACTTTGTGAATGTCACTCCCAGTCCCGCACAGCGCCCATGGGGAGGGCGGACACCAGGCAGTCTATCAAAGACCCCACTTCTCAGGACGGCGAGGAAGTCCCTGAATTTCGACAATCTGGTCCCTCCAGACATGCATAGCCCTGTCCGGCGCAGCAGGGATGCTGGTCTTGCCCTGCAACTTGGCGAAGAATTGAGGCCATGATCATGCCGAGACTATTCTGCTACGCTTTAAATGACCTGATTACGACTCTACATGCTGCTTCCAGCACTTTTTCATTACTTCTTGCATATTGTCTGGCGCAATTGCATTCTGCTTCTGGCCTAGTCAGTCATTTCACTGCTGATATATATTCTTCTTTCTTGGTGTCCATACATATGTCTCTTGTCGCGATTTACGACCGGTGTCATTCCTGTACTCTTATAATTCATGTCTTTGGAAAGTTCCATTTTTAACTTTTATGTCGAAACCCGACAGTCTATCATTCATATTTCATTTCATTATATTCAAGAGAGAATGGGTGCTCATTTGTGTACTATACCGGTCAGCCTTTTCATTTAGTTGTTTATGATGACCATCTCATCAGCCTTGTTCAACTTATGTGTGGAGTACTAGTTGGATAGCCTCGTTGGGCTGGATCAATCAATAAAATCGGATGGACCAATTATCTCAATGAGTCTGCAAGACAACTTTGTTATGGCCCCTCTTTATCCACATTTCACGTCATCTGAATCAATTGGTGTATACGAGTAGAGTCCAGAGCATACTGTCGCGTTCTATCAGAAAGACGAGACGAAAAAGGCAGAGCGCGTACCGCGACGCGTCGCGCGTCGTTTTCGCGACTCGTTTGTGTGTCTATACTTCCTATTGCGGCTAGCGCAGTTAGATCCCCGATCTTAGCGTGTCTTGGCGCGACTGACTTTCAGATCCTTGGATGGGGGGGGATCACGTCATCTGACTGTTGATTGGTTCTCGTTGAATGCTTCATCTAATGTCACTCGTCCAGTTCGCCATAGGCCTGTTCGTCCTGCTCCTCGATATCATCATCCACTGCGGGATCCACCGCCGCCCCCTCTTCCTCTCGCGCTCGCTCCATTTGTTTTCGCCATAACCCAGCTAGAAAATCCGATGTACTCGCCTCGTCAATAGACTTGTCCTCTCGAACCCGCAAGAATCGCGGAAATCGTAGACTCAAACCCCTCTCGTCGCTGACCAGACCAATAGCAGCAGTGTACGTCGGACTCAGTGTGATATCTGCAAACGCCATTTCCCATACTTCTTGCGGCGCAAACCATACATCCGGATGTCCTGCGTAGTCTATGTAGCTTGGCCGAGAGATGACATTCTCGCTGTCTTCGGCGTATTTCTCTTTGTTGCTTTGATAGAATTTGTCGGTAAAGCCAGACATGCATTTCGTGACGGCTTCGAGGACACCCGTCTCGGGATTGCGGACGGCAAGGAGGATCGGAGACCACCATTTGGCTTTGCGTCCGCTGCCATGCCAGGCTGCTATGGGGATAAGGTCGAGAGTATCCGAGGACGTGCTGTAGTCCTTTTTCACTTTTAACCAGGACTCAAGTCTCTTGTCGGGCTCGTAGGTGGAGAGTAGAGCTTTCCGTCTTGTGCTTTTATCCTTCTTCTTCGTCAATCGTTTATCTTGGGCTTCATCATCTACTTCAAGATTTCCTCGATCCTCGACGCCAGGATTCGTCCCTCCATTTCCAGAATTCAAATCATTATCAAGAACCTTCACCATGATGCCCTCACACTTGACGTCTGTTGCGCTCTTGAAGAACTCCAGAACCGCCTCTGAATCCCCCGATGTAGCATCGAGGTTCTTCACCCATGTAAATCGTTTGGGTATTTCCGTAAAAAGACTTCGAAGCATATCTCGACGCTCCCGAAACGACCGAGCAAGAAGAGGCTCTCCATTCAAATACATTAAATCGAACGCAAATAGGCAGACATTGACTTTGATGCTTCCTATTTCAACATTCTTCTTGGCTCGATTCGTCAGTATTTGAAATGCCTGAAGATCGCCAGTTTCTTGGTCAACGGCGACTACTTCGCCTTCGAGAATAAAGCTCGATACGGATCCTCCTCTAATATGCGGAACGAGAGAGACCAGATCCGGATACTTATCGGTCATCAGTTCAAGGTGACGAGAAAATATGCTAACTTTGCCGTACGAGTCACAGTGAACTTGCGCTCGTTGCCCATCGTATTTGTATTCGCAAGCAAAGTCTCGTCCTTGCAACTTGGTGAGCATATCTGAAAGATCGCGTGTGATGCTACCCAACATAGGTCGTAGAGGTACATGTAAGGTGAGTCCGCAGCGCACGAGCAATTCTTCCGTAACCCCAATCTCGAGTAAACACGGCACCAAGTCATCATAATTTGGATGTCTTGCATAAGATGCCTTGACGGTCTCCTCTGCCCTCAAATATAGTTCATTAAGTTCTTCTTTCTTCAATTTTAGTAAAGAGTCCATGCCCTTCGTAGTGAATACAGCATCTGGCGGCTTAGAAAATAAAAAAGCTCGTGCGAGTGCGATAAGCATCGTGGTCTTGACAGCACCGATACGCAAATGCTGAACCAAAGTGCGTACGATATAGCGAGACTCTTCGGCACTTCGACTATCCTGCAGCAGCCTTTCAACAATTCGCTGCTTGGTTTCCTGACTACCGGTTCCTTTGCTTCTCGCAATTTTGACCAACGACTGATAGACACCTTTGATCGTCAGTGGCTTTGGTTTCTTGAGAGTGAAGCTCTGCCTCTTCTTTGCTTCAAAAGCCACATCTCCTGCGTCGCCGTGCTTGTTATAGAGGGTCTTTAATCCCTGCGCATTTAATCCATATATGTTCTTGAAAGCTTTGGATATCACAGAACCTCCGAGACCTAGCTCTGCAGGTTCATACGGCGGAGCAAAGGAGTTCGTTGCTAGCCATACCGCAGGCAACAGACTGTCAGGTGCGCCTTCGATCAATATGCGCAAGAGATTGACTAGTGTGTCAACTATTTTGATTCGTTTTGTCGTGCTGTTCACGAGAATGAAAGCTTGCGTTAAAAATGCATAAGAGGCGTCTCCGCCATCTTGTGACCAGTGCTTCTGCAGTTCAGGCAGGTATTTGGCTGGGTCGAATGTCAATGGGCTTTCATCGAGAGGTATGTTTGAGACAATAGTATCTTCCGAGCCCAAAGAAGATTGCAAACTTAACGTATCTTTCTGAGTTACGTGAAATTTTGAGATCTGTATCTGCGATGTAATTTCTGGCGCCTTTGATATCGGCGATTGCGCTTCATCCAATCCTTTGCCTGGTGGTTTGCTTTCTTCTGTCCTAAGTGGGAGCGATTCCTGTACTATAGGCGGGKCGACTTGATTCCATTCGTCTTGCAATTTCCGAGCAAGCTCCTCGTCGGTCAAAAATTGCTTACTATCTTCAATAATCTCTGTACTCAGTTTCGACGTTGCTGCTGGCTGCGCATTCTGGTTGGAAAAGAAAGATTCAATACTTCGCGTAGATGTGGATCCATTGATCTTTCTCTTCTTCGCTGGACTAGGCATAACTGCAACACCAGATATATCTCAAAACCGCTAATTCTATTTGTTGTACGTGGTAAGAGGCAAGTAATGAATCTTAGTGGCGAGTATGGAGGAATATCGGACATGGAGCCCAGAAGCTTGGAGCTTAAGCAGCTCCCGCGACTCCACACGTCATACCTATCTTCTCTGCCGAATGAACAGCGTAGCCATTTTCCTCCCCGCACAATACATTTCAACAACAATGGCTGCACCACTCGCCTCACTGTCCTCGCAAGAGTATGCGCGGGTAGAAGACTACCTAAACGATAAGCTACAGTCTGATGAGGATCTCGACAGCTTGGATTCCCTGCTCCAGACGCTCCGAACACAGCATGAATTGCAACGCAGACAAGTATGCGACCGCCATCCACTTCAGTACAAGCATCGTGTTGGATAAATGAACTCACACTTCACAGCTCGTTGAGGCGCAAGAAGCACTTGAAGAAGCCACAAAAGCTTCGAACGACCACCGCGATGCCGTACGAAAGCAAGTCGAAACGTTCAACCAAGAGCAGGCAGAAATCGACCGGCGCCTCATGATCATCACTCAGTCCGAAACGAGCGATGACGCCGTGCGCATATTCGAATCGAGCATGCAGAAGCTCCAGCGACTTGATGTCGCGAAGGGATATTTTTCACAATTGCAAGAGATCGAAACATTGAGGTAAATGAATTGTGAACGTGTTGACAATGCGGCCGACTGACAAGACTGCAGCAAGAGTGCATTAGAACATATGAATAGCGATCCAACGTCAGCGATACCTCTATATAAAGCCCTTCGAAATATCTCTAGGTCGTTACAAGCAGCACAAGTCGCTGCGGAGGGTGCTGCTCCTCACCTCGTTGACCACGCCGAGCAGCTTGCGAATTCAGTCAAAGAGCAGCTGCAGGATCGATTTAGTAGTCAATTACAGGAGGCACTCGATAAATTGAAATGGCCGAGCAGGGAACTGGTACTTAACGAGGCTTTCGTGCAAGAATGGGTAACAAGTGTTGACTTGTTGCTTGACTTACAAGAACCGTACGTTTTATCGACTACCCCTTTGTCCATAAATGGCGGCATACTGACTTGTGCATGTATTCTACAGTGACCTAAAATCCTACTCGGAATCTTCATCCTTTCGGAGCGCAGACATCCAAGTGCTATTGCCACTAGAAATTATGATGCATCCCTTAGAGCTCCGCTTCAAGTATCACTTCAGCGGTGCTAAGCCTACAAATAGGCTAGATAAGGTGGGCTTTCAAAAATCTATTAAAACTTGAAGACTGACAAATTAAAGCCGGAATACTTCCTGTCCCACATTTCTGACCTGATAAGTACCTATAACGGTTTCTTCACGACATATCTACAACCTGTACTAGATCGAAGAGCCGACATCGTGGATGAAGAACTAAGAAGCCATTTTCTAAGTGCAACGAATGCGTTTATCACATCTCTTCTTCCAATGGTCAGGCGGAAAATTGACACTTTCATACCACAAGTGGAGACAAGTCCTCAATTACTGAGTCACTTTGTACACGAACTTATGAAATTCGATGATGATCTACGACAAACGTGGAATTACCTTCCTAATCCCTATTCAGCCGAAAACTGGAAAGGTCTGACATCGGAAATTCTTGGCCAGCAAAATTGGTTCGAACGATGGCTCCAGGTTGAGAAGGAGTTTGCTTTGTCTCGATACAAGGATATTATTGATACGCCAGAGAGCGGGCAAATTGACTATGATGGTGTTGACGCTAATGTCACAAAACCGACGAGTGCTGCCATTAGGGTTAATGACCTCCTTGAAACCGTTACGGATCTGTACAGACCACTGTCATCTTTCAGCCAGAAACTCCGATTCTTGATCGACATTCAAATCACCATATTCGACCAGTTCCACGAACGTCTGCGCTCTGGATTAGAGGCCTATCTTGCAATGACATCCGCCATTGGCCGCACGGTACAAGGTAATGATCAAGGCACTCTCGAAGGAGTGGCCGGACTTGATCGGCTCTGTCGAATTTTCGGGAGTGCGGAGTATCTAGAGAAGAAAATGCAAGACTGGAGTGACGATGTGTTCTTTCTTGACTTATGGTATGAGCTTCAAGATCGGGTCCGACGAAAGCACGGCGATGGAAAGAATGTTGTCGGCCCAATGTCAGTCGCGGAAGTGGCTCAGAGGACCTCTCAGGCGGTTGCCGAGGCCGGTCAAGGACGAAGCTCCGAGGGTGCATTATTCGACGAAACAGCATCAGCGTATCGCCGCCTCAGACTACGCTCCGAAAGCATCATAGTATCCACATTCTCTTCTGAAGTTCAATCGTCTCTCAGACACTACTCTCGGGTATCAATGTGGTCTTCACTCTCTGCACCTTCGGCAAGCTTTCCTCACCCCCTTACCTCCGAGCTTACCCCTACACTTCGCATCATATCCTCAAATCTCTCTTTCCTTGCCCGCGTCCTAGGTACAGCACCTTTGAGGAGGATAAATAGGCAAGTCCTTTTGGCCCTGCAAAGTTATATATTGGATAATGTCATCTCGCGTCATTCTTTCTCTGCCGCTGGCGTATCTCAGCTTATGAGTGATATTGATCATCTATGTGGAGTAATCGACAGTGCTCTTGGACACCACTCTTCGTCAGCGGCTTATCAAGGGGAAGCCGGTCGAGTCATGCGAAAACTTAGCGAAAGTTTAGTGCTACTGGGTCTCAGGATCAAACCCCAGAGTACCAAATCAGATGAAAATAATGAGACCTATGGGGTTGAATTAGGGCTATGGGAAGTCGAAAGGAGATTGTTCGCAAACAATGAAAGCGCTCGCGAAGTCTTAAGTGAGCTAGAGATTGAGACCCTGACTGAGGCAGAAGCGAGAGCAATCTTGGAAAAGCGAGTTGAAATCCGCAGCTGAACTTGATAACCTTATCATCATTTCATGTATATCTTCTTAATGAAGTGTCTTTTATTCTGAGCAATCTGAAAATATCACAACTTATGCAACATTTGATGTCTGCTAATAAAACTACTGTCGCCAGCTAGGTTCTAAAAAACCTCAGGGGTCATGTCAATCACCATAAAATTCTTGGCAAGCGGACGAACAGACGAGGAGAACTTTCGGTGCTTAGGATCTCCCTTCAAGTATACCTCATGTCACCTTTATTGGTGAATTCGATAACAAATCAATGAGTTATGCCACCCTTATCCGAGCTTTATCGTTGTTCTGATTCCGGTGTCTTCAATCTGCACCATGCCTGGAGGCCGTGGGTAGAGTTATCAACTCCATCCGTCAGCTGTCTTTCAGAGCTAGGTATTGCTGAAAGGTCTGCGGATCTGCGTCAGATCTTTTGTTGAGTGTACACAATTCGTGCTTATCCAAGCCGTACTTTCTCCCTGGTGGCAGGGTCAACGTCGTCTTTGAACTTCAAGAGAGTGATGTGGATGATTGTCATGGTGGATGTATCTCAATTCAAGCCGGCTTGAGGCTGTAGGCAGTTTTTTGAGTGATTGAAATAGTATTGCATGTGGGGTTCGCCAGATCTACAGACGTCTTGTCACAACAGGCCATTCAAAAATTGTATCCGATTACTAAGATGCTCATCTCGGCAACAACCTGCCAATATCACGCTGACACCTGGGTCGGTACTCTCGGTATGCGTGAACTTTCGACTTCTGGGTAATATTAGCTTTGAAGAAGACTATGCCGCGTGTTTCTACATCTAAGTTGGCGCTGATACTTGGCCGAACCCTTGAACATAGCGAAMCCCCCGAGCCCGCCAATCTGAAACAAGGAACTCTTGACTTCAATAGTAATCACCTCGCAAAAAGGGTATACGTCCAGCCTTTCTAAAAGTGTTCCAAAATTATTTCTTCTCTTGTGCAATGAAAGGACAGAGGCAGCAACGATGTTGAGTTACTTAAAGCCAGCCCCGATCGCGAATTTACGACCCAAACGTTCATATACAACAGTGTTATGTGGGATCTGAGAATCCCTGCCAAGCTGAGGAGCAGCAGAAGCCAACCGATGTTCTCTTCATAAGACTTATTTATTCAATCCTCAAATGTCATTTCCTAGCTCAATGGTACGAGAGTTTGGATTTGGATTTCTCTGAAATGTTAGCAGTGGGTCATGCACTTACAGGTACTAGAAGATTGTAATAGACCAATACAGTGTCTTGTGGTCACTCGTAGAGCGTTGCTCTTATGCTTTACTGTTAATAACGCCATCTCTAGTCCATCTCGTCGCTAAATTCGGTGCAGATATCACCTAGAGTCCATGATCAATCACCCTACTTAGCCCGCACGAAGATTTTCTCTAATTACATCCTCCAGGCTACCCTAAAACTAGAACCTGAAAGTCCAGATGTTTCTTGAAAGTATTGATGTAGTCTAGACATTCAAAATTCTATGTGGGCGTTGGACGTGAATGACACGTCAACAGTGTATAATATATACATAACATTCAATTTATTCTAAATCGCTGAAACTTTCAACTTCTGAATGATCGCTGGACCAGCTTCTTCAATAGCACGGATTAAACCTTCTACCGTACGTCTCTCAGTCGAAATATTGACAACGCAACGGAAGAACTTCCCTTTACCCCTGAGGTCAACATCACCACCAGTTGGAGGCGCATAATCGACCATATAACCTTTGCTCACGATTGCGCGGGTCACTTCTTCAGTCACACTGCTATTCTTTGCAGCGCGCACATCATCCGAATCAATTGAGCCATCGGCTTCGTACGCGAAACGCTTGCCAGGCGCATAGTAAAAGCATATTTGAAGACATGGTGGCGGGTTCTCACTGACAAGAATGAAATCAGGGTGATTCTCGATGAGAGTTGCCAGATGTGATGCCATCTCAGTGGCTTCGTCTATCCGGTGCTCGTMCCCTTTSGAGCCGTAATATGTCCAGCTTAGAAACAATTTGAGCGAGTCAGCACGACGACCACATTGAAGGGTCAAATCTGCCAGATCCCAGACTTCTGGCGAATCGACCGGCAAGTCAGCAGTCAAATCTCCATCAAGTTTACCATTTGTCTGATCAATTTCCGGGTTGCTATGGAACAAGTATCCTGCAGGAAGAGTATTTGCACGATGAAACTGACGGATATCTGCTGCTAACAGGAATGAACAAGTCACAGGTACACCGAGCATCTTATGTGGATTGATAGCGATACTATTCGCCTTTTCTGCACCGAAAAGCTTGTGCTTGTGACGGGTAGAGAAGATGAATGATCCACCCCATGAGCCATCAATATGGAACCAGAGGTTGTGCTTCTTGCAGATTGCTGCCACTTCATGGAAGGGGTCAAAAGATCCTAAAACGGTCGTGCCAGCAGTCGCATTGACATAGAATGGCGTACGACCTTCCGCTTTGGCCTTTTCTACCAACTTCTCCAATTCTGTGGGAATCATGCGGCCTTGCTTGTCGATAGGCACGCCCCAGACAGCATTACTTCCGAATCCGAGCATCTGAGCTGCTTTTTCAATGCTATAATGACCATGACCGCTAGTGAAAATGACAAATCGGTAGCTCCCGTTGCCCTCGGTTTTGGTTATGGGGTATAGTACGTTTCTCGCTATCACGATCGACGTGGTATTGGATGCCGATCCGCCTTGGACGGAAATACCGCCGGAATGAGGTCCATTGAGACCGAACAATAAAGCCAACTGTTTTGCCGTGTGTTTTTCGATTAAGGTCAGAACCGGCGAAACTTGGTATACGTGGACGTTCGTGTTGAGGGCTGCAAGAATGAGTTCTGCGGCCACACCCGGTGCATTTGTAGAAGCGTATAGCTTGTCTAGGAAGCCCTGGTGCCAGGTGTTGACCGAGTAGCGCAGTACCTGCTGGAGTACCTGGAGAAACCCATCCTGTCCTTGCCCAGTCGACGGCAAATCAAGCTTCAAAAGTTTCTGCAGATCTTCGGGGCTTTTATAATCGACGAGAGATGTGCTCGATGTGCCGAGGTCGGTGTCTATGCCATTCGCGGTGTGCCCGTTCGAGCTCGGGAGGGAGTCTGCAGAGCTTATGAACGGGATGAGAAGGTCCTGTACGGCGCTGAGTAGCTATATGAGAAATGGTTGTTAGCCAGACACTTCGAGTCCCATTAATCTAATACAGAGTCAATTTGGTTTTCAACGTACTTTGCGCACTTCCTCTGCGCGGTCCGAATTTTGCGCCATGCTCAACAGGTATTAACAAGTTCAAATTCGAGAAGAAAAGAGGGACAAATCCGATGTTCAAAAAGCAGAACAAGTATATAGAAGCGTAAATAGCAAAAAAATGACAAGTATGTATTGTAAAATAGCGACTCACTCAGGATTTAAAAAAGTAAACCTCATCCGAAAAAAAAACCCCCCCACGATGGCGCCATTCGGGGATAAGAGCCAATGACACGGCTACTAGCGAATGACATCATTAGAGTCTTTTCATCGCAACAGTATGAACAAAACCACGAGAATTGTAGATACAAAATACTCAGAGTCAAGGTGACTTCGAAGAATTGACGTCTTAAGACTTAATGAAGGAAGCGTATCTTGCATGTGGCTGGACCGTGCTGATCGGGCGGTCAAATCGGAATGCTTATCGAAATCCGGGGATCGTGGTACCTGATTAGGGCTAAAGTCATACAATGGCCTGGATTGTCATACATGCGGCGAAAGTTGAAAATACTTAAGTACAAGTCTGTCCATTGCTGTAACATACGAAAAGTATTGATCATCTCGAGAACGGAATATAATATACAGGAACGCATATCTTCTGCGACTGGTGTAGAATGGGTATCAATGCAAAGACGCGAAACGAGTATGCAACACATGATACAAAGCAAACGAATAAAATATCTCATGTCCAAGTAAATGAGGCAGGGTCGATGAGCAGGCTAGTTCAGACTACGCATTTCCCGGAGCCGCGGCATTGGCTACTTGCCTGTTTATGGCACATATCCTGCAGCCATCTCCAATTTTATCTCGTATCAGTCGGGCAGTGATGACTTTCGGTCCCACGGTGCGAGACGTCGTATAGAGTTGATACTCATCTTCATTATCATCTTCCTGCGGGGGTCGTGTTGTCTCGCTAGAGTTTGCCGATTCATTGTCATGGGAGTGCCCCAATTCTTGGACGTGAGACAGGTGAAAAACATGGCCGCAAGCGAATCCCACCAATAATTCCTTTTCTGTAACATATAGATCATTAGAAGCATGTTTTACATATAGTCCAGGAAAGTTGCCGTCCACTTACCATTCCCATGAAAAGGTTCCAAACAACCTCCACATTGACCAGGTGCTACGCGACGAGACCTAGCAACCGGTCCAGTTATACTTGAAAGAACATCGTCATTATCCGTTCCAGTCGCAACAGCTCCCGCATCTTCACTGTCAGCTGGCTTTTCAAGTACGCTTTCATTATCAGACGATTTGCGAACATCAAACTTTATTCCTCGCCGCTGGCCTCGTCTCAAGGCATCCATCCCAATGGCAACTTCACCCTGCAGCACTTTCGCTGCCCCTTGACTTATACTTGCTTGGATATCATGATCTCGAAGTAGCCTGGTAAGTCCGTCGCGGAGCCCTTCAATTTCCAATCCACTCGGAATACGTCTCACGAGTTTGATTGGGTCGATAGATGTGCCAGCTTCGGTAAGCAAGGCATGGATGAAGATCGGCTTGTCCATTGAATAACTAAGTAGATCCTCCCACAAGTCGGGATCATCTTGCGACTTGGCAAAGTTGATTGCTTGGGAGACGTCGTTCAGGTCGGAAAGTATGAGGTTCAATGCTCGCTTTGTCTGCCCAGTCTTAGACAGAAGATATATCAATTCTGAAGTGTAGTGTTTCTCTTCACAAATCCTGCAAGCCTCGTCAAAGGAATAAGCTGTACTCGCTTGCAGAAAATCCATGAGCAGTTGCCTGTCATAGTCGGCAAAGAGATCTAACGTAGTATCCGCAAAGGGCTCAACAAGACTTCTGCCTTCATCGGCGGCCAGTTTTTCTGCTGCATCCCTAGCATGGCGACCGCGGCCACGAAGCTGAGTCTTTGCCTCTGCTTTTGATGGGTGAGCTTCACCTTTCCACAATGCGCGCAGGTAGAAGAAAAGATACAGGCGGCCGGATGCGATGTAAAGTTGCGAAATAACTGTTTCTGGACGAACAATACCATTGTATGCCTCCCGAACAAGTATACTAATCGACTCTGCTGTCGCTTGCTCCAATTCTGAAATCGGAGCTTTCGCCAACTGATGTTTAGAGACACGGAGTAGTATAAAATCCAAAACATCGTCAGAAATAGCGTCTGCCAGACGATATTCACTAATCAAACGTAGGGCCTCTTCCGCATCCTGTAGTCGTATGTAACACCGCAAGGCCTCACGATGTTGTCCGTTAGCTAGGAACAATTTTCCAAGGCTCCCCGTCAGAATCTGCCAGTCATTCGAATCACTTGGAATCTTTTCCGACTCCAAACGGTCTTCAATGTTTGAAATTGCTTGTCCAATATTGAAAAGCTCCGGTGGCCATTTAGATAGCAGATGCTCGAATGTTTGGCGGTTGTGAGACACATAGTGTTCGAGGAACGCATCAAAGATAGCTGATGGAAGAGGAGGTCGCGTGTTCACTGGGATATACTGAGCAATTTCGTCATATTTGCCGGCCTCAACGAATTTCCAAATCCAGTGTTCCCACCTCTCAGGAATATCAAGGACTTTAGCACAGATCTCCCCGGCAGTGGCCCAACCATTGTTCTGAATGTGTTGTTCGATCCAGAGTTCGCCAATACGGCGCTTCTCAATTCTAGCATTCGCGCTCAGCGGCTGACCTGCTGTCATGACTGAAGAGCTGTCATCAGCAAAAAAGTCCACCAGACTGGTCTGAGATCTTGTAAATGCTTCAGTCTGTGGCTCGGCTGGKGGRTTCAGAATACTCGGGTTCTGATCAACGAGAATCCATGCCTCTTCGTACTTCTGATGCGATTCCAGCCATGCAAGGTGATCCGATAAATCTCTTGACATGGCTGCGATGCAATCATATGGACTATGAACAAAGACCTTGAGGCCTTTGGCAGTTACAAGAGTCTGGACCTCTTTTGGAATTGTGGAACTTCCCGACACTGAACTGGACATGAATGACGCGGCAACCCTTTCAGAACCCCTATCACCATTACTGCCGCTACTTCGTATACTAGAACTCGATGTGAAAAGTCTAGCTGGGTACAGTGTTGCGTCCAAGAGACCCGTGCCTAAAGCACCCAATGCGCCCCGCTGTACAGCGGCCGCTGTTATGCGTGGTGGTCTCATAATGCTCATATGATAATCGGATGAAGCAAGGTTTTGGTACCGAGTGACTGAGAGCGTATCGGCGCTTACTTCCTCCTGTGTTTCGAGATCGATGAGGCGAAGTTCGGGTTCGGCTGCCTTGTGTCGACGACTACTCTGTGGCTGCTCCTCGAGGTCGCTCTTTTCACTTTCCAGGTATGCTAGAACAAGTAAAAGCTTTGCACTGTACATGGAAACTCCTGAAATGATGGAGTCGGTTCGTAAACTTGATAACGTGTTAGCTTGAAACATGATAAGGGAAATGCTAGACACGTACATTGTGACAACCTCAGCATCTCCGAGTTTTCGGTTCCCTGCTCGCGTTCCAGGAGGTGGCATACGATCTGGGTATACGTTGATAATCCAAATAGTGCCTCCCCAGCCGACCACGAGTTTCTCAACTTCTGGTGCACCGCTAGTACTCTGTTGTCCTAAGATAGATTCGGTATCGCTATTTTCGGGTAATTCAAATGCTTTCATGTCAACCCATTCAGCGTGCGCTTTCCAGACACTAGCCATTTCCTCCCATTGTGGTCGATTAGGTCTGTCTACGTGTCTTATTCGGGTCCATGCGAATTCTGCGTCGCCTGCCTCCAGATGTAGGTTTGACCGCATGATTTTGATGCCTTCTTCGTTCACCCAAGCCACATACTTCCCAGATAATGACCATTTTATGGTGTTGATTGCTCCTTCACCACTGTGTAAGACAGTATCTTTTCCCGAGTTGGCACCCAAGCCCAGAGATCCTAGCCATCCAGCTCCTGAAGCTGCACCACTCAAGGTTGTAGATTTTTCTGTTGTACCCGCTCGGCCTCCAACAGTAAGAATCAGCTGCCCAGCACGACCACCTGAAAGATATTGTCTGTCACTCTTGTATTCTGGAGACAATGCCACGGTTTGAACTGGTCGGCCGAAGTTCCGGAGAAGGACATCCTTCGGATCAAGCGGCGAATATATACACACGTTTCCATCTATCGACGAGGTAGCTATATGTATAGAATTTGAGGGCGTTGGTGGCAGTCCGGGTGTGGGTGCAGGCTTGCTCTTCGATCGAAGCGACGCATTCGGAGAAGGGGCGTTATCCTCTTCGGGAGATCTGTTGATCGCATTGCGTCGTATAATAGTATGAGACAGTAGCGATGGCGATATTGAAATAGAGGTTACGCTTGCTGAATGCGCTGTATAAACACGGAGAGCTCTGAGCGTTGGTAACGATAGCACATTCTGCCTAGTATTAGCCATGAATCCAGACGTCCCCCAAGGTCGGGTATACTCACAACGTTGCCATTATGTGTTCCGACGATCTAGGATCCACGAAGTCAGTTTGAGTGCTTCGAGTCTTTCAATGATTCGGATAGTATACCATTCTATCTCCTCCAACTAGAAGTGCACTTGTTGCGTCGCCCGCGCGATATAGTGAGGGTAGGCATTTCGTCAAGTAAACGTACTTCAATCGAGGTTCCTCGTCTTCTTCTTCGTCGTCGTCGCCCTCGTCGTCATCTTCGCCTTCATCTTCGTCCTCGTCATCATCGGCGAAATCGTTCTGCTTCCGTGCATCGTGCTCCTCCTCGCTGTTGTCGCGGGACGAGTCGACGGCGGGGGGATGGGAGAAAGATTCGGCGGGCGGKGTCTTTTTTTTTAAGGAATCGGCATCCCGACTGCCATAAGCAGCACCTGGTAAATCCATGCTTAGCGCCGTGAGCGCGTTGGAAGCTGTGACTTTCTTGTGGATGCGGAGCTACGTTGGGGTAACCACGATGATATGATGACTAAGCAGTTGATGCGGAATGACGCTGCGGAAGGAAGGAGCCGATCTCCATCGATCTAATTTTTGATTTTACACGTTCGTTTCCCACTCTTTTATTGCTCTACTTCCAAATGAACCATCTCAGACGGTATTCGGCAAAACCTGGCATAGTTCAGGCCTTTCCGAGCCAGTTCGGCCCATCTTATGTATGTTCGACATGTCGCCAAATCGCAACACAGCCTCTACATCGACCTTCGCGAACAATAGTACCCTTACTCGACCCACGTCAACGAAGAGACTTCTCCTATTTGCGTGCCCGAAATTCACAAAAGCATGGCGCAACTGAATCGCCGCCTGAGAAAGATGCTGGCTCATCCGGGAATCAATCACAACGGCGGAAATTAGCCCGATCACCAGCTGCCAATTCATCTCTTCGCCGTGTCGCAGTCGAAGCACAACGTACAAGGAGTGGAATCTTGTCAAGGACGCAGCTTTTGGAACAAGGACTAGGTGAACTCAAGGTATTTTTGGCGGTCTACAGTGCTTGTAGTCGACGCTGATTTTCGGGTAGACGGTCACTGCATACGCGGTAGCTGAGCAGTTCAATGTAACAAAAGTCAGAGATATATTACAAGAGAAAGGCTACGAACCGGACCCCTTCAATACGGGGCTCTACCCTCAAGTCGTTCATATACAAGTTCCCATCGACTCGGTACGGCGCATGACAAATCCGGAAGCTACTAATCTGGGATCCGATGAGACTGGCGACGTGTTTGTCTTTCCTTCGGGCACTGTTGTGGCCTGGTCGCTTCCAGATGGTTTTACTTCGTATCTGGCTTCCAGGACACTTCTCCCGGCAGCTGAGAATCCACATACAGACAACCTCGAGACGGAAGACATGGACTTTATCGAAGATCCTCATCGTGAAAGCAGCTTCATCAAGGGCGATACTATTGTACTTGGCACCAAAGCCAGTGATGGTTCGCCTCCGAGTGCTCCCAATCGCCAGTCCATTGATACAGTGCTGACGAAGATTGCATTCTCGTCCGGATTGGCACGCAGCACGAAGCTTGCCGTGCTGGAAAGCTTACTGTCTGACTATTTTGAATCGACGCGCAACATTCCAACCCTATTGTCAAAAGGCTCACGACTACCATATACAAGAGATTTCATCCTCCGGAAAACAGGACAATTACTCAGCGTTCGAGCACAATTGAATATATACTCTGAACTGACCGATTCTTTACCCGACATCTTCTGGGACAGTCGACATGAATTGGGTCTCGAAGGATACTATGAAGAAGCGGGTAGAGCGTTGGATGTCGGAATCCGCATCAAGGTGTTGAACGAAAGAATGGACTACGCACAGGACATTGCGAATGTGCTGCGGGAGAGACTCAGTGAAACCCACGGGCTGCGCCTTGAATGGATCATCATTCTCTTGATCGCGGTGGAAGTAGGGTTTGAAGTTCTCCGACTCTGGAAAGAGCGCGAGGTCGAAAGCAAAGAGAAGAAAGAAGCAACGAATTGATCGCTTTGCATAGAGTGATCCTTGTACATCTATTCACGAACTACGTTATCAAAGATACCCCGCTCACCAAAGTTAGAGCCCGTTGAGACGAGAAATATTTCCCTTCTGCTTCATTTAGACTGTAATTTGACTCTGTAATCTTTATCAAATACCCGATATATTGATTCCCAGCACTGTGAAGTGGCTGATACAAGGTTGACTCCGTTAGCCTTCTTAGGCGTCAGACAGCCCAGAGGTCATGCGCCGCAAACGCCGCACGTCACTCCCGCCAACCACAGCGTGTCAACCACCCAGGTGACCTGTACCTGCATCCTTATAACTTCAGCAGCTCCTTTCACTTCATCTTCATTCTTCGTCATTCATCACTACCACTGAATACTTACTAAGCTTCAAATCCTCGAACCCCAGAGGATGGAGCTTGTACCTTTCTCGCAATACATCCCCAGCCCGCAGCGGATCCTCAAAGCCATCACAACGGGAGCGCTTCCATTTCTGAGCTCGGGGAACCCAGCAAAATTAGCATCCAAACAATTCTCATCATGTCCTAAACCAGAGCTAAGCTGTGAGGCCAAGTTTGATGGCCAAGATACGTGTTGCTTTAACTATCCCGGAGGTCACTTCTTGCAAACGCAGTTCTGGGATGCAGATCCGGCTATTGGTCCGGAGGACTCGTGGACCATACATGGATTATGGTATGTCTACTCTAAACCATACTTGGGAGGAATTGACAGGCTAACCAATGTTCTCAAGGCCCGATCACTGTGATGGTGGATTTGATGAATACTGTGATTCTCATAGGCGATATAGCAACATATCGTTGATCTTGGTCGACGGTGGCCGCAGTGATCTACTCGACTATATGAGCGAGTACTGGAAAGACTTCCGCGGCGATGATGCTAATCTGTGGGAGCACGAGTGGAACAAGCACGGCACATGCATCAGTACACTTGAAACGAAATGTTATTCCGATTATGTTCCTCAAGAGGAGGTTGTTGATTACTTTGATAAGGCAGTGAATTTGTTCAAGGCTTTGCCTTCTCATGAGGTTTGTCAGGTTCCTTATTGATTCTCTGAATGACTGAACTGACTGTTTTCTGCTAAGACCCTAGCAGAGGCTGGTATTGTACCCTCATATGACGTGACATACAAAAAAGCAGACATTGAGAAAGCTCTTAATGATGCTCACGGTGCACGAGTCACTATAAGGTGTCATGGAGGCGCTTTCAATGAGATTTGGTATCACTACAATGTTGCCGGGCGCTTGCAAACCGGAAACTTTGAGCCAGCTGATGCAGGTACGTCCTTCTCGATATGATCAAACCCCAAGAGAAAGATTAACGGAACTAACTATTCTCCAGTCGGAGGAGGATCAAATTGTCCTAGCTCTGGTATTCGCTACATCCCCAAACGCTCACCCCCGCCTTCAAAGCCTCGTCCTACGACAACTCGCCAACCCGGCCAACCCGAACCAACGGATCCTGTAGAGCCTCGCCGAGGAAACCTGCGTGTATACACGGGCGATGATCAACAACAACGCGGCTGCCTCATTAGCCACGGTACTTGGTTTACATCTGGTACATGCGCTACCTTCAAAGCGAAGGATGTCACTGGTACGCTGCTTCTCCTTTGACTCTGGGGGACAATGCATAAGACTAATGACTAGCAGGTGGCTTTAATGTCCAAACACGCAGAGGATCCTGTGGCTTCGTAAAGGATGTTTTTACCTGTGGCCATCAGATTCGTAACCCAGCGCTATTCGAGGTAAGAGCTAGTATCTACATTAAAAACACAAGAATAAGAAACTAACTCAAGCAATGAGCAGATCTCCGAGGACAACAAGCTGACGTACAGTGGCAACACCACTTTCTTCGCCGACAAGGCTCCCAAAGGTCACGTTCAAAGCAAAGTCTTTGCTCACGGGGGCAACGGCGAACATGCTGTTGAATTGAGTATTGCTTGGTTTGAGACATGAGGCTGAGATTGATGTATATAATAGACTCTGGCTTCGAGCAACATAAAGCCTCTCTATCACTGTGTCCATATCAGATTTGTTTAATCTTATCGAAATAGAGAGTGCCCCGAATCTTTCTCGATCAGAACAATTATTGCATCAGCGTGCTTTCAGTTTCCATCCGGGACTAGATCACTAGCTAATAGGTTCAGACGTTCGAATTACTTCTTTTCGACGTCATGATAACCAAATTCTACTGTACTTAGCTGGCGCTAAATGAGTTTCCTTATTCTCTAAGTTTTGTATAAATCCTAGACGGAGTGATCACACTGTCAGCCTTAACTATGTGCCTGACAATCTCTACATAAAATAATAATTACCAATACTTTAATTGCGGAACAATCTGTTAATCCTTTCGATGCCAGCCTAGTTGTTTGTCTGGAGGCATAGTTGCAAGGTCCTGAGACGAAAAGAAACGTACACAATTATGCGAAATTGACATGACAAGAAAACTGCCAAGGTATAACCAGGCCCAAGAAGCTAAAAAACAGAGGGATTCTCCAAGGAGAAGAAAAAAAAGGAAAAAAGGCACGAAACAAAATCAAAAATCATAGCCATAATCATTATGGCGGTACATTGCAAGTCCTCTCTAGAAAGGAACTACATCAGTATCATGAGCCCGAAATGAAGACAAAAAAGAAAAAAAATCAAAACATTATCGCTTTTCCGTCCACATAATCGTTATGATGTTACACACAAGAGGTGAATCGAATGTTGTACAGGTGCATTAAATATCGTTCCGTCCAAGAGCAAAGTCTATCAATGGTCGCATTAGGGGGATCCGGAAGTAAAGAGAATCGTTGCTGGTCGTTAAATAGTCGTAACACCCACTTCGTGGTGGAGCGGGAGGAGATATGAATCATTTTTGAAAGAAAGAAAATGGTAGGCCAACTCATCATTAGAAGAAAACATCGGTCGCATTACCATCGTTGAAGTCCAAGAAGAAATCGCTCTCGTTTTTGCCAGAGAACATATCCATGTCGTTTGGGATACCTGACTCGTGTCCAAAGTCCGAGAAGCTTGAATTGTTGTTGATGAAGATATCAATTTCGGATCCGGCTGTTGAGTGTGTCAAGGCTGGCACTATCGAAGACGAAGGAAGGTCTGAGCTTTCTGGCTCTGGGTCAAAGCAACCCGCAGCCTCTGAGATTGGTGGTAGATCAGGGATATCTTCTGAAATGTCTTCAAGAGGATGTCGGGAGGAAGTACGAGACACTGATCCGATATCACTCAATGGGCTGTAAGAACGGGAGCTCTGGCCTGGCGAAGAGTTATGGCCGGTGCTGAACCCTGGAGACGCCGGGGGTGTGAAAGAGAAAACCTCCGATGGTAAACAGTAGTTTGTCGATTCAAACATGGCCATATCTTCCAAGGGACTAGATGCTTGGATGCTCATGCTCTCAAATCCATCTGAAGGCGGGGAGCTACATGAGCTATCTGAGCTAGACACAGACATGCTAGCCGAGCTATTGGAGACCTTTTCACGAGTTCGCGCAGCTTTGTCTTGTCGCTCCTCCATGTCTGGGCGGCTCTTCTTGGGGCGACCACGCTTGGTTGTCTTTCGAACGACACCTTTGTAACCTCCAATACACATACCTCGTTGACGATGACGGGTCAAGGCATCATGTCGAGCAAAGACATTCCCACACAGACATTCATAAGGCTTATCACCAGTATGTATCTTGGCATGTCGCTTCAGGTCGTGTCCTCTAACAAAGCATTTGTCGCAATGGTCACATTTATACTGCCGATCACCAAGATGTGTCTGGATATGAGACTTGATGTTTTCTTTTCTTCCAAAGCGCCTGTCACAGCCAGGGTGAATGCAGACCCATTTCCCGTCAATGGGATCGGGTCCGGAAATGTAAGCTGCGATTTCATCGATGCTAATACCTGTCTCGGTGATGGAAGCTTGGACGCGGGCATCAAGATTCAAGCTATCGATAGAAGCAACCTTGGGAGACAGTTTGGTTTTGCTTGGCGACAGATCCGCTGGCGGACTGTTCGACCTTATCGAGCTTGGCTTAGATGGAGTGGCTGCGCTGATGGGAACTTTGGGTGCCTTGATTGGACTTGGAGCAGGCAGCGGCATGTATGCTATCTCAGGCGACGACTGGAATGAGTGGGTGGCGGAAAGAATTTGTGTGTTGTAGGTTTCCTGATCCTCCGATTTGATAGACATGCTCTTGGATACGACTTGAAACTCTGTACTTTCGAAATCACTCTCCTGTGAAGTAAGCAAATCATAACAATCATAGTCAACGGGGGCAGTGTTAGGGGGAGAAGGGGCATCAATCTTGGGCTCGGCATAATTGCTTCCTGGAACTCCTTGAAGTGACTTAGTTCTCTGCATATAAGCAGGCTGAGTCTGATAGGCTATATTCTTGATAGGTGATGTGTGTACGTTTTGCAAGAATGGAGCAAACTCTGTACCTCTGCGAAACGGTGTAGTATCCGGGGTGATGGGTACGTAATCTGCAGATATCATCAGTACAGCAACTTATGCCTTTGATTTTTGTAAACATACTGGACTGCAGTTGTTTCGGTGGTGTTGTTGGAATGTAGGACTGCTGAGATATATCCGATTGAACAGACGCACGCCGTAGATCGTACATTTGAGCTAGCATAGATTGGTTGACTAGATAGGGATTCCATGTTCCGTCCCCGATCAGCTGAGGCTCGGCAAAGATCATAGTTTCCTGGCCGGGTTGTTGTTGCTGTTGCTGATGCTGGATGGGCTGAATGGCGGGCTTGAGTCGGCGACTCTTTGTATTGGTGTTCTTGATGTTCAGCCCGCCAGAGTTCATGCAAGCATTTATAGGGGAATTTTCATTGCTATATTGGTTAGTATAAACGTTGAGGCCTCTGGTGTCAAGTCGTTGGCCATCTGTATTGACTGCATTGGATATTATTTGATGTTGAGACTCGTCAAAGTAGGACTGCTGGTTGAGTTGACTCGTTCGTTGCTGTTGCGTCTCACGTAGAACGTTTGTATATTGGCCTTGGCTTGTTGAGATAGGGTTGGGCTGCAGATTGGCAGTAGGCTGGTTCAGACTCATCCCTCGTTTGTGCATTGAGTAACGTTGCATGGCTGCTGCTGGAAGGAGTGGTGCTTTGGCTGCCTCCAGAGCAACTGGGATAGAGTTTTGTCGCCGGTGCTGGCGCTGATGCCTCTGCATACCGCTCGATGGACTGATAAGCATGGCTGATATGTTGATTGATGAACGTTAAACGTCTCGCTTGTTGCTGAGATCGGATTCTGCCATTGCCGAGTCAGTCAATGATTTGAACCTGAGTTGCACATCATACGGACCTTCACACGACGAAATCAGGCGGAGCGCCGCCAAAGTCAATTCTCTGCCAACAGTTCAGGCGATGTCGAATGACTTTTGATCGTAATGATTTCTGACTTGAGCTTTGAGGCCTTTGGACTCGGAACCGTCCTTGCGTTTTCCTATCAATCTCAACTTGGTCAGCTTCCGATCTTGACGGTCAAAAAAGCACAGAAACGCTAGAAACTTAGCCTCGCCCTGAGTTCCCTCGAGGGCAGTGAAGGTCTTATGTTTCTAGTAAAGATAAATAGAAAGAGAGTTTGAAGTTTTTGTAGAAGACTGCAACAACTAAGAGAGCTGCGGTAATCAAGAGGTATATTTCAATGGAAGTAATGGGGGAAGCAAGGTGTGGATATGGATGAGGTTCCTCGAGCTACCGTGGGGGGAAGATGTACTTGCGTCAACAATGGAGCGGTTGCCGCGGCGACGGGCCTAGTTTAGTCGAACTCCCTCGCAGGGCTGGTCCCACTACGGGTCGTTCCTTGTTTAAAGACAGACCATCCGACACTTTCAATATACGCACAAGTCCGCACTGTGGATCGTCGAACTGTCCTTGCGTCTTCAATCTCCGACTCAGTGTTTCACAGGGATGATGGCCGGGAATGACTTCACTGTTCTCAAAGCTCATTTGATGTTTGAGAAGTCCTTCGTAGACGCTCCTAACAACAAGTCTCTATGTCCCAGTGGTTAAGGAGTCCGGCTGTTATCAACATCCCGTAAGGATGATGACCGCACACCGGAAGATCGGTGGTTCGATCCCACCTAGGGACGTTCAACTTTTTGCCCATTTCCCGTCGGCTAATGACATAGCTTTAATATTGCGAGTGTTATTCTATTGCTGTCAATTTTTTTGATAGGAAGAAGACAGGTTGGTACTACAGCTTCCTGGACTATCAATGTGTATACCCTTGATAATGCTGCTATTTGCCGTGCAATAGTATCTATGCTCTTGCGAGGGATGATGTGCTGTTCAACGGTGGCCCGTTGCTTGAGGTTAAGATACACTTGTCACGTGATCATCGTTCGGCACGCCGGCGGAATCGATGATCCGAGTGTGGTAGCCCACGTGACCGCACAATTAATTATCTCGACTACTCCGCCTCCCGATTAATTTTGTTCACCAACGATCCGTTCTGAAGGTTGAGGAAGACAACTTGTCGAGGTATGTCACTATCACCCAAAATCCACAGCATCTCCTCTGAATGAAAGTCACTTTCTCATTATGAGAGATGATTGTTTCGTTCCATCTACGTTGTCACCGATAGCTCTGGAGTAAAAACTAACGTTGTGCGATGACAGGCCTTCATCAAGATGCAGATCTTCGTCAAGACCCTTACGGGCAAGACTATCACCCTTGAGGTGGAGTCGTCCGACACCATTGACAATGTCAAGTCCAAGATCCAGGGTATGCAGTTATATCACCAAGTCTGAAATCGCAAGGTCATCCACTAACATTCTTTTAGACAAGGAGGGTATCCCCCCCGACCAGCAGCGTTTGATCTTCGCCGGAAAGCAGCTCGAAGACGGCCGCACCCTCTCCGACTACAACATCCAGAAGGAGTCCACCCTTCACTTGGTCCTCCGCCTCCGTGGTGGTGGTAAGAAGCGCAAGAAGAAGGTTTACACCACCCCCAAGAAAATCAAGCACAAGCGCAAGAAGACCAAGCTCGCTGTGCTTAAGTACTACAAGGTTGATGGCGATGGCAAGATCGAGCGTCTCCGCCGTGAATGTCCTTCCGCCGAGGTACGTTCTCATCTTTGAATCCTTACTTCAAAATCCATACTAATTTTTTTATAGTGTGGTGCAGGTGTCTTCATGGCCGCCATGCATAACCGCCAGTACTGCGGAAAGTGCCACCTTACCTACATCTTCGATGAATCCAAATAAGCATCTCGTTACGATTTCAGTGTGAAGGAGTGATGATAACGAAAATTTGGACCATGTCATGTGCCTTTGTGGCTTAGATAGGACTATGTAGAAAAAAGAACCCGGTTCATTCTGGCAATTTTATTTTCTCTCATTATGGTACTATTTTTGGGGCATTACACCAACAGCTATCCTGCTAGAAGAAAAGTCTCGAATCATTGCTTCTATCGGATTCTCAAGCGCCCTGCATGCCAGTCCGTATATTGTCAAACTTGCTTTCGGGAAAATCGAGATTGTTCGGCGACTGATCCAAAGCGCCCACGCCTCCGATGGTGTCCACAAAGGTACCGATTAGCGAACCATCCGCCTTCGCGGCGGCACTTCCTCCTTTGTCACCGCTGCTTTCCCACCACATGCCTCCGCCCAGTCCATTATTACGAATGAAATTGGCCTTGATCTCGCCGACTTGGACATTGTCGTAGCTCACCATTGTGTTACCGTCGTAGCACCATGACGCCCCAATTTCCGGATCGACTTGGTCCCTGCCACCGGGCCGGGGAAGAGCTTTGTAGTCCCATACGCCTTGTTCCCAGCTGCCTTCACCAACTCCGTTGTACGAGGTGCCCGGTCCTTGAGTGTTCTGGAATGCACGGCCGTAGAGGGGCATTCCCAGTACCATCTTTGAGGGGGGAACACCGGCTGATTTGATGTAGTAATCGAGGGCGCCGGCTGTAGAAAATGGGGTAGCTGAAGCGTTCTGATTTGAATGAAACAAATTGGCTTGATGGCCGGCGACTTGGTCCCATGACCCTGTTCATATCGTCAGTCTCTTGATGGGCTGTGAGTGGGGATGTCATAACTGACCTGCGTAGTCGTATCCCATCAGGTTGTAGAAATCAAGATAAGGTGTCATCTCAGGAAGTCGGAGCTTCTGATAGTTCGATGCGCCTATAAATGCCAATTAGAGATGAAAAGTATTTTTCAGTGGTCTTTGGTCCTACCAGCAGGACAAGCAATGGTAAGCAGGAATCTTCTATTCGGGCCTGCTGCTTGATCGAGCGTCTAATATGAAGAGAAGTCAGCATCTAGCCCTCGCTGTTGTGACGACAAGCGGGAAACAGTAAACATACCTCACGGCACTTTTGTAAAAGAGCAACGAAATTCTGGGCTTGCGCGTCATCTATACCACATCATTACTTTAGTAATCATTCTTAGGAAGGTAGGGCGCAATTAAAAGAGGAACCTACCTTGAGGATACTCCCAATCTATATCAATACCGTCGAGACCCAGGTCAAGAACCAGCTTTGTAGCCGTCTTAGCAAAGGTCTCTCTTCCAGCTTCTGTGCTGGCCGGCTGCGCAAAATTGGCCGAATAAGTCCAGCCACCGATTGAGATAAGCACTTTTAGCTTCCTGTTTTGTTTCTTGAGGAGGTAGAGCTGCTTGATGCAACCGTAGGCGTTGATGCCTTGGTCATTCCATGAATCAGTGGGGTAGTGCTTGTCGGTGTCAGCCCAGCTGTCTGTCAAGTAACTATAAACAGTTTGTTAGAAATGTGATCGGTATCTAGGCGCTGTATTGGAGATCCAGATGATAATAACTGACACTTCGCCGCTTTCTGGACGGACATTGGCGAACGAGTATAGCACATGAGTGAGTTTGTCTGCGGGGAGGTCTTGGGGGTTGTGATTTCGCCCATAGATTGCCTGAATGCCTATCAGCACTATTCAAGCAGATTACCAAGAAGCTGGTGCAGAGTCCAAGTGAAGGTCATCAGATATTCAGTAGGGTTCACATCAATAGGAAAGCAATTGATATAGCATAGCGGGGTTGCTTCTGTTGGGCGAGAACCATACCCAATTGACAAAGTATACCACTGATTTCAGTCCTGACATTTCGATATCTTGTTTTTCGATAATCACGGAGTTTATCTCAATAGGCCTTGGAAAGGTATATTGCCAAGGGGTCTGCTGATTCTTGAATGCAATGAAACAAGCGGACAAAATAGCAAATACAACGGGAAGTATAAATAGGCAAGTGAACGACTTCAACGCTGTTCGTCCGTTCGGCGCCACAATTGCACTTGATGATTCCTTCGATTGATGATTCAATGATGTCTGGTAGGCATTTGATAAAATTTGAAATAAAGTGAATGAGAATAGAAAATGTTTATATACAGACAGGCAGCTCTGTTTATTTATAGCTGGCATGTGTATCCCGGCTCCCAATCGGATGGGACGAGACAGTGGGTCGAGTCTCCACTGATCAAAGCCACAGCCTCTCTCGACGATATACTAAGTACATCAACTTGTACGCATATGAAGAGATGAGCTCAGCCACATTCACCCATTACAAGCACATCATGGTGGCTTTGCTGAGCACGCTTCTGTGGCTCAACAGAGCTGTCGGGATGCCCTCGATGAAGCCCCCCGGTGACATTGGTTGAAGCAGGCGTCAACATCATGAAACCTTGTACACTCGCCGTCCGAGTTGGCTCCGTTCATGGAAGGCTCAAGATACACGTGTGTAGCTTGTTGATTTCGTAGGCAACTATGCTTGGGGTCGTAAGTCCCCCTGCTCCAGAACGACGTAGGTGTTGCCCGAGGCCCATTTAGCAATTACTTTTCAACCCGAGCAAATGCGACATTCTCTGTAGAATTGAACTAATCGACGATCATATGCTGACCTGAACTATCACATGCCTCCTTCCCCAGGACTGTCGAGGCCCATCTAGGGTAGCCCGCTTGTTTGACTCCCAATTGGGAAGGAGGTCGACAAACGAACGGGATTCACTTCTGGCAGTTGTAAACTTGCGAATCTTGAGAAAGCCCACCACGACTGTTTGTCAACCCCAATTGGGAAAGAGCCCTCTTTCCTCTTATGCTTCTCCCCCAACATCCTTCCCACAGTTCCCCTTCCCATCTATCCTTTCCCTCTTCATCCTCATGCACTCATCTCAACCACCTTCTTCATCCCATCCCATCCACCTCTTACATCCTCGCATCCCGTTATCATCACTTCTCCACTCGTCATCTGTATCCATTCCTTTCTCTTGCGGTTGAATTCCACCCATCTCTTTCCCTGTTGGGTCCCATATCAGTGAGATCTGCTGAAAAAAGCCTCATTTTTGATCAAAAACAGGTAATCGAGGCTTCTTTTCTCCTGTCATTCTTCTTCGGTCCTCAGAACAGCCACTTCCTGCTTCTCATTCTTGATTCCGACCTCCTTCTCCTCTTTTTGGCATCAGCTACTCCTTTCCTCTCAACCTTCTCCTCTCTCTCTTAGCTCTCAGTCTACTCTTCACCTTCTTCCCCAGTCTTCTCGTCATCTTCTCTCCCAATCAACTCCCACTCAACTCTATTCATCTTTGAGCCCATCTCTCGAGTTCTGATCAGCTCTTTACTTCCTCTCATCTCCTAGCTCGTATTCCACTCATCTTAAATTCCTCGTTTTAATCATTCTCGAGTTCACCGAATCACCTCATCCTCTCTCGACTTCTTCTCGATCCCCATCTCTCTCTTTTCCTCACAGAAGCTTTCAATCACGCAAGAAACAAGAGTTCAATATCGATCCACATAAAGGTCAGTCCATTTCTTCTACGACATCAATGAACCCTCACTTTCATCATACGATTTCTCTCATCCTCGCTCTTTCTCCCCGCTTGTTCTCTCATCTCCGACTTAGCCCACTTCTCATCTTGCCTCTGACAAGATCAACAAACTCTCATTTTCCTACCTTTATTTGTGCCATATCTTACCTTGAGACTCGTCATTGTCTCAGTGACTTCCCCCTCTTCCCTCACTCCACCAAGCCCCAATTTCCAGCCTCTATTTGTCCCAGCTCCTACTTCTAGAATTCGTCATTGTTGCAGGCATTTTCCACCTGTCTATTTTGATTCTCCACACCTTGTCTTCAGCAAGCTTCATTCCCAGCCTCTCTTTCAGATTCGTCCTTATTGCCCTCAAGAACTAACAAAGAACGCAACAGTAGAGCACGGCCATCGTCATGGCTTCAATCAAGGGAGATCCCGCTAGGGAACCAAAGCCGTTCGTCAACCCCTACAAAAATCTGGATTTGCCACCTGAGGCTTTTACCTTTGGTAAATCGGTGAGTCTTACCGTCTTTGTCCCTGGTTCCTTTGTCACACAGGACTGTGTTAGTACTCTGTTTGTCTCTATTCTTCTCATTTCTCCATGTCGATTGCCCGACAGTCACTTCCGCACAATCAAGCTGCTCAATGGCCATGCATTGTTTCTGATTGTCTTTTTTGTCATGGGATGTTTGCCCCATTGAGATGGGATTGTCCGCCTGTCGGTGACCAAATCTGTACGGCGGTCATCGCCTATCTGCAATATATAAGAAGCATGTCTTTCCCTTCTCCTGCTAGCTTCTGCAATTATCACCTTTCATCGTTGCTCGCAAAATCCGTACCACACTTTTCGCAGTAGAACCCAGACATTTTTACTGTTTTCTTTCAGTCTTTCTTTCTTATTTCTCCAAGCTTTGTTATCGTTTACTGCAATCACCATGCCTACGCAGGCTGAAATATCCGAGATCAAAGGCTCTATTGGGTCACGGAAAGCTGACGAGATCTATCGACAGTTCCTTGAAGGTAGCACCAGCGTGCCCCGACCAGGTTTTAACACCACTGGCCGCGAGGTTGATCTGGTCCTCAATGCTTATCCTATTACCGGCTTTCCCACCCAGAACGTTCACCAATATGACGTAAGTCACCATACAGTCTCTTTTCCAAGCATTCTAGGAGAACGAAGGCCTGACAGAGCTTTTTTTAGGTGACCATCCTCAAAATTGGCAAGGAACATGAGCAGCCACCCCCTCGCTCCCGAAAGTTCGCTTGGGATACAACTGCTAGGAAGAACACCTGGAAGCAAATGATCTATGATGGCAATAAGCTTGCCTGGTAAGTCCACTTTTCGAACTACTTCAAAGCTTGCTTCTAACAGCCGGAAACAGGTCCTCCAACAGCTATGACGAAATGAAGTCGGTTGAAGTCAACCTTGACAACAAGACTAACGACGATAAGCCGCCTGCTTATCGCATAATCATCCGGAAAGCAAAGACCATCAACCTCCAAGTGCTGCAAAATTGGCTGCAGAAGAAGGGCTCTTTTGATGAGCGAGTCCTTGAAGCGCTTAACTTCATGGATCACCTCCTACGCGAATGGCCATCCACCAAGTACAGCCCTGTCAAACGAGCATTCTACGATCCCAAGGAAGAGCCTCGCAACTTTGACAGCACTCTTGATCTTCGCAAGGGTTTTTATCAAGCCATTCGACCTGCTTTTGTAAGTGATATGTCAATTTTTGGTCTTCATCCACGTGTCTCTAACAAGAATCTAGGGTGGAAGACTTGTCGTGAACGTCGACAGTGTCCTTTGCGCATTTTGGCAACAGGTGACGCTTGTCAGCCTCGCTGATGGCCTCCTCAAGCACTTTAATTGGGACAAAACTGCTCAGGCTCTAAAGCGCAAAAACGTCAATCCTCAGAACCCCTTTGCCGGATACATCTACAGCAAGGCTCACGTTTATGTCTGGAACAAATTGCGTCATCTGGAGGTCAAACCAGCCTTCCAAGGCTGTACCGTCAATCGCAAACTTCGCATTCACAACATATTGACCGCGAATTCGCACGAAAAGMCCTTCACATGGACTGATCCCGCCACGGGCAAAGAGGAAAATATTTCAATCTTTAATTACTACAAGCGCAGATACAACTTGACTCTATACTGCCCCGAATTACCTGTGGTGGAGATGCAATCTTCACCTACTAAGGCAATCTTCTACCCTATGGAGTGTCTTCATGTGGCTGGGCTACAGCGTTTTAACCATAAGCTGGATGACAAGCAAACCGCGGAAATGATCAAACACGCAGTGCGTCGTCCCAACATTCGATTTGGCGATATCGAAACCGCGAAGGCGAAGCTTGGTCATTCAACCGATCCCATCCTCAAACATTTCGGCATGAAGATCTCAGACCAGTCTATTACAACCAAAGGTCGTCTTCTTCCGGCACCAGAGATCCAGTTCGCGAATGCCAAACACAATCCGGGAACTCAAGGCCGTTGGGACTTGCGTGGCAAGAAATTTCTGGAGACTAACAAGATTCCCTTGAAATCTTGGGGTGTTGGTGTCTTCAAGCAAGGCCGAAATGATTTGACTTTGCAAAAAGTGGATGAATTTCTTGATTTGTTCCGCAAGCAGTATGCTGGTCATGGTGGCACTATCGTAGGTCGGCCAGTCATTATGGACATCACTGGTGATACCGCTGAAGGTGTTTATCGCCTTTATAACGGCACCGGGCAAAATTTCAACCAACGTCCACAACTGCTGCTTTTTATCGTGCCAAACAAAGACACTATGGTCTATCACCGTATCAAAAAGTCCTGCGACTGTCGGTTTGGTGTGCCCTCTCAGGTCTTGCAGCAGGCCCACGTTGAGCGCAAACAGCCTCAATACATGTCCAATGTGGCCATGAAAGTCAACGCCAAGTTGGGTGGTGTGACTTGCAAGGCTGCTCCTCGTCAAGGCTCATTGAACCGTCCCGGCTGCATGATCATTGGAGCTGACGTTTCTCACGCAGCACCTGGCAGTACCGCTTCATCGTTGACTGCCATCTCTGTGTCTGCGGATCAGAACTGTGTCAAATACATGGGCAGTTGCCAGACGGGTTATAGCCGAGTTGAGATGATCGACGAGGACAACATGAAGAATATGCTCACCCCATTGGTCGACGAGTGGACCAAGACAGTTGGAAATGGCCGTCGTCCTCAATGTGTGTATTACTTCCGCGACGGCGTGTCTACTGGCCAATTCGCACAGGTGCTCGAAAAAGAAGTCCCTATCATCAAAGATGTCATCTGCCGTGGCAGTGGCGAAAAAACCATCCCTAAAATTACCGTGGTGATTGCCAACAAGCGTCATCATATTCGCGCAGCTCCACGACCAAATGACAAGGCTGCGGCTGACCGGAATGGCAATGCCCTACCCGGCACCCTTATTGAACGCGATGTCACCAGCCCGCACGACTGGGACTTCTTAATGATCTCGCATGTGGCTCTTCAGGGAACGGCCAAGCCCGTGCATTATCACGTTATTCGGGATGAAATGAACCACCAACCCGCACAGCTTCAAAACATGATCAACAATCATTGTTACCAGTACGTTCGGTCTACGACCTCAGTGTCTCTCTGTAAGTAATGCCCTCATCTCTACACCCTTTCCGCTTACTAACTAGCAATAGTCCCTGCAGTCTACTACGCACATTTGATTTCAAATCGCGGCAAATGTCAGAGTCAGGATGAGTTTGCTGACAGTTCGGAAGAGTCTGGCGATTCCCCTACCGACCAACCCGGTGCCCCGAAGGCATTGCTCCCCATGAGGACTGAAGGTCGTAACCATCTGCAGATGTGGTTTGTTTAGACTGGGATTTTTTGAGATTCGTGAAGTGACAAGGTGGATGGATCACTTTCATATTGCGGCTCTGGTATCATGATCAACCGTTTTCAAGCGTTTCAAGGTGGCTTGCTGTTCGATTGAAACTAGTTCTCGAAGCTATTTCTCTAACGAACGCAAGTGTAGCCGTTGCTGACAGTGGGATATTTCTTTTCATCAGAAGGAGAGTGTTATTTCAATCATGATGATATTTCTTCAACATTCAGTACAATGTAACTAGTTTGATCGATTGTTTCTAGCCGAGCTGGTTACTCTAACGATCCTAGATACGACCGTTACTAGATTTCTATGATATGAGAAGGCATTGACAGACAGGAAATTCTACGGAAGGGAATTGGGATAGAATCAACATAATAAAAGCTTTCTCAATATTCTACTAGCCCCGAAGAAATAGTCCATTTTTCCTAGCACAGTAGAGCATGGTTACTTCTAGGGAATAAAAGGCCTTTTCACACATCATACTATGATCTTGTCTCAAGGAACTTCACTTCGTATCATAGGAGGCACCTCGATGTGCGAACCTCCTTGAATAAAGAAATGGAAGCTCTCTTCATCACAAAATACACATAAGGTCCGATACTAACAATATAGTAATAGAGAGACCTTGTGTACGTTATAGCTATGTGCTACTAATATCCATAGCCAAGTCCTCACCACTATGAAACTGGTAGTGGTATGAATGATGCATTTGTATGAACATGATAATGATGATAAATTACACCCACAGCTGCACAGAGAAGCTGCTCATAGTAAATTCATGGATCGTAAGACTTGAATGCATGCAACTGGACGCAATTGTGAATGAAGATAACGGGCGGAGAAGGAAAAAAAAGAACGAGGTCAAGAAGAATCCACAGGTCGAGCATCTTGATGATGGATAGCTTCGTAGGAGAAACCTCAAAGAACGAAAATTTGCAGCATCTTTTTTTTTTTTTTTTTTCGGGAAGCAGATTCACGGCGAGATGGTGTATTGACATGATGGAGAGCGGTAGCGAGCGACGCGAGAAACTCAGAAAATGACTAGGAATGGCCGTTGATGCTTTCGGGGCTCATCATACTGTTTGTGCCGACGGCATTCTCATTGTTGGCAGAGCTGATCACTGCAATCCTGTTAGAAGGGGGCCTTCGACAGTTTGTGAAATAGTATGTCGTCGCGCCTACATACCATTAAGTTTGTCATGATGGTGATCAAGCTCTCCAGTCAACGTAGCGCCAGAGTCCGTCATGCCAACACCGTCGTGCGTCGCCCCAAAATCGCTTTTGGCAAGCTCGGCGGACTGTTTGAGGCGAGCTTGATCATCCGCAGATTTATTCTCTGTCAAGAGCTTCGAGTCACCGTTCGATAAAGCAAACGAGTCTTCGTTGCCTGGAGGTGCCATCGTAGTCGACGAAGATGCGTCGGCAGCAGTACCATTATTCTTTTTAGCTTTCTTCTTGCTAGGTTCTGCAAAGTTGATCGCTCCTTTACTCGAAGATATTTGTGCAATGCTTGGCGGTAAGGGTCGTTTCTGAGGGCTTGTTGTGAGATTGGAATTGTTGGGGGGAACAATCTTTCCTGATCCTGGAAGCTTTGGACGAGACGGTCGTTGTTTGAGAGGAAGCTCGAGATCCTCCGTAATAGGTTCTTCGCCGTTGGCCTGCAATTTCTGCAAGAAAAAATTCTGTACCAGTCCGATTTGTGAAGGCAGCGACTCCATTGTAACATGCGGATAGGGAGGTGGGACGGGGAATAGATTGCTCGTGGTTTGGGAAGTGCTAAACAACAGTTAGTGTGGAGGTACAAATAGCAGCGTCGTTGACACTTACCTTGTGTTCTGTGATTGGTGTGCATTGTACATCCTGTTTTGAAGAAGATGAAACGGCACACTCAAACTAGCAAGACCAAACTCTCTATCCAAGCCCATTTCCTTGAAACCAAAGAAATCTTCGTCAATATCCTCCGCGAAGTCACCCCCAACAAATTGCTCGCTCCCGTCGTTGAATGCATTTGAGCCATCACCAGTGGCATCATGGAAAGCTGGTCGAAGGAGCTCTGTGAAGTGGGCACGGAGACGCTCATGAATGACACCAAGTTTTGTTCCAACGCGTTCAATGTCATCTTTGACATATGACTCCAAAGACTCAACATCAGTGCCCACCGCCGAAAGAGTATGAAGAATGACTTCCTGCTGCGTATATTGCGACTTGTACTGCGCGGTATTTGGGTTCGACGTATCAGAGGCCTCAGCGACTGCGATCTTTGGTGCCTCCATGTACTCTTTCAGAGTTCGGCTAATTTTCACGAAGAATTCAGAAGCAATGTCGGTGATGGCGTCCAAAGCTGATGGTTGATACTCTTCAAATCCAGTATGGTACAGAATCTTCCCAACCGACCGCTGAAGTACGGCTTTCGAGATCCATGGATTGATCACAGGTCCTTCATCATTCATAACATGCGTCGACACATCCTGTTCCACGAATGGTTCAGGCTGGTATTTCTGAAATTGGTTCTGATACACCTGGGACTGAAGCTGCATCTGCTTGACAATGCTAACTTTAGAACAAATCTTCCTCGTCTCTTGCATTTGTCGCATGTTAGCATCCATCCTTCGAGACAATTTGCTATCAGGTTGTGTAAACGATCCTTTCGGCAGAATATGCAAGAATTCCTCAAGATTGTCGACAACATTACCCTCAGCATCTTCGCGCCATGCGAGATGTGCTGGAATGTCTGGGATGCCTGACATGACATCGTAATAGTCTGGAATTACCCTGTCATCTTCTTCCTCGATTCCCTCTGCAAGCGTCTCACTCGTCCCCGGCTGCAAGGCATTGCTCTGAGACTCGACGGCTTTATCAGATTCAGGGCCAGCCTGTTTCTGATTTTTGAGCCATCTGCGCATGCCAGTCTTGGTACGAAGCAGGGCGGGTTCTTCAACGTTGAGTTTGTCTCCTTTGAAAAGACGATGTCTTTCAGCTGCAATGAGAGCGCGGTCCTTTTTAGTGACTTGTTTCCAAACTTGATATTCAGGGTCATCGTAATCAAAACCTATCGCAGAAGAACCGGCGATTGTCAAAGCAGGCGCAACAAAACTGTCCATTTCCATGGCGTCAAGCTGACTACCAGAGCCAGCTGCTCCAAGGCCATTCACTCCAAGGGGCGTTAATGTTCCTGGAGGTGGAGTTGACAAGCCATTTTGGCTTCCCTCTGCCAGTCCATCTGCGTCGGGGCCAACTGAGTTCTTGGGTTGGGAGCCTGATGGTCCAGATGGGGCCTCTGAGCCACTTGGCGTTTGTCGGCTTGGGGCTGCTCCTTTCTGGGATGTCTTCCCGGGAGCTTTTCTACCTCTTGACGAAATGATAGGTTCATCATCGCTTTCTTCGGCACCGTCCATTTCTGCAAGCTGGAGTCTCCGTTCTTCTGCTTCCACTTCTGCGCGATCTCTGATCACAATATCAGGAATCAAAGGGACCAGCTTTTCCGTTTCTTTCCTCATGTATAGGGCATGTTTGCGCAGGAAGTGTTCCGGTGAAGCGTTGTATTTCAAACAATTGGCCCAGATCAGGTTAAGGTCGTCGACGAATTCCTGTTTTGATTTGTATTGCAATGTCTTCAACTTCTTTGTCATGGAACCCAAGTCCATCGGATGTTTAATAACTTTAATATGTAAGCAATAATCGTTGGGTTTCATTTCCAAAATGTGAACTCACTAGTATGGTAGTCGGGAGCCTCGCGCTTATTGACTCGAGACAAGAAGAACGATGAGTGCTCAGTCATTGCTTTTAGTTCGCTCAAAACCTTCTCGGCGGCTTCATAGAGTTCTTCCTGTCCAACCTTCTCTTCGCTAGCCCACTTACTACGATTTTTGCGAACCTCACTCATCAAGCTGCGAAGTTCGGCATCTGATGCTTGCACCATTGTGCGCTTCATATCAATGCGAGCGATAAGGTTCTTCAGTGTCAGGCTGGAAGCACCGAGGTTGGCGTTGCTCAGSGAGCCGTATCCATTGGCGCCACTGGTCACATTGTTCCCACCGCTGTTGACACCTTGTCCGGACATTTCAGCTTCCACCAGCCTCTCCGATTCCTCGAGTCGTTCCTGTTCTTTCATCGCATCGTGGTCGTTTTCCAGGGTGTAGAAAATGGTTTGGAAGCTTTGTCGGGCAGCCTCTTCTGTCGCCTTCTTGCCCTCCTCAAGCTTCTTCCTTATTCCTTCCAATGTGTCTTTCTTTGTATCTTTACCACTGTCAGCAGGGGTACCTATCGCGGGAGACGGTCGTTGCGCGGGCGTCGCATCGTGAAAGGGTGTTGCAGCAGATTTGGCTTTCAACGGAGACGCGTTGATGTCTTCCTGCGCTTCGCTATCTTCCTCGTCATCGTATTCATCGTAATCGTCGTCGTCGATTTTCCGCGCAGCTTTCTTGGCTGGTCGCTCGGAGTCTTGGGGGCGCGCCGGAGTAATTTCCGGGGCTTCGAGTACCATCGCATCTTCCTCAGAGGGTACAGATTCACTACGTTTCGCGCTGAACAAATCGTTGATCTTAGCTTCGCTGCGATTGTAGAGGTCGCGAAAAAGTGTGATGCGAGCATCTTCCTCCGCAGCAGTGTCAACGTCGGAGATCAAATTCCCGGCCTGGGAGCCTTGTTCGCTGTTAGAAAAGCGCATTTGAGGCGTCCGAGTACCAGACGATACTCTCGAAAGGGCATTGACACCGCGCGCATCGGGATGGTGATCGTCCGGGGGTCGCAGGTGGCCTGGGGGCATCCAGGCCAAATTTTGACCGAGGGACATATCCGCGCCCTGAGGAAACCCCGTCGAGGGGGACACGTGATTCGTCGGGGCGGTCCAGGGCAGAACGGGAGCTTTTTGAGCTCTGAAAAATCTGCAGAGTAATCTCCAAGTCGCGAGCAGTATCGCAGTGTAATTTTTGGAGATCCAAGTGATGAAGACGGGGAGTGGTTGATGGCTGACGTAGAGCTCTTTTTGGTAGCAATGACGGACTGAGGTTGAGAGAGGCCGTTGAGTTTGGCGGCCTCCGCAGACCAGATGCGTAGTTGCCCTTTCTAGCGTTGTCCGCTCCCGTGCTTGGCTGACGACGCTAACAGCCCCAGCCGCAACAACGCTTCACATCTCGTTGTCTAACTATTGTCTATTGATTCATGAACAATATTGCTGTGGATAGACACGCGTAGTTGATTGTTTGTCATTCACCAAAAACAACTACTCTTATTATTCAGCCAATATACATGCTGTTATGCCTGCATCGACAATAGTAGGGCATTCCGATCTGCTTCCGAAGCTCTACGATTTGGCCGGATTGCGTGGTGATTCATCGCCAACGCTGAAATAGAGAACGACAACCAGTCTTTGTTGCGGTGTGAGGCACACTTCAGAAGAAATGAGGATTCGTTATCCTTTCCTCGGTAGGCGTCCAATACCTATGAGGGTCCAGAGCTAGACTTATTGTCTTATTGTTATTGCTTATGGAAACATGCTAATCAAGCTCACAACCAGCAGGCGCATTCGTGCTGCTCCTTCTATTCTCTGCTTATATGGGACTCTTGCCACACAGCACATCAAATACTATACCGACGAATCTACAACCCAACGATAAATTCCTACACTTCATAACTTTCTTCTTATTATCTCTCGTGTTCTACTGGATMCCCGACACATCCCGCCGAAGAGCGATACAAGCTAGTCTACTAGTCTGCACATTCTGTCTCGGAATCGGATCTGAAATAGTGCAAGGTCTCCTCCCCAATGACCGACTTTTCGATCCCTTCGATATTCTCGCAAATGTAGTCGGCAGTGTTGGGGCGATTAGTCTCTGCGGCTGGTACCATCGGCGCATGTTGGAGAGACGGCGACAAGCACGCTTCGGAGCCCTGTCAGATGACCTTGGAGGCGAGCCTCACGACGATGATATCGAGCTGGGTCTCAGTGGCTCGGAAAGCGCTCGTCTGCATGAGGATACGGGTCCTCAGGAGACGGGTATCATTACCAATTTAGAGCGGGAAGTTGATAATTGGGACGAGAACGCTGTTGATAACTGGGATACGGAAGACGGACCCGGACCTGACGAGGAGAATGGCAATGCCAAAACGAGGAATGACTAGTACAAATGAACCATGAGAGCGAATGTGGCAACGGGAATGAATTTCTTTATATTATTTGACGTTTCATTTCTCTACTATATACTATTGGTGGAGGTCTTGAATGGTGCTCGGTTTGAAGTTCATGTTTGAATGCACCGTGCCCTATGTACCATGATTGCCTTTATTGCCTACAATGCCTCCACACACAGACCTATGTATACAAAATAATCCTGTTCAAAATAAATATACCACAATATAAAGCTCAGATATGCACAAGGAACCAGGCTATGCATGAACCTCAAACACCAGGAGGGAAGGGTATCTGCTGCTTGATATACAACACATGCGTAACAGCGACAGCAAGCATATACATAGAAGAAGAAGAAGAAGAAGAAGAAGAAGAAGAAGAAGAAGAAGAAGAAGAAGAAGAAGAAGAAGAGGATAAACGAAGTAAGCAATAGAAGACCATGTGATGGTGATGTTGTATGAAATCTATAGTGTCATGAGCATTATATGCGGTAGGTAAAGAATCCATGTGTTCGAATACAATCATCGAAGCGATTTTTCACTCCCTGTGATGTATGTTCATTCGTCGTCTGAGACTGCGGGTGACTGTTCGGGGCTTTCTGCGCCCAGAGTATCTTCTTTAGTTTCAGGTTCCAATTCTGGTTTGTTCGAAACAGTATAGTTCTCGTCTGAAGTCAATCGTGCAACTTTCGGCGACCGCAGATCCAAGGTCATCTCGTCGTCTAAGGTGCCTCCCAACTTACGGATGCTTTGCTCCCGAATGACTTCGTAGATGAATTGCAGTTGCATTTCGTTGTAAACCATCATCATCCGCTGCTCTCGTAGTTGGTTGACGGTGTCATAGATCGGATCTTCATCGAAATATTTTGAATCCAACAATTCACCAGAGTCCAATTCTCGTAATAAGTGATCAAGGGCAATAAAGGTACCAGTCCGGCCAACCCCGGCGCTACAATGGACTATGCGAGGGTTATCCGGTGATGACTTTTCAGCTGTGCGTTGTAGGAGTTGGAGAAGAGCGTTGCGTTCCTCTCCTTCGGGTTTCGAGTAGTCGGCCCATCCAGCAAACAGAAAATGCCATACTATCTTGCTTTCATTGCCAATTTGAAGTTCCAACTTTCGGATCTCAGATCGACATGCGTCATCAAAGTAATGTTCGCGTAGCGTGATACTTCCGGATAACTCTGAGCTGCTGCCATCCTCTCTTTCTTCTTTTTCCTCTTCCGCCTCCTCTTCTTGGGTATCTTGATCGCTCGCTAAGGAATCGTCCGCTTCGGCCGGAAAGTTCATTACGGCATCGTCTTCGTCTATCGGAAAGTATTGCGCGCACTTCTCCCTTCCAGCCTCGACTGTTTGCGTTAACATAACGATGACCGCCACGTCCGCACTTTCGTGAAAAACCATATGCCAAAAATGCGCCAAGTGGATACCGACTTTTGGGCCCTGTAACCATACAGTCAGACATCATTATCTCAATAGGGAGATGACTTGAGAGAAACATACCTGTGTAGCAATATACCTCGTCTCGTCGCCCGTACGGGAGTCCTTCAGTATAATAGGAGATGCATTGATAAAGTCGCACTCTCCCTCAGGGACCTTTAATCGGATGCGCGAATTTGCCCAAGCCTGAACGTTCTGATAACGATTTCGTGACTTGACTTCCGGACTGGTGTCAATGGCCCATCTATGCGAAGGATCCTTGGACATAACTCCTTCCGCTATCCGGGAGCGTTGCAACCATTCGAGATCTTCAAATTTCTTTCGTATTTCTGCACGAAAATCATGTCACACGATCAGCTATACCTCCTCTAATCACAATGACCTTATGAAAAACCCACCTGTATATGGAAGATTCAAGAATGACGGCAGCCCTGGAATCGAAGCCGACGTCTGTGTATCAAACTGATCCTCATCTGGTACAGCCAAAAAATCCGATCCTTCAGACCCATCGTACGGGAGTCCTCGTTTGGTTCCATGAATGTCGGTGTCGATTCGGATGGGCGACTGTGCCATTTTCCCGGAGGACTTGTGATGCAGCGCACGAAAGCGATTCAACACACTGAGTGCTTTTCTCGAGGCTTTCTTGCCGGTCGCGGCGATCTTTCGCGATCGGCCTCGAGGACCTGACGTAGTCGTGGGAGACGAGGCTCGGGAAGCACCCCTCTCAGAAAAGGAGTCGTCGCCTGGCGGATTCAATGAAACTGGACTGGGAGGGCCCCGATGCTGTGAAGTGATCTGTAACGAAGTCAGATCCGGGCAGCTAAAGGAGCTGCTGGGAGATTTTGGGGTGTCCAGGATTCCGGTTGTTGATGTTGGAGGGGCCGCAGTCGGCCGCTGAAGACGCCCAAGCCGCACCAGATGGAGGGGTTCGATGGTAATTCGTTGGACAGTCAACCCTAGCAACCTTGGGCTTTTGGCTGCAAGTGACTGGATAGTGGCGGTTAACGTGAGGATCAGAAGGCACCCAGGCCAAACCTGTCGGATGAAAAGATGCAGGAGCGACAGTCCAAACTCGAGCAATAAAAATTATTGGACACTTTGCAGACTGATCCAGCAGTCCTCTGGAAATATCCGTACAGTCGGCGAGGTAGAAATGGTTCAATAAAACATATGTGCAGGGCAAGTACTTTAATTTTCAGGGATGTACAGAGAAGATAAATTAATACGACAATTCTTATGGGGGAGAGGCGTCGACAAATTATTCCTCAACGAAATTTGCAGAGCAGTCGTTGGCTGTGCAGCGTGAGGCTTGATCAAGCCTTAACTAACGGCCAAACGCCGGCGGGTCGGGACCAGACTTCTTCCTTCCTTCTAGACTCGCGCTCGACTTTTAATCTTGCACCATCTCAGGATAGCTTCCTTTCCCTCCCAAGGTCATTTGATGTGACCGGTGACTGACCATGCTTGGTACTTGAATTGTTTGGACGATTCTTTGTCTGACTGGCTGAATATGGTTTGGCTTCGCTTTGTAGAGGTGAGCGACTGCTGTTAGATATACAACTCCCCATCTCACAGACTAACCATCTTTTAGGCGTGGGCTATCAATCGCGTAAGTCGCTATGACCAAGTTTCCTAACGAACATCTTTTGACATCTTTCCGAATAGCTTCTGCGCAGTCCCGCCTTTCATCAAATGGTTCGCAACGTCCATCGGAGGGTTGAACGCGCGAGGCACGGTGTGCCGCCAGAAGAAATGGGGGGAACAAATATCGAGGAGACATGTTTGTGCCCTTGACATCTCAAATCATCTATTTTCGAGGCTAACATTGGGTCTCGCACAGCTGGAACGAAACATTTTCTCCGACTTTTTAAAGAGCAGATCCAAGACCAACTCAAAGGCAACCCGACGAAACGAAATTGATACGATGACCACCACGTCCGTGGTTTCACAAACGTACATTTCTACGATACCCAGAATGCAAGAGTGATTTTCTACAAGATGGATTTTCTATCAAAGAGGCTGGACCTCGGTCATCGACATGTTGGTCACTAGCCAAATCTACCTATCGGCTATTCCAGAAGTGTCAATCATGCTATAATCAATGGATGAATGATTCATTTAAACAATTATATAGTCCCCATCAGTTTTAATGGCGGTTAATGGACGGAGATGGCTACATCTGTCCGATAGTCGGTGCCTAGGTAGGTAGTGTTAGTAGATAAATCCAGCAACCGGAGTTAAAAATAATCAAGAACCTTATGATATTATTCGTATCTTTCTTCCACCTCATACGTAGCTACCGAAGGTCCTTTTTTGCCGATTTTATATAAGCAGCTGTAGTGTAGTTTCAAAACATTCGATGCACCCGTGGTACGTTGAAGTGTTTTGAGGTGGACCCAGAGTGTGCTGCTGTCTTGCTTCTCCAGAGGGATATATGATGTGTGATGTACCGTAGCATATGTTTCAATACATCTTCAGAAAGACACCGAAGCATCAAAGTTGATACAACTACGTACCACTCTCTAGGGACTATTTACATCATTCTGTAAGTAGAAGAGTACGTATTGTCGGCCTGTTAATACCGAGACTAAGGCTATCACTGCCGTTAGCGAACTAGCCAGCAGCATCCAACGCCCTCCTCCCTCGCACGACGCGGATCTCTCGGCGGTTCTCTTGCCGATTTGCCTTCCACTTGTTTCACCATAGCGGCTCSGCAGTCATGACGATTGTGTAAAGGGCTGAAAGGTAACTTATGGCAGATGAGTCTTTCATGCACGCATGTGTAAAAATTCTCATTGGAGGACTCGGAGTATATAATCGTGTCCGTAACAAATGTCTGCTCGTACCCCGTACCGACAAGATGAAGAAAGCTGAAGTTTTGACGAAGATCGAGCGGGAGGTTGCTATTTCCGATCAGTCAATGAGAGGAGCGAAACTAATGGTTTCACCAATTGTCACTCTCTTATCCAAATTCGAGTCGATTACATACATACAGAGAGTACGTAGCAGTAGTGTCGCATGAACAGCGTACTGGACGTAGCATCCAAATCTGACAGTATGTAGGCATGCGTCGAGGCTGTGCTGTCTGTGAAATACCGAAGCCGTTGTACCATTGGGTGAATTCTGGCTAGGGCCGGCTGTCGTGTTCCCTTTTCCTGATTGGCACTAGCCCGCCCGCCGATTGGCTGCTCCTTCTCTTTCGGCCCTGGCAATGCCAAGCACAGGCTCCTTGGTTCTTTCCCTGACTCCCGCCCAGCTGACTCTTTTCTCTCTGTTTATCCCCCTTCGACTGATTTCGCTCACGGACGCTCTCGCTCACTAAGTTACATCCACATCCACGCCAATTCGACTTGGACGTGTCAAATACTCTATCACCGCCTCGGTCGCCATTCGTTTCTTCCTTAATTTCCTTCCTCTCGTTTTATTATATTCAACTCMCCCTCAGTTCGTCCAACAGTAGCACTGTTGTCAAGCCGTACGCTTCCATTTCCCCCTCAAGTCGATTACTCCTCAACTTTCCGAATCAACAACTTCGTCTGGCAGTCACTGAGCGTCAAAAACTGCCTTTGCAAATCCATAGCGATAGTTCCATTCGAAAACCAGAGAATTAGAGTTATAGGAAAGAGCAAAAATGCGTTCTTCTTTGTTCTTGGCTGGTGTCTACGTACTCGCTGCGACCGTCGCCGGTGCAGCAGAGCCTGAGAAGAGAGATAGCCTGACATCTCTAGGCGACATCCTTTCACCAACTGTTGCTACCACCGCTGCTTCGACTACCAGTGACCCAACCTCTACTGCTCCAGACTCCGCTAGCCAGACTACAGCTGCTGAAACAACATCTGCGGACCCTACTACTTCCGCTGAGCCCACCACATCATCATCTTCCTCCTCCTCCTCCTCCTCCTCTACAACATCGACTACATCTTCGAGCAAAACATCCTCGTCAACCTCCACAACAGAGCCCCCATCGACAACAACAGATCCTGCAACGGCCAAGACTTCCGCGACATCTGAGCCTCCATCTTCTACCACCACTGAGCCCTCCACTAGTCAGACTGAAACGGTTATCTACAGAACTACTACCATTAGCGGTGTTGCCACAACGCAAGCTTCCACATCGACTGCACCTTTGACTTCTTCTACTAGCAGCTCGTCGCCTTCTCTCAGCTCCGGTTCTTCCGGCTCCAGCAGTGGGTTGAGCAAGAGTGCCAAGAACACCATTATTGGTGTCGTTGTCGGTGTTGGTGGTGCGATTCTTCTCGCGGGTGTCGCTTTTGTCGCCTGGAGAGTCTGGGGACGCAATAGGCACAATAACGACAACGACGAAGACGATCTGATGAGCGCCGGTACTGCTGTTGGTTCCAACCTTCGTGAAAAGGCTCCAAGCCCATCTTCTACTGGCACTCCATTCCGCTCTACTCTCGATCAATACCACAATCCTGGCCCTGTGAACGCTGCGTCCAACTTTTAGACAGGCTTTACACTACTGTCATATGCCCCAAGCAGACTTGGCTCTTTTCATCGCGTTGGGTTGTTTTTATACATGGCGGCGTTTTGGAGACATCTTTGACGGATTCTACTTCTCAAGAATAACCTTTCGTCACCTATCCCATGCATCCACTCATTCACTTATTCATTCAAACTTTTTTGGAAACTTATAGACTGTTTTCCACAGCGCCGGCACTCATATTGCCCCTGAATTTGATCTTTGTTACATCAAAACGACACTCCTTACGACGGCGACCTCGCCAGACGACCACACCGATGGCTATCATTTGCTCCGATCGGTGGTATTTCTGCCGATTTATCGAATACCCTATTCTTAAACCTGATTACCTATTTTCCGTTGTTTGACCAAACCTACAAATCTTCAGTCTTCTGTCACGAAAGGTTCCTGTAGTTTGTTATCCTTGGCAGTACCGGACTTGGCATTTAGTGCTATATCGTTCTAGCCTTTTGTGTATGTAACAAGGCATTTACTTGTACCTACTGGATTTCAGACGGTGGTCGCAAAAAGTCTCCCGTTGCTGCGTCCGCAACCTGCTTTTGTATCATATAATTTAATTATGCAATTATTATAGTTCTTCTTTCGGAATTTCAAAGACCAAAGCGTTATTTGACTACTGTAAAGGGAAAGATCTAGTATAGAAACCCGAGGCCATGTCGCGACCTGTGTAGCAAGCCAATCAGGGTCAACGCGGGCAGCAATTGGGCAACATCAAACCGATGTGAAACTCGTCGCGCTTAGATGCAACCAACCACCCTGTCAGACACGAGCTTTCTGTGACAGTGACTGTTAGTGAACTTAGTGATATACTGTGGTCACACATGGTCCGGCGCAGACTCCTGCGGCAGTAGTTCGCGATGAGCCCCGAGATGGTCTCAGCTGTTGATCTTTTAAATCCTTCCTCGGGCCCAGGGAGAGTTCAGGGACAATTGATGCCCCATACTCCAAGGAGAACTGTCTAATTTTGTTATCACTTTATCTGTATCTGCAACATTTTCCTTTCAATATCCTACGTAGCAATTCCAAGATGCTATACGATGATACAGCGCAGTGACGGTCAATCGTGACTACTAATTGAAAAGCATATATTTTCACGACTTCTACGAATATGAAGGCCAAGAAGCAACATGAAATTGTATGAAAAAGAAATTTTGCATAACTATTTGTTCTTAACCGACCAAGCAACCAACTTATCGAGAAAATGACATTACTTCACCCATCATCCCAGCACAGCATCACGTCGCTGCCTCGAACACCATCCTCGCTCACATTGATTGGACTGTCCGTATTACTACTGCTCATGACGAGAGCCACAGCGGCTACAGCATCAATTGGGGCAAATTCATTGTTAATGGGGTTTCAGATGAGTGCGTCTGCTGTTGTTGACAGAAGAGCAAGTGGGCATCAGCACCAAAGGGTTCGTCTAGTGTCCCGACTCATACTGTATACCGAGAGTCGACTTTGCTCGCTTGTGAGCTTCTTCGCAATGTGGAAATGGCTTACAGTATATGGCAATATGTAGGCATCTTCTACTGTCCTCGGAATTGCGGCGCCAGCTATTACTATGACGGGCAATTCCAAAAGGCCCTTTGGCGTCGAGAATAATACCTTTGTAAGTACACTGTCTAACACGTGAGCTATGACCATCTTTCTAACGCCTACGTATGTAGTCAGACTATCCCTCAGCAAGACAACGGAGGTTCGTGTGTTGGCTCCGTGTCCTAAGAGATATGATCAATGATGACTGATCGTCGGACTATAGCTGTGGTGATCAGTTCAATACGTGCCAATTGGTTAGTTCTCGGTATACAACGAAATTGCAAGTTTTTCTGCTAATACTGGGTGTCGAATAGATGGCTAACACCGATAAAACCGTGGATTTTACAGTGTCTGACTGTCAAAATCAGCAATGTATGTCTGCCATGGTTGGACTCTTCGAGTGCTGCTGTCTAACCGAAAGGATTACAGCAACCTGCTTGAATGTGAATCAGGCCGTTGTAGCCGCCAGTTCGAGCACGAGTACCTCGTCCTCGACTTCAACTAGTTCCTCAACGTCAGAATCAACGAGTACAACAAGTTCATCAACGTCAACGTCAACGACAACATCAACATCGACCTCATTTTCAACTTCTTCCACCTCTACATCGACCTCAAGTACCTCTACTGCATCTCCTTTAATAACGTCAGCAACCTCGACAAGTCTTACTCAATTTCCTACTCCTCAACAGACAACCATCACGCAAGGCGACTTCATTTTCATTTGCGATTTGTGATATGTTTCTACCGGCAAAAAAACCACAGGTATGCAGCATGATATCGTTTTACTACTTAATCAGTCATGTACTATTATGTATTTGTAAACAGAGCACATTACCTCAGTATTGATGATACTGCTACGTTCGTAGAATCAGGGCTAAATATTTCTGCCGTCGTGCCTTATGACAATATACTAGTCCAAATAAGGCTAGCGTCTCATCATATCTTATCACCTAATGCAGGACGCGGTACCGCGCTATGCTCGACGCGACTTTTTGGCTGCAATACCGGTGGCTGTACATAACTCCCATCACATCTCTAGCCATGGGAAGGAGTATTTATACTCGACAAGCTAGATCATTTGACTGATTATCTGAGAAAAGACTACGGCAGTTCAATTCGCTATCTTGTTCAAATTTTGCCACGGCTCTTACTCGACTTGAACAACCTCCTTCCCAACTTGATCATCAGCTCAATCATATGACGAGAAAATGCTCGAAACCATTCCCCAGCAGTCTTTACAGCTTCAGTATACTCCTCAAACACCTCAACAAGGCTACGATTGTCGTCAGTACAGCGGTCGATTCCCGTATACCCCGACATCTCCTTCGCCGCTCGGATTCCGCAATGTGAATGCTCAAGCGGCCATATTCCCGACTATGACCGAGCGCGACCTCAATAAATCAGAGGGATTTCAAGACCAAGAGAATGCCTCATATTCGCCCTTCGATAAGCAACACAGTGACAGCAACAACAGCAAACCGTTCTCTTTTTCTGCAGCATACAACACCATCACACCCCCTAACCGGCGCTCAACATACGAAGAACGATTCAGAAAGTCCGGTGGCTCCACTAACGCCTACTCACGAATCTTCGGCTCTCCCTCAAGCGCCAGCAACACTCCCAACAATGACACTTCCACATCCTCCAAACATCGACAACTCTTCCTCAACCGCGTGAAACAGAGCCGTGACGATGCGCGATTTGGTTCGCGCGGCGAGTCACTGATGATGATGGAATATCGCTCTGAACAACAGTCATGGGACGAGCGGATGCGTCAACGAGCGGATACGCTTTCACAGCAATATCACATTGAGGACGGCGAAATCCTGAATGAAGAACTCAATAATGATTATGAGGACAATGATATGATGCTTGACTCTGAACAGTCGGCCCTTGAGGAGTTTATCATGCAAGAAGAGGGCGTCGATCCGGCGCTTATAGAGAATCTTACCAATGGCGATGATCATAAGCGCTCGCCGGCAAAGAGTGTTCGGAGTGATGGATCATTGTTTGGTAGCGATGACTGTGACTACGAGGATATTTTCATGGACCTGGTTGACTGATCAACTAAGGGTGCCGCTCTAATGATCTTACATTGCATTATCAGATAAATTTGGGTCGGCGAAGTGGCGTTCATTTTATCCCTCCTGTGTCTAGCTTTGATTCCTTTTTGTGAGGCTATCGATTGGGTATCGTATATGAGGGTTAAGGTCGGTCTATGTACATAATCCGTGCACTGCCGAAATTTGCATCGGCTTTAGGACAAAAACCAGTCAAACATTGGAATCGTTCAATGTTCTTTTCAAAAGTAAATGTTAGAGACAAGAATCGGGATAGTCGTTCATTGCTGGTTGCATTCTGGAGGCACCTGGCCGGGATCGATGTCTTCCAAGTTGCCGCTGGCCGGTATAGCATCCATGAAGGGGACAAGGCTGGGCAGGATGCCTTCTCCCATGGAACCTTTAATGAGATCTGATGGAGGGGCGCCACAAGCTTCCATCTATCGTATCTGTCAGTCACACTTTGCACTTGTCTTTCGGAACCAAGAAAAAGGAAGGGGCGAAGTACCTGTTGCATAAGATCCCAGATCGAAGCCAGACATTCTGGTTTATCATCCGAGTAGTCCTTCGACTCGAAAGTCTCCACAATCTTCTTTATAACTCCAGCCTGTTTCTCGTAGTTTGCATAATCCCCTGCAGAGAGCGTGGCCCTATTTTCCTCCAACCAAGGTCCATATTTAGTATCGTAATCCTTCATAGGCTCGTATAACATCTCTTTATTCGACATTTCCTTGATCACATCACTAAATACTTGCTCAAGGTCGAGATTGCCACCGTCTCCTGCTGCCTCGCCGGCCATTTCCATCAATCGTGATATCGATGCATCGATTAATTTGTCCTGGCTTGTTTTGGCCTCTATCGTGATTTTCTCGCCGGATTCTTGCATGCGCTCGAGCGTCTTTTGAATGGTGTCTGGGAACGATTCTCCTGCAACTCCTGCCGATGCAGAGGTTGAGCTACCTGCTCCAGTCCCTTCTGAATCAGCCAGATTTTTGAAGAGATTCTGCATTCCGCCATCTTTCTTTAATTCTTCCTCGAATTTTACAGCGTCTTCCTCTGACATGTCCTGGAACATTTTGATCAGGTTTGATAGGCTAGGTTCTTCGGTATTTGTTTTTGGAGGTGGTGCTGGCGCTGGTGCTGGTGCTTTGTCCTTGCCACTGGCTTTACCCCCCATTAGCTGGGCCAACATATCCGCCTCTAATTGTTTGATGAATGCTTCTTCGGTGGCATTGTTTTGAGTGTCTGGTTGTTTCGAGGAAGTGGTAGACTTCGTTGATTGTTGCGGGCCGCTGAAATCGTCCAGTACCTCTATTAGGAGAAAATAAGCCTCCAGAATAACGAGTGAGCTATCAAGGAAATCATAAACACACCATCCAGATCCTCCCACTCGGAATCTTCATCGTCAGTCACCATGTTCGGTGTCGCGCTCACCACTGGTTCTTCTGCTCTAGGAGTTGTCTCCCGCTCATCGCGTTTGTCCGCGGTCTCGGCGGCCTGTTCTGTAGATGCCATTTTGTTGGGAGGTATATCGCCAGTACTCTTCTCGAGTGTTTGGATTGAAAATGAGCAATGCCAAAACTTTGCAAAATCGTTGAATGCCGTGTGGTACAAAAGTAAGGTCGACACAAAGATATCTGGAAGTTCAACCGAGGCTGCATAAATTCCAGACGTCGGCGAATTGACATGCGGGGAGGTCCCCACACTCCGGAGCAGTTGTTCGGATAAGATGTCAAGGTCAACAATTTGCCTTTTGAGATTATCAAGTCATACAAAATTATCATACTAATAGTTAGTCACAAGCTGATTTCTACTAGATGGGATTTTGTTCTTTGAGGTGAGGCATGACGCTCAAAGACTCTACAATGTCACACTTTCACATGGTCGAGCCTCCGGCTGTTCGCTCAGGGCATGCTAATAGCTACGTGTTGCCTCAACAATATCGACTGAACATTTACACGGTCTGAATCGTCGGAGGATTTCCAAGACTCACCTCAGAGATTCAACATTAACGCCAGAATTGACATGACCGGACATGGCTTTTATGATCGACGTTGTACTGCTCATACGGTTATGCATTGCCTCGAGGATACCGCGCGGCTAAGGAAGGTATTGTATCATAATCGCACGAGTATGCAAAGACTTTTGATCGGGGTGACGTCTTATCATACAAGGTTGTTCGATTAGAAATTCCGACGGCGACTGCAGTGACTGCAATTTTCAGACGTAGGTTATGATCCGATGGTATCGGACTCAAGGTATAACGGGACATACACGTCGAGGTGCAAGTGACTTCAATGGACGTGGAAGGCGGTGCAATCAATTGCAAGTACGTAGTTGCAGAACGAGATTTTCCACGATGTGCGTCATCAGGGGCAAGTTCAGGGTGCCTTGCCATAGGGCTGAGTGGTATCACCAGTACGGGGCCATAGTAATTCGTATCTGAAGCTGGACTGGAAGACCAAAGTCTATGCCGGAAAGACTGTCGTCTAGATCCGATCTTTGTCGTTTCTCGCAATGTTTTGCAGGTAGCACTCGTCGTGGTGGTTTTGTCAGTCACCCAACATCACCCAACATCACCCAACAGAACTGAATCGCCGACTCCGCGGGCCTTCGGAAGTCATTGGTGGAGCAGTGCGTCTTTAACGCGGCAAGAATATGAAACACGAGAATTCTGATGAGTCTGGAATCGTTGGGCTGTGTCGTCATATGATGCTGTGCTTGAGACGGGTATCGGCTAGAGTAAGAGGGATGAACAAGATGAAAGCGAAGCGCACGTCAAGGCAAAGAGGCATCAATACAGACAATACCGTATTGTGTGACAGTACGGTAATGGAAGAAATATATCGGAATGGGAAGGAGCCACCATGCAACTAAGCGTTTAGGCCTCAGGCAAGCGAGGCGCGTGACTGCCTCGAATTTTCTTTCCAGGCCATGGACTCGTACTTTACAACGCAGTAGTAGTAAACAGAGTCAGTGTGATCCGACAGCCATACTCGACGTCGAATGTCTTCTCGGAAACAGGCTCCAAATTATGGATAAAGAAAGCTGAGCAGGACTTATACCCGTATGCGACTATACGTACTCCGTTATGAGGCCAGATTTAGATCTCTGGCCGAAGAGGGAAATCCGGAGAGATCCAAAAGCGTGATCACCGTCCTAGAATGGATCCAAATTACGGGGAGCTAAACTAGATAGCCAATAGCAGCCTGTATAGATGAAAACACTAGCCTCGAAGAGGGCAAGCACCGTCTAATATGCTCCCTGTCAGCCACTCAAAGACCAGATCCGTTGACGTGCGCCGTGCAACTCATACAGCTGGTGCAGCAAACCCTCTCTCCACTTGGTGCCGGCTTTGTTGGCACTATGGGCGGAGGTCGCCGAGGAGAAGGTGTGTAAATTTGAAAGACACTTAAAATACTGGAAAATTTTGTAAATTGGAAAAGTCCAACAACTCCGCGGCTCCCAATACGTCGTAGCAGTAATTAAAGTGAGACCCTCATACAGTGGGCGTACACACGGACTATGTATACGTACTGTGAGTTGGCCGCGAAGAGAAGAGAAGAAAACTCTGTCCGCCATATCGACCATGCTACCATCTGCAGATTGCAGAGCAGGTACCTTGCTGTACCTGTATGGGCTACGTAAACCATGTACCAAGGCCGCATGGCTGAGAAAAACCTTGTAAGCGATGACGGACCTGTATGTAACATGTATGGAAAACGTGTGCGCGGGCGGAGAACATGGCCAGTGACCGGCGCTTGCATTGTCATTGGGTCTTGGCCCTCAAGTCTTCCAGTTTCCACTGTCCTTGTCCAGGCTGAGCCAGGGAAGAGAAGCGTGAAAAAAAAAATTATTACGATGACTTAGCAGCAGAAAGTGGAAAAAAGAGATTTCCTCTCCTCTTTTCTCTTAGTCAATTATTTTACCTCACGATTTCCCATCTTAATCCTCTTACACATCAACTAAGAATCCTGACATCGACTAACCTGCTATCTTGCTGTCACGCAATTCTTCTTATGTCAAAGTAATTGCCCTGCTCCCTCAATCTCGTCCGTGCTTGTCGCCTATTGTGCCTATCGCTGCCAACTACCGCCCAGCCGCGCGTTTCTAGCGTCTACTGCCTCCCCTCCCCCTCCTTCCTTCTGCGCTGCCCTGACCTCTGGCGTGGTGTCTGTTTATCGTCAGATCTCCAATACTAACCCCCGCGACTGATTGATAACATACCTGCATGCAGACCCTTATCTTCTAGGCTGTCTTGCGCGCGGGTCTGTTCAACCAGTCAAGCCCCTCCTATTGGTTTCTCCCCGGTCTGGTGTCTATTGATATGGTCTCTGTGGTCGACACTAGGCCCATGAACGATGATGACATTTCCATGGACACAATAGTACCCAAGACCGAGGCGGCACAAGATGGTCATGTTTCCATGAGTTCTTCAGTATCGACGCCCGAACCAGAAGAACCGAATCAGGATGTTGCCCAAACTCAAAAGCGGAAAGGTGGAAGAAAGCCCGTATGTCGTCGTGCTCATGCTTTATTGTTGTTTCACCTCTAATACCTCTTCCAGATTTATGCCACATCAGAAGAGCGCAAGCAGAGGAACCGGCAGGCTCAAGCTGCTTTTCGCGAAAGGCGAACCGAGTACATCAAACAGCTAGAGACGACGATCAAGCGGAATGAAGAATCTCTTCAATCGCTGCAACAGAGTCATAGGAGTGCAGCCGACGAGTGTCTGATGTTACGATACAAGAATTCGCTTCTTGAAAGGATTCTTATGGAAAGGGGTTCGTATTAAGTTAGGATGGTATGATCATGAAACCGGATTAACGTCGTTCTACTCATAGGCATCGATGTTCAAACCGAACTGCGTCTCAAGGCAGCAAACTCCTCGGCCATGCCTCCGGTTAAACCTAATGCGAATCCCCTAGCTCCTAAGCAGCCATTGCCTCTTGAACGTGCTGCCATCGGGAGAACTTCGACTCAGCGACGCCAGACATCCGGGGCCATCGCCCCTAAACCGGACCACTCCGGTCTGCCTCAATCACGAGACGGCGTCTACAATGCGAATTCTCCGCAACCTCAACCTACTCCCACATCACATGTGTCGTCCCCATCGACGGGAAGATCGCCTGGTTTTGCCTTGCAAGGTGCCATGTCTCCAAAAGGAGCCGATTCTCAATACCAACAGCAGCGCAATCGAGCACCTCTACTTCCAAATCCAAGAGATTTCACCCAGCAAAATCCACTGGGTGTAAACCCGATGAGACCTATGGATCCCTATCCGGCAGCCCAACCCGTGATTCCCGGAGGTATGCCATCTCATATGCAGTCATACTACTCTGCTCCATTTCAAAAACATTATGATCAACTAGGTAAGCTGACCTTGATCATGCGTCTCGCTGACGGCGACTAACCTATAAACAGAACAAGAATACGACGCCCAGGCTGATATGCTCGACGATGCTGACAATGCGGAGAATGGCTCTGATGCAAATGCTTATGTTCCCGACTTCAACCGACCCCCTGTGCCAACAGGACAAGGCCGTATGGGCTTACCCGTTCCGTCTTCTATGCAGACTAGTGATGTTGATCAATCGATGTACAATGCCGGTGGCTCCCTTTTCAATCAATACGAGCCTGTGCTTGATAGCGATACGTTCGGATTGAGTGCCAGCATGCACTTCCAAACCCCATTCAGCTACGAGCAGGAAATGCTTCGCCACTAAAGAAGCGGATTTGAAACGATAAGATCTAGTTCTAGATCTTTACGATACGACAGCGGATACTATCTCCCCTTATACTTCTTTCTCGCTGTACGTGGTTTTTGAAGCGAACCTTCACGAGACATTTAATTCATAGCATTGCCCTTTCTCTTCGACCCACTCCGCATCTCATATTTAATACAACTTCAAAAAGCGTGCATGTATGGCAGCGGGAGACTAAAAAAGTGCTTTTCTGGCGTTGGTGCAACTTTGTTTGACATTGAACTGGACTCGCTTCATACGGAACCGAGTTTGTTCTAAGTGTACACGTACGATTCCCCATTGATCTGTTCAAAACTCATATACCCTATCAAGACGATATTTTTCTTTGATTTCTTTTATTCTATTCGCTGAAGATATTGAGTGGTGGATTGCACGGTGGCTGTTGTCTGGTCTACTTTCTTACGCTTTGTACATGTTGATTGCTTTCCTTCAGTCTGTTGCGAACATGCATTATCAAATGGTGGCATACCGACACATCAAGGAGTTTGTTTAGGGTCACTGATATGTAGCTGTTTCGAGGAAGAACGAAAGATGATTTTATTCTTTGAAAGAACAATAAATGATAATATTCGACGAATGAGCATTAATGAAAGCTTCAATATGTTGCAGTAACTATACTACGTAGTAAGTAGGAGGCCGCATTCGGCGAGCTATAAACCCTAAGCCCTAATTGACGACAATTCCGGCCAAGTGCGGAAGTGCAATCCGCCGGGCTGGTTGGCTGATCCAATCGCTTAGCGTTCTGGCAGTGGGCAGCCGGCCCAGCCTACTCTGGCCTGTACAAATCACAAATCACAAATCACCGGCCGCAATCCACACCCACTCTACACCACCACCTACTATTACTCACCTTCTCCTCCTGCCTTCTTTCTGCTTCCCTTTGAGGATTCTCCATCCCCGAAGACTACACCTACCCCTCTTCCCACCTGACCTACACAAAGGCTGCAATCCTACCTTTCCCTGGATTCTGCCTTTCTCCAACCTCCTCCCTCCCTTCAATCGAATTGTTGCGATAAGAAAGTAAAGGGAAGCCTTCCCCAGGAAGGCCTATCCTCCGCAAAAAAAATAACCAGGCGTCATGGCTGACGTCCGGTCAAAGGTACGTTTACAACCCTGATCTGTTGATCATCTTGATCAATTGCTCTTCGCGACTGACCTCTCCTCTTTTCTTCGCAGAACCTGTACGAGCTTCTCGGTATTTTCTTCCTCCCCTCCCTGCCTACCTATACCGCGTATTTCGTATCACGATTACATCATGCCCTCATTCTAACATGATTATGTTCGTGCTTAGGCAACGACCCCGAGCTTGACTCCGACAGAGAACCCGAGCCTCCTACCAAGACCATCGACAAGCCAGCTCAACGTCATGGCAAGCGTGATGCTCCCAAGGAGGCCCCAGCTGCTCCTCCTGCTGCCCCTCGAGGTGGTGCTCGTGGCGGCCGTGGTGGACGTGAAGGCGGCAACGAGGGTGGTGAGTTAGAGAGCAAGCATTGGCAAATATACTCGGGACAATTTTACTGACGACTTTCCGTAAAGCCTTCCGTGACCGCAATGCCGGAAGCTACAACAACCGCAACCGTCCCGTTGACGAAGTAAAGGAAGCCGGACGTCGTGGTTACCGAGGACGTGACGACCGTGGTGCTCGCACCCGTACTGACCGTCACCCCGTTCGCACCTCTCACACGTACGTTACTGTTGCATACATTCAGTACCTGTGCTTCGTGAACTAGACTAACGCGATATCAGTGATACCGAGAAGCAGGTCGGACAGGGCTGGGGTGCTAAGAAGGGCGATGCCGAGTGGAACGACGAGAAGGCCGGTGAAGCCATCGCCAAGGCTGAGGAGGCCGAACCCCAGACTCCTCTCGAAGGCGGCGAGGCTGCTGCTGCTGCCGAAGAAGCCGATAAGGCCAAGTCCTACGCCGACTATCTCGCTGAGCAGGCTGCTAAGGGTCGCGGCGAACTCGGTGTGAAGGAAGCCCGTGCCCCCAACGCAGGCAGCAAGGACAAGAAATGGCAAAACGCCAAGGAACTCAAACGCGACGGCGAGGAGGAGGACTACATCAAGCCTCAGGAAGAGAAGGGCAAGCGCGAGCGACAGCGCAAGGAGAAGAACTTCCTCGAAGTCGACATGCGCTTCGTTGAGCAGCCCCGTGGCCGTGGCAACGGTCCCCGAGGAAGCGGTGGCCGTGGCCGTGGTACTGGTGGACGCGGTGGTCGTGGTGATGGCCCTCGCCGTGAAGGTGGTGGTCGTGGCGGCGCCGCTACTGGTCCTACTGTCCAGGTCGACGAGAAGAACTTCCCCAGCTTGGGCGGTAAATAAGTTTCTACTACCTCCCACACCCACATTTCAGTCCAACGTGGTTCACAGTTTTTGACTACTGAAGCATCAAAGAAGATTGGGAAAAGGAAAAACAGGATTTGATAAAAAGGGAATATTTTGCGATAGGAGGTTAATCTGATACAAAAAATGGCCTCGATTTCAAGCATGTACGCTCAGGGAGAGTCAATTGATTAATTTACGATTGATTAGTTGAGTGAGTGAAAAGAGTGAAAAGATTTTAATCAATTCAACGTCTATTTTCTATTTCTTCTTCACTACAGTACGGGGTACTTTCTGCTGCCCGTAATCGTGCCTTTTACAATATGTCGATTGTTACACACCGAGGTAAGGGTTGAAAGGGACAGCAATCTTGGTGCCTGCCTATGAAGCTGCAAAGAATGATTCAATTCAGCTAATGAAGTGTAAAAATGATGCTACTAAAGAATAATGATAACGATAATATGCGCCTTTGTAGTCCCTCCATGAATCATAAGCCCGGAAGCCATAGATCAGACTTCAGTCTATATCCGTCTTATCGGTAGGGGTCATCTCATAGCTCTCCATTCAATGACGGCCGTAACATACGATTGAACTCGGAGGCTGCTGCTGCTGCGACAGTATCCGATTCGGGGTCAACGTCGTTCAAAAATGACAGACCATCCATTGCTCTGCCACCACAAGCTCGCTGTAGAGCCAAAAATGCAAAATGGCCTCCAACGACAGGACGTGCAATGAAGAATATACCGGGATATCCGCCATTCCCTTCGGTCTCATGGAGGTCAGTAAATGGTCGATCAGTCGCAGTCTCGTTCACCCAAGTGGCTACAGACTCTAGGATCTCGCTGCGGACTTGTTCACTGGCAACGGCCATGGAAAAGAATTCCCAGTCAGTCTTGGTGTATAAATGACGACTGTCAAGAGGCAGACCATATCTCTGTCGGACGAAATGGTACCAGTTTGATTGCTTCTGGTAAATGTGCCTTGGTACAAAGCCACGCTTCTGGGTTGACAGCGGTGTCTGGAGCAACCCATCATATATGTCGTCTGCGCCATCCAGATGGAAGCAGAGTTGTGCGTCCGCATAAATGTTGTACAAAGTAGTCCATGAACCATACCAATCGTATGCCAATTTGGCATGCGAGCCATCACGGGACATACCAAATTCTTCCCATTTTATAATATAGTCGTCCGCAATGCGCTTGATTGTGTTTATGTTAGCACGGTTTCGTCGTATAGAGTCACAATTCATCAGTCGCTTACCTTGAAATAGGCTGCGTCTGACGCCTCGCCTGCGATATCTGCGATTTGACTCATGGCATTGATGCCAATGATGCCCTTTAGGGCAAGGTTCGTTTGGAGAGCAAGCCATCCTGCAAAGTCATCGGTGGACACTTCAAGCAAGTCAGTCTTTGTAAACTTCAAAGCAAGACCTGTTCACAGCACGTACGTTGATTCTCCGGCTCTAGTGAGAAATCTACGAGGTAACCTGTCCACTGCTTCCACAAATTGTAGCTTCGTTGAACCCACTGACGGGCATGCTTTGCACCACGTCCCTCTCCACCCCATTTACCATCTTGATGGTCTATCTCGGAGATTGTCTGAAGGTCCGCCAGAGTGAAAGGGAATGCCTGGTCATAAATTGTCTCCGGAGTCACAGCACCTTGAGCAGCCCATAGAGAGATTGACTCCTGGTCATCGCTGTATCGCAATGAATTCACCAACGCAAGACCCAAGATCAAGATATTTCCGCACTCCTCGACTGGCATATATTCATCTCTTCCATCGGAATGTCCTGTCGCATTTGGGAAGTGTGTTCCCAGATCATGCATGGCGTATTTGTTTGGATACTGCCCGCTCAATGTGTGTTCAATCAATGGCTCAAGCAGATAGGCCATCCAACGAGGACTGGTATATAGGAAGAAGGGGAACGCAGGATAGATGACATCAATCGTTTGCGTGTTGCCATCAGATGAGATCTCCTTCAAGAACAGGAGGGGATTCTCTGCAGTTCCGGCAAAACTGGTAGCACCTAGCACCTGGCGGGCAGAAAGCGTGACAATGTCCACGTAGTCATCAGCACCCGACTTGTATGCATCCACAGCCAGTTGAGCTGAATAATTGGACGCCAGGGTATTAGCATCCGCAAAGTCATCGTAATGAAATTCCAATAACTCGTCATTCGTGTTGAACCATGATTTCCACAAAGGTCGCATGTAAGTCAATCCCCGCGCGGAAGCATATTGGATGACAATATCCTGAGTGTGAGCTATGGTGAACTGTACCGAGTCGGATTTTGTCGATGAGTGGGTGGTGTTGAGAGCGAAATGTTTGGAAAATGCGAATACTGGTTCTTCGTCCATGATGGACCGGAAGCGGGTGTCTACAGCGTCTTCTAGAGTACCTGTGCGAGCGAAACGATCTCGCAGTATTGCAGACGTCCCAGACTCATGACGAACATCCTAGAATGAGTCAAAAATTTATTAGTAACTACCACCCATACAGACCGTCGGGCGAAGTGAGGTTACCTCGGGTGCGACAAAATGCAAGGTACCCCATTCAGCTCGGTCCGCAAACTCGGAGACCAGCAACTCATTTTGACGCGAAAATTGCCATTTCTTTAATTTCTTTGCTCCGCTTTGAGCATTGATATGGTCGAAATTCCAAACAAGCTGTGATCCTCGGTCACCACTAACCCATTGCCCGTTTAGATCGATGTACACATTGACATCGACGTTACCAGTGACGTATACATTGAGGTAGGATGCTGGAATCGACTGCCGCAGAGTCGATGTAGGTGTAATTGGAGAGAGAAAGGACAGGACTATTTCCAGCTCGCGGTGGGCGATGGGAAGGGTGTAAGTCAGATTGGTGGTCGATGCATCATATGTAGCTCCTTCATAGATCGGGTAGTCGATTGCGTACCTACACAGAAATCATCAGTCAATATGGTAGGAGTTCAATGGGGAATTATATTTGGTCGTACTTGGCACCGCTATCTTTCCGCAGAGAGTCCTGTGGGCGTCCAAGCAGTGGATACACAATGCCTGCACTGGGTACCTGAGCTAGCAACGAGAAGCCAATTTCTTCGCCGGTCCAGAAAATTGGCCATTTCGACCAGGGAACGTCCCGAGCGTTAGCCAACCAAGTACTGAAGTATGGGTTTCTCACAGTCAACGGAAGAACAGGCGGCGTGAGACTGGACGCTGCGGACAGGGCGGCCTGTAGCAGGGGCCCAGCCAGGGCTACGGCGGACCAGCGCATCGCGTGAGACGGATTCGGTTGCGACAACAGACCCAACGACAAGGGTGGAAGTGATAACCAATGGCTATGATAATATGAGTAATATGAGTGTATTGGTATATACAATTAAAGACTCGAGGAGGAGTTGGAGTTTGGAGCACCAAAAGGGGGCCAATTGTATCATCAATGTAGTCAAGGAAGGCACTGTGCCTGGGAGGCGATGAGGTCATGTGGGACTGCTAGCCCCAAACGAGACTGGTCTGTCGCTTCCCCGCAAATGCTTACTTAGTATGCTCCCCATACTCAAGAAATCATAGAATTTGCTGCCAGTCACTTGACCCCATCTTTATAATATGAGTATATAGGCCGATATCGCCATAACCTGTGACAATTGCCTGAGCAAGTCTGGATCCCAACACTACCCAGTCAGCAAGCTTCTCCGCATTGGAAGTACAGTGTGATTGGTTGGATCTCACTTTGAATCCATGTCGATGGCCTTGTGTGGTCGCTCATTGTCTCTCGGATCTTGAGATCTTCAAGGACTGAAGTTTTTCCTACGATTCGTATGATGGTTGACATTGATGATTGCGTATGCAGGTATGATTGGTAAATGACTGTACGATTTATATCCCCGCTGTCCTGAAACGATGTCGCCAAGTGATTTATTGGGTGACACCACCAGTAGACCTCGGTACTAGAGGAGGATATGCAGGTCCAAAGGAAGAAATATTTCCATGCCACCTAATATAGCAACTGGTGACCGAGTAGCGATAAGTGATTGCACGTCGAAGTACACGGGCGGTTACCACTAAGGCACTAGACCTGGGGATACCATGTACTTCACAGGCGAGAAGAATCGGAATGTTGCGACATCTCCGTCGATATTCGTAAATTAGATCGTGAAGTATTTTTTTAATATGCTACTCCCAACGCCGACAGCACCGTGAGCTAGCTCCATGCGAGTTCTCGCCTGCATCCCGAGTACGATCGAATGTCTGCTTAAGCCTTGAATGCACAATTCCGGGACAATGACACAATAAATGACAGAGTGGACCATTAATGTGATTAGAGAGATCTATGTATACACGCACTGTGAAGTATGTTTGTTGCTCACGAACATCTTGAAACTTGTCAATTGCTAGATGTGAGACCCACTTAGGGTTACGGGAGGACTGTAGGAAACGTTTGTGCTTGAGGACGCCTCACATGCTCATATATACATACCGAGTCGATGAGTCGTAAGAAAAAGACGGGCAGTGAATCCAAGCCAAGAAATACCATGAAAGACAATGAGTACTAGGAAGTGGACGATGGAAGAGAGTTCGAGCGCTGGCTTCACGGTCAACGAACGTCGAACGCGGCCTCTATTGACAGAAGCACAAGATGACAATTGATCGCGAATTCGTCCATTGGGTACCCGTGAATTTGAGGCGCAGGTTAACAGCATAAGAAGAATGTATCAACATAAGGAGAATTCATCATGTGGACCTTAGTCGAGAATGCGCTGCTAACGCAGCCAAATTCAACACGTGGAAAACGCGGTCCAAGAACATTCCAATGTCAGAGATTGAAGTCATACGGACATTCCTGGAATAGGTGCATAAAGGTTTGAAGCAAGAACCGAGTCGTGTATCCAAATAGAAGTGCAATTGCTGCAGGCATTTCAAGACGCGCAGCGTTGGCGTTGCTACACGTTTAAATTGAAAAGACGTGAATGAGTACGCATCTCGGAGCGGTGGTCTGAGCAAAGCTCCACTTCCGGTGACACTGCGGAGACTTCCCGCGGTCTCATACAACAATTACCACCACCACGCGACTTCTCTTGACGCGCCATTGATCATTGCTACGAGCCTTCACACTTGAGAAACTCTCTCAAAGAGACACCATACTCTATCCAATACTTCAAATGCTCACTCGATCCTCTTACAAAAGTCATTGCATGGAATTGAACATCTCTGAATACTTTCGAACCTAACCGACCTTTCTTACACCTCGAACATTGCTGTTACAATATTCTCATACCCCTCAGCATAGCTTCCTATCCTCAATCCCATATACATTCATATTCCCAGGAACTGCAGGACATATCTTTCAAAATGCAGGCTGCGATCCCAGGAAACACCCCGCAAAAAGCCAGGAGACGCGTGCTCGGCGAGAAGACAGCCAACGCGTCATTAACGCCAGCCACGAAGAGAATCGCCGACGCAAACGCACAAAAATTTCAAACGGCTACGATTCCATACATTGCTTCAGTGAAAAAATCATCACCAACGAAGACCCGAGACATCTCGTCGGGTGCTTGCCATGCCGGACAGAAGCGTTCAATAGATCAAGTGGTGGAAAACATAAAAGAGGCCGAATCCGAGCCTCGGAAAGTGTTGATGACTTCGCAAACGGAGGTAGAGGGAGAATTCGAGATACTCAGTGACGACAATGGCACGCAGTCTCGCCAAAGAAAGGTAAAACCGTATAGCTTATTTGCTCATATCAACATCACTAACCAACGTTCCTGGCAGGCACCCGAAGTACCAACTTCACAAGAGACAGAAGAGGAAAGCCCCAATGAGGTATCCTCGAGCAGAGTTCCAACAGAACCTGCAGCAAGAAAACTATTCATTCAGCAGGTGAGTCAATCCGCGGTTCCTCCATTCTTTCTATAGATGTTCAAACGCGTGTGCTTACTTGCAGTTAGCGAGCCGCTTTAGCTAGAAGTAGACTGCAGTCTGCCATGCGTCGCGTCAGCGAGAAATCTCTTGACTGTGCACTCTCTCAATTCGAGGCAAACAGTCGCCCATTCGTACGATCCTTGTCCTCCTCGTCTGCGTCGACACCTTACCAACAGCCACAAGAGCAAAGATCTCAAAAGCCTTCACCCACGAAGAAAAAACGTGTATTACTGCCACCTCTTCCTCTTCAACCACGATCAAAACCTGTTCGGTCTTCTGCACAGACCACGGCAGCTTCGCCCTCGTCGAAATCTTTGAGCATTGTTGATTTACCAGAGACGGATAGTGAAGTGGAGGCATTCGGCGAGTCAAATGAAGACAATGACAAAACACCCAGACAAAGTGACATCAGAGAACAAGACGACATCGTTGAGTCTCACGATCTCGGGGTTACTATGAGCCAGGAAAGTGATTCTGTGATGGACAAACTTATCAAGTGGACCCAATCATCGACTGATTCGGTACGTGCGGAGACCTAGATTGTAAAGTTCTCTGGCTGCTTGCTTCTATAGAGAAGCTAGATGACACAAGGACAGAAGAACGAGAGAAAATCTGTCAGGACATACCGGAGGGTGGAATCTGGCCCTCACTTGATGAGGAGAATGAATGACTGCTTGGCTAGATACAAAACACGCTGCTTCCTTTATATATCTTGGAGCTTTTTGTGTGTATGATTACTCTGGCTTAACTAGTACCATTATGAGGATACCCTTAATTTATCTGAATTCACGATTTTCCCTGGACATAGTAAAAAGGTACCAGACGCAATGAAAGTCTGAATATTGACTAATCTCTCAGGTATCCTTTCTATAAATTCATTCTCAGCATCATCGAATTTTTTTGAGCTTATTTGTGCGACGTCCCAATACGTCCCTGCCCTCATCAATCTCACGAGCGGCATCCCGCTTGGCTTCGCCCACTTCTTTCAAGACGCCACCCTTAATCACCCTCGTCTCAACACTGACACCTTCTTCCTCCCACTCAATCATCTGCCTTCCGACTCTTTTCTCGATTGCCAACACTAGCTGCACGTCTCGTTGACCAACCAGTGTCACGGATTCACCAGTTCGGCCAGCACGAGCCGTACGACCCACACGATGGACATAATCATCAGGGTTTCGGGGGACGTCAAAGTTGATGACAAGGCTGACATTGGGGATATCTAGACCACGAGACGCCACATCCGTAGCGACTAGTAAACGTGCTGCACTGGCTCTGAATCGGGAAAGGTTGGCTGTTCGTTCTGATTGTGGTAGAAGGCTGTGGAGGGATGTCACACGATGAGAAAGCCGGCGCAACATTCGCTCGAGAAGGTCAGCGGTTTTGGTACGATTGCAGAAGATGATGGCGGGTTTGGTGGAGTTTTGTTCTGTTGAAAGGAGGACATGGAGAAAAGCTTCGCGATGTGTCATGGGCACTTGAAGGTATGTTTGGTTGAGGGTTGGTGGAATTGGGGCATGGTTTTCTGTACCGATCTCGGTCACATGAATGGGAGGGCGGTTGGCGGGACGTGGCATTGACCTCAGAGCGCGGACCTCAGGGGTGACTGTCGCAGTGAACAGAAGAGTCTGACGTTCGCTCGAAGGCGGGAGCGCAGAGAGACATGTCTCGACATCTGGAAGCATGCTTCCCTGTCCGCTGGTTAGTAGTCTGTCAGCCTCGTCCATGACAACCATCCGAACTCTATTCAATCCAACTATGGTGTCTTCTCCTGATGTTCGAATGTGATCTGCTAGTCGCCCGGGAGTGGCGATAATGACATGAGGACGTTGTGAAAGTGCGATAGCCTGAGGCCGCATGTCTGTGCCGCCTGTGATGAGGACTGGTTTTAGACTCTGCGGAGCCGAAATGGCCTTGAACTGTTCGAAAATCTGTAGCGCAAGTTCACTGGATGACAATACATGTTAACTGAGTTTAATTGCGTACCAAAACTCATATCGAGGTCTTACCGAGTGGGTGTCAATACGACAGCGTATATGCCAAATGGATCTTCAGCCCATTTCTGTAGAATTGGCACTGCGAATGCAATCGTTTTTCCGGAACCAGTTCGACTACCACCAATACAATCTTTTCCTTGCAAGATCTCGGGAATACAAGACTTCTGAATAGCGGTTGGCCGTCGGATAGCCATTGTAGATAAAGATTTAACCAGCCACGGTGCGACGTTGAGAGTCGCAAAGGTCGAGTCCGTTACCTGTAGGCCAATGTCTCGAGCATCTCGACTCGAGACCGGTTCTTCGGCCGAAGGCACATTCGAAATGGATGATACATCACTTTTCTTCTTTATACGGGATATGTTTGGTAACGGCGCGATTGGGGTGTAGTTCTCTGTGTTGGAGTCTTCCGAGTCGTTCGAGGATACAGATACTCGTCTCCTCTTCGCAGGTCGGTCTGCAAGTTCCGCTGCACTATTGTTGATTGAAGGGACGTCGGAGCCTTCTTCTTGAAATTCTTGGGACGAAGTATCGTCGCTATACTCCTCCTCAATATTCTGAGGTTTCGCCATTTCTATATTCTGCAAAAAATTCGAATTCGACAGGCGCAAAGACCATTGGAAAGAAAATAGAGTAAAATCGGATCTACAAAAAAATCCGGCAGAAAATGTTTATCAAAAGGCGGTCGGTCCAATACTCGCATGCCAAGACATTGATAGAAGGACGAAGATGATGCCATGATGCCTGACAAGCCCTCCTCCGGCAGCCCGGCAAAAACACGAGAAGCTAGCCATAAAAGGCATGACTGGATCTCATTACTCAGCCTCGTTAGGGTTGGCTGAGGGCTGTGCCTTTACATGGCTTTGGATGGCTACGTATGATATGACATCGCGTATGATCGCCTTGTTGGTTCGTTGAGCTTCTCTCTCAGACCTTTGAGGCTTTTCATATCAGTATCCCGAGCGTTGAAGATATTGCATCCAACAGGCTTTTGTGATGTGATAGGTGCGAGATGGCTCTGTTGGTCAGGCCAGTATCAAATGAAAGCCAACAAACTCGGCACTGGAGCACTTCTACGATTTACCTAATCCAGGCATATTCGTGCGCACCAACCAACTCACAGAACCATGACTCAAAGCGAGTGACGGCTAGGTAAGTTAGTTCCTGGAGCGATCTGACAAACTACAAGAGCAACGGTCTTCACGTTTCATTTTTCCATCCGAAACCCGATTCCCGAGCGAGTTGCGAGCCATACATAGTAGACTCCATCCCATGCTATCCGGGCCCACTTGTCTCGCGAGATCCTAACTGCTTTTTACATGCAACTAACCAATGCGATTGGCTTACTGAACCGGTGGATGGCGTAGAACAATACCAACCTGATTACCGCCGGCATCTGGGTTTACGAGGTTAGAATGCAGTATCGAACCTTGTCTAGGAGATCTAGCTTAACGGGGCGCGTGTATTCGATTATCGTGCTACGATTTTGTGGGCATAGTGGGCAGTGTCGATGTGCCAACTCTGTCAAATTTTGAGAATCCCTCTTCCAACTAAGGCTGTAAGTAGGCTGACGTTGCTCAGACATGTCTGACTAGGTCTATCAAATCAATTACTTAATCAAGTCTCTTCCCTCTCTTTTTTAATCAAGTCGAGACCCAATTCTCCTCTGGTTCAACCGGATCACTCACTCATCTAATCCCTTCTCTTTCCTTACGTACCATTTCCTCCAACTCGCCTGTCATTCTTTGGTCAATTGTTTTCTTATTGTAGCAGTCAAGGGAGACCGCTGCATACTCACAATGGCTACAGCATTGCAAATACAACTGCAAAACCAATGTCATGCGTACGACCCAGCACTTGAAGATGACACAAATTATGGCTACGTTCCATCGCTCGCGGCTGGAATTGTCTTTGCTACGCTATTTGGCCTGTCGATGATCGCACACACTGTACAATTTATCTGGACACGATGGTGGTGGTGTTCTGTGTTCTCCATCGGGGCTATGGGTTAGCATGCCATAACCCTAACTTTCAACCCGATGAGCAAGTAAGCTGACATGCCGATTTCACAGTTGAGGTTCTAGGCTGGGCAGGGCGAACCTGGTCTTCTCAATGTCCATATATGTTGACGCCTTTTCTTATGCAAATATCTACTCTCATCATCGGTACGGCCCCCATAAATCCACGTACTAGTGCCTCAAGCTGATCGATTTCCGTAGCCCCGGCCTTCTTCACAGCCGGTATCTACGTCCTTCTCGGCCGTCTCATTCAACTTCTCGGCCGCTCATCCTCCATACTAAGCCCCTCGCTTTATCTCTGGATCTTTTGCACCTGCGACATCATCTCACTCGTCATCCAAGCCGTTGGCGGCGGTATGGCATCCGGTCAAGCCGGTAAAGTCGGCGGCAACACTAAACCAGGAACCGATATCATGGTTGCCGGTATCATCTTTCAGCTAGTATCTATCACCGTCTTTGCCGTCTGCGCAGTCGACTTTTTGCGCCGAGTCTTGAAGCAGAGACTTTTGCAGAATGTGCAAGGCAGTGTTACGCCGTTACTTCTTGCTATGGTCTTCTCTATCGTACTGATCTATATCCGAAGTATCTATCGTGTTATTGAGTTGGTACAGGGTTGGTCCGGGTACTTGATTACTCACGAGGCTTATTTCATTGCTTTGGATGGCTCTATGATGGTTCCTGCCGTTGGAATTTTCAATATCATACATCCGGGCTGGTTCATGCCAAAGAGGAAGACGGTCAATGACTTTGATGAATTGTCACTGAATGAGAGGTTGGCTTGAGACTACTTCTATCTCTTGTCTTTTTTTGTTGCTTCTGAAATCGCGCTTCTAGATCATAGACATTGCCTTGATATTGCCATCTTTTGATTTGGTTAGAGAACAAATTTACTGTCAAATGTTACATCTCGGGTTGGGCATCAGAAAGAAATGATAATACGAACTCATCCATCTATGCGTGGCTATGTGACTGGATTTAACTCTATCCCAATCCGTAGTCATAGCGCGCTACATCAGGATTTGAATATATCGAGACTTCATATATTACCATATTGTTACTAGGCCTAAAATACTAGATATATGTACGAAAGTGAACGATCTCGAAGAGGCTGACACAATTAGCTGTCAACATTTCAACTGTGCCTCGTCCAAGAACGGAGAAAGAAAAGAACATGTGCCACACATTGGCGAAAGCGAGAAAGAAAAGCACTTGCTGGACACTCGGGATAAGAGTATCAAACCCACGTTGTGACCCATAAAATAGTCAAAGCAGATCTCGAATCGGGTATAGATAAAAATGCAAATCGAGCGATCTTCCACCCTCAACGCTCGATCTTTGTCAATTTGATGACCAAAACTTCCCCATAACGCAGACGCAACCCCTTCAAACGCCTGGTACTGCCTCAATCCAAGCAAACAAGGAACTAACAATCAAAGACGCGACAGCCCACAAAGAGCCCCAGCCAACGGAGCCTTTCAGCTCGATACCTTTTATCGAGCCAGTCCCTGCGATGATCGTGTTCAGAAGAGTGATGATGGCCAAGATAAACGAGCGGTTAGCAAGGATCTTCCCCTTTGGCGAAAGTTTTCCCCACGTCCGATTATACAAGGAGGTGATGAGATATTCTCCCTCTGCAACTGACTTCTCTGTACTGTCTGGCTTGGCAGACCAGCCAGCGGAGCTCGCGAATAGAAAGTCATACGCTGCATAGCCAGTAAGAAAAAGCTGTGTAAGGACCTTCGGAAATCCAGCAGGCCCAGAATGCACGAGGCTAATGTCACTGATTCCATCGAAATATGTGACCAAGTGAACTGGTAACCATGTATTGAAACTGAGGTACATAACGATAGTATAGATAGCAGCCGCACCACCAGACGCAAAAATAGCTGTTGGGTAGTCTTGGAGAATCTCGCGATTGGAAACTTCGGCTCCTCGAGGGCTTGAAAGGGCGTGAACCGAGTTGGGGCCCCGGAACACAAAGAATGGTACTGTCTTGGACACGATTTCAATGGCAAATGTGGTCAAGACAGCTGATGGTTCAACGCCATAGAAGCTGTAAAGGAGAAAATAGATGGGCGCATGGGTGAGTAGTGTCAGTTCAGCTACATCCAAGCCTGTGTGTATGAAGTTGTTTGTCAGCTACAAGGGTTCCTGTATTAACTGTATCGGAGGAGAGACAGAACGCACTATCAAACCCAAAAACCCAGGCCAAGCCCAGCTCAGTAGCTCTCCAGAGTATAAGTCCTACAATCTCCCACCATTCTTCCAGATGCTTGCTGATACCCGCGAGATGCCCAGCTGTTTGTAGCGAAAAGACGGTGAGGAGGCCCGAGCTCAAGACGAGGCTGCTCAGTATGACGAGCGAAAATCGGACCGTACGGGGCATTTTTGCGATTCGAAAAGAAAAGTGTGATGGCCCTTCGACACTGACGACTTCGATGTCGTTTGCGTCGACGACGTCGACTACTACTTTCTTCGCCATGTTGTTGCTGAAAATCCCCAATAATCCAATCGCAGAGTAAGACCAGACAAGATAGGAAGAATTTTGTTGAGGATGCAATATCTGAAGACTGAGACGACACGGGTATGTTTCAGCAGAAAGTAAGTTGCGATCAAGAATCTTTTCGACGCGAGCTTTCTTCGTTTGATGGTGACATGACATCACCTGCGACGCCCCACCAACCACGCTAACCAGTCACGGTAGCTAGGGTAACTAGACGGAATGGGCCTAGCGTACCATGGATGTTTGAACTCTACTCTCCATGTAGATAGATATAAAGAATGGTGCTAGTATCATCATGGGTATTCTACATATACACAAATCTAATCATCAATTTCCTCTTCTTTCCCTTTCACAGAAAACTCGACGGTGCCCGACTCTCGGCCTTTGTTATCGCGGACAATCACTTTATACTTGCCCTGATCCCAAAGGTCCTTGATCGTCAACTCTCGGGTCCTTCCAAGGCTCTCAATATCTCCAATACGAGTCAGGGTCTTTTCGAGATGATCCTCAAAACCTGGCTCTGAGCAGATAGCTCGGAAAGCATGCTGCATCGGCACGGAATCGGCTCGAACCATAGCATTGGAATCAATAGTAAAAATGTTGTCATGATCGTAGCCCTGAATAAAATCAGCGCGCGTCATCACCTGTCGAGCTTTGTGAAGTGGCATTTGGGGTAGAATATGCCCATGCTCATCGTCATAAATCGAATCCATTTCTTGCTCTTGGTCAACAAGAGCCTTGGCAAGGACAAATGCCGCAGACTATAAAACGTTAAAAGTAATCCTAGAGAGCGGTTGTGTATAGATTTGAACATACAGAAAATTTCTGTTCATCCATCACATCATCATCCATTTCTGCACCAAGAATCCAGCAGCGATTAAGAAGCCAGGACTTTTCAGCTTCGCATATGTCCTTGCATGTCTGCAACATATCGCGCGATTTCGCAACTCGGTTGAGGAAGGATAAGCGGCCTCCAACTTGGTCATAGACATGGGTCAGTATTTCGTCAGAGACCTGTTCTCCGTAATAGCGATGCCTGGAAAGAAAATCAATCAGATGGCTCGATTGAAGGTGTCTTCCAAGAATTATCGATACCTATACTTTGCTAATGCGGCCATAGCTTTCTGCTTGGGCAAATCTGGAACCGGTATCGTTTCCATGCGAGTAGCGTATCTCTTCAAACGCTCGTATACCCAGTAGTCATCGCTATTGAAGACTGTTATATAAATTAGCGGGTCGATAGAAGAAGAAGAAGAAGAAGAAGAAGCAGCCAAAACTTACCCATTGTGATGAGGTTGCTGGCAGCCCACTGCTCAGCTCGTTGCTGCATCAATTCTAATAAATCCCGGCCGTCCTCGTCATCGCGGATCAAATGCGTACTATTTATAATGACAATCAAAGGAGTTTCTTTCTTCTTGCGTCTTTGTAGGGCCACTTTTTCAAGCTTGTTCAAGGCCCTCTCGATATCGAGTAGGGCTGTGGTGTCACGTGGTCCTCGGATACTGAAAAGACTGCCGATGTAACTGCATAGCGAAAAGTCAACGATCATCTATGTGTCAGACTAAGCAAGAATACTTACTCTTCATGGTACTCGTAGTCTAAAGCTTTGCCTAAGCGTACACGGAAGATCTCTAGATCTGCATGTGCTTCAAACATTGCAACTCGTGCTCCATTGATTTTGCGCATCGAATTCAAAAGCATAGATGTTTTACCAGTGCCTTTCTCTCCTATAAGAAGATAATAGTGTCCCTTGGAGTTTCCTGATATGATGTGATCTATTCTATCTTGTTCGTCTCGCACAATCCAATGTTCTGCAGCTGGCGCCTCCTTCCCAGGAGACGCCCCCGCAACGTCAAGAGCAGGATCACCAGGTTCAAAAGCATGGTCAATCTTGTGTAAAACAAGATACTTGTAGTACCTATGGTATGAGTATCCGGCAAGACTATAGCCTGGTGAGTACTAATTGCCACAGGCTGGCACTGCAAAAAGGCTGGACATACCCCAGAATAGCTATCGATGCCATCGTAGCTCCCGCCGTCTCAAGCATTTTGAAAGCAGTGCTTTTCCAATTCGAGTCGGACTTGTCCTGGGAACCTTCTTCAACTGGGTCTTGCAGCCCACTGGCCCAAAAGCGGGTTTGACTTGCGCTGCTGAATATGACTGCTGGCAATTGCCCCGGTCGCTGCGGTCTCACTCTACCAAAGCCAGAGACCACGGCTGATTTTCGGACTAAGGTGCGAAGATTGTACATGATCCCTTTTTGTGAGAAATCCACCAAATTTTCACCGATCACTTCGGCGTCTTAGGACCTGACCCTGAAAGGTTCTTATTAAGCGCAGCTTGAATAAGTGACGTACAACAATACGATAGGCAAGCGCCAGAATCCTCAATCAAGCAAAGAGCCACTTTGTTGATGTAGTAGTCTTGACTATTTGCCCACCAAAAGGAGATTCAAAGAGATTTAAAGAACCAACAAAGCATGATTTCTTAAAGGAGAGGAATGCTGTTTGCGTAAAGAACAGCACGGAAAGAAAGCCGAAAACGAGAAGACGATAATGAAGTCAATGAAAGTAAAGAAGGACTCGGAGTTTGACCTCGTTGACAATGATAGAGAAACAATGAACCGACGACGGGAGCTGAGTCGACTGGCAGGAGCACAGCCGCCAAGTCTGCCGCGCCACACTTCATTGCTGGTGATAGTAGCCGAGCTGTGTGATTGGTGGAAGCTAGCTGCGTACAATGTCTATCCTGTGGCACACTTTAACACTGAAAATCGATCTATTGGCCATTTGATCGGAAGACTCATATGTTCTTTCGACCATGCTACTGCAAAATATGTACGACCTGGCCGTGAACAGAGCGTGCCGGGAACCCGGATATCAGGGAGGACCGCCCGACCACTTCCGAGGGTTACGGCACTCTAGGTCCGTTCTTTCCTGCTTTAAGTCTTGACCACACCCACGCTAGCCGCTTCGGGCCACGGCCAAATGTTAATTGTATCTTGTTGCTAATTTTTTTCCCCAGAGCTTTGGCTGTTCTTCTTCTGAATAGCTTCTTCTCACCCGTCCTTCATCTTTGCTGATACTTATCTTTTTTTATTTCTTTTGTTTTTGAAAAGAAACGGAGACGGTTTATTGTCTTGTACTTTTTTTAATCTGCAGGGATCATAGTGCTGGTTGCTTTCGCAATTTGCATAGCTTGTTAAATTCTCTTCTTCGTACCGAATCACCATCGGAATTTCGCAAGGCCGTTTCTTCAATTGAGATAATCATTGCCACGTCCGGCGGCTCCAGATCCAGAAGTCATGGCAGCTGATAATGCAGTTTCGGAGAACGCTCCAGGTTCGTTTGGGCACTCAATTGATCGTCCGGAAGCCATAAGCATGCTAACGTTGTACATGCAGAAAAACTCACAAACGGCGACCATGCAGCTGAGGCTACCGAGGAGAACAATGGAGGCGGTAATCATAAACCACAGCTTTTCCGTGGCGAAAGTCCGTCGTTGACAGGGTAATTAGGCGTTTTCCAGATCACGGTAAAATTMCCGCRSGAGCCATATAAAATTCAGGTGATGGTGAGAAACAGTCCCCCTTCCCCCCCCCCCTCCCCTCCGGACCAGAAAAGAAAATCCACTGACCCCGGGGTGATCGATAGGTTTCGAGCCAAGAACAAGTACAGGATCTTCGCCAGTCCATCGTCGAGCTTCCCGGCACTTTTCAATATACGTGCTTTCATCTCGAATTCAATGGACAACGAATCAACGACTACATCGAGCTGTCTGAAGTCACTGATCTCAAAGCTGATTCCGAGGTCACACTCGTTGAAGACCCATACACGGAGAAGGAGGCTCGCATGCATGTCGTTCGCATCAGGGAACTGATCGGCGCTGCTGGCGACCGCGTCGACAACTTACAGGGTCTCTCTACTGGCTTKTCACTTCATGATTCAGTGGCTARCGAGGKGGACAACTCAGAGTCAGAGACTCACCCCCTTACCGGCTACGACCCGAATGCTTCTGGAACTTTCAGCACCATTCTACCTCGAGCAGACGAACCTGCCCCAAAAACCATCAAGGCTATTTCGCTTTCGCCGTGGAACCCCCCTCCCTACCATCTGCGACAAAAGGGCCACCTCCTTTATCTTCAGGTGACCACCAATGAGGGCGAACAACACCAGATTACGTCCCATGTTTCTGGCTTCTACGCAAATAAATGCTCTAACGCCAAATTCGATCCTTTCCCGCGTCCAGCACCCAAGAACCACAGCGCTCATTCTTTACTTGCATTGATCTCGCAAATTTCGCCATCCTTTGAAAGCAGCTTCCGTGCTTTGCAGGAATCGAACAGTCAGCGTGATCTTCTGACTACATTTCCTTTTCAGAATGCCATCCCAAATAGCCCTTGGTTGGTGACCCCTACCGCGGCTTCCTTGAATGCCCATCAACCGGACGTAGCACGTTCTCAGGAGAATTTGTTGATCGCAGGTGTTGACAACTCAGAGACTCTTCGTGACTGGAATGAAGAGTTCCAGTCGACCAAAGAGCTCCCTCGGGAGACCGTTCAGGATAGAGTCTTCCGGGAACGCCTGACTTCTAAGCTCTTTGCTGATTATAACGATGCTGCCGCCCGGGGTGCTGTATTGGTCGCCAGAGGCGAAGTGGCTCCCTTGAACCCTACTGAGGGTCGTGATGCTCAAATATTCGTCTATAATAATATCTTCTATTCTTTCGGAGCAGATGGTGTCGGTACCTTCGCCTCTGAGGGTGGAGACGAAGCCGCACGCGTCGCAGTTGGAAAGGATGTGTTAGGCATCAAAGCAGTCAACCAACTGGATATTGCCGGTCTGTTCACACCAGGTACCGTTGTCGTGGACTATCTTGGAAAGCGTGTTGTCGGTCAAAGTATCGTTCCAGGTATCTTCAAGCAGCGCGAACCTGGCGAGCACCAGATTGACTACGGTGGCGTTGAAGGAAAGGAGGTCGTCGCTGAACATCCTGAATTCATCCCTGTCTTCGAGAAGCTTTCGAAAGCTCTGCGAGTTAAAAAGCACGCTGTATGGGACAAAGAAGGAAAACGCCACGATCTTGAAGGCAGTGTCGAGACTAAAGGGTTGCTTGGAACTGATGGTCGGAAATATGTTCTCGACTTGTACCGTATTGCTCCTCTTGATATCTCTTGGGCTGACGAAGAAAGTGACCATGATGCTTATCCTCATCGAATGTCTATTTTGCGTCTTGAGTTAGTAGAGTCGTACTGGCGGTCAAAGATGAGTCAATACGTTAAGGACGAGGTTGAGAAGAGACGAAGCAAGAAGGCCGAAGAAAATGCAGCCAAGTCTGAAGCAGAAACTCAGCCTGAGGATGCCCAGAAAGCTGCAGAAGAACAAGAGCGTGTGGACATCTCTGGTTTCAATCTGGCGCTTAACCCAGATGTTTTCAGCGGACAAGTTCCTCAAACAGAGGAAGAGAAGAAAGATTGGGCCGAAGATGAGCAGGAAGTCCGCAATGCTTGCGATTACTTGCGATCTCGAGTACTTCCTGAACTCGTCCAAGATCTATACAACGGGGATGTAGGCTTCCCCATGGATGGACAGTCGTTGAGTCAATTACTTCACAAACGTGGTATCAATATCCGTTATTTGGGCCACCTGGCTGGCTTGTCCCAGGAGAGAGGCCATCGATTGCAATCCTTGACGACTTTGGTGACTCAAGAAATGATTGCCCGTTCCTTCAAACACATTGCTAATGGCCATCTTCGCTCTCTACCTCCACCATTCGCCGCTTCGTGTGTTGCTCATCTTTTGAACTGTCTCCTTGGTTCTGATGTGAACGCAAAGCCTCAAGCGGATATTGACGAGTCTCTGCGGGAGATTTACCCCGAGGCTGATTTTAGCTTCGAAAAAATAACGCCTGCTAGTCTGCAGGCGGAGATTGAGAAACAAGTTAAGATTAGATATCGCTTCTCTCTTCCATCTGACTGGGCCTCCTCTTTGAAACATCTGCAATTGCTACGCGATATTTCAATCAAATTGGGTGTTCAGCTTGCTGCTCGGGATTTTGCTTTCACCAAAGCTCAAGCAGCATCTCAGCCTGCTGTTACCAATGGTGTGGATGAGACCAAGCATGAGGAGACCAATAGCAAGAAGAAGAAAAAGAAGGCTGCCGGCGACAATGCTTCTCCCACACGTTCAACCGTTGTCAAAGCATTCACTACTTTCTTGGCGGATGATATCCTCAATATTGTTCCTCTTATCAAGGATGCAGCTCCACGAAGTGCTTTGGCTGAGGAAGCTTTGGAGGCTGGGCGAATTTCTCTGATGCAGGGTCAGAAACAGCTTGGCCAGGAATTGATTCTAGAATCGCTCTCCCTACATGAACAGATTTACGGCATCCTCCATCCCGAGGTCGCCAAGTTGTACCACCAGCTGTCGATGTTGTACTATCAGACGGATGAGAAGGACGCCGCGGTTGAGCTTGCACGCAAGGCTGTGATTGTCACAGAACGCACTCTAGGAGTTGACTCCGCAGACACTATTTTGAGCTACCTAAACTTGAGTCTGTTCGAGCATGCTACAGGTAACACAAAGATGGCTCTGGTTTACGTCAAGCATGCCATGGATCTTTGGAAGATCATCTATGGTCCTAACCACCCTGATTCCATCACTACCATGAACAACGCCGCCGTCATGCTGCAACATCTTAAGCAATATTCCGATTCCCGAAAGTGGTTTGAGGCTTCTCTCACGGTTTGCGAGGAGTTGTTTGGCAGACAATCCGTCAACACAGCAACTATCCTATTCCAACTTGCACAAGCCTTGGCCTTGGACCAGGATTCAAAGGCTGCTGTGAACCGTATGCGCGACGCCTATAATATCTTCCTTGCCGAACTAGGCCCCGAAGACCGAAACACTAAGGAAGCCGAAAGCTGGTTGGAGCAGCTCACACAGAATGCCGTTTCTATCGCGAAGCACGCCAAGGACATCCAAGCTCGCCGACTCCGCAAAGTCAACCTTAGCACACGTGTTTCTCTGGGTACAAAAGTCCAACCACAAGTTGGCCAGTCAGCTTCGTCAGCTGCCGGCGCACAGAATGGCCCCGCTGCCGCATCACAGCTTGATAATCGAAGCATCGACGAACTCTTGAAGTTCATCGAGGGCGGCGAGACCAGCAGCCCTCGTGGCAAACAATCGAAGAGAGGAACCGCCAACCCGAAGCTCCGCGGCACAAAGCAATCCAAATAACTCCCAATCACATACTGATATTGTAAAATACTAAAAGTCGCTTTGGTCTTCCCATTCACATCCTTTTATATATAAATACAAAACAAATCGATTGGATTGGATTTCGGGGTTTTGTATCTCTTTACTTGTCTGTTCTATCTGGGTTTCCTTTTCATTTGTTCAATGCATGGCATGTACTGGGTGAAAACCTCATGGTTAGGCGGAAAGGAGAATTGTATGATATTGTACTATTTAGAGCATCTCAACTCTATTTACTTTACATGAATTTGTTGGGATAGATCGCCAAGATTTTCTTTTACTTGGGTCACATCAAATCGGTGAGTGTCAAATGCAAATCCTTACCAGGAATCTGTCGACGGTCTCAAGAATTGTTGGGATTTCAACCTAGTAGGAGGGATATATCAGCTGGTCCTTCGTCTGCCAAGTGAATTCGTTCATTTTTGCAGACGCAAGAGCATCATCCATTGAAAGCTCCAAGGAAACCAGGTAGCAAGCTGCGTCCATGCCCGCAGTCACGCCACCAGCAGTCAATACTCTGGTACCATTTGGACTCAAATTTCCAACCTCATACCGACTGTGCACAACATTTGTACGTTCCTCATGCTTTGCACACTGACCACGCAACAGGTCTAGACAGAGGTGATGTGTTGTAGCGTTCATGCCGGCAAGGGCCCCCGCTGCACCTAGAATAAGAGCACCTGAGCAGACCGAGAAGATCGTTCGTCGACGCGAACCTGAAGGTCGCTCGCTTTGCTGTGAGAAGGCCTTGACGAAGTTAACTTCCGGCGAGTCGGTGTTTTGAGCCAAAGCCGCTAAACTATCCACAGAGCCGCCTGGTACTAGTAGAATATCAAATTGGGACAATTTTCCATGTGCTTCGTCAATAGACATATCACGCGGTACGCGCAGATGAGCGCACGTTGTTGTGAGTTCATGTTGGGCAATGATTGTGAATGTGAATGCATCATGGAGAACAGAGCTCGAGAGAATCCCTAGGGGGCCCCCGAAGTCGAGGGGGTCGACATCTTGATATAGCAGAATGGCAACTGAGATGGACATAATGACTGGAATCCAGTAACTTCGGTTCAATGTGCTTTGCTAGAGCGAGTAGGTGATATATCGCCAGTGTTCTTTTATATGCCAATTGTTCTTGGACAGGAACATGCGCCCTTGAATAGTTTCCGATTTCAAAAAGTTTACTTGAGTCTTGTGAAGCCCTAGTTAGTTAGTTAGATTGCTTTATGTAAACCAGCCACAGTGCGGCGTATTTCCGAATCTCCGATAATAGATGGTCCGTGCGCTCAAACAAACTGTTTACTCTTCGCGCTCTTGATCTTTCTTTCGGTTTCTCGAGATGTCCTTGCATCACTTTCTCAGCATGTTAGTATGTTAGCATGAGACTGTATGCATAATTATTGACTGCAGAACATACGGTGTCGGGTTTTCCATAAAGCATCTTTTATGACCGTCTTTTCTGCATCTTACCGGAAGGGATCATATCGCGTTGGGCGTTGTGCCGCGCCGATACGACAGCCCTTCCATATCTCTTTCGCATGATTTCCTTCCAGATTTTTACTTTGAATATTGGCGTATGATCGTGAGTGTACGACATGGACGACATTCATACGACAGCAAAATGGGCTAATCGAATGCTACGACCCTTGACCTCGCTCTACCATCGTCTCGGCAAACATAGCGAATCGATCAACGCGCAAGAAGAAGAGATTAACAAAATCGTGGCTGCAGCGACGAATACCGAGTACACCAAGCGAGATGCTTCAGGTGATGCCGAATATGATTCCGAATATGGCGACCGGGACCCCTCCTGGATTCCTCAAAACCCCGAGCTGAAGCGCGTCAAACACAAGTATGTGGCTAGGGGTGAGCGACTGCGACTTCAACCGCGAGCTCGAGTTCTATCGGTGCTGCAGAGTCCTGAAGCAACCAAAACCTTGCCTGGCGCAATTGAAATCGCAACACCTTTGATTACGGGAAAGTCAACGGACGTGTTCGGCACGAACAACAAAGGCCTAGGACCCGGTCGTGAGCAAGATGGGCAAGATGCGAGGACAATTAGTCCGTCTTTGCTACCTGAGGGCATTGCCGAAAAGATAATACGCAGGCCCAGGAAGCATCGGCATTCGCACCCAGATCCTAAGTGGAGGCAAGAATTGAATGCAACGAACATCCTGAAATACTTTGATATAGCGGTATCACTGGACAGTTTGTTTCTAAGATTTTTGGAAAATACGCGAACGTCAGACTCTACTTCGAAAAGTTCTACCAACGGTACTCGATCTTTGCTAATGACAACCATTCGACGGCTACCCGAATTCATCGCCAAGGAACAACGATTACAAGACGAACTAGACAACAATGATGAAATCAATATGGCGGATGCATATTTCACAGAACTGGAGTCAGCATATGGCACTGAGGGCAGAGGATGGCAACCTCTCCGTGAAGCTGTGCGCTCGCAAGGGATATTTTTGATCTGCGACATGGTAGAAAAGAAATGGATAAACCAACTGACAACAACTCATCTGCTTTACCATTGTATCAACGCCAAAGAGAATGATGCGGTTGAGAGGATCCTAAGCGTGCTGCTTTCAAAAATAGATCGTTACAATTTCCCAAGTGGTTTCAACCCTTGGAGACCAGATACGCCTGGTCGTGATCCTATTCGCCTTTTACAAAGATACTGGCAGGTATCTAATAACAAGTCTTATGTCTTTAAGGAAATTGAGCTGCTGCTATTGCGGAATATCATGCCTCCGGAATGGTTGGTTACCATTACTCTGAAAGACTGTGTTATAGCTGCATGCACTTCGCAATCAAAATGGGACAACGAATATGCCGCTGCCATCAGCCTTATCAAAACGATTCTCATAACAGCGGGCGACGCTCACAGAGGTCGAAAGGATGTAAAGAAAACCCCAATCAAGAAGCGCACCCAGACAAAAAAGCAGACTCAAGATACATCGTATTCACAGGCAGATAGTTTAGATGTGAATCAAGGTCGATGTCCCGTGCACCTTCAAGATGCCACAAGCAACTTGGTCTCTAGCTTGAATGCTGCACTGTGCTGTATGTATGGTGTACGTATGGGACAGCCAGATGGCCCAGACTATATTTCGGGCGAGAGGATAGTGAAGACTTATACCGACTTGGCCTTAACCATTCAACGTTCCTTGCCACTTAGTGGGTTTGGGGTAGAAGACAATGAAGCAAGTCGAGCCTCTTTACTTCGAAAAGGTTACACGCTTCTTGCCCATTTTGTATTGAGGTCTCAGCAAGACCTACTATTACTGGATGATACAGATGTGAAAATTCTAGATGTCGTCCTGAGTCAGAATTGCGAGCCCTTTTTCGGGCTTCTGGAACAGAATGTGGATATCATTAAGAACCTTTCAGTCATGGTTTGTCAGATTATTCGACTTTCTGAACGTGGCGATGAACTAGCGCAGTGTCAACAAGCACGAAGACTTTGCAAACATTTGCTAAAATATGAGCGATCCGGGCTAGAGAAACTGACGCTATTTCTCGGTAAGATTGCAATTGAAGTGGCTTTGGACTTTGCGCAATATAGCCAGGATGCCGAAGATCATACTTTTGCGGCCGACATTCAGGAGGCAGTTGCAACCATTCGAAGACGCATCAAAAGCCACAGCAATTGCGCTCCAACGCCAGGGAAATCCAGCATGCAGTCCTTCAGATGGGAGGAAGGTATCGGCGAGTGGATTGCAAAGACTCCCTTGGATAGGACGAAGGCTACGATGCCTCGCGTCTTGTCCCAGCCAATAGTAGAAATAGCTAGTACCGGTCCATCTTCTAGTGCCAGTGCAACCTCACCGTCATTATCGATTGATTCGGAGTCTAGCAATACTTCGATAGCATTGTCTAGTTCAACCAATCTCAAGAGGAGGAGAACATCAATTGTCAGCCTACAACCGAATGTCAAGCGACCCCGACGAATCTACAAGAAAAAAGTCTTCAAGAAGATCAGGCAATCTACACGGATAGCGACAAGGCTCAGCGATATTTCGGTAGTGGCTCAGGGCAAGGACTACAAAGACTCCAGCAGCCATAGCGATTACGAGAGTGATTACGAACAAGACGCTGAAGATGCCGAAGCTGCATCCGAAAGTGAAGAATGGCTGCCACCAACCGAAACAGGAGACACGCCCGATGCTGCGCAGGGCACCAGAACCGTCAGAGAGTTACAGGGCAGTGTTGCAGAGGCACAGACGCAAAGGATGCGGGCGGGTTTTGACGTGATCATCCATAATGCTGCTGCGGCGCCCGTTGCGCCGATAAAACGTGGACGTGGACGGCCTCGTAAGCAGGTGGCAAGGCCCGCGTCGTGCTCTGCATCGCAGACAAATGGCCCTCAAGCGCATGCACACGTGTCACGCCGTTCCGTCATTCCTTGTTCTGAAGATGAAGACAGTGACGACGAGTTGAGTTTCCTGTGACAACATAAAAGGGCGGGAAATCAGGGTTCCGGGATATTCTTCAGGGTTTGAAACCTGTTGTTTTTTTCCGCACTCGATTGAGTGAGCATGTCGTCCAAATGCCGATGAAGATCAACCTAGGCTACTGTATCTTTCTTTCATTTATTTTTGTTTTTGTTTTGAGTTGGAGCATGTAAGCTTATCATTGGTGGCGTCAAATTTATACCCATGGATTTGGAAGGCGCAGGATTTTTATCGTCTTTATCTTATAATAATCCATTTTATTGATACATATATAGTAACAATATCTATGGTCTTCGTTGTAGGTAGTCTTCGTATACCTAGGTATGATAGTCTTGTACGGCGCATTATCACCATGCAATGCAGTACTGCTAACCCGGTAAGTGAACATCACCTACCTATACAATTTAAGCGGATGATCATCAAGGTATTTCCTTTTCTGGGAAATGTAGAGAGATGTTCCAAGCCTCTTTTCGTTCGAAGCGGGTAAAGTGCGACATGCCGCATTAAATGTCACTGCGATCCCTGCTAGTTTCTATATGTCATTTGTGCTAGGCTTTAAGTTGACTAGACACGGAGTGGATAGAATGATTCATGTAAAGAAGGAAAAGAAAGGAAGAGAAAGGAAGAGAAGCGGCATGAGAAGGATTAAACAATGAGCAGTAAGATTGGGAATTTTTTAGAGCAAGCCACTTTTCATCCTGGAAATTGCATTTCTTTGCTGGCGCTCTGACGAGAGGAGCGTAGCACTGCATGAAAGGATCGATAACGTGATAGACAAGGGTCCGATGAACAATGATAAGTCCCTGCTCGATGGATGCTCTCTGTACTTCTGGTGGAATGATCGTAATGCTTGTTGAAACCTTGGAAAACTCCGCGATTACGTGGTCGAGGAGAAGAAACATAAATGGGTCGAGCTTTGACTCAAGATTGTGTGTAAAATGTTAATATGTAAGGCTGGGCAAACAGTCCCTGACAATTCAGGTCTCAGAAACATTTCCATAGCCCGCCGTAGTCCAATGAATGGTGATGCTCGCAAAGAAAGACGAAACATGCAAGAAAGTGGTCGAGATAAAGGTCGCCGTCGGTCACGCAGGAAGGAGGCTGATTGGGCAGGTGCGATGCGTGGCGCTTGCCCTCCGAGCATCCATCGGCTCTAAGTGGGTAAGTGCCGACCATCGTGAGACGCACAACCTCCTGAATCTCCTCTTAGCCTCTTCCACATCATATTATCCTATGTCTACGGTCTTCATCTTACTCGTGAGTGGTTACGTACGGCCCCGTCGCCAATCGATATGCTTCACGTTTCACTAGACTTGGTACGTACTCGGTCTGTGGATCCTAGCAGTCCTCTCTGTCGCGTGCCTACTATGTAGCATGCCAATCGGGATGGAAGCCCTTGCAGCAGATCATTATCGGCCAATCCGCGGTACAAGACACGTCCTGAACGGCGCTTGAAACCCTTGCAGCCCCCGCTTTGCTCCGTAATGTTTTCACGAGGACGAATTGATGATTCATCATTCGTATACTATGGCCAAGGCGCCTATTCTGCATCGGTGCCGCAAGGACCAATCTCAAAATCGAAATCCTGATACTTTACTGAGATATTCCGTCGGCACCTGGATTCTACACCGGGTGAGTTCCATGACACTCCCCTGGGACATCATTTTGATGGATACATACGTATGTGCTCCAGAGCCGGTGTTCCAGCCAGTATGAGATAAGCCACCAATCCTGATAGAAGACAAGGTATGAGACCGGGCCTGGCCGACGGAGATTTATGCTTAGATGAGAAAGTGGATGCAACTTAAAAGAAAGGATTGCCAGGTTGCTAGCCTGACTGCAATCCCCTGCGCCTCGAGTCTAGTCGGTCGACTTACTCTTCCAGTGGCTTGGACTCATTTTTTTCTTTTTTCCTATTCTCACGGTTGAAAGCGGACACTTCATTCCCTTCTTGACTCTCATTGATCTTCTTTCTCTGTTCACCACGCGATTCCTGGAGAATCGATTCCTGAAGGCTTTGATAGTCTTTTGGTGCTTTTTTGTTCTATTCAATTGACTGATCTTGGCCTCGCTGAACCGCCTTCATCCCTCTTATCCATGTGATATTGGGTTGTGTTGGGTTACACTCTGCACACTGACAACCACGACATTGATAGTCGACTCGCTTTCTATTGGATGGGCCGGTCATTTTTCCATATTGACCCTTTTGACATCATACGCTAGCTTGGGCTGTCGGCATCTGGATTTCGTTCGACGATCAATTTGAGGCTGATGTCTGTATAACCACCTGCCGAATTGACAATCCTGGATCGGCTTTCAGAGTAGCATCAGGATCGGCAAATCCCGATTTCACAACACAAGCAACTCAGGAGGGGTATCTCATTCATTCGTAGAGCTGGTCTCTACCGCATTTGCTTCCCTTCTAAAGAAGGCTTTACTCTCATTCACAAAGCCAAAAATCACATTCAATCAAGCATCGTAGCATAATGATGGCAAGCTTGACAACGACTATCATCATGGCCTACATGGCTACGACTGTTTATGCTGAGCAACAGCCTGCTTCAGGCGGTGGCGGTACAGCTGCACCTACAACTGGTGGGGCGACTGCTCAAGCTACAAACACTCAATACTTGAACAACCTGCAAGACGAATATACTCATTTTATGCTGGTTGCAATGGCTGCATCTGTCGCTCTCTACTTTGTTTGGAAATCAGCACTCAGACTGACTTCACATATACGACGTTTACATGGACTGGGAAGTGACAAACAACGCTACTTCACTCGTGATGACTTCCGTATGGCTTGGTTGAAGAGAAACATTGTTGATGCTCCACTATTCCGTGTTCGTCACAACCGCGAGTTCCAGTTATCTCGAGCGGTGAATATGGGGACTCTCCCTAGTCGATTCCAAGCGATATGTCTAGCAGGACTAATTGCTATGAATGTCATTCTGTGTGTGCTACACATTCCCTTCAGTGGAAATATCGAATCCTACGGCAAACTTCTGAGGAATCGTACAGGAACTCTCGCTACTGCTAACCTGATTCCTCTAGTCATCTTGGCTGGACGCAACAACCCCCTTATCCCTCTGCTTGGTATCTCTTTCGATTCTTGGAACTTCTTCCACCGATGGCTCGCTCGCATCGTGGCCGTCGAGGGTCTTGCTCACTTCTTGAGCTGGATGTTCACCAGTGCCGCACAATCTGGGTGGGCCAAAATCATTGAAGAGTTTCATACTTCTCAGTTGATCATGACTGGTTTGGTGGTAAGGACAGACTTTAATATAAAATCCTTTGACTCAAAATTGACTGATATCATTACATATAGGCCGTTGTCGGTTTTGTCGCACTTGTGCTCTTCGCTTCTTCCGCTTTACGACATGCTTTCTATGAAACCTTCCTTCACCTACACATCTTGTTAGTCTTGATGTCATTAATCGGTTTGTGGTACCATTTAGACGGTCTGCCACAACAAGTCTATCTTCTAGGCGCCTTGATCTTGTGGGGTCTTGAGGTACGTACTATCTTAAATACTCGTGTCATTAGATAGGAAAGAAATGCTAATTATCAATCTAGCGATTCACACGCCTGGCTATCAATGTTTATCGTAACTTTGTTGGCGGTAGAACTACGGCCAAGGCTGAAGCTCTTCCAGGCGATGTTACAAGGATCACGTTGAAAATGGCTCSTCCATGGACGTTCCGTCCAGGTCAACACGTCTACATATGCATTCCTTCTGTTGGACTTTGGACGTATCACCCATTCAGCGTTGCATGGAACGAAAAGGAAACCCTCCCGATAGACGAAAAAGGCTTGGTCATGACACAACAAGATGTGATGTCGGTGCAAAAGGAAACTGTTTCACTCCTTGTTCGTCGTCGAACTGGGTTCACTGACACGCTGTACAAGCGTGCTGCAAAGGGTGTGGATAGTCACATATATCTATCTGCGTTCGTCGAAGGACCGTATGGAGCTATCCATGATCTAGACTCCTACGGTACAGTGTTATTGTTTGCGGGTGGCATCGGCATCACCCATCATGTCCCATTTGTCCGTCATTTAGTGCAAGGACATGCAGACGGTGTCGTTGCTGCTCGTCGGCTTACTCTGGTCTGGACGATTCAATCGCCCGAGCATCTGGAATGGGTACGTCCTTGGATGACCAGCATTCTCCAGATGGACCGTCGCCGTGATATTCTCCGTATCATGCTATTTATCACTCGACCCCGCAGTACCAAGGAGATTCGCAGCCCGAGTGCCACAGTTGAAATGTTTCCCGGTCGACCCAACATTCAGACCGTTCTGGACAAGGAAATCGAGCAGCAGGTTGGAGCTATGGGGGTTATGGTCTGTGGTGGTGGTGCCATGAGCGACGACGTCCGACGAGCATGTCGTGAGAGACAAGCGATCAGCAACATCGACTTTATTGAAGAAAGCTTTACCTGGTAAAACGACTATGCGGCGCATAAGGCGTTAGTACATAGGAAGCAAAGAGCTTGGATTTCGGAGGTTTTCTGTTGTGATCTATCTTCGTATATTACAGCTGATATTCTTCTTCATTTTCTCTTTTTATTCGCTTGTCTATACTTTATATTTGTTCTTGAAGGTCTACGTAGACTTTCAATACAGCATGTCGATATCTTTATTTGTAGTTTCCAGTGCCAGTACATCCCAGATCCGTTTCTACAAAAGTCACCGAAAATCTCTCCGTCGGCCTAACACCCTTCGCAATGAACGGAATCTAAATTGATCATAAGTACTTGTACTTCATCAGACTGCTTGGGAGCGCATCTTCAAGTTACGTTCTTAACGCGATGATTGTAGGCCCTAATTAATAACGTCAGATTATTAATTATTACCATCAAGAAATACCTGGCGCCAGTGTTCGCTCTGATGACTTGATGCGGGGTTACATGTAGACAACACGAGCCTATTAGGTTGGAGCCAAAGATCCCATTTTGGATGCGAAGCTGTGTAACAGTGGGGACGCCTCCGGAAACAATTAAAAATGACGATATCGGGTGAGCGAATTTGTAAGCTTACATATGTAGTTGAGGGGCATTCCAGAATCATGTTCATTGATAACTTAAATAGTCCGCTCTGCCCAAATACTTGACTTACATCTCAATTCATTTGATCGCAAATCTCTACTGAGTATTCAACGATTATCTTCAAAGTGTCTCGACCAATAGCTCGTCTGTTGTCCACCATGGCTGCTCAAAGGACTCCTGATATCACTCTTTACACTGCGCAGACCCCGAACGGTATCAAAATCTCCATTGCGCTTGAAGAACTAGGGTGTGCACTCCTCTTCTTATGAGCTATTCGGCTGTCTGGCCTCACCGGACCATATCTATAAGCTGACACCGCATCTAGCCTACCATACAAAGTCAAAAAGCTCGAGTTCAGCAAGAACGAGCAGAAAGAGCCATGGTTCCTCGAAATCAMCCCCAATGGCCGTATTCCAGCCATAACTGATAAATTTACCGACGGCAAGACCATCAATATCTTCGAATCCGGCAGTATCTTGCAGTACCTGGCCGACAACTATGATTCGGAGCACAAGATTTCGTATCCTCGGGGGACTCGAGAGTATTATGAGCAGACAAATTGGCTATACTTTCAAAATGCTGGAGTCGGTCCAATGCAAGGTACGTGCGAATTAATAAAATAAAGGAAAAAAAAAAAAAATATGAATGGGKGGTGACTAACAATCGTCCTCCAGGCCAAGCAAACCACTTCACCCGCTATGCACCGGAACACATTGAATACGGCATCAACCGCTACMAAAACGAGMCCCGCCGCTTGTACGGTGTCCTAGACAAGCACCTCTCCACCTCAAAGTCCGGTTTCCTTGTTGGTGACCATATCTCGATCGCTGACATCTCGCATTGGGGATGGATTGCTTCCGCGGGCTGGGCCGGTGTCGATATTGAAGACTTCCCTCATCTCAAGGCTTGGGAGGAGAAGCTAGCTGCTCGAGAGGGTGTAGAGAAGGGTAGACATGTTCCAGACAGACACACTATTAAGGAAGTGCTCAAGGACAAGGATCAAATTGCAAAGCATAGCGCTTCGACGTTACAGTGGGTGCAGAAGGGAATGGCAGATGATGCCAAGAAGTGAGCAATTTCGGAATTAGCTGTATGTCAAATTTATAATCATGGTCAATTATATGAATTTTTGATCCAGAATAGAGTGTTCATTGAGCAGATAAGACGATTGTAGGGCTCAAATGCAAGATGAGCCGACAATAGGCCGCTGGTTGGCACTAATCCTTTTTAGGACTAGTCGTCTTGTCCTAACCAGATACAGCTAGTTGCCACTGGATCGTTCTTGACTCTTGTTAAAGTTTTGGCAGACCTCTTCTTCTTTCAACACCCGACAACTTATTTTCCATCACAGTAGCCAGTTTTCACATCGCTGACGCTAGTAAAAATGTCGTGGCGCAATAGCCAGGGAATCACAGGTTCCAACAACATCCCTCTCGGAAAGAGGAGATTCGGCGGAGACGATGAAGGTGCAAGCGAGGCATCTACTCCGACAGTCGCAGCTTCGGACAATGGCGCGACCCGAGGCAGAAGCCCAACTCGAGGTAAGCTTGAGCTTCCCCAGCCTCTTCCATAGTAATATTGGTACTGATTCTATCTTATTGCAGACCCTCCCGCAGACGGCGTGAAAAGACGCAAGAAGCGCAACCGTTGGGGCGACGCTCAGGAAAACAAGGCTGCTGGCCTCATGGGTCTACCGACTATGATCATGGCCAATTTCACTAATGAGCAACTCGAAGCATATACTCTGCATCTCCGTATCGAAGAGATTAGTCAGAAGCTTCGTATCAACGACGTCGTCCCTGCAGATGGTGACAGATCACCTTCGCCGCCGCCACAGTACGACAACTTCGGAAGACGTGTGAACACCAGGGAATACCGCTACCGCAAGCGCCTGGAAGATGAGCGCCACAAACTTGTCGAAAGGGCCATGAAGGTTATTCCTAACTATCATCCACCCTCTGACTACAGGCGCCCGACCAAGACACAGGAGAAGGTTTATGTTCCTGTGAATGACTATCCAGAGATTAACTTCAGTATGATTACTAACCCTCTAACTCTCCCTCTAACCATGTTTTACTTGCCCATTTTCTTTCTATCGCATGCTCGATTCGGACTGGCGAGGCATCGTGATGTTCAAGATGCCTCTCCTCGTTTCTTGCTAACCCAATGACCACCTGGACTTTTCCGCATTACACTATTTTGAAGAAACAGACATACTAACACTTAGCTTCCTTGCTTTACTAAAGTTGGTTTGCTCATCGGACCTCGTGGAAATACTCTCAAGACCATGGAAAAGGAATCTGGAGCCAAGATTGCCATTCGAGGCAAAGGTTCCGTCAAGGAAGGAAAGGGTCGATCTGATGCTGCTCACACTAGCAACCAGGAAGAAGATCTTCACTGCTTGATCATGGCAGATACGGAGGAGAAGGTAAACAAGGCCAAGCAATTGGTCCACAACGTCATTGAAACCGTAAGTTTTTTTTTTTCCACTTTTTCCGATTGATTAATACTAACATCGCAATTAGGCTGCTTCTATTCCCGAAGGTCAGAATGAGCTCAAGCGTAACCAACTTCGAGAACTCGCCGCCCTCAACGGTACACTCCGTGACGATGAAAACCAAGCTTGCCAGAACTGTAAGTTCTCCAGGATGTTTACCAGACACAATAAACTTGAACTAACCTGTATAGGTGGACAAATCGGTCACCGCAAATACGATTGTCCCGAACAGCGCAACTTCACCGCCAACATTATCTGCCGTGTCTGTGGCAATGCTGGCCATATGGCACGTGATTGTCCTGATCGTCAACGCGGCACTGATTGGCGCAACAACGGTGGCTACGCTGGCCGTGGCCCTCAACGTGCTATTGGCGGTGGTGATGCTGTTGACCGTGAAATGGAGGTAGGTCGTATCAAGTTATACTCTTTCAAAGTACATTACTGACAGAAATAGCAACTCATGCAAGAACTTTCTGGCGGGGGCTCTGGCCCCAACGGCGAAGCTCCTCGCCGTATCGAAGGAGGCCCTGGGGGTTACGACCAAGACTCCAACTACAAACCTTGGCAACAACGTGGGCCTCCCGCTCCAGTATCGGACGTCGCTCCATGGCAGCAACGTGGACGGGAGCAGCACGGTAGACGTGACGACTACGAATCCCGCGATCACAACGACGCTGCCCCATGGGCACAAGGCCGCGGCGGTGGCGGAAACTATGGATACGGCTCGCATCAAGGAAACTATTCTGCCCCAGGTGCCGCTCCCGGAGGTGCCGCACCATGGCAACAACAAGCCCCTCCTCCACCTCCTGGTGGTCAAGCCGGCTATGGCTACAATTACTCCGCATTTCCTCCGCCACCTCCAGCTGGTGGTCATGGTGCTCCTCCTGGGCTTTCCGGCGCTCCTCCAGGCCTCGAGTCCATGTACTACGGCGGCGCTGCGGCCCCTCCTCCACCTCCTCCTGGCGAAGGCCCACCCCCTCCTGTGAGTATTCCTGACGCTACAGCTTATCCTTGAAGAGCTATTGCTAACTTTCCTTGCAGCCTCCGAGTGATCACCCTCCACCACCTCCACCAATGTAAACACAAACCTCGTCATTCGTGGGTGCCTTAAAAGGATGTGCGACCTTAACTGATTTGACAGTGACTACTAACCTTGCTCTACAGTAATTGGATGTTTTGTTCTGCTATAATTGAATTGGCTATTCTTTTCCCCCATGGTTTTTCACGTAGTTGTAGACACGAGACGGTAGATAACGCCAAGAATCACCTAAAACAACGGGCCCGGGATCTCCTCCGAGCTCGCTCATTGGACCGAACCCCAGCTCTAAGTCCTCCTTCGCTTTTTGACCTTCATCTTTGATTTCTCTACAAGATCGAAGTTGCAAATCACACCCGGAATGAACTCGAGTCATCAGAGGAGTTGATTAAATTCTCTCTGATCTATTGGTTACACAGTCAATCCTTACATACTGTACGCCACCAATCATCTCGCTCATGCAGATATTCCACAATCGCTCGAAGCGCTGGTGACACAAGCAAAAGCAACATGTCGTCTCTTGGCGCATCCAGCTCACAAGCAATCGGTGGGGAAATAGCCCTGCATCCTGTCTCCAGCTTCCATTCCCATACATCTTCAGCTAGGAACAAGAGCTGGCAGGCCCAACAACACCAAGAGGCTTGTTCGCACTTGGCACCCTCTCGCACAAATGCCTCCTCGTCCTATTCGCCACGGAATAGGTTATCAATTGGTGCTGAAGATCCGGTGGCTTTCTCTAGAGTAGGCACGAATCATTCKGATTTTCATGGCTCATCAACGAGTACTTCTGCCAAATGGTGGAAGGTGCATCTCTTCCGAGGCATGATCCAAGATATCAAGCGGAGAGCACCTTATTATTGGAGCGATTGGGCAGATGCTTGGGATTATCGAGTCGTACCAGCTACTGTGTATATGTATTTTGCAAAGTAAGTGAGAATGATTAACAGGGCCGAGTCTATAACTTCTTATTTTCTCCATATTGACTCGTGCCTACTGCAGTATTCTTCCTGCGTTAGCTTTCTCACTGGATATGTTTGAGAAGACGCATCAAAGCTATGGAGTCAATGAGGTTCTGCTAGCTTCTGTCCTTGGCTCTGTAGTGTTCTCTATCGCTGCAGCACAGCCGTTGGTCATAGTGGGCGTGACCGGTAAGTCTCAGTAGTAGACGATGAACTTTAGTCGGTAGATCGAGCACATTCTGATGCTGTGAAGGACCTATTACTGTATTCAATTATACGGTATACGATATCATGGCCCCTCAAGGAACGAACTATCTGGCTTTCATGTTTTGGATCGGGCTGTAAGATTCCATGCAGACAATTCCTTGAATTTCTCTGAATGCTAACAGCATGCAGCTGGTCACTAATATTCCACTGGATTCTCGCTATTACAAACGCTTGCAACGGCCTGACATATGTGACACGCTTCTCATGCGACATCTTCGGCTTTTACGTTGCCTTCATCTACCTCCAAAAAGGGATACAAGTCCTCACTCGCCAATGGGGCATGGCAGGTGAAACATCTGCCTATCTCAGTATCATGGTAGCTCTACTCGTCTTGATGTTCGGTTATGTCTGCGGTGTGCTCGGTGAAAGTACTCTCTTTCAACGATATGTGCGCAAATTCATTGAGGATTACGGCACGCCCTTAACAATTATCTTTTTCACGGGTTTCGTGCACATCGGCCATATGAGAGATGTCTCAGTTGAGACATTACCAACGTCCAAGGCGTTTTTCCCAACGGCGGATCGTAGTTGGCTTGTCAGTCTGTGGGATATAAGTGTTGGCGAAGTTTTTTTGGCGATTCCATTTGCCATTCTATTAACCATCTTGTTTTACTTTGATCACAACGGTAGGCGAGCAACTATACTTTATTGACGTGCTTTCTTTAACTAACATGAACCTGCAGTGTCGTCTCTCATCGCACAAGGCACAGAGTTCCCTCTTCGCAAACCTGCTGGCTTCCATTGGGATCTTTTCCTTTTGGGGTTGACCACTGGTGTCGCCGGACTTCTCGGAATCCCTTTCCCTAACGGTCTTATTCCACAAGCTCCCTTCCATACCCAAGCACTCTGCGTGACACAACAAGTCTCGGACGACGACGAGACGAACAAAGGCCGCCCTATCCTCATCACAGATCACGTCGTAGAGCAGCGAGTCAGCAATCTAGCACAAGGACTTCTTACCCTCGGCACAATGACTGGTCCTCTTCTCGTTGTCTTACACCTTATCCCACAAGGTGTCCTTGCAGGACTCTTCTTTATCATGGGCGTGCAAGCCTTACAAGGCAACGGCATTACCCAGAAGCTCGTCTTCCTTGCCCAGGACCATACATTCACTCCTGGCTCCAACCCCTTGAAACGCCTCGAACGCCGAAGCGCCATTTGGGCCTTTGTAGGTTTGGAACTTGTCGGATTCGGTGCGACATTTGCAATTACTCAGACTATTGCGGCGATTGGGTTTCCAGTTATTATCTTGTTCCTGATACCCGTGCGATCGTTCTTGTTACCATTGTGGTTCAGGCCTGAGGAACTTGCAACGTTGGATGCCCCGACTGCAAGTCCATTCACCATGGAATCTGTGGGTGGGACTTATGGACACGTTGAATCTGACGAGAATCCGGCTCAGGCAAGTGGGGTTCGTAGTGGGATCTTTGAAGGAAATGATGGTCGAAGCTCGGAAGAATCTGCCGTGGAAGATGAACTTGAAAGGGGAGAGTTGCATCCAGTGTCGTCAAGGCCGAGTGCAAGGAAGAGGAGTACAACTAGTAAATTACTCTCATCTTCCTCTTCATGCTAGGTAGCTGCTGACATTTGGAATATAGATGCGAGTGTAATAGAGTAGCAGTCCTAGTCTGCGGATTGTGGACATTCAAGGCTTGTTGGTCTCGGTATTCTCAAAAATCGCTCTATGATTTCGGGTTATATGTATACTTATCCTCGAAATGCATACTTGCATGGCGCAATGCCAGGCATTTTTCACAAGAAAAGCAGTCTCATTGCGGCCTATAACCAGCGCATTACTCAACATGAATCAATACTGCTCTATTCCCAAATACAAAATTACCGCAGTATATTAATGATCTAGTCAAACTTTGGCATGTCGTACATGTCTTCCGGATCTAGTAGAATGTTGATTAGCTCTTTTCTTCTCTTATTACTAGCTAAAGGATCAAACGTACCGTTTCCATGCTCCACGATGTATTTGGATGTCTCACTGATATTCATATCCAATTCGCTCAGCAATTCCTGGCATCTCAAGCGAACCTTTTCGTTCCGTTTCCCTGCACCCCGAACAGCGGCCTTTGCAACATGGAATCGAGAAACCTTGTTAACCAGCATCATATTGAATGGCGTCGTAGTACTTCCTTCTTCTATATATCCCGCGATACTCACACGGTCGAGATTGGGGCGTCCAAAAAGTAAGCCTTGTATCTCGGTGTTATAGCCGTGATAATTGAAATGAATGGGAACATCAGGGGTGAATAGAGCATCAAATCCATCGATCGATAAAGCATGTGGATGTGCGCCTTCATTCTCAAGAATCATGAGATCTGTCACGTTGATGACACGAACTCGCAATTCTGGCATCCGTTTGCGCAGTATTGCAGCGGCGTAGATCACCTCAAACATGAGTTCACTGCCTACGCCGACCAGCACAACGTCCGGACTCAATCCCTCATCGGTGCTGCAAAACTTCCAGATAGAAGCACCCGCCCGGCAATGAACAGCTGCTTCCTCGGGACTAAGGAATACGGGCGTTGGCTGTTTTGACCCAACCATAAGATTCACATAATTCTTGGATCGAAGACAGTGGTCAAGGGTGGATAAGAAAGTATTGGCATCAGGTGGTAGGTAAACTCTTGCTGCGTAAGGCTTGAGTTTGAGAACTGAGCCAATAAAAGAAGGGTTCTGGTGAGAGAATCCATTATGCTCCTGTCGAGTCCAAGTACTAGTCTCAATGTAGTTGATGCTGGCGACATCGCTGTGCCATCTTGTTTCACGTGCCTTGGATGTACTGATTAGATAGATTCGTAGGAGGAAAAGTGGTAGCACTTACCATCTTGTTGAACTTGCTGTATTGTACCATCATCGTGTGGACAATACCCAGAAAGCTTTCATATGTTGGGAAAATTCCAGTTCGACCAGTCAGGGTGTAACCCTGCATAAATCCTTGACACATATGCTCGCTTAATACTTCAATCACACGGCCACCTTGATTGCGTGAAAACTGGTCCCATTGAAAGTTTCTACCCGTGTGAGCCAAGGCACCATCTAACTTGTTGCTTTCCAACTCATCTGGACTGAAAAGTCTCACTGTATGAGGATTCTTGACGAAGACTTCATCAATGAATTTCCCGATAACCTTCATTGAACTCTCATAGGACCCCTTAGAAACCACGAAATGCTTCCAATTTGGCATTTCTAGAGGATGGTAGTTTCCGTAAGATTCAATACGTTGTCCAAGCTTCTTGCTATCCATCTTCGGGATGATTGAGGTAATCGCATCAATTGGCCCGCCTTCTTCATTGAAAAGATCCTCTGGTCCATAAGAGGCAAGCCAGTCTTGCAGAGCTTGAAGCTCTTCCTTGTCTTTCTTGGCCTTTGGTAGAGGGACCTGATGGGAATGAAATGAGCCCTCAATGAACTGCCCATGTATCTTCTTTGGTCCAGACCATCCCTGTAGACAATTATCAGACGTAGTCATCAGCATCGGCGCGAAAGAGGCCATACCTTAGGTGTCCGTAAAATCAATACAGGCCATCTGGGCTTGCTCAAAGGCTTTCCTTCACGGGCAGCCTTTTGAATGCGGCGAATCTCTCCAACTGCCCAGACCATCGAAGTATGCATATCAGTGTCGATATCGTCCAGGTTCTCGACGAAACGTGGCTGGTAGCCGTATCCGAGGAACAGGGCCGTCAATTCTCGATTATCCATACATCCGTAGACTGTTCGCTCGCTGATTTTGAAGCCATTGACATGAACTATTGGCAAGACTGCACCGGATTCCTCCGGGTCGATATACTTTGCGGCGTGCCAGCTCCTGTGCCAGTCAGTATATACTCGATATGGTCAATTCCTGTTGTTCAGGAATTTCTTACGTAGCTGTCGGTCCACTCTCTGCTTCGCCATCTCCAATGATACACGTAACGATAAGGTCTGGATTATCCATAACCGCACCAAACGATACCGCAAGTGCATAGCCTAGTTCGCCTCCCTCGTGGATTGCTCCTGGGGTCTCCGCGTTGATATGACTTGATTCATCAGCACAGGATTCTCATAGCTTAATAACCGACGACCTACCTTGGCAAGCCTGCTGTAGTACTGAATCTGGTTATGAGGTTGGAAAGCCCCTTGGTGTCACGAGAATATTCAGGGAAGAACTTCTCGAGAGAGCCTTCAAGCCAAACAGAGGCTAGAATCGCAGGAGCACCATGGCCTGGACCAACCACATACAACATATCGTAGTCGTATTTGGTTATTAGGTAGTTGAGGTGGGAATAGACCAGGATCAAGCCAGGACATGTTCCCCAGTGACCTGCCAATTTGTGTGAGGGGTGAGATTGAAGTGAAAGGCTGAATTAGATACGTACCTAACAGTCGAGGTTTGATATCCTCTGGTTTGATCTCTCTTTTCAGGTACACATTATCTTGTAAAAATATCATTGCTAGTCGAAGCTGTCAGCCATGCCGTCAGCGCCCCGCGAAATGATATAGAACACACCAGCAGCGATATAGCATGCCGCCCTACGAAACTTAGCCAAGTCATCGTAGTCTTTTTGGTCCAGAGAGATGTTCTGGAGCTGCACTGCAAATTTATCAAGCTCCTCAGGGAGGTCCGATGGCAACGGAGGCGGGTTTGGCTGGTCTATAACTTCGCCAGGCATTTTGCAAGGGTGTCTTAGGGCTAGAACGGGAGGAGCAATTTACTGCAGCAGCCGATTCTTGGGTTGGCACACAGGGGTAGATGAACCAGCAACTATTGCAATTGAGTAAACAGCAAAAGACAAATTTAAATAAAAGCAACGAAGAAATAAACATAGCAAATGTTGTTGTTGTTGTTGTGATGTCAAACTGGGAGCTCTCCGGAGCTGTCGGCCACGACGTCATCGTTTCGTCGGCGGGGGGAGAACATCAGGTGCTGGTCGCGCTTGCCTTTACACAATTAAATTTTTAGATCGACAACATACGACGGACAATTTCTGTCTCTACTAAAGAACTCGATTCTCTTCTCGCCTCCTGTATTGATTCTGCTGTTCAATTGGAATATTCAGCAACAGAATGGCCAAGATCATCCTCTCCGTCAATGCCGGTTCATCGTCGGTCAAAATCACCTTCTACAAATCGCAGCACCCTCCATCCCCGATAGTAGACGCACAAATCTCAGGAATCACATCGCCGCCGCAGACCCTCAAATACAGCAAAAGCTCTGGCGATAAAAAAGAGAAACTGGACGAAAATCTCGATACTCCGCCCAAGGCATTCAAGTACTTGTTAGAGCGATGTCTCTCAGATACGGAGATTTCGGAGATAGCCAACGTTGACGATTTGGCCTGTATCTGCCATAGGGTAGTACATGGTGGAGACTACGAAGATTCAATCGAAATAGATGATTCAACATATCACCACTTGGAGAAGATCGAAGACCTGGCACCGCTGTAAGCAAACAGCGCCAACTTCGGGAGACTGGCTCAACATACTTACTTGATTAGACACAACTTTTCAGCTTTAGAGATCATTCGCGCATGCCGGAAAGAACTGCCCAACGTGAGAAACATCGCACATTTCGACTCGGCGTTCCACCGCAGCCTACCATTGCACGTCCGAACTTATCCCATCGACCAGGAGATAGCGAAGAAGAACGGATTGCGCAAATACGGATTCCATGGCATTAGCTACTCGTTCATTCTTCGATCCGTCGCCCAATTCCTCGGTAAGCCTAGGGATCAAACCAATCTCATCGTCATGCACATAGGGAGTGGAGCATCAATCTGTGCCATCAAGGATGGGAAGTCTATTGATACCTCGTAAGAATCATGATTGATTTGAGATCTGCCTTGGCACTAATTGTCCTCTAGTATGGGTTTAACCCCTCTAGCCGGACTGCCCGGTGCAACTCGAAGTGGTGATATCGACCCAAGGTAGGTGATCTTACACTCATATTGTAGGAAATGATAGACCTAATGTTCTCACCATAGTCTCGTATTTCACTATACAAGCGACGCCAGTAGCCTCAGCCCTGCAAGCACCAAAGAAATGCACATCAGTACAGTAAGTAACAGGTCAGCTGGAGCATTATGGAGGACTAATCCGAATAGGCCGAAGAAATCCTAAACAAAAAATCCGGCTGGAAAGGTCTAACAGGCACCACGGACTTTGCGCAAATAGCAGTTGCGAATCCACCCACAGAAAATCACAAGCTAGCTTTTGATATCGTTGTTGATAGGATATCAGGATATGTAGGCAACTACTACGTCAAGCTGCAGGGCAAATTGGACGCAGTGGTGTTCGCTGGCGGTATCGGAGAGAAGAGCGCCCTATTACGACAAGCGGTTACTCAGCAGTGCAACTGTCTTGGATTCGACATTGATTCGGAGAAGAACAACAAGGGTGTTGCCAATGATGATCCGGTGACCGATATATCAAATTCGGACACGGGATCTCGAGTTTTGGTCTGCCAAACCAACGAACAGGTAAGCTTTTTGGTCTATAAATTGGGATCCGAATTCTCATTATATGATGACCCGGCTGACGATGATGTAGTTTGAGATGGCCTATCACACTCTCGAGGAGTTGAAGATGGTGTGAGCGTTTTCTTGCTTGTCGGTGATTTTCAGAAGAGGCACGTTGTACATGACCGAATACGTCAGTGTAATATGAAACATGTAATTAAACGAATAGGAGGATCACTAAAGTACAATGTATAGTTGTAGCGTAGAATATAATTTGATGCACGGCACGAACTTTTTTCAGTTTATTGGATTGTTGCGAATCAAGAATTAATCAGCATTCAGCATTAACATGCTTCACATTTTCTATTTGTTACCTGCCAAATCATCAGATGCATTTGAAAACTATACCATCAAGTGTGTACGCATTTACGTACAGTAGTACCAGATTGTTTCAAAATCTGATTTCGAAAACCAGTCATATATCGTGGATTGCAATGTGTTTCAAATTCGGCCCTCCACCATCAACTCAGCCCAAAATTCTTGTTTTTTTTTTCTTATCAACCTCGTTAAACGCCGAAGTAACGTGAAGGTCAAGTGACGAAAATTTTATTGACTTGAGGGAGGAGCGCGAAGGGGGCCATTCGCGGCTGGCTCGGAGAATCAGTCAGATTTGACAGGGTGTGTGCTCGTGGCTATCTACAACATTCGGCGCTTTCCGCGCGATGGGAAATTCGATCACATCATCACTGTCCGTATATCTGGAAAGGACTGGGAGATAACAGTAACAAATTAAAAAGCAAAGAGATGAATTTCGATACCGGCAGTTTTGAAACTCGTATTGATGGTTGGGTAGACACGAAGGCATTGTGTCATTTGACAAGAAAAGAGAGTGAAATTAGGCGGCTGTCATGTTGAGTTGTTTGTGATGGTACGTAGGCTCTTGCCTTGTCGATCAGGCTCGGTCGATCTATCTATCGGTGCAAATCGCTTTTCACACACAGAGTCTGGTCGTGATCTTGATCGATGGGTCAACCAATCGGTGTTGTAGCTGGCCTATGTGTTACTATCAAATGACTATCCCGTACAATGGCTAGGCAGAAATTGAGCGACTTTTTGATGAGTTTCGTTTCATCGATGAAAGCGTGCAAGTCTTCGCCGGACCATGAGTCCTTTGTTGTTGACCGTGTCCTTTCATTAGAAATAGCATAACCCTGGAAGTCAACCGTAGATTCTTTATCTCGCATTGAAAGATCGTCGGGCCGGCCCAGCGTAGTGGTACCACGATTCAATTACCGAGACTCCGACTTTTCGGACATTAAGACAAAGGGCTTGGACACTGAGGAAGTATCATGACCGAAGTATACACCATCGACTCATACACAAACAAAGGGATGAGTACCTAGTTATCTATACTTGAGAAGAATGATGAGTCGACAAAAAGAACACTCAAGCCTAATTAGGCAAGTGGTTCGCTCCTACTATCTTCCAAATGCAAAGCTGCTCCAGTCCAGGCACTCAAAATTCAGGTTGAATCGACATTGAGAGACTTGAAATGGCAGTTCTATTGATTCGTGAACAAACATGATCGTGGATTCTGATGCTCCGATTTGCTTTGACTCATGGATCCCTGACAGACTTGACTTTGTCGACTTAGCCCTATCTGTACCCAATGCGTTCATGCACGATGAGCGAGATTCGCCCGACGAGAAAACGCACACAAAAATATGATCAAAACCAGGTACAACCCGGATTTACTAGAACATTACGTATTACCCCCCTAGACGCTGAGGCAACGCAGTCCGGGCAGTCCAGCCCAGCCACCCCTTTCCCAAGACTTGGCTTGATACCAACCGAACGGCTCAGATGGACGGCGCATAATTAGTGCAAACCCACTGATTAGCTAGTGCAGCGCGGGACGTCTTCCGCTCGGGTGGCTCCGTTCGTCGTTTTGCTGGAGTCCTTTCTGACTTGCCTGAATAGGTCGGTACTGAATACTGAACTGCTGGTGGGACTGTACAAAGTTTGAGACTGATTGCGTGTTTGGGTATTCTGACATATCGCGGATCCGACCCATTCAAGACTATGATTATGGGAGGGGAGACCATGCTCTTCCGCAGGCTGTGCAGCCGAGACGTAGTTACTAGTAATATCATAAGACGGTTCACATTTTTTGTTATGTAAGTCGAGACATCGCGTCAGAATTAAGCTCATTCCTGCCCAGAAAAGGAATGAAGGAGAATAATTCGTCGATGAATTCAAGATAAAATCAAAAAAAGGGGTGAGTTGACTACGTAGGTGGAACTACCCATATGCAGTAATACATAGTTAGAATAGCAATACATACGATGCTAAGTAAATAAACTCATCCCAACGAAATGGTAACTCGAAAGACGCCTTTGTTTTTCCTTTCCTTTGCTTCTTTGGAAATCATCTTCAGCTCTCCATTGGTGCGATCTAGAGGTTCTACTTGGCTCGCTGCAGTTTTCATCTGCCCTAGCATGCTCGTTTTGCCGTGGGACGGTCTGCGAATGTGCATCATGCGAACGGAGGAGGAATCACTTGATAAAAAGAAAATAATATGTAGATGGTCAGACCTGGCGACGCCACTTTGCTGGAAACTGTCTCATGTATCACCACATAGTGATGAGCATGAAAAGACTGAAAATAGGCCTTACCTCTCGATGAGAGAGCCGATCAAGCGGAGGCCTTGCATTAGGCTGCTCACAGCCGAGGCACGGCTAGTACGTAGTAAATGGACATGTACCAATAACCCGGGTAACGGGTGAGAACGTGATAGATCATAGGACTGAAAAGATGGACTGGAAAAGAGCTGCAGGTACGCGGTTAGGGAGATTTAGTTCGGACGATCCATATCCACAGAACCGGGATGCTGGGTTTGCTAACAATGTACTACTATAGTAACGCAGCGGACGCCGGCTTCGCTTCCCCGAAATGTTAACTATAGTACGTATGTGCCGTATGTATCCACTGGACCCATTCCTTCTCTGTTTTTGTTGTTGTCTTGCAAGTTCCCAGGATGGAGGTACGAGGGAGGCTGGCCTGAACTGTGTGTAAGACTGACTGTAGGTACAAATTGCGATCGCAGTATTGCAGGGAAAACCTTTTCTGCGCTCAGGCCGGAATTACTCCAATACACCATGACATATACTACGTAATCCGCTCTCTTTATCATATATAGTTAGTATCTTGTCCTTCCGGCATCCTTCGATTGGCGACATGAGACTCTTTTGTCGCATCAGTCACTAAGCGGGAATACCCGCTCAGCCAGCTGGTAATCAAGTGCTGAAACAAGAAAAGCCGAAGAGCAGATTAATCTCAACCCTAGTCGAATGTCGCAATATGTAGCATCCTGGTAAGAATCGACAACGGGCGGCATCCTACAGAACTCAGTTCAAGTAGGCCCGCACCGACATGAAGAAGATCTAGATTTCGCCACGTTTTCGTTGACCGTTGGTGTAACGGTATGTAAGACGTAGAAATTTGCAGTGATTACATAGTAACACAGTAGTGTAATATATAACCAAGTGATTGTTTCAGCGCATTCATGTAAGTTGACTACTCCGTCATTACGAGCAACCTGCAGTCTATCGCTACTTACAGTATAAACAATCAATACTCTGTAAGCATATTATCCAAGGCGGTAGTCATGCTGCACGAGACTCGACTCATACGTTTCTACTACGTACGTACGTACATGTGTGCTTGAGTGTCGGCTGGTCGGCCATCGGAGCTTCCTGTTTAGCACGTGTGCTCCGGAAAAGCCTCGTCTCGGCTGACATGGAAATACATTTCCCAGTGGTCCTACGTACGTAGTCTTACACGTTACGATCGTATTATACATAGTATGCCACTGCCACATGTCTTGTGAGAGATACATACTATGTAGTAATGTACAGTACTCCGTGCACTGGAAGAAGAAAAGCAATGTTCCAGAAGTATCCAAGGGGCTGGGTGCCATAGAACAGCGCTAGAAGACAGCTAGAAGCCTACTGTGTGGTAGAAGCACACGGCTTATGCACCCCAACAGATGGATGGGAGAACAGCAGGAATAGGAGGAGTCCGTGGGCCTGTGGAGTCTCTGTGGGATTGGAAATGGGACGGGATTTCCCCTGGCCAACGACTAGAATAACGGCCAGGCGGGTAGTACCGCGGCAACGCTGTGAAACCCAGTCATGCTGTTATGGTGAAACAACGAGAATTACCGCAATCTTGTCGCTGGCCAGTAGGATGCGATCCTGGTCATGGAGCCAACGTAGCGAAGAGGTACTATAAACGGAGTATGTTTGAGAACGATGATCTTACGTTCGGCCTGCACTAGAAACTGGTAGTGCGTACATGCTATGTACGTACTAGTTGGTAGTGTACGGAGGCGACGGAGCGGCACTTGAAGCACCGTCGCGAATACATAGTAGGGCTGCAGCTTGCAGCATGCAGGATGCACCGGCGAACTAGTCACGCTTCTTGATCGCTTACTACGTCTACTCTGTACGTATGATGATATCGCGACCGGTCCAATGCGCCGATAGATGATGGGAAACTCCAAAGGATTCGACGATTCCACAGTGGCTAGACGATGGCGATCTGCGACCGAGTTAATTTTGCCCATCGTTACGGAGCGCAATACAAACTACTGTAATCAAGAAACCAGGACAGCCATTTCTGAGAACTCGTAACGCTACACACCAGGATGAACAGTCTGAGTCAGGAAAATGAGCAGCGGAAATCAGGGCTACTACTCCTCACAACTGAGAACTTATGTAGTGGAACGCACATCGTACGAGGTACGTAGTACAGCCCGGAAAGTGGTACAGTACGTGGAAGCGTAAAAAGTGGGTGGCAGCCACGCGAGGACACTAAATCAGGGCGGCTCGAGAATCCTGAAAGAAGTCGCATAGCAGCCTAGACACCGCGGCTCTCTTAGGGCGCTTCACATGGCAATCAGTCGCCTCGTAAGCGTTCGTATCTGAAATGTCATCGTGGCTGTATTGCCGGGAACAGTTAATATACGCACCGTTGGGGTCGGAAAGACCTCGCTGCACACCATCGGCGAGATTTTGACCCCATCATCCATTTTCCATTCGGAATATATGATAGTAGGACAGCAGAGTTTTTCTG